CTGCACAAGAGCCGACGCGTCGTATAATTATCATCACGCCGAGAGGGGGAAAGCGATTTTACTTGGCAAAGTACGCCTGATAAGCTCCACTGTCGGTCCAGGACTGGGGTGGCAAGAGTCATCCTGATGTCCTCGAAAGATGACGCTATTCCTTAGTGCTGGGGCTCGGGATTAAAGGGACCTGTGTCTAGAATAATGTATGCTTCGGTTAACCCACTGTAAAATTGGTCCCCTGCGAACAGGATCCGAAAGTTTGAGGTTGAAAGACGGAGCAGAGATTGAAGGAGATACAAGTGGGACATGAACTTGACATCCTCATGACTGCGGCATGATCTCTTGTTTGGAATGTTTTGCATCCAAAACAACTTCTTCGCTCGCCCTTTTCGCGGATACTTCAGAATTCTTGTTCTTTAAGCGCTCTCGTTTGGTCTGGTTGATAATGGCGCTAACTCAACAGCTCCGACGATCAACGGGGCCATGAGGGAATTAAGAGGTGCTAATAAATCTCAATTTATCTACAAATACGAAGGAAAAGTCCTGTTGAATGGTACGATCTGTGTCATCAGTGATATTTAACGCCCCTCTGCTTTCGCTTCTGTTGAATACTTGCGATTGGATACAACATTACCGCGATACTTCTTTTCTTTCCTCTCAAAAAGACTTCAGCTTCTGTCAATCAGATCATGCTTCTGTATAAGCCCATCTTCAAATTTGTTGTGCTGGGGCTATTCGGTGTCGCGGCAGCAAAGCCACCTTGCAAGTCGGGAAGTTGGGTCAATTTGACATCCATTCCCGAGCCACGTCAGGAGCACGGTACGGCAGTCAGAGGAAATACTACAGTCGCCATCCTAGGGGGAATCGTTCCAGTTGGGAATGCCACCGAAACAACGGACCTCTTTCAGCTTTACGACATAGCTTCAAATACCTGGAGCACCAAATGTCCGGCCCCATACAAAGTCAATCACCCCAATATTGCAGTTGTGGGGGAAAAGCTGTACTTCCTTGGTGGCTTGATTGAAGGCCCCACTACCCCAAAGCTGTCCATGAACTGGGTGGCCTCGAAAATCTGCTACGTTTACAGCTTCAGCACCAATGAATGGTCCGAGATAGCCCCCATGCCAAATGGCACCGAGCGGGGGAGCTCAATTGTCGGCGTCCGTGGGGATATGATCTATCTTGCCGGAGGAATGACGGTACTTCAGACTGGGTACCAGGATGCGGTCGATTCTGTTCTGTCTTTCAACACAACCTCGGGTGCATGGCAGCGACTTGACCATGCGTCAGCCGAGCTTCCAGAGAGCCGTCAACATGCCACTGGTGGAGTCATTGGAAACACGTTTTATGTTGTGGGCGGACGCCGATATGGTCAACTCTATACTCGTGATACGGTCTTCGAACTCGACCTGACTCAACAACAGACTGGCTGGAAATTGAGTAAAGGCCACATGCCAACGTCCCGTGGTGGTATCAATGGAGCCGCGGTGGATCAGACGTTCTACGTCTTTGGTGGTGAGGGAAACCTCGATGCCACCACTGGCGTGTTCAACCAGTCCGAGGCTTTTGACGTCAGAACGCAAACTTGGTCCGAGCTGAAGCCTATGGCTGTACCGCGTCATGGTACTCAAGCTGGCTCAGCTGGCGGTCGAGTCTACATCCCAGGTGGTGGGCTCCAGCAGGATGGTAAGCAGGTCGTCAAGGGGGGAAAGGTTACATCCCAGAACCCGACTTCCCACTTTGACGCTTATTGTGCTTGATGTGTGGAAGAATTTGAGGCAAAATTTTCAATGAGTTTCATTGTTCTTTGACTCTGGGAAAACTATACGCTAAGGTGGGCTTCTCAAAGGGCTTCGTGGAATGTGTACATAGGTCCACGGATTCTCATCTCCTTTCCGATTTTGACTGTCAAGTGATAAATCTTTGTATCTCTTCACGGCTTTGGTTTCAAATGAAAGGACCTCTCTTTTTTTTAATTCTTGACTAAAGTTGAAGTTCTATCACTCATTGTTCTCCCCGAATATTCCAGGTAACAATTTGCTAGTTAGAATAGCCATGGAATTAAGGCTATGAATTAAAGGATAGTTTATAGCATACAAAGAAAGTTGAAGATACCATGACCATGAAAATAACTAAGAAATCATCAATAGGAGATATTTGACCTCGGGAGTTTGGAACATAATGCGTCTGATGGCCATAGAGCTAGCGTTCACGAAGTGGACAGCGCTCAACCTGCCTAAAATGAATTCACAGAATGAGACCGCAACCAAGACCGCTACAATAAACTACAGTCAAAAGTTCAATCTCGCTCCCAATGTCTATAACATGATACAGTCTCGTAATTGAACCTACCTCGCGGGAGACTGGCCCACTTGCTTTTTTCGGAGCTTGAAGCCCGACTTGGAAAATCTGATAAAAACCTGATATTGATGTCCCCACCCAGATTTCATTTCCCAGGGTGGCAAAAGCCGCGGCAGTATATTTTATAGTTTAGCGCCGAGGAGGGTTACTTGCATCAAGCAAGACGAATAAAGAGAAGCGAAACCAAAGCCATTGAACTTTATGTCCAGCTGTAGGACATTTCTATCAGGGCTCATGTTGTGCCCGCTCCGTGGCATGTCCTACGTGAGTTCCTTTTAGGCTGCATCAAGGATCGCATTTCGGGGTAATCGCAAAGTTCCTGACATGACGGAGGTTATGCACTGATTTAGTCTTTCATGCCGACCCGCAACTCGTGCTGAACGCGAGGCTAAATGAAGAGTTGTTCCGACCCGCCCTGGAACAACGCTGGCTCAACGGACCCATTGGCTCAAGGGCTGTCATTGGGACGGACTTTTGTTTGGCTCCAGGGCGGTTGAACTTTTGTATTACGCGAAATGAATCAGGGCCATCCGGCAGGAAATGGCCGAGTTCCTCGTGATATAAGAATGCTGAGTCCTAGGCAGACTCAACTTTTTGGCTATCTTCTTCAATCCCGGCTGTTCACCAGGCACGTTTCATTGCTCAGGCTCTTATCTTTCCGAACATTCCTGCAGGATGAAAAGTTACCCAAGCGTCGCCATTTCAATGGTAGCAGTGGCCTTGTCCTTAGCAACGACAACGTTGGCAAGCTGTCAAAATCCAAGGATTCGAAAGTCATGGTGAGAAGACTTCCAATCTCCGTGTTGTTTGTTTGAAGCGAGCTAATTTTACAAATGAAGGTCGACCCTATCAATCGATGAGCAAACCGAATATGTTAACTCAACTTTGTGTTTGATGAACCCCGATTTGGCCCCCGCAAAGACGGGAACCTATGGCTCGAAGAGCCGCTGGGACGAGTTGCTTGTTTCGCATGTGGCTCAAGTCCAGTTCATCCATGTGACGGTAGGCGATTTAATTCATATGCTGCAAAGTCCAATCTCGAGGAGAGCCTTGGAAGCCAAGAGCTGATTTTTCCTAATTGGATAGGGTGCATTCTTTCCATGGCACCGGTGGTATACCAGGGTCCATGAAGACCTCCTTCGAAACGAGTGTGGCTATACTGGCCCATATCCGTGAGTTATGCCATCCACTTCACATTAGTCTTCAATCTCACATATTGAGTCCATAGGTACTGGGATGAGCAGACCGATCAAGCGAACCTCCCCCTTGAGAATGCGACAGTATGGAGCACCAGCCCCACGGCTGGATTTGGTACCGGAAACACCGACGAGAACGACTGTGTGATCGATGGAGCATTCGCCAACATCACTTACAGCCTGACCACTAACCTCACGCAAACTACTCCAACTTGTCTGAAGCGTCTCTTTGACCAAACTCAATTTGACTCAGTCTCCCAAGACATCGTGGACAGCTGCATGGATATTGACGATTACTGGAAAATGTGGGCATGCCTTGGCAACACTCCTCACACGGGTGGCCACTTGGGTGTTGGTGGCACGGTGAGTATCCCAGCGACCAAATGATTCGGAAGTCGGAGCTAACTGACATGCCTTTGAAGATGGAGCATGTTTCGATGTCGGCGTTCGATCCTGTCTTCTTCTTGCATCATGCCAATCTCGATCGTCTTTGGACCGAGTGGCAATCCAGAGACACTAAGCGATTGACTGCCATCGGAGGGCCTCTTATCGCACCCCAGAAGATGTTTGGAGAGGCTCAGCCAGCGTCTTTGGGTCGAAGCGCGTTTTTCCCTTACTTTGAAGATGGGACCAACGTGACAACCCTTCATCACAATATGTGGATGGCTGGCATTGTGCCCAATATCACAGTGGCTGATGCTATGAATGTTGAGAATGATGGCATGTGTATCAAATACGATCAGTGAGGCACCAGGTCGATCGAAATTTCGAAGGGTGAGACCGGATCAATTTTTGCTGAGTGAAAAGCCGTGTTACGGCACTTCTCTGCAGTCTTGACCAGGCAAGCTTCGGAAATGCAGGGGAAATTTGTATGTGGGTGAGTGTTTGAGGTGGAAGCTCTGGCGTGGTATGTTGAAAGATTTCATATATGAAAGAGTGTCCATATTTGAATTGTTTCTATGAGCACTTTCGAATTGATTTTGTCCCTTGAGAGTCACGTAGAGAACTTTCTCCGTTCCCTGGGCTGTCCATTGGTAGTGAATGAACGATTGCTCGGCTGAATGAGGCCCTCTCTCCGGTTGTCTCGTTCCCTCTCTTTTCATCTTTCTTTGCCTTCTCGGCGAGCTACTTGTACTCAATGTGAGAATCCCTTTCTGATACCTGTGGGTTGTTGACAGACTGTCAGTCGAGTCGTAGTTGCACTTCCCCGTGCTTTGTTGGTCTCACCGCCCGGGCAAAAGGGGCACGTGACGATCTGGACCCTTGAATGCAAACAGGGCAAACATTCCCTTCAGGAACATCGCCAGGGCTATCGATAACGTAGTGATAAATCTCCCCTCATCAGGATCCCAAGATCCGGCGCGAGCTTTCCTTGATTTGTACAGATTGTCGATATGCATCCACTAGTACCGATTGAATCACTGTACTATCTGGTTCTTCCTTGACGTGATGAGCGCTTTTCCCTTGACCAAATCCCCGCCTTCCAAGAAGTGTAGGACACGGCAATCGGGCACAGCATGGACCCGCTCGGGGTGTTTGACATGCAAGAAAAGACGCAAGGCATGTGATAAAGCAAAACCAAGGTTTGTGTTTCATACCTTATTCCCATGCCCGTGGCTAATTGGATAAGCTGCAATAACTGTCTCAAGCAAGGCCGGACGTGCGAAGGCTATGGCTCTATGTGGGTAGAACCATTGGGTCCGTCGGCGCAAGTCTTTTCAAAGTCTGCATCGCCGTCCGAACCGAAGACTGAGTCATCATCTCGATTGCCTTCGCCGGTACCCTCTGTGTCGTCAGATGCATGGCTTGAAACTTGGTCCTCGGGGCAAGTGACACCCTGGAACCGATCAACTGGATCATCCCCCCGATACCCCAGCCCTACCGGGTCCTATATCAACGCAGAAAACCCGGAGGATGGCTCTAGGGATCTGGAGATATCCACTGAGGTAGTGGTACCTCGTCCTCAGGGGCACATCAGTCATCTTTCTGGCAATGAGACCCACTACCTCCAGTATCACATGGAGCAAGGTTCTCGGCTACTAGCAAACCTGGAGAGCGATGACAATCCTCTGCGATCCATATTGATCCCGAGAGCCATGTCGTCGCCCCTGCTGATGAAAGCTGTCTGTGCTGTATCCGCTCTTCATCTAGCAAACCGTTCCCATGGCTTTGGTGCACATACTGCAGCAGTGAACTACTATAGCGGCACTCTCAGTGGCCTTCGTTCAGTCCTTGGGAACTTTACAACTGGAATTCTACCCGACGATGCTATGCTCGCCGTAGGGCTATTGTGCAAATACGAGATCGTACGTGGCAGCGTGAAGCAATGGGTCGTTCATTTGAACGCTTTGCAACGTCTCATTGTCTCGCGTGGAGGGTTCGCGTCAATGGATCGCGATGCAGCGGAATTTTTGCGCGGCTTGTAAGTGAACGTCCCACGGGGAAAATGGCCATTTCTAACAAGATCTAGATTCGTTTATGCCTATCAGATGGCTCGGATCAGCAATCGCAACCGCTTCGCTCCGACAGACATCTCTATTGACAGTAGCATCGGCATTCCAAAACTAGACATTTATATCGGTTATACCGAACAACTTCTCGAGATCTGTGCACGCATTGCGGAGCTTCCCGCGCTAAAGAACAATACCATGGCTCTCTACCTCAGCGTGTCCTCTATGTACGTCTCCTCTCACTGAATTATCAACTTTTCGCTAATGAACCCAGAAACGAATCACTCCTGACGTGGACCCATACTTCAACGCCATACATAATTCCCCAAGGCACGACAGCAGCCACTCTGACCCGTCTACAGCTCGTGGCTGAATGTTTCCGCGATGCAGGCTTCACTTATCTTCATTCCACTATGGAGCGTATCAGCAGGGATTCGGAGATGGAAACAGCAGTTCCAACCGAAATGTCCCCGGCCGAGGATTGGACATCTCTCATCTCCACGCCCAAACAGCTAGCCATTCGGCGCTGTCTTGCACGTGTTGAGACATTCCCGCTCGACGACCACTGCGAGTACTCGGCGCTCACCTTCCCACTCTTCATCTCTGGCTGCGAGAGCAACGACATCGCCGATAGAGAGGTGGTGATCCGATCTCTTGATAAGTTGCAATACAACTTCGGCATTGGCAATGTCAGACGGGCAAAGGAGCTGCTGGGAATATTTTGGGCGAGGCGAGATGCCGATGCCGGACCATGCGGTCCTGGCATGGATCGGAAACAAGTACATTGGTTGGATATCGTGGAAGAGTTAGGTTGGGAGTTGATTCTTGCGTGAGCAAATACCTAGGTATGGATTCGAAGGTTTTAAGTTCGTGGGCGATCTGGTCAAGCGGAACATGAATGTACCAGGATGTATAGGGTTTCAACCTTGGAAGGTTTCTTTTGGCAAAACGGGGTCTAATGCAACATTGGAAGCAGTCCACGGGACTTGCAATGTTTACGATGAGAAATGATACCAAGACAACCTTGGAATGAAACAATAATGGGACTTCCAGGTTCCAACCTTGGAGGCCTGGGGGTTACCTCCCGATGTCCCGAGGTCGGACTCTAGGTACCTAGTAGTATTGCCCGGGGGATAAATGCTCAGGTGTAAGAGCCCTGGAGATATCCATGAATATGTATATATCCATGATCATGCCAACCTCGGGATATCTGAAGCAATTGTAGCAAGGATATTTGAATTCAACCGGAAAAAAGGAATAGCTAACAATAAAACCATCAAACAGAATAAAGGTGTGTGTCGAGTCAGCTCAACCCCATATTAATCTCATCGCTAAGCCCCCATTCTCTTTCCGCCCTTTCGGTTCCCCCAGCAGCTCGAGCCGACCAACGATCAAGATGATCATGCGAATTAGCCATTTCCTTTTCCCGAAGACTAGCACTGTCACTAGTGGCCACACTTCCTTCGCGGGCATGCGAATGCTTCTTGGAATTTTGGATACTGATTGGCCGCGATTGGTGCGAGCCATCTGGAGTTTTGGAGCCCGTAGCCCGACCAGTATTGGTTGGAGATGAAGGGCTCGTCTCTTTATCGGTCTTGGGATCGGGCCCGCTGAACCATCGACGACGCCGGGACAATAAGGATGTGGATGAACTGATGCTCATTCGGCGAAGATCTTCTTCATTCTGGGCCTTTCCCTTTTGTGCCGCTTGCTCTTTTTCTAGAGCCTGGGTGATCCCAGATATTGTATCCTCAGAGGCATCTTGATTGCTGTTTGGTGAGAGCTCGGCTAGTTCGGCGTCTCGGAACCACTTGCGTCGGCGGGTATAACGGTCCCAGCCATCTTGACCGCGACGACCGTCATTCCACTAGATTTTGTTAACAATGAAGCGGGCGACATCAACGGAGAACACCATACCTTATTGTCATAGTAGATCCATCCTTCGCCAGTCGATCCCTTCGAGTCTGATTTTCCGTTGAAGTTGTCGGCTCCTTCGACCCGCCACTCGCTGCCTTCCACCCACTGCCATTTGGCGTCCCCGGTTCGAACATCGGGAAGCTCAAATGTGTCCTTGGGGGCAACAGCGTTCATATGCTCATCTGTCCAAGAAGCGCGCTCAGACGGGAACAATGAATATGTCCAGCCAATGCCTAACCAACGGCGCTGGTTCTCGTAAACAACAAAAGTGAATCGTACGCCAGAATTATTTCCGCGTCGGCGAGTCGAGATGTTCAGGCCCTGGCCTTGGCCTTTAGCTTGAGACTGAGCCTTCTGTACATTGCTTGGGTTGTCGACAACTGAAAGACCAGTGGCAACAGCACAGAGTCGGCGGACAGCACGCGATCGCCATAAAATTACGCGTGAAACCCTCGCGGGGCGCGAGTGATAGGTCAGGACGATAGTACCGACGGCCATGACGACACGGCGGGTGGTAATGATATAGAAAGGAGGGAGAGTCAAACCAATCCATACTGGAGTGACTAGGAGGATGCGGATGAAGAGAGCCGTCAGAGCGGGCTTGGTAGTTGCTGATGTGGCCGTACGTTGGGTTGAAAGGAAATCGGTGAGATCCAAAAGAGGCTCAAGGAGAATATTGCATCTAGTTGTGAAGAGACGGACAGTCTCGACGATCTCGTCGAGGCTCTTCTGATGACGGAGGGAGCTATCCGGGGCAACTTTGGTCTTGTGCTTCTCGCCCGTGGAAGTGGTCGATGATAGCGGTGAGTAGCGACGACCATACATGCCGAGGATCAGGGCGACCACGACCAGGATCGGGCCCGCCCAGAGGATGATGGCATCGCTATAGAGCACGACTGTCCAAAATGTGGCCACCAGCAAGAAGCTCTGCCATGGATCACCAGAAGTCCATGTCAAGAGCCCAGCGAGTTTGTTGAGGGGGAGTAGAAATGGGTGTGAGTAGGCTAGGGCCCGCGTGATGGCCGGTGGTGTGGCCACCAGGAGAGGCGATTTACGATGCACGATGACACTGGAACGTTGGCGTGAGGTCAAGGCCGAGCCGGTTATCGTCGATGGAGAGAAGGCAGCGACCGTCGGCGGTTGAGAATCCGACTGGCCTTGATCTTGTGCGCTGGAAGAGGGTGCCATGGAATCTATCCACGGAAGATTGTCTGCTGGGCATCAGTTTGGACTCCATCTGGACTGCTGACTGGATACATACCAAGAGCGGCCATCCAACTATGGACATTTCATTGAGAAATAGTCAGCTCATCCTCGTGGGGAAAGGGTTTAATAATGAGTGATGGGCAGCTGTTCGGTCCAAGGAAGATCTGCGGGGAGCGGCGTTGGGCATGTGACTGTGAACTATGAATGTCCACAAGTGTGAACTTCCCACTGGGAGTGAGTCTGGGAGTACATAATGATAGGAATAGAGATCAATTCATCAATTAATATATTCGGCACTTTCAAACCCCCTACAGTGAATTATTTCGCCATCGACATCAAGTCCATATTTGTTGTTCTGGAGCTCCGACGCTAACTTCCGCCTCCGAAATTTTCCCCTTCTCTTTTCCCTTCCAACTCTCCAGACCTCCACCGCATCGCAACATGGTAGGTCCCACCACTTCATACTCTCTATCTCTGCTAATCCATCTAGGCCCACCGCATCGTTTCTCAAGTCGTCGTGACCGGTGCCCGAGTTTTCGGCCGCGCCTTCGCCGAAGCCTACAAGCAAGCGCAAGCCACCGGCAAATACAAAGGCCAACAAGGCGCCTCCGGCGGCTCTCTCACCTCCTCCAACCTAAGCATCGATGAAGCCTGCAAGATCCTGAACGTCAAGCCCCCTGCGAGCGGCGAACACAACCTCGAGCACGTCATGGGCCGATTCAAGAAACTCTTCGATATCAACAACCCCGAAAAAGGCGGCAGCTTCTACCTGCAGAGTAAGATTCTGCGCGCACGCGAACGACTAGAGATGGAGTTCAGGCAGGCCGAACGCAAAGCCGCGCACGACAAGGAATTGAAGGAAGGCTGGAACCCCAAGGTCTACAAGGAATGAAGATCGTGACCGATCTTGAAGCCTACAACTCTTCCGGTCTCGAGCACACCCGGGAACTCGACTAGTTCACTCGATGCACTCGACGTGTTCTCCCCTGCTCGGTTCCCTCATTTTGGCATAGCATGGCGTTCTGGTTGGAGAAAGACGCCTGATTCTTTAGACTGGGGTCTTGGGTCTCGGGTCTTTCTCTCTGATCTTTCTTGGCCCTGGGCCTTGGGAATTCTCCGGAGATGGAATCCCATCTCTGGCCCCATTGACCTCTTGGGTCTTCTGTATATCATTCTCGTCTCTTGACTCCCTTCTCCACTCTTCCGGAAAGGAAACATGTACAATAGCCATATACTTGCATTCGTATAATGTCAGGTCTACACGATTCCTTGAGCCCCCATTAATATATACATCTCTCTGAAGACTCTTGTTCGGCCAAGTCGACCTTTGCTTTTTTTGCCACCACCGCCTCCAGGCACATTCTGCCTCGGCCTGCGCTGTGCCAAAGGACGTATATTCCAATGCGACTCCGGGACAGCCTTGAAACCAGGACTATGTATAACTCCGGAGATCGAGACCAACCTGAATCGGTAATCATGGGCGTCCCGATCTGGAGCCGATGAAACCCCCCGCCATGGCGCCATCCGGAGCGGAGCCGATGGGGTTCTTTTTTTCTCTTTCCTGCCGATGAATACATATTGACAGAATTTGAACTGCAATTGATCATCCAGTTCATGCAAACACCATCCAGAGAGCCAAATACACCTCTCAAAATCATGCGCCCCTCAACCCCCCTCTCCGCGGCCCTCCCGCCATTGATCATGGGCACCGCAACCTTCAACAACCAATACAACGCAGACCCCTACGCCCTTCCAACAACCGAACTTGTGCAGCGCGCATTATCGCGAGGTGTCCGCGCCTTCGACACATCGCCCTACTACGGCCCCGCCGAGGAATTGCTCGGCCGCGCCCTCGCGACTCAATCCGTACAATCCACCTTCCCCCGCGAAACCTACCACCTCCTCACAAAAGTCGGCCGCATCGCAGGCTCTTCCTTCGACTACTCGCCCTCATGGATCAGACACAGCGTGCGCCGCAGTCTACAACGCCTGCACACCTCATACCTGGATGTGGTATACTGCCACGACGTGGAATTCGTCACCCCCGCCGAAGTCGTCACAGCCGTACAGGAATTGCGCAGGCTCAGGGATCAAGGCCTTATTCGATACGTCGGTATTTCAGGCTACCCAGTCGATACGCTAAGTGAGCTTGCGGAGACAGTTCTCCGGGAAACGGGTGAACCGCTGGATATTGTGATGTCGTATGCGAACTTCACGCTGCAGAATACAAGATTGCATTCTCGGGCTCTGCCCAGACTGATCGCTGCCGGGGTCGATGTTGTCCCTAACGCTTCCCCATTAGGAATGGGGTTACTACGTCGAGATGGCGTGCCAATTGGCTCAATGGGTGACTTCCACCCTGCACCTGATGCACTGCGCAAGGCCGTGATGCGCGCGGCGGGGCTTGCTACGTCGCACAACGAGAAGCTTGAGGTAGTTGCTATTCGATTCGCGCTTGAGTCTTGGCTCCGCGTTGGTGCGCGTGCTGGAGGACTCGGTGCACCGCTTGCCAAGGCAGTGGATGCGGATCCGGGATTCTTGTCTGTTGCCAATCTCGGAACTGGGAAGAGGCTTGGAGTCAGTGTTATGGGGGTGAGCAATCTTGCAGAACTAGACGAGACTCTGCGTGTGTGGCATAGTATCGTTGATGGACTCGAGAATTGGAGTGAGGATGACGATGACTATTTCAACACCAAGTTGTCCACACCGTCGACTCCTGCTTTGGGTGCGGTGCCCACGGCCGAGAATACGAGTATTCTTACGCCGGAGGGAGGGATTACGGATCGTGCCTGGTCCCGCGCGCGTGGGGCTCATATTCTTGAGCTCGCCAGGGAGATTCGCGATGTCATTGGCGCCGAATGGATTGATTATGTTTGGGATAGTCCATCGCCTGATTTTATCAACACTTTGCCCGAGGAGCATGTTGCTCTGATGCACAAGATCAAGGCGGATGAAAGCCAAGGGAAATTGGATCTTCCTGCGCTCACTCAAGACGACCCCATGCTTACACCACCGTCAGACGTGGAGAGGCAGCTTGCATAGGGACAAAGGAACACATCTCTGCTGTTCCTTGAAACAAAACTTCAATAGTTAATGAAATGAGCCTCATGATGCTACCGAATCTCAGCTAGGAGTCCCAGACATCGGGATTATTTCGATAAGAGTTTCCAGAGGCATCATAGAACATCGGCCCTGATATGCCAGTACTAGCCCTGCCCCGTTCCGCGACCATGCACACAGGTTCTTCCCAAAGCCCCCACGGATTGATACCCATTTCCAGCCCCGATGCTCGCGTCCTCTCTCAGAACCCGCATGTAGCGTACTCTGAGTGAGAAGGAAGGCATTGGGGGGAGGGGAAAGAAGAACGAACGCCAAATTGTTGATCTGCACAAGGCAGATCAACCATTGGTGAGTTTGATTTGAATCACTAACTGAATCCCCAATCCCGGAAGAGAGGGAACTCCTGAATGAACTATGTTCTCGTCACGGCGTTCGAGGTAGACATTTGGAAACCGGATTGGAGTGGGCGAGGCCTGTCAAGAGAGTCAGAGCTCAATCAAAGTTCGATCGATAGCTGCTCTTTTGCATAGGCCAGGTCAGCAATCCAGCCACAGAACAAGTCACCTTGGGAAGGGTGAGACAGTCAAGGTATCCTAGAGATGAGTAAAAGGGGACATAAGTAAGGGATGCGCATTCAAAACCAATATTCGGTTTCTATCCAGATCGAATTGACGACGAAACACCAGTGAGGCACCAGACCCCATCACTCCGGCAGAGAGCTTGTCTCCTGCCTTCCATGCAAATAACCAATCACCGCTCCATTCAAAATCAGGGTATCATCGTGCAAGTAATGTTACAAACAATCAAAAGGAAGTCATCGCGGGCGTCGGGAACGGTTCTGAGGAAACGCCTAGTTTGCAGCTTGTTGCTGTTCTCTGAAAGCCAGGTCGTGTTCCATCTGCGCATCGTTCGCATAGCCGGCGTGCCGAAGAGCTTGATTGACACTCAGAGAGGCGGGAAGTTTCGTGAGATCGGGTCTGAGGCGTTTGATCCTGGCAGCGCGCTCACGACACACTTGTCGACGCATTTCACCCTTTCGGGATCTATTCGACTTTGTCTCGCTGGATGATTCGTCGGAAGAAATGTTCTCGGGCTCCGAGATCGTGCCCTTCAGCTTCGATTTCGCGGCCTTGATGGGCCTCTGTGCTGGAGGTGGAGGCGGGCCTGGGGGTGGCGGACCAGCTGGCAGCGGTGGGGGAGAGTAGGCCCCATCAAGAGGATATGGCTCTGGTGGCGGCGGAGGGATCTTGTACTTGGCGAACCGACTTTCCGACATGAAGACTCGGCGAAGTTGATTGCGCTGTTCAATGTATTCTTCGAAGTTAGCCGCGATGATGGGACCGAGAATAGTCTTGTTGGGTCCCTGGACTAGTGCAAGGTATTCCATGCGGTTCTTGAGGGTTGTGTGAGCACCAGCGAAGGTACGAAGGATCAAATTGATCTCCCGTGTTCCACCAGAGATATCGTTGTCAGGGTTGTTTGGGTCTTCGATGGTAAGACGATCAGCGCTTCCAAAGTAAATCTGTTGAACTAGGTCAGAAAGTGCACAAAGGTATGAGGCAAGGTCAACTGACCTTGTTGAAGAACCCTGGGGGATTCATGCGAATAGCGACACGGTCGTATTGGAAGTACTTTCCGTAGAAATCGAAGAAATCCATGAGAATGCTTCCTAGGTTAGGCTTCAGGTTTCCCTGAGGCATGTGCTGGAGAAGACTTGTGACCAAACAGGTGATAGAAAAGCCTCCCAGCCCACCAGTCGGGACTTCGTTTAGACCACGGATCAACAAAAATTGCTTGATCACCGATAAAATGATGGGCATGGAAGGGAATTGTGCTTTCCATTGCTGGAAGGTCTCGTTGGCGATCAGCCCGCTGTTGTTATCAAAAGACATATCAACACGCAGTCCGGTCAGCTTGTCAATGAACTTGAGGATGGGCACACGGGCATGCGCAATGCACTCAATGGAGTTGGGGACAGCGATGTTTGTGCCCTTGAGGAAGCCTGAAAAGGCATAGATTTGTCCTTTCCTCTCTCCAAAATTCCGAACTCCTGTACGTCTAAATGAATTAGACAATAAGACCAAGTCAATATCTGCGGTAGGCAGATAGAGCCCGGAGGCAAATGAACCGAAAGCATGGATTTCAACACCGGGGTATCTGTTCTTGAATACAGTATTCAAGCGCTCAACAAGGTCCTTGCGCACAATGTTCTCAAACTCTTGTGGCTTGGCCCAGTTGTAGAAACTGAGGATTTCGTCATGCAGCCTGACACACGTTAGATTGAGATTCCATCAATTTGGAATCGCGAAAGCACGGATAGTACTTACTGAGATCCTATGTGCAAGGAAGGAGGAGTGGATTCAAACCAAGGCGTGCCCGTCTCCGGAGACCGCGATTTCCACTCATCGATAACTGAGCCATCAAAGTTGTACCTGCTTGCAGGCTTGCCACCCTTTCGAGAGAAGCCCTTGAGCTCATCTTCGCGAGTTCTTTTGCGGTTTCCAGGACCCGAGTCTACGGAATCGTGACCTCGTGGTCCCTTGGGTGCATTCTCTGGGGCGTTGTTCTCTGGTTCTGGCTCCATTGGGCCTAGAGAAATAAAGTCCGAGTTCTCTTTCACCGCGTCGGTCTGGGTAGTCTTTGCTGCGTTGTCAAGTCTGGCCTTCCGGATCAACTTGACAACGTCGAATCCTTTATTCGTCTGTTCGCTTGGTGGGGGCAGTGCGGTGTAAGGATCTGGGTTCGACCACTTGGTGGCGGGAGGAGCAGGTGGGGGCACTGGCGCTTTCTCTTGGGATTCGTGAAGACCCAGCGCGCGTCTCTTTCGTGGTCGCTCGTTGTCGGAGTCGGAGTCGGACGTGTCCATCTCAGCCTCCTCACTATCACTCATCGCACTCACCTCGTTCAACGAAGCGAACTTTGGTGGCGCATTGGTCTCATTTTCCCCTTGAAGCTGTTCGGGCGTGGTTTCTCTCTTTCGGGACAACAGTGGTCGGTCTGCCGTGGGAGGTGGTCGATATCGGAAACTGAACTCGTGTCTAGGGTTCGGACGCGAGCCTCGATAATTCGAATTACCTCTGAACTGAAACGGCGGCATTTTTGGAATTCCTGCGCTCCCGTCGCGACAATACGAGAAAAAAGAAGCAAATGGGCTGTCAAGTTTACGCGGGAAAAAAAAGGCACTTGCGAAAATGTACTGCCGATGATGAAAGGCGGTGTGTGGACTTCGGTATTCCACTGCATTTCAGTTACTTATCTGAGAGACGGTTGACTCCCTCCTCTAATCTACCGATCAAATCGGACTGCACCGCCAACTCTGCAAAGCTGACCCTACTCGGCGTCCATTCCAGCCAGTCCTCGGCTCTCACGCCATTTGCTTGGAGCAAGCCAACACTAACATCAATCAACAGTGGTCGCTCGTCACAATGCCAGAACACAGTGGCCCCACAACAACCGCAGAACTCTCTATAAACGCCGGGCGAGCTATTATGTCGCTGCATTTTCCCACGGTTGAAGTCCAATGGTGAGCCGTCTACGTTGAGTATATTCGATTTGGGCACGAAAGCCCATGTTTGAATGGGGAATCCACTGCTCAGCCGACAGGTATTACAAACACAGGTTCCTGCAAGATACCTGGTGCCTCCATCCCGTAGCCACCACTTGGTGTCGTCAGGGTTGGCTCCCGATCCAGTGTAGTATGGGACCAGCAGATCTGGCCAGGGCGAGGTAGCTTGCGAGGAAGAAGCATCGGGCTTGGTGATGTAGAATTCAACACCTCCGCAAATGCAGCGCGCGTATAATGACTGCTCTTTGACATCAGCTTGCCTCCAGTTTGGCGGCTCTTTGGATATCGGCGAACGTGTCGCATCCAGTCTGCAACTGACAGCTGGCGACTCTGTTCCTGGAAGATATACACCCAGTCCACCATCGCCCGTGTCGCTGAGTTTCCAGTGGACTATCTCTCGGACCGGGATTGGCGCCACTAACAGTCCTGATGCAACAAAGAAGTGACAGTTGAGCTTTGAATGGGCGAATACATGCGCACCACAGGTTTTGCAGAAGAAGCGACTGATGTGGTTAGACTGCTTGTATTCTTGAAGCCCATGGAGCTTCGGCTCATGCTGGAGAAGGTGGTACGAGGAACATAATTGCCCAACACTCGCGCGGCATTGTTGGCAGTGACACAGTTGTAGTTGTGTTTGCTCAGTGTCCAGCTGGACGGATGTGTCTATATTTCCACACAAGCAAGAAATGGTAGCCATAGCAAGCCCTGGAGCATAAACTGGATTTGAAATATGTCCGAGACTAGAGGCCAAGGTAAATGAGATATGTGCTCAAGCGGGGCTCTCAGCGCTACGGTCTGACGGGAAGTCACGAGTATAAGTTCCGCTTCTCCCCCACCATCACAACTCACCACTCGCAACTTGCAACTCACCACTTTGCACTTTTCCCACTTCACAACTTCTACCTCAAATCAAAATGAGTAGGTTGCTTCCATGGGTTCCAGGTTGATCTCACCCCTGCGGGTTCCGCGATGGCGGGGTCAGAGCGGGGTTGTCAACGGGATCTGGATTCTCTGTACATTTCACATCGCTGACCATTCTGATAGGCGACCACGGATGCAGCTGCGGCTCCTCTTGCCAGTGCCCTGCCGGTGCCTGCAACTGCCCTGTATGTGCTGCCGAATACGTGCTCTGTGCAGCCGTTGATGACGTCTTGCTGACCACCTCGATAGAAGAAATAAATTCCCATGGACTATCGGGCTCGAAGGATGCTCCCGATGTCGACGAAATGCTGAGGACATTGTCATGCAGTGAGATGGAGATTCCCTGGGGAGGCATATTAGGCTGAATGGAGGGATGCATGTCGTGTCATAAAAACAACAACTCGCTACATTCAATCACAGGCGGTTGTTTGACCACTCTTATCCTTGTAGATCAAGTACCTTGTGGGCATCAGATCCAACATTTGGGTTCTCTAGATCAGCTACCTTGGTGGCTCATCTGTATATAGTCGAACCTCAGCCCGGATGAATTCTGGTCAAAACACCTGGGCATGGATCAACCACGTATACTCCCCGCGCCTCGGCATATATCGGAAATTCATGGCAGACACCCGTCGGAGGAGAGCTGTCCGGAATCTTGATACGACGCAGTCATCTTCAAATCACACAGACCATGAGAACATCGTCATATTCTCGTCGAGGGATTTAATTCGGCTTCCGCGGCTGTTTGCCGATGCGCCTTTTTTGCGGTGTCCACTGTCTATCGATGAAACCTGAAGTCTAAGATACACGGGATCCAGTTCTGCGCGAGTCCTGAAAAGGGGATATTAGATCGGAGCCAATCATCGTCATGGAGGTCTGTGTCCGTTCCCGGTTTGTACGGAGGTGTAGCTCTGCATCTCCACTTGCCCTGCTCTCTGATTGCACTTTGAATTCGAATGTTCGAAGTCTGTGCTTTGGGAGAACAAATCCCAGCTTGCTCTACGGTCGCTCAGATGACTTGAGATCTTAGTGCCGATGTTATCAGATCTCGAGGTGTGCATATGTGTACCTCTCATGCAGACGGATATACTTCGATATAACATGTATCATCCATGCCCAGGTGGCATTCTGAGCATCGTTGACCCTACATAAGATGCCCCGGTCCACATACTGGTATAGGAAGCTCCATCGGATACACACTAACAATGCGAGTCAACAACCACGCAGCGTCTCGCCGTGGTGTATCCACACCGGAAAGTAAATTGGACCGTAGGGAAAGAAAGACAAAAAGCGAACTCTCATGAATGTGGGTATCAGATACAGCTCACCTTACCCAGGGCTGCCAATGAGACTGTTGAGCCCCCCTCCTCCAAGGTCCTCAATACAGGCAAACATCTGTTTCATAGGCTGCCCACTAGTCTTTGAACCTGCACCGCCCTAGGCGCCGTAAATTCGGCTGGCCCCTCTTCTCCCACTGGCTGGGAGTATTCTTCATGCTTTGAATGTGAACCAGTCCGTTTTGATGCCGCACTACAGTATAATGTAGATGGGTCCCAAACTGGAAGATTTTCTCACGGAATAGTCAAAGGCCCGTCCAGAATTCAGTTGATCATCAAATGAACCCGGGCAGATCTACCTTGCCTGAAACGTGGTCGTCATTGTGGCATGATAGTTCCCAAGTGTATGAGCCGGGCTTTGTAAAATATGCATTACCAAATCCAAGCTACATATTGATACCTAGGTATCGTACGTTGCTCACATGTATTGGGCATTTGCATGAGAACATCTATTCAAATCCAATATGATATGATGGCCAAGCTCACTTGAATAGTTTTCAACCATAGTCGATAGAGTACCTAGGTATTCAGGTCTACGGATGCAGTATAGTACGAGTATACCGGAGAATCACATTGCCTACCCGCGATCAAGGCATTGACGGAGAACGTGACGCAGTATCAAGCTGCCCCCAAGTCTGACCTGAGTATGGGTCTTGAAGAAACCAATCACATTACTTAGCTGGACCTACATACGGCCCGAGCACAAAGCATGTTGATCTGCATACCTGATTAACCTGACCAATCTGAGTGGACGTTTGCTGCACCGAGCAAACACCGTAGCCTGGCAAGTAGACTCCGCACGAGAAAACAGATCGGAGCCTTAGCCTCCGTACCTCGGGACTGCCTACGAAGGCAAACCAAAAACCCTCATCATAACAGGGCCCACGAGGTATCCACTTTATTGGCGAGCGGTAGAAGTGCCTAGACTCGATATAGCAGATAGCGCGTGAGAACATGTAACCTTTGAGAGCGGATGCAAGTCCACGTTTGACCTGACCACGCGATACGACGGGGCACCCCAGGCGTAATTGGTCGAAGAATCCCAATAAGGAAAATATCCACAGGGTATACGGTAGGATGTCATAGTGTATAATGTAATGGGCAATCCCAAGGCATATAAAGCCAGCCAGATATCCTGCCCTACATCTTTCTTTTCATCAGCCTCTACATCCAAAGCCAAACACACCTTTCTAAAAACTTCCCCAAGTTTCCCACCCAAATCTATTCATCATGAACCCCTGCTCCTGCAACTGCTGCTCCGGCAACTGCAACTCCTGCTCTTGCAGCAGCTGCAAGGTATGTCCACATCCGTTTCTCAGTCGACGTCTCATCCCAGTCCACGGGTATGATATGGAATCAGGGGACGAAAGGTATGCTGACTACCATTTCAGCACTAAGTCAGCTCACACGCCTGCATCGCCGTCTTCCTCCAACACAACCCATACCCGGCCCGGGCTCCCACTACTGTCAAACTAGCTGGGCAGCGTTTCCACATTCGTGAGATCATATCATGACATTGCTGGATGCGCGGATTGGGAGACAATATGACATGGAGTCCTGATGATGAGATGTTACGATAATAGGGTTTGGCCTCGTGTACCTTTGTGATTTAGTTATGTGCCAGTATATACATATTGGATTTGAAACCCCAGAATTCTGTTTTCCAGTAAAGATCCTCGGTAATCATTGCATTCCAAGGTTTGAATGATCTGTCTTGACTAGAGCGATTCGTGGTTGTCAAGGTTGAAAAAACCTTGGAAGACGCCAATTGAGCCCTAGAGGTTTCCCTCGGAGTGATATTCACAACAGCATTTTGCCCACTTCTTCAATCTTGAAGCGTCACCTCCGAAGGTCACATAGCGAGTCCAATAGCATAAGCTCGTTATCAATTCAGGGCTATCAACCTTGGAAGGTTACAAAGATTTGATATGAAGACGGGTATGTCGAGGAAATACCACCGGGACGGGAATAAAGGCGCTGAGAGCTCGATGCAAAGTGTAATAACGAAAGATCGAAAACTGGATCTATGAGAATTTACAGCTCGTCTTTCGACCGAGGCGCGGAGTTTCCAACCTCCTCACCACCCGCACAAACAGCTGGCGAAGTGACCAGCATAGCGTACACACACTTCTCTTCTTCGGCAGTCTTCAAAATCCGATTCTCCTCACCGCACTCCAAAATGACCTTAGTCGACCGGTTAGGCCCATTCCAGCATGACTGGCCACGGGTGTATTCGATCACTGTCTTTTCAACATTGATAACCTCGCCAGCCTCATTGACTTCTTCGACAAGTGTAGTTCCCACGTTCGAGAATTTGCCCATAGACACGGAGCTGCCTCCCTTCCTTTGGTTTTGCTTAGTGGACTCGAGGAAGCAATGTTCGTATGTATACTCGCCCGCATCCTGAGAGATACACACCCCCTTCAGAGCGCGGAAGATGGAAGCGGTACCGTAGTCTTGCTCAAGATCAGCACGCTGGTCACGCAGCTTGTTCTTCAAACTGGACAGAGAGTCCTGTGCCTCTTGGAGGGCCTCGCGTGCTTGGGTGACGGCCTTGGAATCCGAGGAAGATTCCTCAGTAGGTTTGGGCAAGATACCATTCTCCTGGAGGTAGTTCTTGACGGAGACGACCTTTCCTTCAATGAAGTTAACAAGCGACGGTGGGAGGTACGCGGCCAACACGTATACTATCATTCCGTTAGTCAGCTGCTGGTGGCATAGAGGTTGCAGAGACACTTTACCTATATCGGAATCCGGACAGCCCTCATCCTCATTTTCCCAGTGCTCCCAGTTAACTCCGTTGTCGGCGCCGTCGACCTTGGTGATTTCATCCAAATCACGGTTCACGGCCCCATTTGAATCCTCGGTGCTTTGATCACGAGCAGCGTAGTCCTCATAGCTGCGAACCGCCCGCTTGACACCCTCATCGTTGAAGTTCGGGTTATATTCCACCTTGACCTTGGCCAGGATATCCTCAAGCTCCTTGACACGGTCACGGGTCTCATCCCGCTGACGACGAACATCCACCAACGCATTGCGGAGCTCCTCCACACGTCCTTTGGCAAGAGCACTGAAAGCACTCAGCTTGCCTTTACCCTTGCCAGTGCGGACGACCTTCTGGTCCTGCTCCTGGGCGAGCTGCAGATCAGCCTGAAGGCCTTGTTCCTTGACCTCGGCACCTTGGATCTCAGCCTCCAACTCAGCAATATGGACCTCAATTTCCTTCTGCTGGCGGCCAGCGTCGACAAGAAGATCCTTTTTCTTCCTTAGGGCGGCAGTCATTGACTTTTGATTCTTCTCCTCTTCCTTGCGCCATTGCTTGCCGATCTCCTTGCAACGGTCTTCACACTTGGTGCCTCCAACACGCGCCCACTCGTCACTGCCGTCGCAGCACATTTCGTAGTCACAAATTCCATCGTTGATCCGCTGGAATGGGACGTACGATGGACGATGGCCCTTGTTCTTGCAGTAGAACCCGGGCAGACCGAGAGCGATATCCAGATCACTGTTGCCTGGTCGATCTGCCACAGTCAAGGGCGAGTTCCGCGAGATATGGGCACAAGCGGCGGTGCCTGGCTCATCACTTCCATCGGGGCAGTCACAGAAGTCATCGTTGACGGCCGAGAAGGGGATTTTGATAGAAGGGTTCGAGATGCATGTGAAAGTCGTGGAGTCCTGGTAAAATTTGGCGACTAATACAACATTGTGAGTATTGGTTATTTCTATCAAAGCTGCAATTCCCGCCGTAGATCCTCATCGCATGAATCCGCTGCGGAAACGGGTGGAGATCTAGAGTCAGGGTTCAGTTACTCACATTCCGGACCCACGCCTCGGGGACGAGCAGCCTTCTCACTAGCTTGGGCAGTCGACCCAGCAGCAGCCAGCAGCAAAAGAGATTGTGGGAGTCTCATGCTTGAGGCATTGAGCTATGTTTATGGAGGTGCGGAGAGAGCTTCTGGCCAGATGTTGATAGCGGGAATCTAATCAGTGCTGAGTCAGCGTGCTATCTTTCCGATTGCACGGTGGCGACGAGCTTTTAGTCTCACTGCACCTCGAAAATGGGTAATGACGGTGGAAGGTAAGACTTGAATGAAATGTACTCGAGTGTGCGCTCTCTGACCATGCGCTTCTAGTATCCCAACCCGCCGCGAGCTCGTCCGTGAAGCGGCCCGGGCCCCGAGCACCGCGCAAGTAAAAGAGACCCAGCGCGAGCAGCAGGAACATTCCTGGACCACTTGTCCGATTTCGCACAAGTCCCTGGCTCGACCTATAGTCTCAGACTCCGTGGGAAATCTCTACAACAAGGACGCTGTCCTTCAATTCCTACTCCCAGGTGACGATGGCGAAGGCATCAGCTCCAAGGCCGACTGCGAGGAAATTCTGTGCGGGCGCGTGAAGTCCCTTCGGGACGTTGTCGAGCTTAAGTTTGAAGTCGATACTGAGCTTGCTGAGCATCCTTCTGGTCGTGCCCATGCGCCCCGAGGACGTCAGGAAGCCTGGATCTGTCCGATCACCGCGAAGCCGTTGGGACCAAACGTCAAGTCCGTGTACCTGGTACCATGTGGACATGTTTTCGCAGAGGAGGCTATCCGCCAGCTGAAGGGCGACAAGTGCTTACAGGTGAGAATAGCCCAAATGGCGTACTTGAGACAGGAGCTAACATCTGGCGCAGTGCAACGAACCCTACGCCGAAGAGAACATCATCTCGATTCTCCCTATCAAAGAAGACGACAAGAAACGTCTTATTGCTCGAGGTTTCAAGCTTGCTGAACAAGGGCTTACACATTCACTTAAGAAAGCACCCAGCTCCAAGAAGCGCAAGAAGCACGCTGATACAGCCGATGCTAGCGCCAAAGAGGTCGCTGGCTCGGATGCCTCCAAGAACCCGGCTGATCCGAAAGATCGAAGCAATACTTCTACTCCAGTCCCGGCAAATGGTTCAAGTAGCGGAATCAAGAATGCTGCCACCTCCTCACTTACTGCGCGTGTGCTGGCGGAGGAGAATGAGAAGAAGAAGCGCCGAAAGATGATGGGTCAGAGTTCAACGATCAGCAGCCTATACTCCAAGAAGGACGGGGGCAAAGATGGAGCGGCGAAGGGTAGCGACTTCATGACTAGAGGGTTCTCCATCTCATGAGATTATCTATTTCCTTTCTTTGCGTTTTATGTATGTACACGAGGAGTTGCCTACTGGGAGTAGGCTGGTTTGCTTTTCTTGAAACCCATGTGGTAAACGCGACAGCGTCAAAAAATGGATCAATAGCCACGCATCTATGAAGTGTACAGTTTTCTATCTGGATAGTTGAACCGAATCCCCCTTTGAGGGTTGGCATGAAAGATCTCAAGGACAAGTATGCAGTTGAATCAGTGGTTCTAATGTACAAAAATGGTCTCTTATAACGACAATCTCAAAGTTGCTCAGTGCTCAACAATGCTCTGGTTCAGCCTCTTGGCTTTTTCGTTTTCTCTGATCCACTTGTACTTGGGCTTCCTGGGCTTCAGGGCCTTCTCAATCAAACCATTAGTGTAAAGGGCAGAGACAATAGCCTTCTTGCGGCCGAGATCTTCGTCGTTGTCATGGCGAGTTCGACGGACATCGGAGATTTTGACATTGGGCAGTTCACTGACGCCCATCTTGTTCATCACCTCGCGGAGAATAACGGGGTTCGAGCGAGTGGTCTTCTTGACTAGGGTCTCGTGGGCGGACTTGACCGCTCCAACGGTGGTCTGGCTGATGATGGAGTCAGAAAGGCGCTGGGACATCAGCTTGGAGACACGGGCGAAGAACTAATAACCAAAGTTAGCGAAAACCAGAGATTAAATTTGGCGGAAATACGAACAGTGAACTTGGTCTTTCCTTCGGCGAGAGAGAGAGAATCGAGTGTGGTCTCTGCCTGGTTATCGGCACTTTGCTTGTACACCGCAGGGTGGCTATCACCGGCCTGTTCGACTGCCGTCAGGATCGACTTCAGGGAATCGGAGCCGACTTCAGCCCCTGATGCTTGACGCAGCAAAGTGGTCATGGCCTGTGCGCTTGGGAACCGAAGTCGCTCGCCCCATTGTGCGGCCTCGCCTTCAAACTTGCACTGGTGGAGAAGTTCACGAGGCAGGTCCAGGCTCTCTTCCGTTGCTGAGTACTCCTTGCCAACAATCTGGAACAAAGCAATCTCGACAGCGGCCTGGTGGACGGCCTGGGAGTGTGAAATCGGGTTCTTGTTGTGGTACCACCTGTTGAGAAACAAAGTCAGAATACCTGTCCAAGTAACATGGCTCGGAATTGGGGACCCAGCAGGAAACGTACGGTGTGACCTTATCGCCCTTGTTGGCACCCTTGATTCTCCATTCATCCTTGGGCAAGTAACCAATTTGGGGCAGCTCGTTCCAATCGAGCTCCTCGGCGCCTAGTTCCTCAGGCTGGGCCAGGTTGAAGTCCTCATCGGCTGGCTTGGACTCGCCCGAACTCGATTCAGCTTCTTGCATGATCTGACTTCCTGTGTATGGGTCTGCTTGACCGGGAGGCGAATCGGTGCCCCAGAGCTTGCGCCGAGTGCGCTCGAGGACGCCGGGGGAGTCGGAGGCATAGCGGCGGAATTGACCGAGGGGTGAGACGCGAGGGCCAGAAACAGGTCTGCAGTTAGAGCAGATGAACTTGGCCTCTCGCAGAGGAACGCGCATTGATGGCCGCATGTTGAGTGTCGCGAGTGTAAAGACGTCGGCGGACTTTTGCTACGGAGAAACATTTGAGATTGGCGGAGAGGTCACGTGCAGGCGATCTTAACGCCAAGCATTTTGCGCCTACCAGCGACTTCGCTCGCTGCGATACGTGGAAGGACATTCGAATTGGCAGTGTCGAGTGTTTCATGTCTTTTAAATTGTTCAGACAATGAGAGTCTCTAATATTCAAACACACAAGACAGCACCCCTCATGGCAGAATCCAACTTCCCACTAGCAATGCACAAGCTCACAGGCCGGAGAGAGCGCAAATCAATAAATCGAGTTGCAGAACGTCTCTTACTATTTCTTGTCTTCCAGCCATGCGTCCGACTAAATCCGAAGACTTTCGGTGTTACCGGCCATAGTCGCACTTAAAGATATAAAGTGTGGAGCGCAACTGCTTAGGTGCATGGTGACCTTGCTAGCTGGCAGCCCATCTAACGAGGGCACAATTAGTATATAAACAGCCCTTAAGACTTCAGAAACCGTACCTTTTTGGATTCCTACTAGGTACCCTGTACAACGACCCTGAACCATGTCACCTCCATACAACGCCACCACCACTGCGACCGAGCTGGTGACCGAGTATGCTAACCTCATCCAAGGCAAAGTCATCCTCACAACTGGTGTTTCACCAGGGTCACTAGGTGGCCACTTTGTTGAGGCAATCTCAAAAGCCAGCCCTAGCTGTTTGATTCTCGCTGGCCGCAGCGCTGCCAAGCTGGACCAATACTCCAAAGAGCTGGAGAAAGTCAACCCAAATCTCAGAATAATCACACTATTGGTTGACTTAGGCTGCTTGACCAGTGTGCGTAAGGCCGCGAGCTATATCAACAGCCACGAAAGAATCCCTGCTATTGATGTTCTGGTCAACAATGCCGGCATCATGGCTTCGGAATATTGTCTGTCAGAGGACGGAATCGAATCTCAGTTCGCGACAAATCATCTCGGGCCATTCCTGTTCACAAATTTGATCATGGATAAAATCCTCAAGTCGGAAAGCCCGAGGGTCGTGATTGTCAGTAGTGATGGGCATCGATTGAGTCCTATCCGTTTTGACGATCACAACTTCGACGTAAGTCTTCGGACATCAGACATGTTGCTCCAACAAGTGGTATGCTTTGAGACTGCGCCCGGCGCTGATGAATTCGACAGGGTGGCAAGACTTACAACAGATGGGTAGCATACGGCCAGGCGAAGACTGCTAACATGCTGATGGCGCTGTCACTTGCGTCCAAGCTTGCCCATCGTGGCCTTCAAGCCTTCAGTTTACATCCGGGTGTTATCTTCACCAATCTGGGGAGTCATCTCGACTGGAACACAGATGTTGGACTCCGTAGGTCTTCCTTCCAGCGTTGCTGTGGACCATCTAGCAGATTCAGATATGCTAACATTGACAAAAACTGGCAGAATCCATCGATAGGCAACTTGGAAACCGCGAGGGATGGCAAGGCTTCAATCTCAAATCCTTGGATTGCGGTGCTGCTACTCACGTCTATGCAGCATTTGACCCTGCTCTGAAAGGTAGTCCCATTCCAGTCTATGTTGTAGATACATTTGTGCCATGGCCTTGAATTGTACTGATCTTTGTACTCTAGACCATAGCGGAGCTTACCTTATTGACGCGCACATTGCCGATCCACTGGTGGATACGGTAAAGCCGTGGGCTACTAGCAGTTTCGAGGCCGAGAGATTATGGAAGATGAGTGAGAAATTGGTCGGCCAAGAGTTTGCCTACTAGCTTGTCTGCTGGGTTCCAAGGTCTTCAAAGTTCAAGGTTGCACTAGTCCACGACGGGACTTTTTATGATATATGTACAGGAATAGTTGAAAGAAGACAACCTCGGAATGATCATTGGTATGTAAGATGAATATAGACATGCGTCGCTGATATCATAAAATGAGTAAAAGAAACAAAAACCTTTTTTACAAACAGAGCACATCAAACTTTACTCCCGAACGAACATGCCAGCCATGCCCATACCGGTACCGATGCACATACTGATAACACCGACCTCCTGGCCACTGCGCTCCATCTCGGGAAGCAAAGTAGCCAGTTGGCGAGCACCAGTAGCACCAAGCGGGTGACCAATAGCAATAGCACCACCGTTGGGGTTAACCTTAGCCTGGTCAATGCCAAGCTTGCGAATACTGTACAGAGCCTGGGAAGCGAAAGCCTCGTTGATCTCCCAAACACCGACCTCGGGAACCTTGACATCAACAGCCTGCAGCAGCTTGGGGATGGCAACGGCAGGACCGACACCCATCTCATCGGGGGCGCAGCCTGCAACGGCAGATGCGACCCAGCGGGCCTTGATGGAGCCGGACAGACCGAGCTCCTCGGCAGTGGAACGGCGCATGAGCAGGGCAGCGGCAGCACCGTCACTGACCTGGGAGCTGTTACCGGCGGTGCTGGCACCGTCAGCGGAGAAAGCGGGCTTGAGAGCACCGACCTTCTCGATGGTGAGACCGTGGCGGATACCGTCGTCCTTGGAGACGGTCACGTCCTTGGCGGGGGCATCGGGGTTCTCAGGGTCGAGAGTCTTAGTGTTGACGGAGATGATCTCAGAGTCGAAGCGGCCGGCCTTCTGCGCAGCAGAGGCCTTGGCGTGGGACTCGACGGCGAAGGCGTCCTGGTCTGCGCGGGAGACACCGTAGCGAGAAGCCACATTCTCAGATGTGATACCCATGGGCATAATGCAATCACGAGCATCCTTAGAGTAAGACTCCTTCAGCTCGGGCCAGAGGACTGTGGGGATAGCGCGAGAGCCGTAGTTGCGGGTCATAGACTCCATACCACCACCGACACCGACGTTGATTGCGCCTGCGCGGATTCCGTTGGCGACGGTTGTGATAGCGGCCAGACCAGACGAGCATTGACGGTTGATGGTGTTGAAGGGGACGGAGTGAGGGAATCCGGCGTGGATCTGGCCCATGCGACCTGCTTTGGCACCACCGAGCTCTTGGAGGACGGAACCGATGAGGACATCGTCGATCTGGGCAGGGTCCAGGTTGGGGTTGGCCTTCAATGTGGCTTGGAGCACACTGGCGAGTAGCTCCTCTGGGTAGGCATCCTTGAAACCACCCTTCTTCGCGCGAGTCACTGGTGTGCGGAGAGAGGAGAGAATGACAATGTCATTTGGAGATTTTTGGAGAACTTGGCGGAGACCGCGAGGAATTGGAGAGGCCATTATGTGCGAGATGTGGTATGTGCAGACGGTGACTTCGACAGTCCAAGAAGCCTGGGGACAGAGAAATACTTATAATCAAATTGCCGGACCAAATTCCGGGGTCGGAAGTGGTCTGGTCAGTACCGTTGCCCGGCACTGCGCATCGGCTAAGCGGTCTTCCGGGTGTGGGGAAACTCACTTCACTTTGCCCTTTTCCCTGCGCACGTCGCGACTATGTATATACTAGTATGACCCTTCAGACTCGACGTTCCATCCATGAATCTTTCCCCAAACCCACCCGATCAGAGATCCAACATCTGGGGCTCTGCAGGTCCACCTGGGCAGTTGTCGCATCGGACCCTTATGTCAGCATCGGATCGGGACGCGAAAGTGAGCACTGCCGAAAATGGGTCCGTTGCTTTCGTGCAGATTGTTCAATGGAATTGATTGGAGAATGCGCAGACCGTCCCTTGTCCTCGGTTCAACACATTCGTGAAGTTGTCCGGAACATAGCCAGTTGCCGACGCGTGGATATATAGGAGCCAGAAACCTCGGGAGCGGTCACTCCGCCGTTGAGTATACCTCTCCCCGCATCCGCTTTTGTCAGTATACGCGGATCAAAGTCACCATGAGCAAAATGGGCCAATCCTTTCGTGAGCACTGAAACAAATGAGGCAAAGATCAGGGAATCCCAGCAGGGTCTATTCAAGCTATTATACAAAGTGTCCGCTTTGTCAGAGATGTTATCCAATGTACGACAACCCGGTCCGAAAATCGCCGAGCAATCATCCATAGATCTTGACTCTTTGTTGCATCGATACCAGACTGACCCAAAGCAACTGTGGCGCGGAAAACTTGCCTTGTATTGCGACTCAATAGCACATCTCCGCACGATACATGCTGCGCCTGCACAAATCATTAATTTCCTGTGTCAAATCGTTTGAACATTAGCCTGAGTTACCTGATCATCAGCCCCATCGAATAGAGCCCCGGAGGTCCTAGCTTTTTGCAGCGTCGACCATGGGCGGTCCGGCCGCAGTGCAATCTTCTGGCTCCGCGAGCGGTGGTAGCTTTTCAGCACTAGGCTTTCGTGGACGATGCGCCAAAGTCCAAACTGGCCGAGCCTGCGACACCGATTCCGCTGGAATTAGCTCCCGCGGTGGCTTGATCTTCCGCACTCCGAGTTCCTTCAGGCATGTCCCAACCATCGTCCGCGAAACATTGATACCCTCAGCTGATAGCTCCTCGGCGATTTGTGTCAATGTCTTCGCGCCGCCAGATTGATCTCCTTCGATTTTTGATATGATCAATTGCTTCAGTTCGTCGCTCTTTTTATTTGGCCGCCCAGAGCGAGGTGCATCCACTACCGTTTCATCGGCAATCGCAAAGGTTGGGGCCTTGGGATCAAAGCCTTTTGCCAGAACTCGGGCCCAAATTTCATTGATGGTACGCCCGGAGATACCAAGTTGATTCGATGAGTCAGAGGTGCTAACGCCTTGCCATTTAGCATAGACGATAACACCCCGCATTGCTGTAGGGTAGCCCATATTTCGGAGAAAATACGTGGAATCTGTGAGTTTGATAGGTGCTGGAAAGATTTTGACACAGTCTGAAGTGGGAATGATGGTTGAGCCCTACTTTGTACAAACGTGAAAGTGATAGATCGAAAATTCTTAGGTTTGTTCAGCTGCTAACGAAATTGAGTGGATTATAATTGCTTTTTCGAGCCCCTTGGGGACCGGGATCGCTCTCTACAGGTCATGATTGTCGTGATGGTGGTTAAATACAGCTATTATGGACTAGCCCGTTGGAAAGGCAGAAGAAGAGCATACGAGCACAGTGAAATACCAGGTATAGCGTCATCTAAGGAAAGAGTTGGCTAGGATGTGATTCATGAGCCTAGAATCTTAAGAACAAGACCCTGTTTTCTCAAAAAGACCATAAAGCCCATCAAAGAAACAGTGGCGACAAAGTGTTAAACGCCATTGCTTGCCATCAAAGACTTGGTCGTTTCAGTGATGCAGTCTTCAAGTGAGCGATACCCGACTCCCAGAACATCCCGAGACCGCGAATTGTCCAGCTCCATCGGGGGCTTGCTACTGTTTCCTGGTGCTGGAAGTCGACCTTCCAACTGTGGGAACTGGTCGCGCATAATCCCCACAACCTCATCCACAGTGTATAGCCCATTAACAAGGGCGAAACGATGGTCCTGGGCAGCTTTCTTTCTGATGGCCAACACATGAGCTGAAGATACCGCTTGAACGTCCACCCACATTGGAACCGGGGCCTCAGGGACCGCGTCTGCATGAAGACCTTGGACCAACTCATTGATGAATTGAATCGAGGTGTTGACCTTCTCGCCACTCTGCGATGGAAACATCGGCGGACCGAAAACAAGTCCCGGGCAGATAGTAGTGAGCGAGAAATGAATACCAGGGTACTGTGACATGAAATCCCATGCAGCCCTTTCAGCGAGAGCTTTACTGCCGATATAAGTGTTTTCCGGCTTCAGTGAGTCCTCAAATGTGATCGGATTCCAATGAGATTCGTTGATGGGCCCAGTTGCAGATGGATCTGCTACCATTGCGGCCAGCGATGAAGTGAGCACGACTTGCTTCACCGATGGAGCCCAGTTCAACACCGATCTCAATATCTGGAGACTGCCCTCGATTGATGGTTCCAGGACCTCTGTCTTGGCGTCTGAGTGTCCATATATGAATGGACTCGCGGCGTGAATGACATATTCGACTTGGCCAGCGGTCTGAAATACAGCATCGAAGGCACCGGGCTTTGTGATATCCTCAACCACGGCAAAGTCGACCTTTTCACCAAATTTGGAGCACAGATATCGACCTTTCTCTGCATCACGGACAATTGCCAGGACATCATAACTAGTAGAATTTTAGCATCAATGACTGGGTGTAGGGGAGCTTTTGAGTGATAAATACCCTTCCTGGAGCAATTGCTGTAGGATATAAAGTCCGATAAAACCAGTGCCGCCTAGGTCAAGGCAAATACCAGTCAGCGTCTGCGTTGACTCAGGACATAGCATCTTCCAGCAAAGGAACTGTACCTGTTAAGAGAACTTTGCTAGTCATATTGATTTATCTGGGAAGGATTGAGATCTGGTGAAATATTCGAGACTCTATCTGGCTCATCGTGCTTTTATACTTCCATGGTACAGGGGGTTGATGGACATTGTTGCTCATCATCGCGCTCATCCTCGATGATCTGAAAAGCCTAAAGTGATGTAATTTCAGGATCGATTAGCCTATGAGTAGAGGATGTGCGTCCAACCTTCGCTGAAGTTTGTTACAGAGAAGCAACAACGGGTGGTGATGTGGCACAAAATGCTTTTGGCATAAGCCATACCTAGATTGATCTGCACACCGTCCAACTCAGACTGTATATGGCGGGAGAAATCAGCCATACCGCCATTTCTTCGACCCGATTACGATATACTTGGAAGTATTTACTATATTTTCCGGTGGGATTACGTGTATCGTTACATGCTGAGCTCGGAGGTCCTGGTTGCGTCTCTTCCAAGGTTTCCTTCACGCGTGAGGCGCGGATCTACGCTCTGTGACGGAATAATTTCAAATCAAAGGCTTTCGCTCAAGTAAGGAACCTCAAAGCTTGAGTGGTGGCAGCTGATACCTAACAATGACGAACGAGCATTGGTTTGAGTTCAGCGTAGACTGTTTCTACTGACGTGGTTTGTCCATTTTCATCCTCGCAAATATGTAATGCCCAGGTGCAGTTTAGTGATTAGAAAGATGTTGCAGGGGGTCATTCTTCAATTGATGTTGTGCGAAGATGCTCCATCGAGGGAAATCACAATAAGACCTTAAGATAATTCATCAATTCGAAGAATTAAACAATATAGTACCAGCAATCACTCGACAAGGGCCTTTTCCGCGTCTGTCTCCATGGCTATCTCATCTAGCGTATGTAGAATGCTTTTCAAATCGCGAGAAGCGAGCCTCGGGTTGATGATACACAACCGTAGTGCCAGCCTTTCCTCAAATTCGATGGTTTGCACTGCTGCCACATTCCGTTCGAGAGCAACGTCCCCAATCCTCTTGTTTAGATCATTCAAATACTTCTCCGAACTGTCGGTAGGCTGATACCGAACCACAAGAATGGCCATTTGTGCCCCGGACAGTATTTTCCAATGACCCAGGGAACGGAAGACTGTCTCAGCTTCTTCTGCTAATTCCACACCGCGATCAATCATCTCTCCAATCCGGTCAGTCCCCAAAGCACGTAGGGTGAACCAAAGCCGCATCGCTCGAGCTGGTCGGGTAAGTTCCAAGCTCAAGTCCCAGAACTCGAAGTTTTCCTGACGGCCTCCGTTATCAAGGAAATCAGAATGAGCAGAGAACGAGCGTGCAAGACACTGTTTGTTTCTGACAAAAAGCATGCCGCAGCCATAGCTCGTGAAAAGCCATTTATGCGCGTCCCATGTCAGACTGTCGGCTCGCTCGACACCTTTTGCCAGGTGGGAGTATGAGGCCGATAGCAGAACCGAAGACCCATATGCACCATCGATATGCAGCCATATATCACTTTCCGAGGTAATTGATGCGATCTCAGGGATTGGATCAATGCTTCCCGTCGACGTGGATCCAAGGGTTGCGACCACCGCCATGGGAATACGATCAGCTGCTCTGTCCTCTAGGATCGAACTTGCCAGCTCTTGCGGCTTGAGTCCTGGGATTTGACGAACTTGATGTTGACCAAAGCCTAGAATACGTGCGGCCTTGGCAATCGAGAAGTGACTATGTTCAGAAACATAGATCACAGCACGATAGTGATCCTCCGTTTTTTGAATGAACTTGTCTCGTGCAGCAGTAAGCGCCATGAAGTTGGCCATCGAACCACCGGACACGGAAAGACCGGTAGCCTCATCGGGTGGAAATCCGACCTTCGAAGCAAGCCATTTCATAAGGGACTTCTCGATGATATCGCAACTTGATCCAGCAAAGCTTCCTCCAACGTGGGGGTTGAAAGCGTTGACGACGAGATCCGCAACCCAGGATATAGGAAGCATTGTTGAGGGAATGAAGCTGAAAAAATGGGGGTGCTGTGTTACGACCCGGGTGTCGAAGATCAATGAACATTCCTCCAGCACTCTAGAGATAGACTTCTCTTGCGCTGGGATAGCTAAGTGGTTGATGATATTTTTGTCGTTAAGGGTTGGCTGATTGGAAATAGTATCAGACGCTTCAGGGCAGGCAACGCGCAGAAGCCCTTTACTATCATCCAGTCCATGATCGATGAGCCGGGGAAGCAAAGTGTGAATCTCAGCCTTCATGGCCTCGATGTACTCCTCTGTTGTCTCAGGCGCTTCCTTCGTCATCCTTCTGAGTTGTTGAGTTGATAGAGATTTGAACCAAAAGCAAGATAGAGAGGTATGAGGCAGCTGGAATGGGAAAGTGCGAAGGTAAGAGAAACTTTAGAAACAGGACATCACGTTCTTTTGAAACTATCTGCGGTTCTGTTAGTCCAGAGGAGCCGTATACATGGCTTTCGTCGCACATCGGAAAAGATAGGCTCTCCAATCAACCTGGTTTCTTTTTTGGGAATATGTCATGAAGCCAACGGAAGACCCAGTAGCTTTTGCTGAAGGAAAGGACATACGAAGAGTATCTCTGTGATGATTTCACACATTGCGTAATTCCGGGTTTGCACCGGCCCACTGGCCAGCTACGGGATATGTATTTGACCAGATCGAGACTGATGATATCCACGATGTGACATTCTCAAACGAACATGGTAGATCGGCGCTAATGCACGAGAAATGAAATGAAAGAAGATTCAAAAGGAACATTGCTCATTTGTGGGATGAGGTCACTTTGCAGGTCATTGCAAAGTCAGTTGTCAACAGCAAGGAGTCGAAGACTTTTGTCTCTTTCAAGAAATGCATAGGGGGAAGAGCAGAACAAGCTTGCTTCTCGGAGTTGATTCAAGGTTTGTGACTCCTTACTACCTTGAAAGTTCGTGAGACCGCCGATTACCTTCTATTCTGGCACGTAGAATCACATCTCAGAGCACCAGTTGTACGTTCTCTCACCGCTGCACTACTTGCAAGGTGTCAAGGTTCTCAGAACGTTGGATCTGATGAAAACCGGTTATTTCTTGATCTCACGATACGAAATATAAATTATGATCGCACGCATATCAAAGGAGACCAATTCGGCCAAACACAAGGCTCGAGTGCGATTCAAACCCGCAGACCCAATGCCGTTACTTTCAGTGGCTGCTGAGTATATTGAAACTGGCCCCAGAATGCAAGCCCGAGCACAGACACCGATGAGATTGCAACGGGATGATGTTCTTCGACATGTGATATTTGCCAATCTATGGCTTGGAAGTTTCCTCGCCGCTGCCGGTACGCAAAATTCAAAATTTACCCCCAGACAGATGGGCTAACAACAAAATCCAGATAGCACAGTCATTACGACGATAACAACAAAACTCATGTCCGATTTCGAGGATGGTAGCTTGTTGTCTTGGCTCGGCGCTTCGTATTTTATAGCAAACGCATGGGCTCAGCCTCTGTGCGGACAATTGACGGACATCTATTCACGTCGTACTGGTCTACTCTGGAGTGTTGTGATATTCACACTTGGTAATATCCTTTCAGCTACTTCGGTCACCTCTGCCATGCTTGTTGGAAGCCGCTTTGTCGCGGGAATCGGCGGTGGAGCGTTCATCGTTATCACTACAATGGTGGCCAACGATCTTGTTCAATCGCGGGCTCGGGGCTTGTATCAGGGCTGTACAAATCTTATTTATGCCATAGGACATTCTTCCGGGGGTATATTCTCTGCTTTCATTACGGAGAAGATCTCGTGGCGCTGGCCATTCTTCACTCTTGGGTGTCTGTCTGTACTTACTGGAGTGCTGCTCACCATGGTCATGCCGGCTGATGTGACTGGAACAGCACCGCAAAGGGCCGATCATGAAAAGAGTGTCGATTTCAAAGGAGCATTATACTTTTCCGTGGGAACGTTCCTCTTACTCTTTGGTCTGAATGATGTTGCATTCAACATTCCTCTGCCATGAGCACGCTCCGTCATAGTCCTTGCAGGAGCTGGTGCAGGTGGATTTCTCTTCATCCGCCATTCGCTGAGGATATCTCATCCTGTGCTTCCAATTCGACTTTTGGGCACGAGGTCGGTACTTGCAGGGTGTCTCATAAACTTTTGCGCATGCTGTTGCTTCACCATCGCAGAGTTCTTTCTCCCGGTGATCGGCCAGCTGGTCTCCACCCGAACAGATGAGATCTTGCAAGCCAGTCTAATCCTGCTGCCTTTGAGTTCAGGGGCTGCAGCTGGCTCGATGGGTGCGGGTCTGATCCTCCTTTACTACAACTACCCTCGAGCTCTCAGTATTGGCGGATCTGTCCTGGTTTCTGTATCCAGCATCACCCAGGCCACGACCATCTACCCCGATGTGGTTACCAATACAACCCTGGGCAAGACACTTATGGTGATCAGTACATTCAGCTGTGGAGTTGGATTCGGGGTCCTCATGACAAGCTCGCTTGTCGCTGTTCTGTTATTCCTGGCAGATCAGCGCGATTCAGCTAGGGTTACCTCACTGCTTTTCACCTTTCGCTCTTTTGGCTCCGCTCTTGGGCTGACTCTTGGATCGCTCGCTTGCCAAGGAGTCTTGCGTTGGACTCTTCAGGCTTCATCTATGATCGACGAAGAAACCCTCCGTCGAGTCTTGCAAAGTCCCTTGGCAATTTTTCATCTGCATGCCTCTATCAAAGAGATTGTGTTGTCTGCATATCTTACATCAATATCGATAGTTTTCTTTACTTGCGCCGGTCTAGCGCTGATGGGCTCGATCATCGCGTTCTTCCTTCTACCGCAATGACCCCAACTGTCAAGATACCAACTAGATAGTCCGCGTTCCACCCCTTTCAGGACTTTCTGGTGTCTTTAAAAAATACAAAAAAAACAAGATATTTCCTTTCCTGCCCGAGTGAGGACCATGCCTAGTTCCAAGTTCCAAGGTTGGAGGATATCAATATCTTTCGAGAATATTCGTAAAAACTGCCTCCCATCATGTGAAACATTCCAAGCTGGATTCTTCCAAGGTTGGGATCTACCAGCCCCCCGGGGCCTGTCATGGCGCACTTATCCCGAGGTCCCATAGCTACCTGGGTAGTCTCACCATATAAGGTAAAACTTGAACATCTCATTCTTGTACGACTGGTCGACGTAAAAACTCAACCCCGAGGTCCGGTCCATCTTAAGCAGCTAGAATCTCAGAGGCAATCTTCTCAGCAAGCATGTCTGTAATAGTCAGTATAAACATCAGCTCATTACGAGAACCTCAAAGCACAAAACTTACAAACAGTACTCTGCGGATGCCCCGGAGGGAGCAGGGGAAATGCGCTCGCGTCAACTACCCTGAGTCGATGCACACCACGAACCCGACTCTTGCTATCAAGAACGGCAAGAGTATCATTATCCAAGCCCATCTTGCAAGTTCCGGAGGCATGCCAGACTGGTGAAATTGAATCACGAATCGCGTCAAGTATCTGCTCATCGGACTTCACCTCTTCTCCGGGACAAGCCTCAGGCCCAGCTACAACATCTTGAAGGGGGCCTTTATTCCAGATACTCCGGATCTGTTTGAAGGCTGCTAAAGCCACTTGCTGATCGGTCTCGGTGGTGAGCCAGTTGGGGTTGATGAGAGGGTTTTCTTTAGCAGAGGACGAGGAGATGGTGACATTCCCGCGTGATGTTGGAGCAACGATGGCAGCGAGAATGGATGCGTACTGGCGACCGTCTTTCGGCTGCTGTAAGGCGACGTTGCTGTAATTTTTGTTGAAGAAGTTGCCCGAGATCAGCTGTGATGGTTGTTAGAGTTGATCTGAGTCCTCATCCCAGTATAATTCATGGCAGCCAGTCAGGGGTCAACTTACCTCGATCTCGGGCCAGTCGGCTGGGAATTGCGACAGATCGTGTAGAGTAGACGGGGACATCTCCGATCGGTATTCCTTTGGAAGCTTCTCCCACCCAATAAAATCTAGCCCACCGGCCAGAGCTCCAGACTTAGTAGCTAGGTACTGCAGGACCTGCTTTGTCTGGTATTCAGGGTCATTGAAGTAACGTGTCAATGTATCGAGAGTGACCGGGAAGGTCACCCCGAAGAAGATATGATCCCACATATTCTGACCAACGCCTGGAGATTCTGCGACAATTGGGATATGCAAAGAGCTCAGTGTGTCTGTAGGCCCAATACCAGACAGCATCAAAATTTGAGGCGACTGGAAAGCCCCAGCAGATAGAATCACCTCTTTTCTCGCCGTTATGGTGACAGAGGCATTTTTGTACGCTGCTTGAACGCCAAGTGCGTGCTTGTCATCGTCGAAAAGGACTTTCTCCACAAGCGTATGAGCACAGACTTGAAGGGTTGCGCTGCGCGATCCAGCTATAATGTAATCCGCACTACTCCGCTGTTCAGAGCTGGGAGATACGGTGGAGCTGGAATATTGAGCGCCGAGCAGCTCTCCACTGTTGAAGTCATCCACTTTGGCAATCCCGACAGCTTCCAGGGCTTTGAACAGCCAGGTCGAAAATGGAGCAACGGCATTCAAGTATGAGACATCAATAGAAGATCCATTGGAGTTTTGCGAGAAGACCTTCGCGTTGTAAGATGTTGTCGCGTTTGGCAGTCGCTTCGAAGTATCCGGGGGAGAGAACCGCACGCTGCGCTCAAAGTATTGAAGTATGTTATCCCACTCAAACGTGGGATCGTTGACCATATCGGCCCATGCTTTGTATGATCCCTTGGTACCCCTGTCTTGTCAGTTTCCTTCGCGCATAGGTAAGAAAATTCAACCGTGGATGCAGGCTTACCTTTGGTAGATCAGACCATTCGATGCCGTCCTGTAAAAGTGTCGTGGTGAGATATAATCCCAGAAAGGATAGACATGAGGCACTTACGATCCTCCCAAGCATTTTCCACGGGCATAGTGAATCTCCCGATTATTTGCCCCAGGTTGTGGCTGAGTTTTGAACCCCCAGTCAACGTCCTTGTTGATCCCCTCTAGAGCCGTTCCACCCGTGAGGCCTTGGTTGATGGGAACTTGCAAGTCAGGCAGATCGACCTGGTAGTTTCCACCAGCTTCGAGAATGGCTACGCTGTAGCCGGCCTCCGCGAGGCGAGTTCCGATAACACTGCCGGCGTTACCTCCTCCAACGACGACGTAGTCATAGGTAGAGTTAGTGCCACATATGCTCTGTTGAGCTGACACCAGTGCAATGAGGGAAAGACCCAAAAAGGCACGTATTCCAGACATTTTCGAAATTTCCAACTTGAAAAGCTGTACGCGACCTTGACTGGTCAAGTACTACGACATGGACGGTCAAGGTGCATTGGCAACTTGGCATGCAGCATACCAAAACCTTATTCTTCGATCAGAACATGCGGTTTTCCCTGTTTTTTGTGAGGCATCGGATCTTCATTCAATGAAGCGGTGAGGGGAAGAAACAATACTGATGTTGATGCACGTCGCAAAATGTACTGAAGTAAGATGGGAGATGGATTCTGTACACGTCAACAGAGTCACTGCCGATGGCTTGGTCGGCCCGCTTTTAACCTAAATTCCTCATCTGCCGTTAGGGGTTTCTTCATCTGGTTGCAAGCACAAGGGAGATAGAAAAGCGAACTCTCATGCCCGCAAGGGGGATGCTCAGAGACGAGTGATCGACAGTGGTACTGCATTGACAAGGGTCAACAGATCGGCAGACCCAGCAACTCTAAATCCTGCAGGAAACCCCATGTTTGGGGTGGGACGACATAAAACTTAGAACTGTGTCAAAGGGCATCGGTATGGTTTTCACGGTGGCTCAGTTGTCGGTGAGATTCTTTTTCACGAAGAGCTGATGTAGACGAGTTATGATCAGCCCGAACAATGACATTCTCGCCGTTTCTAGAGTCAGTGGCTCTTAAAATACAGATTCAAAGTGTTCTGGGTGAAATTCCAAGTTCTCGAAACATGCAATGCTCCTGTAAATGCTAAACACACATGCTGTTAAGTCGCATGATCACCTTTTTCCCATTGTGCGTTAGTGACATTCAATCTGTATCCTTCCAATGTTGTTAAACTTGGGAAACATACCTTCTCAATATATCGAACACCCACTTCAATACCATCCTCATCTTCGAAGTCCGCCTCCTCGCCAAAGTCGACATTTCCAGCATCCAAACAAGTCAAGCAGGTAACAACAACATCCGAATACCTGGTCCCCATCCTACGCCGGAGCTCACCTCGCGCCAACTGCAACAACCGCTCTTGGAAAAGCAAGCCTTGACTAGACCCAAACACATGCTCGCTCGATGACTCCTGGTTACCGGAAATCCACTGATCATCTGGGTATGACACGAATGATTCCCACAGTCCCAACTCCAGCAGGCAAACGCCAAGGCTGTAAATATCGTGCTGCATGATATAATCTTCAGAGGATACAGTTCCGATGCGATCAGGGTGCTGGTATAAACAGCGTTCCCAAGAGGCTTCGCCCCTGCGCAATGTTTTGCCAGACGCCATTCGGAAGCTATCAAATCCAATCAGGAATGCGGAGCCGATTGACGACTCATCGTTTCCTAGCAGTAGGATGCTTTCAGGTCGGATGTTCTTGTGCACGAAGCCAAATAGATGGACGGAGTGAATGGCTCGAGCAAGCTCGCTGGCGAGATTGAATCTGTCGGATAGGGATTCCGTAGAACTCATATTCACCAGGCAGTTGCGAAGTGTCCGGGGTTCGGATTCCGTCATTGGTACTCGGAATATGATTGACAATTCATATGGAGTGGTCCGTGGGAATTCTGATTTGTGAGGTGAGACATATCCTTTGCAGTTGAAGAGGCCGAATTCCACAGCATTTGAGGTGGAAAGCCTTCTGGCAAGATCCCGTACATCTCTTTTCAGACCGTTGATATTTGCACCGTGTATTGGCTCAATCGATTCCACAATCAGTGATTGATGGTGGCCGGGTCTTCGACCTACTTTTGCTGAGCAGTAAGGAATTTTCTGGAGGTTGATGGAGTCGAGAAACTCCGTGGGGAATCGAAGTGGGTGGCCTCCCTCTGTCTTCAACGCAGTTCTGATAGACTGAGCAGGAGAGATTGGATCTTTGTATTCCATGTCAGAGCTCTTGCTGTGAGCCTTCAGTTCGGAGTCAACGTGCGGGCGTGCAATTTTCATAATCAAGTACCACGAGGGATCAAATAGTGCCTGCCATTCTTTCAAATCTTCAACTGCCTTGTCGATCTTTTCTTTGGTGAAGGCATACTTCAGTCGGTGCACTTTGGCTTCCTCTCCGGATCCAGAGTTCTTGATGATGGACTCGACATTTTGGACCGAAACCTCGAGCTTGGTCGCGAGCATTGCAATGGTCTCATGTACCAGGATGCGATGTTTTTCACTGAGCTCGTCGGCCACCTCTCGCACCACGCCTAATTGGACTTCTGCTCTCATCCAGTAGTTCTTCACACGCAGAAGTTTTTCGACTATTTCACCCTTGGCATTCCTGAAGGAAGCGCACAGATGGTACAGTTTCGTGCCATATCTGCACAACGATCAGTCGATGGTCCAAGTTGGAATGAGGTACTCACTTGATACACAGATCAACCGCTGAAAGAATTGATATAGGATCGGCCATTCTGTCTAGTAGAGACCAAAGATGGAGGTAGTTGCCGACTTTTGTCAAATGTGCCAAGGTGATTTGCTAGGCTGACAGGGCGGGGTTATGAGGCTGAGCTAGCAGCCCTGCTCGTAGATAGTCTGAGACGTTCATATTCATATTTACATGTCTTTTTAAGCTGTTTAGTGTAACTTTTCACCTTTCCCTCAAGCTTTCGGGGGGTTCACGTCGTACTCTACGTCTGTTCTAATGATATACTTAGCACCCTTCGTGACTCCAGTGCCTTCATGCAATAAAGCCCCATTGGACTCCCCGTGCGGGAAGATCGCAACAGACCCCATCACCGGGCGCACGGGATAGCCGTTGAGAGTTCCCTCGCGAGCAGCCGGCATGAAGAAGGTGGTTTCGCCACCTTCGAACTCATCGTTGAGGTAGAGCAGGAACGTGTACATGGAGCTCTGCTTGTTGTCCTCGGGCGAAGAGTCATACACGTACGTGTCATCTGGCAAAATGCCAGATGGTGGCCACGCCCCGTCGATGTGGCATCGATACTCGGCTCCCGGGACATACCGGTAAACCCGGAAGCGCCGGTTGATGCCTCGCACGGGGCGACCCTCGATTGACTGCGGCACGAATGGTGAAATTCGGTCCCACAGCAAATCGTGGAACGTGGTATCGATGACCCAGTAGAAGTTGTGAGCGAGAATGCTCACGTCTCCATCCTCGCGGAGAGGCGCGTCGGGCAGGAACTCCACTGATTCACCGGCGGCGATGATGGATCTACATTCATCGGGGGAGAGGACGTTCATGGCGAGGCCCAGGCCCGGTACGGCGGGATGGGGATGGTATGTGATTTCGGGTTTTGTGGGGGTGAGGGGGACCGCATTCGAGGCTGTAGTGTAGAGGATGGCGTCGTGGTGGTTTGGGGGCTTGCGCAACGGACCAGGTGTACGCTCGATCACGCGCACGTCGGAGGGCGATTTCGGTGCATATTCCAAAATTGATTTATCCAAGACTGATTGGTAGATCGGCAGAGAGGTGGTCGAAGGGCGCAGGTCCCAGATGGGCTGGAAGGCAATGGGGGCTGTCGACAAGACGGCATTCGGACTGGTATCAATTGAAGTGCTCACACGGAGGATGGCGTCCAAAACGCCCAAAATTTCCAACTCCCTGGGAGTCCGTTGAACGAGGGCATTCTCGTTGTCCTTGGGCTTCGTAGACAGCCCACTCACGACATCAAGATCCCGCACCCAGCGACACAAGGCTCCAATTTTCGGCTGCTCGCGCCGGATTCGCATTTCCGCCAAAAGAATCCGAGCGTCGACATATTTTTCGTCCACGAGCGCTCCGGTAATACGTGCGGTCAAGTTTGCGCCATCTAAGAAGAAAATCGAGATTAGCGGTGGTCATAGTTGGGACGCAACAGTTGCGTACCAGCTGTGTTCACCCCGGTGGTGCAGGCCTGACGGAACTCGTACACTGCCACTCGAATATCCTTGCATGCCTTCGACTTGGTCAGGTTAGGATATTGCGACAAAGCCGTGAGGGCTTCGATGGTTGTGTTGAGTTCTTCGTCTGATATGATTTCGTTCAAATGTGTGGGCTCCGCGCTATCGGGGGGTGGTGTGGGAATGGAAGCCTTGGGGGCTTTCTGCGGGACGTCAATTTGCGCATTGCGCTTGCGCTTGGCAGCTTTGGACTTGGCCATCGTGTGGGAAGTTGATCAGATCAAATTGCAACTGCCTCCGTCTGAAGTGGGCGGAATTTCCTTATGTAACCCGCCATTTGCCACCGTTGACCAGTTGGCCGCCAAATGCACAGAACAAGATAGATTTGACGATTCGATATTCTACAGACTTACCTTCCAAGGTTTGCCATGCATATCATCAATGGGAAATAAGACATCTTGTCCAGAGCTGGGAAACGAGACAACAACCTTGGAAGGATATTGAGCCGTCTTACTAGGTACTGGCTACTCCCGAGATCGCATCTTGGAAGCGAATATATATCACGCAACGGTAAAATGAACAGAGGTCCACTACATTATCCGGGTGTTCTAGATTTCTCTCTAGAAACCGACTCGGGACCTCGGAAGACGTCTGAAGGCTTTACTAATATCAAACATTGAAACCTACCTAGGTAGACCTCGGAATACCACATCGGCAATGAGAAATTCCAAGGCTCTGCATACCATCCATGGATTTGGGCAGCGTGAATGATTCATCGCATTATTGTATCTCTAGCGCAACCAAGAAACTTGGAATATCTATCGCGACAGCGAGGTTTCCGACGTGTTCTCCCATCGCTGGTCCAACGAGACCATTTGGATGATACCACTGGGTTCACTAACTGATAGACCACGATCCTCGTGACTGGCCACCAAATGGGCCGAGTCGGTAGATCCCCGGCGAACAGATGTACTCAATTGACTGCGCGGGTAGTGGCGTTGATGGTCATTTTGCGATCCATCAAATATCGAATCAGACGGCTGCACGGTCTTTTCACGTCGGATGGCCCAATGTGGAAGAAGAGACCTGTGCTGCTGGGCGTAGGTGCTCAAAGTGCTGAGCGCCGGTAGACAGGCGCATATCAAGCCCAACCCTAGCTCCGCGTTGCTTTCAGTCCAAATGTTAGCGTCGGCTTGATGACAGCCAAATGAGAAAAAACACTTACCCGGTCAAGATTGATTTCATGAACATGATGGTGTCTTTGGGATCCCTGCTCTCATACACACCAATCACGAGCCTGTAGAGACTGAACGCAACAGCCACACCTCCAAGTCCGAGGAGGATAACGATTTTGATCTTTCTCCACAACGCCATCTGCAAATTCCAGGCGAAGATCACCGGGAAAGCGAATATCGCAATATCAGTCACAAAACTAATGACAGAGTCTGCGATGATCACTCCCGCTTGGCTGAAACAATGACCTTTCTGCAGTGAATCGTCGCTCCAGTATGCGTTGACTGGATTGCACATGAAGATCTTGATAAATGAGATGATGATGTAGTAGCATGCCACCACCGCGATCAAGCAATAGATTCCTATCATTGCCTTGGATAAGGGTTGGAAGATCCGAATCATGATATACAGGAGACTGGTCTTCACAAAAAGCGCGGTAGGCGAGTAGAGTATTGTCGCAACATAGGATACCTAGAATTAGTTGGCGAATGTCGTGATATTTCGAGATAGGTCAATCCCGAGGTCGCTGGCGTTCATACCTTCACGCACGTTTGAAATTGGGCTTCATCGAGCTGTGCTGGCGGTATTGACCCGCCTGAAAACCCATCTTCAAGTTAATCAGCACCTGAATTGATCATATGAGGGACCCTGGATAGAGGGGAGATATACATATCATCGCGCTTGAGCAATACCCCATGAAGAACATCTGGGAAATGAGTTGATTAGTGACAGTACCGAAGGAAAATACATAATGTCGTCAAGGCTCTTACCCATCCTACCACGCAACAGGCTGTATCATTAGCGCAAAAGTCCGTCGAATTGGAAGCGACTAAGACATACCATCGTCTATACCCAGCGCATCATTCAATCGCCATCGGACGAAGGTTCGAAGCCATACAATAGGCGTCACCGCGACAAAGCTGATAATTTGGGTGGCATAATTGATCAAGAAAAGCGAATTGCCATTATGAATGTTCACTGACATGGAGGCTCAAAGGTATCCAAGTGAGTGTTTCGAACGAAATCCCTTTATAAGCGAAATGCAACCGAAGGTCATCAGAGTGGATTGGGTTGCCACCCGTGACGTTGTGAACGATTTCTCCCCGGGGCCAACTTTGACATCTGGGGGATTCTGACATCTGAGGGAGCCTCGAAGATCGTAATTTCGAAAGCAGTAGATTCGCAAAGATATCTATTCATTTTCATGATACACAGAAACTGATTGTGCCATCAAAGACCTCATACAATACTGGCAATGCCATCGCGAGTGCGGAGTATTGGGAGCCGCATCCCCACACTCGGCTAGGAGCCTCAACCAATCGTGCGCCAAGAATATTACCCGGGGTAAACGGTCCTTGGGATCGTAAAGCAGGTTTGTAGCGACCTGATTCCAATGTTTGGTGCTGCGGGTTCATTTGAGGTAAGCGAGTGGTCGTAACGAGGGATATTTAGCCCTGGAGTGTCATGTCTGTTTGGTAACTAGGTAACCATCTCCGTCTCCCGAGGTCTCAGATTTAGTTAGAGGGATGGTGAGTGATAGAAAAAGAAACCCCACTGGACCATCCACGTCGTCATAAGATCAGCATCGACTGCTTCGAGCTGTCGAAGGGTCTTGCTGGCTTCTTGTGCTTTGGTGGTCTCAGTCCATGGACGGTGTTCATCGCCCTTTGCGATAGTTCTGTAGAAGTCAAGAATCTTGAGAGCGGGCTTGTCTTGAAGATCCGTTTCGGTAGGGCTGGCGAAAGACTCTAGGGTCTGAATCCACTGCTGGAAAGGAACTGGCTCGGCGTCAAAGTATTGGGTCACAGATGGAATAAGAGACTCCCAATTTGTGGCGTTCGGGTTGACAATATGGAATGCTGCACAACGTTCATCCTCCTGGGTGGCACGACGTGAGCGAACAATTTCAGTAATGACCTTTGCAGTGATATCCTGGTAGAAGAAGTCATTCAGAATAGCCACAACAATAATTGGGGGTCACTTACCAGCGGGACCCATTGGACTGTCGCAGATCCTAGCGATGATGGGATTTGTTTGATAGTCTTTGATGTCACGATCAAGGATGGCAACCATTCCTTCTTATTCCACATTCCATTCATGGTGGTCGGTCCACCAATTTGACCCACGCGGTGGATGCTCGTGGGAACGCCGGCTTTGATCGACGCACCGGCACAAATCCTCTCGGACACATGCTTTGATTCTGCATATCCTTGACGAAGGGCTACAGTCGGGTCAGTGAAAATGATTTCGGGAATAGAAGGTCCCTTGTCGAAACCGTATCCTTCAATAGTTGCAATGGACGAGACGAAGTGGACATGGGCCGTTTTTTCGCTGGCGATACTGAAGTCAATCAGTTCGCGGACCCCTAGAATATGAGGATTCTCGAAACTCTCGACTTGGTGGTTGAAGTTCACCTCCCAGGCATTATGGATGATGGTGTCAACCTCCAGCAGTAGAGCCTCATATTTTTCATCCTCGAGCCCAAGCCTCTCCAAGCCGAAGTTTGCCTCGAGGAACTCCACGCGACGTATGAATTGGCTGAATGTTACAAGACCTTTTGGGTACATACTTTCCCACTGCGTGGAGGCAGCATCTGGGTCTCGGTTCAGGCAGTAAACTTTAGAAACACCACGATCGCGCAGAAGCTCATGTAGCAAATATTCACCAAGATTTCCTGTCGAGCCAGTCAGAATGACTACGTGACTCTCTCCCAGGCCATCTGAATATCTGGAAACCAGGTCGGCCAAACGTGTCTTTCTTTCACTGTTCGTTTCAGTCATCGAGGTTGCCAGGACTGGAGTCCCGCCATGAATAAGACTCCAGATGTACTTTGCCAGAGAGCGAATTGTTGGATGAGAGTATAACTGCTGGTTGCTAAATGCCGTTTCGAGTATTGTTGAGCATGTCAATCTCAGGCAATCTCGCAACATCTGACCAAAACGTAAGGTCTGAAGCGAATCAACCCCCGATGCAAAGATGTCGTCATCTTCGTTCAAAATCATGGACGACGCTGCACACAAGGCAGCGGTGACATGAGCTATGATTCCAGCAATCGGGAGATCTGCTTCGATCTGCTGGCAATCGTAGTTGTCCTGTATTGTATAGAGTGCTTCAATCTCGTCGGCATAGTCTTGTAGCACTAAACGTCGCTGAATTGTGCCCTTTGGAGTAAGCTTGAAAGGTTTTGCTTTCGATGAGACTCCAATCTTGTCTTTCATGAGTTGAGCATGCCCAGGCGCCGTCTCATTCGCTCTCTGAATGACTGGCCAAATCTCGTCAATCAGAGATTCCTGCTGATCTTCCCACTCAGCGGAGTTCGGCTCAACCAGGACGCCAGGCTGGAATCGACCCTGCCCGAATATAACGGTGCGTGTTATGAGCGGATGCGAAGAAATCATCGTTTCCATTGAGGTTGGATTGAACTTTTCGCCATTGCTCAAGACAATCACGTCGTCGACCCGGCCAGTGTACTGCCATAAACCAATTTTGCTGGGATGTTTCGTGTAGAGATCCCCGGTGCAATACTCTTGGAGATCAGGGAAGCTGTGGTAGACGCAATGTGCTGCTCTGGAATCACCACGGGGAAGGACAAGCTCATGAAGATTGTTGCCGATGTCGCGCATTTCAATGCCATGATTAGGGTTCCATTCGAAGTAGCTCCAATCGGCTTTGTCCCTGTGTTTCAGTGTGCCGAAAACGCCGTTTTCACTTGATCCTATGAGCCCTTGAAGATGTACGGAGCCTGAGATACGATCCCCGGCTGCGGGGGATAAAGGTGCACCCCCGAAGACAATTGTGCTGAATTTGCTCAAGACTTCCATGCCGGAATCCGTAGAGCTCAATTCTTCCAGGATGGATGGTGGAAGGAGAGAGGTCTCTGGCATTTTCTCGTCGATGATTCGCGATACCAAGTCAATTGTGAGGGGCTTGTCCGGACTGAGAAGAATTGGAGTTCCGAACCACAACGGCGCAACTATGTTGAAGAGACCCATTATGTGAAAGAATGGACTCATTGAGAAGAACGGTTTGCCCGGCTCTGCGACCACGACAAGGCTGTTGGCCCTGCCTTCTGGCAGACTTAGTTTAAGAGTCTAATCGCGTCGAATGACAATGGTCAGTTCTTTCTCATGCAGGAATACGGAGTAGACCACTCACATTTTCCAAAGCCTGAAAGTAGCCATTTGTTAACGGAACCGGCTTGGGTAACCCTAATGAAGACATTGTTAACCTTGTCAAACCCTCTATCGTAAGCTAAGTTGAAAGACTTGCCAGTTGTCCCAGAGCTGTGGATATAGACTGCCACCCTATCTTCAAAGTCACTGCCCGGCGCAGGAATATCAAGGCATCGATCGGTCACAATTGGTTCTCCACCAAAGACGTCCCAGAGGTCAGGAATCTGCCATGTCTGGATGGAGGTATTGGCAGCTTGTAGTGCATCTACCTGGCGAGCGCGCTCGGGTGTGTAAATAATCCTAGAACAGCCCGTAGCACCCAGGATATGTGAAGAGGCGTGCTCTGAGTTTCGGCTCGACAGTAGAACCGCCTGTTACAATGTCAGGTAATGTTATTCAAGTACAACCAAAGGCTCAATGCCCTACCGTGTGTTGATGCCTCATACATGCATAGACGAATGCAGAATATCGAACATCATTGCGCCCAAGATAAGCCAAGGTCGATGGGCCATCTGTGGATGGAACTTCGTTATGGATCCAGATAGCCATATATTCAATCGCGTCGGTTAAATCCTTGAAAGACACATCTTTCCATCCATCGGCGATGTCGGTGGAAACAGGTTGGATGAAGTATAGCGCATCAGGCTGCTCTGCGACAAGCTTGTCCAGCTTCTGCAAAACGGTGAGCTCAAAAGGCTGAGCTGATTCCATCTTGATCGATTTCAACGATGTTCAAGTGGAGGAAAGATCAGACGCCGCGTACGAAACAAGCGAGCACATCCACCTTTTGTGAGCTCGGGGCGCTAGACATCTTTACCCCTCGATCTCTTTCTTTATGTGGGGTGTGCGATGTGATTGTGGATGTGCGTCCCGAAGCACACGTTGAGTGGCTTGGCCCCCGGTGGAGGTACAAGATCCGACGAGCGTTCCGTCCACCATGCATGCTTACATGCAGGAATCGACTGCCACGTATTCACGCTCATTCATGGATGTTGCAACTGTCTATTTGGTACCCGACTCTCGGGGCCCAGTCAAAACGTGAGTCTATTGCTACCCAGGTGCTCCGGGGTCTGGGGCCGTTGTACCGGCTTCTTGTGGAGGACCAAGCTCAGGGGGCACCTGGGCATCTGGGTAGTCAACGAGACTTACGGCAGCTTGGCATGGTGATCAGCGGGGTACGCCACGGAAGCGTTCTCGCAGAACTCTGTTATCTCCCAATAATTTGAGTTGCTTCTTTCTGTGGCCAAGGTGATGGAGATTGCTGGATGTTCCAGGGTCTATTCAACGGCCTCGCGCTATTGCGCCGAAATGCAGACTAATTGGAAAAAAGCAAATAATGGGAGATACGTCAAATTTCCGCCATAGTGTCGAAAGTACGGAGTAGTCCGCAAGGAGTAGGAGCCGTACGCTTCAGCCGCATATCGGGCCTAAAGCACAAGAACCGGCTCATTGGGGAGCTCGCTGCAGCACACGCAAACCAGGAATATGTTCTAGCTACCCATGGACCTCGCGTGGAGCCGCACAACCTCTGGAATTTGGAAGGCGGAGTCCTTACAGGGGTACTCTAGGGTGGACATGGGCACCCCTGCTGGGCGGCTAACTCCCACGGTCCCATCATGGATTTTGGAGCCTGGGTTTTCTAAGCTGCAACAAGCCTAGCCTTGGATACCCCTTTGGCTTGTGTTGGTTCCGCGTGTCTTTGAACTTTGCCCCGGGGCCATGCATGTGATTTGAAGGCCGTGTGTGCTTTTTATTGGGCCAGCGGCATGACAAATTAAACTTGATACCATAGGGTACGAAGTATTTGGGCGCTCATTCTGGGGCTTTTTGGAGCTTGTGCTTTGTGTCGTCCACCTTTTCGTGCGCAGCACGTACTTTCCTTTTTGTTTTGGTGTAGCCTTGGATTCCAGCTAGCATGACATATGATTTGCTCATCGATACATGAGACATGTCGACGCCCTGCTGCTGTAGGGCATGGTGGAAAGCTCGGAAGTTAGCCGCTGGAGGACGATAATGACCGCTAGGTGGTGTCAGTCTATTGCAATTGCCTTGATTGAACGGAAGACCGCAAATTTCGATTGGAAGAGATGATCGCATACCTCATTGGCGCCAGACTTCGTAATTGACCATGTTTGATCTTGATCATTCCCGCGGCTGCGATGCGTGCGCCGCGCAGAAATGATGAGTGCTGGAAAGCCCCTGATTTCTTGATGCCGATAAAGAGACGGAAAGAAGTATCCGCCACCTGAGACTGTTCAAACGATATCCGGCCATTTGAGAGTGATTTCCACTTACAAAAATCCACATGTCTTCCTTCTTGGGAGATTTGCCCAGTAGGCGCCTCATTGCGGCACTCGGGCTTGCGTGTACTACCTTTTTCATGATCTTTGCGGCTTTATACTCTTCATAGGTGAATGGCTTTTCTTGATCCTTTTCGAGAGCACTGCCGATGCTTTGGCCCGATGAGCACGAGGAGATGGAAGATGGTGACGACGATGAGGCGCCCGTTGCTTCTAGTTCGGATGTTGGCGAATTTCCTCGGAATTGAGGAACGTCCTCGTCAATGGGGACCACCCCCCGAAGACTGTCCTTAAATTCGGCCGTACTAGTCCATACTGGCTCGTTGTTTTTAGCCCACCGGAACAGACCCGCTTCGTCCACCGTCACCAAATAGTTCATGCGTTCATCACGAGTGAGATAGCGAACTTGCTCTCTTTCCAGCCGGTCGCGGGGACATTGCGCAACTTCCACACTCTGCCCATCGCCATGATCGAGCCAATAGAAGAAGTTCTGTGTTGAAGACGAGTTGCGCCAAAATGTATGATATGCACGTAGATTGCTTCCATGGCGATGTTTGAGGTCCACCATCTCCAAGAAATATTGTACATCCATCATCTTGGCTTCTGCCCCCGACGAAATCTCCGTATGGTCTTCGTGTTGTGTCTCCGTAGTTGAAGATCGCCCCGTGACTCGATCATCGTCCCCGCCTGCCCGCTTCGCAACACTGACGGCGCGTTGCCAGTTCCGACGCGCTTGGTTCGATCGCTCGGCATTTGACGTGTTTCCGGGCTCGGGTGGTCGATGGAGCTGTTGCCACTGTGCTTCCCTGATGGCCTGGAATCAAGAATTTTGATCAGACCCTATTCGCGCGGCCAATACTGGAATACCCACCTCGACCCATCGCGTGGAGGCAGTCAGACCACATCCCCGTAGTTCACGGCGTGTGCGATGACCGCGATACACTCGCTATCCAGTGTCAGTCCCATCGTGCGGAGCACAGGGGAAATTGTACCTGAACCGTTCGCGCGGCCGCTTCCATGACGTCACTCGGGAGCGTCTCCGGCCCCGCGATTTTGGTCATCGCAATGTGTCGAAAAGAGTAAAATCAAAAGAATGGAGTTCAACAAAGAAATAATGAAATTGGGTATGGAGTCCTCGTTCTGTTCTCGGAGTACAGTAGGAAGTAAAGGGTAAACCACAGGGCTGATGGTGGGGAACACTCGCTGACCAAGTTTCCCTGCCGGTGCCGTGCCTGAGGTCACTGGTTCATCGATGTTCACCATCACCAACTTCACCCTTTTCTTTGGCCCATGTCTTCGCAGTGATGGATCGTCCATATTATGGCTTTCACCATGTCGTAACCTTACCATCTCATGAATGTTTTTCTTCCTCTCACCTCGAGGCTTCTAGCCAATGCGCACATCTGCACGGAGCACTCCGAACAATCGCAGATATACCTCAAATGCCCACAGCCCTGAAGCAGACCAAAATTGGAGAAACCCCTCAGGGATATCAGACAGCGCCTACTAATAAGTCGCACCAAGACTTGCGCGATAACACCCCGGCAGCATAGCCGGGGCCAGACGGGAAAGGACTTCTCGATCTAGATCCCGACTCCGCAATCCGCACCACAACCCGCGCGCACGTCAAGGTTAGCGTTCAGCAGAGAGATGTCATTGGCTGAGACCCAAATGGCGACTGGGGCTGTCACTGCACGCCCACCTTGGGGGAATCGGAGGCCATCCGATCACGGGCGCATACCCCTCGTGAGGAGTATGAGGGGGATTGTATATTTATTGCTGACGCTGACTCGAATTCCGTTTTCCACCAAGGTTATCAGCTCAATTCTCGATTCGGAAAGTTATACATACTATACCTCTATTCAATTCCCAATACAATTCACAATGGCTCCCTCTCTGCACCCTCTTATCGACAACGGCATCACTGCCGGTTCCAGCAGCTTCGCTGGTGGCAAGCTCCACTGCCACTGTCCCTCCAACAAGGTCGAGGTCACTCTGAGCAGCAATGTCGCACACAACCACGCCTGCGGCTGCTCCAAGTGCTGGAAGCCCAAGGGTGCTCTCTTCTCCGTTGTCGGAGTCGTGCCCCGGGACGCCGTCTCCGTGACCGCCAACGAGTCCAAGCTCACCATTGTCGATAAGGAGGCTACCATTCTCCGAAACGCCTGCAAGGACTGCGGTGTCCACCTTTTCGGCCGAATTGAGAAGGACCACCCCTTCAAGGGACTGGACTTTGTCCACGCCGAGCTCTCCAGCGAGAAGGGCTGGCAAGAGCCCCAATTCGCTGGCTTTGTTTCATCCATCATTGAGCAGGGTACCAACCCCAAGGCTATGGATGAGGTGCGCGCGAAGTTCAAGTCCGTCGGATTGCAGACATACGACGTTCTGTCACCCGCTCTCATGGATTTGATCTCTACTTTCACCGCACAGAAGGCTGGTGTTCGATTTGCCAACCTGTGATTTAGAATTATGTTTTATGTCCTTTTGATCATGTACTTTAAGGTGGTTGTGGAGTCGGCGAGGAGATTATGAACAGAAAAGTGCATTGGGGCCACCCCACATTCAAATATGAGCGACAATGTGATACATGAGATTTGATAAACAGTTCTTTCAGTCTCCTTCCTCAGTCAATGACTTCCGTACCCCATAGGAGAGTTTCCTGTCTGGATCGCCCTGCGATGTCGTGCACCAAATTTCGATGTATGACTACTTAGTAGCTGATGCACATTGCAAGGGACTCACAGCATCCAAATCTCTATTTCTGACAAATGAACACCGCGGGGAACTTGTCACCAATCGAATCTTGACATGCAGCCCGATACGCAGGAACGCCTGCCATCCAATACAGCAACTCGACCGGCTTTCCGGGTATATTAGCGCCCATATACCAAGATTTCGCCTGCGGCAGGAGAGTCATCTTGGAGATTGCCACGACCTGGTCTCTCCAGGCTTGGGCAGCCGCAGGCTGAGGATCGATTGTCCGGAGACCTTCAGCCTTCATCTTTTTAACGATGTCGCGAATGAAATTCGCCTGGTGTTCAATGAACACAGGTCCATTGGAGAACGGCGTCGGCGCCTGCACCGAGTATGGGAGGAACATGTTTGGGAAGCCAGGGACCGTGAGACCAAGGAATGTCGAGACGCCTTCGCGCCATCGCTCGCCCAGGTCAACTCCGTTAAGGTCATGGATTCCCATGTTGGACAGACTACCGGTGCTGGCGTCGAAACCTGTCGCGATAGCAATGATGTCGACTTCGTAGCTTTTATTGTCACTTGTCACTATCCCGGTCGGGGTGATCTCAACGATCGGGTTTGAATTGGTATCGACGAGGTGAACGTTTGGCTTGTTGAAGTTCTCGTAATAGCCCTGCTCCAGAGATGGGCGCTTAGTGCCGAATGGGTGGGGTGGCTCTAGGGGAGCCAAGAGGTCACGCTTGACAGGGTCATGAATGCGAGCGCGGGTTTTCTTCGCCCAAAAGTCGTAAGTTGCACGATTGGCTTCAGGGGTGACCAGAAGGTCGTTATATGCACCACTCCAGAGGCGGAAGCCACCTTTGTCGTAATACTCGTTCAGGATCTGATCGCACTCCACGGTCGACATTTCTCCAAATGCTTTATTGGGACCTGCGCGTGGCAGTCCCTGGGAGGTAGTTTGGCAAAGCGCAAACTCAGCGGCCGTGCTGTCTCGCAGTTTCTCTTGGTCCGCAGTATCGAATGCTTTTTGATCCATTGGTAGGCAGAAATTGGGGGTCCGCTGGAAGACAAAGGTCTCTGCGGCCTCTTTTGCCCATTCCTGGATGATCTGCACACCGGTAGACCCGGTCCCAATGACCGCGACACGCTTTCCTCGCACGTCGACAGGTTCCCTCGGCCACAGAGACGAATGATGTATGACGCCCTTGAAGGAATCAAGCCCCTTCCACGACGGAATGTGCTGCTTGGCTGCAAAGCCAACGGCCGGCACGAAGTACTGAGCCACGACCTTCCTTCCATCGTTTGTTTCGATTGACCATTTCGCAGACTCCGAGTCAAATGACGCGGAAACGACCCGCGTGTTGAAAATGCAGTCCTTCCGAACCGAGAGAACCTTGTCGACATGGTCGAAATAGGCCTCAAACTCCTTCTGGCCTGGGTACCGCTGCGTCCAGGTCCAAGTCTTATAAACTTCTTCAATGCCGAAAGCGTATGTTGGGACAGAACAGTCCACTCGAGCGCCCGGGTAGGTATTCCAATGCCAGGTTCCTCCCAGGTCTGACCCCGCATCGATAATCTTGACGTTCAAGCCAAGTTCGTTTCGAAGTCGGTGGAGTGTGTAAATGCCCGAGAAACCGGCACCTACCACCACTGCGTCCAACTCCAGTATATCTTCGTTCGGGGGTGCCATAGTTGTTCAACTTGGGAATCGATGGTTTTCAATGAGAAGGACTCAAAAAGCCTCGACGGCAAGGGGTTGGGGATCATCTTTGTGGGCAGTGCATGCTAGCTCACTCCCCGCTTATTGTGGACCGGAGTGGGGGCCGAGGTTGTCATCTCACGTCAAGGGGGGCTAATGGACATATTCGAAAACTTTGGAGATAGACCTCCATATATGATTCATTCCCAAGTTGCAGGGGCTTTCACCGCCTGAGGTTCATGCAGGATGCGTCGTGATCTGTACAGGGGTGGCTCCGCCCCGTGTCCTGTTCATCACACCATCTTAACATGTTTGACCAACCGGCGAGAATGCTTCAGAAATTACTCTGAATGTATGAAAATCCATTCGATTCCGTCTATTCTTACTCGAAATCTCAAGTTCTCCCTGAGTTGGCTGTTCAACGTGATCCGCCCTTGCGTCGTTCGATCAGGCACTCCCCAGTCGATCTTTGGAATCCTTTAAAACCCTGGAGGGTCTTCCAGATGACATGATATCACCGAAGAGCTTCCGGGGTGTCTATATTCCCCTAAGCTTCCAAGCTTGGAAATATCCATGGATGGGACCTCGGGACATCTCCCGACTCATGTTCATCAAACTCAAGGTGCACTACTAGATATATATATCCAAACGGGCACATACAAGAATTCGAGGGTACTGAAATTAAAGCACTGATATATGGGACCTCGATACGGAGTACTAGGTAGGTACCTAGGTAGGTACCTAGGTAGTTATTATCTCGGCGTTGATCCCGAGGTCGGCTCAAATTTATTGCCCAGTGGTGATTTCAAGGTCTATAATGCTGGAACCCTAGGTAGGTACCTAGAGCCCTGGAGGGTTGTAGAGGATTATCACCAGCCCTGCCCAGGTCGAGTCATGGAGCTTATTTCAATCGATCAAAACTTCCAACTTGGAAGGTTAGAATTGACCTAGGTAATTGAAGCGAATCAAGAGAGGGATCTCAAAGGTCCGCCATTTTAACCTTGGAAGACCGAAGAAGAGTGCCCAGGTGTGTTGAAAGGGCCATCCAACACTACCAAGTCGATTCACGTCGAAAAAGCAGCTTTGGTAATATTGCATCGTTGAATGTCGCACGACTGCTAGAAGAAGACCACAACCGTCAACTAGGGCATCATTAGTGCATCACCTGGACGTCAACCTTGGAAGCAGTGTTACTCTGTCCAAGTACCCCAAAAGAAGATCCAATTCGCGAGGAAATTTTAATATTTGCTAACAGGTAAGACATGAATACCCAGACAAAGAAGATACTGGCTACTCGTTGATGAAAACCCGAAAAGCTCTGGAGTGAAGCATAAAAAGGAACTATTACCGGTAGGCGCATTATTAAAATTCAATATATGACCAAAGTAAGCCAAGGGGCAGCATTCAGCGACTGGAACAAACAATACCACAGCTGTGACAAGATCGCCCAATCGAATCAAGATTGGATTTGGATTGGATTTAGACCCCGACCTTGGCTCAGCTGAAGGCACCGACTAGGCCGTGGCTGGCTCGAGAACTCCCGGTGACCTCATGAACCTCAGTTCGTACTCTTTGCCAAGCCATCATGCAGTCCGATTGAAAATCACAGGTTGTTTGGGTGGTTGATCACTGCGCCCAACCCGGCCCCGCATCAGCTCGACAACCGAGATGACAGCTGCATGTCACCAATAGTACGATGTGTGATCCAGCTGCAGAAATGGGCGTGGGGTACTGTACCTCTCTTTGGCTCGAATGCCGGGCTTTTGGTCGCCAAATATTTCCCAAGGATAGACGGTCCATAGCAGACTTCAGTAAATGGATCTCCCTGCAGCGGCTGTAGCTGTAGTCTATTGCGCAACGAGGCTTGCGTTGACTGTGGGACATCGATGCATTCACACAGCGCTGTCTCGACAGCCACTCATCCGGCATACTCGGTATGTGCCATCACAGGTCTTTGTGCAGTCCAACGTGACGTAGGGAGTACAAGAAATTATATAAAGCCAAACAGTCGAGATGTTGGCATAAGTATTCCTATCCTTTAGAGCTTGGATGTACCTCTTCGGTCGACTAGCAAAGAGACCCCATAAGCGAAAAATTGGCACCGTCAATCAGCCTACAGACGACATGGCTTCTGGGTCCTCGCCCACCGAGTCCTCGGTTTACGAGTACTACCCGATCAAACCTCGGTATCCGACCAGTGATTCCGATCCCAAGGATGGTATCAATCGCAAGGTCTTTGTTCGACAGAACATCGACGAATGGAGCAGCAAGAAGATAAACAAGAAACAGGTGGATCTCTTCATCCTCGCTCTGGCTAGACTTCAAAAGCTAGATCCCAAAGAAAGGATCTCGTACTTTCAGATCGCCGGTATGTCTATTCTCACGACCCCCCATCAGATACAGTACCTGACGTGAGTCTGTAGGTATTCACGGCCAGCCATTCGCTCGATGGGATGACCCTAGCCCAGAGCCCATGAAGAATGGCTACTGTTTCCATTCCCATGTCATCTTTCCCATTTGGCATCGGCCATATGTATTCCTTTTCGAGGTGAGCACAATATCGCGAAGAGATGATAGCATACTCATAATTTCCGCAGCATGTCCTGTACGACATCATGGTGAACGACATCATCCCACGGTTCCCCGAAGACCGTCAAGATGGATGGAGGGAGCAGGCCGAGTCATGGCGTCTCCCATTCTGGGACTGGGCGCGAAATGGTCGAGTCCCGGATCTGGCGAAGTATCCCACTATCACTGTTCCAAAACCAGAGGGAGGCACAGTGCGCATTGATAACCCGCTGTTCCAATTCCGCATGCCTACAGACCAGCCTATGCGAAGCGAGGGCGTAGGCACTGAGAACACATGGCAAGACGATGCGGAGCAGGAAGATTACAAGAACGTGAGTTTAATGTTTCCATTGTTCAACATAAAGGGAGTATGGACTGACCAGACTAGTTCGGAAACGCGATCGGAACCAGTCGTTGGCCCGATGAGGATGACCAGAATCCAAACAGCGAGGGTTGGCGACATGGTGTTGTCAATAACCGTAAAGTTGCGGATGCGTTCAACTCGCACGAAGGATACAACGATAAGAACCATGGTCCTGCCGCTGAGATGGTCTATCGGTTGCTCACTGTCCCTATGGACTATACCACTTTCGCCAGCACCAATCCGACTTCGAAGGATCAGAATGTCGAAGAGGATTTGAACATTGAATATGTATGTCTTCCACCAGCGAAATGCATTCGCGTGCTAACAGTCAATTAGATCCATAACAACATGTAAGTAGCTCAATCATAGGGCGCTTGTCAGGGAACGGATTCATTTTCAAGTACAAATCGCTGACTATTCTTTTCCAGTCACGGTTGGGCAGGTGACGCTGGTCATATGGGAAATGTCCCTGTTGCCGCATTCGACCCACTGTTCTTCCTACACCACTGGTGAGCACCATCTTCGAGCGAGGTGAAGCAAGAGCTCACACAAGGCTTCTTCCTTTAGCAACATTGATCGTCTCTTCGCAATCTGGCAAGCACTGAATCCCGATAAGTGGCTTGATAACGTCCACGGAGACAACGCGACCATTCGCGACTCACATGGCAAAGAGCAGGCCGTGAATGATCAAACTCCCCTCCAACCATTCCGCAAAGATGAAGACGGAAGCTACTGGAGCCCAGAAGGAGTCCGACATACCCCAAATCTCGGATACTCCTATCCCGAGCTCCCTCGGTGGGATGCGCAGTATCGGCAACAGGACGGAGCGCTGGATCAGGTTGCATTCCAGAAGAGTATCATCTCGACTGTCAACACTTATTACGGTGTCTCTCGTGATCTAGCTTTGGATCCCAAAGCTCCTGTCCCGGAGGGTGTTGCGGCAATTGATGGTGGGCTCCAGGTGTCTGATTTTGCTTTCAGTATTCGATTCTTGAAGTAAGTCTTTGAAGAATGGAAAGGAAAGGAACTTCCAAGTTTCAGGGGAAGAGGGGGATGGAGGTCTTGGATCTCAAGAAGAAGCTAACAGTGATGAAATAGGTATGCCCTCGGTGGTCAGCCGTTCTGGGTCAAGTTGTACCTCGCTCAGGAGGAGGGCGTACAGACTCCACTCACGGACCTGATCGCTGAAGTATACAACTTCAGTCAAAAGCCAGAACTGGACGGTGCGGTCGTCTGCGGAAATTGCACTGATGGACAGAAGGCGAAGGTCAAATCCACTGCTTATATTCCCATCACGCCTGTGCTCTTCAAGCTTGCCAGAAGTGGAAGAAAGCTGAAGTCATTATCTCGCGACGAGGTTCTGGAGTATATCAGGAAGCGAGCATACTGGCGAGTATTCAAGGTGAGCCACTTTGCCAAGTGTCAGAGAACCTGTGTTGACTTCTGAAAGCACGGGAAAGAACTTCCACGGTACGATGTCGAAAAGCTCGACCTCGAGATCATCGGTAGCAGCAACGACACCAAAGTCTTCGAGGATCCCACCAAGCCACCTGCATTCGAAAACTTCAAGAAAGAACCAACCATCACCGGTGGTGCGGATGGTGCGCTTGACCCGGAGTTGAAGCAGCCGAAGATTGAACCCCCTGCTCCTCAGTACGTATACATGGTGGAACATTTTGTATCAGCATATCTAACACTTCGCAGACCCAAGCGTCCAAAGGCGAACCTGCCTCTTTACGGTAGCCTCCGCTTCCCCCGTATCCTCAAAGCCGACAGTGTTATTCTCCTCGAGTCATCCAGCGTGGACCTTTCGACTCCCGATTCCAAGATTGATATGACTCAGATCTCCATCAAAGATGCCAACGACGACACCATCTTCCACATTTCTATCCGTCGTGGACAAGGGGAGATTATCTTCAATTCTAAGCTGGACGGATCTTGGGGCGAGGAAGAACGCATCCCTATCGGGAGTCGATTCGAAAATGAAGAGGGTGCTACGATCTTGATCCACGATCAAGGCAATGGCTATGAAGTTTCCATCGACTGGGTCCATGCCCTGTGGTTCGCTAAACGTGCCGATGGCCGGACGGCGCAGTCGATTTGGTATGGCCTTGGAGACAAGCAGGGAACATCTACCTTGTCGGAAGATCTTGAAGTGCGCACATATCCTTCTATGAAGGCGCTGTTCCTTCAGAAGCATTCTCATGAAGAGGAGAAATGATCCCTGGGTGTGAAGTTTGTACAAGCAAAATGGAAATAGCTTGGGTATTTTTTCGGGTGGAATTTCACGTTCACAGTAGTCTGATTAGTCTCTGATATTCCAAGAGAATAAAATTCCAGATGCTTCGAACCGCTAGGATGGCAGTGATTTCTTCCGTGGGTCTTAATCTCCACCATAGCACAGAGTAGCCCTGGTGCCCATGGCTGTTCGCGCATCATGTCGCCGTGGTCGAAACAAAACTAAGGCCAGTAGTAAATCCCGTCCTTGACGTCCTTCTTGAGAGTCTTATCAACTTTCAAATAGCCATCTTTCGACAACTCAGCGGCGACTTTAATAATCAGGTCTGCCACGATTCCCCCGAATACCACACTCCCGGGTCCATTCAGATGAGTATAGTCGGTCGGATTCAAGTTGTAGGTGTAAGCATCGTCAGGCCCGATCGCATTGAGGTAATCAGTACTCGCTTTGTTCAAATCAATGACTCTGACGCCTGTCGAGTGAGCAGCCTTGATCGTGGCAGCAGTTTCATTCGAGAGGCTCTGCACGATGAGGGGTGTACCCGTCGAAGTCTCATAGTTCCGCCGCGACAATGGAGTTACCAGAATCGGGGTCGCGCCAGCATCCAAAACCTCTTTAACAAGGCCCTCGAGGTTCTGGGTGTACTGTGACAAGGAAATATTCGCCTTTGCCTTCTGGTCGTTGTGTCCGAATTGAATTGTCACGAAGGGGCGATAGGATTCTTTGGATTGCTTCACAGTAGCCAAGACCTCGTCCCAATCACCTCCTGTCCGGAAGCTGACTGTTGTTGCGCCATTGTGGCCGAGATTGCGACCTGATGCTCCTTTGAATAGGGTCGTGTTGAGGAACCCATCTCCCCAGCCTCCGCCACCGGTCGATTGAACGGCGGTAGTACTGTCCCCTGCCAGAACAAAGAAGGGAGGCTTGGATTTCTGTGCCGCAGATGGGTATGCTTTGGCGTACGACGCCAAGCCGAGGAGGAGGAATCCAGTGAATTTCATTTTGAACTGGATTTCGCGATGATTTTCCAATATTGCCTGGCAGGTATGAAATGATTGCCGGGATACATTACGCTTTAAGCTTGGAGATCATGGAATATTGCACCAACAGGAAAATTACAACTTCCCCATCACCAAGGGCGGGGTTGCGTGAGGGGAGAACAATTACTGCACGGCGTTAAGTTCGCGGTGAAATGCCCCGAGAGTCTTGTGCATGACGGAATTTATCCGTCAAGTGCTGTAGACCTGCGAGGGGCCGACATCTCATGGGTCTGCAGACAGATACGTGGACGAATACCTATCTTATTGCTGCTGCGACTCACTTGAGAAATGAGAATGGATTGCAGTGACGGTGTACAATACATACAAAGTAGAAAGACGGAAAAGACGGTTAATGGTGATTTCAGTAGTTCTCGGAGAGTCTGGGGTGGAGGGTATGGAGTACAGAGTAAAAAGATACCCAGGTGTTGAGACGATGATGGTCATGTGCCATCCATGCATGTCTCTTGCCCGGCTGTAGCTTCATCTCCAGGGCTCTCACTTCGTTCTCAGCTCGTTCTCGGCTCCTTCTCAGTTCACTTTCTCTCCCTTCATCTTCTCTCCCTTCATCTTCTCTCCCTTCATCTTCTCTCCCTTCATCTTCTCTCCCTTCTGAGAGTCAAGGAATCACTGCTCTCTTCCTCCCCTGCTAGCTCAGTAGCTAGCATAGCGAAAGTGCCCCGTAGATCACGATTTAATGACCTCAGACACAATCTTCGCCACCTGGACTAGTTCCTCGTCCTGCATATTCCTGCCGCCTAGCTGCACGCTGCACGGGGCTCCCTCAATAGCGTCTGCATCATCTTTGATAGGGATTAGCTCTCAGTACATAAACAAACCAATATATGCACAGATGGGAGATCTCACATGAAGGCACATAATTGACGTCGCGGATGAAGCTCCCGTCGGCTTTCTTATCGGCTTTACCATGGGGGATCACACAGCTTGGGTACTGTTTTTGTAAACAAAAAAGAAATTAGCGAAACGTTGCGAGGTCACACGGGCATACATACATCTGTCACATTCCAGATAGTGGTGTAAGCAGGCATACCATATGTGTCATGTGGGACGGCAGTGCTTTGGTAGCCGGCCGAGATAACAGCGTCCAGCTTTTCTTGCACGAACAAAGAGCGGAACAGCTCCTTGATCTTGGTACGCTGCTCATTCAGGTCGTACAGTGCTTCCAGTGTCAAGGGCGCGTAGTCGAGCGGCATGTAATCCTGGGGAAGGGCCGTCGTCGCCAGAGCTGGGATGACAGGCTCTCCGCTTGCGCTGATGTGCTTTAATGCCGTCTTGGCCGGGTCCATGGCAAACATGCGGAATCCGAGTACGCATGCATCGAAGATCGCGGAGAGGTTCAGGGGTATGACCTCATGTCCTGCAGCACGGAGCTTGTCAACGGCTTCTGTGAGTGTGCGCTGGATGGGTGGATGCAGAGGAAGATGGGGATCTTCCTCGATCAATCCCAGTCGTAGAACCTTCTTAGGCGCAACTGTACGCCATGGCGAGAATATCACCGCCGAGTCCAGCTCCCAAGGGTCTGTCTGGATCACCGCTTGCATGAACATCTCCAAATCCCTCACCGATGTTGCCAATGGCCCGGCACAGGGTTTGATGCCGAGCATTCCTCCCCGAGAACTGCTTGTCTGTCCACCGTAGGGGATTCGATCCACGGAAGGCTTGAACCCGAATGTCCCATTGCAAAGCGCGGGGATTCGGATCGATCCTGCAATGTCTGTCCCGACACCCAAAACTGAGCCTCTCATTGCGATCAGTGCACCTTCTCCTCCGGATGAGCCTCCAGCGGTCAGGTTGGTTCGATGGGGATTGAGCGTTCGACCGAAAACATTGTTGTGCGATTCCGCAGCCTGGAAGTGTCAGTGAATGGGCTTTATTGAAGATATGGCCCCAGGTACCATCATTGTTTGAGGAATGTTTGTCTTGACGTATGGGATTGCACCCAACTTAAGCAGGATCTTAACGACAGCGGAGTTGGTCTTGACTGGGCCATTCTTGATAAAGGATGTGAATCCAAGTGAGGATGGAACACCCTCAACATTGAAGCACTCCTGTGGATCGACCTTGTCAGCCAAAGTCCAGGGCTCCGACGAGTTCTCATACCTTGAGGCTAACTGGCAGTCCGTGTAGAGGTCCGACTCGTTGTCCTGTTTTCAATAGTATCTCATCCAACTCTTTGGCACGTTCCAAAGCCTTCTCGAAGAAGACCTCGGTAAGACAATAGGTCTGGATGGTTTAGTTGTCAGTATAATCAGAGAAGGGAGCAGATCGAGGAAGGTTCAAACGTACGACTTGTTGTGCAAGTGCGGCGCGTTTGCAAAATGCCTCGGTGACCTCGTAGGCAGACAGCTCCTTCTGCTCTATCTTGCCGAGTAGATCGGTTGCGTCATATGACTCGGTGATAATCAGCTGTTTCGCTGAGAGAATTCCTGAGTCGGCTGGGATCTCAAGCACATTCGCACCAGGAGTTTGAGCACTCTTGAGCATGGATTCTGGAAGACGCCAAGCATCTGGTATCATTGAAACAACCTCAAGCTGCTTCTTTGATACCACATCTTGCCAAGGTTCAGTCGCCATGATTGAGGTCGGATGCTGCGGATTCTGAGTGAGTTGAAGGTGAGAAAAGAGAGAGGAAGAGAGAGAAAGAGAAAGAATGAAGATCCCCTTGGACTTATGTATGTCCAACGTGAATGCGGGGAAACAGAACATACACCGTATATCCCCCATCTGCTACGAATCCATTCCCCAACTGGAAATTCCAGCCAAGATGAGAGCTCATATTTAAACACCAAGGCATATGGTCCCGGCAGTTGTATTTTGATACTACATTTCCAAGGTTGTACATCATCAGCCTCCAATCAGCACTAATTGCGCGCGCCGGCTCGGCGAGGGGTAGTTCTGCCGATCATTGCCGGCAGCTCGAACTGCGTACCCCGTACACGGACCCGTGGACAGATTGAGGGCAGTACATTGAGACCAAGGGTTCTTTTGGTTTTCTGCCCCAATAAGATCATGTCAGCATGGTGATTATTGGAACCTTGGAATACCATATCGTACAAGATAGTGTAGGGCCATATTGAACTTACTTACAATATAGCCCAAGGTAATGACAATTATTGAATTTGGTTGGTTTCATGCGCACGACGACGTAAGCTACCAGAACGTAGTCGACGGTATTCTGCGTATAACCGATGTCGATTGAATAGGTAGCCTTTTTTTCGAATATGCTCATAGAGAAACTCTCGACCATAGCCTTCAATCCGACCAGTTTGGATCTCCGTACGAAGAACTTCATGCATCTGGTTGATTTGATCCTCTTCCTGAGAAGCATCTATTCGGCGTACTATCCCTAGTTTTGCCCGTATCCGTTTGATAGTTGCAAGAGACATTGGATGGCCTTTTTCTTTAAGGATGGCCTGTATCGTACGATCATCAAGTCCAACATGAAAGACAAGATCCTTGACTGTCTCAGAGTGTGATTCATTGGAAACTGTATGTGAAGGTACGTTTTTCTGCACTCCCCATGATCTGAGTCGCTTTTTTGTTGTAGTAGGAGTAACATTAAGAGAATGTCGATGATTGATAGTCATGCAGACTTCTTGGAGTGTATGATCCTGATAGAGAGATATGATTTCATCTTTGTAAGGTTCAAGATCAATCTTAGGGCCCATGATATGAGAGTTCCAGAGCTTTAAGTGTTGAAAAAGGGGGTATAGTGTTCTAGATTCTAGATACCAAAAGACGGTGTGACGGGCGGTGTATCCTAAATCACATTTTGTGGCAGAAAAGCACAAGAACAGTTGATCCCGATATTCTGCCGTATTGATTGGCTGGACCCTCCGGAAGGGCGGTAGTCTAGGCGGTCGAACAACAGAGTGGCAGAGTTCATCGTCTTGTCCTGGCGGTGAAGTACTGCCGAATCATCCATCGATAATCTCCAACTCCCGAGGTCCGCAATGCGCTCAACCCAATCCAACCAACGATGATCCGAGCATTGTTTACAAGACGTATTTCCCCACTCGGGGCCAGCGCACTTACCCCAGGAAATGTCCCAAGAGTATGACAGGCCGAATCCTTTCACCTTCAAGCAGAACTAAATGTGACATTCCAGCATCCCATCACACGATTCTTCACAACGACCCAACCCACATCTCTCACTGCATCTATAACAAGACAATCCTCACCCTTCCGAAACTCCGGAAAGAACGATCCACTCACCTTCGAAGATGCCTACTACAGTCCCTACCAGCCCAAGCGCCAATGGCCACCCGACATGTCGAAGCTGTCCCCAAAGCACCAGTTCCGACTGGAGCGCAAGTACCGTCGTCGCGCAGCGCTGAAGTATGCGCGACCCAAGCTCATGAAGGCTACGAAGATCGGTCAATGGGTTGTTATCGGATGTGAGTATCGGGAATAGGGAATGCGTCTGAGAGCGTGGATCGAGCCGTGCTGACTCGAATACAGTTGTTCTCGTGTATGCGGTGTTATTCATGGAGTGGGAGACGAGCGCGACGCCGTTCCATGGGGTAGGTTTTTGTCTGGAAATTTTTCGCTGCAGGGTAACTAACATGCTGTGCAGATTCGGGAGAGCTTCTTTGCTGGTCTCAAATCGGTTTTCTCAACTCCAACCCCTCCTAGCCCTGTCCGCCGGGACCAAAAGGAAGGCTCGACGTCCGAGGAGTCGAAATAGCTGTATCAAAAGCTTTATATATTTTGTGTGAATACCATTGTACAATATTACAAATCTCAGTCACCCCCGGGACCCGTTTGACGCCTGCGGGCTATATGAAGGATGACATATCCCAGAATTTCCGCTCTATATATCATTTCCTCGTGTTCAAAGGCCCCACGTGTCGAGAGCTGCCAGCTCAATCCATTGCTCCTCGAGCTCACGCATCATCCACGACGTGCGCCATCCCAGATGCCTTTCTACTCGATTGAGGAAGTGGATTGCACCTTGCTGTTCGACCTTGTGACGGAGACAGTATCCGACTATGGCGGATTAGTATATCGTCTGGGGGAAATTTGCAGAACTTACAGCGATGTAGCAGGTGAGATGCCATGAAATAGGCATTCTCTACGCTTTCATTAGACAGTGAAAGTCCAATGACCATGACCAGATGCTCTGCGATGGTTTTCTTTTGAGACAAGTCAGCTGCGGGCTTTCTTCGACGACATGGTTTAGGCATACTTCTTTCGCGCGTTTTGAGCGGGCGATCTCATAATCAGTCATAAAGTGAGAGGGTGTGTCAGACAAGGTAAGGAAAATACATGCGGAATGATAATACTGCATTCCAACAACTGAGCGTTTGGTCAGTAGTTAAGTCAACAAGCGCAGCACCTTTCGGAATCCTACCTGAGGGTGGAGATATCATCCAGAGCTCGGGGAATGGTCGCTCAGCAGCAAGGTTGGGTGCTTGGTATCGAATTGGCTGCCAAGTAGTCGGCTTATTTCGGTTCCACTCTGCTACATGATCAGATATATAGACCCAGGTATCTCTGTCGACGATTCTTCCGGGCTGATCACAACAAAGCTGAAGAATGCGGGCACAGTAGTAGATGATCGCATTGGCACAGGCAGCATCATCGCTGCGATGGAACATCGTCGAGGACTCGAAATTGTGCATGTCCAACTGCAGGGGCTGGTATTGAACCACCGATGCGTATATTGCTTGCCGTAAGAACTGCCAGCTTACAGCCTCGGCCACTCCACCCGAGCATGCAGAGCGGGAGACCAGATTGACTAATCGATTGGATCCAAGCAGATGAAACTTTTGATCGGTATTGTTTTCCAATTCCTCGTATATTCGGAGGATGACAACGGCTATCAGCATATTCTCGTCGCAGTTGGTCTCTGCTTCATTGAGTGCTGCGATTAACATCTCCAAGCATTCGCCATGGTAAGCCGAGGCTTCCAGGTCGCTATCGTTGGCCAAAATCGCATCGTGGCGTGATGAAAGTGCGAGGATTGCTTTGAGAACCATTGGATTCTCCAATGCTCGTCTTGGGACCTCGGTACTAAAGTTACAATGAATGTCGCAGATATCGGCCTGTTCGGGGTCAGATGTGGTTCCAAGTTATTTTCCAAAACCCAAGTTGATACTGACCCAGGGTGCTAATCTTTGGATGAAATAACGCATCAAGGATGCCTCTCGCAATGAGAGAACGGCATCATCCTCTGAAAACGTGGTGAATGGACTGCTTGTAGTGATCTGCGATCGATGCTCAACAACTCTCGAGTTGGCTTCACCATGATATATCTCCGGATACTGCTCCGGTGTCTCATCCAGAAGCAAGCTAGACAGAGGAAGCGGGGCCGGAGTAACGGGTTCTGGCGGTATGAACACTTCCTCCCCCGGTGAACCATTGGCGGCTTCAAGCACGAAGGTCACTGGGACTAATTAGCCAGAGTCCCAAGTCCAACTATGTATACCGCGACTATACCCGGTTGTGTCACATCCACCCAAATCTGCCCCTGGTCCCATTCAAGATCATATCGAGCCGGAGCCCCATTGGACTTCTGATAGACGTGGCGGACAGGCTTGAATTGGAAGCGGGGATCAAGTTGACAGTCCCGATTGAGACGCGAGCATGGAGTGCAGGACGTTGCGCCCTTGGGAATGACACAGCGGATATGGCGATTTCGACACCGTCCACACCCTTTGCCTACTCTCATAAGGGGATCGAATCGAGATGGCGATGAGATCTAAGTCCAAAGTGATCGCGATACCCCGACTTCCCCGCATATGCTGACTCATCTGTCCATTTTGGGAAGGCGCCATAGCCGGGAGTCGGGTACCTGGTACTTGGGTGGAGTACGGGCACTGCAGTGATGTTTCGGTACCCTGGTACATCCATCTAGGACGGTCTGGTTCCCGAGGTCAGGATGTCCAGGTGCTAAAATCGATGTCTATGTACTTTGTACCTTTCTTGATTGTAGACGGTGGCGGGCTTCGACGTCATGGCCTTGGGCTTTTGGCGTCGAGCTAGTGGATCAACTCTGCTGCCTACGTCTTTCTGCACTACTGTGATCCATGCACCAAAATAGCAACTTCACCTTCGTACGGAGCCCTCCGTACTCGTACGTATCTCGATACTCCAATCGGTGCAATGACAAGCTGTATAGAGTTGAAAAAATCTCATCTTCATGCAAGGCCACAACGGCCCGGAAGCCCAAGCTCGTGCAAGCTACCCACACGGTGGGTAGCTACTCAGAGTTTTCCCTCGATTTTATCTCCGATGCCTATCGAGCGGGTCTCGGGTAATTCAAGTCCAGGGCCAATCAATGTTACCCATGAGACCCTTCGTGCAGGGGAGACTTTGGTCGAAGCCAATCGGCCGAATCAAAACAAATTCGGTGGACAAGGTATCAGGCCAAGAACGCGGGACTTGTTGGCTCCGCCTCCTAGGCCCTGGAGGACTTTAAACACGCCATGTCCGTTTCCTCCGCACGAAATCCGATGTTCGTATAACTCGGACAACGCCAGTCAACCTCCGTACGGATGATCCTCTCTTACCTTTGTGTGTTTGTCAGTCTATGGCAAGTCGTGCTTGCAGACTCGGATGCTTGTCAGTCGCTCTTGACCTAATGAATTCAACACTAGCATACTAATAAACCGCAGGTTCGAACAGCTTGACCATCTCGAGTCAAAGTGATGTCAATAATCTCACCAGCTGTGAAAAGATTGAAGGGAGCATCACGATAGCCTCCTCATTCAATGGCGCGCTCACACTCAGCGGGGTGGAGGAGATCCAGGGCTCCTTCGTCGCTGAAAGCGTGTCCGGACTCTCGGCAATCGTTGCTCCCGACTTGGACAAGGTGCAAGGATCTATCACAATCAGCAACCTTGATACACTGTCCACGATCACAATGGGAGCATTGTCACAAGTATCGATGGGTGTGACAATCACAGGCAACCCGGAGCTTCACATGGTCGCATTCCAACAATTGGAACAAGTTCAGGGACAATTGACCTTGAGTGGCCCCTTCAATAGGTATGACGCTAGACACAAGCCTTGTATCACCATAATACTGATGTATGCTGTAGTGTATCACTCCCGTCCCTCGACCAGGTAGAGGGACAGACAAGCATTCGAAGCAGCGGCTCCATGGCATGCAACACTCTGAACGCGTTGAAATCCAAAGGTGTCTTTCGGGGAAGCTATACCTGCTCAGAAAGCTCAAGCGGTTTAAGCGGAGGTGCAAAAGCCGGGATCGCAATAGGTGTGATCCTCGGTGTTCTCATAATCGTGGGAGCTATATGGTTCATCCTTCGCCGGCGCCGACAAAACCGCAGGGCTCTAGGGGGTCCATCAACAACATCAGCTACATCACCTCCATTGTCTTCGCCGGTGCAAACCGAGAAAACCGTGACACCCACGGAAACTCCATCGCCAACGGAAGAATCCCGCTTGCGAATGCCGCGGAAACCTGTTGGGTCTGCAATATTCTTGGACAGCCGCTCGATCCACGAGGCTTCAAATGGCCGCACACCCGTTCGGGAATATTATGAACTGGATGCGGGCCCGGTTTCGGGCTCTCATCAACGACCCATTCATCCGGAAGCGTGAATGCATGATGATGTATCCTGTGGGCGAATGGATGCGCCAATGACAAAAACGGCGTCGATATGGGGACCCTCGAGTGCTTCTCAAAAGTGGATGAGCTGAGTCTCAACGCGCTCCAGGCGCATGCCAATCCTCGAAACGATTTTCTTTCCAAGTTTCATTCAACCTTATACCCTTTTCTTGTTCTTTGTTATTTTTCAATGGCAGACAACTGTACAAATCGTGAATGGAAGTTCCAATCTGATAAGCCTGCCCGAGTAATCGGCATTGATACGTTCAATCAATAATCCCAATGTATATCCAAAATAATTTGGTCATGTCATCGATTCATTCATTTTATATAGCTAAGTAGAACAGCCAAATATTTAAACAATAACCTTGTGGCCAGCAGGCTTCTCCTCGGGCTCATCGAAGATGTTGATGTTCCAGCGAGGCTTGTTGGCAGTGTAAGGAGTGTTGTAGCGCTGGCGGTTCTGACCGAGAGTGCTGACCTTGGCGATCTCCTCGGCAGTGAGCTCGATCTCCTTGAAGTTGTCACGAATACGCGAGGGAGTGACAGACTTGGGGATAACACTGTGTCCACCAACCTGGGACCAGGCGAGGCTAGAAATATATTAGCGCGGCTGGACCAAATGAAACATTGGGGAACATACATGACGTGAGCGGGGGAAACCTCCTGTCCGGTGCGCTTGGCAACAGACTCGGCGACTTCCTTAACCTCAGGACGGGTGATCAGGAGGGGAATGTTGAGCATGTTGTTACCGAAAGCCTAGATGGAGAGGTTAGCTTTGTCCCGTGTTTGACTGAGATCCAGATGCACGTACGGAGTATGCGGTGACGTGGATGCCCTTCTTCTGGCAGTACTCGATGAGGTCGTTGCTCTGGAGCACGGGGTGGCGCTCGATCTGGTTGGCGGCAGGGACGACACCGGTGCCGTTGATAAGGGCCTCGAGCTGTTGACTGAATTAGCGTTGAAGTGAGAATGTTGGCTCGTGGCACACTTACGTGCTCAATCTTGTGGTTGGAGACACCGACGGAGCGGGCCTTGCTCTTGGGGAGCTGGGTCATGGCTGTCGAATGTGTTAGCCGTGGATATCTCGGACGATTCGAGGGTGATTCGGTACTCACCCTTCCAGGTGTCAACGATGGAGACACCATCGTCGATAACGACATCGCCGCCCTCGACCTTGCTGTCGGCAACGAGGGGGAAGTATGACTCGCCCTTCTGGAAGGCAACGGGCCAGTGAACAAGGTAGAGCTGTGACGGTTAGCAAATGTCCCAATATTCAACGATATTTCATATGCATACATCAAGGTATTCCAGCTCGAGCTCAGCGAGACAGGCATCGAGGGAGGCCTCGACAACCTCGGGGCGGTGCTGGCTTTATGGGGTCAGTATTTTCGTGATGCTATGTGGGTCGATGGGAATGTACCTGTTCCACAACTTTGAAGTCTACCAAATAGTGTCAGTACGTGATCCGCCTGTATGATTTCTGTCCCGGGAATCGACTCACGATGAAGAGGTCCTCACGCTTCAGACCGGGAACATCCTTGTAAGCACGCTTGATGCCCTCGGCGACCTCACGCTGGTTCTGGTAGCTATTAAAAGGCAATTAGCAGGTGTTCCGTCGGGATGAGCGCTGCGAAGTGATCGGCATTGCATACATGGTTGCCAAGTCCTAGAAACCGTTAGTCGACATGACACCTGTACCCGGAGCTGGATATACATACAAGGTGGCGGTAACCAGCCTTCAAGGCCTCGTAGACAGCCTCGCCGACCTGTCCGGGGGCGGATTGCCAGGTGCCGAAGCCCAGCTGGCTAGAGTGGGGTTAGCGCGACGATGGTTTGCGTGGACAATGGGACATACGGGATCTGGTGACCAGTGTTGAGAGTGACCTTCTTGCCGAGAGACATTATGTGGATATGGATGAGATAAATTGGAATGAAATCGAAGAGACGCCACGGGGAAGTTGACTGTCTTTAAAGGGTCTGGTCCTCCGGCGGGGGGTCCATCCCACGCTGCCCCTCACGGAGCAGACCCCACCGAAGGTGAGTGGGTTGACGTTTCAGTACCTTGGCTGGCACCTATATTGATGTTATTCTTTACGATGACTGTGAGAAGATACTACTCAATTCCATACTCTTACTGTCTTTATCTTCTCCCAGATACAGCGAGAGGACGTCGCGCAGTGCAGCGCCGTGATCTATACAGTCCCAAACAGGCTAGACCGTTCCACTGTTTCCCCCGCGTGCTTACCTAACAGGATGATGTCATCCGGGCTGTCAATGGTGGAATCGCAATTGACCGTCTGCTTTCGCTCCCTGGCAACGCTCTCATCGGCGTTTCGAGATGCCATTTTGGGAATCCTCCCGCTACTGGACCTTCCACTCTCGCCCCCGAGTTACTCACGGGCCATCGGGCACCCAATGAGGTCTAGCGTCTTGGTTGTTTACCGTCTTGGCAGTTCGGAACGGTGCGATCGCTCCGCTCTCGATGCCGAACGCCTCCCCATGCGTCTGATCGTCGAAGGCCTAGGTGGCGCACACTAGCATCATGCGCAACTCAGGCTTGGGCCCTGCCAGTATAGCAATGGCAATCTCTGGCAAACGACGGCCCTCATGATAGACTTGCATCGTTTCCGATTGTGTCGGCTCATAATGTGGAATGTGGAAACAGCATGTTTGCTCGTGTACTGTATGAGCCCACAAGGACCTGGAGGCTTGGAGTGTTCGGTCGGCTCGCCGGGTCCCCGTCAATTCTCTGGGACTATCAATCGGCACACCAGCTCAATTGACACACCGTCACGTCAAATAAACCTCATAACTTATAAGTGGTTGTGATTCCCGAGGTCATGAACCCGAAAGTCCGGCTGCCAGCCTCCAGTCACTCTTGCTTGACTATACGACGACCTTGCACAAAATTTGATCATAGCTACACCTAGGCCGTTGCCCCCGATAGGACATTTGTGGTGATTGATACGACCTGAGTCGGAGGCGCATACATATGTCGCTAACACTGCCAGCGAGATACGACTTTGCTCTTGCAACTGGTCTTTTGTTTAACACGAGAGTCTGAGGAGCTAGTCGGTACAATCATCGCTGGTGAATATTGGGTTCGGTCTTACTAGGTAAGCATTGACGACGTTGTCGACCTAGGCATCATTGCCAGACCCTCCCTGGCATGATCACATGACATTGCTCACTGATTTGCTGCTTCAGATATAGGCCCAAAGGCAAAAAAGGCCGCTGAACGGCGGTCGTGTTGCTTTTGACTAGGAAAATGCCTTCAACTGCCGACGAGACAGGAACAGGCGCAGCCCCCGATGAAGAGAGCCATCAAGTGGCACTTTCAAATCGCCTGAATTGACAGAGCGGAGAAAGATGAGGAGAAAAGGTTGAACCATCCTCACTAGCAGGGTCAGCTCACCACTGGCAGCGCTAAATTTGAAGCAAAAACCGAAAGAGACCCTCCTTTCAAGTCGCGTACCATAAAACCTTCCCAAGAACTTGTTTTCAGCGTGAAGTGCAAGAATCTTACCACAGATTGAGTTCTTCATAGCGCGCAGGACCTTGCTATGATTTGGCTGTACTCCTCAATACAACCTTGAAGTTTGGTTTCATGCATATTGCTACGGAAATATGTCGGACGTTGCCCCCGCAGCCAAGAAGTGCCAAGGTGTCAACGCCTGGCCAGGGATACCTCCAGTCGGAGTGACACACCTGCAGACTTCGAGACTTCATTTTAAGCGAGCTTTCACAAGGAGCTAGAACAGAACATATAGGCCCCCTTGTTGCAACCAGTTCACCCCGCGCCGAAGTTGGTAGTCTCTGTGTTGATCACACCGAGGAAAACATCTGAAGCGATTCGAAAATGTGATCGTGAGTAATGCCCGTGAATTAATTGGGTTCCGATTGGCTTCAATGTCCGTACCCTGTATACCAAGTCTTTCAAGGCAGGGGCACATGGTGCACCGCGAACGATTTGATTCTCCCGAGGAGAGGTAAAGTACGCAGCAATGAAGACCTCGGGGGAGGGTATAAAAGAGCCCATCAGGCTCCTGGTTTGCTCCACTATCTATCACTTTCATCGGAACACATCCACCAGGAACATATTCTACGCCATCATGTGGTCCGCAGCGATCTCTCTCATTCCTCTTGCAACCGTGGTGGCAGGACATGGATATCTCATCCAGCCAGATAGTCGAACCAAGTTGGGCTTTAAGGTATAGAGTCTGATCAAGCAAAACCGATGACTTGAGCTCGCTGACGATGGCATCAGGCTGGCATTGACACATGCCCAGAATGTAGTATTCTGGAACCAGTCTCATCCTGGCCAGACCTCGACTCAGCAGCAATTGGCCGCAGCGGACCCTGTGGCTACAACGCTCGCGTGAGCGTAGACTACAATCAACCAGGTAGTGACTGGGGAACCAATGTGGTCACTACATACACGGCCGGTGAAGTAGTCGATGTTGTCTGGTGTGTTGATCACAACGGTGACCACGGAGGCATGTTCAGCTACCGCATCTGCCAGCAACAGGATATCGTGGACAAATTCCTGGACCCAGAATATCTGCCAACAAATGCAGAGAAGCAAGAGGCCGAGGACTGCTTCGAGGCAGGCCTTTTGCCGTGCACCGATGTCGATGGACAGGCTTGTGACTATAGTCCTGATTGTCCCGATGGTGCGGCTTGTCAGCGCAATGACTGGTTTACGTGCAATGCTTTCGATGGAACGAAGTGTCAAGGCGTAGACGGCTCTGCGCTTAATTCCTGCGATACAACTATCGCTGGTGGCTATACGGTGTCCAAAAAGATCAAGATCCCCGACTACGTTTCGAATCATACTTTGATATCTTGGAAGTGGAACTCCTTCCAGACGGGCCAAATTTACCTGTCTTGCGCGGATATCGCCATCCAGTGAACCCAGAACACACGAAGGGTCCTTGCTGACATTTCCACATTGATGCACCTCGAGTCTTGTGGGAAGACGGTGCTTATTTGCTGGCTTCATTTGTACATATCCGGGAGCATGCCGCTAAGTTTGGATTTCTGTGATCACACCCGGAGGCTTCTGGGTGAGGTATTTACTATTGCAGGAAATGGAAACTCCATATTTTGAGCAGTATAAGCTCTTCATTGAAACGAAAACGAGACATTGTCAAAAGGTTGAGAACAAAACTGCCACCATAAAGTTTGCCATAGTCCACGAGGGAACGCCGAGAGATGAGCCGATCCCATGCTTTGTTTCACTCTCTGCTGCATTGGAGGAAGTGCCGGTGGCTGTGCTTTCACCGTCACTGGTAGCTTGGGCCTTACCCTTGCCGGTGACCACTGCATTCGCCGAGGTCACAGTAACAGTGTGTATCAAAGGGCTTGTCGTTCTTCCAAACGCATTGGTTGTTTCTCCCATACTCCAGGTGAAGGTATTACCACTAACCGGGCTAGTGATGGCACCTGCTATGTTGGACGCAGTCTTTGTACCGTTGGTTGGCATGCTGGTTGGACTCCAGAATTTACTGAATGCTCCAGCATCTTCACGACCAAAGCCCAAATCGCCGGCGCAGTCATAGTTTTCAAGGTACGGTCCACACTCATCCCAGTCGCCTGGATTCAGAACGCCACTGAACCATTCATCAGCACCCAGCAGGGAGGGCTTCGTGTCAGGACAAGTATCCCAGATACTAACAAAACAAGTCAGTAACGGTGTGATGGAAGAAGAACAGATTGTCAATCAGCCCATGGTGTGGGATCGTACGAAGAAATAATACTGCTGAAGGCGCAGCAGCTGCAAGCCTTGCCATAACTGGTAATATCATCGACTTTCGTGAATTGGTTGAGATTCGTCTCATTGTTTGAACATTTTGTCATTTGCTCTGTGCCAAGGTACAGCTTGCGGTCAACCTTGCCAAGGTTGCAAGAACACGACCCTGGTGCATTATCTGGCGCTGGGAAGAATGGCAGCCCATCCCTATTAGGATTAGGGTACTGGTCAATCCAGCCGATAACGGTGTCCTGGTACTCGCAGGAGTAGACCTGGGGAAAGCATGTTTAGATACCGTCAACAGGGCCGGGGGATCAGAATGAATTACCTGATTCCAGCAGTGCGAACCAGCGCAGTCCATTTGCAGAGCAGACTGTTCAGCTCCGCACACATTCATGCAGTCTATTCCTAGACCTGGACATTTGGAGTTCATGCATGAGATACTCCCACCGCATGACTTCGAGCAGGCCTCGCCCCCACCGCCACAATTTTCATTTATACAGGTTGTGTAGCGTTCCTCCGCGTTCTTATAGCACGTTACAAGGCCTTTGGGGTCTGCACATGAAGTCGATTCGAGATAGCCGACCTTTTCGGTTAAGGCGAAGGGCGAAAGAGCGAGGAAAGCCACCAACCCGACGGCCAAAGAAGCCATATTGTGCAAAACTCCAGGTAAGACACTACGGAGCAGAAAAGGATCGATCCCAACGCCCGAAGCCCCGGATTATATAGCTTGGATACACCATAGGCTCCCTCAAAATGGAGCCTCAGGGTCTTGGATCACATTAGTGCTGACTGAATCAGATATCGAATCGAGCTTCACGGTGGCGATCCCTCCTCAAATTGGATAGCACTGGGCAGGAATCTCGTTTAGATTCGCTCTGTATAGACCAAATGGGAATGCCAAGCCGGGTCAAAAGCAAGGTAAGCCTCCGCTGGCCAAACAGATTTCGTTGGTGGTCTTGGCAATGCCCACAGCTAAACAAATGTGCAAACAAAGGCCCCCGTGGCGCGTCGGGGCGAACGTCGGGTCTGCCGATCCGCTATCGGATTTCCCAATCGGGAGCCAAACTGCGAGACACTTAAAACACCAGAGGAGGGACTACAAGACATCGAACAGGTCCAGATAATTTTTATTTGTATTGAATAGCCCAGCTGGATAAGCGTTCTCGCAAGTGAGGAACCGAAGAGCATTTGTCAAGCAAAATGAAAGCATGCCCATTGTCTTCAACCTTGAAGGACAGAACCCCGGAGCAGAAGAAAGAAACCAAGATGTTTTATCTCCGTTCCAAATGCATCCGACGAATTTTGAGACTTCAATCAGATGGCGAACGGGAAAACGTCGTTTGTACAAACCACTTTGGTTGTCCTAGATTGTTGGACAGACAAAGACTCCGAGACTCAGTCCCCTGTTTGCTGTAGAGCTACATATGTTGCTTCTAACCAATGTTGACACATTTCGCTGTTACTAGGTATATCTTTTACCAATAAATTCAACTGAATAGTTGTTTTGTGATCTAAATACTCATTGCAGATATGAGTGAAGACGACCAGCCCGATATCTACAAAACGCGGGTTCGATATGACATCGAACGAGAAAAACGATGGCGTCCTGACGGCCCAGTCCAATACACCGAATTTGAAAGCGACAATCCAAATCTCGCAGAGCACCATCCAGACATTCCAGCCAATACCAACTGCTTGCAGAACTTGCGCGTGCTCATCGTTGGTGCCGGATTTGGAGGACTTCTTTTCGCCGTGAGGTTGATTCAGTCCGGCTTCTGTCTTGCAACCGATATCATCTTGGTGGACACAGCTGGTGGCTTTGGAGGAACATGGTGGTGGAACCAATATCCCGGGTTGACCTGCGACGTTGAAAGCTACACATACATGCCACTTCTGGAAGAGACAAAGTACATGCCATCTCAGAAGTATGTCTCCGGCACCGAATTGCAAGAACACGCTCAGCGGATTGCCAAAAAATGGGATTTGAGCAGCAGAGGGCTTTTCGGAATGAAGGCAGATGAAATGATCTGGTGTGATCAAGATGGTCAGTGGACGACCAAAGTCTCAGGAGCCGACGGAGTTTCCCAAACCATCAAATCCCAGTTTGTCATTTTGGCTTCGGGACTTCTACACTCTCCAAAGATCCCGAAGCTTCATGGCATTGATCAATACAACGGGAAGGTCTTCCACAACTCGCGCTGGGACTACGATTACACCGGAGGTAGTCAAGTCGACCCGAAAATGAACAGACTTCAGGACAAAACGATTGGATTTGTTGGAACCGGAGCATCTGCCATTCAAGCCATACCCCATCTTGCACGATGGGCCAACAGACTAGTGATTTTCCAACGTACACCATCAGCGGTGGATTCGCGCAACAATCGTCCCACCGACCCAGGTTGGTGGGAAGAGTATACAAACTCCGGCCAACCAGGATGGCAACGGCGCCGAATGGAGAACTTCAACGCATTTCTGTCGAACGATTCTCCTCCACAAATCGATCTGGTGGCTGATCAATGGACCAAAATGCCCTCCTTCAGCGCAGTGATCGGTGGGCCTCGCGCCCTTGAACCTGGGTATTTGGCAGAGATCAGCAAAATCGACCTTGATCGACAGGATTTGCTCCGTCGCCGTATTACAGACGTAGTGACGGATGAGAAAACCGCCATGAGCTTGCAACCCTGGTACGAAGGATGGTGCAAGCGGCCATGCTTCAGCGACGACTTTTTGCAGACCTTTAATCGGTCGAATGTCACCTTGGTGGACACGAATGGAAAGGGGATAAGCAAACTCACCGAGAAAGGTCTCCTTGTTGAACACGGCGAATTCGATTTGGACGCTATCATTTTTGGGACTGGGTACACTCTCGGAGGATGTGCTGATCGAGGCAGTGTTCCATTGACGGGACGCAACGGCATCACCTTTCAGCAGAAGTGTCAAAGTGGCTTCGCAACCTTACATGGGGTGTGCACAAATGGATTTCCCAATCTGTTCTTCCCAGGTCCCTACCAAGCCGGCGCCACAGCAAACCAGGTCTATGTGCTTGATCAGCTGGCTCTTCACGTGGCTCATATTTTATCCAAGGCGAAGCTGAAAGTGACAGGAGAAACCGAAGGATCCCTTGTCTCATTCACTGTTGAGCCCAGCGTTGAAATGGAAGAGGAGTGGACATCTCAAATTCTGTCAAGAGCAGGGGCACTCAGAGGTGCTCTCAACTGTACTCCAGGGTATTGGAACCGGGAGGGTCTGAAGCTCAGTGAAGACGAGGCTTACTTGGCAGCGCGGTTCAGCATTTGGGGAGAAGGCATTGGAAGTTTTGTTAAGGAGATCGAGCGATGGCGAGACGAGGGACTGCAGGGGCTTGAGATCCGGTCGCTCTGAATTTGGAATTCTTTAGTGCTCTCCCAGATACAGTTTTATTGAATACGGCCCCGGGGGCTAAACCAGGCCTACTAGGTATGCGGTCTACGAATTATGTCTTGCGTGAACCTAGGGTTTGCCTTCGGCGCTGGTAGAGTGACATCCAGGAATGCAAGGTGAGAACCTTGGAAAAGTACAACAGGATCTTGCCGGCGAATTAGATCGGGGTTATTTCACGGGGTAATAGAACGGGGTAATAGCACGGGGTAACAAAGCGCGCAAAGACTCTTTGTACAATGCTCACCGGAAGCTGAAAATGGTGTCGCATCCCCCAGACAATGCCGGACCCCAGAGACTTCTCCAGAAAATCCCCGACATATATCGGCAACTACCGAGCCCTGCCAGCCCGAGTGTCTCAACGGCATCACACCACGGCTACAATCTAACGGAAATTGCTCACCGGTACTAAAAGACCCGGGGTGGAATGCTCGGCTCATGACAAAAGCCGTCTCTCGGTCGGAATGACCATTTCATCCAAGAGTTCGGGGCTCGCTGCCATGGTACAGTGCTCCACTGTGTACGAGGATGGTTCCATTGAAATAAAAAACATGGCCAGTTCCCATCTACCGCGTTTGGAAGAAGTGGTCAGGGGACTAAGCGAGTGTCAAGCTACGAATAGCATGCCACCACGACCGATACCACGAGGCGGGAGCGGCCAAAAGCCCTTACACATTGCCGATAATAGCCCGGTATTGCAGCGATGCACGGAGACAATAAGAGCAAAAGGGAGGGAGGATTTCCAATCCCCCGAGCCAAGAGAAACGCGGAGATGAAAGGCGTTCCAAGACCGCCAGGTCGCGCTGGGCCCTCGTCTGAGTGGCCCGTTTCCCCGGGGAGAAACAGCCACGCGAAATCTTGTGTTCTGGGGGTCGGTGGAACCTCTCTGGCTCCAGAGACGGGCTCGGTTATGCCCGAGCTGCGAGCCATTTTGACATGTTGATCGATCAGATTTGGGTTGCTTTTAGTTTGTTTTTTACATCCTTGCGTCCTGACGCGCTACACTCGTATCTGCGGGGTCCAGGCCTTTTTTTCAAGCACTCTCAGAGATTTTCTTTTTCCTCGTTGCGTCCTCGGCAGCTAGCCCGCCTTACGCCAAGACCCTTAGCATTTTCGTGGTAGTAGAATTTTCAGCAGCAGCAGAGAGTGGGATTCGTGGCGCCGTTAGGGTCTGTGCTTTGCACGGCTGGCCTCCAATGTGACATCGAAAGTTGGCATGGATTTCCTTGGGTTCCTACTTTTCATGTTTCGGGGTTTCCGTACAGATTACCTCCGGACCTGGGGTATGGCTGTCAGGGGTCAGCAGACTCTAACATGGCGTTTATGGACAGTAAGCGAGAAACGTGACTCAGAACAGACTCGTAGAGTATATACTACCATAGACCAAAAAAGTAAAAGGTGTTCAACTGAGCAGATGACTAGAAAAAGAAGAGCAAAATGAACTAAAAAAAAAAAGAAAATCCTTTCATGGCACGTGGCGCACGACCCTGGATAATGAACCAATGGACGGTGTCTTCCCCGCGGACTCACAGCCTGAAGTGGACATAGTCCGGAGCCGAGGAAGGAGACGAATGAGGGTTCGGGTTGGACCCGAGGCTCTGTTTGGCTGTCCGTGGTTCTAGATGTGGCAGTCTGACCAACCACCGTCGGCACTTGGGGAGCTAAGGGGGATCGATCCATGGTTTCCTTTCCCCGGACGCAGAACTCCGTATTTGGCAGCCAATCAGAAGGCACAATCTGTCTCACGGCTTGGGCCGTGCCATGCCTTCCCCGGGTTCCCAATTGTCGCGTGGTATGCAAATGGTATGTTCAGGGCCGACTTGGCTACGCCCCCATTCAAGCATTCCAGCCGATATTGACTGTTCCATGTCGTGCCGACACTTCCAGTACTTCCAGTCTGGGGCTAGAGAGGTTTAGACTTTTACATGTATTTTTTGAGTATTTTGGGACATTGGGATGACTTGCAAGCTGGAGTGGCTCTTCTAGTCTGCATATAAACCTCCCTGCATCCCCCTCTAGTCTCAGTCTCATTTCCAATACATCTTCTCTTCTCTTCTCCACATCTCTTCCTGATCAGCACTTTGATCTTCTCTTCATCTCCAACCTCACTTTGACATACACTACGAACACCTTTTACTCGGAGCAGATCTCACCAACTTTTTACCATGGCTGGCGGTGGTGTTATCTCCGCAGCCGCGGATACCTCGCGTGTCGAGGCGCCGGTCACCTTCAAGGCGTACCTGATGTGTGCCTTTGCCGCCTTTGGTGGTATCTTCTTCGGATACGACTCTGGTTACATCAGCGGTGTCTTGGGAATGAAGGCATTCATCATGCAATACGAGAATCTTGTAAGTATATATCTGAGAGACTGGTGAAAATCTCAACTGATTGTCCGGTCATAGGATCCCTTGACCACCCCCGCAAAGAAATTCGTTATCCCTGCCTCCCGCAAGTCGCTCATCGTCTCTATCTTGTCTGCTGGAACTTTCTTTGGTGCTTTGATTGCCGGTGACTTGGCTGATTGGTACGGTCGTCGCACCACAATTATCTCGGGCTGTGGAATTTTCATCATTGGTGTCGTTCTACAGACTGCTGCTAGCAGTCTGGGACTTATGGTTGCTGGTCGTTTAATCGCTGGATTCGGTATCGGTTTCGTGTCCGCTGTCATCGTTCTTTACATGTCCGAGATTGCACCCCGCAAGGTTCGCGGTGCCATTGTCTCTGGATACCAGTTCTGTATCACCATCGGATTGATGCTGGCTTCTTGTGTCGACTACGCTACCCAAGATCGCATGGACTCTGGTGCTTACCGCATCCCCATTGCCCTCCAAATGCTCTGGGCCGTGATCCTTGCCATCGGTCTTTTCGTCCTTCCCGAGTCCCCTCGCTTCTACATCCGCAAGGGTGAGAATGAGAAGGCTCGCGCAGTTCTGGCCCGTATCCGTGGTCAACCCGCCGACTCTGAGTTTGTTGAGCTTGAGCTCAATGAGATCGACGCCAACAACCAGTACGAGCTCCTTGCTATTCCCCAGGGCGGATACTTCACTAGCTGGCTCAACTGCTTCACCGGCAGTCTCTGGCACCCCAACAGCAACCTGCGTCGCACTATTCTCGGTACCTCCCTCCAAATGATGCAACAGTGAGTCTCAGATTCCTTTCTTTCACTTGATGAATATACACTAACCAACAATAGATGGACCGGTGTCAACTTCATCTTCTACTTCGGAACCACTTTCTTCACCCAGCTGGGCACAATTCAGAACCCATTCTTGTTGAGCATGATCACCACCATCGTCAACGTGCTGTCTACCCCCATCTCCTTCTACGCCATTGAGAAGCTCGGTCGTCGTCCCCTTCTCCTTTGGGGTGCCCTCGGTATGGTCATTTGCCAGTTCATCGTCGCCATCATCGGTGTGACCGACGGTGACAACCCCAAGGCTATCAGTGCCATGATCGCATTCATCTGCATTTACATCTTCTTCTTCGCCAGCACCTGGGGTCCCGGTGCCTGGGTTGTGATCGGTGAAATCTTCCCTCTGCCCATCCGTGCCCGTGGTGTCGGTCTCTCCACAGCCTCTAACTGGCTCTGGAACTGTATCATCGCCGTCATCACTCCCTACATGGTCGACGAAGATAAGGGTAACCTGAGTTCCAAGGTCTTCTTCATCTGGGGCTCTCTCTGCACCTGTGCCTTCGTCTACACCTACTTCCTGATTCCCGAGACCAAGGGTCTTACTCTTGAGCAGGTCGACAAGATGATGGAAGAGACTACTCCTCGCACTTCCTCCAAGTGGAAGCCTCACTCTACCTTCGCCGCTGAAATCGGTATGATTGATGAGAAGGCTGCTGTCGGAGCCACTGTTACTCAACAGGAGGTTTAATTTGCCAGACTGGTTCTGTGCTGGCCTTCCCAGGAGGTCTAAATTTGCTTGGCTCGATCTTGCTTTTCTCAACGAAGAATTGCTCGTTCCCCAATCATGCGTTGACGCGTTATGAGACATCGTCTTGATATCCACGAAGTTGCATGTACCATACCTAGGTAGTTTCTTAATAATTTGCTGTTTGACAACTCCCCTGTTTGATATATAATGTAATCTCAGATAAGCTTGGAAGCATTTGTATAAACAACCTCGGAGTTTCTGGCTATGCATGTGCCGCTTAGATTTTGGAACAGCTCAGAATTCGAAAAAAATAGCCCTGGAGCTTTGGGACTCCACTCCAAGCGATTAGTGCGACGACTATGAGTTTTCTCCCACAGCTCAAACACCGGTAGATCTTCGGAGCAGCAAGCAATTGCCAAGCCTTTTGCGATGCTTACATCACCGTCTTGGCAAACCTTGGAACATTTGAAATCTTCACTTTTTGCGACGTAGCTGAGGAGGTAATTGAGAAGTTTGTGAAGTGGATCTTACATGCGCGTTGCTTGCATGCAAGAAGAGATCAAACTTGGCAATTGGGTTGTGGCACAGCAAATCTGTTGGCTGAATTTTCCCACTCAGCCCTCGGCGCTGGAATCTCCGCTGACTGTTATCGTAGCGGCGCGGTCGCCAAGACCCGGCGTACGTACACCGCACACTTTAGCATGCACACGTCCACGAATTCTCCGCCGTGGAGGTTGAAACGCAGCTTAGTATTGTTTGAGACCTGGCTGGTGGCAATGCGCAGGGATGTCTAACTCCCGGAGTCCGACTCCATCCTGGTCACCCATGTCTAGTTCGGAAGAGACGTTACTCGACTTCGACATTGCGCCGCTACCAATGCAGATGGAAACTTCTCTGTCTGCGGAGCTCTTACAGCGCTACTCTGTGCAGCTCTACAAAATATCGTGTCCAAGGCCATTTCCAAGGTTGCTACCTAGGTATCAAGTCAAGGACCCGTTTGGATGTAGAACTATGCCTCGTAATTCATGTCGATCACTAGGCCCACCCTGAACCAGCCCTATTCTAGAACAACTGTGCCCACCCAAACTCTTATTCCCCGTCTCTAAAATAGTACGAGTAGCATTAGAGAGTAGTCTTCTTGGCAGGGGCATTAGTTGCTGCATGATCGACAGTGGATTCGTCATGTACTTATCTAAAATCAAGGCCGAACCAGGGCGTTTCCCCAGGCGGCGGATACCGAGGGCCAATAGAGAAGACCACATTCCAAATATTCACTAGCGACTGCTTCACTCTCATTGATGGACGGTGCACGCTCCGCTACGGGCCTGTAGGTCCTACCCAGGAGCGCTTCGCTGAGAAATATTCCACGTTTCATTTGTCTAGGCGGACCGGAGAACTCGTCAGCTTCATCACGAAGTTGTTTATGTCAAGCGGAGCTATCCTTAATTCACATCTGGCCCCGCTGTGGATATAACTCCGTTGAAGGACAAGAAAGATATAAAAGACACCCAGATACCCGAGTGTAGTGATCGTCATTCCATTCAACCCTATCTTCTTTTCTCTACAGTCCTCTGGCATTTCAATCATGGTTCAACTCGCATCTTTCGTCGCCGTCGGCCTTGCTGGTCTGGCTAGCATTGTCTCTGCTCACCCTGGACACGACGTCAAGGCCGAAGCCGCTGAGCGCGCCGCCTTCCTCAAGACCGTTCCTGTTCAGTCTCGCAGCCTTGCTGGATGTGCCTCCAAGCTCAAGGCCCGCGGCCTTGAGAACCGCAATGTTGCTCGTCGCCAGCATGCTGTCAAGAACCTCCGCGCTAGCCGTGGTCTTTCCCAGAGTACGATATCAAACAGTCCCTTCGCATCAGATAGCCCTAACGAGAAAGCAGCTCCCCACTACTTGAAGGCACGCAGCCTTAACAGCACTCTCAGCACCTCCCACCACTCTAGCCTGACTGGTGTGGATGCTTCCACTGACCCTAGCGTGCTGTTCGCCTCCGAGTCTACTTGCATCCTCGGCCCCGATGTGACCCAGGGACCTTACTGTAAGCAGAAAATCCAACCCTTGATCGCAAAGTCCTAGCTAATACCCATCAGACGTTACCGGTGAGCTCGTTCGCGAGAACATTGCCGAGGACCAGGAGGGTGTCCCCCTGTTCATGGACATCCAGCTCATCAACACCAACACCTGCGAGCCCATCCCCGAGATCTACACTGATTTGTGGCACTGCAACTCCACCGTACGTGCAATTGACCCGGAATTTCATTTCCTCAAAGCAAATACTAATTTGTATAGGGTGTCTACTCCGGAATCGTCGCCAGCGGCAACGGAGACTCCTCCGATGAGCTGAACATCAACTCCACCTTCCTCCGCGGTATCCAGGAGAGTGACTCCAACGGCGTTGTCCACTTCCAGACCACCTTCCCCGGTCACTACACCAGCCGTGCCACTCACATCCACGGTATGAAACCTGCATCCCAAACCTGAAACTCCCACTAACCCAATCTTCAGTCCTGACCCACCCGTCCAACGAGACTGAAGTTCTTGCCAACGGTACCATCTCCGGTCTCTACACTTCCAGCTCCTCCTACGTCGGCCAGATCTTCTTCGACCAGGACCTCATCACTGCCGTCGAGAAGGTCTCTCCTTACGCCACCAACACTCAGGAACTCACCACCAACGCTGAGGACTCCATCCTCTCCGAGGAGGCTGACACCATTGACCCCTTCATGGAGTACGTCTACCTTGGTGATGATGTCTCTGATGGTATCTTCGCTTGGATCTCTCTCGGTATCGACCCTACCCAGGACAGCAGCGTCACCCCCGCTGCTTACTACACTGAGCAGGGTGGTGTTGAGAACGAGAACTCTGGCGGCATGGGCGGTGGTGGCGGCGGTATGGGCGGTGGTGCTCCCCCCTCTTAAATGAGGAACTTGTTTCACAGTGTGATTGTTGAAGGGAGCCGATCATGTTGAACCGATCTTGTTAAGCCATATGCTGTATCTATTATTGTCCTTATTGAACATTATTTGATCTGACGGAGTGCTGTGTGGGCATGTATCAGTCCACGGGTCCCTACCATGTAATTTATCCTTGATTGTACTCACCGTGAAATTGTGTTCATTGGTTGGCCACTTGAGTATTTTCCATTGCTTCAAGGTCATAGAAACTAGGGCGCAATTGAACCTTGAAAGTTTCGATCTTTTTAGGAAAGATATCCCAGGCAGGAAAGAATATATCTTCGATGTAGTGTGAGCTTAAAATTGTGAAAAGAAAAGCTTGGAAGAAAAAGAAATGCTGGCAAATTTTAACTAAATTTCAATGTGATGAATTTCCAAGGTTAAGATTGAGTGAAAGATCTCTAGCATGGTGGGCCTAGACTAACAATGAATACTTACCTAGGTAGGAACGTGCAGGGATCCACGGATGAGCTCGAAAATTATGCACATGTTCCTAATCCAACGAACTAAGGCCTAAACAGAATGGACGTTAATCCCTTCCCTTCCGCGGACCCATTACCGAATGCAAAGCTCCAAGAATGAGTTGAATTTCAAGACTGGTAATCAGCAAGCGCATCTGAGACATACGCAAGATTCTGAATGACAGCCAGCCCATACTGAGCAATGTCATTAGTTGCAAGCCAAGCAGCCTCATCAACAGGCACCAAGACAGCACTTCCATTCACACGGGTCGAATTCCAAGCAGCATCAGGCGCGAGTCCGTCACTGTCATAGAAGTCCTTCCAAGCCCGAAGGGCGAGGGATGTGTTCTTGGTCTCATACGCCGCATAGGCTGCGAGTCTGGAATGCGCCTGTAGCAGACTGATCTTGCTGAAGCTCTGTCCGTAACGAGTCTTCTGCTCCGCTGCTGAAGCATGATAGTAGTAGCAGTAGTCCAACCAATCCTGCTTGAAGCCCTTGGGCAAGTCGTCTGCGAAGTACGCGATGGCCTCAGAGACAACCTCTGGCAGACCAAAGACAGCGTTCAGATGTGAGATAGACACGTTGCCCAGGTTGTCGGGGTCAGCTGGAGGGGGTCCCAATGTCCAGGTGGTAGGGTCGTAGAGACCTGAACCGGTCACGAAGCCGTTAGTGAGATTTGCGATCCCCGAAATTGTGTTGTTTAGCTTCGTCCTGGCCTCTTCCCATCTGGAACCACGTCGTTCCCATTCAATCAACCAGCCGGCGGCGAGACCTGACCAGTCGGTACCGAGACCAAACGAGACTGTCGAATCAGGGCTGGGCTTCCAGCCATCAGTGCGGACCTTTCTCTGTGGATCCAGGATCCCGTATGTCTTATCCGTGTCGAGCAATTCCTCCAAGAGTTCTCCGACACGCTCGTCGCCACCTGATAAGTAGAAAAAGTACTTTCGATATTGAGGCTGTGATATGCGAGCCTGTTTGGCACTGTCCGCCCAATGCTGCACACCGTGACGTGTACCTAGGCCCTTCCAGTCACCAATGTGGTACACGTCGACTTCGCCCGTGTGCCGGGTCAAAGCTTCGGCAAAACGATACGCATCTTTGCTACCGGTGCGAAGGAAGTAAAGCCAGAAGAAGAGATCAGGGGAAAGCTCGGAGTTGTCCCAGGCATATCCGCCGACGTCGTAACGCCAGGTGTGTCGGTCAGTGTCGTAGGTGTGCATGAAGTCACCGTAGTCCAGGAATCCGTACCAGCGTCGTTGTTCGATTTGGTCACGGTAGAATTCAAAGATGAAGTTTAGGTGGTTTTCCAGAGTGCTGGCAGCTTCGCTGGTCGTATCTGGCAAGTTCCAATACTCTCCGAGGGCTTTGGTTTCGTGAATGTATTTTGGCTCTGCAACCAGCACCGGGGGGTTGTTGATATACGCTGCAAGCGATGATAACTTGTCACTTGTTGGTGTCGCGTCGAAAGCAAACAAGTACACTTCGCTAGTACGAGCAATTCCATATGGGGTGTTGAAGCCGGGCTCGTAGTCTTCATAGGTGATTTCCAGAGCGTCAAGCTCATCTTCGTACCCATCTTGCCCAAGGCCATCATGGAAGGGTCGAAGGTCCAACGGATCGGCAGCAGGGCTATACAACCAGAGAGTGACTTCACCCGTGTCAGATGCCGCGTTGGAAATATCAAAGCCAGAGGGATACCGCTTCCAGAAGTCGCGCAGGCCAACGGCAAGACCTCCTTGAGTGGCTCCACCCAGGTAAGCCAGCCCTTCGGCGCGGGTTCCACTGGGAACCTTGACCCAGGACTGACCGGCCTTTGTTCTCTTCTTGAGGCTGAATCCATCGGCTGTCAGTTGGCTCAGACTGTAATCCGCCCATGTAGGGATCCACTTCAACCGTGTAGTGACACGGCTGTCCCAGGTGTCCGTGGCAGGGAGCTTCCGGCCTTCGAATTGGGCAGTCTTAACTTCTTGACCGGGGTCGCGGCGTAGGCCAGTGATGCCTTGGACTGCCTCATTCAATATACCGCCATCAACACCAGCAAATCTGACGTGCCGATCGTAGTATTCCTCGCCCTTCAAAGGAACATCAAATCGAATACCGAGACCAGTGATGAAGTCCTTCTCGTCACCGTCAAAGACGAGACTGTGTACCACTTTGATCGTGGCAGAATTGGCATAGAGATAAAACCTGACGACAAATGGAAGCCAGGGATCGTGGTCGGCGCCGTCAGTTACAGTGTGGTTGCCACGAACCGTGACCAGCGTGCGCACAGAGGTCTGGTTGATTGAGACATCTTCGACTTGGCTTTTGAAATTCGAATATTGGACGGAAGAGTTGGCGCGGCTATCATAATCATCGGGCACCGAGTCCTGTGAATGCAAAACCAATCGTCCATTAGCCGCCACTGACTTGCCATTGTTCGTCTTAATTTCGCCCACGATGATGCTTCCTTTCTTGGGGAAAGTGACAGTCACTTCGCCCGTGTTGACTTTGACCGTATCAGAAGCGTCAGTGACGACAATGGAGTTGTTTGATTTGCTAGATCCGGAGGCCGGGGATGAGCCGTTCACGCATCCGAGAGACGATGCGGTGACGGTGTATTTGTCGCAAATCCTGTCGGATTCGGCAATTGCATGACCAGTCCACTTGAGAGATCCATCAGCCCAGTAGCCGGTGGCCCAAGACTCCAGTCCTTGGATTTCCTCCGCATCTCCCACGAGAGTAAAGTTGGTCTTCCCGGGCTGATATTTGCCTTGGGGCCATGGCAGACCGAAGGTCACGCCAGCGTTGTATGTTGGCGTTTCTCCAAGCCAGTGAACCTCGGCAGAGGATGAGGTGCAATCGGATGCTGAGGCGTAATGGCTCATGATTCCAGCCACGGCCAGCAACCCAATGCCTAGTTTCGACATGGTATGCTGCCAGAAAGTTTGGGAGATAAGCGCATGGTTGCGGTGGCAAGGTGGAAATGGCGTCTTAAATGCACATTGACGCAATTCACCCGAGCTATGAGCACGCGAGGAGTAAGTACTCTTGGCGATGCAACCAGCAGAAGAGGAGATGAAATCTTGGCATCAAATCTCCGAGCTTGGGATCCCCGACGCTCGATGGCTCGAATTGTTCATGATTGGTGGTAAGTCGATTTGATTTTACCGAGGGAAATGACCTTGGGGTCAAGTCGACTCATGACTTGTGAGGTTGGACGTGCTGTTCCCCCGCAGGGTCTCGGGGATGTCGGCCTAAGGACCTCCGAGCCATGCAATCTCGGCACCGGAACTTCTGTTGACCCGTCTCATGCATTTCCCAAAAGGGTAATTCTCCTTATAGTTCCTCGATGGGAGACGGGGTACTTCAGTTTGTTATAGTAGCGCACTATTTGCGACCCTCAAGAGTATTATGCTATCCACAGATCAGATGTAGGTAGCAGTTGGAGACCTGATGGGCGACCTCGGATGAGATGATGATGATGACTCGGAATGAAATCACGGTCAGACTCGAGGTTGATCGCTCGTAACATTGGGAAAAGCTAAAGACCCAAGTGCCCGATTGACTGTTACCTGTTGAAGGTTTTCTCGTTTTTGTTCCATGAGATTCTCCGGGATTGCGCATCTCATTCATCGGGTTTTTTTCTTCGTCGTTGAAAGAAGGCTCGATGCACCCGCGATATCCGTATCCACTTCGATCGGAATTATCTCTGCCCACAATGTTGCCACCTGGGCATGTTCTGGCAATAGCTGTCGTCATCGCTCCCGAGTCTCTATTTTCGGCAGCAGGATTTCTCTTGGTCGCAACAGCTGGGTAATTGTAGGAGTGAAACCTTGGATGCTTTTATAGTGGTGACAGAGGTTAGCTCTCATGTTTGTGCAGCTATGAAACTTGCAGGTTTGACGACTTCTCCGATGAATATTTCGATAAGTGAGCGAAAGGCGAGTGCAAAATCAAGTGAGCTGTAAGACGAAAGGCCTCGAGCATTTGGTTGGGAGGAGAGGAACCAGACTAAGATGGACCTGTAATCACAGTAGATCTCAGGTTGACTCACCTGAGTGGTCTTTCTTGAGAGATGTTGACCGCCGCTTTGCTTTGTTGCGGCCTCGCACTTCGGCGATCTAGATGAAATCATTCCTTGATGCCTGCTTGTCTCGGCGGCTTCGATAAGACGGGAATCCCAAGTTTGGCCCTTTTCTCCATTTATCTCTGGGTAAGTATCATTTGAAGTGGTCTCACACATTAGAAGTTGGAGAATTGAGCAAAGAAAGGAAGGGAGCTTTGAAAGTTGGCATCAGTAAAGAAGAAAATAGAGAACCTCAGTTGGAAAGAACACTGGAAGCATACCTACCTATCCCAAGGTCGAGAGAAGAGCGAAGCCGATCAGTTTTGAGGCAAGTTCTGATTCGCCGGCCGAAGGGCAAAGGCCGGAAGGCATGCCTGTGATGTTTGGTGGATGAGATGGGAGTGTGGAAAGAGAGGATGAAGGAATACGTCCGGAAAAAGAAGATATATAGGAAGATGTTGAAGTGTTGGTGCTGACCGTGTGGCGTGCAGGTGGTGACACTGAACTTGGAAGTTAGAAGCGAAAGACTCGGGTGGGACGACGGTCGCGCTGATACCTAGTAGGATTATGATGTTCCAAGTTGTGAGTGAGGACCATTGGTTGAAGCCCTGTTCGGCTCGTGTGAGCGCCTGAAATTCAAGTTCAAGTAGAAGTTCTCTACTGCCTTGGAAGTAGAATTTGGAGCCGACCTCTTGACTGGATTATATATATTGGATCTTTTTGTTCAAATTCGCTTTTTCTTCCAAGGTTTGATTGTTATCTAATACGAGACAAGTCCCAGGAGTTCACTATTACCTAGGTATTTTATAACATCAACACGAAGGAACCTTGGAAGTCGAACCCTTGAGACAGAGCAAAAGTGTAAATAACATGCAACTATAGGGGCAAGGATGTGGGAACCTCGATTCCAAGGTTGCCGAGGGCTCATTGTTTCCCTATCACCAGAGAATCAAAGATTGAGACCCGCTGCGGCCAGTGACAGCCCAGTAAGTAGGAGAACATGCACTCCTTGAGCCCCCACACCATTGTCCTCGTCTCCAGCAGCGGCGCTGGAGCTTGAAGCGGCAGCACTCGAGGTCTCGGCTGGTCCGTCACAGTGCCAGTGGTCACCGTGAGGCTCGCAGCCGGTAGACTCGGTGGGACTGGGTGCCAAAGAAGCAGTACTGGTACCAGTAGTTGTGGTCGCCTCGGATTCACCGGTTGTAGATGCTGGGCCATCGCAGTGCCTACAGGGATTGTGTTACTCAAACCACATATATACATGGGAAAGGTCTTGAAGAGAACGTACCAGTGGTCACCATGGGGCTCACAGCCAATAGACTCAGTCGGACTAGGTGCAAGTGACTCTGTAGTAGATGTGATCAATGTAGTTCCACCAGTTGTCGATGTCACAGAGGAAGCGGAAGTAGATGCCGGGCCGTCACAGTGCCTGGATTGCGTCAGTCAAACCACAGATATAAAACACAGAAAAGATATTCTGGCACAACATACCAGTGGTCGCCATGTGGCTCACAGCCAATAGACTCAGTGGGAGATGGGCCTGCGCTCTGGCCAACAACAGTAGACGAGACCAGAGCGGTAACTGCGAGGAAGCGGAAAAAGAGACCCATCTTGTATACTGATTTATGACAAGGGGAAGCTTGCGACTAAGTTTGACGTGCTGCGAAGAAAATTCAACCACTGGAATTGCGCTCCCCTCTTATATCTGCAACCGGAGCAGGAACAGCCCCCAAGAAAAGCCCGTGTTCCTGTGGGAGGGTCTTCATGCCAAGACATAAGAAAGTCTTGGTGCCCCAAAGGTTCTCATATAATCTTGGCAAAAAACAGCATTCCACCCTCGGGTTGGCTCTCGGTTACTGGGTGGCTGATGGTGTTTCAGTAATATACTCCGTAGCATTGTGATTTGCTGTGCTTGGTTGATCGTGCCTTGAGTAGGTCTCCAGGCTATGCAAGGACCGTGCTCGGAACTAGCTATCATCGCTTGAAAAGGAAATGATCAATATTCTCCATTCAAGACCCTGAGTTCATTTGAATGTGGTGCTATGCGCTCCACCTGTGTACCGAAGGGCAGATAATATACCTAGTCCTCTGTGAAAAACCTGAATCCTTCCTTTGAAAATGATGATACCTGGTAGAGCTCTTTTACACTTTCTGCGGATCTAAGAAGCAAATATATTTTTTTTCCAATGATTTAATGAGATTTTACAAAAATGCCATAGAGACGCAGGTACAGAAAGCCCACAAGCTTTCGACGGACCAGTAGAGAGTGCTCAACTCCCCCACCAAGCCCGCATACTAGAGCTTGACTGCTTCCCAGTACTGAGCCTGAAAGGCATTTTTGTTCAGCCCTCGAGGATTGCGGCCATAGGCAATCTCAGAGCCTCGTACATCCAGACCCGGTACTGTAACTTCACCAAAATCGGCATTCGTCTCCCGGAACTTGAAACCAACGCGAGTACTCAAAGCCACAATCTCATCTAACGATAACTGCACGAATGGGCCAGTTCCGTACATCAAAGGACCCAGATTGATCCACCGGCCACCAGGGCGGAGCAATCGATGGATATTCTCAATGTACGAGACCAGATTGCGAGCAGTGTCGATAAAGAACAGGGTGACGATGATATCATACTGGCCTGTATTTCCACTGAAAACTGTTGTGAAATCCCCTTCAACGTGTAGAACGGACGATGCATCGGCGACCTGATCTGGGAAGGTCACGGATCGTTTCAAATCAGCTGTTGTGGCATGGTGGGACCACCAGTCTGTGTATGGGTGGAATGACACGCTATTCTGTTCCGGTCGACTTGCCAGGAATCTATAGGCTAAGTTCATGTATGCAGACCATTCGTTCATGGTGACTTTGAAGCCTGGGAAGGGTGTCAGCAAAGCAAACCTCAGGTCAAGACAATAGAACTGTGCCTACCCCCTAGGTTCGCAATCTCGTGAGCGAGTCTACCCAGTCCCGCTCCGGGTAGTAACACGCGCAGGGGAGCATCGATAGTTCTGACCTCCTGCTCAAGCGAGTTCAGGATACACTGGAAAGTCTTCAGTCGCTCTTCATGACCGTCCTCCGACCAATCACGCACAAAGTGCTTCATTCCCTGTGTGACGCTCGTCTTATCAATTCGCTTGCCTTGGGCCTCGGCTTCTTTGATAAATTCGTCTAGTTCGATCTGACTGATGTTGTAAAACCTTAATCCATAGTCTGCTATGGAGCTGGCAAGTTCGACATTCAAATCCAGTAGGCGATTAATGCTTTCCAGCTTGCGGGGATAGTCAACGGCCGACTCAAGTAGCTAAGAAGGTCAATATGGTTCACATTGGAAGCGCGACGTGACCCTCGAGACTCACCAATTTTTGTCGCTTTGGAACTTTTTTGTAGAGATCCTTCCAGCGGTTGATGTCTGATTGACTCCCATCTTTGTATTTGGTAAAGCCATACAGGGCAGTCAACAATCTATGTCGAGGGTGAGAAGAATCCCACTTCCCATTGGACCGTTCAAGGCTTTGTAAAAGGCGGGAATGTTCATCCTCAGGTCCATAGGTAACCGGAACAATTTCTTCAGAAATTGCCGATCTATATGCGAGGGTATCATGGGCAAATTTCTGCTTGGGTTAGCAAACGAGATCATAGATGTATTCATGGCGATATAGACTAACTTCAATCTGCGGTGAGAAATGAATCGCGAACTCAATCCAGGCAACGCAAGCCAGGATGAGAAGCACCTGTCGCCTCGCACTATAGACCATTTCGATAATTGAAGTGGGTAGAACTTGCGAATCAACCATCTTCCATGTGAAGCGGAATGCCAAGGCTTACCAGTCTCAAGGTCCTCGATGCCAAGGTCGCTTGGCGCTCCCCGGGTATTTTGCGGCATATGGTCTGGTCTGGATCGAGAGTCGATATCTCCGCAATTAGCCAGGGTAGCGTTGCATCTCGGCATTGGGGCTGTCCCATATACGGGACTTGTGACCAATTCGAGCTCATGTCCGATGTGCCCCCGAGAGCAACAGCTTGTCCGAGCTTGAGGCCTACCCGAGCTGACCTGGGTGAAAGTCTGAGCGCGGAGGTTCACCGAGTCAGACTCGGACCTTGCCATGTTCTTTTCAGATCGGACTTTGTTAGGAAATCATCCCGGGCATCGCGTCTTAGCGATGAAAAAATACGTGCCGAGGCGGCACCTCAATACTAAATGATGAGGTCAACTAAACGCGACCCAGGTTTGATGAAGAAATGACGAAGAAAATGATGAGGAAAGACTGCATGGCATTGGATCATGTATAAGTGAGAAATGTTGCTTTGTGATATTTACAAATATGACAGATTTAGCGAAAGGAGCTAATCTTTGCCACCTGCACAGGCATAGACACGCGATGACACACCACCTTGGATCACAACTTCGAAGGTCGGGGTTCAGTACACCATCGGCCTTTGGAATAATCGAGTTGCGACCTCGGGAGGTTCTGGATTGAAGAGGCCCGGCCGGTGAGAACCATGATGATTCGCTCATCGCCAAATGCCACCCTTTGCAGATGGAGGGTATGTGAGAGGGTCGTGAAATCGTTCACTGAGGACGGGTCATTATTGCGCTACAGTCGAGAGAGCTTCATGTGTCGGTTGACATCCTTGTAAAGCAGGTAGCGGAACTTCCCGGGGCCACCAGCGTAGCAGGCCTGGGGACAGAAGGCACGCAGCCACATGAAGTCACCTGCTTCCACCTCCACCCAATCCTGGTTGAGCCTGTAGACAGCCTTACCCTCCAAAACGTAGAGACCATGTTCCATGACATGAGTCTCGGCGAAGGGGATGACACCACCAGGTTCGAAAGTCACGATGGTGACATGCATATCGTGGCGCAAATCACTGGGGTCCACAAAGCGGGTAGTAGCCCACGCACCGTTGGTGTTCGGCATGAATGTGGGCGCGATGTCCTTCTCATTCAGGAAGAGAGGGTCGGGCTGCGCAAGGCCATCGATGGCCTCGTATGCTTTCCGCACCCAGTGGAAGCGGGCGGTGGCCTCGCCGGTGTTCCGAAGAGTCCACCCGCTCTTGGGTGGCAGATAGGCGTAACCGCCCTCGGTGAGAGTGTGCTTCTCCCCCGCAAGAGTAATGGTGACTTCGCCCTCCACGACGAAAATCACACCCTGTGCGCCATCGTCGAGTTCGGCGCGATCGCTGCCACCCCCCGGTTGTACCTCCATGATGTATTGTGAAAAGGTTTCGGCGAATCCTGATAGCGGTCGGGCGATCACCCACAGGCGCGTCTGGTCCCAGAATGGTAGGAAACTCGTCACGATGTCGCTGAATGTGCCTTTGGGGATGACGGCGTATGCTTCGGTGAACATGGCTCGGTCGGTGAGGATCTGCGTCTGGGGAGGCAAACCCCCCGTGGGGGCGTAGTAGGCGCCCACCTTCTTGTCGTTCCCCATTTTGCGTATTGAGAGGGGAGGGTAGAAAGACAATTGGAAAGGGAGAGTTGGAAAGTTGGGAAAGCAACTGGGCTCCCCCGCAGATTAAAAGCAAAGTCCTTATCGCTCCACCAGATTGCCGGCGTTGACCGCGCACTCGGCTCAGACCGACGGTGCCGGCCGATTAGTGGGGATTCAATCGCATTGCGTCTTCAATCTCCAAGCTCCCGTGCCCATCCCGATTGAAAGGCTTATTGAGGCTGGGAACCTTCCAAGGAACCTTTTGGAATGCTCGTATCCACGTGACGCAGAAAAATGGACGGGAGTGACAGCCGACGTCGCAAGGTTCCTTCGAGACAATGCCACAATCTCCGAAATGGGGTCACGAACGAGTTCTATGAGACGAAGCTTCCGGACACCGTCGCCCACACCAAGCTCGGGGACTTCGCGCTTCGCCCAGCGGCACCTTGACACTCTGCCTTGCTGCTACAGCAAGTCTGTGGACAACTCAACCAAATGAATCAGAAATCATTCAGACCCGAATGACAATCCAACTTACTTTATTTTTTTTCTCCGAAGACAGAATTTGTCTTGATATCCGCATTACCCATGGCCGTCAATTGATGAGATAGCCATCCGGCAGATCCACGGATTTGGCCAATCTGCAAAAGACGGAAAAGCACCGCGCCTGCGATATGCAAATCGAGAAACACATCCATCAACACCCGGCTGCCGCAAAGTTCTGCTGAAATGCGTTAACTCAAAGCAGGATTTGCTGCCAGATATCCGAGTCTCAATCAAAATGCTCCTCGCAAAGATCCAGCCCTCCTCTGGTCTCACGATTACACTCTCTGCCAGCATGATCTGCCGAGAAGACGCAGGCTGCGCCCGAGAAATTCCGATGCAGCAGTAAGGCTATGCAAGGACTCAAATTCTATGCCAACTACACCCTGTCGAGTCAAAGTGGTGGCGACTTCCCCGCTCTGCGAGAGCATAGCCGCCGCTTGTTCGAGGACATTCGCGGCCAATGTCCGCAATTGAAATTGAGAACGGACGTTGGATCGCGAACATGGAGCCATGCATGAGCCGCTTTGGGGAAGTATACTTGGTTATTCCCTGGTGAAGATTACAACCAAACAGACCGGCATTATTGCTCACAGGCCTCCATGGGGCAGCCGGCAACCGCCCATATTTTACATGGACAACTGAGGGATGTGGCAAGTCAAGGTTCGTTGGTCTGATCTCGAGCGCGACTACATACCCACTTGCCCAGAAATCTCGGACAAAGTCCTCGGTGTTTGCGGGGCTTTACAGCGCCGTACCCAGTCGGCAATCTAATGGTCTTCTGGCCCATAATACATCTGGGTATCCACTTAATCTGTTTGGAAACAGAGTCCATGAGTGGAGAAGCCAAGAGCAGATTGAGAAGGTTGTCAAGGAGAGCAGGGATCTCATTGTCGGCGTGTGAAAGAAACAGGAAATTTGACCCCGGAAGGATCAACTGGGCCGTTCGTTGATACATCCCGCGACAATAAATCGGCTTCGAACCTCAAGATCCTCAGCTCAGGAGTGCAAGACTCGCTGACGCGAGAAGTCATTCAGCTACTGATTTCCAAAATGGATGGTCCTTTCCTGTCAACACGAGCTTTTTGGATTCAATCAGGGTCTCTGCTTGATACTGGGATTGTCAAATTTTCTGCGCGAGCGCCATGCCGGGAGGGACAGAGTATGCTTACTCCCCACCCTGCATCCCTTCCAAGGTTGGCTTTCACCCCGCAGGATTGAGGACTGAAACAAATACAGGATAACCCGTGTTACGCCAATTTCTCCGCATTGACATCACGGCGTTTCAAACAAAGTGTTGATGACCGAATGACAATCCTCGTATCGCTGTTTTGTTGTACCTCCGGTCTGGGAGTACTGGCTTCATTTTTGTGTGACCCATTTCCCTGAGAACCCTGGCAGTATCAGATCTAGATCTCCCGCGTGTTCGTGTAATACTGACCCTTGCAGCATTCACGTGTCATATGTAGGGCAAAATATACTGCCAGCGTTACTGTATGGGTGCCATGATATTGGAATTTTGGGCTCCCTTTGGAGAATACGTGCTTTCATCGTGGTTTACAGTTGTCTACAGATGTGCCCAAGTTTAGTCCTCTGCACCTTGCCGAAATGGTTCATTGCCTGCATAGTGGGCAGGCGGCCTCAAAGTACAGTGAAGAAATGGGCTTGACAACATGCGCGCCACATGGTCAGGAAGTTTCAGCAAGTCATCTCCGCGAGAGATGCAACTTTCTAAAAAAAGGATCTATAGAAGTGAGGGAGATGATCTCTCCACGACATCCAATCAGCGTGTTGGCAATTCAGTATCAATCCAGAATATTCGGCATAAACAAAGATATTCGGCAATAAATCTCTTTCCGCTAGGCTACCACATTGCGAGCCCGATTCATTCACGATAATGAACCGGTCGGGCGGCGAGGCAGGGGGCCTAGACGCGCTGCACAGCCGAGAGCGAAGGGCCGACGCAATGCATGCTACAAGCCAAACCTTGCCTCAATAGTGACTGACGCGATGGCTTGGCGTGGATCGTCATGAGGCGGGGATAGACGAGATACCCCGGAGAAGAGACAACGGCGGAGTGCTCGGGATCCGCTGCGGGAATGATCGACGCCCACCCCACGCCGAGCATTCCTCTCGGAGTGGCGCAGTGTGAAGTCAGGATAAACAGATCGGGATAAGATTGATTCCCCGATGCATCGAGTTAGGATCATCCCTCCTGATAAGCAATTGACACACCGCGCTGACATTATCCGATCTGCCTGCGATCCTTTGACTACCATTTCCGGACTTCACAACTCGACTCCATCCGAAGGGAATTTCACTACAAGCGTTACATTGGAACCATCGTAGCCTCTGGGCTCTGTACGCCATACATATGATCCCCTTGATCTGACCTCGTCACATGGTGATGTCACAAATTGCAGGCCAACCACGGTTTCCAGCCAAGTTGTGGAATCCTGCCAAGTTGGCTACCCGACGAATTGGAGCGGTGTTGCATCCTTGCTGAGCAATAACTCAAAATCCTCGGTCCTTGGCACAATTCGGCATCAAGAGCCCAGCGAGGAGGGGGTGTTTGGGCTCTGCCGAGCCTGAAGGTATCATGAACTCGAAAACTAACACGACTATCTTTTCTTGGCACCGCATTGCTTTTTCCGACAAAGCAATTTCCTGACCCGAAACATCGCAGGCGGATTTTCGTCATCAGATCTGGGCGCCCATGGGGTCAACGACCCATACCCCAGACCTGCCCAGGAAAATGGACACGCTAAAGTCAAATACATGACTGCACTGAAGAATGCCAAGGGGAGAAATTGTCAGCATCAATCGCAAAGCAGCCATCTAGTCAACGCCAAGAAGTGGGATTCGAGGCTGTGTGGTCGGAACTCAGCCGTTGGCACACATAGATAAGACTCCCTAGTGATGAACCATCGACCACGCTCCCGGAGATCACTCTTGGCGACCAGTCTCACTACAGATCTTAGGTCCCATGAAAGGACTAGTCTGGGTGAGCTAGTCGATCCCTTGGCAAATAAACTCTACCTTTAACGTTTTCAGGGGCCAGAACAGCCGATGTCTTTGACATGTTTGCGACTGCACGCATTTTTGCAATGCCAGGATCAACTGCATGCAAGCTTCGGATAAAATATCGACAGGTCAACAAGTTCAACAATTTCGATTCAGTCCATCGCTGTCTATATCGCAAGCGCCAATCACGGCGCGAAAGCGTAATCCCGCCGCCAAGATAGTTTGTTCGCAATGCTCCCAAGTTCACTCCTGATAACACGGAAGCCTAATAGTCGGCTCTTGACGTATAGGCCCCACCGACTCCACCGTATTAACGTATCGATGGCGGAGTAAGCTGCACTTGGATCTCTGTCTTCCGCGGGTGTAAAACGCTTGCAGCGAAGATGATCGTCCGCGCCAAGATTAGGCTGAGATTCCGCCAAGTAGGAGTGTGAGATCAATCCATTTGCCGGTGTTCAACCGTAGCATGGCGACTTCGTCATGGAAAGAAAAAATAATTGTTGATATACATTTGGAGTTAAAATGTTCGGTTGGAGGTCATTCGCGTAGTGACTGGGCTGGGAAGAGCAATGTGTCCTGGATAGAGATTTTGTCTGACAGATATGCCCCGGCTGTGTTACAATGCTCAACAGCGGTAGGGATGGAGTAGGTATCATTGTTTCAAGTCGCCGGGGTTTTTTCTTATCTCGCGCTTGGCGCTGATCCAGTGTTTTCCTTGCATGGGGGATGTCGGAATAATGGCGAATTCTGGGTCATTATTAAAGACCAAGCCTGCCAGGTCTGATCTATCAGTCTGTTCCTCTCCACACACAATTCTCCCACGGTTGATTAGATCGGTGATTTTGTCTATAAAATTGCCATCGGAACTTTATATATCTATATCATCATGAACAATCAGCCTCCTTCTCCCTCGGACACGATAGAGCCGTCCAAGACTATCACATACGATACCCCTGATAGTCCTCGAATCTACCCAAATGACTTAACGGCTGCCAATTTCCGTCTAGAGAATACAAATGACGAGACGAAATATACCCCTGGGCTGTGGTCGTCGGGTGGTAGCACTGCAGTGTCCCTTTCCGGAAACCAGGATGACAACTCGATGCCGGCAACCCTCTCACGCCATTTCCGAGCAAACATAAGTACCAAACATACCGATATCGTTTTAATAGTTTGTGGATTTGTCGGCGGTCTGGTCGACGGTCTATCCTTTAATGCATGGGGAAGTTTCTCCAGTATGCAAACAGGTACGTACTCACAAAACACACTAAGTATCTCTACACCGACAACCAGCAGTACTAACAAAATCGAACAGGAAACACAGTCTTCCTGGCTCTCGGTGTCTCCGGCCAACCTGCCTATCCCGCATATCTCTGGGCCAAGTCCCTGATTGCCATAACGGTATTCATCTGCAGCAATATCTTCTTCATCCACATGCACCGATTCCTCAATCCTCGGCGCCGCTCAACAATGATCATCTCATTCGGTATCCAGACTGCTGCCATCCTAGCCGCCGCTATTCTCGTCCAGCTGGGCGTCATCCTCCCCAAGCCCGAGGACCCTCGCGCCCCGATAGAGTGGATGCAAATCCTACCCATCTCTCTTCTATCATTCCAAGCCGGTGGTCAGATCTGCGCATCCCGAATTCTAGGACTCGATGAGATCCCGACAGTTGTTGTCACTACGCTTCTATGTGACCTGCTTGTCGACCCGAAGTTGACAGCCAAGGTGAACCCGAAGCGAAACCGTCGCATCGGGTCATTCCTTGCCTTGTTCTTTGGTGCTATGACGGCTGGTGGGCTTTCAAAGACCACCGGTATGGCTTCCAGTCTTTGGTTTGCTATGGGGTTGAAGCTGACCATCACTTTGGGATGGTTTGTCTGGCGTCGGGAGGGTAGGAGAAAGAGTGACGTGGATGTGTGATGTTTCCAACCTTGGAACCCTTTGGACATTCTTCTTTTTTAGTTCTCGCATGTTTATCTTTTCCTGGTTCGTTATACCCAGGTATCGCATCATTAGCGGGCATATTTACGGAGGCTTATTGTGTATTCTCACGCGACGAATGGTCGAAATGATTTTGTTCGATGTTTTATAGCGTTTCACCCTGGATCTACTCCAGGGATGTGCTGCACTGTTTTGGTGGGCAAACGATCACCATATTTTGGCGAAGTGAAATAAATTACTCGTACCAAAATTGAAATATTATATGCTCTATGGTCTGAATAACGTTGGAAGTTGAGTAAATTGTGTAATCTGACATTCTTCGAAGATCGGCATCGAACATGGCCGACTTCTCGGGATCAGCGTAACCCTTACAGATGGGCACGTGGTGTGTGCAAGCGACTGATCTTGAACTTGGCGCCTGGGCGCAGTAAAGAGAGTGCAGATTTCACTACGGAGGGAAATTCAAGTCACACCTACCCCGTACCAAGACGTCGCCATCGGCCTAAGGGGCTTTCAGTGTGCCCAACCCAGGTGGCCAAATCAGATGTATCAACTCTTGTCTATATTTTCTTCTTCTTTGCTGTTGAACTTGGCTCCAAAGAGAAATTTTTTCACAAGACTCGGTGTTATTTTAGTTAATCAGAATTGATGTGTCTACGGAGTGACTGTCGAGGCCAAGGACCTCGTTCACTGGTTTGGTGTGACCGCCCAGCTTCTACGGAATACCCCTGCGGGCCTGCGGGCGCCATCATGATCTACTTTTCAAGGTCTGTCATGTGAGACCGACGGTTTAGCCACCTTTGCGTTGTGGCGCAGTGTTTGGTTCAATAGTGTTCAAAATTTGCTTGACGGAGTACGGAGAATATCGATCTTTGACCCATATTTCTTCCATCGATATAGTACTATTCGTGGGTGCTGAGTCGAATGTATTGAGTTGACCCACGCCAAATCACATATTAACTGCTTACTACAAATCCCAACCATGCTAAAATCGAGGATTTCAGATTCAAGAGCTTTATTGTATCAGTATGTGACGAATCTTGTTTTGAAATCTAGTCTATAATCTATGAGACTCTATATTTGTTGATGCACACGGGGAATTCCCGATCATTTGCTCTCATCGCCCAGCACAAAGTGAAGCACACCTGGCTGCGCGCCAGGGCGACTGTTCTCGGACACGTAAATGCACTTGCGGAAGGTCATCATCAGGGAGTAGAGGAAGCTCTCCTCCTTCTCTTCGTGGTAGTTTTCGCCGAGCAAAGGCTGAATTGCCTTGGTGGCACGCTCTGCGTGGTAGAAAGGAATGCGACTGAAGAGGTGGTGGACGACGTGGTAGTCGATGATTTCGTGGAAGAAGTGACGGCCGATGAAGCCTGTGGTGCGATCGATGGTAGCCAATGCGCCCTTGGTGTAGGTCCAGGCCTCGGGGGTGTAGTGGGGAACAGCGGGGTGGGTGTGCTGAAGGTATGTGATGGCAACTGCAGATCAGGTTAGATTGAGTTCCAAAATAAATACAGACGGAGCTTTCAAGACGTACTCAGCCAGTGGTGGACCCAGAGGTAGGGGACAACGTAGAGCAGGAACATGTTCCATCCGCCGATGATGGTGCTGAAGTAGTACACGATGGAACCCATGATCAGCAGACCGAGATCGGAGTAAGCGATCAAGATCCACTGCGAAGGCGTGAAGAGAGCACTGGAGGGGTTGTAGTGGCTTGCATATGCGATCTTGCCCTTATCCTCGGGTCCGCTCTGAGTACCCGCGGTAACGTTGAGGAACAGATACAGCTGCCATCCCATCAATTGGTGGCCGATAAGCTGCATGAAGGAGACAATCGGGGTCTCCTCGGCAAGGTGCTTCAGCTGCTCGATCTTCAAGTTCTTCTTTGATGCCAAATCCTTGTCAGTCCACGGGACAAAGACAGTGTCCTTTTCCATGTGGCCGGTGTAGCGGTGGTGGCGCGCATGGGTAATCTGCCATGAGAAGTAGGGAACCATCAGGAACGAGTGTGCAGCCCAGCCAATGAAGTTGTTCACGGTCTGGTGCTTGGAGAAGGCACCGTGGCCGCACTCATGGGCCAGAATCCAGAGTCCAGTTCCCACACATCCTTGGAAGAAGGTGTATGTTGCCCAGGCCACAGCGCGCAAAGGCAGGGAAGGGATGAGGTGAATGTGCAGCGCGGCGTAGATCAGAGCTGCGCAGTAGAGAATGTCCCGCGCCAGGTAGAGGAGGGAGTGCGGAAGTGAGGACTCGAAGCAATCTTTGGGAATTGCATCCTTGAGCTCTTTGAGGGTAGGGACTTCGTTCTGTCGCAAGAATGATCTGTTAGTGTTCACTCATGGTATTGGATGGATGTTTCTCACCTTGACCTGCTCAGCAGGCTTGATGTCTGCCCCGGACATTTTGAGGGATAACTCTATACTGAAGGAGATAGAAAGAGGTACAAGTTTCGAGACATGGGTTTTTTATTCTTCAATTCCCTTATCCTAATCTATTTTTCTTTTTCTTTTTCTTTTTTTTTTTAGCAAAGTGTTCCCGTTTGCCCCCGTTTGTCGTATAAATCATTTAAAGGAGCTCTACTCCGAGAAGGGATCGACCAATCCGGAGCCTCCAAAAATTGTTCCAGAAGACTGTCAGAGTGGCACGGACGGGATACTTGCAACATGATTGGCTCATCGCCTCTCGGGTGGACGTTTGATCCATGGATTAGCCTTACGCTAGCCTCTTTCTTTTTTTCTTTTTCAACGTTTCTGGAGCTCAACAGATTCCCTTACCTTTGTTCCCTTGTGGAAGTAGAGTATGTTCCTGACGATAGACTGGTAAATGGACTTCGAACCTCTATCCTGTCTGCACTTACAAGGGCTGATACGGAAACTCAATTCGAAGCTCCCTGCAGCCCCTTTTTAAGATGATCCGGCTCCACCAATGGACAACGGTTGGGAAAAAACTTAAAAAGTTTGTCTTGGCGGCTAATTTTATCGCCCCTGCGAGGGGAACGTCCGAGGCGCAGATTCGATTCACATCGGTTTCGCTTCGGGTACGTACACGTGCTATGCCGGTGCTTTCGACCAGTTCCAGCAAATGTTGTCCGTGAAACGAACGCATCCAAGGATGATGTACAGTATAGTAAGGGAATTCTATGTGCGAGCACATGTAAAAGCCTCGATTAGTACTCCGTGTAGACGAAGAAAAATTTGTTGAGGACGACCCCATACCGATTGATCATCGTATTGCGCTATCAAACATGTCCCCACAAGTCACGGGATGCGATCTCGGTGATCTCGAGCAGAAAAAGGGGCCATCGTGAAATCCTACGGAGCACACAACAAGCGGCAAGGGGCCTCGGGCTCTGACTCCCAATAGTATGCTATAGTATTCGGGGAACAGATCTGATTTGCCCTCGCCGGATTTGCATTCCGAGGTTCGTAGTACAGTACGGAGTACGGAGTACAAAGCACGGAGTAGATGCGAGTTGAGCTGACCGATTTGGCAACACCTCATTTTATCAACGGAAGGTCTGCCCCATTCCCCTTACGCCATCCTATCACGTTGCCCAGGTGGATGGGAGAGAATGTGACACCGCTCCGGGAGGCAAGACGTCTCAACTACTGAACGGAGTACTCGCCATCCTCCGTAGTTTGAGTGGAGTGCCACATTGATTGCTCCTTCGCCTTTCCGGGGTTTATCGCCCCCACGCCTTGCCTTTCTTCCCCTTCTCATACCCAGCCAGGCCTTCTCTCTGCTAGGGACATGCATCAAAACACTGTGTCGATATCTTTTCCGTAACTGACATAAATGATACCTATATATTGTCCAGGGAGTACGGAGTAGAACATGGATCAGTTGTATTACCGTTTTATGACGATATATGGCGGTTTTCATAAATAATTGACTTGATCTTCAGGAATCCATCTCGGCATCGAGTAAATCGAACAGAGCTTGAGCGGCACCAGTGCCCTAAATATGCCCTAAGGGAACACGGTGGTGCTAAAATTTCCCAAAAGGGTTCCCGACACGCGCCACGTGACTACGGGTAAAATATCCGGGGTAGCTTCGCTGCGCTTCTGACAGGATGCTACCCCGGGCACCGTACTTCGTACGTGCATCTTCAATTTCTCTCAAGCAAGATGGCTTCTGTGTTGGAGAAATCGTTCGAGCCTCTCGTCCTTATCACGCCTAGATTGATCATTATCCCAACCCCAACCGCAGTCTCCCTCAGTTCATACCGAGCTCTGTATTCCTCTCTCCACGCCAATGCGGCATTCTGCGAGATGGCCTTCGGGCATCATTTCCCTCCCAGAACATGGAGCGATGATGAAACGCGCGAGGTGATACAGACACGTGACATTCAACGCTGCTGGGAGAGGCGTGATCTGGGGGACTTTGCAGTAGCTTTACTGCCTGCGGCATTCCAAACAAACCCATGTAAGGAACTCGGCATAATTAAGGGCCCAGATTGCGACCGAATGCTCAATCAGATCTGCCTGGAGGAATTGCAATGGGTGGGATATGCAGGGGTCCGTGATGCTACGACGACTTCGCTCCCGCCAAGGGAAGCTGCCGATCCGGCTCTGCCACCATGGCAAGAAATGATCGAAGTGCGCTATGGTGTCTCACCGCAATTCTGGGGACAAGGTCTTGCCACGGAAGCGGCCAAGGCTGTTATGCAGTGGTCTGTGGACGAGAGAGGGGTGAAGCGATTTATCGCCGAGACCGAGAGGGAAAATACCCGAAGTGCGAAAGTGTTGCAGAAATTCGGCTTCACTCCGAGTGGCACGGATTATTGGAAAGAACCCACCGAGATCGAGTGGGAGTGCACAAAACTGCGGCTGTACTGACCCGGTCTTGGCGGGCTCCAGCTTTGACATCCTGGGGCATGGAGAGTGAGAGTGAATACTGTGCCCAGGTGCATAGACCAGGTCATGCAACACTTTCCCATCTTTCGAGATTCCAAATGTCGCAATGAAGCCAACACATGGACAATCGACTCAAATTAAACTATCCGAGCTACAAATGGCGTCAACTTCAGCCCACATCACTCTTTCCAATCTATCTCCAATCACAACACGGCCTTTGGCTAGTACTTTCAAAGCTGTCACCAACTTGCCTTAGTTTATATTCCGACAACGTGGAGTATTTTGACACCATGGCCCAGCTGTCGGAGATACATTTCATTCAATTTAAAGGCCATGTCCCGTGAAAACAGCCTCTCGAACTCACAACCAAAAAAACAAAGAAAATTCTCAAGTCAAGACATGGCTCCCCGCTACCAAAGCGTCGCTGTGATCGGTGCCGGTCCATCTGGCATCTCCGCCTTGAAAGCCCTGAAGGAGGAAAACATCTTTCAGACCATTCGCCTCTTCGAGCGGCGTGATAAGGTGGGCGGGATTTGGCACCTTGATGAGACCCCCGATCGATTCCCCTCACCACTTTCCTCGAAGCAAAAAGAAGAGCGGTTTCCATCTCGCCTTCCATCACTAGAACCGCCTGCGCCCGAAGACCTGACAGCACGCACCGCGATCTATGAAGGTCTCGACAGCAATGTCGGGGCTAAAGCCATGTCATTCACGCATACGCCTTTCCCAGAAAAGAACTCTGCCTCTTCTACCAGGAATTTTGGCCGGTTGAACCCGACCCGCCCGTTCCGAGTTGTCAGAAAGTATTTGGAGGATGTTTTCCAGGACTACCTTCATTTGGCCTCTCTCAATACAACGGTTGAGAAGTTGGAGAAGCGAGACCAGAAGTGGCACCTAACACTTCGACAGACTGGGCACTTGGATGAAGGAATCCCCAAGGATTATTGGTGGCAGGAAGAATTTGACGCAGTCGTTGTCGCATCTGGTCATTACAGCGTGCCATTTATTCCTATTGTGCCCGGGATAGGAGCGACTGCTCAACGCTACCCGACCGTGTTTGAACATTCCAAGGAGTTCCGAAAGGCCGACGACTACGTCGACAAACGCGTCGTTGTTGTCGGGGGCAGTGTATCATCAGCGGATCTCGTCGCTGATTTACACGCAATTGTCCGAGGTCCTCTTGAGCTATCGCAGAGAGGAAAAAACGAAGCTCTTCAATCCGCCTGGGACCTCCCAAATGTCAAAGCGCGACCTACAATCAAAGAATTCAAACCCACCGAAGACGGCGTCACCGTCATTTTCTCCGACAATACCGTGATAGAAAAAGTGGACAAAGTCATCTTCGCGACCGGATACAAGCTGTCATACCCCTTCATTGTCCCAAACCCGGTGACGGCAAACAACCGGCTCTCCGGATTCTACCAACACATTTTCAAGATCGGAGACCCGTCCCTTGCGCTCGTCGGTCAGGTTCGCGCTGGGATCAGCTTCCGCGTCTATGAATACCAGGCCGTGGCCGTGGCGCGCTACTTCGCTGGAAGAAACGCGAATCCTCTGCCAACACCGCAAGAGCAGGATCTTTGGGAAGTGAAGAGACTTCAATACAAGGGCCCCACAGCCTTATTCCATGAGATCAAGCCTGACTTCGCGGAGTATTTCGCTTTCCTGACCGGATTGGCTGGTCCACCTGCACCTGGAACGGAAAGCTATGAGCTTCCCCCTTGGGAGGATCGATGGGCTGAGCAAGCTTTTGAAATCCTTCAGAGTAAAGATAGGTATTGGAAATCTTTGCGGAGGGCAGCTGACGATGAACGCCCGTTGACGGCGAAATTATGATTCACCGCAATACATTTTGTGGGCTCGCATGATGCAGTTTCACATTCTTATAAGAGATCGCTCTGATGGCTCAACCACTTTTGTTCAAATGCCTCGTGATAGAATGACTTGAAGATATTACTGTCAAGCACTCGTGCAGAATAGGCCACAGGCATCTCGTATGTTTTCAATGTTGTTTCTTGTGGGGGTCCATCGATTCCCCCCTCAAAGGATGAGGGGCTAGATGAAACACTCAGATTGGTGATTTGTTCAGTGCTGGCGTAATCCTCCAGCTTCGAGAGATCCATATAATCGAGATTGAGATGTTTTGGTTGATTCTTCAATGGCAACACCGGCGCAGCGGGAATAAGATCAGGTATCAGAGGTAAAGTGAGCTTTCTTGCGGCATCCTCTTGGGATCCTTTACTGTCTTCCTGGCTTGAGTCCGACGGTGTTATGACATCGCCATACGGCGACTGACAATTGACAGTATAAAGATGCGGTGGAATAACAGATGTCCATGGCAGCCGAGGAATGTTACCCAGAGCTGGAAGGTCACGAACAATATCAGGCAAATCATGAGCAGAAGGAAGTCTCCCAACTGCTAGACTGTAGTCCACCGACTTTGATATCAAAAGATAAGCCCTTGGACAGCGGATGAAGGCTTCTTGCCAGCTTTCAGGGCGCCGTGTTCTTGTGGACATCACTGGGCTGGATCTTGAATTTTGGCTTGGAGTTCCGGATACCGGTTGCTCTGCATGGGTTCCATCAAACGGTGTCTCAGGTGCAGCTCTGTCGAAGAAAAGACTTTGCGTGGTTGTGTAGGCAAGCTGTAAGATATGGTTGGTGCCGACAGCTACGATGTCTGTAACGTCATACACAGACTCGGAATGTTTGATGATCAACCCGAGAGAGTTCAATCGTTTTTCTCTCTTCTTTATTGCAGAGGAGGAGGGCGAGAGTTTGAGATCTATGGCTGCGAGTACCAACGGCATACTCACGTATCCAAGTCTATCGGATGCATGTTAGCGATGGTTACAATGACAGACGCAGCACGGGTCAAGGCAAAGCTTACACGCTCAGTGGGAAGCTTTCCACATGGCCATGAATGCTGAAATGTTCCATTACCCTGCTGAGCCCTTCGATTCCATCTCGGAGGTCATCGCTGACATCTGTAATCATCTTTCGGTATTTGCCGGCAGCAAGGAACTTGTTATCTTCCAATATAAACGCTTCGAATTGAGCAAGATCTACTCTTGCTGCACTGATTATCGACGAACGAACATTAGAATTCAGTCAAATCACAGGAACACATCCACCTACTGATAATACATATGGGTCAAGTGATTCAGAGTTGAAAACGCGTCGTGGCATTCACTCGTCAGGGTGTCCATAGCAAGTGGCGGGCTCTGCCAGTTTCTCAGAGATTCTTTGATATATTTGATCTGTGATGTGATTTTTCCAAAATCTGCCATCGACGTGGGATGTCGGGATGCTCGTGGGTGTGTGAAAACAAGGGAAGTCAGATCCGTGACAAGGACAGCCAGTTCACATTGTTGCTCCAGAGCTACTATTAGCTGCACTTTGTTTTCAAATGAATATACTTCAGAGTGATGCATTTCATCCACAAAGTCTTCCGTTGTTAGCCAGCCACACCATCCATGAGAGGTGACTGAAGTCACCTGGGGTCGACGGCGTAGGCCAATGCATAGGCTTCGATCACGCAGAAGGATTGACCACCAAAGACGTTTTTTCATCGAGATCAGATTGGTTATCGGCAATGAGCACTGCTGATTATCGATTCGTATGGCGTTTTTGATAGCTCTTGAGACCCATAGACTACCGCAGCATGGGTCATCTGCAGAGGTGTAGTGTGTGAGCAAAACAGCTCCTTGTGATTTGGCATGACAGTTCGGTTCCGCGCCGAGCTCGTACAACAGCTGTATATCATCAGTTTTTATTCTGGAAAGCCAAAGAACAAGGGTATATCTCTTACTTTGGCCCGGTTGTATAGCTTTCTCCTTGCATCCTTCCGGTTCGAGAATCCACATTGCTTCAGCGTCGCGCTGGAGATGAACTTGCATACTATTAGTACAATCTGCGTATCGTGATTGGCTTCAAGGAACTCCACTCACGATACTGCTTGCAAAAAGCATAGATTGTAGCACGAACAGGGACACTGTGTGATTGTGTGATGCAACGGTGCGATAAAGCCTCCAGAAGTCTGCTTCGTCGATAACCGGCACAAGCGGGTGCACACGTGCGAAATACTGTCGAATGAACTCATCTAGTAGATGACGCGGCGGCAGACTGAAGCAGCCCTCTGATTCCAGAAATGACATATCATCGGCAGGTAAGGACATCAGCTGGATCGTATCAAAAAACTCATATTCGGCGAGTGAAAGACACCCTGGCCATGGACTGGGGTTGGGAATCTGCTTGGGCAAAGAGTACCCGCCAAACCCTTCGCCGGGGCTGGCGTTACAAGACAGATGGATATCCACTGGGCAACTGATTGGTGATTTCGGGTTTTGCAGCCTAGAACGCAGCAACAGATCAATATCGAACATCTGGTATTGTGGGAGGTCTTCGACAACTTAAGAACTGACCGTCCAGGGTTTTTAGTGCGCATAATACACTCTTTGCGGCCATCTTGCCGACACCGCGTACATGGGGAGCCTAGAATGGATGCATCACAACGCACTTTGCGATGCTGACACCAGGAACATGCTGTCGGAGATCGTTTCGTCCGTCGTAGCATTCTGGACACTTGAGCGCCGTGGAGCACTGGTATTATGAAGTGATGAATTAGGATAATAGCGGGGTTCTTCACACACAGCGCACTTGTGGGGAAGATCAGCAGCCGGGTGATCAAGCAGCCGACTTGGTGTGGTCCGGGGAGGTCGAAGTGCATATGGGTGAAACTTTACTACGTACTTCACTTGCTTATGAGAAGACACTATATTCTTTGACTTGAGGTAGCAACCGGCTCACTTCCTTTACTAGAAACTGTTTCGGGGTCTTTCCCAGGTCACTCTGTGTACGAAGGCTAAGTTATCGTTAGAATCTATCAATTTACGTATGGTATAAAAACACACCCTAGGACTCCGTTGGAATCTTGGAATTTGGATATCTAGGTACCAATCCGGGCATGACCCGAGTAAAGTTTTGTAAACACTTGCCCATCAACTAGATTCAAAAGAGGACCTGAGCAGATTGTTCTCGGAAAAGCAATAGTTCCACACTCCCCCGCACTTCGGCCGCGGAACTCGGCTTCTCCACATGCTGCACTGTGATGTTTGTTTCTCACACTACAGAATACAAAAGGCGTCACTTTAGTTATGAATCATGCTTTGTGGTAATCACAGCTCTGTCGGTCTGCCCCAGGACAACAGAGAACTTGATTTTTAAAGAGCTGAATGTACTCAAACCCATGTCAAGTTCATCCACTCTCACAATCAAACTAAAGCTTAGGCTTGACCAGCCCAGCCTCAATCTCTCGCTTAGAATCCTCACGCAGAACCCTCTTCAATATCTTCCCACTCGGATTGCGAGAAATTGCCCCAACAAACTTCACCCCTCCCGTAAGCGCTTTATACTTCGCAAGCCGCGTAAGAATAAACTTCTGGACTTCCTCCTCTGTAATCCTCGACCCAGATTCCCCAGGTCGTCGAACAACATAAGCACGCGGGAACTCGGTGTCAGCATTGGGGAAAGTAATTCCAATGACAGCCGCGTCCACGATTTGCGGGTGAGACAAAAGGACTGCTTCGAGCTCTGGCGGTGCTACTTGGAAGCCGCGGACTTTGATCAATTCCTTTCTGCGGTCCACAATGTACCATTTCCGGGTCTTGCGGTCGCAGTAGGCGATATCACCGGTTTTGAACCAGCCTTCTGAGTCGAATGATTCCGCATTCGCTGCGGCGTTGTTGAAATATCCTGGTGTCACTGTGGGGCCGCGAATGCATAGCTCGCCGCGAATATCATAGGCTGAGATGTTGTTTCCTTCTTCGTCGATTAATCTATGGATTGTGAGTCATAGGACACAAGGCGTAGGGAATCGACGGTCAACATACTTAGCTTCAAGATTCGGGATGAGACGTCCGACGGAGCCTGTATTATCATGTTCGGGATAGGGGAAGTGGGTGGCAATGCACGACGACTCGGTCATTCCCCATACTTGGGTGAACGGAGCATTGTCGCCCATAAGCGAGCGGAAACGCGCTTGGATGCCTTTGTCTAGCGGGGCGGCTCCACAGGATGCAACTCGGGTTTTCTTGAGGAAACGTCTTTGTTTGGAAAGAGGTGACATCAGGATTGCTATCACGATTGGAGGGACCATAGCAAGATCCGTGACATTGTACTTTTCAACGGTCTGTAGGAATTTCTGAAGATCGAATCGACGCATCATATACGCCACGTTTCCTGCTTTCAATGTCGAGATGTGCGTCACAGGTGCTGCCGAAGCGTGGAATACCGGCACTGCTATAACGCGAGAAATCTGGATTTCCTGGGATTAGTCGTGCTGGGTTCCTGACTGGACATCTGTGCTTTGGTTGACTCAAGGCGTCGACTCACGGGATAAGATCGAGAATGCATGCCGTGGACCAGCTCATGTTGGGCAATCAGATTTAGATGCGTGATTGTGACGGCTTTAGGTAGGCCGGTAGTACCACTGCTGAACAGACGTGCAGCTGTGGTTTGGCGAGCGGTATCTGGGTTGTTGAATCGCACCCAGTCTTCCTCGCCGGCGTCAAATAAGCGTTTCCAAGATCGCATTCCTTTCGGTATGGATTGTCCCAGGTTGTCAAATATCCAGATACGCTCTTCGGGTATCTTTGTCTGTTTCCCTGCCTGGACGATAGAGTCCAAGATCTCAGGCTCCGTGATCAAAAATTTCGTTTCGGAGGCATTAATATGATGTGCTAGCTCATGCGGCGTGTACGAAGGGTTTGAACCCGTGAAGACTCCTCCTGCTCCAATGATGGCCAGCACCAGTATGCTATAGTTTATCTGAATGGGGTTAGCATCTATGCTGTTGCGCTGGGCTAATGTCATACATCGTTGAAAGAGTGAATCAGAACACAATCGCCTTGTTGCAGACCAGCTGCGCGCAGGCCAGCAATAATTTGCCGAATCAATTTCCGGGCCTGGTTACATGAGATGGAGCGTGTAGGATTGTGAACGTCAATGTAGATCTGCCCACTGTGGTTAGCGCCAAATGACAACGGTGTGGGGGCTGAGAACTCGCCGGCTGGTCCTGGTCATACGACGGGGTGTCGAAAATGTACGACAACAGGTCTTTGCCTGGGAGCACTGCCCTCTGGGCTGGTTCGAAGATCATGTTTACTTGGCTCAAAGCACGGATGGTTTGATTCGTGAGAAAGGTGCAAGTCACCAGAAGAAAGGAAGAAGTGAAGTCGTTAAGATCAACAGTTATTTAACTGAGCATCCGTAGCCCCGGCTGAGCCCCTCTCGTCTTTAGCTCGGAACTCGGTCGCTTATGAGCGTCAGTGATCAGCCTCAGCTGTTCAATGATTCTTTTTCATTGGGCCAGACGATTGCACAACTCAGTGAAGAGTCTCGCTTATACTTTGTGGCAAAGTCCTTGCTGCATAATGTCAAAGAGCGTTGTGCCCCGACCGCGTTCCCCGCTCCCCCAGCTTTTCTCGCGTGGGGTTGCAGTTGGAGATCCGAGCAATTGGAGAGATTGCACACGTTATTTGCTTCTTTTCAGGGGAGTCGGGTGGCATTGCTGCTCAGTGCTTTTCTCTTTCACCAGGTCCAGTCCGTGGAAGGGGGAAATGCAAGGACCGAGAAATACCGCAGACGCCGAGTTATGTCCGGCGTCCCCTGCATACGCAGAATCACCCTGGGAGCGAAGTCAGCTCAATATTCACAGGCGTGGAATGAACCGAGGTCGCAGTATTAAGTGTTTCTTCACGTCACCCTCCAATAGTAGCCACGCCGCACGGAGTCAAAGATCCTACAGTCTTCCATCTTCTACTGATACATAAAGATACGAGGCACTGGACAAGTGGGGATTCGAACAGTCAATTCAATTGTCCTAATGTTTCCTGCAACACGAGCCGAAGCACATGTCAGCCGCTACACTGGTTAGCCGTGTCCACAACCTGCACTTCGGGGACCACTTACGATTGTAGGTTTGAGGGACCTGACGTTTCTTTTGCGGTGTAGAGACGGTTTGCCTATTCTTCATTAGCATATTAATTTTTGTGGTCGGGTTGTTGGTCTTACTCTGGAATAAGTGTGATCTCGGAGCTCGTATCATCCTTTGCCCCGGAATATTGGCTTGGACGTCGGGAGAAAATAGCCTTGAGATGGTCGTATCGGCTCAAGTTCTGGTTTTCGGGCATTCTGAACAGCGAAGCCGAGATTCTAGACCGGGTAGGTTAAACCTTGATTGGGTTGGAAGATTGATATATGTCAATTGGTGATATATATTCCCGGATGGCCAAGTCAGTTTTCAATGCTATTTTCAATATTCCGAGAGATACCTAGGTATGGAGCCCATCTCCTTTATAGACCAGATGGGTCTTGAATTTTACCCGGGCACTGGGCAAGGCAGAATTTTCACCTGGGCATGAAGCCCGTCGCCGACAAAACACATTGGGCAGTTGGGCGGTTCGCCGGTCGCCGCACAGTTCGGCGGATGACATCATGACCACAGCACGAAGTCGTGGTTCGCGGCCATCGCGGCCACCACTTCGCCGCCGCTCGCTTGGATAAAATGCGCGTCAACCTGCGTTCGCTGCCTTCGCCGATTCGAAATCATGTCCTCCCCCCTTGCCCGACCCTATCGGTCGAAACGTCAGCGCCCGTGTGATCAGTGTCGCGCACGTAAGCTGGGCTGTCAAACAGAAGGCGGAGCCCCCTGTCAAAGATGCCGATCGGGCAAATTGGAGTGTACCTTTGATAATCCTCCACCCAAAAGGGCCAGACTCTCCGAGTCTCTGCCTTTCGCCCAACCCGTCGGCGAGACTCTCATCACACAACCCCGTGAGAGTAATATCACGCGCGAGTCCAGCGTCGCAGGAAGTGGGACCCAGAGTGCCGTACCGCGATTTCCGTCGCTCGGCTTGGATCAGAGCACTCATGGGCTGTCTCCGGCCTCCGGGATCCTGGCCCCCGGAAGGCCCCCGACGCAATTTGTTCAGAGTATTGATCAATTGGACCATGGCCATGCTCAGCTCTTTGGCGCATCCGCCGAATCAGACCCGTGGTTACTGCGACACTGTTGCTTCGATGATCAGGGCATGAAGTACTTTTACAAGGTCCATTTTCGCAACGCCGGAGGCGTCCCAACCGCTCAAAGGATTCCCGTGCACTTCATGATATCTTCAGAAGAGCTCACCAGCAGCGTCAAGAATGAGACTCGGGCCGGAACGGGCGAAGCCACTCGAGAACGTCTGAACTACCTGGTACCGCTTGAATATGGAAGGAGGCTAGTCGCCTTGTAAGCAACCCCCTTCGGCCAACTTGGGCTGTGACTAACATGCAGCTAGGTTTGTCAAGTATGTGTTCCCTGCCTTGCCAATCATTTCACGCTCGCAGCTGGGGTTGACTGCCCCGTCATATCAGCTTCCGGAGGCGTCGGTATTGGAAAAGGTGCCCGTGCATCTTCTGGCAGCCATCTACGCGTCGGCGTTCCCTTTTGTCGCCCATGACGACTATCTGTGCGTACTGAGCACCTATCATGCGTCCCCTGTTGAAACGCTATGGCGCATGGTCTACGAGCTTGTGACAGAGGAGATCCACAGTCCTCGGCTCGCAGTCTTACAGGCCGCCCTACTATACGTCCACCAACAGCCGAGAGAGGAGGCCCGCCATACGACTGCCGATACTCCATTTTTGTGGTCCTTCGTCGGCCAGATCGTCGGACTGGCTTGTTCTCTCGGCCTGCATATCGAATGCCGCATGTGGGGCATCCCGGCGTGGGAAAAGCGCCTTCGCCGCCGGCTGTGGTGGGCCGTCTATGCCGAAGATAAATGGCGCAGTCTGTTGATGGGTCGCCCGCCCTATATCCACCCTGCAGAGTGGGATGTCAGTGATTTGGACGAAGGAGATTTCCTAGTTGGCCCACGCCAGAGCTTCTCAACCAGCTCTTGTGATACCGAGATCCCTTTCCGATATCTCATCAATCTTACCCGAATCGGCGAAGAGATCCATGACACCTTTTAGTGAGTTCGATCCGTCCCCCTCTCGGCGAATCTCTCCTTCTTTACTAATGACTCATGACAGTACCCTGCGCGCGTCGCAACTACTCAATGCCGACTTCACTGCCTCCTCCGAGCTTGGCCGCGATCTTCTGGAAAAGCTGAATGGGTGGTATTCCTCACTCCCCGAGACCTTCCGACTCCCCAACTGGAGCAAGTCTGTCAATGGCCTTGCTCCGTACCCTACTTCCATCCACTTCGCCTACCTGTTGCTGGTTGTGTATGTGTACCGAGCCATGCTCAGGCCTATGGCGCGCTCATCGGAGCCGCCTCTCATTTTCGACCTGGAAGATATGACCACAACATCGCCGCTGCCGGTCGATGAGTCAATACTCGACTTCTCAGATCTGCCCGAGATCGAATCACTACCGGAAATATCAATATCAGATGAGTTCGGCACCGGCGAAGCCACATTGCATGCCGCAGAGAAGTGTGCTTCAATACTGGTTAACTTCACGAGGCGACTGACCTCTAGTGACTTCACGGCCTTCTGGTACTCCTGCAAGTGACATCCGAATGCCATCTTGCGTCGCGGCGAAAGCTAATCATACTAGGGTCCCGCATCGGGTTTGCCACAATATCTAATTATCTCATGTTGTTACTGGTACAGGCGCCGAACGTTGCCCATGCGATTCGAGGGCGACACTTAGTAGACTCGTGGCTGCAGGTTCTGCGGTGCCAGAGCCAGAGCTTTCCGCTCGTCAAACTCGGTCTCGCTCGTCTTGATGCATTGCATTGGGCGGGACTGGGGAATACTTTCGTCTTGCCCTTGCATGTTCAAGAGGCTATAGTAAGCCCGGATATACCTGAGGCTTGATCGACTAATTTTACAGCAGCAACCTACCATGTTAACCTCGGAATATTCTTCCGCATCCCGGGTTCGAGGGAATCCTTGGCGCGGTATTAATGTGCTGTCACCAATATGATAGACTCAGCACACGACTTCCAAGTTGTATATAGTTCTTCCAAGGTTATTGAGTGTTAATCAAAAAAATAATATTCATAAATCTTTTACAATAGCGGCATACGGGACTGTAGGATGATGTTGATATCCGAGGTGTTCCTGCTTGTTGGTCGACCAGGGCCCCTGGGAGTCAAAGGATCCGATGTGGCCTTGTTCCTTGAGATGTTACCAGGTGGCGTTTTCTTGAAATATGTATACCTACTAGGTAGGTATGACTCGGAATGGATACAGGTACCTAGTAATTATCAATGAATATGGGACAGACTCGGAATAATCCATGGATTTTGCTGATAGAGCATCACCGATTACATAGTATGTGGTGATTTGACATTGTGGAAGTGTCATAGGCATGTCATGTTGGTGACATTCCCGAGTCTCGCCTGCTATCCTTGCTCTTCCTGGATTGCTGAATATATTTCTTTCACATCGCTTCAGCAAGTGGTAGGCGATTTAGTAGCTATCCACCAACGAGCATATTCATATAGCTCTCGATTTGTGAGCAGACAACCCTCCTGGAGATATACACCCCTCACAGTTCTATCTCTGACAATCTGTCAAGAAGCCAGGAAAAAGAGTGATCTTAACCTTGACGATGGGTGAAGGTTCCCACCACACCGACGCCCAAGGCGGGCGGAAAACAACCGAGCAAGAGCCTCGTTCTGGCCCTCCTGGGCCATGGCGAAATCCAATGTATTGGCCACGGGAAGCCCACGATACATCCCATCAAGTCGGTGAGGTCAAAAGGCATGTGCCAATTTTACGAGACCGTTTTTCAAACAGACAGTATAAAAGGTGGCTACGAAACCTCAAAGCGCTTTTCAAGGCAGCGCCTGAGAAGTACAGCAACGATTCGCTGAAGATTCACGGTGCCCTTGGCTACCTGTGTGCCATGTATCATGACAGATGGGAGACGAAGGAAGACGCCATTCGGGATGATCTCACCAAGTACAACAACTGGGATTTCTTCGTGCAGTGGATAGGCACCCTGTCGCTTCACCCATCTCGCAGAGATATATGGTTGCGGAATCAGTTCCCTGAATACGCCATGTACTTTAGGAGAAATGCGCGACATGCCAGATCCTCGCGGAATGCGAGACGGAATCGGCGGCGATCGAGAAGAGGTTAATGTCCAGCGGCGGGCGTGCAACGTGGGTGATCTCCAACAGAACTCCGCAAGACCGAGGCATGTTCTGGAATGATATCAAGGAATGGATAAAGTTAGTTGATGTGGTGTTATGTTCAACCGCTGCACTTGGTAGCTTTTCAAGTGTGGCTTATCCGAAAATTTATAACTGAGAGCGTAATGGTGAATGTCGTGTATTCCAGTGCTTTGAGCTTGATGCCTCCCTTGGTCGTAAGAAAGAGTCTGGTGATGTGGGCATGTATTCACCGGGGTGGCTGGGCACTCCCATCATCCATATTATCCCAGTCGGCTTGGTTGTTCATCAGATGGTGGTCCCATATGTGAGAATGGAAGTGATGGGACCAGGTCCGTACTGCGATTCCAGGTAGGCCAGCGAAGTATCTCCACTGTATCAAATAATGGCATTGATAATGGCGAAATACGAAGGTACAGTATAATGCAACCCCTGACTGTCACCTTATAGCGCGGCAAGGGGTAAGCGATAAGCGCTTAGCCGAAGTGGAGAGCTGTCAACTTCCCCGCAGGACTCTTCACATTATCCCGCGACCCCCACGCATACTTGCTCTGCGTCTTCAGCAACGTTACAATGTAACACTAACATCGGATCGTGCCCATAAAAGGGCCTGATCAAGCAGTCTCCCAGCGTGCAGGTATGAAGTGGATTCTCACCTTTGCAGCGGCCGTGTCGGCTCTGCAGACCCTACCCCCAGTCCAGTTCGAGAAAATCAGCTCTGATGGCTTTTCATTGGAGACTGCCAATCGGACGATCTATTTGGAAGCTGGCTTTGCGTCTTGGAGGGACCAAAATGGGTTGACTTTGATTCCGCCCTCCGCCCACGAGTTTGCAACCACCTTTCGCGACGACTTGCAGCAGTTGACGAATAGCTCCTGGGAGCTTCGGACGGTGAATCGGTTCCCCCACCATGCCTCTGGTATATTCCTCGGTCGCGTGGACAACTCGACACACTTCGCCTACGAGAATGGCCGCGAAACCGAGGAAGGATACGAGTTGGAGGTCGAGAACGACAGCGTGGTCATCAGGGGCTCCGGTGCGCGCGGCATGTGGTGGGGAACGCGAAGCTTGCTTCAGCAACTCGCACTCACACCATCGTCTATACAGGCTGGGCGAGTGGAGGATGCGCCCGCGTATGCCACGCGTGGGTTCCTGCTCGATGCCGGCCGCAAGTGGTATTCTCTGGACTTCTTGAAGGACATTTGTACCTATGCTTCGTACTTCAAGGTGTCGGAGTTCCACTATCACGCGGCCGACAACTACCCTCTGAGTCGTGGCCCCAATGTGACCTGGGATAAGGTCTACTCTCAGTTTGCACTGCATCCTGAGGACCCGGCTCTGCGACCGCTCGTCCAGCGCCCGAACGAAACTCTGTCCCGAGGCGAGTTTGATGATTTCCAACACCACTGTGCGCAACGAGGAGTGACGGTGATGCCGGAGATTGAGAGTCCGGGCCACTGCCTCACGGTGACCAAATGGAAGCCCGAACTAGCCCTTGACAACAAGGACTTGCTGAATATCTCTCATCCCGAAACAGTCCCACTGATCAAGTCTATCTGGGCTGAGTTCCTTCCTTGGTTCCACACCAAGGAGGTCCACATCGGCGCCGACGAGTATGACTCCGAGTTTGCGGACGACTATGTCAGATTTGTGAATGAGATCTCTCGATTTGTCTACCAGACCTCCGGCAAGACTGTGCGCATCTGGGGAACATACGAGCCTTCCAACCTAACGATTGACCACAACGTCACTATCCAGCACTGGCAGTATGGACAATCAGACCCAGTCGACCTCGCCCGAAATGGCTACACGGTTATCAACTCTGAGGATACGTGGGCGTACATGTCGCTCAAGAGCGACCACGTACCTATCAGTCCCGCCCCTTATCCTCTGATCTTCAACAATACCCGTATACTCAACTTTGCCGACCGTGAAGGATGGCAATGGACACCGCAGCTATTCAACCGAGTGAATATTACGGAACAGCCAGACGCCGACGCCGTGCCGGGTGCTCTCTTGGCTGCCTGGAATGACAGTGGACCAGATGCAACAACCCAGCTCGAAGCCTTTTATGCTATTCGTGAAGGCATACCCGTCGTCGCCTCCAGGGCGTGGTCTGGCTCCCGCGGACCCGGTCTGAATGTGCAAACCTTGGACAAATCCATTACTCGGTTGGCTGCTCATGCAGTGGGGCAGAACCTGGACCGAAGGCTTCCAGGGGAGAGCAATCACCACACCTCCCTGACATGGACCAAGCCACAGAAGTCCCAGGAAAGCTATAATATTGGCCACGGTAGCAAGGGCATGAACCACACACTCCGCCTGGATGTGACTGGCCCCTTCTCCTTGAAGTCTTCCGATGCAACCCTCACACTGTCACCAAGCGGCGAGCTAACCTTCGTCTCTGACGGATGGCCATATTCGCTTCGATCTGTCGCCGAGACGGATGGTTTCGACTCAACGACCCAGCCCGGACGTATCTGGACCAACCAGACCACCTCTACCCATGAGGTTGTCAATGTCCCTCGCAAATCAACCATCACTATCTCTACAACTGCGAAGTTTGGCAGTCGGGTGTGGATTGATGGTAATTTTGCTGGAAGATTTGAGGTTTTCATTTACGGTGGAAAGAACAAAGTCTTCTCCTGGGCTCCGATGGCTTTTGTTGCACCATTGGAGGAACTGGAAGGGTCTGGCTTGCAGCGGCTGGAAATTGATGCTGGTAATGTACAGATTCGGTCATAAGAGCGAGGGCTTGAGAAACTTTGGCATCATTTAAGTCTGTCAGGTTTAACTTTTTGCTCTACCATTCCTTGATCTTCCATCAAACTTCACGTTTATCTCTTCACTGTAGGTATGAAGAGCTATCTACACCCCACTAGACTGGGGAATAATCAAGCGCGTACAAATGAAGATTTCAATATCAAGTAGCCATGTATTTCAGAGACCTTAACAGTAATCATCATCTGCAAAACATCCTAAGTTGAACTCCTGGGCTTCAGGAACTTTGACAGCAATTTCGACTCGTAAGGAAAGCAATGCCAGGGCAGCAAGAGCTTGAGTCGAATACGACTGGCGTGGACTTAATATCGAGATCGTACCATTCCGTAGGAAACCCCGTTGAAATGCAACTCAAACACCAGAGTGGCAGAGGCAGGAATCAGCACCAGCTCAAATTGGACCCGATAATAGGTTTCACCCTTCGAGTTTTTCCTTTCTTCAAACAGAACAGGTGGAATCCTGCTCAGATCCGCTTCAACCTCACAGAGCTTCGAGATGCCTGGTATCGTTAACAATTGCACACAATTTTAGCTCAAGCCGGGATTGACTTACTCTTATCTGCATATTTGGGGGCCTTTTCGGTTTGGCTAAAATCTAGCCGTTCGTGGAAAACAATCCCACGGGCAAGATGGCTTTTTGATATCGCGCGACAAAAGGAAAACGAGACAGGATTGTCGGCGCTCAGCGCCTCTCCCTTGAGAAGGGTTAGCCCATATGTTGTACGATCCAAATGAACAGGGCTCACAAACCTTGGTGATATACCATTGCATGACACCACTCCGGTAATAGTACTCATCAAGCGGGCACCATCCGATGTTGACTCCTTTTTGACGGTCTGCTAGTGTTGCTTCTACAATCATCTCAACGCCATAACTGCAACGTGCAATGCGATTGTCAACTTGGTTCCCCTCTTGACCACGTTGGACCGCGCCACTACCAATGTTAGCCGAAGCTGCACGAGGATAGATATTTCGCAGATTCATACCGAACCACCGCAGACCATCTATCCAACAGTCAGTAAGAGACTATGATAGAAACTGTGAAGTGAACATAACATACGCATTCTTTGGTTGCATCACCTCGATTCCATCGAAGGTGCTCTTAAGGCAACGGAAAAGATATTCTGACGACCCTAGTCCTCCAACCAATACGATAGCCTATACCGCATGTCAGCATGTCGTGCTTCAATTTCTCAGCTGAGGGTGAGTATTAACCTTGCTTGACAAATTCTTGTCCTTGATTCGCATCCACTGCTCGGCGATGAGATCTTCAATCTGGTTCACAATTGGATCGAAAAGTCCTTTCACTTGCTCACTGGTCAGAATTAGCATCTACCTCCCACTATAGTCTTAATAACGATGATATCACGTACGGCTCCATGTACCAGAATCCTGCGTTGAACCCGCGAGTCCCCGAATGGCTTGCTCCACCCGGGAGTGGTACCTGATATGGTGTTTCTTCGAAGTCATCATCGTCAATAGGGCCCCTGAACGTGGGCTTGATGTAGTCCTGCCAGTACTGTCTGGCTGCCTTCATGGTGGCTTTGGGAATTGGCCGCTTGTACGTTTTCTTGTACTCGGTCTCCAAGAGGTCCTGAAAGGCGTCATCAAGTAGAGCGGACCCACAAACGGCACCTAAAACCGAAAGCAAGTTAGATAATGGACAACCAAAAGGTTTCTTCTACATACCGGTGCCTTCGGTGACCTCTGAAAATCTCAAAGGCTCGGTTTGAGCGATGCGGTAGGTGATGATGTCCTATACAATCTTGTCATCCATCAAAAGCCCCGAAGTCGCAACATGAAAGCGTTGTAACGCCACATGGTATACAACTTACGACAGTTCCACCCCCCGCATCGCAGACGATCAAGCAGTCGTTTAGCTAGACAGATCAGAGACTTGGAAGCAATCTAAGGCATGCATAGAATCATACCTTGAGTGAATTTGGTTGAACGGTGTGTATGGCATACACTGCTGCCGCCTCCGGCTCAGACAGCAGGATCAAGGCAGATGGTGGAATCTTCGCCAAGTGGGCCGCTCGCATGGTGGCATCTTTGGCTTTGTCTGACCAGACGGCGGGAACTGTCAGGATATATTGTAGCTCCATAGTTTGAAGCGCAGTCGAAAAGCGCCGTTTCAAAACTTCCATCAAATGGAAAACGAGACGCTCCAAGTAGTCACCGACAACATCAACTGGTGTCTTTTTCAGTTTCTCGATCATCCGCTTTGCATCACTGGCTGGCTTAAACCGATAAATCTGCTTTTCATCGAGAAGGAGCTTGACACCTTGGATGGTTGTGTCTAGTCGCTCTCCAGAATGATCCACCTGGTGACCCCAAGTGAACTTCGAGTCTCGATAGGAAAGAAGAGTAGGTACTTTCTCAGTAGTTCCTGGGACACATCAATGTAAGTATGAAGTCCAAATTTTACAAATGGAAAGTATCATCCAACTCACGATTTCCATCACCAGGCCATGACTGAATGACCTCTAGATCACCTGGACAGCTCTCCATTCCCCACGCAATACTGTATAGATTAGATACTAGACATTTTGGAAGGTGGAAGTAAGGTCCACAAACCCGCTCCATGTGGTGCCGAAGTCCAAACCGACGATCAGGCGTGGCCGTCTGTCGGGAATGCTCAGCACAGACATGTTATCTGCCAAGAGAGCTTTCTCGTCTTCCATTTTCAAGAGAGTTTTCACGGCGGACTGATAAGGTCAACTAAAGTATTCGATGGGTGTGTCTGGGCGTGAGTACAGAGAGGGGGAATATGGTTTACTTATACTTGTCACTATAGCGTATTTGCATCATGAACTTCTACTTTGGGTGCGGGCGATTACCGTTGGATACAACAAAGTTCACAGTCAACGACTCGCTGTGGTGTCATCAAACGTACATGAATGTTTGATCCACGGATGGCATAAAGGCCACACGTCAACTCTTGCACTCAACATCTTTCAACAAACTCTGCAAGATGATCTCCGCTTTTCTGGGACTCATGGATACAAGATCAATATCGGTCGAGTCAGAAATGGACTGTAAGATTTTCATCCTGCTGCAACGGCCAAAGACTGATCCTTGAATAGCCCTGTCAAACACTGACATGTTACGGCGGGATCTTGCAAAAATGAGAGAGGCTCGTCGGACCCTAGGTTATGTTGATTTTGTCCTTGATCTGACTTTCCCATAGCGACTAAGGGATTCCCGGGAGCACGAGAGGGCTCTGGCGAGGCAGAATTCACTCCTGAGGGCAGACGTCGACCAATTATTCGAGACTCTAAACGAGAAGAGGAGACAACTCCAAGCTTCTCAAAAAGCCCAACTGATTGAAAGTGAAAAGACCCGACGCCTTTCGGAGCTATTAGAAATCGCTAAGGAAACAGCAACCATAACTGCGGAGGAAAACAAAATTCTCACCGTCAACATCGCCAGACTCCAGACGGGGATCCACACGCTCACCGATGGCGATATTAAACAGCAGATGACTGTGCTATATCACGAATTAGAGCAGTGGATCGCCAGGAACTTTGGGAGTCCATCCCCCGATACAACTGGGGACAGATCAGCGATGAGAGAAAATCGGCTGGTGGAGGAGATCCAATCAGAACTCTCCACTATGATCCATCGATCTTTCTGGACCTGCGCATTCGTTGGCTGTGGGGTGCATTGTGAGCCATACATGACCAAAATGGCCAACCTGATCAGCAAAGAATGTAAGTGTCGAAAAGGGCAAGGCAAAATATGCTTGACGTGCATGGCTGACGGTGAGAATAGGCCCCAAACACGTCTCTCAACACTGGCGATATGCTATGAGCATTGGTGCTATCCAGATGGACATGATGGAGACCTCAAAGTTGGACTCCGAGTGTGACTACGTCACCCAATGGGCTAGGAACATAGGAAATACTGCACTCGCTGAACGGAGCTCTCAGATGGCGCAGTTGAAAGAACTGCTCTGGAAGTGCATCCGGCTCAAGCACGAAATTGAGTACCAGGAAAGTGGGTATCTCTTCTGGATCAGTGTCCCCGGTGTCCCCTTTCGAGGGGAGACCATGCGTGACCCTCTGATGGATGATGCGACAAATGCAGTCGTTCAATGGAGTCTCTGGCCTGCTCTTCGTAAGGTAACAGAGCCTGGAAAATGGGAGACAATTGTGAAAGAGGTTGTGAGGACGGCACCGTCGCAAGGTCTGCTGGTTCTGAATGGTCCACCGGGAGTGCAGGAGCAAAACCAAGACCCCGAACTGTAGCTGAAATTAGGATTACCATATAGCTGGAAGTTTAAGTAGGAATTTGCTTGCAATTTGAATATCTAAGTGCTAAGTATCCGGTAATTGATGCACATGTACACTCCTTCGACTAGACACCATCAACAAAACCATCACCCCCAGATTCTGTGTCTACCTTCATGGCATCCATCAACCCGCAGACATCGAAGATTGTCTTAGGTCCCAGCCCTTCAGGTGTCCCAACAACACCGTCCTTCTTAAGCCGCTGAAGGGTTGTCTTGATACCCTGATACGCCGGTGTGATTGTGGCGAACGAGAAGATCATGATTCGGAAGCCCATCTCTTCAGCCTCCTGGGTGGTGATCAGAGGACTAGCTCCGTTCTCAACCATGTTGAGGAGGAGAGGCCAAGGAGCCAGATCCTGGACTGCCTGTCGGGCTTGCTCTTTGGAGGTAAATCCCTCAAGTAGCCCGACATCAGCGCCAATCTCTCTTGCGGCCTTCAGCCGGCGAATGCATTCATCGTAGCCGTGCTGTTGAAGTGCATCGGTGCGAGCAATCAAAACGATATCGGAGTGCAACCGGTCTTTGGTCAACTTGGCTGCACGGATACGTGTCAGGTACTCCTCCAGACCAACGACCTTCTTGCCTGCAAGATGGCCACAGCGCTTGTTCTGGATCTGGTCCTCGATGTGGAAGCCAGCAACACCAGCCTGGATGTACTGCTGGACGGCTTTGGAAACCATCAATGGGCCTAAAAGGATCCTGGTCAGCGCGGGCCTTTCTTGCGTGGAAAGGATAGCATCTTACCTCCGTAACCGGTGTCCATGTCTGCAATCAAGGGTGGCCCGAAGGGATCCAGGTTTGCGATCATTTCAGCATTGGTCTTCATGTCATGAAGCTGCGCAAGAGCAAGGTCTGCCATTCCAAGGCGGGATGCAGTGGTTCCAGCTCCAGTCTGCATGTCTTGTCAGTACTGAATCGAGTCATGTGTTGAGCTTTACTCACCATGTACAGTCCCTTGAAGCCAACCTCCATGGCAATACGAGCTGAAAGCCCATCATACACACCAGGACACACAATAAGGTCTTTGGTGTCCTTGAGCATTCGGCGCAGCTTGGAGGCCGCAGGGATCACGTAGAGAGATACGGTGGGCTCCTGTCTGGCCCCATTGACCTCGTAATATCCATCCTTCTCAACGGTGATAGTGATAGTCATTTTCAAGGTATGATGAAGCTGCTGTCTTGGTTGGAATGTTTGAGTTCTTGTGCTACGTTCCAATGCTTGACGGCAAGGCGACCTCTTTATAGCTTTGGAGTCTGCCTGGATGGTCTTCTCGCTAGTCCTAGAGATTAAACACTAGACCTTCACGTCCGTTGAACCGTGAAGGTCAAGAGACTAACACCAAAGCACCAGGAGGTCTTGGTATCTTGGGAATGCAACCTTCCATCCCTTGCCAAGTACACGCGATGATGCTCTCACCTTCGCGTCGTACCGATCCTGCGTCAGACTCCCTATGTCCTCAGCCCCGATAATTCCACGAGGACATATTACGCGAGATCAACGCTAACCCGCCGGAGAGAATATTCGGACTTTTCCCATCAATCGGTAGTATGAATAGCGTTGGGGGTACATCATCATCTGCGGGCGCCAGGGTATAGATAACGCAAGTCTGAGGTGCGTCCCTCGGGGGAATCATCGATCAGTGGCTGCCATTGGACCGACTGTGTTGCAAAACCACCATGACCCAATCTAATAGGCTTTGGATATAGGACTATAAATTGCGTATGCTGCGCCTCCTGCAGAAGGATCTGCGAAACAACAATCTGAAGAGAGGGGGAACCTTGGCCAAATGCACCGTTTCACAAGAGATCCCTGGTTCGCCAAGCTCTTCACGGGAGATCAGCGAGGTTGAGAGTGCCTAGAGCGCCATTGATAATGAAACCAAGGCGTGGATGCGTAAAAAAGGGTTGGCCCTGCAGCCCTAGAGGACGCCAGCCTTCCAGGGCTGCACCGGTCCACCCGCCAACTGGCCAACGGGGCCCCAGATAGATCTTAGTCAGCTGCATTTTCCCCCGCGGCCGAGAGAATCGGACGCTTTCCACCCCCGAGACTCACCACGTCCTTTCGGCTCTTGATCGGTACTCGTGCATTCTCTCTCATTACGCCATGGGTTCCGCAGACGTCGCCAATCCCGAGTTCCCATACTCACTGTACGGTCCCCTCATCGGGTCTGGAAAAGACCGCAGCGCGACACGCACTAACTCCAAAAAAAAATTAGTACCATCTCTCTCCCTCTGCCAACGAATCGCCTAGCTTCCTCCGCGATGCGCGCATTAGATGTCGACGCCGAGCTATCTCCTTTTGTGCGACGGACTTTCTCCATCGAGAGTCCGATCAGTGAAGCGCCGTCCAAGCCCCTCGAAAAGAAGCAAAAACAAGACCCTGAAGAAACCAGGACCGTGCTCAAAACTACATACTCGGCATCCACCAACCGGATGCTGCGCGTTTCCGTTAACGGGTTCATGGAAAGTCTGGGCGTTGTGCTTGGGGTCATGTCTGAACTGGACGTTGATGTGCTCAAGGCCGAAAGGGAGGGTTGAAGTCCGGGATTATTCTTCGACAGGACCCTGCGTTGTTGATACCGAGTCTTGGCTCCCCGCGCCTTTTCCTGATGCGCAAACCAGGACTTGCGAATTCGCTCTTGGCTGCCACAAGGCTATGTGATCATGCACAGCGGGTAGTACACCAACCCCTCCATCAGAACCCATTGTAACACGGGCTATGTCGACAGGTGGAGTTCGGGAGGAGAAGTTTGCCGCCAAGTTTCTCGGCATCATCTATTCCACCGACGTATTTCCTTGGCGCTCTACATCGCGCGTCGGAGAGTTAGCAACTCGGGCTTGGTCTACGGCCCAACAGAAACATATCAGAAACACATTGGAGATCATGCACGACATGTGATAGTGGCTTCTCTTATTTTGTCCCTAATTTTGCAGATCTTGTCAATTCCACGGAGATGCGGGATTTCCTCCATGTCTTGGCTCCGTCGTGGGGGCGCATTTGTCCGTAGAGATGACTGCGATGTGATCGGCCGGGAGGCCCGAGACGAGGCGGTGCTCAGACTCACCGTTTGCCGAGAGTTTCTTCAGTCGCTGCAGAATATATTGCCTTTGGTGTTCATCCTGTGCCTTCGGGCTTGAGTTCTCGTTTCTTAGATCATTTTAACCGACTTCCAAGATTTCACCATGGATCACGAGAAGGGTACTTTTGGCACAATTTCCACGTCCTTCCAGGCAGAGCTAGAGCCACAGTATGCCGATCTGCTACTATTCGCCTGCTGCTTGATATCGGGATTGATGGATAGCACGATATACAGCGGTAGGAGAATGTCCAATGCCTTCAAGGCTTTAGGATCGCATCGCTGACCTCCAAAGCCTACAACACATTTGTTTCTATGCAAACCGGTATGATTCAATACAATGTCAATATCAATATTATGGCAAGCATGCTGATCAAAGCGTTGGTTCAGGAAACACCATCTTCGTCGGACTGGGTGCATCTTCACAAAACCTCCGGCCTTATGGCTGGGCTCGTTCACTTACCTCCATCGGCTCATTTATTTTGGGGTCATTCCTCTTCGCACAACTGCATCGATGGTTAGGTTCCCGACGACGAGGAAGTCTGATGGTATCATTCTTCTTGCAGTCCTGCTTGATCCTGCTGACGGCAGGTCTTGTCGAAGGAGGAGCCATATCAAGTACACTTGATGGAAAGCTCTCACAAAAGGTGCCCCCCTGGGATCAAGAGGTCCCTATTGTACTCCTGAGTCTTCAATCCGCCGGGCAGATTGTCGCAAGTCGTGCCTTGGGGTTCAATGAGATCCCGACCGTGGTTATTACCAGTCTTCTTTGTGATCTTATGTCTGATCCGAAGCTTTTCCTATTGAGAAACGAGAAGCGCGACCGTCGAATCATTGCTTTCGTGTTGACGCTCGTGGGAGCAATTGTTGGTGGATGGGTTACCAAGGCCACCCAGGCGATTTCTCCCATCTTGTGGCTAACTGCGGGAATCAAAGCTATGCTTGTCCTGGCTTGGGCCTTTTGGAGGGCCAAGTAGGGATCGGGAGGTCAGTCATTACCATACTCGTGTTCTCATGATTGGGCTTGGACTAATTTTGAGTACAGTCTCATATGCCGCCATACATCAACGTCCGCCTCCTCCCCCCATCCCGAGTCCCCGAGTCACAAGGCTGTATGGAAGATGGAAGACATCTCGTCCAAACAAGCCATACACCATCGTTCACCGGGAAGCAGTTGTCCAATAGCCTACCGCTTTTGCTTTTGTCTGGCTAGCCCCTATGCTGCTGTCCCTTTGGGGGGTCGAAGGATATTTAAAATATTCCAGAAATTTCAAGACATAGACCAAAAGCCCACTCATCGGCTTTGAATTGATATTGTATTCCGCAATATACTACATTTGATTTTAAATGGAGTTCGAACACCAGCTCAAGAGGAGTCCAATTAAGCCCGACGCCCCCTCTCTGATCGGCCCTAAGGTCAGTTCCGCGCGGAATGCTTTCCGACGCGAGATACAAAAGACATCGGAAAAACGCACTCTGGGCACAAGATCTTACTTCCAACTCCAAAATGGCGACAACTCTGACAGTTTCTGGCTTCCAGGGCCGCCAAATCACGCGTAAGATTGTCTCAAATACTTGACACTGTTCCTCCTTGACGCTCAACAGTTCCGACGGGCCTATTCATCAACAACCAATTTATTCCTTCGTCCACTGGCCAGGTATTGCCAGTTGAAAACCCCTCAACCGGCGAAAAACTTGGCACAATTTCCGCTGCTGGGCTCGAAGATATTAATCATGCTGTTGAATCCGCCAAGGTCGGATTCCGCACTTGGAGGTCCGTATCGGGCCCTCAAAAAGCCCAGCTCTTGCTTAAGCTCGCGGACTTGATTGAGCGAGATGCCCAAGATCTAGCCTCTCTTGAGGCCATTGATGCCGGCGTTCTGTATACCGATTCAATGGGGATGAACATCCCTCAAGCAGTCGGCTGTCTGCGATACTATGCAGGCTGGGCAGGGAAAATTGACGGCAAAACACTAGACATGGATGGCGGAATCGCCTACACCCATCGGGAACCTCTGGGTGTATGTGCTGCCATTGTGCCTTGGAATGCACCTCTGTGGGTTCTAATCTGACTCAAAACGCACAACTGCACAATAGACTAACGATCTCTAGTATGATCACTATTTGGAAGCTTGCCCCGGCACTAGTGACAGGCAATGTCTTGATCATCAAGTCCTCTGAGCTTTCGCCGCTATACGCTCTCAAGCTTGCAGAATTGGTGAAAGAAGCCGGGTTCCCTCCTGGTGTCGTCACCGTGGTCACTGGAGATGGCGCCTCTGCAGGCCAGGCCCTGTCTGAGCATATGGAAGTACGCAAAGTTGCCTTCACCGGAAGTGCTCTTGCCGGTCGCAAAATTCTACAAGCCGCATCGCGGACGAATCTCAAAAAAGTAAGTCTGGAGCTCGGTGGTAAAGGGCCATCCATTGTGTTCGAGGATTGCGACCTTGAAAACGCGCTGCTGTGGACTCGGATTGGAATCACAGCAAACAATGGCCAGATCTGTGCTGCGGGTTCACGCATCTATGTCCAAGCTTCTATTTACGATCGGTTCATTAAGGCATACAAAAAGGCGTACGCCGATGCGCCAACAGTTGCAGGCAACCCTTTGGATGCGTCCACTACGAAGGGGCCAGTGGTGAGTCGAGTCCAGCACGAGAAGATCCTCCACTTTATTCGCCAAGGAAAGGAATCAGGAGCCAAGCTTCTATTTGGCGGCGAGCGAATCGGCGAGAAGGGATACTTTGTCCAAAACACTGCTTTTGCAGACGTCGGTGACGATGCGACCATTATGCGCGAGGAGATCTTCGGCCCAGTCGCGGTAAGAAATCCTTCTCTTTTGATACCGATATTTACTAATGGATATCGTTGTGCTCCAGAGCATTGCCAAATTTTCCACTGAAGAAGAAGTGATCTTCAAGGCCAATGACTCGCACCACGGTCTCAGTGCTGCTATTTTCACTAACGATGTCAACCGAGCTCATCGTGTCACCAAGGAATTGCAATCTGGTCAAGTCACTGTGAACGCATGGGCAATGCTCAGTCCTAATGTTCCTTTTGGGGGAGTGAAGGAGAGTGGGTTCGGACGCGACATGGGCGAAGAGGCTTTAGAGGGATGGACCTCAGTGAAGGCTGTTAAATACAATATTCTCCCACGGCTGTGAGTGGGCGAATCGATGTTTGCAACCTTTGAATACTTGCGGAAGCGCACGGCTGTTTCAGATTCGTCCACTATAGTTGAAACAACTACGGAGTAGCTTGATCATAACAGGTCATACTGCAGAACTTAATCGATGTTATTGGAGAAGGCACAAGTGGACTCATGCAATATTCCATATCTCATTCAATCCCTCCCATCACTTACTCGTGGAGATCGGGTGCATTTTGTGGAACACATTGTTGGGATCATATTTGATCTTCACATCGCGCAGTCGATCGATGTTCTCGCCATATATATTAGATACGACCGAGTCGCCAGCTAGAAGAGTAAGTCAGAAATAACACCAAAAAGGATCTCTCGTCGGCATAACTCACGCTCTGCATAGTTAATGTATTGCGGGACACTTGACTCGTCACCATCCTTGATGGCAGCATCCAGCTCGGCTTTCCACTTAGCTTGAGCTTCCCGCGCCCAGGCCCGGTGTTCCAGATCCTTGGTGGCATCGGTCCATCTCAGGTGAACGATGCCATTCTGATAGATGTTGCGACTGGCAAAGGCAGTGGAAGACAGAGGAACTTCGCAAATTTTCCGCATATCCGTGAATTCAAGGATGATCGCAGAAGCGGCAAGATCAGGATCGGACTGGATTTTGACCATGAAATCATTGAAGATCGTCCTGGCAAACAGCGGATCCAATGGCGGTTGGTAGAAAATGCCCTTGAAAGCCTTGCGATCGCCATAGGTGGCCTGCGGGTTTTGTAGCGTGTTGACCAGGGAGTATGGGATCATACCGAGAGTATTCACGATAGGCTGCAGGGCTGTAAAGCCTGCAAACTTCCTCTCGCCCTCTTCCCGAGAGCCATTGAAGAAGCCGATCACCATAATCATCGGCCCAGAGCCATCAGGGGCAAGCGCAAAGAAACACATAGTTCCGAGGCGAGAGTCAGGCTGTGCCAAGGATTCATTCAGCGCCCCCATCACTTCTTCGAGCTTGTCAGGGGTATATCCAAGTAGACCAGAGAAGACAGGCTCTTTCTGATCATAAGCTTGATAGGTGAAGTCGACGACAACACCAAAGTTGTACCCAGCACCCCGCAATCCCCAGAACAAGTCCTCATTCTGGGAACTGGATGCCGTGACAATGCGACCGTCTGCTAAAACCACGGTCGCAGACAGCAAGTTGTCAATTGTGAGACCGTACTCCCCACTCAACCACCCGTATCCGCCGCCAAGCGTCAAGCCCCCAACGCCGGTATGGTTGACCGTGCCGCCCACAGCAGCCAGCCCCTGAGCCGCACCGGCCTCGTCAACTTCCTTCCACGTCGCTCCACCTTGGGCAGTGATGCTCTTCTGTGTGGTATCGACCGTGACTCCGTTCATTCGCGATAGATCGATCACCAGGCCTCCATCGCTGGAGCTCGTGCCGGCGGTCGAGTGGCCTCCGCCTTTGATGGCGACGTCAATAGCATTTTCCTGGGCCCAGAGAAGTGCGATAGAAACTTCTGATGCCTGAGTGGGTTGGACTACTACTCCCTGTAAAGTGTCAGTCCGAGTGATTTTGGTGCCTAAGGTCGCGTACCGCATGTCTCATTCCGGTGTCCGACCATCGGATCAGACTCTGTTTGTAGTTTTCCGAATCCGGTGTGTAGATAGTCGCGCTGTTGAGGCGACTCCGAAGAGCCTCCAGGGCTGCAGCTTGAATTGACATTGTGAATATGAGGAGTGTAAGAATTACCCCGCGGGTTTCGACCTCGGCACTCTTGTCCTCTCCACTTATCTACTCCGTACTCTCTAGGACACCCGACACCCGGGCATCGTGTGGTTGCACCAACTTCCAAGGCTTGGAAGGCAACTTGGTTTTGGGTAGGACTATTGGTTGATTTCGCATCGATTGATTTGAGCATTTACTGATCTCGTCTCCACAAGCATTATTTCATGTTTTCGAGCACCAGCCCATGCTTATTGAGATATATATCTTGCCTCACCATGACAAAAAATTCCTGAGCTATCCTCTAACCCCGGACCTATTTGAGATTCTGACTTGAGTATGTAGCATACAAATCAGGATACCACCGACGCCCAACATCAGGGTGGCTCAAAATACGATTCCTGAGGTGTGCCTCACCGAACTGCGCCTGTTAGTGATCCCCATGGACGGGGCTCCAGAATACTACTCACACAGGAATACAAGGGTGAAAGAAATTCACTCGGCACATCCACCGCCCGTTTCTTCTTGTCATCGGAAACCGGAATTCGTTCAACAATATGCGCAGCTGACTCTCGGAGTTGGTCAAGTGTAAGGTCCAGTCTGACTCCGAGGAAAAAGGGGATACTGTAACGGGTCTGAGAGGTTGGCGCCTATGAGTGATCGAAGTTAGAGATCGTATTCCTTCAAACACCGGTGAACGTACAATGACTCGGTGTGTTGTGGCTGCGCAAATGCCTCCGGTGATGGCCTCGAAGCCTTGTTGGATATTGACTACTAAACTTCCCTCGATAGGAGCAACATCAATCCATGCCCCATTCTTGTTCAGCACCTGTAAACCCCCTGTGTTATCTTGTGATAAGAAAGTGAAGAGACCGGCTGAATCTTTGTGAGGACCAACGCCCTGCGAATTCTTCGCGGCGGGCGGATACTTGACAAATTTCAATCTGCTCATGTTTCCCTTGAAGCTATCGAAGGTGTCGACGGGGAGAGAAAGGCTTTCTGCCACAAGGCGTACAAATCGTTGAGCCAAATCATCGATCTTGGCGACGTAGCCGTCAACAATACTTTGGGCGCCAGGATGATCCGGATACTACTGACAGTAAGTGAAGGTCACTGAGTTGGAAGTGAGGGTGGGCACCTGGTTTGACCCTTCTAGCCTTTGCCAAAAAGGATCCTCTTTCGTCCAGGGCTTCATTCCGGGTGTGCCAAAGTCGAATTGCTGGAAAAATTAGATTGTCATTTCAGCTGGACCTAGCCAAATTCAGTCGCACCTCACGAAGATCTGTCTGCGCCGCCGTGGTCTCGGCACCCAGACGGGTATAGCCCAAGAAAGAGGGCGAGTTGATCATATTGCATCTCTCCTTGGTCTCTTGAGGCAAGGAAAAGAGCTTTGGTAGATCTTCATGAGTTTGATGAATGAGATCCTGCTCCAGCTGGTCAGCACGTAGCTTCGCGATCGCGGTGCGTCCGCACCTCTAATCCCGTATTGATCAAGTACAGAAACCCGACAATGAATATCGCCTCACGCAGCTTGGCGAGCTCTGCAGCCTTTGTTGCAGGATCGCTTAAGCGAGCGACATCGACTATTGGCACGGATGAGAAAGTTCCTGACATTCCACCTACGGAGAAATGAGTGAGCTGGTTGATTTCCCCCGCAAATTGACACTGCCAGAACAAGGGTCGCCGACTGCAGATCAAGTGGCTAGAGACAGGGATTCCTGAGCCACACTGGATGTCTGCAGGTATACTGACTTTGTTGGTCCCTATTGTCTGCGGGCGATGGTCCGCGGGGAGATGCGAAGGGAAACGAGGGGGTTCATCACGCCATGTGACCGGCGAATGTTGCCACTCCAACCTTGAAGTCTTGAAGTGTACGGACTACTGCAACAACTTGTGAAGTCAATGAAATTATCTGAATTCGACATGTCAGAATAGGGTGACGTCTTTCGTGTTGGTCAGTGGAAAATGACTCGACTCATTGATACCGAGGTTCACCCGACGACTGATTCGTGTGTCTCATTTCCGCCAGGAGTCTCGTTTACGTATACTGTCTGTCCGCAAATCCAGCAATTGATGGAAAATACCCGGCGTGACGCTTCACAAAGTGCCAAGATCGGGAAAAAGCGTTCAAACTCCCGCTTTCTTGGCGGAGCTCGTCACCTCCACAGCATGTTTCAGGTGTCCAAGCTCTGACATGCACTGCCCATCGTGTGATTTAGACTTCCCGTCGGTCCCAATGATCGCTCCATTCAGAAGAACTCGTTTGAGCGAGATTTGCATCAGGTAGCCCTGTGCTTCCGGGAGGATTCAGCCGTGGCTGCATTTGAACCGGACATGATGCCAAGCTCATAACAGTACGTCCAGAGAAGCATGGGCTTATACTTGGCAGCTTTCGGAGCAACCCCTGAAATATCAGTTTGAGACCTGCTACGTCGGAGAAATAGTACTGTCATATCCACCTGTGGGATAGTGACTCGGCCTAGCCCTTCAGATGATTCTCCATGACGGAGATTCCACCGGCCAAGATCGTCCGGTCTGTGGCTATGCTGAACTGCCGGTGGGTTCACTCGACGACGAGATATGTATATAAAGGCTTCCAACGCAATGTGAAGAGGATTTGATTTCTGCAATACAACGCCCTTTCCTTCATCACGCAAACCCACCCTGTTCTATCTTTCTAAGTCTCTCTTTTGTGATTATAATGGCTCCTATTAGCAAGATCGCCTTCGCGGTCGTCGGATGTCTGTCCAGCCTGGCGCTGGCAGCTCCCACCGCTACCAGTGTCAACGCGCCTCTTCTGGGAAAGCGCGCTGACATCAACGACGTACGTACCAATTCGCCTGTTTTGGACTTTGTCGAATCTTGCTCTAACAAAAGATATACAGGCTGCCATTGGCTATGCTAGCCAGAACGGCGGCACCACCGGAGGTGCTGGTGGAACCACCACCACCGTTTCTTCTTACGCTGCCTTCACCTCCGCTGTGTCCGGAAGTGACGCCAAGGTCGTCGTCGTGGACGGCACCATCAGCAAGAAGGCTGATCAGGTCAAGATTGGTAGCAACACCAGCATTGTTGGCAAGGACTCCAACGCTATCCTCGAAGGATTCGGAGTGTAAGTCTACTCCCCCTAACAAGATATGCGATACATATGCTAAACCGACACAGCCTGGTCAAGGGCGAGTCCAACGTCATCATCCGCAACCTGGGTGTCAAGAAGGTTCTTGCCGACAACGGCGATGCCATTGGTGTCCGTAAGTGCATGGAATACCTCAGAGAATGAGTAGCATAGGCTGACCGCTTCAGAAAAATCCACCAACGTGTGGATTGATCACTGCGATGTCTCTTCTGACCGCGACCACGGCAAGGACTACTACGATGGTCTGATTGATGTGAGTATACTCTTCTGATAGCTATAAAAAAGGAAAGGCAAAACACAGAGACTAACGGTATATAGCTCACCCACGCCGCTGACTACGTCACTGTCTCCAACACCTTCATCCACGACCACTACAAGGCTTCCCTCGTCGGCCACTCCGACAGCAACAGCGACGAGGACACCGGCCACCTCCGTGTCACCTACGCCAACAACTACTGGTACAACATCAACTCCCGTGCCCCCTCCCTCCGCTTCGGTACCGGCCACATCTACAACAGCTACTACCTTGACGTTTCCGACGGCATCAACACCCGCCAGGGTGCCCAGGTCCTTGTTGAGTCCAACGTCTTCTCTGGCAGCAAGAAGCCCCTCTACTCCACCGACGGCGGCTACGCCGTTGCCAACGACAACGACTTCGGCTCCGGATCCAACGCTGCCGATGCCGGTACCCTCAAGTCCGTTCCTTACAGCTACAACCTCCTCGGTTCCTCCAAGGTCAAGGACGCTGTTGTCGGAACTGCTGGCCAGACCCTTACTTTCTAAGTGAATATGTGAAGTGGAGCAGCCAGGAAATGGGGGGATAAATAAGCATCAGGATGTTTATATTCAGTTGAGTTGTAGTCCATTGTTTTGAACAGTGGGGCAAATTAAAGTGTTCCTGGTTGCATTAAAATTCCAAGTAAATTAATTTGGTGTATACAAGTAGGAGCTTAGACCAACTGTTCGAACTGCACGAAATTAACTAGGAAATTTATTCATCTACCCCACTGTCGTGATTGAATATCATACGTGAGATCTTCACAGTGACGGTCAATCTGGCAATCTGCAATTTTGAGTACCTCTGCTCATGATCCAAGGGCGAAGTCTGATCTCCGGTGAGGTGCTCCAAACCAGTAACCGTACTCACGGAGATCTAGCCCTGGGAATAATGGGACTAAGCCCTTTCAACACCAAGAGTCATTACTTTTCTCTACTCAGGCGGGTCGCAAGCATATTCATATGCGTAAAGGAGTAGTTGTGCCCAGATGGCATGCAAGGATCCGACCAAGTGAGCAAGTCAAGCTATCAAAGCCTGCTGTGCTTATACCCTTCTGCTAATGGCCTTAGTTGCAAAAGTCCGGTCGGGTGACTCCGGCTATTCCCTGGATCACACTCTCTCCTCTCTTCGCTTTTCCCTCCTTCGCCTTTCTCTCCCTCAGAGAGAGAATCAATTTCTTCTCTGGTTTCTTGCTCCCAGCAGTAGCCAGATCAGCATTGCCTCATGCGGAGAAACCACCAAGATCAAGGCAATTAGCCGAAACCAATCAGGCGATAATAAGCGGATTTGCCAAGTATCTCAGTCACCGATGAGATGTTTTCCCTGCGCAAGAATTGATTCTTCCGATCATAGTGCAATGCTCGAGCTTCATTTGACCAGAAGGATAGAAGTTGTCTAGTTCGCTCAATGGCGTGATATTGATCATTGTGTTGTAAATAGACACCGGAATAACGGGAAAACAGGCGGGCGTGATTCCAAACCATGGAATCATGGCTACTGCAGTAAGAAAAGCCACAGCTCCATTACTTCAATGTAACTACAACCCAAGCCGGGGGTGCCCATACACCTGGGGAGGTTGGTATCTACGGATTGTGCTAGAAGAGAGAATAGAAAAGACGCCACAAGCGCGTATACTACGGGAGTGGTATGTACTGATCAGTTGATCTTACCTCTAACCATTCTATGCAAAGCCCAAAGACAAAGGCTGCAGACTATTGTGGAAAGCCCAGGTACTCTACCAAACTGCCACATACCAACCTAGGTAAGTGGTAGCATGTTTGGAGTTCCGATTTTGCTATCCCTGGAAGTACCTATGGGACAGTTAGTACTACTTAGTAGTAATATTGGTGCTTACTGCTGAGCTATAACCTGACTCAAACATACCAATAGATGGCCCCCCGGGTGTTGATCTAATGCAGTCATCATATCAAGGGTCTTGGCCCTTGAAAACCAAATATAACCAGGCTGAATTTCGAACGTTGGAACGGATCTCGGATAAGCCCTGGAGGACTGATATCCTTCAAAATTGTGGTATATCTTAATCACTTGGATATGTTGGATATTTATCTATCTCAAATGGTATTCCGGGGGCATGCACATGAATAGATGTGCTACTAGGTATGGTTATGGGAGGGCCAAGCTTTGAATGTACGTACTAATCCATAGATGACACCTTACCACCAGTCTAAGTGGTTTAGCCTGAATAGGCATGTGGATACTCCAATTTCAACTCTTGGTCTCATATTCACCTGTACACCACTGGGCAATACATAAGATGTCAAAAATTCACCAGACGAGTTCTGTATCCTGCGAATCAATCCTCCTAGACCGTCAAACCCAACGGCGAAATAGTGCGTTGCCACTGCTTCTTTGTATTCAAATTGGTTTACTCACAACTTCTATAGTCTGAGCTCTGATCACCGAATACTTCACCCCCGAAATGAAGCTTTCCACAACTTTGGCCCTTGTGGCATGCCTGGGAGCAGGTGTCAACGCGCTCCCTAGGCCAGAAGAATCGACTTCTGATATTGGAATCTCTCCAGACTGGAAGCGCGATGATTCAAAAACCGATATTGGAATCTCTCCAGACTGGAAACGCGATGATTCGGAGACTGATATCCCTCTGTACCCGGGCTGGAAGCGTGATGATTCAAAGACCGATATCGGAATTTCTCCAGACTGGAAGCGCGACGATGCGGAGACTGATATTGGTATCTCCCCAGATTGGTAGCGTAATTGTCCTCTCTACCTACTCAGGTTGGAAGCGCAGCGATTAGCCAAGCAAACTCTGGCGCGAGGCTACCAGCCCATTTGTTGCATTTGGATTTGGGTGAATTTGAGTTGGACATAGGCAAAGTACTTGGCTCGCAGCTATAAATCAGCGCTGTAGCTGGCAATCATGCCAATCTACGGAGTGTACAGAGTAGATAGTATGGTTATAGCAGGGACATTTATATGATGAAATGAAATACGTAGTATTCTGTATGCAAGGGGCCATTGAAGTCGCGATATGATGTATCTGCAACTCATGACCGGGTATCCATTGTAATTAACACGCTCCAGTCCATGCAAGTTCCCCCAAACTCCGTGACCTTTTTCAAATGCTCTTTTCCTCAAAGTGTACGATCTCTCAGGAACGAATTCAAAGAGACCAAGTCTTCACTCGGGGCCGGTGTGGGGAGAGCCATTTTTGTCGCGTCGAATTCCCATGCAGCTTCCCGCTCGCTCTCATGAGTTTTGATGTGGAAAGCCATCATCCATTCCTTCAGTCTTCCTTCAAACAACCCCATCTCTCGGTTTCTTTCCCACATGCGACGGGACTCTTTGAATGCGCGATTAATTGTGTCACGTCGAAGGCTCTCGTATGCGTCAAAGACCTCGGCGAGGGGTTCTGAGCGGTAGCGCGCCAAGATGCGCGAGAAGAGGATCGCGTCGTCCAAGGCATACGCGGCAGACTCGTCGCGTGGTGGCATCTATGTTTTGGTCAGATCAACCACAAGCAAATATTCGGACAGAGAGACTTACGGCATGCGCTGCATCACCCAGCAAGATCGTTCGGTTCAGACACCAGCGGCCACCGGGGCGGACTTGGTATACGGGGTACAACATCCAGTCCGCTTTACTGTTGATCATCTCTCGAATGCAAGGAATTGCACACTTGCCGAAGCGATCTCTGATCTCTTCACGCAGGGCGCAACGAATTCGATGTTGAGTGGCCCAATCCTGACCTGGTTCCAGACGGTGGCGGCTCAGCCCTTCTTGGCTGAATTGAACGATCGCAGCGGCGAATATTTGATCACCATCGCGATCGCAATAGCTGGCAAGCATTGAACCATGTCGCGAGATATTCAATGACGACGATTTGAAATGGAGAGGGCTGGAAAGTGAGCTGGTATCGATGGTGGCCTGCATGAAGGACAGTCCCGTGTACTCGGCAGGCCGACCCACATCGACAAACTGGGTTCGGACCGCCGAATGGACGCCGTCACAGCCGATCACCAAATCTCCGGAAGCTTCGGTGCCATCCTGGAAGCGCAATACGGTCCTGTCGTCGAATTCCTCGCCCCCCACGACCTTTTTTCCAAACACGATTTCGACATTCTTGGTCCGCTCGACCACGGTCAACATGGCCACCGATAAAATGATTCGCATCACTCGTCGGCCTTTATATCCACCGAAGCCGTTTCCATTGTGGTCGGTGAAGTTGATGGAGCCAATCGGACGGCCTGAGCGCATTGAGAAGAGTTCTATGGCATCCACATCGGCTCCCCCCTCGGGGCCCATCCGATTCAGCTCATCCAATACCCCTAATTGTGCGAGATGCCGCTGGGCGACGGGCGTGAGATTGATGGCGCCGCCAGACGTGGACAATATGTCATGGCGTTCGTAAACGGTGATCTTCAAGTCCGGGACAAACGGCGTGAGCTCTTTAGACAACGAGAGGGCGCATGCGATTCCGGCAATTCCCGCACCCACGATGACAATATTGCTTGGACGGGTCGTATCCATGTTGATGAGAGGTTGGAAGGATTGTGTGATCTTGCTGACTCTGGATAGTGCCGTTCGTCGGGTAAAGGGCTAATTGACTTGGCATATGCAAAGGCTGAAGAGATTTTTTCTAGTTTTTTTCGCCTGCAGAATCTCCATCCTACTATTATATAATATAGTACGGATTACGGAGAGGACTAAACGACCTCGGGAAACTAAACAAGTTCGGCCGGAGGGGAGATCATTCGGTCCTATTCCCCAGTCGTATCCGTGGTTCCGGGGTGGAGTCTTCGTGTTACTATTGATCGATCATAACGGTGAGTCCGCGTTGAGCCTGGAGAGTCCTGATAACCGAGCGGACTCAAGTGGCGCTGCGATCAAACAAAGAAACCCGTCCGTTCAGGCAAGAGACGGTCATTCTCTTTTTGACAGGTGCGTTTGGTACTTTATTTGACTTTGCGGTAGGATATTGAGTTGCCGCCTTCCTATTGGCTGGATGCGTGAATCCCGTCGTTCTTCCCTGGTACAGATCCCCTGGTCCCACCGGTTCCATGGTTCAGACTATCTATATCCCCGTCCGACCGCCGGCCCCGTTTCATCTGCAACTTCTAGACCTTGGAATCATCGCTGTCACTTTTGACAAGGTGTCAATGACCTCCAGGGCTCGAAGTCTACTTACCTACTTGGTACTTCTCGCTAAATGCGGAGACCCTCTTCCCGTCCTTTTGCCGCGCTAGTGGGAGCCTTCCAGGTTTTTTCTCCTTCTCTACCCCATTTGGTCAAAACCCCAAACGCCGGTCTTGATTCTCCAATATAGAGAGACGGCTGGTCTTCCCGTTTTCGTTATGCTCCACAAGCACTGACAGACCGTTGGGGCACGGACGACTTCAGATTCCAGAATGCCACAAAAGCACAAAGTCCACACATCCCCGCTGGTCACGTTAGTGCCGAGACATGATTGTGACAGGGAACAAACATACCCAAAATACAGTTCAATCCATAATATCCGATTTGTTCCACGCCATATCCCGCTAAAATGGGACCAATGAACATGCCGGCAGTCCAGCTCATGCTGACTAGCGAAATCGCTCGGGAATACCCACCATTCCGTCCAAAGATTCCGGGGCTATTGTCTTGGATCTCATCGACGGCCTCTATCAGGACGATCGGTGTCAGTACGGGGGTCAATGGTTAAAAATATCTGAGCTGATCTGAGACTTACGAGTCGCTTCCATCATCCCCACTCCATTCAGGAGACAGATTACCACTCCCGCGCTGCAGACCGCTGCGCTGTACATGACCGGACCAACCAGCTCCGTACTTGCCCAGGGAAATCGTTCATCTCCTGGGATCCCGATCGCCCACATCAAAGGTACCAGGAGCGCGAAGCCAATCGTGGTCGGGTGCCGTGTACCCACTCGATCCTTCAGCCAGCCGACGGGCACGCTAAGGAACACGCCCGGACCCTGAAGAACGGCGAACAAAAGTCCTGACGACATAGATCCCCATTGAAAGGCGTCACGAACATGAAGGGGCAGTGTCGCATCGAAGCTGGCTGTTAGGATTGCGAAGCACATATAACTGAACGCCCCTCCGAGGAAGCGACCGTTGGTAAACAAACACAAATAAAAGTGGATGCCCGTCTTCTCCGGTCCAGCGCCCGTGAGTTCTTCGTTGTTCTCTGTCGATGTTGGTAACAGGACCTCTCTCTCTCGCTCCTCGTCTGCCTTGTTTTGAGCGGGTCGATTGATCGGCGGATTCTCTATCATCAGACATCGCATTGCCGCGTCGAAGACGATCAGAATTAGCACACTGGACCAAGCTGCCCAGTATCCGCCGGTGTCAAAAAGAACACCAGCGACAAGCGGCCCTGCCGATGTTCCCACATTAATTGCAACAGTCACTAACCCATACATCTTGCCAATCTGATTGGCAGGGACTTGGTCAGCAAGTGTCGCATACCCCACGACCCACACAGACGTGCTCGCCAGAGACTGTATCAGTCTCCCCGCGAACAAAGTGAAAACTAGATCAAACCTCAGTATGCTGAACTCAGACATGTTTTGCTAAAAGCACCAACCAGAGTTTGCCAGAGCGATTATGAGAGACCCCAATAATGCACCTGCGAGACCAGCCAGTAGCCATTCCCGTTTTGCGCCCGAGCGATCGGCATGCGATCCGATCAAAGGACTTGCAATGAACATAACCAGCGCGCTCTGAGACAATAAAGCGGTGCTGATGCGCTGGGTGAGGGATTCATCGAGGCCTAGGCGATGCTCAAGCATGTATGGAAGTAGTGGCACCAAGAATCCATACATATACATGTCTATTCAGCTGGTCAGATCGTCTGCTGAGGTTCTTTTTTGCCAACATACCGGTGAGAAGGGCGACCGACATCGTCCCAACAATGAAATATACAGACGATCGCCATCGGACACCCCATGGCTCCTCTCGCGCTAGTAGTGTTGGCATTATGGTAGCCCAGGGCAGAACATAGATGTTGTAGCCTTGAATTGAGTGAGAACAGAGACAACTTTTTGCGGGCGTTGAAAAAGGTGTGCCAGGATGCCCCCGTACCTCCTGTGACACGCCAATGGAGCTCAGGCTGAGAGGGCAGCTTTGCAGATGGATCAGTCTACGGAGTACAGTGCATGGTCCATGTATTTATGCTTCCTTTTTCCCCTTCTTTTGAGCATGGAACTACATTGGAGGTGCCCAGGTGAGCATACTCCGTACTTGGGTATGCACAGACCCCTAGCTGCACCTGCATGAGTAAGGCCTTTGCTCTTCTTTGACACAGGAGCGATGATACTGAAAAAAAATGGCGTACATCAATCCAATGATCGGGATAATCTTCCTTATATTACATTCAACTTCAAATCATGGTGGGTTTCCCCTCCTGTTCGAGGTGCTCAGGTGTATTAAAAGGGGGTAAGAAAAAAGTCTACCTAGGTACGGAGTATGCAAGGCGCTATTGAAACACTGCATTCCACGCCGCGGCGCTAATACATAAGTATGCAGGCAGACCGAAAAAGAAACGAAAAAGACAACACACTGACTGTCAGTCCTCCGTACTCCGTACCTACTCCATGCTCCGTACAGTATAAAATGTGGACAGTTGCGAAGATCTAAGTACCACCTCTCATCGCGAGCCAATCGGAGATTATGCAACATGAGATTGTTAAATCGTATTTTGCTTTTCTTATAGTGTAGATCAAGCGGGACTGGTACTACTAGATAGTACTCCATGCCTAATGAAGTACACTCTTGGATTCAATCTTGTGGATATATGCATTGAACGATGCAGCATAGCATTAGGATTCGTTGACTCGTGATGCATAGCATAATATCATTTAAATACAAATTCGCCGATCCCTCTTCCGTTCCCAGCCCATAGTTATACTCCCAGCGAACGTGCTCCCATCACAGCAATGTTTCTTGGTGTGCAGCCAGCGTCCACTCCCCGTCAGAGCCTTGGCTCCAAGTTGTTGAGGATGAAGCGATGTATTCCTTCTTTCCTCTCACAGCGCGGACTTTGCATGTGACCACGCCGGCCATCAAATCAACAATGATGACGCGGACTTGTTCAAACTGGTAGGCATCGAATCGGTGGAAAGGTGGTCGCACCATGCGCTTGAACTCTTCTTCGTCTTCGAATGTGAGGATCTCCCGTCGAGGGAACATGAAGTTTGCTTCGGGGTTACTGAGTTTGAAAATCGCAGGTGCTGGATCGGCGGATGTAAGGGCGGTCCAGAGCGCGCGCTCTTTATTGAGGAGGTCCTCGCGGATACGTTCGTGCATGGACGGCATGGTAAGAGATATTAGCGGTAGGATATGGCTGAGAGTGCTGGTATTGCGATGCAAGAGATATGGTGCCTCGAAAGCAGAGTAAGAGGCATGAGCAGGCCTTGATTTTATTATGCAACGGCCGTATAGATTAAAATGACGTCAGATGACGAAAGCCCGTTTAATCTCCGGGGATCAACACATCCTGTGTCCAGTCTTGTTGCTGTCACTCTCCCCTCTGTCACTCTGTGGTCTCGTCTGTTCTATTCTTGGCTTGACATGCGTCATGCCCCACGTCCAACATCCTCAGTCATGTGGCTTGAAGCCCCCCGCGTCAGAGGGGCCTTTATTAACGTACGTTGCCTGGACTTGGCTCCTGTGAGATTAGGTTCTCACCAGACTGTGTTCCTCTGATGCTGTGTGGGCATTCACATCAGTGTCACAGAGATACAAATCGTGTGATGGTCAATTCATTCAATATCCAAGGCTCATCGTGACACACTGCAATTTACCTACAATCATCCAGCATCCTCATGGACCTCACTTGATGAATTAGATCTTTCAAGTTGAGAAAATAAAAGAATGCAGTCGATTCAAACAACAAAGATGCCACATGGGATGGCCGTGTCCCACGTGGTGAATTCCATGGGAGAATCTGGCCTCGGGACTACCGGGCACTTGGCCCGGGAGCCATTTCCGATTCTGGGATAATGCGGTCAACTCATAGGTCGAAAATTAACATATTCGCTCTTCGGTTCAAGGTCCAGATGCAATGTTCGAGGTTTCCGAAGTTTTTTTGTGAAATCGATATGATGTGGTTGTAGCCAGTAGCGCGGAAAATCAAGCGGGGATGAGCTTGAAATATATGTATTGCTGCAAGATTCCTATGATACTGCCACCAAGGCCGATAATGCGTCGCTTTCAATCGCTGCTTCAAGGTTGTACGTAAGAGCTCTGGTCCCAGAGAAATCAAGATAACGCGAAATTAATACCTACTAGTGTTCTCAACGGTGTCCCGCGCTCTCGGTATCATGGTGAATGCGCCGCAATGCTTGATCCTGCGGGACTTCGGCAACCTCCGGTGGAGAGAAAAATTCGCGATAAGGTGGACATTGCCAGAGGAACTGAGATAAGTGATCCACTGCTCTCCATCACAGGTACTACCTACAGGTAGCAAGCTCTGTGATTCACCAATAACGCAGAGATATCACCTCATAGTGGCTCCGCCCGATTGCCGATCATATCCAGATGCATCAACATTTCCACTTATCGGACGATGGTCTCCCCGTAGCGAAAAATGAACAAATTCTGCAGAGTACAAATAAGAGGCCTTGGTGCATCCAGGTACACACATCACCTTCAAAATGCAGCTCACCAGAACCCTCGCGGCGTCTCTGCTGTTCGCCGGTAGCGCACTATGCGCCGAAGCCCCCAGCACCCACAAGGCATTGATTGCGCCCAAGGTCTTCATTGTCTCTATGGTATGCGCGCCCACGTCGAATTGCCAATTCCTCCATACTGACAAGCAAAAAGTTTGAACCTGAAGCTCAAGCGTGGTGGAACATCCCTGAATTCAACCTGCTCGCTCACAACATCACCATCCCTGGTCTTTCTCCTATCTTCCCCGATGTCCACTGTACCGAGGACTACGAGGTCTGCCAGCTGATCACCGGTGAATCTGAGATCAATGCTGCCGCCACCGTCACCACCGTTGCCTTCTCGCCCTTGTTTGACTTCACTCAGACCTACTGGTTCGTCGCGGGTATTGCCGGCGTCAACCCCAAGAAGGTCACCACTGGATCCGCAACCTTTGCTCGGTACGCAGTCCAGGTCGCTCTCCAGTACGAGATCGATATCCGCGAGTTGAACAGCTCCTACACCACCGGATATATCCCCCAGGGTGCCGACTACCCCGGCCAGTACCCCACAAACATCTACGGCACTGAGGTCTTCGAGGTCAACTCCGAGCTGCGCACCATTGCTGCCGACTTCGCTCGCAAGGCCAACCTTTCGGACTCCACCACTGCCCAGGCCTACCGCCCTCGCTACAAGACCCCCAGCGGAAAGTACAAGGCCGCTACCTTGCCCCCTAGCATTGTCGAGTGCGATGTCGCAACCTCCGACGTCTACTACAGCGGCAACATCCTCGGTTCCGCTTTCGAGAACACCACCAAGGTCCTGACCAACGGAACCGGTGACTACTGCGCCAGCGCCCAGGAGGACAACGCTACCCTGGAAGTCCTGCTCCGTGCCGCTGTTCACAAGCTGACTGACTTCTCTCGCATCATCGTCATGCGCACCGCATCCGACTTTGATCGCCCCTACCCCGGTGCCTCTGCCACTTACAACCTGCTCTACTCCGAGCAGGGTGGATTCGAGCCTGCGCTGAAGAACCTCTACGTGGCCGGAATCAAGGTCGTCGAGGGTATCATCGATGGATGGAACGCCACCTTTGCTGAGGGTGTCAAACCCACTAACTACATTGGTGACATCTTCGGCACCCTGGGTGGTACCCCTGACTTTGGCCCTGGCCGCAAGCAGGCTCTCATTGATGGTGGCGCCTACAAGAAGCGCAGCATTCCTAACCGCCTGCAGCGCCGCGGTTAAACGCTATTTCTATCATTGGATCAGTATATTCGTGTATATCAATGTATCATGTCATATATCGAAAAGTTGGCTGTGCCTCCAGATTTGATCACCTTCTCAACTCTCAACCAGTATTTCTAAGGGGAAGTAATCGGCCAACGCCTGATAACCAGCCACATTCGGATGAAGATGGTCACCCGAATCATACTTCTCCAACAGCTGGCTAGGAGCCAAGGGATGTCTCAACACACGATCAAAATCTAACACGGCATCAAATATACCACTTTCCCGGATAAATGTATTGATGCGTTGTCGGGTTTTCTCTCGGACAGGACTGGAGTAAGGTTGTATGTAATCTGAAGTCGACGAGGAACCAAATGGAGTAATAGTTGCACCAAAGACTGGAATACCCAGAGCATGAATGCGCGTCGCAATCTGTCGATAAGCGGCAATAAGACGTTCCTCGATCTCCAATTGGGAAGCAGTGTCGGGATCAGCAACACCGATATCGTTCACACCCTCAAAGATCATCGCAAATCGTACTCCGGACTGTGCTAGTACGTCTCTATCCAGGCGACTCAGAACATTCGGCCCGAGGCCGTCTTGAAGGATGCGATTACCGCCGGCTGCTTGGTTAGAGATCGAGATTCTGGAAGTGGAGTCGTGTTTTTGCAGTTTCTTGAGTAGCAAGTCGGGCCAACTGATTGATTAGCCTATATTCCGATCATTTCAATCTCTCGCATACCGATTGTTTGCATTCGTTGTGTTTCCTCGCCCGTCGGTAATGCTATCACCAACAATTGCGAAAGTCTTGTGTTCAAGAGGCAACAAAGCTTCGACACCACTGATGAAATACCTAGCAAAAAGGTCAGAGATGAATACAGAATCGCAGAAAACCGAAGACAAACCAGTGATCTGTGCTCTGAACAGATGATTGTGTTATGTTCTGCGCGTCGACCCAGTCTCCAAATGCCAGATACGAAGTCGTTCTACTTCCAGGGTGACCAGTGATTGAAAAGCCCTCTTGACCATCTTCGAGAAAGATGCTGATCATCAGGGGCGATTGAGCCTTGACAGATATTTTGATGGGGTCGGAAACAGCCAATGCCCCGTTAGGTATCACTGTGTTTGGTCTACCATTGAAAGAAACGACTTGCATTGACCCTTCCTGTGAGGCGCTGAGGCCTACTTGCTGTGTTGCTGGTAGACTGACAGTCACTTTAGTGATAGAGAGTGCATTTATACCAAAAGTGTTGGAGAGGCGGATTCGTATTTCCTCTGCTGGCAATGAGACTTGGAGGGTTTGACGAATGGTAGTGTTTTGGAATACCGAGTCCGAACCATTCTGTTCGTCTAATTAGTTGGTGTCAAAAAAAGCGAGGTTGACAGTAGAAGTACAAATGGAACTGGTGGAAGGTTACCAGGCTCGACCAGTTGAGGCATAGTCGTCCAGATGTTCACCCAATGTGTGTCTTTCTCTCCGAGAGAAGAGCGCAAGTTCAACGAAGGGGCTGAACAAGCTAAGCCAATGATACATAGCATCGATATTCCAACATTGAGTTGGAGCATTGCTATCATGATGCAGGGTGAGTATCGATCAAATAGAATAGAGCACGCAAGATCGTTTTGAGTATCAAGGAAGGCCCTGGGGTTCTTTCAGTGCTAGTTAACATTTCTATCTGTTCCGGCTAATCTGGATAATATAACATTGTCCGGCAAATATTTCTGGGGTTGTCAACTTCCCCCGCTACAGTTACTCCGCACAATGCAGCCGGGTTGCGGGGGAACGGATAAGTTTGACTTAGGCTCATACATCCAACCGGTGAACAAGCACCTCTCTACTGTGCATGCCTCTTTCCGATATTTCCAACCTTCCTCAGCCCAACAAAACCAATCAAAAGACTGAATACGTTGACAGCAAACAAAAACCAGAAGGAGGCCCGGTATCCGACCATATATCCATCTGGCTGATATCTTTCTGCACCACCAGCCTGCCTATCGCTGACAACGCTGGCGATTAGTTCGACGAAAGTTAATCCAAAGCTCTTGCCAACTTGCGAGAAAGTGTTGAAGACTCCCCCTGCCAGACCTTGGGTCTCGGGTGGGAACATATCAGCAATGAGGATGTTGGAAACAGTGAAGAGTGAGTCTGCAGCGATGGAGTTCAAGCAGATCGCAACGAAGGCACAGCGCCAGTATGTCCAAGATGGGTTGACCAGAGCCATTATCAATGGGGAGACGGCAGATATCACAATGGTGATGTTTATGATGGCGTCGGCGCGGATGCGGTGTAGCACCATGCCTGTCACGAGAGCGCTGAGTAGGCCTGTTATGGGCGTGGGGATGAATCTGAGAGCAGTTTGGAGGACAGAGATCTCTTGTACGTTCTGGAAAAAGAAGTTGATGATTTGTTCGAAGCCATTGAAAGCGCCCCAGATGACAAAGACGTTAATACAGATCGAGGTGAAGGAGACATTTTTCCAGAGTGAGTTGCGTATGAGTGTGGGCTTGCCGCGGCACTCTTGGTATTCTTGCCAGAGGACAAAAAATACGAGCAGTATGACCGATAGGGTGAAGTAAACGATGGTAGAAGTTTCGCTGATACTTTGTACGTCGGCGGTTATGATGCTAGAAGTAGTCAGTTAAAGGCTTTTCGGGGTGGGCCCAGGCCAACGGACGCTAATGCTAGTGAGAGAAGGGCCAGAGCGACGCTGACGACAATAGAACCGAGCCAATCGATACCAAAGAAGAGCAGCTCCCACTTAATGCCGCTTCCCTGGGGCCGGGGTAGCTGCCACCAGGACAAAAGGAAGGCGGTTGTGTTGGCAATCGTAGCAGTATGGAACCCCCAGCGCCAGCCAATGGTGTCGGCACAGACGCCGCCCATGAGCATGCCTAGACCGAACCCGATCGGTTGGCCACCTCCAATGAAAGAGAATGCCAGGTTGCGCAGCTTTCCGGGGGCGAAGTTCTCGGAAACGATACTCATGGCAGTAGGAAGACACATGGCGGTTGCTAGTCCAGAGAAGACCCTGAAAACAACGAGCTGTGTGCCATTCTCAGACAGTCCACACGCCATGCAAAAGATGCTTTGAAAGAAGCAACCGAGGAGAAAGACCTGCCGACTGCCGACTGCGTCGGAAACAGCTCCGAAGATGAGGAGCGTACAGCCTGTGGACAATGCGTACATGGACACGGGCCTGCCTGATTAGCCATCGCCGACCACGAAGTCAGTAGAACAAGATACACACCATAGCTCCATACCCTGGTTCAGCTGTAGGTCCTTCGCGATTTGTGGCACACAGACAGTAACCAGGCCGCCCAAATAGCAACTCACGAATGTAATGCATGAGAGACAGAATATCACCAATGAGGAGTTTTCGGGCTTACTCCTTTCAAGTTCATCTTCGCCGATTTCTGTATAGTCTTGGACTGTGGAATCGCAAGTCTCGTGTTCAGTAGGAATTCCGCCAAAGTCGTCTCGGGGGGAGCTGTTTGTGGGATTTAGGAGCCTATCGGTCTCGAGCATTGTGAGTGAATCTTAGGCCTGCAAGAAATGAAGCAGTCCAAAGAGAAATGAGAAGTTAATGAGGACTCAAAGATCCCCAAGTGGTCTATTTCCCCAAGTACAGTCCAAGGAGACGTCTGAGACCTCTGGCGACCGAATTGACTACTCACATTATTTTCGGAGATCAACTAGAGCTACACCGAGTAGATACCAGGTCATCCTATGACATTAGTCTTCTGATCCAGACTAGGGTCACCGGGGGATCGTGTAGGAACCTCGATATATGCACCGTAGCTTTCTACGTATAGCTCGCGAGTTTGAGACATCGATTCGTCGAGGTCTGAGTCGGTCACACAACATGTCACAGTTACGGAGTATACGAGGATTGGCGTCCCGAGCATACGGCTGAGTTAATTTTCAGCTTTTGTTTGCTCAAATTGCCTCCTTGGACCATGATTGTTGATTGCAGCCTCTCCCTTCACGCGCTTCTAGGAGCCTATGGGATCATCAAACACGTCACGCCTGGTGTCGGCGAAAGAAGTCGCACACCAAGATTCCGCTGACGACTGCTGGGTGGTCATCGACAATCAAGTGTGGGACGTGACTGCCTTTGCTACAGGCCATCCCGGTGGCGCTGACAGTAAGTTTACTCTCCATCAACCTTTTCCCTTGGAAGGTAAACTGATCCTGAAGTCTAGCTATCCTCCAACATGCTGGCGGTGATGCCACTGAAGCCTACAATGAAGTCCACGGACCAGCCACAATCAAAACTCTGCCCGCCACTCAATTGATATGCCAGCTTGACTTGTCTTCAATCAACGAAGCATGGGGAAACCGCCTTAGGCCCCTGGCACAGACACAAAAGACCAAACCACCGCTGAATACCTTACTCAGTACGCACGACTTCGAGGATGCAGCTCGGAACTCTCTATCTAAGAAAGCCTGGGCATTTTACTCCAGCGCTGCCACCGATCTGATTTCCCACCATAGCAATAAAGAGCTCTACAGACGCATTTGGATGCGACTTCGCCTCCTCAGAGATGTCTTTGTGGTCAGTACACGTACTAATATCCTGGGAGTCAAATTCGATCTGCCAGTGGTGGCTGCGCCCGTCGCTCTTGCACGGTTGGCACATCCGGAGGGCGAAAGAGGCATCGCTCATGCATGTGCGCAGAAAAATATTGATTACTGCGTATGGCACCACAGGGCGACACATTTCGATTGTTTTTGCTGACTGGGATGAAGATACCTATCACCGCCTCTATCCCAGCGGAAGAAATCATCGGATCGGTTTCATCGGTCGACCCATTTTTCTTTCAGCTGTATGTCAACAAAGATCGCACATCATCGGAGCCAATATTACAGCGAATCTGGGGTCTTGGTATTCGAACCCTCTTCGTGACGATCGACAGTCCGGTGCCTGGGAAGCGCGAGGCTGATGAGCGGGTGCGCGCCGAGCAGTCGATTTCCATGCCCATGACAGGCACCAAATCCAGCCGGGATGGGAAGGGTGGTGGAATCACACGGACCACGGGATCTTTCATCGACAATTCACTGTGTTGGGAAGATTTGGCTTGGCTGAGGATGCATTGGCAAGGGAGACTAGTCCTCAAGGGAATACAGTCCGTCGAAGATGCGCTAATGGCAGTGGAGTCGAGGATCAACGGTATCGTCTTGAGGTGCATCCCACCCCGAAAGTGCTTCGATATCAACTAACACCGCCAGTAATCATGGTGGGAGAAATTTGGACACTTCGCCACCTGCAATCCTGACAGTCCTCGAGTTGAACCGGCACTGTCCCCATGTTTTGCGAGAGACTGAAGTCTTGGTGGATGGTGGTATCCGCCGGGGAACAGATATCTTGAAAGCGATATGCCTCGGGGCGCGGGGTGTGCTTATCGGGAGGCCAGTGATGTATGCTCTCAGCTATGGCCAAGAAGGCGTCGAGCACTTGATTGACCGTATATTTTCATCTTTTTCGCTTACTATTGATTCATCGAGAAGGCTGACTCTCCGTTAGTCTTGGCGTCAGAACTGCAGGTGGCGATGAAGCTAGTCGGCATCACCGATTTGTCGCAAGCGCATATGGGGCTGCTCAACACACAAGATTTGGACCACTTAGTTTTGCGAGTACTCCCTGGCGTCGGCGTCGTGGGTCGCGCAAGAATATGACGGATGGGAATCTTTACCCGTTACTGAAACACGTACGCTCTCTGGATAACTATGGACAGGAGTGATTTCCAGGTGCATGCTTTTTAGTTTCCCTTTAACCCCCGTTGACAGCTCATATCCAACCTAGTATGCAGACCCGAAAACTGTTCTTTACATCCTCCGTACAGGGGCTGCAAAGAAAAAGTAACATCAATCGCTAGGGTCAATAATTGGGGTAGTGCCGAGTGAAACGCCCGTTGACACCACCCGCAGGCCAACAGGCCCCGACTCCCGGGGCCCACACGCATTCTCACGCAGGTCCCGGGCCTCGGGGTGCAACCCTGCTTAGGGCTACGCTCTGTCGCCACAGATGCAGGTTCTTTTGTGCGTTATGGAAAACAAATACACTTCCGGGAGGTGACATATTATTTGATTTCCAATCTAATTTAGATTTTGGGACAGATCGATTCTTGATGAGATGTTTGTATTCGTACAATCCGAAATCTAATTTCACGAAGGCCTCACTCGGCTCCGGGGTATTCCCAGGCGCCAGTTCTGGTGATGCCCTTCAGCTGTGTGTCCCGGTCTGGGTTCAGGGTTACAACCCATCTTCTTTCTGACAGTTAACAGAACCATTTACAATTATTTTTCCTGGTGAGCGATGGTTCTCGGGAAAAAGCAATTCTGAATCTTACGCGTTGTTTCTGCGTCAAATCAAACATTCCCTAGTGCCAAATCTCCACACTCGTACTCTTTTGACCCCTATTGGCGATCCATGTATGACCTTCAATCGAGAAAATACATAGCAATTCATGCATTCTTGTCTGACTGATCGTTTCCCATAAGCTTGGAATGGAATTCCGGTCTCGCCGCTCGAGACAAACCATGCCAAACTAAAGATTACCGCGCAATGCCTGCTCGCGCTCAAACGCCTCAAACAGGCTCTTGAAGTTACCAGCGCCGAACCCGTCAAAGTTCTCGCGTTGGATAATTTCCAGGAATACAGTTGGGCGGTCCCCAATATGCTTGGTAAAGATCTGCAGAAGATACCCACCCTCGTCGAAATCAATGAGAATGTTGTACTTCTGAAGCGAGTCAAGCTCCTCAGCCACCTTAGTACCCGTTTGCTCCAGCCGCCTGCGCACATCAGCATAATACGAGTCCGGTACTGAGAGAAAGTCGACACCGCGCTTTAGCAGCCCATCGACTGTCTCAATGATGTTGTTGGTGCGGAACGCGATGTGCTGGCAACCCGCTCCATTGTAGTAATCGCAGAATCTGCATGGTTAGCCAAGGCTCATAATCGGAGACGGTTGAAGCGACTTACTCCTCAATCTGAGACTTCTTCTTGCCTTTCGCCGGCTCGTTCAGTGGCATTTTGATAACCTCGTTCGGCGATGCAACCACAACCGAGCGCATGGCCGAGAACTCAGAGCACATCTCTTTGTCGTCGACAGTCCAATAGCGGTGGAAGTTCAACGCGTTCTCATAAAAGTTGACGACCCCATCCAGATCGTTCCATCCCTGATTACCCACGCAGTGGTCGACTTCGATCAGATCAATTTTCGGCAAGTGCTCCTGTAGCCTGTTGCTATCGTCGATGGCCCTGAAGCCGGGCAAGAATGGGCCTCGATACGAAGATCGATCAATCAAGGTATGGATAGTGTCTCCGAATGTTTGAATTACAGCCACGAGGATCTCGCCGTCGTCGGTCTTGAGAACCTGCGGGTCCTGAATGGATTCGGCACCATTTTCGACAGCATGCTCCCACACGCCGCGCACGTCGTCTACTTGGAAGGCGATGTTATTGACTCCATCGCCGTGCTTCGTCAAGTGTGCGTGCACCTCGGCACAGAAGGTGCGGTCTTCTTCGCTGGCTCGTGTATCCCACAAGCTATCAGGTGAACTGAGGGGCGCAGTGAACACAAACCGGGCTGCCCCGTTGGCGATCACGTAGGCAGTTGTAGCGAATGAACCGGTCTCGGGGCCGCGGTATGCCAAGACAGAGAACCCATAGTGGTTGACGAAGTATGATACCGTCTGCCGGGCGTTGCCGACGTACCAGCCAATGTAGTCAAATCCGATGTAGTTGGGGTTCATGGTCCGGATGACCGCGCGGTTGGGAGGAACTCCAGCATCACCCATCATGAATGAGGTTGCTGATGTATGAGCGAAGTGAATGGTTCGATGAGAGGACCAGTTACTTGATTTTTGGATTGAGATCGTAGTGATTTCCAAGTGACAAGGAGACGAGTGAATGAGTACCTTGCCTATGTATATATTCTGCCGGCCCTTTTGGTCTACGGATATTATCCATGGATAGTATAAAGTTTAAGATTTGGCACATTCAGTTTTTCATCGGCCTTCCAAACTCTCTATCCTAGCACTCCTGCTAATATTCTTCATATTTGGGTTTATGATGGGTGGTCTTAATTTCGCTCTCTCATCTTCCTGTCATCTTTGTCTTACCTTCCTCGTGGGAAACACGGGGACTCCCGCCCTGATGATAGATTAATGGCCAAGGTCATACGGGATCCCCCCCAGTTGACAGAGCCCATGGTCACGGAAAACATCGACCTACGCAAGAGAGGCGTCAAGGCTGGAAGCGCAAAAGCCTTTGAAAACGGAGCAAAGTACGGCGACTCACTTACAGACAACCGCCGTATGAATATAACGGTTTGGAAGTGTGACGAGCAGGTCTTCAGCCATCCATCGCGGTTGCCACCTTCAGAGTTGATGACGGCGGAGCCCCCAAGGAACTGAAATGAGACCTGCGTTTGCCATACCGCCGACTGACTCTCCTGAGTTTTAGTCTGGTAAACGCGAATAAGGTTCGGTCCATCGCTAATGTCAACATCTTCGGAGATGAGCCACACGCTGGTGTGGGGGCTGTGGTCGGATGTCCTAGGATATTGGGATGTTATCACGAGCGATGAAAATATGAAAGGCGCTGAGCGGAACTGGTTCGTCGAGGTTGAGGCCATTCTTGGCCGTAAGCGAAAAGCCGACAAGCCTGCACCTCCTCCCTTGAAGACATTCTTTTCCCGAACGGGCGCGTCAAGCCCCGCGCCACTCCCGCCATCTTGATGTTGTCTCTGTCCGGCCCGGTGCCGTTGCGGTGTTATATCTGTCCCATCTGGTGCTGTGGCTGTCTGGCCTGGTGCTCTTGTTCAAGGTTGTCCCTCCTGGTACTGCTACCTCTTATATCGTTTGCTTTGACGGCCATGTCCCTGCCACGAATGAGAATTATCCAGATTCATTCGTTTTCAATTCAAGAAGCTGTCATTACCCTACGACCTCGATAAAGTCACAAGAGATATTACAAGATATACATCAAGATATATCGATTACTCAATTTAGGATAAATATTTTGATTACTGAGAGACAAATTATATCATAAAACAATGTCTTCGTTTCTTCATTCACCTGTTTCGAGTTCGTGATGGTTCGTGTGAGGGCGGGCAAGAAGCGGGTTGTGCGAAAGTTAGAAGTAGGGCCCGGGGGCGCGGTCCGCTAGGCGCGACGGGGTTGGGGAGCACAGCGCTCCACAATATGCGTCGGGGTACAACTGTATAACACCGAAGATGATACAAAAGCTTGTGAAATTCAGCTTTTGTGGGAAGGAACGTCCTTGTCTCCTTTCCCAATCTCACTTCCTTCCATCCTTCCGATTGTTTTGTTGCATGTCTGACTTGATAGAGCTCATATCACACAATCTTGGGTCAAAACATCATCCACGTCTATATCTCATTCACTATACTTTCCACAATGGAGAGCGATGGCACATCCAAGGGCAGCACAGCGCCATCTAACAATGCACGCGACTGGTCTCGTAAGGCAAATGCGGCCCTACCTCGGATTACAGCATGTGTCTGACCGATGGTAGACCTGTTCAGTGCCGAGAGTGCATCGAGAAAGGTACAACATCCTTTGATTTCTCGAACCTCTCTCTAACAGAGTCAATACATAGCACTCAGTGATGCAAGGAATGCATGAGATTCTAGCCCAGCCAGGTTTGACAGCTCGTTTGACAGGAAAGATATGACCTCATTCGCAAGAAGGAATTCGATCGCTCGGCCCCGGCGCCCCCTCTACCAAATATATCCCTTTCTATGGTATGGACTTTGAGGTTGCTTCCCCCGATGCATTTGAGATTTCCGGCAAGACCCAAGAGAAGACAACGGCCATTCACGCCGGTAAACATGATATCGCAGCTGGGACCAGTCTGTATGACCTGGCAACGGGGCTGCAATATGGGTTAGGGACGGGATCAAAGCAGCTTGTCAAGTTTTTGACGGAGCATATCAAGGTATCACCATGTCTCACGCCATTCCGGGCTGCGCTAACGAAAGCAGCTCATCCACAGCCCGCCCTACCGAAATTGGCAAACCATACTCAGCGCCGGCAACACATCCGCTTTTGATATTGTGCTACGCATGCTCGGTCAGACCGGCGAGTATCTGCTCGTTGAGCAATACACTTACACGACAGTGTTTGAGACGGGGCTCCCACTTGGGTTGAAGTTCGCTCAGGTACGCATGGACCAACATGGTATGCTTTCTGACGACCTTGATGACATTCTTTCAACTTGGAATGAGATAGTTCGTGACGGCAAGAAACCCCGTCTGCTGTATACCATCCCAACGGGTCATAACCCCACAGGCACGACGAAGCCTCTGTCTCGGCGACGAGAAATTTATCGTGTAGCCCAAAAACACGATTTATTCATCATCGAGGATGACCCCTACTACTTCATTCAGATGCCCGCCTACCAGGTCGGGGCTATCGCAACTACTAGCCTCGTCACTTCGGTAGGGGAATACGCGAAGACCTTAATTCCCAGCTATCTCCGCCTAGACACAGACGGTCGCGTTCTTCGAATGGACTCGGTTTCGAAGATCATCGCACCGGGCGCTCGCATGGGGTGGGTGACTGCCTCGGAGCAGATCATTGAGCGGATGATTCGTGCGCACGAGGTCTCAATCCAGAATCCGAGTGGATTCTCACAGATTGCTATCTTCAAGCTGCTGCATGATAGCTGGGGGCATCTGGGATTTGTGAAGTGGCTAGCTCATCTCCGGGATGAGTATACGAAGCGGCGAGATGCTTTATTACAGGCTTGTGATGCTTTTTTACCATGTGAGGTTGCCAGCTGGATGCCACCCACCAGTGGAATTTTTGTATGTGGAACTTCCCCCAATTTTGTAGCTCGTCCTTTCGACTTTAAGTATTTGTGGAGCGGGCTCCGGTTCTGAACTTTTGGCTAATTCAAACAAGGCTTGGATTTCCATCGACTGGACACAACACCCTCATGCGAGCATTAGGTCTCCACTGCAGGTTGAGAAGGAGATATACGATACAACCATCGAATACAAAGCACTGATTGTTCCGGGTAGTTGGTTTCTGCCGGATCAAGGGAGGGGCGGTTTGGAAGGTGTATTCTTCCGCATGACCTATGCGTCTGCTTCATTTGAAGATATGAGGGAGGCAGTTGAGCGAGTGGGCATAGCCTTACGAACAGTCTTCAAGTTGAAGATGACCAAGAACGTGACAACACACCCGCTGCTGTGCGGTGATGATAGATTTGATGATAAGCCCGAGTGTTGATCGGTTCGATGAATGGATACCGTGATCTATTGATTGCTACATTTTAAGAGCCCTACTTCATGAATGGGGGGAGGTTGAACACCGAGGCTGGACGCAAAGATCGCGACCTAAGGGCAAAGTTCTGCAATAGCCCTGGTTGGGCCCGAGATCCCGCCCGTGAGCCCCCCAGCCCGGCCTCTGGGCTCCCTAGGGCGCAACTCAGTCGAGAGCCCATTATTGGGCCCCCAATGCGCCCACAGAACCCCCCACTTAGCTTCAACCCCGAGCCCAGAGCCCATGACTGGGCCCGAAGACCGGCCCAAAACCCAGCCTATTGCTGGACTGGGCCAGGTTGGGCTCTGGGATTTCCGGGCTGGTGCGGGAGTCTAGGACAAACCAAAAATACGATGTTCCGACCCGTGATCCCCGTCCCTATCCCCATTTCCTCGGCCTTCGAAACATCTCATATAGTAATGGGCGGCGATCGACAAAATTCTCAAATTGAACTATTTGATATTCCGCGTCTCTTTCACAGTCTGACCCGCATCTCCAATGTCCACAATCTTAGTTACTGTTCCAGCGCGTCTGTCCATCGTCTCACACACCGGCCTCAGTCTAAAACGTTGCATGTCCAAGGGCACCTCTGGACCCAGCCACGCCGTCATATGGAGGTGATCGCGCAGCTCATCGTCAGTGTTGGGGTGCACAAGGACGCTCAGCGGTCCGCGATGTACGAAAATCCAGCTGACGAATGCCCCGAACTGATGCGGTGTGAAGAGGGCCACCTCAAACATGCCTGGTGCATGGGGGCCTTGCGGATTCGTGTGCAAGGGGTATATTCTCAGCTCGGGGACTATCCTGGTTGATCAGTATGCTTTGTGGCGAATGTCACGTATGGAACTTAAATAGACATACATTCCAAGCGGATACGGGTCCACAAATCCTGTGCGTAACTTGTTTGAGACTCGTCGCGCTGTCGTTCCAAGGTTTAATTAGTAAAGTGATATGGCGCACCTGGGCAGGCGTTCAGTGAGGTATCTACGGGATTGAAGTATACGTGCACGTCGAAGCCAGGTAATTGGCAGTCGTGACGACCACCATTTGAAATCGGTGGTACGAAGTGCTCGTAAGCGTCGCTGAGAGTGATCTTTTCGGGGCTGTCGAAACTCTTTCCGTCTTGCGTTTTAGCTCTATGAATCTGTCAGTAATTGAATTTTGTCAATGGTCTATCACAGAATTCGACCTACTCAGACAGTGGTGCGTGATTTTCCCAGCCCTTCAGTGGGGACGGGAACCTGTATTGCGCCGGGTCCAGGTTGTATGGGGAAATGGTGTCCATTTGATCTTGCTTGTAGGTTTTCTTGGTCACTTGTTGCCCTTTCGAATGGAATTTGGGATGTCTTGGGGTAGATTTGGAGGCGGGGGATTTTCGTAGAAGACAGACTGTTCAGCTAGACAGTGATTACGGCTTTGTCTCTTGTATATGATGCCGCTAAACCCGCGGATATACCGGTGAAAATTATCTGTTACCCGTACGAGAGATAAGCCTCATATTACAGATTCCAGGTTATACAGTAGCTGCTCACATACGTCCAATTAAACTCTTCACCCACAAGGATCATGCAGTGGACAAAAACAAAGATTCCAACGTAAAAGAAGAACCAACCGAAACTCTATCGATTGAAGAAAGGGGCAAAAAATGCGTGGACAACTCGAGTGAATCAACACTTTTTGATCTGGCCCATCTAAACTTGTGCATTCAGAGGAAGACCATACTACGAGCTTATTATCAAAGCTTAACGATACTCCAGGGCTACCAACCCACTTCTTCCTCTCGCTTTTATCACGGTTCCTAGGCAACAGGATCCCCAGCATGATCGAAAAATGCGATGTTGTTATAGTCGGCGCAGGTCCCGTAGGCCTCATGTTCTCTGCCTGCCTGACGCGTTTAGGTCCTTACAAGATCAAGCACATCGACAACCGCGCCGAGCCAACGACCATTGGCCGTGCAGATGGCATTCAGGCCCGCACTCTAGATGTTCTGAACACAATGGGTCTGAAGAGGCCAATATGGGCCTATAACCCTGGTCTCATCTATGAAGTCGCCTTTTGGGGCGCGACGGCAGACAGAAAAGGCATTCAGCGCACTGGCATTAGTAAAAGCTACCCTGACCATGTCGACACTCGCTACCCATTCACTACCATTCTTCATCAAGGTCGCATTGAGAATATATTCCTCGAGGATCTGAAGTCGCGTGGGGTCGAGGTACAGCGCCCGTGGACAATCCGCGCCGCAAAGTATCTCGGGGCTGGACACGATTATCCCGTTGACGTGGAACTCACGAGTATGGATGGGCTAACGACAGAGATGGTCAGAGCCAAGTATCTCTTTGGTGCGGACGGCGCGCGGAGTGTCTTGCGCGAATTGTTCGATATTCATATGATTCACAAGGATCCGACGGTGTATGTGTGGGGTGTGATTGACGGGGTAGTCGATTCGGACTTTCCAGACATGCAGGTACTTCGTCCATTTCTTTTCTCTGCTTTTTTCAGAGTTGACATCGACAGATAAAATGTAATATTCGCTCACCCCGTGGCTCTTGCATGATAATCCCCCAAGGCAACAACCGGGTACGCATATACGTCCAGATCTCGCCTGAACAGAATCAGGATTTATCCGTGTACGCTTCGCGGGCCAAAATCCAGGAGATGGCAAATGAAATTCTCAACCCATATCGCGTTGAATGGCAGAGTGTTGATTGGCATTCGGCCTATCACATCGGTCAGGGCATATCGGAGCGATACTCGCTACATAATCGCATCTTCATTGGCGGCGATGCCTGTCACACTCACAGTGTGAGTCCTCTTTTCACATTGCGATCTACAGACCAGAGCTGATTGTCATAGCCCAAAGCTGGCCAGGGCATGAACTATGGCCTGTTAGATTCCCACAATCTAGCTTGGAAGCTACACCTCGTGGAATCAAGCTTGATGCGCCCTGAGCTGCTAGAAACATACGAAGAGGAGCGAAGTGCAGTTGCCACTCGTCTGATTGAGTTTGACGCTACCTACGCGAGTCTTTTCAGCTCACAGAACCCCTCACAGCAGGCAAGCGACGAGTTTGTCCGTATATTCAAGCAGAACTCCCTACTGACCAGTGGTTACGGAGTCGAATATACACCCAACGCCCTCACTCAAACAGACATTGAGGCCGCCGCCTCCCCTCTCTTGCTGAGCGGCCTTAAACCAGGACGCAGCTTCCCACCAGTCAACGTAGTGCGCGTCATCGATGCCTGCGATATCCCACTCGAGCGCGAGATGCGATTCAACGGCAACTTCCATATCTACATCTTTACCGGTAACCAGGCTCATTCCGAACAGAAGGCTCTAGCAGATCTTGCGGAAAAGATCTCTCACCGAGCCTCGGTCTTCTCTCGGGTGACAAACGCCTTCCGAGACGTGAATTTATCCTACGATAGTCGACATAACCCACACTCCTCTTTGTACACATTTTCCATCGTATTCCATTCCGTTCGTACGTCCGTCGATATCAGCACCTTGCCCCCGTTCTTTCAACCATATCGGTACCATGTATACTCGGATGATGCACGCAGTCGCAAATCTTACGCTGGAGGTCTCGGTGCAGCGCATGCGAAGCTCGGCTTTGCCCTGGGTGAAGGAGGTGTGATTATTGTTCGTCCTGATGGATATGTCGGATGTATTGCAAAGTTCGTGGAAGGTGGTGCGGCTGCGGAGGTGCTGGATCGGTACTTTTCCGGTATTGTGCCCGCTAGTTTGGCAGGCGAGAGTGTTCAGAGTATGCTATAGTAGTATAGAGTCCATTGACAGTTGATGAGCGTCAAACAGTCAGTCACGCTATTAATTCCGAATTCAGTTGCAGAAGTGCTGCATGAGAAACCAAATCATTATGAATGCTTCTCGTTCCTTTCAACGTTGGTGCCAGGTGGTACGGAATTTCGCTACGACGAATACATGGGTATGCACAGATGGCGACCTCGGAGGATGCACTGATGCATACACATAACACAAGCCTTTCGACTCATACATGACCCACTCTAGCTGGGCTGTTCAGCCAATTCTAAAGCATCACCCCTAGATTCCATGCCATGCCGCTCGCCCCGGCACCCGATTAGGAAGTTGACATGGCCCAAGCGCAGATTGTGATGCACGAAAAACGAAGAATACGAGACCGCGAGACCCTGGATCTCCATTTTTGACTCACAGGTCACCACCGAAGAGTCATACCCGAGGGTTTTATGTAGATTTGTGAATAGTCTAGGTAACATTACCTACCCAAATTGAAATCAGGGGTAGAGAACAGACAATAGGAAAACACATATAAGTCTGAAGATGTTCGCCAGATCGAATGTGGTCCACAGAGCGATGTGTAGCAACAAGTCGCGGTGAACGCGGGCCGCCCGTCGACGGCTGCGAAATCAGGTACGAGAAAACTCCCCAGTGAGCAAAACTGCACTCTCTTCATTTTTTTTTCTATGATGATACATTCACTCGCCGAAATGACCTGTCGGTTAGCTTAAGACCGAGAGCGATATGATTCGAATTGGGTCTGAAAAAACAATCTCCATCGTGTTAGAGTTGTGACGAAACCAGTGTGCTTGGCTGATTCAAGAATTCTCTATTGCAGTTCAGACGGTATTGAGGCTGGCATATTAAGCCAGAAGCGATCTTCTGAGCGGGAGACTGTGGTGAGGTCAGATGGATGCAACGCTGCGCCGGAAGAGAAACGCCCCTTTCGAAAATCAAGCTTCCGGCCACAACGTGACAAACATTCCTGGAAGGAATTTCGAAGTCAGTGAAACACGATCTGCATGGGATATCAAGGGATGAAGGGGCTTATGTATCGAGGTGGCGGCCATGCATAGATTTCGCAATCTTCGAATCTTCAGTATCTTCACCATCTTCCAAAGTACGAATCTCCGCAGATAAGCCTAGAAGCCGAATTAAGAAGTCGGATGCAACCGTCTGGCGCAAAGCGGCGATCTTTTCCCGTTCTATGCCTCTCTCCCCAGGATGCGGAGAAGCGTGGGGGTGACTTGTCGGCTCTTTGATCGCGGTAATGCAACATCGTTCTTATCTAATAGAGCAAGGGATGTCACCTCCGGGCTTGACTTGATAAGTCGAGGTTGTCGCTTTTGTGAGGATAGAAATCTTTTCAAAGTAGTGCCGGTAACTACTGACCCTCTCCTGTGTGGATTTTCTTGTCTATATTATTCGGTTCGTTGAATATACATTGCACGATGTCAAGCCCAACTCGCCCGCTGTCGCCAGATGGCGCAGTCAAGAGGACGGATACGGTGGGCACCGTGGAGGAGCCTACAAAGTCAGTTCCTGGGATAATGGATGATGTGGCCCGGGTGGTCGACCACAAGGCCGAACGACGCCTATGCCGGAAGTTTGATTATCGCCTTCTTCCAATTTTGGCCGTTATGTGTAAGTCTCCATGCGGAAGGTGCGCTGGGAACAGTGCTGACAGGCCTCAGATCTGTTCAATGCTTTGGATAAAGGCAATTTAGGAAACGCCGAGACCGATGGAATGACTGATGGTAAGCCTCAGCCTGCAGAGTGCCCCAGAGAACACACTAACGTTGACGCTGCTAGACCTCAACTTCAAACCAAATCAGTACAATCTGCTCCTCTCAATCTTCTTCGTTCCATTCGTCATCTTCGCGCCGCCATTCTCGATGCTGGGCAAAAAGTACAGCCCAGCACGAGTACTACCGATTTTGATGTTCTCATTCGGTGCTTTCACGATGTTGTCGTCTGCAGCATACAATTTCAGCGGTATGTTCGCGCTTCGCTGGTTTTTGGGCATGTCCGAAGCTGCGTTCTTCCCGCTGGTCATTTATTACCTGACCACATTCTACCGCCGTGGTGAGCTGGCTCGTCGCCTGGCTGTGTTCTATGCTGCATCCAACATCGCGAACGCTTTCTCCGGACTCATCGCGTTTGGAGTTTTCCAGATCAAAGGATCCAGCATCCCCAATTGGCGCTACCTGTTCATTATTGAGGGAGGCGTGACCGTGCTCTTTGCCACATTCGCTTTCTTCTACCTCCCACGCAGTGCCGCGGAAGCGAAGTTTTTGTCCGAGGAAGAGAAGGCCCTGGCTTTCCACCGAATCCAGGTCGATTCCAGTGCAGTCGTCAACGAGGAGTTCAGCTTCCGGGAGGCAATTGCCATCTTCAAGCATCCCACCACTTATGTTTTCTTGTGCATTGAAATCTGTCTGGGAGTCCCATTGCAGGGCGTAGCTCTCTTCATGCCACAAATCGTGGGACGATTGGGCTACACCACCGTCAAAACCAACCTTTTCACCGTGGCGCCCAATGTAACCGGAGCGGTGATGCTGCTGATCCTCGCTTTCTCCTCCGATTGGGTGAAGCTCCGATCGCCCTTCATCGTGCTGGGTTTCCTCCTCACATTCTCGGGCTTCATGATCTATGCCTCGATCGACGACGTGCAGAACGAATTGCAGGTTGCCTACTTTGCCTGCTTCATGATGACGTGGGGCACATCCGCTCCATCCGTGATGTTGAGCACGTGGTACAACAACAACATTGCTCACGAAGGTCGCCGTGTGCTGTTGACCAGTATCGGTGTCCCATTGGCCAATTTGATGGGCCTAGTGAGTAGCAATTTGTTCCGCAAGCAAGATGCGCCCAAGTACATGCCCGCCCTGATCAGCGTGGCTGCCTTCGGAGCAACGGGTGCCTGTCTGGCTGCTTGCCTCGGGCTGTACATGTGGCTGGATAACAAGCGTCGCGACCGCCGGGATGGAGTCACACGTCATGCGCGGGATATCCCCACGGATCGTATGAGAGATGGACCGGCGTCTGCCGATTTCCGTTGGTTTTTGTAAGGGGAAGGTTGACCCTTTTTCCATTTTCGTTAAATGATAGTTGAATTGAAGATCCACTTCGCTTATAATGACGGGTCCTGGCCCCACGCGACGGCTCCCCCGCAAAAGAACGACGTGGGGGTCACTCTGGGGTAGACCCAGCGAGTCTCTTCCTTGTTTTAGGTTTCGCGTCGGGTAGGTGGCGACTGGACATCAAGATGTTGGGGGGCGTGGGGGGACATCATGGAGATGACGATGGTCTCAGCTCTGGTAGGAAGGTGGAAACGCAGTCGGGAGAGACGGATCGCTAGACTAGACAGTAAGATCAGTAAAAATGAGCGACATCCTCTTCCATTGTTTCGAGGCCATCATTACTGAGTTCTCCGGAGGTGCAGGTTGTCAAGTTTGGCCTGAGGTGTTTGTTGTGATCTTGATTCGTGCCTAAGGCAGCGCCTAGCCCAAGAGATCTTCAGTGTTTGCCTCTCTTTCATTTCTCCCTGTTGTTTTCCTTCCTCTTCTTTTCCATAACTACTGATTTCCACACTGCTCGTATCTGAGGCGGGAGACACGGTTTTCCTCCCGGTCGCAGTTGACCGACGAGGCCTTGGTAAAGTGTCTCGACCGACTCCCATCTGCCCAGGCAGAAGATCTTCAGTCGCGAAGCCCCAATTACGACCGAAGCGCTGCTTTCTCTGCTTGAATTCCACTTTCCAACTGAAACACCTACAGAAATTGACTTATCGCTCCAAGGCTTCGGAGACTACGAGTTGAGGCACACTTACTACTCCGTAGTGCCTCGAGCCTAGCAGTCACTTGAAACCCATCCATGCCACCGACGACTGCATACCGAGTATTCCGGAAGCCATCTTACGACATCCATCTATCTAGATTCCTCACAACGAAAATCACGTGCGATAACGATGTTGACACTCCGATTAAATCCCAGGGCATCCTCTTCAAAGTATGAAATAGAAGAATGCGATTTCGAAAATACCAGAGACTCTAGACACATTATCCTCTCAGATATGCCTTGGCAGACTCCCCCCAGACCGCAGCTCTTTTATAAAAGTGGAAGCCAGGTACATTTCCCTGCTTCAATCCATCGATAGCCTCGGCTAGAGCCTCGCCAAGTCCCTCGCTCTTGATCTCAGGGAGTGGATAGAGATACGTCTGGAAGGAAAATAGTATGGCTCCTGTCTTTGGCAGACGATGTACCATCTGCCTCTCACATCGCACTCGTGCCTAGCAAGAAATGAGCAATTATTCAAACGCTATGGGACACACTCACAGTCTCAAGATCTATCTCTTCTTGGGTAACGGATTCTCCCTCATAGAGATGATTCCCGGATTCAGTGAACAGCTTGTCTGTGGTCGTTATAGTCCACTGAAAGAATTAGATGGCTCTCGAACAGTTCGAAGGTTCTGGAACATCCACTCACGTTGGCGCGCTTGATGAATTTTCCGGTTTTCAACCGGTCCAGATATCGATCCATGCTCTTCTCCAGCTTTTCCTTGTATTGTGGAACAGGCTTGTGGATATCTCTCAATTTTAGATTCAGCTTCTTTGCCGTGTCAAATCCATTGGGGAAACATGTAACGAAGGCTTTCAGTGTGTATCCATCCCCATCCTCTGACGGCAGAAGAAATAGGAAATCGTCGTCAACCAGGCCACCCATGAGTCTCAGAGTCACAACAGAGCTCATATCTGGCTCGAGTGGATAGTCTGTGCCTGTCACATTACTATGCAAAAGCTGCGATTTTTCATTTCCGTATCTCAATTCGAACATGAGAGGGAACCGAGTTGGAAGGTACGTTCCCACTAGCCAGGTGTAGAACTCATCAATGGCCGGTTTCGCACTGGCTTCGGCAGCGGACACCCGATCAGGATATTGCTCGATCAAGTTCTTTCGAAGGGTGATTCTATCGAGGTAGTTCTTGTCCATCTCGACAATCTCATTCACGGTCGCATCCTGGATACCTATCCCGTCCAGATCAGCAAAGGCACACAGAACCATTGCCCGAAGGCCACTTACTCATTGTCAAGTTGTATTTAGGCTTGAATGGTCGAAGTTTCACAGGCTCTTTAGTTTTCCAGTCGAAATCGTCCATTCTTTCAACGGGTGGATAACTGGTCGGTTTCACTTCAGGAGAGGCATGGTGCGATGTGGAAGTCGGGGCAACGCAGGGGCGTTTGTGAAGCCTTGCAAACAACAAAGCAACGCTTGAGATGATGCCCACACATAGAATGACGGGCAGACTTGGCCATTGAACCAGGCCAGTTGATGAAGGGATCATCTTGCTCTCAAATCAAGGATTGTTCCAATGCTCTGGGGTGATGATTGTGGAAAGTCAGTGTCAGGGACGGACAAAATATATAACTAGTATTGAAACTGAGCACTCCCGTCAGGTAAACCACGAGTGATGCCATCGTATCCTAACAACGCCCTCCAGGTCCTGAGGTCCCACCTGGGCAGCGTATGAATTTGGCCGACTTGGAGGGGCTGCAGGACTGCTCATATTTGTTTCCTTTTTTGGAATCCGATCCTTGGGTTGTTGAGGTCGGAACCATGTCTCTTTTCCCTGCGATCCGCACATGGTTTACCCCGCACAACCTTATCTTCTGGTGCTCACTCGACCTACCCTTTGGGTGATGCCGATCCGATGATTTTATGAACGCGAAGGACTAAAACCACTAGGGGGCGTGAAACATTTCCGTTCAAGGCATCAGGCGCATTGGACGATAAAGTATCTTTAAAGAGCCATTCGAACTAATTGGCAGGCTTGGCCGTCCTCGCCAGACGTGTACTTTGTATAGATAAGGCAAGTGAGGGGATCAAACTCACTTCAAAGGTCGATATGCTCAGAGACCATAGGCAGCAAACATCACCGAAATGTACCTAGGTATGCATGACATGTGCAATATTCTGAATTATGCCCGCGTATATGCAAATCCTGGAAGATATAAGAGTCGCAGAATTACTTCTCGTCGGTCCATCACAGTTAGTGTCTCATCTCACATACACTCTTCGAGCTTTGAATTTGCCCAAGATGACGAGTCAAGCCTCTGTGAAACGCTCCCCTCTCGACCAGAAAGGTAAGCTTCAAATACCCCATGGCAGTGATCAACTGATCAATTTTGATTGGAGTTAACGGCGATTGCAATTAGATGACTTGTCGACAGAGAAAGGTTAGTTCGGAATAGGCTGTGAGGACTTGCTATGAAACCTTCGAGACTAATTCAAGAGTTATGAACAGATGAAGGTCAAATCAGAGGCACGGTTGAAACCGCAAACCTTGAACTGCTGGGTCTTAGCCAGCAAACAGAGCGGAGTCTTTCCACCTTCCAAATTATCTGTGGGGGTTGGAATATCTGTAACAGCTGGGCCGGCATTGTCGGCACTTTGGCTATAGGTATCTCGCAAGGAGGAACAGTTCTTCTGTTGTATGGAATCATTCTTATCTTGGTCATCGTTGGGCTATGCACGGCCACTTTGGCAGAGCTTTCCAGTGTCTATCCAACAGCAGGAGGCCAATACCACTGGACCTCCATACTGAGTCCTGCAAAATACAGTCGAGTCTTGGTATGCCAGCACATCTTCCCTTTTGATGTTTACTGACCTCGGTCCCAGAGTTACTGCTGTGGCGCAATCAATATCTTTAGTTGGATCTCGATCAGCGCCGGCGTCACTATTCTCCCTGCCGAGTTCATCGTTTCCATGGTGGTTTTCAATGACCCAGCCTACAATTCTCGGACTTGGCACTCTTTCCTGATCTATCAAACAGCCAACATAGTTGTGCTCTTATATAATATTTTTGCGATGAAAAGAACTTCATGGATACATGATGTTGGATGTACGTACCCCTTGTTTGCCTTCGCCTGGTGTCTGCCACTTACACAAAGACCAGTTGTCGTGTCGATATCTTCATTCCTAGTAATCTTCATAACATGTTTGGCACGTGCTCCTCACATGCAGACATCTCAGTTTGTGTGGACGACATTCATCAATCAATCAGGATGGAAATCTGATGGGGTGGCCTTCTTGACTGGACTTATTAATCCAAATTATGTTTATGCTGGCATCGACGGCGCAATCCATCTTGCCGAGGAATGTGGCAATGCCACCACTGCTGTTCCATATGCCCTAATGAGCACTCTGGCCATTGGATTCCTAACCTCTTTTGCATTTGTGGTTGCGATGTTCTACTGCATGAGTGACATGGAGGCCGTCATCCACACAGCTACTGGGTAAGTTCATTCTATCACGTACTACCTACCTATGTAATAATACTGACTACAATATAGTGTGCCAATCTACGAGATATGGGTACAAGCTACACGCTCTAACGTAGCCCCGACGGTATTCATTTGCTTATTGGCATGTATCGCACTCTTCTCCCTGAATGGGTGTCAGCAAACAGCATCCCGTCTGACATGGGCGTTTGCGCGCGATAATGCTTTGGTCATGTCGAAGTACCTTGGAGTCATCAACCCGAGGTTTCAAGTCCCGATATATGCTTTATGTGCAAACTCAGCCGTGATATTCATCATTGGCTGTATTTACCTTGCATCTTCTACGGCTTTCAATGCCTTGATCGGGACTGGGCTAGTCTTACAACAGGTGTCGTTTTGTTTCCCAGCAGCTCTACTTCTGTATAGGCGTCGATCAGCTACATATCTGCCTTCCACTCGATCCTTTAAGCTGGGTATCTTGGGATGGGTGTCCAACTTTGTTACTGTGGCTTTCGGTTGCGTTGTCCTGATTTTTTACAATTTCCCATCCAAGATGCCAGTCTCTGGTGGAAATATGAGTGAGTTGCAATCCACCACGTCTTTCTCGTATGCTAATTTCTCTTGTCTCAAAAAGATTATACATGTGTTGTTATCGGGACAATGGCCCTGTTCTCGTTGTGCAATTGGCTCTTCTATGCAAGGAAGCATTATCAAGGTCCACGACTTCCTACGGATCTCAATTAATCTACGCGCCTCTGGTTCAGTACGGTTTCTTTCTTTATACACTGACCAAATGGAATGAGTGGTGATTTAGGAGACCAGAAAATTTGGAAGGAGTTGCCACCAAGCCTATCTCGACAGCTCCTTGTTCTTCGGATAATAACGGTCGCGCAAGCTTTCCTAGGTCGTTATGAAGTTTTGAAAAAACGTCTCAAGCAGGTCTTTATTTCCAAGATTTCATTTCCGCATTATTATCTAGGAATGTATACATTGTTTGCTTCCAAGTGTGCAGAAATATCATACTAGGTATAGCTGAATCATTAAGTTGAACTTTCACATGATAAAACCCTCAGCATGCTTGACAAGCATTTTTGGCCAAGCCTCTCTGATGAATCTATCCTGCCAAATATTTTCCAGGAACGAAATCGCATATAAGATGTTCGCAAACCCAGTGCTTTCCCAGAGAAACCGTAGTTGTGCAAGGACGAACTTCTGGTGTTGAATGTCCGAACATTCTGCACCGACAATGAAAAATGGCCATATCAAAATATGGCCGCCAAACGAAGTAGCATTGAATAGACGGGTAGTGTCGATGAAATGGTGGACTCGTTCCTCGATGACTTTCTCGGGGGAGCTCGTCACTCGCAAAAGATATATGTTCATTGCTTGGTGGACAAGATCGGCAATATTAGAGATGATTGACTCATTAGTTGAGTCAATTTTGGAACAGTATAGAATTGCAATATCTGCGGTTGATATATTTGCCAAACTGCTTGTGGCAGATATTTCTGAGACGAGTGGTGCGGCGTATAACGTCATTCTGGAACTTCGGATTAGCCTTCAATCAAAGCTTTGAGGTTATTCGGGTTTCAACTCACTTTCTTATTTGCTGTATCAGAAAACGCCCAATAGCGGATTCCCCTATCTTCTTATCACCACCTCGCGAACAGACGAAACTTCTGACCATTCTGAGGAGAATGATGTAGTCCTCGCCAACAGATACCATCTCTTCAATTAGAAGAATAACCATGGTAGCAAGATTTGAATATGTATCCACTTCAGCAGTGCCTTTCTGATTATTCTGACTGAGACCTTCGATAGCCGCAATGTGATGTTTTCGAGCTACCGATTGCCATTTTGAATCTGGATATTGGTGGGAAAGATGGGAAGCTGATGCAGCAATTATGGCACTTCTCATGATCCCTTCGCGCTCCGAAAGTGGAAGAATGAATTCGCGATAGCCGTTGTGAATATCGATCGCGACCATTGCTGGAGCCACTTTCTGGGAAACTAAGCTGTTAGAAGAATCTTGCGCTGGACGGGAATGGGACCAACAATAATTCAGCAGAAATCTCTCTTGCTGGTCGAGGTGATCAATATTGCATGCCATGAGATCCTCCATGGAATACTCCAGAAGTGACATTGCAGTTGGCGGTCTTGGACGATCTTCCAATTTCTCATCTATGACATTGGAGGTCGAGGTTTGGGTATTGATCACGGGAATGGCTTTCCCAGCCAACTTGCCTCGGGAGGCAACACCATCATTGAACCTATACCTGACACCCGGGCCCCAACACTCGATACCCTTTTTGATGCATTTCTGGCACGGTGTATTCCGATCGCAATTAATTCGCCGCTGAGAGCAGTTGTGGCATCCTACACAATTTCGTGAATTTAACATCAGCTCTCTATTTCAATACCCCGGATGTTCAATGGCATTTATTTACCTTTTACACGTCGGGGCTTTTTCTCGGACTTCCGCTTCGGTGACGTAGAGGTTCCCTGCACCATGATGAGCGAAGATGATGCAAGTCTTCGATTGTCGAATCGAGAGTAACTTCCGAGTAGTCTGAGTCGAAGAGTCTGTTCTTGAAAAGATGTCCACAGGTAGATTCCAGACAGATCATGTACTCGTAGTCCACTGTCCTGACTGTCTGGAACCCTACCCCGCAACTTTCTGAGGCGATAAGCATTGAGAGATGTCATTGGTCAGTATAAATGGGTCACTGCCTAATTTGGGCAAAAACATGAGCACTTGCCATTTCCATGGTCGTTGACTCCAAACCTTGGAATGATAGAGGCTCAACTGCTTTTAATCGGACGCTGAAATGAAAATGATAGGCGAATTTGATATTTTTATCGTATCTCATCATTAAAATCTGTCACCTGGGCACGTCCAGGACAAACATGACACATCAGCCCAGTTCAGGATTCTTATCTCACCGACGTGAAATGATTGCAGCTGAAATTAGAACAGCCACGAAACAAACTTCCTATAGAACCATCCAGAGTCCTGATTTCTCTCCGCATCAGCCTCTTTCGCTGCCAGGTATGCAGCCTCTTCGCGATCGATCTCGTCCTTGCCAGAGAACAAATCAGCTTCCAGCGGGTGCACACCCTTCGACTTGGTGACGATCTTGTATCCAGCGATCATGATCAGATACAGGGGGATCCCAAGATAAGCGGTGATGAAGTTCTTGTAGTCGAAGTTTCCGTAAGTAGCAGGCTTGTGGATGAAGACGTCGTAGTTCTTGGTCAGGGAAATGAGAATGCAGAATCCCAGAGCAAAGTACGAGCCCGCGACACCGAATGGCGCTTTGTATGCCAGCTCCGACTCGGGGACACCTTGGGCCTTGCGGGCGCGCACGAAGTAAATGTGGGTCACGAGGATGGAGATCCAGGTAAGGAGACCGAAGATGGTGACGAGGTTCACGAAGTATTTGAAGACGACGCGAGAGTCTCCACTCACGTTCATGTATGCCAGCAATGCAATCAGAGAAGAGATGGCGAGCGCGGGAACTGGGACACCACGGGCATCGGTGCGGGCGAAGATCTTGGGGGCCTTGCCTTCACGAGCGAGACCGTAGATCGTGCGAGTGGCAATGTAGAGATCGGAGTTCGCCGCCGAGAAGACAAATAGCAGAATACAGGCGTTCAGAATGTGCGAGAGAATAGGGATGTTGGCCAACTCAATGGCGACAACGAAAGGCGAAGCCGCTGCGGATCCCTTGGCTTTGTTTCCGTCTCCCAGGGCAAACAAAAGTTTCGGGGAGTTGTATGGCACAAGTGTACCAACCAAGAGCACGCTCAGAACGTAGAACACGAGAATACGGTAGAAGGTCAACTTAATGGCCTTGGGAATGGTCTTGCGAGGGTTTTGAGCTTCGCCGACCGTCACTCCGACCAGCTCGGTGCCCAAGTAGGCGAACGTAGCCGACACCATGGTGGACCAGAAGGCAAGGAATCGACCAGACGGGCCTTCCATCACATAGTGGTTGAACGCACCGGGATTCTTCCAATAGCGGAAGCCTTTTCGGTCGTGGTCTGGCCCTCCACCCAGCATCAGGATGAAAGACAACAGGATGATCCCGAGGATCACGATAACTTTGAACGAGGAGAGCCAGAACTCAAACTCGCCAAAGAATTTCACACCGAAGTAGTTGATCGCCACGACGAGGACCAAGAAAATGGTGATCCAGACTCCTGGATTGATCTTCTCCGCTGGGATCCAATACGATATAACCAACGCCCCGGCGGTCATCTGATTCGGCGAGAGGATGATGTACTTAAACCAATACCTAATTGAAATCGTTAGCGACAGGGCAATCTCAGGGGAGAGTCACGCACGTCCAACCCAGTGTAAATCCGAGTGCCGGGTCAACAAATCGAACTGCGTAACCAGTGAAACCGGAGGGCAGCGGTAGCCATGCTGCCATCTCGCCCAGGGCACACATGACCAGGTATACAATGAAGCCAACCCAAGCGTAGGAAATCAAGATCGAGCCGGGCTATTCAAGTCAGTTGGGAACTTCACGAATCACGACGGCGTACATACTCCGGCTCTGTGGGAGAAAGCGTCAGTCTTGAGGTTGGGGTAGGAGTGAGCGGTCGTAAGACTTACTTCGCGAGAGCCTCTCCCGTTCCAATGATCAAACCGGTACCGATAGCACCTCCGATGGCTGCCCTCTGTCAGTCAATGCGCCCTTCAAGGCGTCCTAGCCATGGGATCACATACCAATCATCGTGATGTGTCTCGCCTTGAGGGCGCGAGTGAGCTCGACATGGTTGGGATCATTGAGACCACCGCGCTGAATTTCCGGATCGCCACTGAGCGTTTTCGTGACTGTGTTCTGGGTGTATTCGGACTTCTCCATGATTCCAATGCGCACGATGCGCTAGCGACAACCAGAGAGATCGTTCAGAGGGTTCGAAATATGGTTCGAGATCGGAAGAAGTAAAGTGACACGAGCGGACTGGGCGTGGGCTGGGTTCTTAAGGGCACAGGGCAGGCCTCAGTGGACCAGTCACCACAGATAAGAACCTGGACCGCAGGCAACCTGGGAGTCCATTCTCAATCACTTTACGGGTCTGCGGTAGCCAAGCCTTTTTGGCCTCGCGCTATCCTCGTATGGGGCACGTTACAGTTTGTAGCATTCAAGCGAGAGGTTTCCTTCGGTTTTTGGGGTGTGCAACACTGTGTTAGTTTGCATGACTTGAGGCTCTGAATTCACCGCTGATCTCCTAGATCGAAAGTCGAACTCCTGCACTAGCCCCAGTCTTCATAGTGATTGCCTTGTGAAGAGGGCAAACTCGAGAGATTAGCGCCAAGCCTTTGGCTCTGCGGGGCTGATGTTTATCCCCGGATTCCCACTGTTGCTTCTCTCCTGTAACCTCCTCTTTTCCCTCGTTTTTGTCACTTTCTGAATCTTCTCCATTCTGTCCACCGCAAAGGAGCGAGACAGAGCAAATGCGGAACTCAACACCTTCAACCGGCCTCCATTCCCCTCGATCTCAAAGAGTTCCCGCCACTCAGGAAGGGAAGAAAGTAACCCAAGCCCGCCACCACACCCTTGACTCAGCCCCAGTCAGGCCAGCTGATAGAGCTACATTTACCTAAACTCCCTATCACTCGCCCAAACGGTGGGAGATAAAGAGCAGAGCCCCGCCAAGACGGAATTGTAGCTTGGCAGGCCAACGCTAGCCTCAACCCGGGCGAGGTACACGTTTTGGGCCCTAAGCGGCAGCGCCAAGACATGTACAACATTGTCCGGCCAATTGCGGTCTGCTAAAAGACAAATGACCCGGGCTCAATACTTCTTTATCTCCCTTGGCGGTGGCCGCATTCTGTACACCCGTGGCAAGTCTTGTTTATCGGCCCTGGCGACCGGAATTTTCTGGAAGCATGTGCCTACCTGCACGGCCATGGATACGATGAACACTTTTGACATGACTGGGCGACAAAGACTGATCAAAATTTTTCTTTCGGACGTGTGAGAAAAACGGAAATAGAGGAGGGAGATGGATATCCCATTCACCTCAAGTGCTGGGCACAGTGCCCCGGGGCTGGGGTGTTTACTCACCCCACGCCTTGGGTCTCACAGCGCAACATCCCCCGGGCTTCTCTACCCCCTCACTATCTTCCGACACCGTACTAAGCCCCAACTGGGATAATAGATAGATCAAAGATCAATGGTGTGATATTCTTCCCACGTGGTATGATACGGTAGACTTTTAAGCAATGCTCACTTTCAACGTCTAGGCTACATGCTCACAAAATGAACCGGATGATCTACTCCGAGGTCACTCTGTCCTTCAAATGGCCTTTCACTGCGCGTCGGTTGTCTTTGGCTGGCTTTGGTGTAGTTATCTTCAAGGTTGTTCTTTGATAATTTCCAGCTCAGGTTCGTGAGGAAGATGGCGGGCCACGAACAAAGAATTTACAACAGCGTGCCGAGGTCATGTTCTTTTCCCTTGAACGTCTTTGTGGCATGACTCGACTTTGCTCTTTGTATGTGTACAAAGATCCATTCTATTTGGGTCAAAGGGTAGTGCTTTGATGCATTCATTCTCGGAAAACCATGCAACTATAAATGCTCCATTATGGTCGACTATTCATGATGTCTAAACCAGACTTGATTTATCCCCTCTTTTCACTTGCACAAGACATCAACCTTGCAAGATACTTACGCCATGGCTGAGTCTCCACGAGGTATGCCTTTTGATCCGAAGAATCTGAAAAAAGGGCATCGCTACATAAAAGATGGGGACACCATAATACCATGCACATCAGTTCCACCAAATCTCTCAGACGGCCAAAACCTGATTACCGTACTCAGTAACCATATCAGAACCCTTATAATCGATTGGGATTCCCGCTGGATAACAAAATCGGGGTATGCAGTGTATCCATCCGAAGCCGAAGCAATGCAAGTTGTGTTCCAAGAGACCGATGTCCCAGTCCCCGAAGTTCTTTTCACACAATTTGAAGGAGACCTCACTACGGAAGAGTATGCGAATCCCGACATTCCTTTACCAGAAGGGCAGATTACAATGACACCCATTCCTGGGACAGCCCTAGATCAGAAATGGGATCAACTAGACGACAAGGCTAAGGAATCCATTTGTTTTCAATTATGGGGTTTGATATCGAAAATTCGAAAGATTCCTCGTCCACTTGGACCACTTGAGAAATTATATCAGCGTCTAGAAGAGCTCTATCCGTCACGGAATCCTGTGTTGGAGGACTTGGAAATACCTGCTCGACCACCTTTGAATGACTCGGAGCTGCAAGTGGGTCTCCACGAAGGAAGTCGGGTTAAAAAAGAGTTCCCAACTACGCTACCTTCGCATGAGTATGTGTTTACACACGGAGACATTGCCCCGTGTAACATCATGGTTGACGACCAAAATAATATCACTGGTATACTAGACTGGAGGTTCGCGGAATGGTTACCTGAGCATTGGGAGTATGCGCAGATCATGCGTCCAACCTTCTCGGGGGAAGGGGGGGACTTCCCGGTCTGGATGGATAAAACAGCACCGGAGCGGTGGCATCTGAAGGACCCCAATGCAGACGGGGTAGATTTTTATTTTAGTTAATGCCAATACACTTACTTCATGGTCCTTTGCATACTCGATTCCTTGTCTTTGGGAATAACCATGATGAAAAGAATGGAAATAAAAATGAAACCAGCATGGGAGACATGACCATAGACAAGGCAGAAAGACCAGCAAAGCACATACAACAATTTACATGTCGAATGACCAGGATCACTTTTCCTCGTAAAGAATGGAAAATGACGCTTGCCACCGTTTTCCACAATCCAGTAAATTAAGCTCAATTAAGATGATATCCAGATGACGCGAACTGAATTCTGCCCCCAATTCCTACCCATCTCAAGCCAATAGAGCAATGAATCATGCGCCACCAACAGAGTCAAAGAGCCTCCTCGGGACGGTCAGATCGAACACATCATCCACGGAATGCCCGACAACCCAATGCATCGGATGAGTCGGCTACTGATTGGCCCCGAGTAGGTCGCCGCGTATGCAGAACTACATCTCACATCCAACGTGGCGCGGAGAATACGGAAGTTTATGATCTCAATTCTGGGAGCCAGCCATGGGGCTCGCAGGTGCATTACTAGCGTAGTGCAGGACAAAGGGTCTACGAAGCCCCTGCCTCTCAGCGTCCAGAACGAGGCGCTGGGGTCAGCCTCGACGCATAACCCGGGTTCAAGGGTACAGTGTTGGCCCGGGCGTGCGGTGTAAGGTGCAGCTGGAGCTGGAGCATCCGGCTCGTGTTTACGGGAGGTGTGGGTGTGTCTGGACTGTGCGAAAGAGATGTTCGTGCTAGCGAGGATTATGCAGTGCGTGGCTTGCATTGGCCAGTCATCAGCTCGATATTTCCGCCGTTGATATGGAGCCTGAGCTAGCTGCCGTTCTGTCCTGCACCTCTTTTGGGGATGTGTCCGATGGGAAGAACACGTCTCGACCTGTCAATGAGAGACTAGGGCCCCGGGGCACTGGATGGTGGAAATTGAATGACTGCTTCTCTTTGGGGGCCGGAACTTCGCGAATCACATTGCCAAATTCGATGTTGGTGGTGTTGGTGCAGAGGGGTGCAAGTGTGCATTAGGGCGAGGTGTCGGGCAACAGTCATTGGCCGCCGAACGCCGCAGCGGTTACAGGTATTTTTATCGCGCTGATCGAGTCGTTGTGATTGGCGATTCAAGGGAAATTTTGCTATGATTAGAGCATTAATTGATGGTTATTTGTCTTGACTCGTGAAAGGGGAAGGGGATGCGGGGGCAACAGGGCTGCGATGTATATCAGCCCTGCCTCTCCTGCGTCTCCTGTGTCCTGACTCTTGAGCTCAACGTTGATATCTCTCTTCATCGAGATTCACCATGGGTGTAATGCGTCTACCTCGCCCAACGGGCATCTACGTCCCCAACTCCCCTCGACTCACCAACGACATGATCTCCCCGCCGCTCTCTCCGGAATTCAGCTTCGACTCCGAGAGCATCATCCCATCCATTCTCCCCGCCATGGAATACATCTCCAAGAAACTACAATTGAAGATGATGCATGTTACTCTCCTCGTGGGGCGAGGAAAGCCCTACCCGACCGGGCAGCCCTCCGATCTGATGATTATCCCCATCGACCCCGTTCAACCTCAAGCCTGGCGGGTCCTGGAGCGGGCCATCGCCAAGGCCTCCAGCAAGTTCTCCCTGGGCCAAAGCTGGACCGACGCGCTCGGTCGCAGCCAATACGAACGCCAAGCAAACGAATACTTGGTGAAGCAATCCATCCTGCAGAACGAAGTTGTCTTCAGCCAGGAGGGCCTGACTCTGCTCAACATGGACCGCATTTACACATTCAAGCGCCGCATGTGCATCCTCTCCAACCGCCCATTCTCTCGCCACGATGAACAAGCCATGACATCCTGCGTCAAGCTCCTCCACCGCATCGTGGCCGACTTCTCCGGTCGCCCCTTCAGCAAAGCCTTCTTCCACCGCGTCTACGAGCAGCTCGACGTCCCAGACACCCAACTGACCGCCGTAGCGGCTGCATACAAAAACGTACACAAAAAGGACGCCATCATTCTCCCCGCCCAGCCCCAAATCGAAATCAAAGCCGAGCGCCTCCCCAAGAAGGCCGACCCCACCCCCATCCGCGTCAAGGCCGAGCGCCCACGCGAACATGTCAAAAAATCTCCGATCCAAACAGTCCGCGGTCGGAGACAGCCTCCACCGTCGAAGCGGACAACCAAGCGGGGCCCGAAGACACCCTTGTCCGCCTCGGACGTGACCCCCATCACTCGGAACGAGTGGAACTTCGTGAGCCAGGACATTCGCGTCCAGCCCAAGATCACCAAGTGGACCCCGTCCCCCACCGTGTTGGCCGCTGCGTGAGCTTGTTTTTTCAATTTGCCGATAAACCCCTTCCCAATACCGGGAACCCCAAAATCCCAGCGACCGGCCTTGCCGGCGTTTAGCAGGAAGACCCTAGAGAGGATTCTTGTCTAGCCCAAGCTAGATCACCTCTATACCTTCCTTGCATCGCCCCCATGCGGGGCGACGACTAGCTCGAAAGAGCAGTCTCCCGTTCTCGGCCTGGAAATGGCCGAGTTCAAGATCATATGAAGACTGAAATGTATGAATTCATAGTCTGATAATGGAAATATTCTACTTCTATACCAAGACCAAACCAGTAAAAGTCGAAGTAAAGAAAAAATGGACTCGGCGACGGGTTTGCCGAGCCCCCGCTACAACGCGGCGACCGGCGAAGACAGACGAAAGCACAGCCAATCACATCTCCGGCAAGGAGGTCTTTAGTGGAGGTGGAAACAAGAAGCAGACGGGATTAGCAGATGGAAATCTGAAATGTGAATAATTGCCTATCTATCGGGCCTCTCCGTAAACCCCCGCCTATACCACTAGTAGTAGACATTTAAGCCCTGCAGTCTTTCTTGGCGGTGAAAGGTTAATAGAAGCAAGCTCATAACCCCTCTTTACTACTTCCTGCTCACATCGTTTCTAGAACTCATGGCTTCTATCGTATCTGATACACCGGACTCGCGGAGCATGGATGATAATCGAAGATGGAGTCTGCAGCCTTTGATTCGCAAGGCTGAACGCTCTCATAGCAAGATGCCGGGAATTAGAAAAATCCCGCTCCGAGCCATTGGGATTATTTCCTTCATTGCGTTGCTGAACATCATCGTCTGGGTCGCGGCTGGTATTGTGCTGGTGAGTTTCTTGCAGATCAAGTATTGATTCTGATACTAACCTTCGAATAGAGCTACCATCCGTAAGTTTGGGTTTGATAATCTGATTGAAATCTATATCGAGTTCTGACAGTTTGCGAATGGTAGATCCCTGGTCTCGACGGCTGCTCTGGCCTATTCGCTTGGATTGAGACATGCCTTTGATGCTGATCATATCTCGGTATGTCCTCATCTTTATCACAAAAGCAGGGATCTAACATTGTCACAGGCTATCGATCTTATGACGAGAAGACTTCTGGCGACGGGGCAAAAGCCCGTCACAGTAGGCACGTTCTTCTCCTTGGGTCATTCGACGTAAGATCTCTCTTTTGGTTCTCAAGGCAAGATTCTAACGTTGGTCAGAATTGTGATCATCACGTCTATCGTTGTGGCGGCAACAGCGGCAGCCGTATCCTCGCGCTTTGATAAGTTCAGCACGATCGGTGGAATCATCGGAAGTAGTGTCAGTGCCGCATTCCTGATTCTGCTTGGAATCATGAACGCGTACATTCTGTACAAATTAATCAAGCAGATGCAGAAGGTATTCAATCTTCCCGAGGGTGCGGAAGATGAAGCGTGGAAGATTGAGGGTGGTGGCATCTTGTTCTCCGTCTTGAAGAAGATGTTCAAATTGATTGATCGGTGAGTCCTCAAGTCTTCTCAGCAGGGTATTTTCTAATTTTCAGACCATGGAAAATGTACCCGCTCGGTATCTTGTTCGGTCTCGGCTTTGATACCTCCTCGGAGATTGCCCTCCTCGGAATCTCGTCTATCGAGGCAGCGAAAGGCACTTCATTTTGGGTCATTCTTATTCTTCCCGCTTTATTCACTGGTTTGTCACTCTGAATAACACGATCTAATCCGTTTAACTGACTCTGATCAGCTGGAATGTGTCTTCTTGATACAATTGACGGAGCTCTGATGTTCTCCCTCTACATTCAACCAGCAGCCAACTTCCTTCCATCAAAGCCAGATGCAGAGACGGCTTCCATTGCCAGTGACCCCGATGAGCTCCCCCAGTCACACAACAATCACCGTGACCCAGTAGCTTTCCTGTACTACTCGATCGTGCTCACGACATTGACCGTCATCGTCGCAATCGTCATCGGTGTCATCCAGCTTCTCACTCTCGTTCTCAACGTCACAGACGCCGAGGGTAAGTTCTGGGATGGCGTCCAGGTCGCCGGTGACTACTATGACGCTATTGGTGGTGGTATCTGTGGCTGCTTCATCGTCTTCGGTGGGCTCAGTGTTCTGGTCTACAAGCCTTGGCGCAGGTGGATGGACCAGAAGCATGGAAAGAACGCCGTTCGGGATGAGGGATACCGTGATGACGATAACATCGCGGAAGGTGGCATCATCATCCACTCAGGCGGTCAATATGGTGCCACTGCTGGGGTTGATAGGAAGGGTGATTCTGCTCGCGTGAATGTGCAAGAGAGTCGAGAGCCGACTCTTGAAGAGCACATTGTTTAATGATGATGGTTATTTCCCTGTCGCGATAAACGCTTTTGGTTTATATTGGGACATGTATTGGCTGGGAATATTGAGGATGGGAATCTTTTTCACTCTTTCGCCAACAAAATTGCCAGATTTTGAGATAATAGATTGCTTCCTATGAATGGCACCATATTGTTGAGATATCAAGCCAGGCAAGCAGTCCAGATGCTCACTAGAAAAAATCAAGGCAGGAAGCCCTCCAGGGTTGATACCAACCCGCAGTTAGACCTAATGCCAATCATTCCAACTCAATATCCGCTTTGTCTCTTTTATTTCTCAATCCTCATGTTTCATCCTTCAGTCCATGACAATGACATTCTTGCCATTCCCTTTTCCGGCAAGATATGCTTGCTTCATTTTTTCAGCTTCTTCCATTTTCCACTCAGTCACCTCAACATGAAGCTTGTTCTCATGGAACATGGTAATAAACTCCTGGGCTTGAGCAGTGTCTGCAACCAGAGATCCAACCAGCTTTATATCCCGGTAAATCACATTCTGGTAAGACATTGTAATCCCCTTCTCAGGTTGGCCCAGAAGAACCATCGTGCCATGCTTGCGGGTAAGACTCGCCGCCAGATCAAAGGCTGCCGGGTGATCGGTAGCAAGAACAGTCGCATCAAGACCTGGGTAGGCGCCTGACTGTATTTCCTCAGTCTTTTGCAATAGACTCTCGACCGAGCCAGTGGCTAGTAGTAAGACATCCGGGCTATGCGTGTAAGATGCGACTGCATCCAAAGCTGACTGCTTCACGTCAATAGCGGCAACTTTGTAGCCCTGCAATCTCACTTGTTAGTCTTCTCCCGATACAATGAGTAGTGCAATCACACTTACCATGCATTTTGCAACCTGTGTGCCAATGTGACCGAGTCCACCGATTCCAACAATTCCAATTGATCCTCCTTTCGGCACCCCAGCCTTGACAATGCCGCCATATATGCTGATTCCAGCGCACATAAGAGGTGCCGCGACTTTAAACTCCATATCATCGGGCAGTTTAACAATAAATCGAGCATCACTTGCATCGACGTTAATTTTCAGATTTTTTCAATTGAAAGGCTTGCACTCACGCGACCATGTACTCAGCCCAACCACCATCAGCCGTCAAGCCCTTCATAAGTGGGCTTTCACAATACACCGGTAAGCCAGCCTTACAGTCCGGGCATTTACCTATGCATCGTTAGACTTAAGTTTCACTTGCCTGGCGTCTCTGCCTACCGCAAACGCTATCAAAATTGATGCATCCCACTCTATCGCCTCTCTGGAAATCCCTAACGCCAGATCCAATCTCCGCAATGATGCCAGCCGGTTCATGCGAGCCAATGAATGGAATCGGGTTATTGAATTCGTTATTCAAGGCCATCAAATCGGTATGGCAGAATCCAGCGGCTTTGATACGCACTAAGACCTGGTGTGGCTTCGGTTTGGGAATGGCGACTTCGGATACATGATACTCCTCATTGTATGCTTGTATTTGGATTGCTTTCATGGTCGACATTTTTGCGATGTGGCGTCTTCCAAGATTGACTGGGTATTAGTTTTCAGGATCGCAGTGGTTCTGTTATATCATGCAATTTGACAAGCAGTTGCGTGTTTCCATGCGTAGATGCCCATATATGACGTCTGGAATCCTCCAATTCGGGGGAGCGCCAAGCTTCGCGGGGGCGTCCCCGGCCAAGCATGTTCGATGAATATTTAGACTATGAAGCCTTCATACGTAGTAAAGAAGCCAATGAGGTTCTCGATGTGCCGCTTCGACCCTGGAGGGTGACTGGGCGGTCGAGGGGTGAGCTGGTGAAGTTCCAGGTCGTGTTTGATACTGAGTGGTGAAATGGAGGTATAGAACCCACAACTTTGGAAAGAAGATATTCGATTTTACTTTCAAGATCATGTAAAGTTCTTTCGGGGATTCCTTTTGTTTCCTTTTCCACGCCAATCACCTCTTTTTCCCGAATTTCAGTTGTCCTCTCTTTGCTCTGTATACCTCGTTTCGGAGATTATAAATATGTAGCTGTCATTCCAGACTTGAGTTCTACGTCAATTTTAGGCACCATATAGCATTTAGACCAACCAGGGGATAGATTCCAAGGATGATCAACTGTATGAGCGTAGATTTAAAGAAAGGGTCTTACTCCTACCACACCCCAAATCCTTCCTACCACACCCATAATCCTTGCTACCACACCCCTCTAGCCCGATTAGGCTCACCGCTTTTGATCTTTTCATGACCGCTTTGCGCTGTAATTTTCCAATACGTAGGGTGCTTTATATCATTGAGCAAAATAGCAGTAAACCTATGTCACACCGGTAGAAAACAATACCAATGGTATCTAACGTCGCCGCACCCTAGGCAAACCAGGCAAACCAGGCAAATAATATAAACACTCCCCCCCCCAATGTTATCTGTCTTCTCCCCGCCCCCCCCACACAGCTCTTCTAGACCTACCCTCGCTGTTGCCATTTGCTGTTACTGAGGTAAGTATCCCTAATTATCTACCCCCATAATCTTCGCTGTCGCTGCGAAGACTGACTGTCACTGTTGTAGGACTAAACGTATCTCTGTTGTCCGCGCCCGAGTCTGCGTTACTCCGCGCGCTGCCCTGCGCGATGATGATAGTGATGATGACGATAAGGGCAATGAGAGTGATGAGGGCGATAAGGGGCAGTGATAGCGAGAATGGTGATGACGGCGAGAAAGGGCAGCGACGACGAGGTGCAGCATGTATGGCATATCCATAGATTAGTTTACTAGCTTCAAATAGGAAAGAGATACTGAATAATTACCCTGCTTTCCCGAGGTTAGGTATCTACCTAGGTAGGTAAATGGTGTAGCTTACATAATTTTATATGGTTAAATAGTCAGGTTTTGGGAAAATTTTTCTGCCAGGACTATGCATGTAATAGGATACAATGCCCGGTAATTAAGGTGTCTACCTTCCTAATCGGGTTAGAGGGGTGTGGTAGCAAGGATTATGGGTGTGGTAGGAAGGATTTGGGGTGTGGTAGGAGTAGAACCCTAAAGAAATAATATCTGGGTCGTAGTTGGTCTTCCAACTCCAGTCCCTGTTCTTTTGCTCTCATGGAGACTTCGATCTTGGCACTGCCCCTGCTCAGGTCTAGGGGTGGCAGGTCAAACTTCATATCCCTAGCCATGATCAAATGTCTAGTTTGAATACCCCAGTGCATTTCATGGAACAATGAGAGGACTTCAAATGTTCAATGTTTGCATACTTCTGACTTCCAAGGTTAGTCATTTCCATGACGTCATGTCGGGACTCCAAGTTGGGGAATCAGCCACCGCGAGATTGAGAATCGGACTGTTCAGGCTCAACAGTCTTGGTGGATCAATGCCTACCGAAATCTTCTCCACTCTGCCGCCCATCTATGTTCTGCCAACGCATCTCTCTCTAGAGATTTTGGACGAAGTTGAGGGCCAAGTACTCGACAATGGCGGCAACCTGACCTACGATATCTCCGAGGCCGGATTGGTTCTCGGAAAGGTCAATCGTGCCAAGCGTGCTGCGCTGGAGCTGCGTTCACGCGGGATTTGGACAGAGGACCTTTCCCTTGCTCTTACTCCCGCATCACAAACGCATGCAAGGACGGCCCAGCCTCCCATCAAACGTAGACGAATCACGGCCTCGAAGGAACAATGTGTCCCAACTGAAATAATTGATCTCAGTACAGAGTCTGAGAACGAGGAAGATGGAGTCACAAGTCTTCATGATCCGTCAAAACACCTCATCAAAACAGACCCGGACAAGTCGATAACTGTCCTGAAGCTTGAATGGTTAGAGGCCTCAATTCAAGCAGGTAAATGCTTACCATTGACTCCATTCACGGTATATCGAGGCCGCAAGATCCCTTCACCTACGACACCAAAAGTCGAGAAGGTCCAGTTTGACACGAAGTCGACTCAAATCATTCAGCGCGCAAAACAAGACGCCAGTCAGAAATCGCCCACTATCTCGAGCCAAGGCAATACACGTCGCTCAAAAGAACCACCCGACGCCAGCCAACGACCCATTCCAAAACTTCACCGAGAGACAACCTCCGAAAATGAAGAAACCAACCCACTGCCGCCCCAACCAGAATGGGTCCGTGACCAAGTCTTGCTGGCATGTATGCGTTCAACGCCACTGCATCCACCGAACGAAGACTTCATCTCCCAACTCATCAAAATTCGACGTATTCGTGAGCTCACCCTGGACCAAATTGGCGTTCGCGCATATAGCACTTCGATTGCCTCTGTCGCCTCGTATCCACATCGAATCCGTCGCCCGAGTGAGATCCTCGCTCTGCCCGGATGTGACGTTAAGATTGCAAATCTCTTCACCCAGTACCAGGAAGATGGCGGGTGCAGCCATACCGATGATGACGGAAACATTGCTGCGGCGGACGCACTAGATTCGGATCCTGTCCTCCGGGTCTTGAATTCATTCTATGAGATCTGGGGAGTTGGCGCAAAGACAGCAAGAGAATTCTACTACCATCGTGGGTGGCGTGATCTCGACGACATCGTCGAGCAAGGATGGAGTACGCTATCGCGTGTGCAGCAGATCGGGGTGAAATTCTACGAGGAATTTCAACAAGGTATACCCCGTTCTGAGACTGAGGGTATCGCAGCTGTTATTCAAGACCATGCGAAGCGTGTTCGGCCCGACTCTCCCGGCATCGAGTGTATTGTTGTTGGGGGGTACCGACGTGGAAAGGAAATGGCTGGTGATGTCGATATCATCCTGACCCATCGCGATGAAGCTGTCACTCATAGAATTATTGTGGATATTGTGGCAAGTCTGGAGAAAGAACACTATATCACTCACACGCTGTCATTGCATTTGACATCTTCGATGCGGGAACAGCAGACTCTCCCTTTTCATGGTGACGAGACGGGGAGAGGCTTCGACACTCTTGATAAAGCACTGGTTGTGTGGCAAGAGCCTACTTACATTCCCAGCATGAATACTTCTGATAGCCATGGGAGGAAGAATTCCAATATACATCGCCGGGTTGATATCATCATCTCCCCATGGCGCACTGTCGGCTGTGCTGTGCTTGGTTGGTCTGGCGATACCACTTTCCAACGGGACTTGCGGAGGCATGCAAAGAAGGCCCATTCGTGGAAATTTGATTCAAGCGGTGTACGAGATCAACACACTGGGCAGGTTGTTGACCTGGAATGTGGAGGAGAGACTTGGGAGGAAAGAGAAAGGCTGGTCATGGAAGGATTGGGAGTTGGCTGGAGACCACCGGAAGAACGATGCACAAGATGACCATCCATGCCCAGGTTCCTGTGCTGATTCAAAGGTTTCTTTTTCCATCCATGATCTCATGTATTTTACTTTCATATCTGTAAATGGAGATATATAAGTGCATTCTGTGAATCGCCTAGGTATTGTTCACGCTGGGCCCTTCACGAAGAGAAAGCAGCCAAAGAGGCAAACAAGAAGCGTGGAGGTAACAAATAAAGATAGGGAGAAAAAAAAAACAAACACAAAAAGCGAAAGGGGGAAACGATCCGTGAACCTCAAGCGAAAAAAAATGGATTGATGGATTGGTCTCCCCCCAGGAGGTCGTCGGTAGTGGGTGGCTCCGGAGGATGCCCAGAGTGCTTGATACCCTCGATGGGCCGCCAGCGGCTAAGAGCCAGCCCCTAGGCCAACGTGCCAGGTTGGCAAAATGTTCTTCCCTTCTCTTTCTTTTAACTTCAAAAGACAAAGTGAATGGAAATTAGCTATTTGAACTTTCTCAGACATACCTGTCACTCATACAGTAGTCCATAAGTAGGTGTAGTACCACAGCACAACACTGTGGGGCAAAAATAGCGAATCGGCACACACCTGTGGATCAGCCTTGACGCAGAGATTTTTGCAAAAAGATAATCTTAAAGACCATGTTGGTATTTTAGGAAGAGCCGAACGCGGGGGTCGAACCCGCAGCCTTAAGATTAAGAGTCTTACGCTCTACCGATTGAGCTAGCCCGGCAAGAGGCTGTTGACGATGGCCGCAAAATAATGCTACATAAACGGCGAGCAGATCTCAAGACGGTATTGAGCTCAATGATTGAAGTGCGAGTCATAACTACCTAGGTAGGGAATACTCTATCAACATGGCACCTGGTGTGCCCTCATCTATTAGGACCATCGACTCCCGAGGTTTCATAAGCTCCGATTGTATGATATACATCAAGGTTAAAGTCCAAGGCAAATACAGGAGGTGTAGACCAGGGCATCTGTGGTATAGAAAGAGATAAAATGTTCAAGCTCGCTACATTCAGCTACATCAACATGGGGCGAAGAGGGAAACATGAGATGTGACAGCCTTCGCGCCAAACATGGCTATAAAAACACACCAGAGGCCAAGGAGAAGCCCAAGGTACAAGAGATACAGAAACACCAATAACTTGGTGTGTATGCACAGCGAAAAGCAAAAGAAACCACCGCAAATGCATGCAACCTACAGCGAACTAATCATCACGCCATAGGTCTCGAACTAGCCATCTCACCATACCGGCCGCGGCTCCGAGTAGTATCGTAAGCGTTGAGAACACGCATTTGGCCGCCATCGTCGGCCTGGGAGAAGGCGTAGCCACGCTGCTTGCGCATGCGCTGGACCTGCCGGACCTTCCGGATGGCCTTTTGGAACTGCTCCATCCGAGGGCGATAATCTTGCACGTTGTACTTCTGGATCTCTTGGACGTGGTGGTAATGTTGTGGGTAGTACATGCGCTTGGCGTACTTCCATGCGTAGTCACGCATAAGACAGATACAGGGCAGGACGACGGCCATCAAGTAGAAAATGGGAGATTTGAAGAGGACAGGGATAGTGCCGTAGTATTCGCGAGAGAACCCGATGGCCGGGGCGGCGTAACCGTACGCCGGTAGGAAAACAAGCCAGAGGAGCATTGAGCCTGGAATGGCGATGAAGGTGTACTTTGTCCAGATGTTGGTGATCAGAGCGGCTTTGCCCAGGACCGTGGCGAGCACGGCGGTATAAAGTGCTTCGCCCCAGACCCAATGACCGGCAACTTTACCGTCGGCCATAGGGAGATCCCAGAAGAAGATCAGCTGGGAAACGATGTAGAGGATGAGAGAATGGAAGAATCCGTTCAAGATCCAGGCCCAGAAACTGTGCTTCTTGAAGAAGACACCCTTCTGGCCTAGTTGATAGAGCTGCGGGTAACGGTCAAGCAATCGAGCGGAGATGTACTGATCAAAGATTCCCATCGCGAACGGAGGCAAGACAGTGAATAGCACGTTATAGAAGGAGAGTGTCCAAGACTCGTAAATGACTTCACCGGAGAAGGCGTTTTGGAAGGAGTACTGGGACTGGTCAGCTACCACTGGGTATCATGAGAGGAAACAAACTTACCCAGAATTGGGTCATGTACAGCGTGATGTTCTTGTAGTAGGAGTATAGGATAACTCGACTGATGCGAGAATAACTCCACGCCCCGTGAACCAAAAGAAGCTTCCGAAGGAATCGGAACTGCCCAATTGCTACATCAGCAGATCGGGCGGCTTGAAGACCTTCGACACCACTGATACCAACACCGACATGAGCGGCTTGGATCATCGACACATCATTGGCACCATCACCGATGGCCAGTAGAAGAGCCTTTTTGTGACGCTTGACAAGCTTGACAACCAAAGCCTTTTGAAGTGGTGAGACACGACTAATTCACTGTTAGAAAGAACACCAGTACACCAAGACCATGCAAGAAAGACTTACCAGCAAACAACAGCCTTGCAAATAACCGCCAAGTCCAAGAACAGCTTCTCCATATCCTTCTCCAAAGCAAAAGTCAAGGACCGGCCATCAATGACCAAAGCCAGAGGCTCCGCATCTCCAGAGGAAATCTGGCTCTTGACCGCATCCAACTTCTTCTGCAAGCTATCGCGAGTGGCATCTGCAGTCTCCTCGTTGATGATGAGGAGGGTCATATCTTCGGATATGAGTTTGCAAGACATGCCAATGTTGATTGCAGTTTCCTGTCGATCACCGGTCAACACCCAAATTTTGATACCTGCGGTCTGTAGCGTGTGGATAGTATCGGGGACACCATCTTGCAAGCGATCCTCAATAGCCGTGGCACCAAGCAGATAGAAATCCCTTTCGACCAGCTCCGCAGCCTTGTCCAGTTCCTCTCCACGATTGCCACCAACAGTCGTGTTGGCCTTGTCAAAGATCTGATTCCATTGTTGATATTCGTCTTCCGGAATTTCGCGCATAGCCAAACACAATGTGCGCAGACCATCTGATGCGTACTCTTCCAAATGCTGCAAGGTAGCTTCCACGGTAGGATTGTCGGGGTGTAAGCGTTCGAGGATAACCGTGTCAGCACCCTTACAATAGATGCGGACCTTTCCATCAGGGCACCGGAAGATAGTTGACATTCGCTTTCGGGTAGAGTTGAACTCGCACACGGCCAGCAGTTCGTATTCTAACTCTTGTCCGGCATGCTCGAAGAGCACGGATCTCGGTCGTCGATTAGTGAACCTGAATCCGAGGGAAGCTGCTCCGTCTACCAGTGCACCTTCGTCGGGTGATGCGGCTTGATACTTGATGACATTTGGATCGCTTGTGTTTCGCTCTGGGATGACTGTGTGGCAAGTCGCGAGAAGAGTGAGGAATTCACGAATGGCTTTCTGGGATGGATGCGAGCTCAAGTTTCCTCGTAGGGTTTTGAATGTGTGGATTCCAACTTCAGAGCCATCCTCCATGGCAGCACGGCGATCTTCCGGAACGTCATCGCCGTATTGAATACCTGCAATACTGACTTGCTTGAACTCCATCATGTTGCATGTAAGAGTACCTGTCTTGTCGGAGAAGATGTACTCAATCTGACCGAGTTCCTCAACAAGCGATGAAGTGCGGCAAGTAGCGGGAGTATCCGTTTTGTCGTAGTAGATGTCAAGGTCGGAATTGATGAGGAAAGCTTGGAAGTATTTGACAATCTCGATAGTAACAAAGAGCGAGATTGGAACCAAATTCGAGTAGAGGACCCAGTATGTGAAAATATCCATGAAGAACTGCTTCACCATCTTAACGTCACCATAGTCGAGGTACGCAAGCTGGTGTGATTTGGTTTTCCGAATCGCGAGATCACCAACAGAACTGATCACACTCAGCACGATGAGAATTGTCACAAGCATCAAAATTTGCATGTTAACTGTCCGCTCCACAGCTGTCCGCTTGATGGGCGTCGCAGTCGCATTCCTCATCAGCTTGGTCTCATGGCCGGTGAAAACAACAATTCCATGAACCCAAGGTGTATTGCGCAGAGTAGCACCACGAAGGAGAAGCTGATCCGGAGCCAAGGGCAACTCCTTCTCGCCACCTCCGGCATTCATGGTCAAAGTTGCTTCGTAAGTGTACAAGCTGCTGTTGGGTTGTTCCGAGCGCACACGTCCGCTTAAACGACTCATATCACTAGGGCTGACTAGATGCGCGGTTTCCGGGATGGCTTGCTTGATTTTGAGGTTTGTCTCGCCGTCCAGATTGGCCGTTTCGATGTAACATAATCCTTCCGGCTCAGAGGATGCCAGTAAGACCAAATCGGCTGGGAAAGGCTCCTCCGATTCGACTCGCACGATGTCACCCACGTGAACATCCACCCATTTGGCTTCGTGGAAAGAAGAGCCCTTGAGAACTTGCGTTTTAGAATGATTGAGACCTTTGTCAGAGTTCCGGCGTTTGTAATCTTCCACCAGCTCTTTGACAGCTGACACAGCCAAAACGATACCCAGTGGAACGATTGTTGTGAATCTGTTGGTTGGCGACACATTGGGAATTTGTTGCAATACCGCGGTGAACAAGAAGAACAAATTGGCATATTTGGAGAACTGTTCGAAGATGAACTTCGGGATGAAGGTAATGACGTTGTATTTGGATGTGGACACATGGTTGCTGAAGAACTTGTGGCTGGCGTTGGCTGGCGGGTTGTTGAGCTGGATCATGCGCGGACCCAGGGTCTTTGGGTCGACCTTGCGCCGCCCAAAAATGTTCAAGTCAGACGCGCTGAACTTCTTGCGCTCCTTGCGGGGTGGCGCTGGAGATGCACTGCTGTCGACTGTTGCCCTTCTTGCGCCTGCCTCTGTCAATGGCAGATCCATTTCCGAGTACTGATTTGATCCCATGCCAAACATGTATTTCGCCTTGCCCATGATGCCGCCACCAAGTCCCAGAACGCTGTTCCGCTCATTGGCCTTGCGTACATGGTGAGAGCTGGCAATGCGATCCTCGTCCGCGTCAAGATCATAGTATCCCGAATGTCCGTCGTCAAAATCGTCCAAAGAGTAGCGTCGATAGTTGTCCAGCCCCGACGTCTGCGAATAGCTGCGATCTCTCATTCCGCCGGAGTAAGGGTCATTTGGCGGGATGCCGGGATTCACCGGCGGGTGCGATAGCCCAGAAACAGAATGTTGTGGTGCATGTTGTGGTGCGCGAGAACCGACAAAACTATCATATGATACAGAAGGGCGCGGATGCGTTTGGTCGTACGGTTGCTCGGAATCGTCGATGTTGAATTGCTCTAGCAGGTGTTCGTCGTTCACTGGGGGGCCTTGGCCGGTGCTGTATGCTGGTCCGGAATCCAACAGCAGGTCGTCATCGCGACCAGCGGTTGGATGCGACCCGGGAGGCCTACCGCTGGCCATGATGCCGCGGGGAAGCTGACACCCTCACTGTTGTAGCGCAGTCGTGATGCCCCTGAGGCATTGATCGGAAGGCGTGGTTGAAAGAAAGTGCGCTCCTAGGTATGGCGGAGCTGTGGATCTTGACGAAGGAGTAGCAAACAAATAGTGAAGCCGACTGGTTTCGATCTGTAGAGGTGGGAGAATGAGAAAGAGGTGGCTTAGCGGGTGAAGGCAACGGGATTGAGCTATGTTGATTTGGTAAGCGCTTCACAACAATGAAGACCAATACTATTAATTGCGCTCGAACTCTTGGATTATTCTTAGAATTTCATTATTTAGCTTGCTTATGGAAATGTAGTCGAAGTAATTGGCGTTCGACACTGAGGACTAAGAATAGGGGACTCCTTGGCGGCCGGAAATATATTAAACAGTTGTACTCCGTAGGCGCCAACTGAAATGGTCCACTTAGTCCGTACTGGCTCAGATCACATACATCAGATGCAAGTTGCGTCAGTTGATTTTGATACTATTAAATTAGAATTAATCCGCGCCAGAATAGTCAGAATTCAAGGCTTTCGCATGCAAAGGGCTGTTCGTTTTGAACTGTTTATGGAATTATCGATAAAAACAATGCAATACTCCAGTCCCAAGATCGTTACGATCATCAAAGTAGTGGTACATATTTTTCATTCAGGTTGGACCTCCCGATCATTCTCTGCACGAGATTCATCAGCCATGCCAACCTTTGCGCGCTTAGCCAGATCAGCCTGTAGGACCTTGTCAATGGCAGCATTGAGCACCTTGACCTTCTCCCACGCGATACTCGTCTTAGTTACAATGACCATAGCATCCACCGGGGCACCGGCAATCTTGGAGGCATAACAGAGGTCACCGGCGTTGTTGATGCCGATGACGAGATCGCCCTCGGCGGCCTGCTCCTCCTTGAGCGTGGCATCGACAATGACGTGCTTGCTGTCGTTGTATGTGTGGAAGGTAACTGATAGAGGCTTGTGGGTAATGTTGAGTGCGACGGGAACCCGCTGCTCCACGCCATAGACAATGACCTTCCCGTCTCTAACCACAGCATCCGGCCGGCGGAAGTGTTGAAGTCCAGCCATGGTCGCAATGCAGGCGGCATCCGTAAGATTTCCATCGTAGTCAAGCACATGCACATCAGCGCGAATGCTCCAGCAGCTGACACCCTTCAGAATGCAGAGAGATTCGGTATCCAGAGCATTGGAGTGACGAATGACACGGTCAAGGGTGTGGGTAACGGCTGCTTCGAGGTCATTGGATCTGTGTGAAGAGTTGTCAGTATATAAGACGGGGATGAGCCTGGGAGATCAGGTCCTACCGTCCATTGTCCCAAGCAGGTGAGCCCATGTTGGTTAGCTCCATGTTGATATTGAATAAACCATCGAAAGGTCGGTCGTCACGGGGCTTGGTGACCTCTGCGGAGATGCGGACAATGATGCTAGAGAATGTCAGCGGGTCGAACGTACTGACAATGCAGACTCAAAGCTCACTGTGTCTTGCCAAGCTGCAGATTCACATGTCCGTATTCTTCACCAAAGGTGATGTTTAGTGGGCGGTATTCATCAGGCTTACGGCCATCCAGGCGCACATCCTGACGGAGGGCCTCAAGAATGAAGTCGCGCTCAGCGATCGAGAGCTGCGCTTCCTTTGACATGGTTGGTAGAGGTCTAGCCCCGTTGCGGGGACCAGAGAGACTTTCTCTTTTGATCCATGGAAATTCTGCCGGTCGGGCGGGCCGCATTTTGGCAGTCGGCAAATTGTTAATCCGAGTGTTAGACCAATAAAGGTTGGGAGTGGAAGAGCGGTGGAAGAAAGATCAACGCCTGAGGCGACAACATCCATCGAAAGATGGAAATCGTTGATACCACACCACTTCATCTTCCCAGCATTTCGGCAGAATGACAACAGGTAGGCTATTATGAATTGACTGGAATACGAAAACTAATATAACCTGATATTTTCTAGCCCACCGACCTACGTTTGATCCGGTAAGTCAACCATTCCCACCTCGACATTAGGACGTTTACTGATTTCAATAGGCGCAAGGAAAAGAGGCCCTTCGCGGCCCGGCGTACCACCAACGACTTCTCCCCGCGCACACTCATCTTAAAGTCCGGTAGGTGACAAGCTCGCGATCTCGGTTATGCGCGTTACTGACCGCATTCAAGCCAAGCCGGACAAGGAGGCGACGCCGACGCCAATGCTGGTCCTCGCGACCTCCGCGCAGAGCTCCTCGCAGCTGAGGCTGCCCACTTCGCCAAGAAGAACGGCGCGCCTGCCGAGCAGCCTACCATTGACGATGCATCGGCCCCCAAACGTCAGCTCGAAGCTGCACCGGAAGGAACCGACGCAGAGATCGAAGATCCAGAGGCCAAGCGCCGGCGCATATTGGAGGAATCTCGAGATATAGACGCCGACTCAGATGGGTCAGAAGAAGATGAGAGCAGCGATGAGGACAGGTGAGTTCTATCGGGAGCGCTTCTACTATGTGAATATCCTGACAAGAATAAAGTGACGACGAGGATGAAGCTGCTGAGCTGATGCGCGAGCTTGAGAAAATCAAAAAGGAGCGGTTGGCACAAAAGGAGAAAGAGGTATGGAATATGCAACCAGGGTAGTGATCTTGGCTAACCACTACTAGGAACGTGAGCGAGCAGCAGAGGAAGAAGAGCAACGTGAAGTTGATATCGCACGGGGAAATCCTTTGCTCAACTCTCAAGACTTCAACATGAAACGCCGCTGGGACGACGATGTTGTCTTCAAGAACCAGGCTCGTGGAACAGAGAACAGGGACGGCAAAGAATTCGTCAACGTATGTCCACTCCCGCTCTCGGCTCATGATTGATGTATCAAACTAATCTGTTTCAAGGATCTTCTTCGTTCCGATTTCCACAAGCGCTTCATGGTATGTACTCGGTCATTTCGTCTATATCCCTTATGCAATGCTAACCTTTTCAAGGGCAAATACGTGCGGTAAATATTCCAATGCCAGACAGTTTCAAATTCTAGTTTAGCGAATCAATTCATTTTTTTTTTAATTTCATCTGATGCTTCAGCAATCGTATCTAAGTAGATGAATAGATAAACAAGAATCATTCATGCACACAGATCCAGACTGACTGACGGGTCCCTTAAAGACGTCCACGGGTGACGAAGTAACTTCACCGCCCTCACGACTTCAGTCGACCAGATCCAATATCAAACGACAGTGGACGCTGAACATCACCAACAAAATGGATTCCCAACCAACAGCTAAGGCCCTACATAGTGAGTCTCCCCATGTGAAGCTCCGGCTGGGCCAGCAAGCCCTTTTCGCCGCATGTCCGGCCATTCGAGCCTTGTCTGTTAACACGGCCACTCGGCAGATCGCATCAACACCTATGTCTCCCAGCTATTGCAGCGGTTCGAAAACATAATGGCTACAGCCACTGTGAGATTTTCTCCCGTGGACTTCCCCTAAGTGTGGCTCTGTCTGACATCCTCGCAGGTCAACAACCCAAGCTACACTTCCACAGCGGTAGAAACCTACCAACTAGATGTTGAGTCAACCGCGCTAGTAAGTTAACCCCAAACTCATTCTCTCGGGGATGAATCTAGTGTATCATGAAACACGGCTATCTCCCGAGCCTCTTTCACTTACGCAAATCTGACCTTCTACCCCAGATTCGTGCATCGGAGGATATCCTTGGACTCACCCGAACTATGAAAGAGACTTGGCTATTTGGCAAGCTTGACACATTGGGCGAGAATGAGCGCGATGTCCAGCGGAGGGAGAAATTGGAGGAAGATGCGCAGGCAGTCACGAAGGCCATTGATGATGGACTGTTGATGCAGTCATCACAGAAATGAGTTGAATCATCTCGGAGATCATGTTTACACTTATCTTTGCATATGAGCCTTTCGAGCTCCTGGCGTTCTATATCTGCTACTGGTTACATCTGGCGTTGACAGGCGCGGTGTCTTGAGCTTCTCAATTGGTTTTTACTACAATCTTTCCATTGCTCTTCTCTCCCTATATTCCAGCGAATAAAGACCACTCGGCCAAAGTATCCACCAGCTAAAGCATTGACACTCCGGCCTTCATAACTAGTAATCCATAGATGTGTCAACATGGGTCTTGTGCCACCGAAATACTGAGGCCAAAGACCTCGGGAGTGCGGGGCGATAAGCCGATAACGATTTGCGCGACGCGACTCGAAATCAAATTCCCAGACGCTCACTGACACACACCTCTCCCACTCTACCCTCTCATACAATCCAAAATGCAACCACAATCACTCCCACCGTTGACCCTAATTGTGGCAACGACCCCAATCCGGGTCTCAGAAGAAGTAACCCGCCTCGGAATCGGACTGAAAGGAACACTTCCCTGGCCCCGCATCAAGACCGACATGTCATTCTTTGCGCGCGTGACATCCCGCCCACCCACAGCCGGCAAGACCAATGCAATGATCATGGGCCGCAAGACCTACGACTCAGTTCCTGCGTCGCTGCGTCCGCTCGCGAAACGGACGAGCGTCATTATCTCGCGTGACACAACGGGGTCTGTTCAAGAGGGGGTTCGGAAAGAGCTTGAGAAGAGAAAGGAGAAGCTGGCGGCTAAGGCTGCTGAGGCTAAGGCAGCGTCTGGCTCGGGATATGTGGCGGATCCTGAGACGGATGCGATTGTGACGCCGAGTTTGGATGGCGCGATGAGGGAGTTGGGGTCGAGGGAGGAGCTGGGCAAGATCTATGTTATTGGTGGGGCGGAGATTTATAATGCTACGTTGAATATGAAGCGGGATGAGTTGCAGGGGAGGGCGTTGAGGGTTGTTATGACGAATGTTGTGAGGAAGGATGGAGAGCCATTTGAATGTGATACTTTCTTCCCTTTGGATCGGTTGGATGAAGGGAACGGATGGCGGGCTGCTAGTCCTGCGGAGGTCACTGAATGGGTTGGGGAAGAGGTTGATGGAGAGTGGAAGACTGAGGGAGATTTCGAGGTTCAGATGGTTGGGTTCGAGAAGATCTAGGGCGGGAGTCGTTTCCTGCAATGCGCAGCTTGTCCGGTGATGAATTTGTACTCGGTACAGTCTTCCAACAAACATATGTACAGCGAGATATGCATAATGCCACTATTGAATCAACTTCAGAGAGATCCAAACCAATTGGGCAATGAATAAATGAGAGGATATGCAAGGCTATGCAAAAATTCAAATCAAACGCTAGAAAATCCAAACGATAGGAATGCGATCAATGCCGCAGCAGATAACACCAACCAGCTAGTCACTGTTCTCCTTCATAAATTTGACAAATGACTTCTTGTGTACCAGGCCGGTATATTTGCCGTCCAAGGTCACGCATAGATATCGAAGGCCAAGTTTGGCAAAGCACTGGTACACTAGATCGATGGAAGAGTGCACATCGAGAGCAATCGGAGCCTAGTTGAATCATTAGCAGAATTACAGTAGCAATGCGTGCTTTGACTTACCACGTCAATGAATGGGCTGAAGTCCACCTGCTCGGCATCCTCGTAATCACTGTCATAGATAGCCGTGGATGAATCAATGGACATGAGACAGACTGTATTGTCTTCGTTGTCGACCATGTTATCCAGAGCGTATTCTAGATCAGGTGCCGGGATTAAACCGGTCAATACACCATTGCGCAGGATTGGAAGGCCACTATCCAATTCGCCAGCCATGAGTAAATGCTCCAGTCTTGATCGCAGGTCTGTAGCAGGAACGAATGGTGAATCGGAAATATCAATGATGCGGTTTCTTCGGAACGGTCGAACAATATCTCCCAATACGGCATCAGTTGTTGGCTGGAGTTTGCTGTCCAAGAAAGGATATGAGTTCATATCAGTTAGAAGGTCCTGGAACTTGTTAGCATTGGTTGAGAATCAAATCAAAAGACAGCTTACGTATATGCTGCGAGGCTCGATGGCATCCGCGGTCCACTTGGCGCATAGTACCGACAGGGAGAATGGGAGAACATGGTTAAGACTCCCCGTCAGTTCGAACAGAATGACCGCCAGAGTGACCGATAATCGGGTCACACCACACATGGTCGCTCCAGCAGCAATCAATGCATAGACGCCCGGAGTGACACACGACTCGATTCCAGAGCCAGCGGGGCAAGAATCAAACAAAAAGAATGTGGGGTGTTTGAGAGCCCAGTATTGGATCAAGTGTCCGACAATCCGTCCCATCAATCCACCGACTACCATGGATGGTACGTAAATGCCTGCGGGAACTTTGATGCCAAACGTGACGATGGTAAGAATGCTCTTTATGACAAAGGCTACCATCAGATACTTGATGATTTCGAGAATGCCGTCTGCCCGAGGACATAGACCTGAGCTTTCCACATCGGTCTCGCAAGGACTTGCCAGCTCAAAAAGGAGTTCTGTCACTGGAATCCTGGTGTATCGGTTCCAAAAGCTGACCACGCCTGTAAGAAGCGCAACAAGGAAGACCTCGAGCATTGGCCACTTCTTGATTGCGGGAATGCGACGGAAGGTTCGGGCCCACCAGCTCGAGGCTTTGATGAATAGGGCACCGGCTGCGCCTCCCATGATACCAAGGGCGATGAAGATGAAGATCTCGAAAATCTCCCAGTCTGACAGATACCGGACTTCGAACAAAACGATTTTTCCGGTTCCGTATGGGTTGAGGAACTTGAGCGAAAGGGTGGCTGCGATGCAACAGAAGAATGTTCGGAATAGGGTCTTGGGAGGGAAATAATAGCTGACTTCTTCTAAGCTGAAGAGGACACCACCGATCGGGGCACCAAAAGCAACGGCAACACCGCTGGCGGCACTAGCGCTCAGCACTTCTCGACGTTTTCCATCATTCTGGTTGTACTTGGCAAATAGGCGGCAGGAGATGTTGCCCACGCAGGTGGCGATGTGAACGTACGGGCCTTCTTTGCCCAAGCTTAGACCCGAGGAGACACTGAAAATTAATCCAATGGTCTTAATCACGAGCGTCTTCAAGCCCATGTAGCCATGTAGGACGAAACCACTATTGATGACTTTGACCTCAGCGACTCCGCTGCCAGCAGCGGAGTAGTATATCATAGCAGGACGAGATGGGTTGTTAGGTAGACTTCCGTGTGGCGGTGACTCCGGCTCAGACTCCGAGGGAGGCGAGGCCAAGGCACTGAGACCGTTTCCAGACCGACTGCCCCGAGAGTCCGCGCCCAGGTTCTCATCAAGAGTGGCTAGGGAGATCGACGAAGGCACAACCGTTTTTGTGAGTAGAGTCAGGGCACATGAGATGAGCGCCAGCACCACAACCCAAAAGACAAACATAAAGAAGTCGATCCACATGTTCTCTGTGCCTGATGGCAGGAAGATATTCGACCATGACTGCCATGAGTCGCACAAGGCCAGCCCCTCGCAGCAGGTCCGTCGACTGCGAAAGAACTGGGTCGTGCAGAAGCCGTCCTTGACGTCGAATATCGCGCCTTCTGTGACATCAACGAAGTAGGCGATAGCTGCAGTTATGCAACCAATGAGAGCGACTAAGATCCATCCCTGCGCACCGTCAAATGCAGCCAACAATCGACCTCGCAGATCTTTGCGCTGACGCAATAGGCGGAGGCGAGTCCCATCGGCGATGCTATCATGCACCCAGTCCGTCGAGGTGAACTGATCGTACCAAGTCCGCTCGTCCAAGAACGAAGAGGCGGTGAGGTTGTCTTTCGTTGACGGCGGAATGCTGGCCGGTCTACTTTCATCGTCCAAGCTTCCCCGTCGACTCAGCCGCTTGCCGACAGAGTTGGCACGGCTGTGATTTCGCGTCCGGCGCAGGCTGCCAGCTGCTAAAAGGTGTCTGAATGTTTCCGGGGCCCCGCCTGATAGCCCGGATGTATTGGTATATGATCGCTGCGGAGCTCGCCGTTGGGGGCCAGACGACGGGCCTAGTAGGCTGGTGGTTTCAGTTACTGCTGGCGGGAGATCCAGAGACTGGTATTCTGTATGTGTTTCGGAGAGGTAGCTTTGGGATCGTCGGTAGGCAGCCGGGGATGCGGGAGCTGTTCGGGCGATGGGGGTGGCTTCGGACTCGGTCTCGTCCTCGCGCGAGGCGGACTTGGGTAGAGACCTGGGCATCTTGTCGAGAAGCGTTACACTTCAAGGTGATGCAGCGGGGCTTGCAGCGGTCAGCGACATTTATGCGGAGGTCCACATGTGCCAAGTGGAGTAGCTCACGCGGAACAAAGCAAGGTACCGTGAGTACCTAACTAGTAGATTCTCAGTCGCATCTCTATGTTGCTGTTAAACCGAGAGATTTCAAGGGGAGTTGTGAAAGAAAAGGTCTCGGGGGTGACAGATGATCAACGGATAACGCGTCAGGTTGCCCGCCCGATCAGCAATGGCGAGTCACTCTTGCACATCATTAATTTAGTCCATCATTAACTCTCTTGACACATCGATCTGATCACGGCACGCGAGTGGTCACATTCCATCGCCCCCCGCGTTTTGCCGATCTCCGGCCGAGTTAACGTGCAATAGCGAGGCCTAGTTGGGACGCGGCGTTCTGCTCATCGTATACAGTATACCTGATTCGACGCGACGCAAAGGCTCCAGGCTCGGCAACCTTGTCTACGCTGTAGATGGACGTGAGAACGGAATCACCTAATATGGCACCCTGGTTTGTCTCATTTTCCAAGGCTGTACTAAGAAGTACAGTCGTAAATCCCACCCGGTCTTGGAATATATACATCGATGTGGGGTACTCTGCCGAACCAGAGTCAGCAATGCAAACCCATCTGCTCTCCTCTGGAATGTCAAAGGAATGTCTGGAGTATGTACTATAACATCGACACTTTGACACGCCCAAATGAAGGGATGTTTGTACTAGCTCCATCCAATCCAATGGTCAACTGATGCTGATCTCTTGGCATCCCTCGTGAATTCAACGCCACCGAGGGGTCAGGACGTGGGGAGGTCTTTGATTGCGGCATATATTGCATGGCCGGCATTCCTTCCTGGACTTTCGTCAATTGCGATGAATACCCCAGGGCTGACTTGAGGCTTGTAGGCGGAGGGACAAGCTTTTGCTGCTGGGCGTTAGGGCGTGCATAGATCGGCCCTAGAGATCGGGATGTTCCGGTACAGATTCTGTGACATACTAGGAGCCAAGCTTCATCTCTGGCTATTTACCATGGCGGAGAAGCGGAGAATGTGTCGACATGTCTTTCTGATCCGAATCACCGAAAGGTTGAGCACAACGTAGAAACCTTGGAAGGCGTGTCGAAGAATACCTACTAAGTAGTGCATATCAACCTTCGAATCTACTCTACACCCTTTTTAACTTGAAATCTTTCAACCCTATAACATTCAAGTATTTTGATAGATTCATTTGCCATGAAAGACCGGAGTATTCATTAAGGCTTGCGAAGTGCTGAGCAAACAATTGTTACCTGACTGCTGCTTCATGGGCTGGAAGCCCATTGCAGGTGAGCACTGAAAAGAATACTTTGATGTAGTGGTGAATTATCATCAGATGATTACTTCGAACCAGATATCTCCAGGTGTATACTTGACCCCCGAGGTCGGTTCTTCAGATCCTGGGACCACCGGGATAATATTACCTACCCGGAAGTCCTCAGCAAAAGAATTCAGTGAAACCATAATGAGTTATTAAAGCTGTATCTGTTTCCTGCATAATTTTCCGCCAAAGATTTCTTGTGTGGACGAGGACTGTTATCGCAGCTTGTCCCGTTTGTCCACGGAGCAAACCCCACTTCAGCACGATCTCTTATAAAACCCCCTCCTGTGCTAGGTCTTCAATCATCAGTCTATATCATTTCCAAGATCAAACAATGGCTCAAGATCAAGGGTTCGAGCCCTACAACCAGTTCATCCTGTTTGGTGATTCCATCACCCAGATGGGCTGCAATCAAGAGATAGGATTTGGCTTTCATGCGGCACTTCAAGAATGTGAGTCCTGGTGCAGCTAAGCTCATGTCTATCTATACTAATGAAACCAGCCTACAGTCGGAGACTAGATGTAGTCAACCGTGGTCTAGCGTAAGATTAGAACACCGAGTGAGACCAGACATGCTAAAGTCAACAGTGGATATTCAACCGCCCATGCCATTAAGGTCTTTCACAAGTGCTTCCCACCACCACAGCTCGCCAATGTGCAGTTCATGGTAAGCAGAGTCCTTTGAAATCCCAGAATCTGACTGACCCAAGTCGGACAGACCATTTTCTTCGGCGCCAATGATGCATGTGTTCCGGGCCACGACCAGCATGTGCCTGTGGACCAATATAAGGAAAATTTGAGAACAATCATCCAGCACCCAGCAACAGTCGCACAGAATCCACGCATCATCCTGATCAGCCCCCCTCCTGTCAACGAATATCAATTGGAAGGCTTTGATGCTGCAAAGGACACCCCGCACCCAAGCCGAACGGCTAGCTTCACCAAGGTCTATGCAGCTGCTGCATTGGAAGTGGCTGCATCCCTGAATGTCCCAGTGGTTGACTTGTGGTCAGCCTTCATGAAACCCACTGGCTGGCAAGAGGGCCAACCGTTGATTGGGTCTCGCGATGCTCCGAGCAATGAAACATTTGCTAGCTTTTTCACTGACGGTACGTTATGTTGGCTGGACCCTTTATCACCTGCTTACTCGTCCTACAGGACTGCATCTGTCAACTGCTGGCAACCGCATTGTCTATGAGGAGATCATGAAGGTAATTGGAGACAATTGGCCGGATCAGACCCCGGAGGCGCTTCCGATGGTATTCCCCTCCTGGGTGGATGCCCCCAAATGAGGGCGCAATGGACCAGAGGACCAGAGGATCATGAGGACCATAAGCGCAAGTAGTACAAGTAGATGAGAAATCAGTTTGATCCTAAAGTACTTTATTGTAGAAGTGAACACTTAAAACATGTGGTGGAGCAAAGCGGTCTAGCCTATGATCGTCCTCTCCGCATTCATGTCCCAGGCACCTTCACTTCCGACCTGCAATTTCTCACTCTACCACTCTGCACATTATTCCTTCGTATCGCACCTCGAGACCCTGAAACTTTTCGCATGACTATCTGCATGCCCAATATTTGACCATCCTTTCGCCAACACCTATTTCGCCCCCGTGCCGTTGTCGCCCACTCCGCACAAATTCGCCGCATGTTTTGACCGCGCTCTTTGATCCTTGCCTTTCGCAGACAGTGTGGACGGCCGGTGGGCCGTCTCACAGATTGAAGGGGACGGAAGTTATAAGAGAAGAGCGAAAGAGCGAGCCGACCGCGTGAGAGCCAAGTCCGAGTCTCGCTCACAAAGTGACGAGCAAGATCGAGTGACGATCGCGGCCTTTCCTTACCTCCGCTTTTCTTTTTCCCCTCCTCATATCTCACATTCGAAGAACCCCTCTGGCGATGGATGCGCAATATCCCTTTGCCTCCCGAGACGATATCTGGCGCGTGTTTCACGAGTTGAAGGAGCTCCATATCACTCAATTTGAGCAAGGAGAGCGTCTCGCCCACCTGGAGCGACGCCGTGACGAGGATGCCCGACTGAGAAGTCCCTGGGCATCTGTTTCGCCTTTCCCCACATCCGTTGGTGCGATCACTCCAGGCAGTTCGCCTCTACCCTCCGGAATCAGCTCACCACTGAACAAGCCTGCCATCATAGACACCGCCTTTAACTCCCCACCAGACGCTTTTAAAGGCTTCGATCAGGGTCATCCTTCCGCAATGAGTAATTCTGCGGTGGGATTTGATGGCGAGGATGAGCCTCGCCGGGGTGCGTCCCGCGCCAACAGCGTGCGCTTTGACGAAAGTGCCCTCCATGGATACGGCCAGACAACCCGCAATAGCAATGATCTCCCTTCTCGGACAGGTAGCGGGCTGAGCTCACATCCGCTTCTCGAGCGCACATTCTCACATCAATCTGATGGCCGACTTAGCTCTTCCGGCCACTCTCACCAGTCGGCCCGCACTAACAGTCTACGCTTGAATACCGCACGGCTATCGGGGTCTACTCCCATTGATTCGCCTTTGATTCCGCCACCTGGGCTCTTTTTGCTGGGACCAGTGCCTTCAATTATTCGTTGCTGGCTGACCGAGGATTTCACAAATGGCTCACTTCTCTATGCTGCCGTTTGCACAGGCTCTTACGTCTCATCCGTGAATCTTTCGATGATCCGCAATCTTGGGATGGAGAGTTTGGTCGTGCGCGAGGATGATGCGCAATACATCAAGCTCCCGCTCTATCTTCCTGAAGCTATCGTTCACCCTTGCTCTTCACTTCCCGACATACCCACCCATCAAGTTCCTGCGGTGCCTGTCCGATTCGTTATCCGCGAAGAGGAACCTCAGGATCAGTCTATTCAGATAATCATTGGAAGTGATGTGCTTCGCGCCCAGAATGCGGACATTTTGTTCTCCCAGGACAAGCTCATCATGGTTGATAGTGAGCACTATCGAGTCTCCGTTCCTCTCGTGCGCCCCGAGAACGATGCAGTTTTTAAGGGTCTTTACACTGCTCCGTGTACTCTTGGGTCTCGGAATTCACAGTCTTCCTCTGTCAATGGGAGCACTCCCGTTGGAGTTATTGGACGCCCTAGCAGTTCCCAAGAAGAGCCAGCTCCCACGAGTTTGGCGGCCGCTTCAGGCGGGAACGGAGACTTTTCAAAGCCCAGCCGAACCGCCCACCCAAGCCCGGTCAAAGCACCAGCCCCAGAAACCCCCTCTATCACGAGTGCCCCGAGCTCCGTGACCAATGAAAATATCCCCGCCTGGAGCAGCTGGCGTCGTGACGCTAAGAGAACCTCTACACAAGCCCCGAAGCCTGATAAGCGCGAAATGAAAGTCTTCCGACCTGCCAAGCTTACCAGCCGTGCAACCTCCAGCGCCTCGACCTCGACTTCTGCTGGCGCAAATTTTGACCGTGCCAAATCACCTCCAAATGCACACATAACAACCTCCGACAAGGGTGCCAATCCTGTTGGTGGCGGTTCGGCGTTTGGATGGCTCAACCCGGCCCTCAAGCCTGTCACTCGTGGCACCTGATTCTAGATGGAATAAACTAGGAGCAGCCGTCTATGTTCGATTATCCTAATTCTGGAACGATAGGGAACTGAAACATGGAAAGCAGACCGGACAGAAGGGAAGCCAACGATATCACGTTCGTCAACCGGTGCCTCGGATGAGATCGGTAGCAGGAATGACACATAACGAAAAGCCGAAAAAAGAAAAAAGACAGGAAAAAAATAACAAAGTTCCCCATCATCTTGCCAAGTAATCTGTAGATTGAAATCGGTATCCTAGCATTGCCACTGTACGGAATAAGTAACCTTGGAAACATTTGAACCCCATCTAGATCTTCGAGAAAGCCCCCAACGCCCCCTTCGTCGACTCTTTCGTCTCCTTCACAAGCCCACTCACAGCCCGGAACGCTTCATGCCCCGCATCCCCAATAATCTCAAACAAAATACTCTCACTACTCGTAACAATCGCCCCCGCATCCCTCAGCCGAGCCAGCGCAATCCCCCTCTCCTCATGATTCATACTACTAACCCCATCAACAAGAACATAAACCCTATGACCGCGCTCCAGCAAATCAAGCGTCGTCTGCGTAACACAGATATGAGTCTCAATCCCAACAATGATCACATCCAGGGGCGAGGCAGGAAGCAATTTCTCAATCTCAGGCGTCACCATTGAGAAAAGAGTCTTGTCGATATCGGCGCGGATATTGGGCCCTGTTAATTGGGGCGAGAGCTCGGAGACAGTGGGACCGAGCTTGGCTCTGCTCTGCGTGGTTATGTACACGGGCATGTTGAGGGTGTTTGCTGCACGAAGCATTTTGTCCGTTGTGGAGATCCTGGCGGTTTGGTTTAGTTTGGGTTGGGTTGTGGGTTGGGTTTGGGTGTGGCTTACAGTTTGGAGAATTCGTAGATTCCGCGGAACTTTTCCTGCACGTCGCAGATGCTGGGGATGTTAGTTCAATGCTGGGGTGTTGGTGGGTTGGATGTTTCGTACAAAAGTGCCGGATTGCCTGGGTTAATGTTAATTTTGAAGAATTGGACTGATTGATTGGATCTTACGGATTCGAGCTGCGCGCGTGACGGAGGCCATGATCTCTGTCTAGGTGTTTTGTGTAGTGATGCTTTGAAGCAGATAATTGCAGAGTCGAAGTATAAAAAGGAGGGAGATTCGGTGGCGGCCGACGCGGGGAATCGAAGATGCGGGGAGTCGGGCGATTTTGGCCAATTTACCGCGGTCTACAGTCTTCGGGTGGAACAGAATGGGGTTCTATTGAGAATCTAAAATATTTTTTACAGCTTCACCTCATGCACCTTAGCTCGGCCAACGAACCAACTGTCGTCACCTTGCGCGGCGGCCGTGCGGATAGCGTAGAGCTCGTCAAGGAAAGCGGGCACGAAGCTACCGGGGCCGCGAACATATTCCTTAGAAGCAGCGTTCTCGGCTGCGATCTCATACATGAGGATACCGGACAGCACGGCGAGGAGTCTGTCCGAGCGGTGGGCAGTCAGGAAGCAACCCGAGATAGTACCGATGGCGCATCCGGTCTAGGCATGCGATTAGACAAAATTACGAAGCGGCGGGAAATAGTAGAACTCACTCCGGTCACTTGGCCCAGGTATGGGTGGCCATTCCCAACGGCAATGACTCGTTCACCGTCACTCAGGTAGTCTGTTGCGCCGGTCATGAGAACGACGTTACCTGCAACATGTTAGAAGGCATAGATGTCATGCGACGGGCTATACTCACGCTCCCTGCGAGCCAGGTCTCGCGCCAATGTAGCCTTCTGATTACCGTCCAGAGTGCTGGGACCACTGTCGACACCGCGCTGCTGAACAGCACCGCTACCCCAAGCCTGTCGGATTTCACCTTCGTTGCCCTTGATGAGATCGAAGTAGCCACCGGCCATTAGTTGAGTCACTGCGCTGCGACGAATTTGGGTCGCCGCTGCACCGACAGGGTCAAAGACCACTGGGTTGCCCCGCTGGTTGTATGCATTAATGGCTTTGAGATAGTTCGAGACGCTCTCGCTGGTCAATGTGCCCATGTTGATTAGAAGAGCACCATCGAACTTGCACAAGTCGGTGGCTTCATCTCCGTATGGAGACATGATAGGAGATGCGCCACTATATATTCATCAGTATGGAGCACGAAAATGGTAATCAAAGATACACACATAGAAAGCGCGACATTGGCCACAAAGTTTGACACGACGAAGTTGATCATGTTGTGTACTAAAGGATGGACCTCGACCATCTTGCGGATAATTTGAGGCACATCCTTGAGCAGTGCCTCGGTTTCATTGGCGCGAGGAGGGTTGGAGGCCAACGCAAAGCGAGGGGTGTTGTTGATGAGCTCGGCGAATTTTTGAGCGGATGCCTTGGGGTCCTCAGCTGCCACGATTGCGCTGACAATGGCCACACCGTCCAATGCCTTGTGAGGGGACTTGGACTGATACATCACTCTCTGCACATTCGAGTGGTTGATACCACCGATGGAAACAGTGCCCACCGGAGAATCTTTGATAGCGTCCAAGATGATCTGAGTACCCGCTGTACCGATGACTGACTTGGTGTTCGTTTTACTGCAAGTGGTTAGCTGGCGCTTTGGACCAAAGGGAACGGAGAACATACGTGGGGGTTGCAAACATGGTCCCAATTCCGAGGTAGTCGGCGCCATCGGCAACGGCCTTTTTGGCCTCTTCAACGGTGGAAGTGCTGATTCCGATGATGGCGTTCTTTGGCAATAGCTGTTTTGCTTGCTCAAATTCTGACAAGGACATCAGCACAAGCATCCTGAATGGAGCGTGGCAACATACTCATATCATCTTGACCCAGGTGCACACCCTCGGCTCCAATCGCGAGAGCCACGTCCACTCGGTCATTGATCAATAGAGGCACATTGTACTTTTGGGTCACCTGGTGCAATTTCCGGGCCGTTTCCACCAAGATTCCAGTGTCGTTGGATTTATCCCGGTACTGCACTACCGTTACGCCTGATGCGGAGTTAGCCATATGCCAGAAGTACCTCTCAGGCCCTGGGCTTACCTCCTTGGATGGCCTGCTCTACTACCGTGCACAGGTCTCTGCCCTGGAGAATGGCCGGAGTGGAGTCCGTGACCAGGTAAAGAGATAGATTTACAGACATTGTCTCGGTGAGATATGAGTTTAGGGCTGATACTCTCACAAATAAAGTGAAACAGTCTCGTACAACGTTACAAGTCGAAGATTGCGGTTGCCGTGTGCCCGCAGTGGGGTCCAACCTTGGGTGGTCAACGTCGGGAGATCAATTGCTCTTGATGTCCAGGTATTTCCAGGTCGATTTCTTTCTGTCTCGACTCAACACATAGATCTTTAATTCAAGCCTCGGTTTCTCATCCTTCCTCCATCACCTGTCGGTCCAACAATGTGTCGGATATAGTCCGAGTTATCTCCGGCACGTGCGGGCTGACATAACCATGATTTGTCAAAAAATCCCGATTCCGTTTTTCGCTTCTCTTTCTCTTTCTTCAAACACCTTTCCCTAGGCATCGATTTCAACGAAGCCTTCATCTCTCTGCGTGGTGCCGTCTACGCTTTTCACTCGGTTAGTTAGGCTTCGCCATTATCACTTTCCACCGTCCACCAAAGGGTCTCCGACCTCTGACTCGGTTACCCCAAAGAACCCATTTCGGTCTCAGAAACCACTTTGAGAAGTTTACTGCGAACTTGTCTATGTATTCGTCCTCCGTCCAAAATTTCGAACATCACCTGCCGCCCAAGCTGCAAACGTTTCGCGCGCCGAAACCTTGCAGCATACACCTCAGATCCTGTGGCTGAACCGGATCTCTGACCTTGTTGTGACCATATCCCAAATCACCAAGATCGACCCACACACACATACCCAAAAAAAGGAAACTTGACACGCATGTCTTGTTACAGTAAAAATCTTCATTCAGACCCCCTCTCGCTACTTTCCACGCATACCATTCCATTCTCGTGAATCACCCGTTCAACTACACCGTCATCATGGCCACCGTCAACATTCGCCGGGATGTCACCGATCCCTTCTACCGCTACAAGATGGAGAAGCTCCAGGCTAAGGTCGAGGGCAAGGGCAACGGTATCAAGACCGTTGTCGTCAACCTCAACTCGGTTGCCCAGTCCCTGAGCCGTCCTCCTGCCTATCTCATCAAGTACTTCGGATTCGAGCTTGGTGCCCAGGCTAACGCCAAGCCCTCCGATGATCGTTGGATCATCAACGGCTCCCACGACGCTCCCAAGCTCCAGGACTACCTCGATGGGTTCATTGCCAAGTTCGTGCTTTGCAAGAAGTGCAAGAACCCCGAGACTGATGTCAACATCAACAAGGAGGTCATCACCTTGGACTGCAAGGCCTGTGGTCAGCGCTCCGATGTCGACCCCCGCCTCAAGCTGAGCACCTTCATTGTTCGCAACAACCCCAAGGGCGGCAAGAAGGACAAGAAGAAGTCCCGTCGCGAGCGTGAGAAGGAGAAGGCCGCCAACGGAGAGGATGCTAGCCCCGGTGACAGCAACAACTCCGAGAACGGCGAAGATGGTGACGAGGCTCTCGAGGCTCGCAGTGATGATGAGATGACTCGCCAGGCTCAGGCCATCGAGGCCGAGGCTGAGATCGAGGATGATGACTGGGCCGTGGATGTTTCCGAGGCTGCCGTGAAGGCTCGTGCCAAGGATCTTCCTGACGATCTCAAGCGTGCTCTCGTTATCGAGAACGGCGATGACGAGGCTGACGGCTCCTCCTCGTACGAGCAACTGGGTAGCTGGATTGTTGAGACTGCTGCTGAGAAGGGTGGTGTCACCAATGTCAGCGATGTCGAAATTTACATGAAGGCCAAGGAATTCGGCATCGAGACCAAGCACAAGACTTGCGCCGTCTTGGCTCAGAGCATCTTCGACGAGAAGATCGCCAAGCAGGTCGAGGCTCGCGCTGGCTTGCTCAAGAAGATGATCAGCTCCGAGCGTCACGAGAAGGCTTTCCTCGGTGGTACCGAGCGCTTTGTCGGTCAGGATCACCCTGCTCTGGTTGCTCAGGTCCCCGCTATTCTGCTCGCCTACTACCAGAATGACCTCGTGTCTGAGGAAACCCTCAAGGCCTGGGGTGCTAAGACGAGCAAGAAATACGTCGATGTTTCGACCAGCAAGAAGATCCACAAGGCTGCCAAGCCCTTCATCGAGTGGCTCGAGACTGCTGAGAGTGACGAGGAGAGTGGCAGTGAGGAGGAGAGTGATTAGATGGACATCATTCACTTGTTTCCTAACATTCGTCGTGCTCCTGTCGTTGAAATTGGACCCTTTGGAGACTACATTTGTTTCAATCTGTCGAACTAGGACAAACTCGCTCTGTTATCTTTAGTGTAGCCTACCAGTCGTCACTCCTTTGAAATACACATGCCTATCATATCTCATTCGCATTCAACTCAACGCTAAACTCCAACCGATCATAATGTAGACCAACAGGCACAGCTTCGTTGCCTCAGTGACCTAGGATGCTATATTCAAACCCCAGTCTAGGACTAGAACACAACCTCAGCTAGCCTCATATCCTCGCCGCCAGCACTTGCGCCGCAATGCGTTACAGGCTTCGACCCCGCCTGAACACGATGTTGCATGAATATAAACCACGTCAAGTCCTCATTCCAAGCCTCCATGGCCCGAATAGCCCCCTCCACAGACCCAAGAACCTCATCCCCAGCAATCGACGCCCTATCAGTCCGGAAGTAATACCCCGTCCCAACAAACAACGCAATCCACCCACCCAGCACCTCACAAATCCGATCCCCAATTTCCAACGGCAGCCGCACATGCGACAAAACCGTCAGGAAGAGGGAAACCAACGCGCGCCACAAGCGATGATGCGAAGTAAAGAACTTCGAGCCAGGCGTAGACGAAGACAGCGCCAAAGACGAAAGCACTTGCGAACTCGACGCAAGATCCAATTCGCCGGTATGTTGGGATCTAGCTCGTCGCTCGTTCGCGGCTTCGGCGTCATTGCGCACTTTGTCCCAGACGCGGCGGTATAGTTTGTCCCAGCGGGGGAAGTCGGTTTGGACTCTTGTTGCCATGAAGTCGCCGGCGCCTTTACACATTACTTCGATGGCTTCGCAGGCTGTGATTGTTACGTAGGTTTCTTCTTGGTAGTCTGTTGCGTTGGTTGGTTCGGGGGTGGTGGATGTGATGAGGGTTTTGGAAGAGGAAGATTCCATTGAAGAGGGGAATATGATGCGGCTGGCGACTGTTGGCCAGAGGTCGTTGATGAGAGGGAGGAAGCTGTTTTCGTTTTGGGAGAGGGCCGGCAGAATGTCGATGAGGATTGAGAGGAGAGAGCGGCGGAGATAGGGGGACGGTGAAGTAATATGAGATGGGATTGATTTGACAATGTGCAGGAGAAGATTGTGAGTTTTGCTGAGCGGTTTCTCGGCGTCATCTGGCTCCTTTGGTGGCGGGAGCGGTTCGTCTGATTCGGCCTGGTTGAGAAGCTCCTCGACGGATGGCTCTGGTGGTGGCTTTTCGTAGGTTTCTGACCAAGGCTTTTTGGGGTGAGAGACGGCTTGGTCTTCTTCTTCATGCTGCGAGCGCTTGAGCTTTCGGCTGGCAATGTCTGCGGCGATACTTGAGATGGAGAGGTGTTGGTATTGTGATTTGCGGGTGTCATGGGAGCCGTTTTGTTTCCCGTCGTCGATTGTAAGCAACGCTGGCTTCTTGGCTCCCTCTTCCACAACAGCAGCTAGGGTTTTGAACATCATCTCGACGAGCTTTGGGTAGCCATGGTAAAGATCCAAAATACCAAATATCGAGTCCACAAGATCGTCTAGATATGGAATCAAACGGGCACCACAAAGCTTGACCATCATGAACAGAACTTGTGGCGGGTATGGGGATACATCGAAGGTATTGAGCTTCAAGGCCACCGAGTTCACCAGATAGTCCACATTCTCTATAATCATAGAGCTGGTGTCTGTGTAATTGCAGGATGTGGTCAGAATGTTGAGGCAAGTCATGGCATGCCGCTGAAGATTAGGGTTCTGGGAAGCTAATAGCTGCAGCGTTGGGTACAGCGCGTCCATGAGTTCAGGTCGGAAGGACTCTCCCAGCTGTTGAGCCTGCAAAGCCACGGATTCCAAAGCAAGTGCCGATGTGCGCCAATCGCCCGAGCCATCCATTGGCAGTTCATTCAATAGGTTCAACGAGATATAATATAGCTCTTCAATCATTCCACCGCGAGCTGATGACGACGTGGAGCCTTCGACGTGATCAAGTGCGATAAAATCGTCAAAGCTGACCGTGGCCGCGGTGCTATCCCTGAGGAAAGTCATGGCTAGCCAGAAGGGTGCAATCGCAGAGTCACTCGATGTGGCGTGCATGCGGTTGACGATAGACCGGGTGATCTCATCACCAGAATTTGACAGATTCAATCTCGTGATCATGGATCTTAGATCAACGAGGGTTTGTTGCTGGCTCTGGTGCTCTAGTATTATTGGTGGGAATGCTTTGGATCGAGCATCTGTGCTCAGCACTTCCCAACTGAAATTGCCATCCATTGAAGCGAGTGGCTGAAGAGAATTGGAACTTTGCCGGACAATGGCCCCAACACTATCGCAAAGACCAGATGCCAAACCATTTGTGAGGAGATCGGACCCGGACTGAACCTGGGACAACACCTGAAAGACGGTGGATATTTGACGCAGTCCCCACTGCTTGGCAGTTTCGTCATTTCCTTGCATTATGCGAGGGAAAGAGGCGAGCCATGTATGCAGCGATTCCTTTAGTGAGTCGAGGACTGAAGGATACGTGGTGGCAAGGTGTGCCGCAATCCGATAGGCTTCGTTGGCTCCTTCGTGCTCTTTATCAGCAAGGACAATCACCGTTTCGACCATCATGGGAAGTGAATCAGAAAGAGTGACCTGGCACTCTTCGATCACCATCAAACATAGTTCCAAGATGGCTGATTGTACCTCCGGTCTCTGGTGGCGGCGAACCTGGATCACATTGACCAAAGCCAGTTTTATCTGTGTGGTAGTCGCTTTCAACCAAGTTTCATCCAATGCCATTTTCTCACTGCCCAAATCTGGCGGAGCAGTCTCTGATGCGACGCGGTCGTTAAGCACAGCCTTAAGAAGCTCCGTGAGAATCTGCAAAGATACTTGGAGCAGTTTCCATGACCTGCGAGTTTGTGTTGTAGGCCTGAGGAGCTTTGCCAGCGCCGACACTGTGCGGGGCATGATACTAGCGAGGACCACACGGTCCGTCACCCTCTGATACAAAGCCTGTAAAGCTTTCGCAGCTGCCAGGCAGACATCGTCTGACCTGTCATCGCTTATTCCTTCGAGCAGGATGTATACCGTCTGATCAACGACCGTCGCTGTGCCGATCTCATGGTAGATTGTGCGCTCTGCCGTGGGACCCTCCAAAACCGTGAAAATAGCAGTGAGGCAGTCAAACCCGGCAACGCACAGCTCTTCTGATACCTTGGGCTTGGGTAGTTGCTTCTCTTCCGCCTTGCCCGGAGATCCTCCCACGATAAGCGTCAGCAAGATTATGAGCTGCTTGCCCATTGCAGGAGATAGCCGCTGTCGCCACCCATCTGCAACCAATATGCGCAGGCAGTTCACGGCAATCTCCAAACATCGCGCAGATATCCTTTGGGTTTCGTTGAAGATGTGTGTAAGAGGAAAGAAGGCGTATTCGGCCAACTTCTCGTCAAGGACGTTCTTTTCCGCAAGCTCCCTCAAGCAATTATGCACAGGTTCAAGGGCTCGGTACACCTCGGCGGCGGTTGCTTGATTCCCTCGGAAACGAAGTCCTGCTGAACTTAGTTCGACACATGGCGCGCGAAGCTGTTGGGTGTTAGCTTTCTGTTTGTCGGCTAGCGTTGAGATTAATTAAACGATACCTGCTTGAAGGACTCCTGCCGGTGATTATCCATTGCAGACGATCAAGGCTCATGTCGAATGTGCACAGAGATCATTGAAGTGGCAGTATTCTGCCCGCATAATAAAGCGGTAGGTGTGGGCAATGTAGATCACCAATCACGGTCTCAAGACTTCACCCGGAGTCGCCCAGGTGTGTGGATTGTGTGTCAATTCCAGTGTTAGGTTTTCGAGGTACTGAATGAAGAGACTCTGTAGAATATTCTCTCCACAGTGCAAGATCCAACATGTAAACTGTGACCCTCAGCCGTATACTCGAGTCTTTATCTCCACGTGATCTTATCAGCCTTCGCGTCACCAACGCGCGCGTTTTGGCGCCGCTGCCTGCCCTGTTGCCTGGCTTTAGTCGAATTGTTATCGTCTCAAGAACGTATTCAGTCGGCCGATTCTTGCCCCTTACTTGACTCGGAGAACACTTCTATGAGGGTTGTGCGAATTGCAAATTTTGCGCCTCTATCGCTCTCGCGATCAACACCGAGCATCTGCACTGCATCGAGACCAGACCCGAAGGCACTGACTGCACCTGCGTCGCAACTGCACACTCTACTATCTGATACACCTGCAGCACGGCGCAACCTTCAGCTCAGCACCCTATTTACATCAACCTCGCGAATCATGGCGGACGAGAAGAGTGGAAAGCAAGCTACCTTGGGGTATGTAAAGGATGGACAGCAGACCATCGGGTGCGTCGGCGACTCTTGACGGCGCATGCGCCCTTCCACTCTGAAGTTCTACATTAATATCTGTTTGATTTCCGTGCTAATTGAACTCGTCCCCCCTACAGAAGATTCTTCGGTTCAAATGCCAATCAGGCGCCGAAGAAGCAGACTACGTTGGCATTTGGCGGAAAGCGACAGCGCGCAAGCAGTGATGTCCCAGATGCGGACACAAAAGATGCCAAAGTCGATGTGAAGACGGAAACGGAACCCACCGAGTCAACCCCAGCCGCTGTATCCAATGGCGCATCTCCTACAAAAGGCATGAAGCGGGAAAAGAGTGCCGAGGCCGAAGAAAGCGACGGATCAGACATTCAGCCCGTTTCTAAGCGTCGCAAGAGGGCGTCAAATACCTCATCACCAGCCGCAAAGAAGGCAACACCATCCCCTAAAAAGCCTAAGACGACAAAGCCCAAGGTTGAATCGCCATCGCCTAAACCAATTGCGAAGAAAGCTGTGGAGGCAGAGCCGGAGGAGGAATCCTCATCAGCTGAGAAAGAAGAGGAGCCGTCAGAAAGCGAAGAGGAAGAGGACCTTGAACCGGAACTCAAGAAGAAGTCCATCGAAAAATTCCAGGCCAAATTACAAGGTAGCGGCAAAGATCCTTATCCGGATTGGAAGGCAGGCGATGCTGTGCCCTATGCTGCGCTATGCACTACCTTCTCTTTGGTTGAAATGACCAGGAAGCGCCTGGAAATCACCGATCACTGTTCACTCTTCCTTCGACAAGTTCTTCGCCTTACTCCAGACGACTTCCTGCCGACTGTTCAACTCATGATCAACAAGTTGGCCGCCGACTATGCCGGAATTGAACTGGGCATTGGAGAGTCCCTGATCATGAAGGCCATTGGCGAGTGTACTGGTCGCAGCCTTGCTATCATCAAAGCCGATCAAAGAGAAATCGGAGACTTGGGACTTGTAGCTGCCAAGAGCAGATCAAACCAACCGACGATGTTCAAGCCGAAGGCTCTAACTGTTCGTGGTGTGCATGCAGGTCTGCTGGGAATCGCCCAGGTACAGGGTCATGGGTCCCAAGACAAAAAGATTTCAGGAATCAAGAAGCTCCTATCTGCAGCGGACGCTGACGCCGCTGGCAAGGGTAGCAAGGGAATTGACATCACCAAGGACAAGGGTGGCCCAAGTGAGGCCAAGTACATTGTCCGCTTTTTGGAGGGCAAACTCAGATTGGGACTTGCTGAAAAGACGGTTCTTGTTGCTGTCTCCAGAGCCATTCAAGCCCACGAAGCTGAAACAAGCGGTAGCAAGATGCCGACGACGGAGCAGATGGTTGCAGGCGAAAATATTTTCAAGTCTGTATACAGCGAGCTGCCTGCTTACGAGGTCATCATCCCTGCTATGCTCAAGCACGGCCTCTCCAAGCTACCGGAGGTTTGCAAACTCCAGCCTGGAATCCCGTTGAAGCCTATGCTTGCCAAGCCAACCAAGTCTATTACCGAAGTTCTTGATCGCTTCGAAGGAAAGGAGTTTACATGCGAGTACAAATATGATGGAGAAAGAGCCCAGATCCATTTTGTCTCGCCAGATTCAATCGATCAATATCCTGGAGCACAGGCCACATTGCAGAAGGATAGCAAGGGACTGTCCTCCATTTTCTCTCGAAACTCCGAGGATCTTTCAAAGAAATATCCCGACGTTCTGGGAAAGCTTGACACCTGGGTCAAGGATGACGTGAAGAGCTTTGTTCTCGACTGCGAGACGGTTGCATGGGACACAGAGAACAAGAAGGTTCTTCCCTTCCAGCAGCTGATGACACGCAAGCGTAAAGATGTCAAGGCCGAGGACGTCAAGGTCAAGGTTTGTGTGTACGCCTTCGATTTACTGTTCTTTAATGGAGAGGTGAGTATCCCTGCTGGCATGGTGAGTGTCTTTCTCTAACTTTGCAATAGCCATGTGTGAAGAAGTCTCTCCGGGAGCGTCGAGAACTTATGCACGAATGTTTCAAGCCCGTCGAAGGCGAGTTCCAGTTTGCCCAATACGGCAACTCGAACGTTCTCGACGAGATCCAGGAGTTGCTCGAGGCAAGTGTCAAAGCTTCCTGTGAGGGCCTCATGGTCAAAATGCTGGACACCGACGAGAGTGGTTATGAGCCTAGCAAGCGTAGTCGCAACTGGCTGAAGGTAAGGATTATGCGATTTAGACTTGGCCGAACATCCACTAATATTTGAAACAGGTCAAAAAAGATTATCTTGCTGGTGTCGGTGACTCTCTCGACCTGGTTGTTCTGGGTGCGTACTACGGACGTGGTAAACGTACCTCCGTCTATGGTGCCTTCCTCCTGGCTGCCTACAATCCCAACAATGATACTTATGAGACCATCTGTAACATCGGCACTGGTTTCTCCGAGGCGGTCCTCGAGGAGCTCCACAAGACATTGGTTCCCCTGGTGATCGACCGCCCCAAGCCTTTCTATACCCACTCGACTGTTCCCAAGGACCAACCCGATGTTTGGTTCGAACCGAGACTGGTATGGGAGGTCAAAACAGCCGATCTGACCCTCAGTCCTCGCTATCAAGCCGCCGCCGATGAGTTCCAAGGAACAAGCGATGGTGGAAAGGGTGTCTCATTGCGTTTCCCTCGGTATATCAAATCTCGTGATGACAAGAAGCCAGACGAGGCCACTACCACACGGGCGGTGGCTGAGATGTACCGGAAGCAAGAAGCAGTCACCAAAGAAAGTTCCGGTAAAGGTGGTGTGGATGATGATTTTGAATATTGAAGCGATTCCGTCATTATGTATAGCGTGCAATTTAACCTTGAAATTTATTGGATGTCTGTGAGTATGTCTCGGCCACTTCACCCACCTGGGCTCCATTGCACCATTGCCCGGATGGGGTGCATCATTAGGGCTTATTGGGCTTTTGGTGCCACTTGTAGAACCACCTTCCAAATCTGCCTATACTAAGAGCCCCGATGGGCCAAGACATGACAGGAAATTAGTCCGCCTCAATCGTGAGCATATCCCGTTCCAGAGCACTGCCAATGCTGAGGGGCGTCCCCCAAGGCCGGATATCAACGGGTTTACCAGCGGACTCCGCGATGCTTGGCGCTGCAGCCCCACCAACCGGACGCTGAGGCTACCTTTGTTAGTCTACAGCACGCCTTCTTAGCGTCTCCGAATTCACCGATAACAAGAATTGCCGAGAAATAACATCATGCATATCGTGTCTTGGCACTGAGGAATGTAACATGCCCCCCCTTCATCGGCAGATCGGTTAGCTCCCCTGCAGCTCGCCAGAGCTATATATTCCAGGGTCCGATCATCTTGCAGCTCACGCTTGCACATCTTTACTAATATCATTATCTCTCGAGATGCGTGCCTTTCAATGGTCGGCCTTTGGGTCGATGGTTGTTTCGGCGGTGGCTCTTACCCCTAAGTAGGTCATAATTCCTGCCGCTGTTGACTGTCGCTAATTCCCTTGATAGAGAACTCATCGCAGCCCCACGGCGAAGTGACGCTGTCCCTAACCCATCGGGAGTGAGTGATTCCATTCAATCAAATAACGTATGCTAACCAAACAAAGGAAGTTGCATTGTTTTCCACCTCCGAGTACTCCTGGGAAACCCATGCAACATCTTCGTGGTGGAGTCTGCTGGATCTCAAGACTGGAAAGATCACTCAACTCACCAACGACAGTAATGTCTCGGAATTGATCTGGTCCGGGGCCAGTGACTCTGGCCTCTTATACATCAATGCCACGAATGCTGAAATTCCGGGAGGTGTCGAAATCTGGGCTTCAGATACCTCTAGCTTCTCCAAGTCGTGGGTTTTAGCATCCCTCAGTGTTGCTAAGTGGTTGTTGCTAACGTTATCACAGCGCTTATAAGGCAGCATCACTCCCGGCACCTCTGTCTGGTCTCAAGACAGCAATCACCAAGTCTGGCGATATCAACTTCTTGGTGTACGGAGAGTCATATGCCAATGGAACTGCTTACAACGAAGAGCTTGCTGCCACGCCCTTGAGCTCAGCTCGCATTTATGACAGTATTTACACCAGGCACTGGGATTATTGGCTGACCACTCGATTCAATGCCATTTTCTCCGGCACCCTGCAGAAGAAGAGAGCTGGACAGGGAGCCGCAACCAGCTACACTTCTACCGGATCTCTCAAGAACCTCGTCGCCGGTGTCAAGAATCTGGAGTCGCCATCTCCTCCATTCGGTGATGCATCCGACTATGACATTTCTCCTAATGGAAAATGGGTCGCATTCAAAAGCAAGGCCCCTGAACTCCCACGCGCGAACAACACTGCCTCTTATATCTATCTCGCTCCCCACGATGGATCCAAGAAGGCCGTTGCTATCAACGGCCCCGATAGCCCTGGTTCCCCCAAGGATATCAAGGGAGATTCTAGCAGCCCCGCCTTCTCGCCCGACGGTCGCCATATTGCATACCTTCAAATGGAAGAAGTTGCGTACGAATCAGACCGCCGCACTGTTTATGTCTACACTCTTGAGTCCAAGGATACAATTCGCACATTGGCCAAGGACTGGGACCGGTCTCCAAGTGCTCTCAAGTGGACCTCGGACGGCAAGAATCTTGTTCTGAACACCGAGGACTCCGCGCGCTCTCGGCTCTTCTTGCTGCCTGCTAACGCTGGCGACGACTTCAAGCCCAAAAACTTTACCGATGGCGGTGCCGTGGCTGCTTACTACGGCCTTCCCAACGGTGAATTCTTGGTTTCTGGCTCTGCAATCTGGAGCAGCCGAACTGTCTACACTGCCAAGCCAGGAAAGGGTGTCACTGGTCATATCTTCTCCGCAAATGAAGTCGACCCTGCTTTGAAGGGCTCGAGCGCCGCAGATGTCAGCGAGTTCTACTACAAGGGTAACTGGACTGATGTAGGTTTCTGGCTCTTTTCCAATCCGGATCATGCTAACTTCCCAGATCCACTCTTGGATTGTCTACCCCTCGGATTTCGACAAGTCAAAGAAATACCCGCTCCTGTACTACATCCACGGTGGCCCTCAAGGCGCCTGGGCCGATTCCTGGAGCACTCGCTGGAACTACAAGGTTTTCGCTGATCAAGGATATGTCGTTGTTGCGCCAAACCCTACCGGTAGCACCGGATTTGGCGATGAGCTTACCGACGCTATTGCAAACAACTGGGGTATGTGCCGCTATGCGTTGCTTTCGTGACCTATTCTCACAATACAACAGGTAGCTATCCCTACGACGACCTAGTTAAGGGCTGGGAGTACGTCCGCGATAACTTCGACTTTATCGATACCGACCGTGGTGTGGCTGCAGGCGCCAGCTATGGTGGTTTCATGGTCAACTGGATCCAGGGAAACCCACTGGGTCGTGAGTTCAAGGCATTGGTTAGCCATGATGGAACCTTTGTTGCCGATGCAAAGATCTCTACCGAGGAGCTTTGGTTCATTGAGCATGATGTGAGTCATTGTTATATGTTGGCCCTCTTTCAATACTGACTTCCATTCAAGTTCAATGGCACATTCTGGGCGAACCGTGAGAACTACCGTCGCTGGGATCCATCTGCCCCAGAGCACATCTTGCAGTTTGATACGCCTCAGTTGATCATCCACAGCGAGAAGGACTACCGTCTTTCCGTCGCTGAAGGTTTGTCGCTCTTCAATGTCCTGCAGGAGCGCGGTGTTCCCAGTCGATTCTTGACTTTCCCAGATGAAAACCACTGGTAAGTTGAATTGCCTTTTCACAATTCCTTCAAGATCTAACTCAATGGTATTTTAGGGTTCTCAACAAGGAAAACAGCCTTGTCTGGCACCAGCAGGTCTTGGGATGGCTCAACCACTACTCTGGCTCGAATGGCTCTGTTAGCTTGGACGACACAGTAGTTCCAGTGGTGGACTACAATCCTTGATCTCAAAATTATCACATGTTTGTATAAAGGGACCGTTGCCGAATGTATATACGCGCTGAACGGTGTCTTTGACACTTGCATTTTTATGTCTCACAATCAATGGGATTTATCTCAAGGTCTTTGTAGCTTTCAAGGTCGTTTGTTTGACAAGGCGGCGAGAGCCTGTCCGACTCAAGGTTGGACGTATAAAAGAGCTCTGAAGTTGCATCTCTCTCCCTTCTCTCCCAGACACCACTCTTCTCTTTACAACTCTCTCCAACATGGCTCCCACTCGCAAAGAAGCCAAGAAGGGTAAGCCTCTCCCAGTGATACTCTCATCCGCGGGCATCACCAAAAACCAAAGATCGGCTCAAAGCAGATCTAACATCTTCACAGCTGCGAAGTCCGAGCATCCTGTCTCCGGTGCGGCACCTGCGCCGGCTTCGAGTGAGTACAACGACGCCGAATTCATATCACCTCACTGCCCTTCCGCTGCATGCTCTGACCCCTCCATCCCTGATTCCTACGATGAATATTGCAGTTCATTCGCTAATTCATCACCTGGCCTCAAATTCTTCCTTGTCCATGACGATGGCACAATCGTCGAAGACGAAGAAAGTGAGTCCTTGTCTCACCTTGATACGAGCTTTCACCCACCCTCCCATTGGGATTTACCCTCACAATCCGTCTGGGATGCATCTTCACTCCTACCTCTACCAAGCTCAAATCATGTACCCATGAGCCAGAATCCCCACGCCGACATCCCAGGCTTCCCATGTACAAGGGCTGACTTGGCTCTTCGTCAACTCCCTACCACTGACGGGTGCCCGATATTCATTTCCGAGAATGGTCTCTGGGATTGGTATTATGTTCCATCTAACCACTGGATTATAGAGCCTTCGGCCGCCCCGGTTATTGATGCCACTATCAGCCCCAATGAGAGTGAGTGTTACTGGAACCAGTACCAATCCATGAATCAATACCCTTGCACCCTGGAAGATACAATTGTGTACCCGAATGATAATCCATTCAGTCAATTCCCTTTTATTTCACAGAACGGACTATGGGAATGGTCCTTCGCCCCGTCTAGCATGACCATCTAACACGAGTCTAGAGTCGTCCCAGGGAAATCAGTCGGGTTGTCCACTTCCCTTGAGGGATGGGCCCTCCCAGCCTAAGGGCACCAAGGGTAAGGACAAGCCCAGCGCCAAGAAGAAGGCCAATGGACCAGTCCTTACAGCCACCGACCTAGAGCGCTATCTCTTCCCCTTCCTGCGCGAGTCCGACGACGGCGAACAATCGGCCCCCCTCCACATCGACTACGCCGCCCAGCAAGCCAAAACCGAGAAAATCGTGAAGTTCTTCAAAGACAACACCAGCGACAAGCACTTCATCGAAATTCCCATCAAGCCTCTCACCGGCAAGGAAAACTGGCGCGAATGGCTAGTCGCCATGCAGCTCCTCTTCATCCAACACGGTGTCTGGGAAGTCGTCACCAGGGAAGCAATGCCTCTCCCCCAATCCCACCCCTTGAGCCACTGGTACCAGCGCATGCGGAACTGCGCCGTCGCGCTCATCTATCTGAATGTCACTGACGCCGCCCGAAACACCACCTGCTTCCTACACGCGTGTATGGAGAATGACCCGGACATTCTCTTGAGTAACCTGTACTCCCACTATTGTGAGGGACAGATGGGCTTTTCTCAGCCTGGTGTGCATGTTCAACAGCAGTCTTCTGGTCATTCTCACAAGTGAATTGTCGACACTGCATGTGAGTTGGGTATGCTTGGTTGTACACACATAGTTGCAGAATATTTGGGGATCTCGGTGCTTTGGCTTTTCGATTTTTTCCAACTTTTTTTTGCTCCTAGATTTGGGCGTACCAGAGATCCAGTTTGATTTGTTTTAAGTGAGGTTCTACCCGAATCCAGAGAAACTAATTGTTTTCCAAGTTCAGAATTGTGCAAAATCGCTCCCGTAGTCTGTTTCCCATTAGCTAGTACCTAATAAGACCCATCGGGCAAATCTTGGAATACATCCATGATCGGCAGGAAGTTCAAGCCTTGGAAGAACTTGGAATAATCGTGATCAACGGGTATAGACCTCAGTACCTACATAGGTAAAGGCCAACCTTAGAAGTGGTCAAATATATATGGATTGGACAGTCTGCAATCAAAATATAAAACGACACCAGTCCTTCCAACCTTGGAAGTTCCCGAGGTCTACAACCCATTCAAGGCATTCTGGGCTTTTATAACCTGCCCCTTGTCCACAAAATCGGCCAAAATCACATTTGGCGCACGCCCATACAACCCTTCACACAAACTTGCCTGAGCACCGATACTGCCCTTTCCCGACGCAGCATTTGTGGTTCCAGCCTTGTCTCGGGCAGGAACCTTCACGCCGAAGATATCGATATCCAGGAAATGATTCACAATGCCCATGCGACCCGTCGCCGAAGCTTTGGGGGGTCGATCGATGCTGCAACTCGAGAACGAGGGATCGGTGACATCGTAGGCAGTTTCAAAGTAGTAAGCGAATTCATCTTGAATGAAGCTAACTTGTTTAGTATTGGCGCCATAATCTGTTTATTGTTAAGTTTGATGTCTTTTTGAATGGAATGCGCTGAGATAAACGTACCTAGGAAGACAACTAGGCGCTTTCCACTGGATATGAATTCACCCAGGGTTGGCCAGTCCGAGATTGATAATGGGTTTGTAATAGGGACGTAGGCATATTTGGTGATCCCACTGCTGGAGAGTGTCTCTCCAAATTCAGAGATGGAGATGGAGTCCCCATTCGTCAAGAGAAGCGTCACCACCTCGTTTGGATTTGCATCCAGCCACTTCTTGATGGTTACTAGGAAGTTCTTCAAAGTGCCTGCATCCTCAAGGAAGCATGATGTATGACAGAGCTGCAGGGTCTTCTTGTCAAGGGGAGAGTGATGTGTCTGCGCTTGCAGATAGCGGATTCCCATGTCCAGTTGGGCTTTGATGTCAATATTCTGATTTTGCTGGGGCAATGGCCCCACAAAGGGGGCGTCGTGAGAGCCTACGAATGTAATATTCGAGTATGATCGCGTGCAAAATTCCGAGTGGCCATTGCATTTTGACGGGGCCGAGGACAACCTCGATGGGTTGGCCGTATGGGCTGATACTGATGAACTGGATGCCGATACTACTAGTGTAGTCGATCCTGCTGCTAGTACAGGTTGGAGTAGGAGAATGAGACTCAACACTGCTCGTGTCACTCCCTGGCGGCAGGGCATTGTGTTTGCAATGATTCGCGTTCCAGACACGGACTCGAATATAACAGACGGATCGCGAAGCCCAAGTCCTTACTTATTTGAACTGGCAGATGCAGGTGTCTTGCAAGTCATGCAGGCACGACCGCTGATCCCGCCAGGGTGATCAGGGTCACTGTCGCGTTCTCCCAGGTCCAGCATTCCACCGGACATAATTGACAGGATTCCGGGCCATGTGAGTGGCCTTGAGGGCTTCACGCACATACTCGTGACTTCCTAGATCGCGCCCACGGGTCATTTTGCTCTCATATCGAGTATTTCTTGCTTTCGCATTTTGTATATATACATATTCTTTTGTAAAGAAAAATGTATACAGACTATGCGATCTTGTGGGTGTTATCGCGACAAAAGGTGGTCATGTATTGACCAAAATCCTTCGAATCGTGAACAGGGATGGCCTCCAAGTCTGCTTTGCATGAGACAAAATGCAATAACTTGACTTCTCATATACGATTGTAATTGCCAAAGAGACAAAGACAAGACAAGTAGAAGTGAGCAAGTAGTGCAAACGCGGCAAACACGATAATGCTATCACTCTTATCGCGGAAAATCCTGAGATTTTTATTTTTGCTTCTTCAGCGGAGGAACACTACGGCCTTTCTACCTCAATCTTTTCCACCCTATGTTCAGTCACTTAGTCACTGCTGCGAAGGGCATATTCACGCGACACCCCGATCATCCCGTTGACAACTCCGAAATGGTCACTACCCGTCGGGGAGACGTCACCCCCATGTCTGCTGGCAAGCGCAAGTCTCGGCCTACGAGCGCGGGAAACCCCGACAGCCAGGAAACCAAGCGCCAAAAGAGCAGTCCTCAGGCTGCCAACACACCCACAGAGACTTCATCGGATACAGAAGAGACACCCAACGTAAATGGGGCGAATGCGCCTGCGGGGAAGAAGATTCGATTCGGCAGCGAAGAGCCCGAACCGATCGACACACAGCCAGAGGAGACCCCAGAAGCACCACAGGAAGATGAAGATTCGGACAGCGACGACGATGCGCCAGAGGCCATCGACAACTCTGCCCAACTATCGAAAATGAAGGAGCAGGCAAAGAAGCAGGAAGCAGCGAGGCAATTGTACGTGTCAGACACCAAATTAACTATGAGGTCTTGCTAATGATCTCCGCAGAGAGGAAAAGGCCAAGAGAGAGAAGCGACGGAAACTCGACGAGCGTCGCAAGCAGCAGGCCAAGGCGAAGGAGGTCCCGGTCGATGACATGATGTCCGAGAGCACCACTACTCTCCAAGGCGAAACTACACAGGATGCACGACGAGCCGCCCTCCCCGCTCTGCTTCCCGACGACATTTTGAACGCCGAGCCCGTTATTCGCCCTCCCACACCCCCTCTGGAAGATCTGTTCGCCATGCCCAAAAAGTCAAATAAGCTACGATTCTTGGACAAGACAGACAAGATTCCCAAAGATGTGAACATGGGGGATGTCAACATTCGCGTACTCGATGCGCCATCCTCACGGAAGTCTTCTAAGCCTGCGCCTCCCCCACGGGTTTCCAAGGTTGGACGTAATGTCAAGAGCAGCCTTCTTCAGAAGACTCGTAACACAGCGCGGAGCAATGGCCTTCAAAAGAAAGCCAGTGGCCCTGGAGGGTTTGTTCGCCGGTGAGCAATTGCTTTCTGTACTACCGTTTGAAGTAGTTACTGCTGTCATCTCCAAAATCCCCCATCATTCCCCCACCCGACCTGTCGCTGGGAAGTGGGTGACCTCAAATGGAGCCATCTCTTGGGGATCGCTGCCATTGGCGCAAACCGAAAGTCGGTGACTACGCAACCCCGCATTTGCAGCAGCCATATTGTGATCAATCAATTGGAACATACATGGGGATTTTGGTTGGAGTGTTACTATGGTATTATACTCGGGTTGCATGGCGTTCGGAGTGAATCCTGGTTGGCATCTAGTCGTATACATAAAATGACGGGTTTCAGAGCCCAATCATTGCACAATCGGGGAAAAAAGGGTCTGAGAGCCTTGAGCTTAAGTTCTTTAATCCGCAGCAGTACGGAGTAAATAAAGAGTGTATTAGTAGAGCGTACAGGTAGAGAGTAGAGAATGTTCGACTTCAACGCCAAGGACGTCCAACCTTGGAAGAATCCGATTAATAAGGTGGGCACGTGCAAAGGCCGAGCTCAAGCTCCTTCAACTTTTCTTTCGACTTCACTTGCTACTTTTCCCTGGAAACCCCAATGGCGCTTGTCGTCTAATTGCACACGAATTACCTCCGCCATGTCACCCGCAGAGACTTCTCCTCTGCTGCCCCAGCACCAGGACCCGGCGAATACGTCACCACGGGCGAACCGACAATCGCGATCGGTATCATTCAATCCCCTCACGCAGATCAGCACCTACGGAGGCACTGCAGCGGCCTCCGATCCTACCTTCCGACCCTTGCAAGCTGGCTCACCTCCCGTGCAGAATGTCAATGCTCAGGGCCAGCGTCCGGGCAGCCAGCCCATGCTCTCAGCACTGAACAGCAAGCTTCGTCGTCGCAACAGCCATGGAGCACCGCCCTTCAACAATTTGTCGAACCCCGCGCATCCGGCCGCCAAAATTGGACCGCAGCGGACAACCAAGAAGGCGCAAAAGCTCAAGCTGCTGCCAGACCCAGTCACGGAAGAGGAGGAGGCGGCTGATGGAGACACCCCTCAAGATGTGTATTCACAAATCACACGAATCAAGGATCCCGCCGCACGGAGTATCGCTGCACGACTTGGCAAGGCTGACCGTGATCACATACCCCGAGTGACGGCCTACTGCACGGCCAATTCATATCGCCTTGAGGGTGTTATCAAGTTCTTAAAATCACGCAGCAAGACCCGCGGAGCCAATCCAAAGCTCTATGATGAATGTGTTTACTCAGCTTTCGACTATGAATACGAAGCAAAGAAGAACGGAGTTCGACTGTTTCAAGACCCCAGCGGCAATGGACACCACGAACGGAGACCCAGCGAGAGACGCTACTCGGATAGCGCGGTGGAAGTGGAAGACAATAAAAAGAGCCGCAGGGACGACTTGATTGATCTACACGAGGAGGCTGGCCACTCCCTCGATCACACAGAGCAGGCAGTTGTGCAAACCACCCCCGACATTGATACCACGATCCACACACCCGAAGTGTTCCTCTTTGACTACGGAACCGTCGTAATATGGGGCATGACGCCAGCACAGGAATCAAGGTTCCTATCCGACATTTCGAAATTCGCAACCTCGATCCTGAGCCCCGATGACACCCAAATCGAAAACTTCAATTTCTACTATGCGCGCGAGTACCAAGCCCGCATATACAATGATTTCATCTCGCTGCGCGATCCCCGCAACCATATGATCAAGCTCGCAATTTCCCATGCCTTAGCCCAGTCCGTGAAGACCTCCCTCTTCGAAGATCTGGTCTCCGAGACAATCACCGACACCGCACCGCTGCCTGCTCAAATCGCGCAGACGGGAAGTGTCAATCTCACCCGCCGACAAATTAACATGCAGATTGGAGAGCTGTTCATTCTGCGCATCAATATCCATCTGCAGGGATCTGTTCTTGATAGTCCGGAACTGTTTTGGGCAGAGCCGCAGCTGGAACCTGTCTACCAGGCCGTTCGAAGCTATCTGGAGATGGACCAGCGTGTCAGTCTGCTGACGGAGCGACTGGATGTCATTGCTGATCTTCTTGCGGTTCTGAAAGACCAATTGACCCATCGCCATGGCGAATATCTCGAGTGGATTGGTGAGTACAATCGGCCCAGGATCGAAACCAAGCTAACCAGCAATACAGTTATCGTTCTCATTGCCGCAGAGATTCTTGTGGCTGCTATCAATATCGTTGTCGATCTCTACGCCGGAGTGGACTAGATGGCCAAACACACTCTCGACATACCTGTTCGACCAAAATGTTGCAGCCGTCGTCTCGGATATGTGATATCAGCGCTTTGCAGGCACAAGGCATGCATTACCAATTTTACTACCAAGGGAAAAGGACAGCACTCCGGACTTCTCTGTGTCTGTCAAGCCAACAAAACCAATTGTACCTCCGAAATCCCCCAACCCATCTGTATCAAATCACTACTTTGTCTGGGCTCGTCTTCTATGTACATGAAAGAGGACCCCCAGATCATCTTCTTACCTGTTTACAATAGTGGCTTTATCTTCCCCTAATATCGGAGTTTGTATGGTTTTTGGTTGCCTTGGGAGAAAGACATTCAAATGGGATATGCTTAACGATATTCGAAACAATCCATCGTATCTCATCTAAGGGCCCGGCTATCTTACACAAGCGCATCGTAATTCGTAGGCACCACATTTTTCCGAGGAGACCTAATGTAAAAGAGATGAATAAAGGCCTGAGGAAGGACCCCATGAGTTGGAGAGAAAAGGGCAACTCGCGTACACAAAAATATGATAAAAGCAAACAATCCAAACTTTGCACTCTAATGACTACTTGTACTACATTGATCATCGGGGTCAGTCGAAACAATGAGCTGTATACCCGGTCTGGAGGCCCCAGCTTCTAAAGCTGTGGGCAGCTTGCGCGACCCTTTGTGAAGATCCATGGACTTTTGTGGGTCATCCTTGCTCTTGCTTGTCGACAATCAGCTAGGGTATCCCTCTCCGCCGCCCGCTTCATATGTGGCTTTATCCTCCACGCTTGACCCCTCACGTCATCATGTCCTCCACTGACCGGCCTATCGTACGCCGTGATTTTACTGAAAAAACTCATGCTACAAGCTATCCCTTCATCTCGCCACTGGCACAGGACCTTTCTGGACGGCATGTGCTCATCACCGGCGCTGCCTGGGAGGACGGCGTGGGCTGTGCAACTGCCACCGCCTTTGCCCGCGCTGGAGCATCCGCAATCGCTGTCGTTGACCTCCATGGCGTCTCTGATGATATTGTGTCTCGAATAAAGGCTGCGGCTGTAACGGCAGGCCGGCCTGAACCTCAGGTAGTAAGCGGCCGTGTTGACATTTCTCGGTGGGAAAGCGTTGCGGCTTTCAAGGAGACGGTTTCGGATGCGTTCGGACATCGACTGGATGTGCTTGTTAACAATGCAGCACATCAGGAACCTTACAGTTCCATCCTGGACGCAGACCCAGATGTGTATTGGAAGACTTGGGAGGTCAACATTCATGGGCTATTCAACATGACGCGGGCGTTCCTACCTATGCTGATCGACACGCGCGCAAAGCTTGACGGCCAAGGCACCATGATCAATGTAGCCTCTTCCGGTGCTCTTAGTGTGCGAAAAGGCGGCGCAAGCTACAGAACCTCCAAGCTTGCAGTACTTCGCTGGACAGAGGCCCTGAACCTAGAACACGGCGACGACGGTTTACTTGCTTTCTGCGTGAATCCCGGAGCAATCAGGACCCAAATGACGATTAACGAGCCTGAGGAGGTGCGTAACATGCTGCCACATAAGCCAGAAATCGCGGGCGACACCATCGCCTGGCTTGCTGCGGAACGAAGAGAATGGATGGGCGGAAGGTATATTAGCTGTCCCTGGGATATGGAAGAGCTTCTGGGCAGGAAGGATGAAATTGTGGAAGGGAACAAGCTCAAGCTCAGCATGAGTTTCTGAGTCTTGAGTCTGATAAAATATGAATCTAAGGCACATGACGCCATTTATCATGCCTCTTAGATCTCCATGAAAACTGGAATCGGCGGTAGTCATTTTTACTTGGCCAGTGGGCGCCATAACCACCATCTCGTCCAAATATAAGGCAGGCTTTTCAATCAAATGGTTGCATAAAGCCTCGAGCATGACTGGAGTGATACTACGTGTTTTTTCGTCTATTCTACAGCGATCAAGGCAACGAAGGGAACCAGTTCAATCATGCCCCGGGGCCATGAGCATGTATTTCTAATGAAACCGCACCGACGAACTGTACGAAACCGAGGGTTGACTTGGGAGAAAGACATTCAAATGGGATATGCTTAACGATATTCGAAACAATCCATCGTATCTCATCTAAGGACCCGACTATCTTACACAAGCTCATCGTGATTCGTAGGCACCCCGTTTCTCCGAGTCCTTGGGGGCAATTGTACGCTGCTCTTGTCTTTAGCCTACAGTTTTTGTCTCTGGGGTGACAGAGGTGACAACGGGTGACAACTCTCACCCTTGGGGTGATAGGGGCCAACTCATTCTAAACATATGCCCGTCCCAAAAAAAGACATAAACACAAGTCCCAAGGCTCTTCTCTTGCTCTGTCATGATTCTCTTTGATTTTCTTGAAAATAACTTCTCCGGAAAGAATAACCAGAAAGCACTCCAGGTCCGGGTCCGCGGAAGCGCACCAGTGATCGTGACTGTCCCCACATGTGGTGACTATGTGTTGTGAAATCGGCCGTTGGGATTCGCAGTCAAACGCACAGTTTGGCTCTGTATCACCATCCAAACAGCCCTCTTCACCGGTTTTCTTTAGGATAAAGTAGCTCTCTTTCCCCTAGTAGAATGGATACGCCTTTTTCTATCGTCTAGCCTTTCCATCACTATGTCCATAACATCTTAATCAACGCCCGAGCTTTGTTTTGCATTTAAACGTCCGAAAATACCAGTATGCCTTGTTCCGCGTTATAAATGGATCAAATCTGCAAAAGGTGTATTTCCATTGTGTACTGTATTCAAAGATCTATCGCAGCTCAGCTTTCAGATCCCCGGATTCTATGCCCGGATGAATCTCGCGTAAGGCACCCACGTTTTATTGCTTTCATTGTCTCGGTAAGTTCTTCTTCCGAACTTAGGTGTTCAGGAGGAGTTCGAAGTCGACGGCGCTTTCTCCTCCCCGGAGGAAATGGATCAGCGATGCCTTCGTCTAGCAATTCTTGTTGGTGTTCTGCTTCGGCGTACAAAAGGAAGTCGTAGAGTTTCTTCGATGAGATAGAGATATACTGATCGAGGTCGGTGTAGCCCAGTGAGATACTGGTGGGAGCGAAGTCTCTACGCGACAGCCGAAATGCTGGTCCCTCAGCTGGTTCCTCGGCTGGAAGCCCAGATTCTGTTCGAAAAGGCTGTAATTATTAGTTTCCAATTCTCTTAATATTGCGGTTGAAAAGGAATGTACCAGCGCGTCGACCTTAGCGATTGCCTGAAGTTCCTCCACGCCATCTATAGTTATATCCTCTGGTCGCCAAATAGATATAGTCGCTTTTTTAGACCCGCGATACTCAATGTTGAGGGCAATCACTGCTTTCACGTTCCCATTAGTGTCCAGGATGTAATCATCCGCCAAGTCCGCAGCAGCTCGAGCTTTTTGCGTATAGCACACTTCTATAATAACACCAGGGTATTTTGCCTGCTCGTGCTTGAATGATGCATCTGGGCTCCGTTCGGAGCGAGTTTGCTCTCCATTTGTTGTTTCATTCGGCAGCCAAATTCGGGTAGTGGATTTATGATCAACCTTCCTCGCAAAATCAGCAAAGGGTTTATTGCTTTTTTGGAACTTCACTAATTGGGTTGAAACTTCAGAGACTAGCCTGGCACAAAATATGTCATGAAGAGGAGTCGGTATTCGGATAGTTATAAGGGACCGGTAAGGGTCGTAGTCGAGCCTAGCAACTGAATAAAGATGCCTTCAGTATACCTGAAGATTGGTGGAGCTCACCTTACTTTGTCTTCCACGTAACCTCGAAGAGATGTGTCGCCATCTAGCACACGCAAGACCTCTCCATAGTCGTGCGGAGTGAGCCGGTGTTGCCACCAAGACTGGGGTGGTCTTTGACCTGCACGATGGAGTTCTAAACAGTCCAGGACGGCTTGAGCACTTCTGGACAATTCTTTCTGTTCGGTGGGTGGCGGCATCAGGAGAGGGTTCAATAGACTCCCAAGTGGAGTGGTTTCATCCATGAGGTGTGAATCAGACGGCATCCTTGGAAGATGGGTTGTTTTTGCACCAGGGAAGGGGTCAAGCGCTCGATGAGCTTGTCACGTGCTGACAAGGTGGTTGGCTCTCGGGGTGTTGCATGGTAACAAAGTCCCTCATGTGTATGTACTAATGAGGTCCACCCAGGCGCTGGGCACGAGGATCGAGCCGGTGCCTGGGGTCGCAGAAGCAGGCATTCAGACGACGGAAGTGGCGAAGTGTAGATGCCAAGGCATGATTTGTGAGAGATGGGAGAGTAGATCTGGTGGATTCGCACCAAGTGTATACTTCGAAGCTTGGAGCCGCGGCAGAAGGCAAGTAAGGAAGCATTGCGTGTTGTCCCGTCTACTCTACAGCGACCAAGGCAATGAAGGGAGTCAGCTCAACCATGCCCGGGGCCATGAGCATGTATTTCTAATGAAACCGCACCGACGAACTCCACGAAACCGAGAGAAGAAGCCCAATTAGAGGCCAAATAACTATAAGGAAACCAGCACCGCATCCAACTCAGATGCATAACCCATAATCCGTAGGAAAATTATCAAAGACAAAGCCAGGAAACGGCCAATGCACAAGAAAACAAATTACTCAGACCACAAGACAACAATCAAGGCTGCTCGATTTTCGGCTCCTCCTTCACCTCCTCCTTATCCATATCCATAGGCGTAGTCCCAGTCTCAGGACCCACCTCAGCCTCCACAGCACCATCACCAGCAACAGGAGTCTGATCCGCCGAACCACCACTACCAGTCTGCACGCGGAAAGAGTGCGTCAACGACTCCTGCGTCGGGGCCGGAGCAAGACGAGGCAATGCGGCGCCTGAAGGATCCACCGACTCCGGATGTCCCTCGTGATGAATCTCTTCGTCGCCATCAAGCCCAGCAGCAGCAGACTTGCGGGAGCGCTTAACGCGCAAAGGCCTTTCCTCCGGCTATATGATCTCAGCACAATACAACGACACAGGCAGAAAAAGACGCGTGAAAGGACAATCGGGGCCGGGCAATTCCCAAAGGAAACAATTTAACATACCGTTCGAGGCTGCTCGTCAGAGCTTCCTTCTGTGTCGTCTTCTAGGCGAGAGTCTACCTGAGTGGTGGACATCATTGCCGCGGCGCGGGCACGCAGCTCCGGGTTCGAGGCACCTGATTTGGCCTCGTCGGCCATCCCGGTGACCTTTGTGAGACGCTCGAGGAGCATGCAGGTTTCCAGGCGCATTTTCTGGATGTATTGGGTTCCGCGGCGGTTGCGGGTGCGCATGAGTTCATTTTCGGCTTCGACTTCGGCGAGACGCTTCTTGAGCGCTATGCACTTGCGCTTGTAGGCGATTTCGACACTGGGGGGGTTGGCGGGTGGGATGGAGGTCTGTTGGCGGGAAGCTTCCATTGTGAAGGGTTGGAATGGTAGGTGTCGTTTGAGGAGGGAATTGGGCGATGATGGGGGCGGAATGTGTTTTGCGATGCTATTCGGGATCCGTTGAGCGTTGGGCTTGATGCGAAGCGAGGGGTGGATGCGGATTATAGCTTGGGAGAAAGATTCAAATCATATAGTGGGGTCTTTATATAGAGGTCGGGTGAATAGGAAGGGAATGAATGGGGGTATTCAGAGAGGTTATGGGAAGGAAGTACAGTTGATTGGAGGTCGTGATGCGACAATCCCCAAACTGACATTATTCTGCCACTAGTTTCCAAGGCGGTGTCACTCTACAATGCTGTGAAAACAAACTTGTCCATTGACTCCCTGCTACTCCGTACGTACAAATAGAAAGGAAAACACAATGTCTAACGCTGTCTAGTGGCCTCCAGTGGTGGGTAGACCCAGGAAGACCTTGAATGAGTCGTAACTAATGAATGTCAGCATTGAACTTGATCTCGAGACCGGGAGCACTTACATGAGCCATTGGAAACCAGTCAAGGTTCCAAGCATCACAATACGAACCGGCAAACCGTTCCAAAGACCGGAGAATCCGATGTTGCCATAAATGCGGGAAACAGCCGTCAATGCACCCTCGCCAGCTAAACCGAGAATCAGCACATGGACGCAGACAAATGACACCAAAGAAACTTGAGGACTCACCCTTCCGATCAGCATTAAGCTTGCTAACCATCACATCCGCCGGATGACTGACAACAGCACAGAAGATACCAGCAATGTAACCACCCAAGAAGCTAACACCAGTCTGCGTCAACTGACCATACTCCTCCTTCGGCTTCCCCATCTTCGAGTAAATGATCTTCACCGTCTCCTCGAAAGTCGCAAACTTGGTCATGGTGTACGGGATCTGACGCGCCCACAGCGGATACAGACCCTTATACAGACCTCCAAAGCCTTCCTTCGCAACAATCTTGCCCCAACCCTCCCGCAGCCCGGAAGCATAAGGCGGGAGCGTAGTCTGCATCCGCACCTTGATCGCCTCCATCGGGCACAGTGCCATATCAGCGAAGAACTCGGCCGAGGCACTGGCGCCCAGGAAGACCAGGGTGCGGTTCGTTTCGGGGAATAGCTGGTTGCCGTAGAGGTGCTTGAAGTACTCGTAGAGACCGTATTTACCGGCGCCTTGGAAGGAGTAGCCCAGGAAGGTGGGGGACCAGCCGAAGAAGACTCCGCGGAGACCTTCCTTGGAGAAGATGGTGCGCCATGCTTGGATGTTGGAGGTGTAGATTTTCGGGTCGACTTGCCGGCGACATTTTACGAGATCGAGAGGTGTGACGGCGGTATGGGTGGGTCCTGGTGGTGTTAATGCGGTTACTACATAGGTAGATCTGGGGAGCTATCACGTACCACAGGCTAGATTGGAATTAGTGTTTTGCTCATTAGAGTGATGGAGGGCACATACCGATAATACCTCCGGCACCACAGCTCAGGAAGTATTTGAGCGAATTGGGCTCGATCTTGCCTAACGGAAGCTTGCGGTCTTGGGTTGCCATGATGAACCAGTTGGGATGTATAGAGGGGAGAGAGGGGAGGGGAGAGGGGGATAGAGAGGGGAGTATGGGAAAAAGGAAATATGAAAAAAAAAAGCAAGTGCAAGACTCCAGGGCTCAAGATATGTAACCTAAACAAGCCTCATGCTAAGCTATGTCGTCACCTGCGAACGGCTCCCCGGGTATCAAGGTTGCCAGGTACTATTCTTGTTATCTCCTAGGCTATGAACTGGAGTCCTCTATTCTCGCCAATAGTAAAAAGGACAATAGTCGTCCAGAAGTGCAGTGCTGGCGAGATAGAGATAGATGACGTCATGATGATCGGGATCCGGCACGAGTTATCCAGATTGCCCGATTCGTCCATATGCCACGGCATAACTCTTGTGCATCTTATGTCTTGTAGATTCTGGGTTTCCTCTTTCAACGATGTATATGTTCTTATATAAATTGGATTTCCCACAGAAACACGAGATTCATCGCACTAACATGGAGACTAGGATACCATCCAGTTACCAGGGCATCTCCTCAACTCGTTGCTCACGATTCAGATTCAATGGCGAGATCTCATCCGACGTCCCACGAATCTTTTCTGCCTCATGGGCCAGAAACAACGCCAATTTGATCCCCAGGTTGGATCCGACGCGCCACAGACCAGTCTTGATCTGTTGCACTTGTGCCTCGGTGGGCATGCCACAGGTAAGCACGTACCAAAGAGGCCAGAGAAGACCGTACCCTTGAGCTGCACGGATCTGGAGCGGACTATCTGCTTTGTTGGGACGCCCGAGGGAGTCCACATCTGCCAACGAGAAGGGGATACTGCGGCAAGTATCCGTGGTCATTTCACGAATGACACCTTGCAACTCGGCTTCGTCAATTGGAGTGAAACTGGTTCCCGAACTGCTCGCTGGGAGGTTGGTCGACTGTTCGTTGGCCGTTTTGATGGTGGTGAGAGTGCGGTTCAGACTGAGGAGAACTTTTTGTAGCATCACCCGTACTGCGCGGTAGTAGTACCAGATGATGGCGTTGGAAATGCGATTGTAGGTCAGGAGGGATTCGCCATGGGTCGAATAAACGACAAGTGGGAGCCATCGATCTGGAAGAGTTTGAGTCCAGTTGAAGAGTTCTGCGTCGCATTCACGACCGGTGGTGATCCATGATTCTACTGTAGCCTGGTCTGGGGGCTGGGGTGAGGAGCGCATGGTGACAAAAAGCTGTGTTAGCTTAGATGCCGAAAGCATGAGTTGGTCGACGGGGTCATCGCCGTTCAGCATCCCCAGGACCCATTGGAGGTCGAAGCGGGGATTGTCTCCCAATGCAAGGATCTCGATATACTGCATTAGTCGTTAGCTATGTCCTGCAGACAATATTCCGTGGATATAGACATACAGTGTGGGTGTATGCAAAGTTGAACATGTCGCGACCACGCTGATGACCCATCTGCCCCTCGCCCCGGAGCTTCATCAAGAACTCAAAGCCCGCCGTGTGGGAGCTAAACAATCCATTTCGCTCGCCGGAGATATCTTCATACAAAGAGAGCATCACGACAGAAGCAAATGTTTCATCCTTGACTGCATTGGTTGGTGATTTCAAAGCCTCTTGCAAACCCCGCAAAGCTTTACCGTAGCCTTGTCGAGCCTTGTTCATGAGCGTAGGTGCATTCTTAGCATTAGCCAAGGTCATCAACGCCGTAGCATCGACCGCCCACTTCAGACAAGAAGATGTTGATTGGCTGGGTCGGCCTATCTCTCGTGCATAGAGTGGAGGAAGATAGTCCAAGTGGCCCCCATCCTCATCCGCTCGGATGGTATATTGGTCGAAGAAATAGCACAACGCACGTTGCTCCCACGTCGAATCTGCTGGAGTGTATATGTTTAATGGGTCATCTGCCTGATATTCAGGCAATCTTTTGCGCTGGCGAGGTACGACTGATGTAGCCGAGGTAGCCGAAGTGGGCATGCTTTGTCCACTCTCACTGGCGCTCTCGCTTCCACTGGTGCTCGCATTTCCACCATTTTTCACCAGTCTTTCAATCTTTTTGGTTTCATTGCGGAATACTGCATCAGGCCGGTAGCCTGGACATGGTCGGCCATGGATTTTGCAATTCCGACACTCCGGGCGAGCTTCATCGCACTGGAGAGTATTTCAGCAATGGTCCTCGGCACAACAACATAAATACCAGGAAGGCAGGAATCAGACTGAAAATCAAAACATAACAAAAAGCAGTCCTGATGAGCTAGGATTGAATCCGGAACATACCTTTATCTTCCGCTTACGACAAAGGTAACATCCGGTGCTCGGCTTCCCCCCATACACCATTGTTCAGATTGAAACACAGATAATCTTGCAGCCACTATGGGGCCTGTGGGCCAGCACGTCGGCGCACTTGTTCCACTGGAACGCTGTTGTGTGAGATCAACTCGGGTGCCTAGTCCGAAAAGAGTGCATGCACATCTTATAGAATGCAAGAACCACCCCTCCAGGGAGAGAAAGATCAAGGACAGCGATATCCGCACACTCTCCCCCGAAGCGTCTTTGGAGGATAGGGAAGACGTTGAGTTCACGACCGAGACAACCCCAGACTCTCTGGAATCGGCTCGCCCCCGGGGCCGAGCCTGCACAGCCGCTTAGTCAGAATTCGCATAAATCTCGCGACGTGAAGTCATCATGGGCAGCTACCTAGAGAAGTTCAGCTGTCGCGAATGAGACAAATATTATGCGATTATGTGACTGCAGTTGATATAAACCACCTGGGCATGGCCGGGCCTGCCCAATCACCATGGCTGCAAACGCATGCTCATATATGCTATTCAAAAGACAAAAAACGGGCCATTTTGCTCCTCATTTTCCCGGGCATATTGAATCCAATTGAGATATTGAAGTTTCGAAGTCGCCCAGAAGCCCTTGAGAAATTGAAGCGCGGTAATATTGCACCAAATCCCTGTTGACGACAGCAGCTCTCGAAACTGCCCCTCGACTTGATCCTGTCTCGACTTATCACCCCAGCACACAGTGCCTAGAATGAAGAGGGGAACAAAGATATCATGTGAGAACATGTGAGCCGGACCAGAAGTCAGGAACTCAATCTCATGCGCTAGTAACGAGATAGAACGTTCCATCTGCACTCCATTCTCGGGATTCGTTGACAGGGCTTGATGGCTGTAAATGCATATGGCGTGGTAGACGGCCCGGATAGTGGCCTCCATGTATTTCCGAGAGCCGTCCTCATGTACTGTGGAGAGCCACGACGTGTCAGCGGATGCGCGTGCGTAGGCATGTTTGGCCTTGTCGAGCCAGATAGACATGTCGGTATTGGGTATGAAGTGGCCATTCCGGAATAGGTTCTGTCTATGTCTTTCTTCCGACGTGATTTCACGAAAGACACACACGAACGCTTTGAAGTAGTTGTCAAATGGTATTTCGGCTTGTAGGGTATTGGTCATAACAGCTGGGTCACTTGAAAAGGCACCCATGTTGCGGAAGACTTCTATGTCTGCAACCTCTTTCACAACGAAGTCTATCGCATCAGAGTGCTCTCCCGGTTTTTTGCTCCAGTTGGATGTTCTGATTAGTGTTCGACAGGCATGAAGATGCAAACTCCAGTCAGTAGAGTTTGGGATCATCATCTCTCCGTAGCACAGAACCAGCGCCGTTGCCATGATTTCGATCAAGTTGCGTGGAGCGTTATCGGTAGCCGAAGAGTAGCCAGCTACCTCGATGCCAATTTTTCTGTTGAGTATGTGGACACTTGAATCTCGAAGCCGACGACTGATCGTTTGAAGGTTGTTTGATGAAGAGCCAGTTGGTGATGTGACTGATAAGTGAGCCGCGGAAAGGCTCAACACAGATAGCAGTAAGCATGTACTTTTCATTGCCAGTGGTGAGATAACTGTTCGCCATGGATGATCTGGTCGGTCAACCCATGTCAATCGGGGGGTGACATGGCAGCTGAAATGGGTAAACAGTGTGCTGGACAGCGCGGTCCGGGTAAATGAATCCACCAGACATTGATCTGCTACTGGAGTCTCCATCGGAGATTGAATGCCGGGAGGAAGGGCGCCAGCGAAATGATCATTATCTCGGGCTTCTGGGAGGGGGGCATCACGGCCGTGGTTGGACGCAGTAATTTGTGGTTGACTCCTTGTTTCCCTCGAAGTCTTGGGATTTGATCTGCCACTAGCTCTTCCGTGTGTCCATTTGAGCTGGAACTCTTGGTATCCGGGACATTCAATTCCTCTGATGGTGCATTTTCGACAACTCGGGGTGCTCCGATCACATTTGATGCGTCGCTTGGTGCACTGGCGGCAGCCTGCTCTGTTTAGATACAGCCTGGGCGAGGCTGGGAAAGCAGCTCACCTTTGACTGCAACTTGGCGATCTGACGACAGGGAGTCGGCGCGGACATTCAGCATGTCGGTGGTTGTGGAAGTGATCTGGGGGGAAACCTAAGTTGCTGCGGGGTGCCATCACCCAACTCATCTTTCCGAAAATATTGAGTATCTTTGTTCTCATACCCAGATGGCGTATCTTGCTTACATTCCGATACATGGATGTTGGAGTTTCGGATTGAACATATTATATTTCCATTCACTGTTCCATACCTTAGGGTCTTCAAGTGCAGATATATAGCTCGGTGTTCACAACTTTCGAATTAACAGAACAGTAATTAAACCATTTGGAGCTTCTTATTCTATGTAATCATTGTAATTGTGAATTTCCCAGTTGTAAGGACCATCAGCTGCGGAGGAATTCCCTGACAGCGTCTGCCCATTTCTCCCCGTTCTTATAGGTGAAGATGCCAGGAATTTTTGAACCCTGTAACCCATCAATTGCAGCAGCAAGAACTTCTCCATTCCCCTCCGCCTTGATTTCTTGAATAGGGTACAAGTAGGTATGGAAAGCGAAAACGATGGCCCTGGACTCTGGCAGACGATGTAGAGTCTGTCGCTCACAGCGCACAAATGTCTGGTCGAAGTGTGAGATATTGAATGAAAGATATAACTTTAGACACTTACTTTCTGCAGATTCAGATCTTCCAGGGCCAGCTTGTCCGGCTTTATTTTGAGCGCAGTGCCGCCCTTGTCAAAGTTGGAGTACAGTTCTTCATCCACAGTCAAACTCCAATTGACTCGTTTGACAAGACGCCCTACCTCCAACCGGGCAAAGAATCGATCCATGCTCTTTTCCAACTTCTCTCGGTACCCTGGGACGGGCTCGTGGATGTCAGCTAATTTCTTTCCAATCTTCTCTCTGGGTTGAAACCCCGACGGGAAACAAGCTGCATATGCTTCAAGTACATATGTTTCATGCGAGCTTTTTGAGTCTTTGGGATGATAGGGTAAGAGAATGAAAAAGTCTTCGTCGATACTCCCGGCAATCGTTTCCAGAGCTTCACGGAGAGCGATAGAAGCGTCAATCTCCGTCACTATCTTCTCATGGGTGACCAGGTTCTCAACCAGATCTTTGCCACTCTCGCCGCACAGTCGAAACTGTGAAGGGTAGCGGCAGGGTAGGTAATTTTGGAACAGATAGCGGTATAGTTCTTGCACGGCGAGACGAATCCGCGCATTTAAATCATCGGTAACCCCGATAATGTCTTTTGGGTATTCACAAAGAAGAGATCGACGGAGGCGGATGCGCTCGGGGTAAGTCTGGTCGAAAAGTAACAGATCATTTGTATCTAGACTTTCGATGCCTATATTGCCCAGTATTTGAATTCGTCAGCTACGATGTTTGTTTCGTAGAAACTCATTCATACCCATGGTCAAATGATAATTTGGTTTAAAAGGACATAGCTTTGGCGGTTTTGTCAGGCTTAGGTTGAAAGGTTCTGCGGGCACGATCTCAGCACGATTTCCCAGCGCAGGTAGACGATTGTTCGTAGAGATCTGGTCGATAGCGTTAGACCAATTTTCAAAAGGCTTCGATAGGTCAAAGCGTACTTCTCGATACCGTTGGACCCATCGAGTCAATAGACCAAGTAGGTAAAGACACAATATGCCCAATGTTGGGAAAAGCAGGCTCGGCATCATCAGGGGAAGAATGGACGAAGACATGTCTGGAGCAGCAATTCGGGGGCATCGGAGATTGTGCTAAATCTCTTGCTAGCCATAAGATAGAACGAGGGGAGAGGGAATGCGAAAGCGTGTATCAATAGTGAAGTAGTTCATAAAATCAAAATGTGATTTACCTGGAGATACAAGAAGTGGGAAAGAGATCTTGGAAGAGCAAACAGCTTTGACAGGCAAAGCTATTCCTTTGCCGGCTTAAGATTCCACGACACAATTTCCTCTTTCTGCTTCCTTTCTTTTCTTTTTCCACCTCTTGCAAAAGACCAGGAGCTCTGGAGATCTACAAACAGACACATTTGATTGGTTATTTTCAATATGGTCCCGCTTGGTTTGTCACTTTCTCCCTGAACTTGCCTTATTCGGACTAGTCCCTCGTCTCTATAGTTCTCTCTTCTTACTCTTGGCCCATATTACATGCCCAGCTTCGGTCTATCCCAATCTTAGTAAGATGTGACAACGACCATCATTCCAAGTTTGCCCGATAATCACTTATGACCTGCTACCTCCGTCCCAGAAGCGTTCACCATCAGGCTACATAGCTATCGGTATGTGTGGTCTTGGCTTTAGGTCTTTTCAACCCTAGCTTGAATCGGTCCACGCGTGACATATTCTCCAGAACAAGAGTCTCTACCCGTAGTACACTCTCACGGTAGAGGGTTTGGGTTTTCCAATCATACGAACAAAGCAAGGCTCGCTGCATGCCGCCCTCACTACCGCACAGTATCATTGCCACCGGTGGGCGAACGGCCTTGAATAAGGTGACGGTCAAGGTATTAGTGTCCACCAACGTAAATAGTTTCATCTCACCATACTCAGAGTTCTGGGCAGCGGATGCAAACTCGGCGGTGGATGGTTCGTGAGTGGGATCTTGTCCCACACATTCGTCGTCTTCGGCTTGATGTTTTGACAATTCACTAGAGTATGGACTCCATCTTAATCGACCAAGGTTTATACCAAAGATGAGTGTCTCAATCTCGCCAATCTCCATGTAGCCCTCGAAACCAAACAGCCACGGCTGAGCGGCCCATGTTTTCCCAACATACAGCCAGTAAATGAATAATGGAGAAGCCAGGATAGCCAGAAGATAGAGACCTGTGATGACCCAGCCCATCGCTGTTATCGGAGCATAGTAACCTCCTCTCAATTGGCTGGAGGCTAGCAAGGCAACGCCCAGTATGAGCCAAAGAGGTGTACTTCGGATGATGGTTTTGGCGATCAAACGCTTTAAGGTGCTTCGCATCAGGAGATTGACCGGCTCAAAAGATTTCCATCTAATCGGAGCACCAAATGCACCGCTCAATATCACAGTGTCATCTCCCCCAAGGCCGACAACCTGACAGAGAGGCTGGATATCCCAAAGCTGACTCCCCCAGAAGTCTTTGATATCATGCCATAATTGGTCCGGCTCTTCGGGGAGCATACATATCATTCGCTCAATCAGTTGGTCGCTGTCGTTGGCTAAAGAGAGTCGACAGAAGGCTTCGAAGGCCGAGTCATCTTTATCAACATTTGGGCGACGTCGTAGAAGTCCCATCAGGGCATATGCGAGATCTCCATTGTAGAATTTCGGGGTATCACGGCACGGAATGCATTGCAAGGCAATAGATACCAGTTCCAAGGGACTGAGTATGATAGAGCCTTCATAGTGATCGATAAGCTGTCTTGAGACAGGAGCGTCACCCCATGCCTCTTTAGCGAAGTCTTGTTTGGATACAGCCCGAAATGAATCAGAGTCACAGTCACGAACGTATATTGAGATTGGATGATTGGATGAGGCCAAAAGGATCTCGGGAAATGTCCACAACCTAGATCCCAGCTCGTGAAGCATTCCAGTCGCGTCCGGTCCTGAATTGAGGGACGGGCCGACGATGACAACCACCGAATGGGCGCCACGGACAATATCACTTATTCGATAAACATCTTGAACAAGTGTGTCTTGGGGCATGCAACTGCATCCAATCCAGTAAGCATCAACCCCGGCTTTCTGGGCCGCGGCCCCGGCAATGCGATGAAGCTCTTCTTTGTCTTCATCTGAGTGGAACTGGCTTGCGGTATAGCTTATGAATATGTAACTGAGGGTCCCGAACTCAGGCTCCCAGTCTTCGACTTTGAGAATGCCAATTCCCCCTTCCAGTAGTAAGCACAATAGCCGGGGGCGCAAAGGTCGTTTTGAAACCCCATTGATGACTTGAGAATGGGGAGGTTCATCAGCAACACCCGAGGACTGGGCCTCCCTGGTATTCGTAGGCACCTTTGAATAGCCCCAGTAGTGATATTTGAACTGCTCATACCGACCGTTGTTTCTTATCTCGCCCCCAAGGTCGGACGGAATGAACAGCTGGCTTCAGTCAGACAGGACATCGACGAAAGAAACAAGACAACCTTACCAAAAAAGCAATGATCAAACAAGCTGGAATCCATCCGATGATTAAGGAGATCCAATGCAACAGCGATCGCGAGGCCTTTCCATCATTCTGAATATGGCGCCCCAATAGCAAGTAAACGATTCGAAGCATGGTGGGAGTACACTCCTGAATCATGGAGCGGGTCCAATTCGAACCTGATGAACCATACCATACGTCTTCGGTGGCTTGCACAACGAGAGGAACAAGTCGACCATCCGTGGCGCTGATGTATCGATCATCTTCAGGCCCCGTCCATACTCGTCCTATGCTGTCTTTGTGGCGAAAATTTTTCGTAGAGTCGTATTTCCTTGATGGCTGTCCGGCAGAAGGTACATCTACTGACCATAGCTTGGGGTTCGTGTAGAGTTCAAAATATGTCGGGCTCTTCTGTCGGGTTATTGTCGTGCAAAAAACGAAAACTGGGGGGACTCACTTTCTCAAGCTCTTTCTTCATTTGCTGTAGATTATTTTCCTCTCGTCCCTAAATTTGTTACTTTGCAGGCTCTTCTTCTTCGTGCCACCTTTGAAGGATTGGAGTGGTCATACTGAAGTGTAGGCAGTGTTTGTTTCGCTATGGTCATGGTCATTTCGGCGACGATTGATGACTCCGAGCTCAATGTCCTGTACCATATTCTGTTTGCCAGAAAGGTGAAGTGAGAATTTACCAGAATAAAGTAGTAAAGGTGAATCAATGGTTTATGTATGCGTGGGGGGAAATGAGAGTGAAGAGCCGCGTGCACCCCAGAGGTGCGCGGACTGTAAGATCTTCCCTCACGAAGTACTCCGTACATACCAGCCATTTCTCTGTGACAAGTGTCGATCCTAGAACCGATTATCCTTTCCATTTTCATCTAGAGGTTTTTCGGAGAATCTTTGGATTTGGGTGTCTTCTCGCAATACTGATTTTCTACAGTTGAACAACACAGCAGCACATTGTCTCTAAGAACGTTGCCACTGGAACCAAAATATTTCCCTCAATGAAAGGCTAGAATTCTCGAGCATGATTCATACTGTGACTTCATGTATTTTCGATGTATCATCAATACCTGCAATCGCCCGTTTCTTGTTGTTACAGCGTAACATGGACAGGGGGCCGGGATCATCAGAAAGGCAGCCAGGAGCTTATATATTTCTTCGAAGTTCAATACTGTCACAGGGCACTCTCCAGTGAGCATTTGCAATGATCTCCATCTTTGAAGATCAGTCACTTTTTGATTTTGTCAGGCATTCGGCTTCTAATGGGCGGCCTCTTTCGCACTCGTTTAAAGTGCATGTTTTTGATTGGACTCAGACTCCCACTGGTAACCAAAAGCTCACCCACGCTGTCTCGAGACTTCAGCTCACATAATGCTAGGTGGCTGTCACTTAACTTCGAGAAATGTAAAAGTACTCGAATTAACCCAATTACCGGTGCCCGTGCTGCGAATAATGTTAGGTCTTCTACCCCCAGGTAGGACTACAGTACTCACTGATATACTCGAAGCTTCTCTCCACTTGATATTCCGGGACATGTCTGCTCAGAAAGCCTACTTCAGCTCTTTCGACATTATGACGTGCCATCGGCATTTCTGGCAGGCAGATTGCGATCAGTCACTCATTCGTTCGGAACCTTGAATAGCATAAATGGGTATAATTGTAGGTGCTCCGGTGCTACTGCTTCAATCGTTTTAACAACACAATAGGCTCGTATTTCCATTATCTGTGCAAGAATATCACTGTCTCTCACGATGCCGGTGGAAAGCCGAAAGTAGCCCAGCCCATGCCTGGGGCACCGCTGCTAGACCAGGGAGATTCGTCCTGGATACGATCTGGATACTTTCTGCGATGGGCAGTGGATTCAAATCGTGACCCAGAAGTAACGCTCATATGCTTTGGGGCCTCCGTTCATGTTAAAGAGCGTCTGCAACAGATTGCGCCATCTTTGATACTGACCAGCGTGGTTCGTGACCCCTTTGGCCTCTTTGCGATTGTTATGGATGACCTGTCTCTACAAATGGAAAACACTGTTTGGAATCTATTGGAAGTTTTTCGACAAATCGAGTTGGTATTTTCGTCTCCTAGTCCATTACATCTGGGTTGGACTGACCATTTCAGAGCACACTGACTGCAATGAACGATAGAGAATCGTTTACTGGTCTCCACAATGTCTCCAAGCATATTCTATTTCTCCAAGAAAGTGCCGAAGCTACGATGCTCACTTTGAAAAGTCTCTCTTCGCACCACCAACGTCTTCTCGAGACGGCTTCTGGTCCTGATTTACCAGCAACACAAATGACCCAAGATATGCTGCTGCATGCTGAGACACAGCTTCAATCTACTGGGCTACGGCTGAAAAGTATTGAAAAGCGAATGAACAATGTTATCGCACTGGTATGAGCTATCTTACAAGGAAACTTGAAGTTAATGAAGAACTCGACTGATGGTCATCTCTTCGGGCAGTCCTTTCACCTCGTCACCCAAGACGGTAATCGAATCATGCAGGCGGATAGCAATTCAATGGCAACAATCGCTTTGGTGACCTTGATTTTCCTGCCTATGTCAGTTGTTTCTGTATGTATTCTTTTCTTCAGGTGTATACAACAGGTTCAAAGCTAACCCCTCAGACCGTGTTTGGCGGTCAGTTCTTTGATTTTGGTCCCGAGATGCTAAGCGTGTCCCGAAGCTTTTGGGTTTTCTGGGTGATCTCCATTCCACTTACATTGCTAGTTCTTGGTTTTTGGCGTCTATCCAACAGAAACGATTGGCCGGGGTTCATCAATTATATCCGTTCCTTGGGCAATCGGCCCTAACGTTTGATACTCGTTTGCTGATGGAATTCGAAGGTTGTTTGAAACATCAAACCAGATTGATTCATGTAGGGTCAGATTTATCACTGAAAAATATAAATTTCACGTTACATCAATTCCCATTCAATACAATAAGCCTGTGGGAGCTCCCATCCCCCTTGGAGACTTGTTTCGGACCAATTCGGCCTAATTTGTGCCACTGCATGCAACAGTAGATTATTGCTGCGTATTGTCCAATGATGCAAAGAGGGCTCAGGATGACTGTCAGAGGAAGATAATCGGGCCAAGGCTCTGAAAACCCTGGTGTGATGTACATCCACTGCATTTTTGCGGTCAGGGAAGTATAAGCACCTAACGCGATAAGTGTGCAGGCATTAAACGCGAAGAAAAGAAAGACCCCAATGGAGAAGAATGTAGCGCTTTTCTGCTTATTATCAGTTCTCATATCCACCGAATAGGGAACAGAAACCCTGGCATACCTTTGAAAGCGGCCTGAGGTCTTTTTCTTTCCACAGTATAAAGTATGCTTCAAACATGATTTCAATCGATGCAAGCAGTATCAAAGAGTCTCCCGCAATTTTGAAAGACCCTGCCGGGCTGTGTTCCATTGGTGCGTAGGCCCCATAGAACTTGAAAATCTTCATGGAAGTAAAAACCGCATTGAGGAGAGGTAGAAGAGGCAAGAGGATCAGAATGATCATGTGTAACGTCGAAAATGATGCTCTCTCTTTTTTCAGGCGGCGTGTTCGTGCAATGTATGCAATGAGAAGCCAATATAATGCATAGGTCATGAGCAGAGTTCGAAGATAAAAGAAAACAAAGTAAATCGCCACTTGAGCAACGTAAGGTATCAAATTGTGAAAGAAATTGGGATGAACGACTGTTTGGAGGATGACAGCGAGACGTGAGGCTATAATCATTGAGCATGTTCTGTAGTATTCAGTTAGCCCACATCTGACTTCAAAAAACACGGATCTTCCAAATTGTTGATGTGTTGAGATACTCACATTATGTGACAACATAACGATAGAAATAAGGATTTGAACGGAATTGCATCCGGCTGGTGTCGAGGTCTTCTGATCAGACATGAGGCGATCAGAAAAATAAATAGCAAAAATACAGCCAGCATGTTGACAATGATTGTGAGAATTCTGAGGTCATGTACTGGCAACCATGGAGATGGTGGTTGCCACTCCGATTCGGCCTTTGCCATGTTAGGTGGTATGAGACAGACACACAGCGAGGTATAAGTCTTCTCTTGGGGGCTTTTGAGTGTCTGCACATCCTGCGAAGCATATTCAAATTGAAATATAGCCCTGCAAATGCATGACTGGGCAAAAAACAAGACACCTAAAGGCAACCAGCGGGCCAATCATGATATGGATTTTCGCTCTTAAGACACTTGTAATGCTTTCAACACGATACCATGCAAGACGAGTGTGATCGCCAGGGAATCTTGGTATTTTTCACCCGGGTGTTGTTATTACTACATGCCAAGCGTTGGGACACGTAGTATCATGAGTAGGGATTGTCTAGGCAATACTGAGTCCATTCGTTTTCTAGCTGTGTGCCTGACCTATTGAAATTCGATTGCCGTCATAGATGTCTCCACTACTCATATTGATCGACATCAAGAGCGCCTTCGGCTCCTATTAATTGGTTCAGATGATGGGGCTGAGGGAAACATGAGCCCCGAATGTTTGAAGCTAATGCGATTTTAAGGGAGCTGAATGTAACCATCTGCAGCACTCCTAATGATCTGCATATTTGGAGCAACTCATGGTTCCATAACACACTCGAGAGCAAGCGAGAAGCCCAGGGTTGAAAATGAGGCTCAATTGCACCCCAGCTTGCCTCCCTCATAAGTTAAACCCACGTGTATTTCTCTTTTCTTTTCTTTCTTCTTTTCGTTTCTCTGGAAAGAACTTACTCTGCACTCTGTAATCTACTCAGCCTCTTCTTGTCCCAGTGAAGCTCTAATCAACTAAGCCCTCAAGTGCTATCATGGATCCACGACAGGTGATTATTCTATTCTTCCATATACACGCTTCATATCCTATCTAACACTCATAGAAGAACCCTAATCCCAAGCCACACGGAGGCGACTTCGTCCCGAAGAATGCGAAAAATCAGTCCCGATTTCAATCTCCCTACGCTGTATTGAACACCAATCCAAGCGAGCCATCCAGCAAATTCGCCCATTCTGGAACGAGCAGTACTTTAGCTGTCGAACGCCCAGGCGGAGTACATGGAGGAAGCTTTATTCCGAAGACCGCCAAACAGGGGCCCAGAACTAGTTTCTAGAGCAAACAGAGTGAAGTGCGGTAGAGCTGAGCCTTGGAGGTTGCTTCACGGGGATTGCCCGCGGTGGAATGGAAATACACTAGGGATCTACATTGGATACGGATGTCTTCATGGTTGTCTTCAAGGTCTCAAGGTTGAGCGCGTTGACGTAGACGTCCAGACGGCCTATCGTTTTGAACCCACCTGGGCATACAGCTACAAAGTACCTAGGTACTAGGTCTTCGCTCAACTTGACATGATATATGAACCGCATTCCATATTTCAAAGGTATCATGAGGCAAATCACAAACACCAAAATGAATATAAACTAAAAAACGAGAATCACACAGTGAAACTCCAGGCATCACAAATGAGGGAGAAAAAAAGCCACTCAAACCGGAATGAAGTAGCCCAAGACTTCCAACACCAAACATGCAACCACTCGGTGCTCTACAACACCCCCAACGCCGCCACAGGCAAAGCCCCCCAGACGAACACCCGCCGCGCTCAAAAAATGGTGAAGGAAAAACAAATAAGATATGACAAAGTAGATATGCGTTATCGTTAAGATGTGATATGAGATCAGATCGGTAAATGCTAGATTATGAAGGAGCGTCGGGCATCAGTGAGTCGCTGTCATTGCCTGGGAGGGATGGTGGGGGGTCAGAGAATAGGCGGTGGCGTGGGGTAACGGATAGCTCGCTATCGTCGACGGAGCTGAAGCCGGGCGTGGATGAAGCGCTTTCGATGGCGGGGTCGTCGTGCTCTTCTGGTGGTGGGGAGAATGACCAGACCTGGAATTTGTTAGAAAATTGGAATACTTTGCTATACTGGCGAGTAACATACCTCCATTACAGTGCGGCCAGATCGACTCGCCATGATAACTGCCTTTTCATCTTCGAAAGCGACTCTCCAGACTGCTTCCGCGGGAGAAGATAACTCGCGAAGTAACTGGCCAGTCTGAAGATTCCAAACCTTGACACGACCGTCACTGCCACCGCTGACAATGCGGGTCTTGTCGAATTGAAGACTAGTCACGCTGTTGTCGTGGGCGGCAAGTCGGTGGATAGGTGCCATCTTGGTCAGGGACCAGACGCGCACCGAGCCATCCGAACCACCTGTTACCAAAGTGTCGTCCCGCATCTGTAACTGGCCCACCAAAGATGTATGACCCTGCAAAATGGCATGGCACTGACCAGTGTGCGGATCCCAGATTCGAACGCTGGTATCCAAACTTCCGGTTGCGATGCGCCGGCCATCAAAGGCGATGGCGTAGATTTGGCTGAAGTGACCAGAGAGAGTGCGCAAACAGCGGCCCTGCGAAATACTCCATATCCGCGCCGTGGTATCGTAGCTACCTGAGACGACGAGGTCGCCATGGATCGCAAGACACCGCACGCTGGCCTGGTGGCCAACGAGGACATTGCGACAAGTACCTGTGGCAAGATCCCAGATGCGGAGCGTGGTGTCTCGCGATCCAGAAATGGCGGTGTTGCGATCAGACATCTTCAAGCAACGGACTGTGGAGGTATGACCTCGAAGAAGGTGGATCCCGGCCCTACCGTGCGTTAGTGCTACTCATCAGGTTCTATGGGGGATACTCTTACCCAGTAGCCATGTTCCAAACTCGAACTTCGCGATCACATCCTCCACTGACTAAGATATCATCCCATGGCACCATGGCCCAGACTCCCATGACATGTCCCTGAAGTGTCTTCTGGTTATCCCCGTTGGTATCGTAGACATGAATCTTGGCATTATCCAAGGCTACCACGATATACTTGGGAGTGAGATGAAGACTCGTCACCACACCCTGATCCGGAGTGATATGGCGCTGGGTGCACCGACCACCTTTATTCCACGCCGACTCAACCATGTACTTCTGCTTGAACTGGGAGCGGTAAGAGACTGGTCGGGTGCGACGTCTGCGCGAAGGAAAGCTAGTTGGAGGTAACCATTCTCCGGAGAGGGTGCGGGGAAGTTCCGGCGCACTCTCTGTCGAATGGCCATTTGACGCGGTCAAGCGCCTCTGCATCCCGCCGAAGGTGCGTGCGCCGGGGGCCGAGTCCACCGGATGGGCGGTGAAGGGGTCGACGAGGTCTCCTTCGTCTTCCAGGACTCGACGCACTGAGTATGCATGTTTTTCGCATAGATTTTTCCAAGTGATGTCATCGTTCAGTAGTTCTCGCCAGCGTCTCGATACCTGCGAGGCTCGGGCGAGGGTTTTGGGATCGTCGATAAAGGAGAGGACCTGGGCAGGGTTAGATTTCGGTGTTGAATCGTAGCATATCGACGGAAAAGACGTACTCTTAAGCATAACTCGTTGGGGAAGACTTGAAATGGATCTTTTCTCAATCGAGGACCAACGTAGCTCGAGACAAAACTCAACTGCTGGCTGTCGCATACGTCCAGGAGACCCTCCAGGAGTTTTTGTTTCTGGGCGTTCGACAGTGTGCTGAAGTGGATGCGAAGATTCAACAAGAAGCCATTCTCCTCGTCGTCGGCAGTGTGCCAGTTCGGTGGTCTTTGATGGGGGGTCGGACTAGGCGCTGGTGTCGGGGGTGATGCGGGCGCTGAGGGTAATAGGTTGGCGGGTAAAGGAGTGCCGACTTTCTTGGTACTGAGAGATCGAGACGGGGTGGCGGTGAATGAGGTAACGGAGTCATGCGATGTTTGATTCAGAGAGTCCAACTGTTCGGATGTATGCGCATTCAGTCCATCTTCCATGTCACTGAGCGACGGGGGACGAGGATCCATAGCGGCTGCACAGGGGAAGTCGCCACGACGGAATATCGCCCGCTTCGGTGTTTATCGCGACGCACTAGATGTCGAAACCCGAGTCGGCATGGGGTGTCGGGAGTATGTCGGATGGGAGAGAAGGAGGGCTCGAGGGAAGGGGAAGTGAGACCAAAAACTCTCCGATGGTCTGATGGTGAATCGCTTTCTTTATCAAACCTCCCGGTGATGCCCTTTTGGTCATCCCAAAATCAGCTTCCAATGAGAAAAAAAAGACGATATGAGGAAATAGGAACATTCCAAGCGGAGATGTCGTGACCATCTCTGACAAAGCCGCCAAGCTCTTCTCCGGACTCGATCCGATATGGGGGGGTTTCATGCATCCGGTAGGGATCGTCTTTCTCTTACTCCGTCCATGCTAGTCTGTTTGCTGCCCAGGTTCTTTCTGTCCTGTTTTTGCCTCCTTTTTGCTAGGTCCTTTTTGCTAGGTCCTTGCCTTGGACTCTAGCGCTTTGCCTTTTGCCTTTGGAAATGTATGGCAAAGAGGCAACGAGGCGAAAGCGCGAAAGAACAAACTTCCCTTCATCCACTGGATACGCTTGCGGCTCGCGGTATTCGACCGTGGAACAACTCCGGGGACTCGATGATACAGACTGACGAGACGCTGTCATCACCCGGCCTGATCGCACTGGGGTCATCTGGTCCTTAAGTAGTGCAGATGACACTACGTAGATGTGATTGAAAGAATCATGCAATTATGACACCAGTTATACAAGAAATCTAACAAATCCCGATCTAATCCAGCGCAGAGGCCCGACTCGAAGTGTTACAGTGCTCAGTGAGCGTGCCCCAGTTGCAAGAACAGAGGCAGAATCATCCCCAAAACAGACGCGATCAAATCCCGCATCGACTTATCCGAACCATTCTGGTCCCGGTCCCCATATCCGTTGATGGGCAGCTCGCGCGGCGAGGATCCGGGCCCATTCTCCTGCATCGTGTGCATCGCAACATACCTGGGAAGTCAGTAGGGGGCAAGTTTCAGGCCGGGAACAAACTCACAAGAACGTGCCACCTGAGAAAAGCAGAAGCATTCCAGTCCGCCAAAGAGTACCCGCCTCATCGGCACTGGAAGATCCCATCATCTGCACGAAAAGGAAAGTAGCCAAAGCACCCAGAGGGGCCGCGAGACTGAAGACCAGCAAATGCGCCCGGGCAGTGCGGCTCGATAGCCCTTGCTTGAGCAGGATAGATGTCAGACCGAAGGAGGCCGGCGCCTTGTGTACCATAATGGCCAAGAAGATGATGAAGCTCAGCCCGCTATCGGAGCTGGAGGCCCCAAGGGCGATGCCGTCCGCCGCGGCGTGGATCACGAGGCCGGTAGTGGTCGCAAAGCTGTGCCCGCGCCGGGAGTTGTTGGCGTCAAGCAAACCACCCTCGCGCGAAGGGGATGAGCCCCGTCGTAGTCCAGACCCGAGGTTATCAAGGGAGATGTGGTAGGGCGTGCGGTCGGTCTTGGTCGGGGAGGCAAACTCGGGGAGCTTGTCGACAAGGTACATCAGAATAAAGCCGCTGATGAGGGCGATTCCAATCCACGCATGTGGGGAGTTTTCCTCGTGTGATTCCTCCGTGTCGCTGGAGTCCTCCTTCCGAACGTAGAGTGTTTGCGACGCGGGGAACTCATCCCTCTCGGCCAGCAGGCTTGGGACAGGGGTGGCCGCCAGGTCCAAGGCACTGTTTCCAGGGGTGAATGTATTTTCGGGGGTGAATGTGGCCACGGTCGGTGCCTGGTACTGCCAGTTCACGTTGGTTTCGCGGGTGTGGATCTGGTTGCGACTGCGGGCATTGGCGCTGTAGAGAGTTTCGATGCCCTCGGGAATGATCACGATCAAGGATGTGCCCACCAGGACACCCATGCCAATGGAGGAAATCAATCGGAGCTGTGAGGGGGAGAGCGTAAAGGCGAGCGGTAATGAGCCGACGACAAAAGACCTGATCAGATTAGCGAATGGACTCGTGTCCACGGATCCCTAGGTGGCTCACGTAATTGCCATCACAATGCTCAGGGCGAGCAAGGTGAAAAGTCCCTCCATGATGATGAGTGTTGTTGGTGACTACAAACACTCAATCATGGCGATGTGCAGAGAAGAGGCCAAGGTGTGTCGAAAGATCTGGGTCCAGGACCCACGTTCAGGTACCGCTTTCACACAGGGGCACACTCCACCCGCACTTTTGTTATGACTAATCAGCTCACCCCCGTGCTGGGGCACCCACCCGGGCACCTGGGCACCCCGAAGCACCCTGGGGCATCCCGCTCTGGCGGCATGGGCCAAAGTATCATCGCCCAAAAATTCAACTTTCGATATTTGAATTCACTTTTCCCCGGGTGTCACTACAACATCGAGATTTCTGGCTCTCTATTCTTGTTTTCATCAGTTAATATATTTTTGTGCTTATTTCAAAATATCGACCGCAATTGCTTTGTCTGTGTGAACCTTGACGCTAGCGAGACCCCCGAGGTCGTCTGGAAGGATGACTTCGAGGGCGTCGATGAGCAGGAACGCTTCGTGTACTACAACCCCGACCAGTGCAACTTCGACTATATATGGGATATGGAAGGCGAGTTTAACCGGAAGATTACGACCGAAAACTACAACGAATGCTACCACTGTCTGGTCACCCACTCTGACATCTCTATCGTCGCCGATCTCAATTTTTACTATGTTAAGACTATAACGGGCTATATCCAGTACTACGGAGCCTCTTGAGAAAATCAGATCGCTAACGACTTCTGGATCGTAGCCATCCACTTCTGGCTTAATGCCTCTTTTAAGAACTCGTGAGTACACCCTGCCATAAATCACAGAACTAAAGCTAGCCCTCTAGTCTAACTTCTTCTTGATGCAGCGCTTTACATTCGTAAGCCCTACAAAATCTGTGATGCGGTACGAAGTCTACGTCACTATAAGGATGCCACAAACGAGGCGTTCAGCCTAATCAGGGAGATATACACGCGAATTATGTCTCAGGGTAAGGTGCTGTACTACCACTCGCAGAGGAACCTCAATGCCGGCGTCGATATCAACTGTCAGCTGTACCCGGAGATGGAGTAGGACCCTCTCCACTTCCAGAAGACCGTACGCGATGTCTTCATCGAGCACTATGGCAAGGAAGAGAGGGAAAGATCTCTTCAACTTGGCTGATTTGGGGAAGGGAGCCCTGGAGAGAGAAGGGAAAACTACCTAGGCAAGCTAACTAGATGACTGGGAGGGGCAGACCCACTCTCCAAACATCTAGCATAGTATGAACACACTAGGTATTTTGGCTTCTTCGGGGGCTACGAGCTCCGTAGCATGATTCCAAGGCGAATTATATTTGTCGTGATTCGACCCCGCCGGGGCCTACTGGCGAAATATCCAGCTCTGAGCTGCCTAAGTTGATGAAGACACATGTGGAAACAACATGAAAGATGGGAGGCCGGTAAAGGGTGAGGGGGTCAGAAATTGCTCTAGCCTTCGATGATTTCAACTAAAACATCCTATGGGAATTTCTATGGCCTGAAATCCTCGAGCAATAGACTCCTTCGGTTCTTCGAAAGAGTTGCCGCTCAACACCGTTTGAGACCCTGCTGGGCTCCAAGCTCAACCGCATCCGCCACCTTCTCTGGCAGATCAAGATATGGAAAATGAGATCCAGCACAGCGATAGCTTGGGTTGGTCCCCAACATACTGGCCATTGCCTCCTGTGCAGCAAGAGGAAGGGCTTGGTCATTCTCAGCAATGAGATACATGCAAGGAAGCTCAAGCCATGGCTCGTGCGACACAGGCTCCAGGAATGCCGCTTTAGACATAGGTGCCCACTTGGCGATGCGTTTCTCTTGTTCACCAGGCGACAGATCGTTGTATAGGATCGTGGCTGCATTGGCCGCATTCGATAGATGGATGTAGTTGTTCTGAGGTGAATTAGCGAAATGCCCTTCATTTTATCGAATGGTAACTCCTCACATCAGTAAAGTCCATCCAAGGCGGGGGAGCACCACCCAGCAGATCCAGTACGGCAGAACCCTTCGTAGCAACGAATGCAGCCATGTAGATCAACATGATGACTCCACCTTGTTTCCCTGCCACTTTTCGTGACACATAGCCTAGATCCCTGACAGCACCGGAGCCAACCAGACCACCGTAGGAGTGTGCGACAACAACAACCTGTTTTCCTTCCTCAACACGCTGCTCGATAATGTGGCGAGCAGCTGCAGTGTCATCGGAGAGATTCTTGGGAACCTCCGCACCCACCGAAGGCAACGAAACGGCATCAGTCTGGTACCCCCGGGCCGAGAGAACTTCTCGGACGCCGTCAAATCCTTCAGGGAGGTGCCATGCACCGTGGATAAACACGACTGATGGATGCTGTGTGGTGGCCATATTGGTTGGCTGATGGGTGATGATATAGCTTTGATATCTGCCGTGAGACTGATAAAAACACTCTCTTATGAACTGTAGATCAAAGGGTTTTTTTTTTCTGAACAGTATATGGAAAGCGGCCCCGGGGCAAGGCGGATTTTAACTACTATGACAGTCATCAGGTGATCCAGTTATCCAACATTGGAACCTTGGAACCCGGCCTCGTAGCCCTGGAGCAAATCCCGTAGCTGTTTGTAAGCTGTTTTTGAAGCTTGAGTATCAATCGAGGCAAATCGACCAAAAAGCTTTTCTTTCTTGATCTGTAAGCGAGTAAATCCCGCACCGATTGCTACCTAACCCGATATATCGAACCACGTCAACTGGTGCTTAGAGAGTTCGCCCAGTATAACACTTGTGCTGAGTCCAAGATCCATGGAGCTAGGTCGTGTTGAGCAGCGAGTGCAGAATTACACTAAAGACCCATTTATCGAAGCCATAAGGGCCGGTATTGTCTTTCATTGTCCAACAAATCCAGACTCAGTTTACTGTACCTAGAGTATATGTACCGGTATGGTTCAAGGGAAAAGTAAAAGCTATCACTCTTTTAAAACCTCAATCTCCACTACACCCTTCTGGTCTTCTCCGCTCTAGCGTCAAATTTTCATGTATCTTCTGCCGCCTTTCATCGGGATTCAGCCCGGGATTTGATAGCGGCGTCATTATTTCTGCCTTCTTGATGGATCGAGTGCCTAAACTGCCCACCAATGGAGATTGAGTGAAGACAGAATGATCGTCAAATATAGAGTAGCTAGAGGTAATTGGCTTCATTCAAGAAGTGGATCATGCTTATTCACGGCATAGATATAGCTCTATTTGAATCACTCCTCTAAGGCCGTCTAGTTGTCCACTGTTCTGTTGCTACTGAAAACGAGGTAATGGATGATGATCAGTTAGGAACTTTTCGACGAAGTGGTGAGATAATGATCTCTCGTACGTAAAAAAAGGCTCTGGGCCGTGTGTAGGCCCAGAAACTCTAATACTGAAGTTGTTCCCGAGGTCGTATAATCAAATCCCGCCGCAAAGGCCGAATCTTTGCACATGTACAATAGGTGGTTTGCGGGATTGAAGTCGGCAATCGAACTCAGTTCGGAGAGATGATTCGTGCCCTCGAGGTCAATAACATTCGACCCGTTATTGACCCTGCCGTTTTCCCCCTTCATGATCTTCCCGCAGCATTCCAGTACCAACACGAGCAGAAACATACTGGAAAGGTCGTAGTTAGTATTTTATAAAACTCCAGGTTTCGAATATTGGAGAACATTTGCAATAGATTCTAAACCGTATGGAGACCCTTGACTCTTGGGCCCAATCTGTCCTCGCAATAGCCGAACGGCTTCCAATATGGGGCGCAGCGTTTGCCCGGGGTCTGCGCGAGAGTTGGCTCACAGGGCATCCTTACACGATGGTAAGGGTCTCGAGTGCTTGTCTGAAGGCCTAAGGGGACTTAAGGATGGAAAATTTCGGGCACAGAAGTTCTTGACACGCCTCAGCGATACACCAGGCGCAAGCGATTGACTCAAGCAAAGCTTGTTAAAACTTCCGCCGATTTGAAGGTGTGGTGTGGATGGGTTGCATGTTCCGGACCGGTGCGGACATACTGTTTTTTAGATAGACAAAACGTCCAAGGTGTCCTATACGTTATCCGTTCCCTGTTGCGCGTCTGATGCCAAACGGCCTGACTCAACCTTCAAATTTCTCATTCTCCCATTCGATAAGCCATCCCACTTAAGTATAGTTGGGAATTACACTACGATATAGAAAGGGCGATCATACATTCATTGTGCATGCACGCTCACAGAACATCATAACATAGTCTATTACTATCGCATAACTTGTTTTCTCCGGCACTTACTATCACCATAGAGAGGATAGTTGACAATGCGTGCGCATGTCACAGAGGGGGGGGCAGGTGTGTATCACAGTTCTGAGTAATTAATGAATACCATCTTTAATGTGGTCTTCTTAGTTTTAAATTTAAGGAATCTGTTCTGAGAAGGTGAATACTATTACCAGGGCTGTCCACACACGGAATAGCGAGATTTCGGATACGGCCCGAAAAAACAACGTGTGTGTGAAGATGGGAATCAGATTTCGACCCTTCTGTTGATAATATCATAGATTCATCGTTGGGTAATCTATAAAAACCCAAGCTAATAGGTTGGCAGCTCTTTGCACCGTTCGTGATCCAACCACCCTTTGATACAAGCTCTTAGTCCTGACTATTTTACCGTTTTCTGGGAGAATGCAAACGACCTTGAGATTAAATGGTACTTTACTGTTTCATGAATTGCTGAAACCATCTGTGTTTGACATGAATCTTATTTCCAGGATGCGAAACGAGATCTTGCTTACGGCGAAGGAAGTATGCCCGAGGACACTTCGCATGAGCACTAAGGGCACCCATAAAAGACACCCTTAGGTCTTGTCAATCACCGGGACATTAAGTCAGAACGAATAACATAAAAGTGGTGCATATGTATCAAGAACAAGCCAAAGCCATTCCATACTCAATCAAGGAGCGACCCGGCTGGGCGCTCGAACGTGAAACATGCAGAGATACCCACAAAAGCTTCTGTCGATTCAATATGTGGAGTATTGAATGTCAGATTGTAAGACTAGTACCTAGGTACCTAGGTAGGTACTCCAGGGCTCGCAAGTACACCTGGCATGCGACCATGGATTTTGCCTAATACTCTGACGTAAAGAAGAATTTATGCAAGATTTATCCCCTTATCTACACCACGGGAATCCCTCATCTGCATCAAAGCTATTGAACAATAGCGAAAGGTTAAGAAATGGAGCTGCCCGTCAAGTCACGGGGTACGATCTGTGGAGCCCCAGATCCATTGTACTAGAGGCCGTAGAACAAATAGAATGTTCTTTGGTAATCTGGGTACTAGATGATCGTTCGAGGTTGGAAGTGATCAACTTTGAAACTCAATTCCATGGTTGTGAACAACTAGTAGAGAGAGAAAAAAAATACTAAGCTCGATCATTACGCCCCTCCCCAATCTACTAGTACGGTACAGTAGAGATGCTTGGTGATTCTAAGGTCTGCCAATACTGCCTCGAAGCCTCAAATGTGGATGGAATAACTGGATCAGGTGTCCTCTCGACCGATTCTTCCCTTGCTAGACATATCTTGCATCTTCGTACTCCAGAGAGCCTGCCAAGCAACAAAACTGTTGTGACACAAAGTAGACATGTTGCTGGATATCTAGAAGGCTCACCCGGTTGATCAGATTTCGAGGGTTGGGTCTGCATTTAGTAGACAGGATATAATGCGTGGTTGAAACAGAAAGTCGAAGATCTCCCGGGTTCCAGGGCTTCGGGGATTTAACTCGGTGACAAAATTGAAGAAACTTAAAGGGAAAGCCTACTAGGTAGAATAGAAGTGGCAGAGCAATGCGAGTACGGAGTACCTGGGACGGATTTCTCCGTCCATCACAATAAGGAACATGGATATTTTCTCCGCCGACCTCGGGAGTGGGGCTCAAAGATTTTCCAAGGCTCCTGGGTTTCTCTGGGCTTAGTCTATACGGAGTAAAGTCCTCTGGAGACATCAGAACATAATTTTGCCAGCATGAGCAGAGAGATAGAAAGTCACTACTCCGTAAGCACATGGGCAATTGGGCAATTGGTCAGACACTCTTATCAGGCCGTATATCTCATCATCTACGGACTCCGTGTACTCCGTGCAGCGTGTTGCCATGCGCGATGATCTCTATATATAGAGACATGGTTGCCCTCTGCCATGCGAATACACTAAGCTTTGGCCCGGGGTTCAGGAACAGGCACCCATGGATTGCCCGAGAAAAAGCCAACGCAAAAAAGAAGGAAAAAAGAAAAAAACGATGTATAAAGTGCACAATCTGCCGTAATACCCGGGCCGCAGATTACCCGTCCCATACAAGTGTTTTTGCCAAGACCTTGGCAAGCCGTCCTCACAGGGCTGATCGGAATTTAGGGCTGATCCCTTTTTTTCTCCTTGAACGTGGACATGAGTACAGTGGATAGTGAAAAGAGGCGCAGTCAACGTGCTAGGTAGCCACATTCTCTCTAAATCTAGTACTCCGCAGCAAGTTCAATTTGAGTACTCCGTAGAGGAAACGCGTTAAGCAAAGCCACAGTCGGCGCAGCAGGCAGCATCGTTCTGATTAGTCGGGAGAAACCTATACTTAGCAACGCGTAACTAACGGCTGGAGTCAGAAAGGAATGCGTAAGTACGGAAAGTCGGTACGTGTAACGTAAGTCACTTATTGTTGAGCGCTAGTTGTTTCAGTAATAATTTAAGCCGATCCTCCACATTATTGGAAAAAGTACATATAGCCTCCTTTCTCCCTGCTGGTCTCACAACCACTCACAACCACTCTCATCTACTCCGTACTACTTCGCACTCACCGCAACAATGTTCAACTTCAACTTCTTCAAGTCCACTCCCACCGAGTCCACCGAGGGCACCTGGAACCCCAGCACTGTCACCATGCAGCCCACCAGCCCCGCTGCCCCTTCAAGCAACCAGAGCGTCGTCACCGAGCAACCAGTATGATCCCATCCCTCTAGATGAATCTGACAGCATCACTGACTTTTTCGCAGTCTTCCCAAGAACAGATGCAGTTGCGCGGTGGTGGCGGCGGCGGTATCTGCTGCGGAGTGTAAGTGATCCCCTCACGAGGTCGCGCATAAGCGAAAGATAAGCGGAGAACTAATATCCTATAGGTGCGCCGGTATTGCCTGCTTCGAGTGCTGTGAGATCTGCTGCTAGACAGTCTGATTCAACGTGGCCGCTGATATGCGTGGATGTCGTTTGGAATAACTGGCTATGAACAAGTCGCGGTGTCAGCGGTCTTTGATGCGATTTCTTGATGGTTTTATTTTTTTATGTTGAACTGTTCTACGCTATACCCCAGAACAATGCTAGTGATGGAGTTATCCTTTTCACGATTTTACTCTTCCAAAAACACTGGTCCGGTCAGATTATTTGATGTCGTGTAGTCATTATTTGGCCCAATGTCAGGACTTCGTGATCCGCTTCTAAGAAAAAGTCTGACGAGAGATTGCGCCTCGTAACGCGGCGTCAACATCCGCCGTCCGAAAGCCCGGGGCGCGACCAAGTATTCGGAGATTGGGAAGTAGTACTGCGGTTTGTTAACGCGCTGAACATCGAGGAAGGAACAGGGAAACCCACGATCAAAGAAACACTCCACGTCCAGTGTATAAGCCTCTCTTGGCTCCACTTGGACGGATGTAACTTCCGGCAATGTATAGAGGCTCGTCACACTCGACAAAGGCGAAGCCCCATACAAAGCGCCAACCAACGCCTCCGGGACCCCCAACCTAAGCGCCCCATCCAGCGCAACGCCCCGATGTTCCAAATACCCTTGTACATCATGACAATCGAACCACTCACCATCAAGGTCCAACGAGCGAATCCTTTCCTCATCCCCCTTCCCCAACCCCACCAGATCCAAATCCCCACTCCAATCCTCGTCCCAGTCTCGGATGCCACCACGCTCCAGGATCCTCTCCATCCGCCTGAGAATCTTTCCCGGTCTCCGTGTATTCTCGGGGAGCACAGGGTCGCCGTCCTGCAGGCGTGGGAAATGCGTCCCTGCGCCACCGAGTGTGTAGTACGGCATTTTGAAAAACTCTAATGTGCTGCCGATCTCTGATTGCAGGGTTCGTCGGAACGTCCGTCTAATGCCGGGCATGTCGTGGATGCATGGTACCAGTCCAAAGACGCGGCTTAGTTGCGCTGGTGGGGTGTTTGGGTCTGTGAGCCATCGGTAGGTATGCTCGAGGCAGAATATGTGGAGACGGCGAGAGAGATTGGATTCCTGGTGGCTGTAGGTGTAGATTGTTGCTGTGGGGAGGATGCGGTTGATCAGTGGAGAAGGAGATCTGGGACGGAGGCGTGTGATAGTGTGAGTGTTTTTATGCATGTTGCCAGAGGTATGCGAGATATGATAGCCGAAGCTGTCGCTATTGTCGGCATGCTGTATTGGAGTGCCATGCTCGGTGGGAACAGCCTTGCCTAACTCGGCAAGAATGAGTTCTCGTGTGCGCGCCAGATAGTCCGCGCTAGGAGGACCCCCACTGTCAGCATCATGGGCGAGGAGGTCTGATACATTGGCTAGTGTTTGCTCTAGCGAGTTCACGCGAGATCTGAGAGTCTGGATGGTAGCCTCTTTCTTGTTTCGATAGGTGCGTTGGGCACGTCGAATCTGGAGGCGGCGTTCCTGTGGAGGTCAGTTTACAGTATGGCCACAACCCTGGAAGTGGACCTGGATCTACCTCGATGGCTGCAGCATCTTTGACAGTATTTAATTTCGGACGGCCTCTTTTCCGCGCGGGACGATCCGGAGCTGCCGCACCCTCAGGGGCACCGGAGGTATTCGGTGCTCGAGGGTGCTTTCGAGTTCTCGACTGGTCATGGAGTTCGGGGAGTTTCTGATCGCCCTGCATGTGAGGCTGCTCGTGTGACAGGTCCAGGTAGGATCTGGAAGACAACATGTCTGATAGTATTGGTTCTCTCTCCATTGCTTGGTAGTTGCTACTAGCTAAAGGACGTGAAGTCCACAGATGTGTGTAATCTCGTTCTTTGATCACTCATCGCCAAGGTCGACCTCGGCAGGAATAGCGGCCACCGCGCCGCACTAATGCGGGACAGGGATGACCCCGACCCCACAATCTGCAGAGTTTTGAGCTTTTGATGCATCTGGAAGAATCGACGCGGATTCTCTGCGATGAGCTCCCGTGCACCCGTTGGCATAAACACTGCAGCGCGGAGCCCTTCACATGAAAAGCTCGTGTGTGTCCTCGTATGGGTCTCTGCCACAAGAGCTCAGCTCGTACTCCGTACTGCAGGTGATGTGTGAATTCTGAACAGGCTGGAGTGGAAACGCACGAATAGCACGAGCACGAATAGCAGAGAATAAGCATTACGAGGACTCGGGCACTCCGGGAGTCCGATCGGACACGGTGAAGCAAATCACCGCCCTCACCGGATCCTATGACGCACCAAGTAACAGGTCCGAGATTGGATCGGACAAGAAATGTTAAACGAGCGTGACTTCCGATGCGCAATCGCCTCTGACCTCCGTATGGTATTTCATTGGTTCGTTGCACGACGATCAGACCGCATTAGGGACTTGCATTCTCTCCCCTAGGTTGTGTTCCCCACTTGGACCGAGGCAGGTGTTCATATAAGCTGCGTGCTTGCTGCTCTCTCCGACAGCTCTGCAACTGTCCACAAAATGACTGTGTCATTCATTTTGGGCTTCACTGCCGCAGCCATCGTGCTGCAGGTCATTCGCATGATCGTGAACTCATGGCAACAGTCTCGTCATGCCAAAAGGTTGGGTTGTGGCAGCGCGCCACTCTACCCGTGCAAGGATCCCTTTGGAATCAGCAACCTCAAGCAGTCCCTGGCAGCCGATAAGGAGAACCTGGTGCCAGAGCTGGCTGAGAACCGCATCAAATTGATGAGCGAGCAGGAGAACCGCTACGTCACGACCTTCTCTATCCAGAACTTGGGCCGCACACACCTGTTTACCATCGACCCCAAGAACATTCAAGCTCTTCTGGCTACCCAGTTCAAGGACTTTGAGCTCGGTTCCGTCCGTCGGGATAGCATGCACCCACTGCTTGGCACTGGTATCGTGAGTAACATAGCAATCTGTTTGTGAGGTATCAGCAGCTAACATGTGCTAGTTCACCGCCGATGGAGAAGAATGGTCCCGCTCTCGCGGCTTGCTGCGACCTCAATTCACCCGTGAACAGATCAGTCAGCTGGATTTGGAAGAAGGCCATGTCCAGAAAGCCATGCAGGCATTGCCCGTCGCGGCCAACGGCTGGACGGCCGCGACTGACATCCAATCCATCTTTTTCCGGTTGACCATCGACTCCGCAACAGAGTTCTTCTTTGGCGAAAGTGTTGAGAGCCAACTCGGCGCTCTCCACAACCGCAACAGACCCGAAGACTCCTTCGCCGCATACTTCGACAAATCGCAATGGGTCTGCGCACAGCGCTCCCGCTTCGAGAAACTGGCCTTCCTCGCCGAAAACAAAGAAACCAAGCACTCCGACCAACAAGTCCACGCCTTCGCCGACAAAGTCGTCTCCAACGCCCTCGCTGCCTCAGCAGAAAAGAAGCCCGGAGACGGCTCCTACGTCTTCCTCGAAGCCCTCCTCGAAGTAACCCGCGATCCAATCGAGCTCCGCTCCCAACTCCTCAACATCCTCCTCGCAGGCCGCGACACCACAGCCTCCCTCCTCAGCTGGACAACCCTAATGCTAGCCCGCCACCCAGAAGTCTTCACCAAGCTCCGCGAAACCATCATCACCACATTCGGCACCTACTCCAACCCACAGAACATCACCTTCGCAGCTCTCAAATCCTGCCAGCCCCTCCAGCACGTCATGAACGAAGTTCTGCGCCTGTACCCAGTCGTCCCATTCAACCGCCGCAACGCAGCCCGCGACACCACCATCCCCCGCGGTGGCGGGCCAGACGGCGAAGACCCCATCTTCGTGCGCAAGGGACAATCCGTCATCTACACGACGCATGTGATGCACCGTCGGAAGGATCTGTGGGGACCCGACGCAGACGAATTCAAGCCAGAGCGCTGGGTCAGCCGCAAGGCTGGCTGGGAATATATTCCTTTCAATGGCGGTCCGCGGATTTGTATCGGGCAGCAATTCGCGCTTACGGAGGCTGGGTACGTGCTTGTTCGGCTTTTGCAGCGCTTCGATACACTTGAGGATGTGAATCCTGATCAGAAGATTCGCTATGGTCTTACTTTGACTAGTGCGCCTGCTGATAAGGTCACTGTGCGTATGCACCAGGCTGAAGATGCTTAGGTGGTTTTTGTGCATGTGAGATAGGTCCCTGTCCAGATGGTATTGTGGGGGCTGTCATTGTACGCCCCTGAACTAGTCACTTGGCTAGATCGATTATTGTTCCAGTGCGGAGTATATAATTTGCTGTTGGTCTGAGGACTGGCATATAGTACATAGTACCTGAGAGCTATTTGCTCATGATGATGACGACCCCAGGAAAATGAGATTTCATTTGATTTTTCTAGTGACTTGCCTCGGCGCTGTAGTTGTTTCAAATCCAACAAGTGACGGATTAGAGGCACAAATTATCATTAGCAGCCACACCTGATTTACCGTCATACCTAGTAGTCGATTCGAAGTGACTGAAGGCTGGATGTGATTCCAATTTTTTACAGCTTCCAAGATATCTAAAGGAACCAGAGCATGATATCAGTACTGAAGGTCTTGCTACTAGGTATTTGTCAATAATCATAAGTTACGATGTTCCAGATCGAAGAAAAAGCGAAAAGACCAGGTCCTTTCAAAAATTTATGTAAAAGAATATATCAGAATGAAGGTAAATATACAATGTAAAAGAAGACATCAGCCCAAAAGAAAAGCTAACCCCAAACCACCAAATTCAAAACGCAACCCCATTTTACGTATGCAGGTCAAAGTCCAAAAGAACTCGCTTAAACACACTGGAAGTAGTAGGGGTTCTGCTTGACGCAGGTGGAGCCAGACTCGCAGGTAGTGGCACCGGTGTAGTTGAGGCCACCGCACTGGTAGTACTTCTTAACGGAACCGTTGGCAGCGGCGCTGGGAGTAGCGCTGGGGGTGGCGCTGCTGGAAGGAACCTCAGTGGAAGCAGCGACACCGGAGAAGAAGGTAGGGGCGCCGGTGGGAGTGGGGACGTCAACGGGGATGGAGGTGATGGTGGTAGCGGCAGGAGCGGGAGCGGAAGACTGGATGACGGGGACGGAAGACTGGACAGCGGCAGCGGTGGAGCTGGAGCTGGAGCTGGGAGTTTCGGTAGCGGCAACCTCAGCCTGGGTGTTGGGGGTGCTGGTGATCTCGACGGCGGCAGCAGTGGTGGTCTGGGCGGTCTTGGTGGCGGAGGAGGTAGAGGCGGAGGCGGAGCCATCGACGAAGTACTTCTCGAGGATGGGGAGGTAGGTGGAGTAGGCAGGGCCCTCGTTGGGCTCAAGGCTGTACATGTAGGATCCCCACATGGGACCGGCAGACCACCACTCGGCACCCATCCAGACGTCGCTGTTGTCGGACATGTAAGAGAGCATGTTCTCAACGGCCTCCTCGCAGACGCTGTTGACACCACCGGCGAATTCACCGATGAAACCCTTCAGGTTGTTGGTCTGCAGCCACTCGGTGGCACCCTGGAGACGCTCCTTGCCAATGGTGGCGCTGGAGCAGGTCTCGGAGGTACCGGAGCTGTCACCATCGAGGTACTGGTGCATCTCGTAGACGATCTTGTCCTCGGAGTCAGTGAGACCCTTCAGGTTGTCGTTGTTGTCGGTCCAGGAGTGGGCTCCGCTCCAGGAGTTACCCTCGACGAAGATGTACTGGGTGGTAGCGCCGGCGGCACGGATACCGTTGATGGCGGCCTGGTTGAGGTTCAGGACAAGTTCCTGGTCCATGTCGTGGTACTCGTTGTCTGTGGGGGTGTAAGTAGATGCGCTTGGACCCTTGGTTTTCATGACTTACTGGTGTCGAAGATGACCTTGTCGTTGTCCGCGAACTCAGTGGCAACGTTCTTCCAGAAGGTCTTGAAGTCGTCGGTGGAGGAAATGACACTTCCGGAGCTGTGATACAATCGTTAATACATGAATGGCGGTGTTTCTGGTTTGCGAGCACTCACTATCTTCCGTAGTTGTGGGGGTCAAGGACAGCGTAGGCGCCGCCCTCGGTAATGGTAGCAACGGTCTGTAAGGCATTAGATATCGTTCGGAGGTCACCTCGCAGAGTTGGGGGAGCGAACCTTCTTCAGGGCGGCCATGTAGGTCGCATCGGCGGTACCGGTCATGCTGGATGGCACCAGGCGCTCCATCAAGAAGGGAACACGGAAGATGTTCATGCCAGCCTTTCTCAAGGTCTGGATGCTGGAGGTGGCGGGCCAGGCGTAGTCGGTGCCGGCGGTACCAGGGATGTTACCCTCACCGAACTCAGCACCAGACTCGCTGACACCGACCCAGGTGAATCCATTGGCACGCTTGCTGACGGCGGCACTCTGCTTGGTGTGGACGGTCTGGCCACCGTGGGGGAGGGCACAGGCCACGGATGCGGCGCTGGCGGCCAAAGCAAGGTTGGTGAACTTCATCTTGGGATGTAAAAGAGAGTGACTGTCGAGTTTGACGAAAGAATGTAGAATGAGAAGAAAGAATGAAAGCCAAGAAACCAGTTCTTGATAGTGGAAGAGAATGAATGGACAAAAACCAGAGGCCAAGGTTCAGGGACCGTCTGTTATATAGTCATGGCTTGCCTCAGGGCGTCAAACGGTGCCGGTGGATATTAACCAGCAATCTGGGACAGAGTGGAGGCATCCTTCGAGGCCTCCAAAGTACTGTACGGCGACCTGTACCTTGCAGGATTGGTCTGCCTGGGAGAGCCGTCGCCACTAACCCTGAACGTCGCAGGAGGTGTCTTGTTCTAGACGATGGATCTCCCCACCGGAGAAACCAGAGGAACGATCCTATTGCCCAAACGCCAATGGTTACAGCACGGAGGGCCAGGAGCGAGCAAGTTCGTGGATAGCAGCAATCTATCCCATAGTGAACCTCAATCTATCGGAAATTTGCCAGCAAGGCTTGGCCCTGTGGCCTGATAATAGGAGCCAAAGTGGATGTGCGATCACTGCAGGGCCTGACGGTCAACGACCAGACTAGCGAAAGCCCGTCTCGCCGTCAAAGAAAAGTAATCAAAAAGAGATTATTCTGATACACTTCCGGGGTCCCCTATCCTCTCTTGGGGGTGGTGGCCGAGGGACAGGCACCGGGTAAATTGATCCATGCTCAAGATGAAACACGACGGGGCGTTTAGCACCATCGCCGTTGACAAGCCTCGCATAATTCGCCCGGACGTTCCATGAGAACATTATGGAAACCGGTATAGCAGATTAAAGTTGATATGGCGCTGGGCTGTATCACATCGCGGCCGGGCGACGATCATCCTCATATTTACCAGGTGCTCTGTACTCGGAAGGAGATGGGTGTCCCTGGCCCGTCCCAGGGGTGCGGAGTCTGACAAAAGACCAAATCCACACAATCATGGGTCTCGTTGATCTCGGGCATCGGCATTGGAAGTGAAGAGTGGTAACTTCATGTCGTGAATCCAGAAACTAAAGCAAAGACTCGGAAAGGTGATGTTGGTGGTGAGTTTTCAGAAGGGAGATCGGAAAATGAAATATGGCTTGCGGTCGAATTCGAACACGAGACCTCAAGATAGTAGATGTCACATGACCTGGCCATCATAGTCGGTCCAAAAGGGTGTTTTGCTGGGCAAAAAGAGAATCAGGCTCTCCTGCAATAACGAAGCTTGGGTAAAGAAAAAAAAAACTGGTAGCTTCTCTTTGATTGAGCGTGTCATCCTTAGTGCAGGGGCCATGCTAATCTTCTCTGTATATTTTCATTTGACCAAATGCCCCGAAGGGCGTAGGAGACTACCTTAAAGGTCGTTATAACCTCTGTTTTCGGCAGAAAGTTACCGCTTTATCTCGGGTCGCGGCAGGAAGACCAAAGTGAGAGTTCGGGGTAGAGACCTCGGGACAACATTGAAAGACTGTCAGATGCATTCCATTAGACAATTATAGTTTATCCTGCGCTACTGCAGGAGTAATATCGAATTCAAACGAATGGTCACCCTGTCCAACTGGGACAGCCTGAGCGTTGTTGTCATACAACGTTCTCTCAAAGTACCGTACTCGCCCATCCGGTCGTGCCAACAGAACGGTCTGCTTCTGCGTCCCGTATGAGCCACATGTATAGCTTTGATCCACAGGGCCATTGGCCGGAGCGGTGTCTTCTACCCGGGCGGCGGCCTTCACGGCGGTCTGGTCAATATCGTTGGCTGCACCGATGACCGGAATGAATATGCTCTTGCGTAGGTGATGGATATATGTATCGATGGTGGCGTTCTCCTCTGACATCCGCGGCAAAGTATCTGTGCTGAGAACTTGTAACAATCGATCAATCAAGACATCTTCTCCCTCTTCCTCTTGCACATGCTCCGCGATAGCAGCTTCCATCAACTTCTCCCCGTCGATGATCTTCGGCCAGCTTCGATCATCCACGCTGGTATTGCTCAACCCGCGGGTCTGATTCTTCTCCGTAGCCACCCAGGTGATATGCTCCATGTCGGAGGCTCGATTAGAGACTATGGCGAGGGGCTCGTTGATGTGCCCGCACACAAGACTGAAGCCGCCCACTTGCTTGGCTTCCGGGCTGGCCACGATGGCCTGCACAAACTCCCGAGTGGCTTCCTGTCGGTTTGGAGGGCTGGTCAACCAGCTGTTGACGATGAGACCACGACTGAAGACCCCGATAGCTTCACTGGCTTTATCTTCGCGATAGTTCGTCAGCACGGCTAGCTTCCCATGCTTGGTGACGCCCATCCAAGTGCCATGCGTAGATCGGGCAAGGTCTCGTGAGCCTAGGACATGCGGGGACGGCTCCGGCCACCAGTCTGGGGCCGATGTTGGCCGGTGAAGGAATTCCTGGGTATGTTAGCTTGGGCGGTTGAGCTTGATACCGGGCCATTACATCTCGATTGTCGATTACGATCAAGGAGTATGATGGATGGGCTGTTGAGATCAAGGCGATGCACATTATCTGGAGATATGACTGAGGGGAAGAATGCAGAAGGTACCGAATCAAATGGCGAGGCGAATGTAAGGGTTTAAAGAGGAGAGGGGAGAGGCACCGGGCCCAAGACTTCCAGGGTTGGGGTATCGGGTGATTGGGCCGGTTCCGATGGAGATTGCAGCTGGGCAGTCAACGAGCAATGTGGTGCAATTTGAAGTTTTGGAGGCAGAGACTTGAAATCTATCTACTCTCCAAGGCTACTCCGTACACACCCTGGAGTAGCCTGACGTCAAGATCCCGAACCGCGGGTCCCCTCAGCTGATATCGACTCGTTATCGTGATGTGATCTTGGACTCCAGGGCTTTCTGCTATACCTACCTGGTAGGTAGCTGGATGTTCTCTTTGGAGCTTTGTTTCGATTGCTATTTTGAGACCCCTTTTGGATCTTTGTTGCCTACTCAGCCCCATATTTTTTTTTTTTTTTTTTTGTTTCCTCGGTGGTCTCCAGACAGCGGGGCTGATTTGGAGATTAAAACCACCCGAGTCTCATCTTCTTTTTTACCTCTACAACACACCACAAGCAACGTCTCACCATGTTCGGAATATTCGCGGACTTGATGTCGTAAGTGCACCATCTCTGCGGCTCCAAGCGGAGAAAGTGGTCCCACTGTCAGCTAACGCAGATCGACCCCGTAGCTCGGTCATCACGATCTTCTTCCCCGTCTTCGCATCGTTCAAAGCCCTCCGTTCCTCCGACCCCTCCCAGCTGGCACCATGGCTGATGTACTGGGTGGTTCTCTCGGTCATTATCTGGGCGGAATCATGGACCTACTTCATCATCGGATGGTACTGTCGAACTTCTCGCCCCTAAATTGATCGCACGCTGATATGAGATAATACAGGTTCCCATTCTATAGCTGGATTCGCCTCTTCTTCCTATCTTATCTCGTTCTTCCACAGACGCAAGGGGCTCGCCTACTGTACCAGGGCTACGTGGATCCGTTTTTGGCACACCATGAGCGGGAGATTGAGGAAATGATTGGCCACACCCATGAGAAGGCAAAGGCCCTGGGCCTGCAGTACTTCTACCAAGCTATCGATATGATCCGGGAGAAGGTTCTGGGCCTACCCCCACAGCGCCCCGAAACACCGCCTCAGCAAGGTGCTGCGTCGTATGCGCAATCGCTGCTCTCTCGCTTCAACATCCCCTCTGCCGGAGCCGCGGCCGCCTCCAACGATTGGTACTCCGTTCTCAGCTCCGCTGTGGGGGCCGCAACATCTACCGGACGGTCTCGTGAAGCTCAGGATGAGCATCTTTCTGCCAGTGGCACTCTTCTCCAGCGCCAGATGCAGTCTATGTCTGGGGCCGAGAAGGCACAGTTCATTTCATCACAGCGAGAGCTCCTGGATCATCTTCGATCGACTTTAACCCGCGAGGAACAAAGCACCCCCCGGGAGGCCGACAACGATGATTTGGCCTACGGCGTGCCCCTACGCAAGAACCGGAGCGAGAATTCCTTTGAAGTCGTTGACGACGAGGATCTTGGTCGTCGCTCGGATCGCAAGACCAGCGGCGGATGGACTACTGGATGGTTTAGCAACGAGCAGGACTCGTCTGGCTCGTCTGGCACGGATTTCGCGGCCCGTGCTATTGACGAGATCGCCCGGGCTCGCGCTACCGGGTACGATCGATCTTGAATTCGACATGTTGGGCTGAAAAGGTAGATTCCGGACACTAAAATAGAATCTCAAGGGCTTGCTCTCGCTGGGTGAGAGACAGGAACTTGACCTCAGGAGGTCTGTGTGGCTTCTTAACTTGCTAAAGAGCGCCTCTATCAAATCAAAATTGACTTGTCATGAATACCTGTTGGACAGCCGAGGATATCTATCCGAATCCCTCCGGTCGGAGGAATAATATGCAGGACGTTCAGGTGCAGTCCTGCAAGGACGGGAGATCGAGAGTAGATTGTATTTGATATGACTCCCTATTTCCCCCAAGGGCTGGTTTTTCTTTTGCTGATAAGCCAGGGGCATATCCCTTTGTGAACAGTCAATAGTCAGGGATTAGGGAGAATAGTCGTGCCCGGTACTCCGTACTCCGTACTCCATAGTCTGAATGAAGTATTGAACGAGAACAATACATGCCCGGGTGTACATAGCAGTCAATGAAAGATTGACCCGGGGTGAAGTTAGCAGGTCAGACGAGAACGGAGATAGTACTATGTCCAGTGAGGTAGTCCGGTTTAAGTACGAGTATCAAGTCCCGTACTCAAGAGCGTGGCAAATGGGGAAAATGGGGGAAAATGGGGCAACTGGGGTCCATCAAAGCCCCGACTGAACAGTCAGAGACTCTCAAAGAGTGCTGGAAGGGTTAAGAGTCATAGCAGGCAGCACTATCTCGTATAGCGTGTGGTCGTGGTCGTTGTACTCCGTAGACTCGCCTTGTACACGCACCATGTAAGTGGCGTCAGCGAATAATACGAAAAATTAATTCACACAAAACCTCACCTTCACATCATTTCTACAAGATTGTAGAAACCCTAGAACCTCGAGAAACTCTAGGGACTTGAAGATATCCTGGTGAGTTGCGTCTCCGCGACCCTTTCGTTTTCCACAAACCCCGAATTTTTTCCACCGAAACAACTTTTTTTCTTCGAATTCCTCCCACCAACCTTTTCCCAACTTCATTAAACCCGCAACTGTAGACCAAACGCCGCATCTCTTGCTGCGTACCTGGTCTTCATTGCATCTGGAACTTGTTTCCTCTTTTAAAAAAAAATCATCTCCCTGTTTAACCTGCGATAGGTTTGGATGTGGACTTGTCACGCCTCTACCGCGTCTTGACATCACCTCGATACCCCCTCTTTCGCCTTATTCTCGCCCTCTTCGCGCGTTCAGACGGAAAACAACCTGTCTAATGACCTCGAACCCTCCTCAGTCGGGCAACCAAGGACAAAGCACCGCTACACCCGCTTCGACCCAGCCCGCATCTTCCCAGCCCACCCAGGCTACTACCTCGTACGCTTCCGCGACCAAGAAGTCCGCGACGGACTCGACCGCCGCCTCCGCCACCGTGAGCGGCTCAGCGCATAATGGGCAGCAGAGTTCTGGATCTTCAGTGAACGGAAAACCCATGCAAAACCAACCTGCCGCTTCGGGCGTTACCATCGTCAATGGGGCTCCCACTGCTCCAGCTGCCGGCGATCACTCTCGCAAGCCCTCTGTAACCATCACCTCCAGCGGTACCTCTGGATATATTCCCAACGGCGGTGCTCCTGCCAGCCGTCCCAACAGCCTGCAGTTCGGTTTCGCAAACCAACAGAGCTCTCCCAACATGGGTGCTCCCGCTGTTCCTGCTTCCAACCAGGCTCAGTCTGGACTCGGTGCGCCCTCCACCAACCCCCGTGTGACGTCTCCTCAGACTTCGCCTTCGCCCATCCCCCAACCCGCCTCCAGCGGTGGCCGTCCTCCTCCATCTACTTACCAGGCTCAAGGAAATGTGCCCAACTTCGGTAGCTTTGGCGAAACCGGCGATGCCAACGTAAGTCTCTTATACCCCTGCCAGTGTGACCTTGATGCGCAACTATTATGGCTTGCGAGGCAAGATCACGCTGCATCCTCAAAATGCCCCGTCTATCCCGATATCTTCTTCGCAATTTTTTGAACATTTCCTCCCCCTTTCTTTGTTTGTCTTTGTTGCTTTCTCGCCCATTCCAGTTTACAACGCTAACGGTGTCTTTTGAACCGACAGGCCCCCCACGGTCCTCCCCATATGCGCCGCGAGTCATCCCAGTCCGCCCACAGTGACAACATGAACGGCCCTGGTCGCGGTGGCTACCCTCACCAGGGTGGCCGTGGCCGTGGATACTCTCAGTCCGGCTACCAGGGACAACAGATGCCCTACTCCCCCAACCCCAGCTTCCGTCAGACCCCCAACCAACCACGCGGTGGTCCCAACATGGCTCCCCAGTTCCACGGCCCCAACCAAGGCCGCCCACTGGCTCCCTACTCGCCTCACCAAGCCCAACGCAGCCCTGCCTTGGCCAATGTCAACCCCACCACCCCCCAGATGGGCCAGGTCCCTATGGCTCACCCTAACATGCCCCCCCAGCCGTACGGCTACGGCCAACACATGGGTCCCCAAGCTGTGAGCCCCCCATCTTCTTTACCCCCTCGTCTTTCCCAAGATATTCCTCGCCGTGGAACCCATAGGAAGTTCAGCAACCCCAGGAACAATGGGAAGCAACAAGGCCCGGTCTATCAACCCAAACTCCCCATGGATCTTGCGCCCGAGAGCGGTCAATTTGAAAAATTTCTGACATATATGCAACAACAGACTTACACCGGTGGCTATGATCCCAACTACGCTGGTTACTACAACCCATCTGCCGGTGGTTACTACATGACTCCTCCATCGCCTCAACCTCGTGCCGCGGGAATGCCTTACAACGGCCAGTACATGGGCCAGCAGTACCCTGCGCCGATCCCCCAGGCGGCTCCGCTTTCGCGTACCCCCTCCCAAGTGTCTACTGATCGTCCAGGTTCCAGCCTTGGCCAAGGACCGGCCCCCGCTGGCCCCGCTACTCCCGGTCACAACCACACCGCCAGCCGGTCTTCCAACTCTCCTGCTCCCAAGCCACACTTCGTTCTTCCGTCGACCAAGAAGAGCGCCGCGATTGTCATCAAGGACCCTAACAGCGGCTCAATCAAGACCTTCGACAAGAACCCTGCCTCTCCTGCGCGCGCCACTCCTTCACCTGTGAAATTCAGCACTCCCCCGACCTCGACCCCACCTCCTCGCACTGCTAGCGCCGCCGAGCACACTCGTTCTGACAGCAAGGCTAACACTGCCAAGACTGACGAGGAGAAGAAGCAGGAATTGAAGGATGCCGTGCGTTTGAAGATTCAGCAAGACGAGGCTGCCCAGAAGCAGCGTCTCGCTGATGAGGCCTCCAGCAAGCCCGCCGAAGCCGAGCCCACCGCTGCCAAGAAGGACGACACCGAAGCCACTCGTGCTGCCGTCGAGGATCTTTCGATCAAGGAGAAGGCTGCGCCCGTCGAAGAGGCCAAGCCCGCCCCTGCGGAGGAGCTCAAGCAGGCCCCTGCCCCTGCCCCTGCCCCTGCCCCCGCTGCCGCTCCCGCGGATGACGATGAAATCGACTTCGATGCCATCGAGCGTGAGATGGCCGAGATTGAGGCTAAGGAGCGCGCTGCTGAGGAAGACTACAACCGCAGCAAGGCCGAGAAGAAGGAGAAGGCCGAGCGCCAGGAACGCGAGGAGCGTGAGAACTACGAGGCCAACATGAAGAAGGCCGAGGCCGAGGCTGAAGCACGCGAAATTGCCCGTGAGCAAGCCCGCGCCAACGGTGAATCTGCCCCGGATGACGGCAACAAGGATTTGTTCGCCTCTCTCAAGAAGGGTGGATTCGGTGCCACCGAGACCGCAACTGAAAGTGGTCCGGAAACACCTGTCTCTGACATGGGACCTCCCGGCAAGCCAGCCGCCAAGAAGCCCGCCGGTCTTAAGCTTGATACTCCCAAGCCAACAGAGCCCCTGCAGCCCACAGCAGCCATGAAGTCTCTCGAGAACGCCAAATTCCTTGTTGATCTCAGCAAGGTCACCTACCCCTCTTCCATCACTCCCCCCAACGCCGTCCTGAATGACGCCGCTCCCGAAGGCCGCAAGTTCCACTACGACCGTGACTTCCTCATGCAGTTCCAGGCTGCTTTCAGAGAGAAGATCTCTGTTGACTGGGACTCTCGTGTGCGTGACACCGTTGGCGACCCCACCGACTCTGCCCGCCAGGGTAGCCGCACTCCCAGCATGAGTGGCGGCCGCAACCCCTCTCGCGGTGGCATCGGTGGCCAATTCCAGATGGGCAGCTTCGCTACACCACGCCCTGGCCAGATGCCTCCTATGGGTGGCAACAACATGAGCCGCAACCCCTCTGGCTTCGGATTTGGACGAGGCGGACCTGCTGGCATGAACCCCCTCGGAAACATCCGCAGTGGCTCCGGTGTCGGTCCCCGCACTGGCTCCAAGGGTGGCCGCAATGACAGCAAGGCCGGTGGTCGTAGCAAGGCCGGTGGCCGCAAGGATGAAGAGGCAAACAAGTCCATGCCCCTCACCGCTGGTATGGACCTCAAGGCCATTCAGACCACCGCAACTGGATGGAAGCCTCGCAGCGTTGGCCAACCCACTGCTGGCCCCGCCCCTGGTGGTGATGGCCACATGGCCCCCGATGTTGTGCAGCGCAAGGTCAAGGCTGCTCTCAACAAGATGACCCCCGAGAAGTTCGATCGTATCGCTGGCCAGATCCTCGAAATTGTTTCTCAGTCCAAGGATGAGAGTGACGGCCGTACTCTGCGCCAGGTCATCCAGCTCACTTTCGAGAAGGCTACTGACGAGGCTCACTGGGCCCCCATGTACGCCAAGTTCTGCAAGAGCATGCTCGAGAGCATGAGTGCCGAGATTAAGGATGAGAACATCCGCGACCGTAACGGTACCGTTGTTGCCGGTGGCAGCTTGTTCCGCAAGTACCTCCTCAACCGTTGTCAAGAGGAGTTCGAGCGTGGTTGGAAGGTTAACCTGCCCGAGAAGCCTGAGGGTGTTACCGAGGAGGTATGTTCATCATCGAAAGTCAATCATTTGTTTCATTTCTTACTAACTATCTGCAGGCTGCTATGATGTCTGACGAGTACTACATTGCCGCCGCTGCTAAGCGTCGTGGTCTTGGTCTCGTTAAGTTCATTGGTGAGCTTTACAAGCTCGGCATGCTTACAGAGCGTATCATGCACGAGTGTGTCAAGAAGCTTGTCGACTACGAGGGCATTCCCGATGAGGCTGAGGTTGAGAGTTTGACCTCTCTCCTCCGCACCATTGGTGCCAGTCTCGATGCCTCCGAGAAGGGCCCTGCCATGATGGATGCTTACTTTGCTCGCATCCACCTTATGGTCGAGACACCCGGTCTCCCCAGCCGTCTCCGCTTCATGTTGCTGGTAAGTGAATCTTTTCTGCTCCCTCTGGAGTAAACGAATTCATCAGATACTAACGCTCTTCTAGGACATCATTGATCTCCGTGCCGCTCGTTGGAACTCCAAGGAGGGTGACAAGGGTCCTCAGACCATTGTTGAGATTCGCGAGGCTGTAAGTATCCATTACGTCCGATCCTTTATTCCGTTCTCTAACTTTCAAACAGGCCGCCCGTGCTGCCCAAGCCGCCGAGGCCGAACGCCAACGCCAGACCAGCAACCGCGGCGGTGGTGGTCGCATGCCCATGGGCCGCGGTGACGCCCGTGGCTTCGGATACGGCAACCAGGCCCCTCCCCCCGACTACGCATCCAGCAAGGTTGGCAGTGACGATCTCCGTCGTCTGCGCGCCACCCGCAACACCAACCAGCCCATGTCCTTCGGGCCCTCCAGCCTTCTCGGCTCGCGCACCAACAGCGGCCGCAAGAACCTCGGTCCCGGCGGCAACCTAGTCCGTGGCAGTGACGACAGCGCCGCCAGCTCTCGCACTGGTACTCCCCCCGCCGGCAAGAAGGAAGACAAGGATACCTCTTCCATGAACGCTTTCAGGTACGTGGCATCTCCATTTCCTCTCATATAGATCTCCATATACTAATAACCAGCCAGTGCTCTCGCCGCCCTTGAAGACCGGGATAACATGGCTACCTCGCCTCCCTCGAACCCCACCTCCCCGATGCTCACCAAGTCGCAGCCCGCGGCCGAACGTCGCCCCTCAAAAACCCCGTCTGTCAAGGATGGAGAATCCACAGCATAGAAAGTCCTTAGGAGTTAATGATCAACGTTTTCCGTTTCTGGTTCATACAAAAGATTTCATTTTCGTCATTTGTTTCTCCCATCTCCTCCCGGAGCTGGGATTTTTCTGTCGCGGCTCTGATGCATTTTTCCCGACTGGTCGGTCTGAAGCCTCGGTCTTCGCTTTTATGACGGTTTTCTTCTCCCGAAAAAACCAAAATCGCTTCCTCTTCATAGTGTACAATCTTCACATCAGTTTTTTTTTTCTTCAACCTCTTCGACTGCTATCTCCAATTGCTTTGATGAGCTGTGGACAATGCAATGAGCAGTCATCGTGATCTTTTCGGTGGGATGGATCGGGTTTGATAGTAGGACTTGGCTCAGTGATTTTTCTGTTTCCCATTTCGATGAATATTTGCAGTGGTGGTCCGATTGAGTGAGAGCTTGGCTGATACTGTTCTTTTTTCTTTCTGTTTCTCTCTGCTTATTTCCCTTGCTGCATTTGCTCTTGTCCTTAATACCCGGAGCATTCTCGGTTACGATGCGATTGAATGATGCTCTACTTGACTTCCATAGCTCTAATGGCTTTCTTCGTTGATCTTGTGCCTGACTTAAATGCGTAGGCGTAGGTGTCTAGAGTCGAGGGGACTATTGAGAAGGAAGGATAAAGAACTGCTAGGCGTTCTGGAAAGTATGTGTTTGATCTCCACTTGACTAGTATCTATCTACCGTATATGTGCCGCGGAAGCTACCCATGGCCATATTTAAAGACACAATGTCATGCGATATGGAGCTCGAATATTCAATGTCGAGTCTACCGCGAATGCATCTATGGATGTTTTGTAAGTAGTACGAGCCAATGATAAAGCCAGGTCAAAACCAAACATTCCAGGCTGCAAAAAGAGTTGGGATTGACAGTTATCCAAGTCAATGGATCAGTCGATCAGTGTCAAGACGATGGTAAAAGTCACGAGCGAGAGATGATGGTGGTTCGTATGCGTCGTGAATATGTGAGATCCTAATGATCGGATCGAAGTCATGCTATGCTACAACGCCGAGAGTAAATATGGGCCTCGCTGCGTTTTCAAGGCCCGCCATGATCATTGTCGCCGGATACTTCGATCGAAGGAATAGAGATTGTTTTTGGCTCCGCCTCTGTCCGCCCCCCTTCGGTAGATGACGAGTCAGAAGAGTCATTCTCAGCGCCTGCTGTTTGGCTCTCGAGCACGCTTTCTTGGGAGCTATCGGCCGGGCTGCCCGTGGGACTCTTCATTATGATTGCATCGAGAGAGTTTCTGGCAGGAGTTGTCGAGTCAGAGTCATCGTGACTGAAACTACTTCTGTCCGAGACTGATAGCGAGCTGCGCGAGTTCGCGTTGGAGTATGATGCCGGAAGACCCAATGCTTCGGCTACTGCGGCTTCTTCGTCTGGCAGCTTGGAAGTACTGCTGTCGTTGCTGGAACTGGTGCCAAAGACGCGACTTCCGCGCTGTTCACTCAATTCCAGAATATGGTTGTAGCTGCGCCGGGTGGGATCTGCGCGGCGCTTGTTCTTCTTTTTCTCGCGCTTTGGAGATGGGCGGACGACAATGACTGGGATTGGGGATTGCTGGAGACAGTATTTGGATACGGATCCTGGGAGTAGACTGTGCACTCCTTTCATGTTGCGGCCTCGTGTGCCTACCACGAGCATTGCGGGCTGGTATATGCGAATCTAGGGGGTGTTGGTTCGACTGTTCTTGATGTTTTGTAGGGCAGCTTACCATGCGCTGAATGATGTTCTCAACCTTGCCCACTGCAAGTTCCAAGACTAAGCTGATGGCTTTTTCGTCTTGGCTATTCTTCTGTATGACTTGCTCGAATAATTTCTCGGCTTCTTCGCGGTATTTCCGCTCCTCTATTGCAATGTCGGTGGCGATGCGCGAATCTTTCTCCACCGCTCGGAGGCAGACAATCTCGTCGCCATCATCCACGAGCTCGTCAATGAGCCATTCTAGGGCGAATTCTGAGTAATCGTTCTGGTCGGTGCCACACAAGAATGTTCGGCTTCGGCGTGTGCTCTGGTATCCTTTGTGCTTATAGTTTAGAGTAAGAGAGAAATCGGTGGCGTCGAAGTTGTCGAATGTGTCAAAAGAGACACCTCTTTCATATGTTCTATCTCGAATTAGTATGTGACATCGAATATGCACTTAATGGCACAACTCACTTGGGAGGGGGAGGAGATGGCCCTCGGTTCAGTTGTGCAGCCCTATGTTCCCTCTCCCTATCCTCTGCAGTCCTCGTTGGGGTATCTCCATATGATAGCCGTTTCTCCTTGGTACTCGGCGATCGAGTGGGTAGCTGGGCCTGGGCAGCGCCCACGTTGAATTGAATCGATCTCCGCCGCGGGCTTCGGTCTCTGGGGCTAACGTCACTGGAGAGGTTGCGGGTGTGACCGGCCCCCGCAGCTGAAGTCGTATGATCACTTGACCCCGGCCGCTCTTCAGATTCCAGTGACTGCTTGGGGGAGTCTGCTGCAGACATTTCGATGTGTAATTTCAGATGAAAGACCCACGCAGGAGAGGTTCTACCTGCTGGGTTCCCTGTCGCTGTCGATGGCTACCTAGGTAGTAACGTGTATCAGCGACCGTGGGGTTGCTTATTCCACAAGACCAAACGAGCAGTTGAGGTCATGTCCACGGGCTTATTGGAAACGGGAGGAATGTTAATGGTCACGAGCCATTTCCTAGGGAGTGACGGATGCAGCGAGGGGTCGGGGCGGTGATCCCTTATCGATACTGGAGCTTAAATGATTATGTCACCATTTCGTGAGCTCTCAGATGTTCAGCTTTTACTTCGTTACTTGTTACTTGTTACTTGTTTGTTGATGCCTACATACTTGATTTTCGCTTGAGTGCCCAGGCTTTGTCGCTTTTTACTGAGTATGATTGAGCACACCCCTAAGCACTCTGATCTGGAGTGGTCCAAGTAAGCTACATCAATAAAATACACCTTGGAGCATAATATATGGATTGAAGATAAAGAACCAAACTAAGTATCTAAGATAGTGTTTTTAACTAGGTGTATATCCGTTATTTCTTACCTACTCCCTGGTATGGCTTCATCCATGGATGTCCCCCCGCTGCTCCCTTGCGGAGATCCAGTGGCGACTTCCAAGGTTAAATCGCCTTGTCCTTTCCACCCTCGGCCCATCACAAGGCCAACCGCAGGGTATTATTCAATCATGCGTCTTTAGAGTCGGCGATAACATGATCCTTGTGTTCAATCTCAGGCAGACCTTCAGCCTTGGTCTCAGATGCACTCGCAAGCGCTTGATCCCCGTCAAAGAGCCTGCTGACCTCTTCAAGTGTCAGACCCCGAGTTTCCGGGAAGGTAAAGTAGATGATGGAAAGCCAAAGGATGAGCGCACAGCAGAATACAGTGTAGTACTTCCATCGCAGCGCCTCCAACGCAACTGGATTGACGAACCCGTTGAACAGGCCACTGCAAATCTGGGCCAGGTTGAAGATACTGAGGCCCTTGGCGCGGAGCGTGTAGGGCAACACTTCGACCAGGTAGGCAATGGGTAGGGGGTTCATGGCAAAGTTGTAGAACGTGTAGAACACAAAAACCATGGCCACGACGCCGATACCGAGTCCCTTGTGGCTCTCTTCAATCTGATTCCGTGCTGCGAGGATCGTCCAGATGGTGAAAGAGATCAACATGCCGATAGTGGAGGTGAGGAATAGGAATCGGCGACCCAGGCATTCGATCAGGATCGCAGATCCGGTGGCAATCACAAAGTTGTAAATCTGGAGGGCGCCGTTGATCAGGTTTTGGGTTTCAGCGTCGGTGATTCCAGTGTCGATGAGTACGAGAGCAAGGTATCCCGAGATGAGTTGGTTTCCACACCACTGAACGATAAGGCCCAGGGCGGCGGTAACTAACAGACGATGGCGGTTTCCCTCTGGGGGTTGAATAACGCATTAGGACAGACCACCTTGAATAAAGCAGTAATTGAGGCAGACTTACTTGTTTCAAAGAACTGAAGATAAGACACTGAATTGAGGGACTTCTCGAATTCCATAGCGCCAGTAATCTCGGCGACCTGAAGCTGGACAAGCGTGGTCGGCTCGTCAGTATCACAGTGATATTTGCTCAGAATCCTCGTGGCATCCCCTGTCCGACCATTGGCAATAAGCCACCTAGGGCTCTCGGGCACGAAGAAGATGAAGATGACCTGGAATATGGAGACTAACCCCTGCAACAGTGAGGGTATCTTCCAGCTCCAAGAGTTTGGCATGTCAAATGTGCCATATGTAGACCACGCAGCCACAATCGACCCAACATACTATACAGTCATCATATTAGCTCCTTAATCTGGGGGTGAAAGGCTTGGTTGCATCGACTTACCCATGTCGTATTGTAGACAGCAGTGATGATGGGTCTATGTGTCGGGTAGGCCAGCTCTCCAAGCAATGGAGGAGAGGCCGTTGCGACAAACATTCCACCTAGACCAATGAAGAAGCGCCCAACCACAAACATCGCCATGTTTTTTGCAGTCCCCTGCAATATCGCGGCAGCTATTATGACCATAGAACCAATGAAGATAGGGATTCGCCGTCCAAACCTGTCTGCAACGAAGGGGGCAACGGGGAGAGCAATGATGCCGCCAATCGTTTGCATATTCACCATAAGGCCGAGCATGCCGCCGGAGGGGTGGTTGAAATCTGCCCAGGTGTAAAATAGGATCTCCGGTTAGCTTGCACATTTCTAGGTATGACATACGACGTCTATAGCAGGGAAGCCCTCGACTGTATTTACCTTCTTTCCACTGCTGGACTGTCTGGACACCATTGAGCATGCTGCCGTCAAAACCACCGACATAACTCGAGACAAATGGGACCAAGAGGATCAGGTTCAGTTTCACAAGATGTGGGACGCGCCACCATCGTTCCTTAGTGCAGAATTCCTGAATTCTCAACTCGCTATTCTCGCTCGTAGGCTCCATAGCGAAACAGCGGGATGTTCCCTCGGTATTTTGCGCTGGAAAGAGTAGGAACCTTCCAAGGTTGGAAGAAGGTATTGTTGACTTGGTTCAGAGTTGTTGGGCGGAACATACAGATGCAGGGGAAGATCTTTATATGCGAGTTCTATCTAGACTGAAACCCCAGATAGTAGATCCCCCGCATGCCTAAAAATTCGTATGATTGGCCTCTCCGCTCTAGAATTTGCCCATGGGGAATGTGTCGTTAGACGGGTTTTCCAGCTTCGGCGCCAACCTTCTGTAGGCAAAGTAGATCGAGACCAAGGGATCAAAGGCCTCTGAGAATTGGTGGAATTTGCCGACGACAAATTGGTGAGAACACAAATCATGCCACTACTCAGATACGGCCTAATCTGAAGCTGAAATGGGCTGGATTCCACCGCGTGTAAAGTTACCCCAGGTACTACCTCCCGTGCATTCTCGCTCCGGCAGCATCGTGATTACTTCCGGGGGCCCGCATCATACCTACTATACCTGGATGATTTAGCCTGAATGCAGGGGATTAGGAGTGATGGTAATATCGTGTGTTCCAGCAAGATGGGTTCTTCTGGTCTCGAGAATCGCAACTCGTATTCGGGCATATGTCGTGTCTCGTATTCGCATAAATCATAGCATCGCCTTGTGGACATACTAGACTTTTGAGCTCCAGCGCCCCCTGTGCATCCGTACGGCGAAATTGTGGGGCATCTGGCTTCTCGGTGGAATACCCCTGCACTTGGAATCTTCTTGGCATTTTTCGGTAGAATCCAGTTTGATGGTAAAGGCTGGGCAACTCTGCTCCAACCTTGCCCTGCAGAGCTTTATGGAAGCTGAGCTATAAAAATGATTGGCAACATGAAAGGTGGTGGAAAATCCAATTTTGGGAGTACAATTTTTGTGTCAGGACGAAGTATTCATTCAGCAGGGCACAATGGAGCGAGTTCGAGTCAACCCCGTTGTCCCTGGGTTTGCCCCCGATCCTTCGCTGGTCTATGTCGACGGCACCTACTTCGTCGTGAATTCGACCTTCCACATGTACCCCGGACTACCAGTCTACGCCTCCAGGGATTTGAGGGAATGGAAGCATATTGGTACATGAAATTTCTACTTCTATCTCCCTCCAGCCCAAGTCCTTGTACTAACCGGATGCACTAGGCAATGCCCTCGACGGGCCACGACGAATAGCTCTCCAACAGTCCATGACCAAATTGGTCGGTCCCGACACTCCAGGCAAGACCATAGCGGCACAGGGAGGCCTCATGGCTCCTTCAATCAGGTACCATGAGGGTACCTTTTATATTATTTGCACGAATGTTTTCCACCGCCCACCCTTGCCCAACGGTGCCGAATGCCAAAACTTCATCGTGTCTACTACAGATATCTGGGCAGATGAATGGAGCGACCCAGTCTTCTACGACTTTAATGGAATCGACACAAGCCTGTTCTGGGATGATGACGGGCAAGTCTATATCCTTGGTGCCGCGGGCCCCGCCCCCGAGAGCAAAATCATGCAATTCCAGATCGATCTCCGAACGGGGGCCAAGCTGTCTGAGGAGAAGTTACTTTGGGAGGGCGTCACAAAGGTCTTCCCGGAGGGTCCGCACATGTATAAGAAGGACGGGTGGTACTACCTTCTTATCGCCGAGGGTGGCTGCTTCGAAGATCATCATAGCATCATGGCGCGGTCGCGCAATATCTGGGGTCCGTACGAGGTGAACCCAGCAAACCCTGTGCTCCCCAAGGCAGACCTTACGAGTTACATCCAGTACACGAGCCACGGCGACCTTTTCCAGGAGCCCACTTCGGGCCAGTGGTACTTTGTGTGTCTGGGTGTTCGGAAGAATGATGGGCGGTTCATCATGGGACGTGAATCCGTTCTTACTACGGCATCCTGGCCTGAGGGGGAGTTCCCTGTCATTCACCCTGTGCAGCCGGATGTGCCACTTCCTCCCCGGACGCAGAGCTCACTGGGGGAATGGCCGGTGAGACGAATGCTGGGCCGTCCAAATGTCGCCTACCTCCGCATCCGCGATCCTGTCGAGGAGAATTATCATTATGATGATGAAAACGTTACCCTGACATCGAGCAAGGCGGACCTGGACCAGTCTGATGAGCCCGTGACGTTTACTGGAAAGCGGCAGAGGTTGCTGGATGGCTCAGCATCGGCCACGCTCGAGTCACTTCCCGAACTGGCTGCAATAGCTCCTTCTGGGCTCAAGACGGGGCTTTGTTACTACAAGGATGAACATCGTTTTGTCCGTGTTTACCCAGACATGGAATCTCGGGAGATCGTCTGGGAGATTGTGAACAAGGCCAGGGGGATCGAGCAGAAAACATCGCGCGGCGAGCGTGCGCTCGGTCATGCCGCGAAGATCATCTTTGGCATTGACTATACCGCGCTGGAATTCATATTCTGGTATTCTCTTGGCACGGAGTCTGGGAAGCGGGAGATCAATAGGATGGACAGCCTGGATATGACTGGGCATGACTTTGTGGGACCAGTCATTGGCATCTACGCTGTCGGTGTCGAGTCATGCAAGGTACGGTTCGTGGATTTCCAAGTGGAAGGTGTGTAGTCTTTCTGATAGTCCGGGGGTTTTCGTTCTTCTCTCTGTAACTAGGACCACTTGTTTTATCGCCCGAGAAAGTCCGACGCTTTTGAATCCAAGCGGGCTAGCAAGTCAACCACGCGCGTGGCGCACTGATTCGCCCGCAATCGAACTATGCTATTTTCTGTGCTGCTTTCGAGTTTAAGCAGCAGGGTTCCGACTGCTCTAATCTTCTCGACCTATTTCGGCGAATGGTGTGTAAGCGCGTGTGAGCTTCTGCAAGACGGACTCATGTGTCTTTCTGGCGCGGCTGGGCATCAACTTACACACTGCTCTCCCTCGGCCTGGAGATGAAGGAATGGAACACTCTCAAGGACGTTCAAAAAGTCCTGCACTTGCTCCACCTGTCGCATGGCAAGCCCCAGGGGTTCAGTGGTGAGGCCTATGATCTCGGTCATGTTACTTTCAATCACAGCACTTAGAACAAAGATCTTGATGCTGTGTAGCGTAATTAGGTAACTGGTGCATTGGCGTTGCAAGATGTCAACCAGATGCTGGTCCACTGCTGAGCCAGGATCGCCGGGTGAGTTCGGCGCCGAGTTGTATTGTGTCCAAAGGGGCGAGGGATTGGTCAGGGTGATTATCTCGAAGTATGCTTCGGATAGCTGCGCGGCCCTGTGACTGGAGTGCATGGGATGGGGATATGCGTCCCAGGACCTCTCACGGGTTGACTCGACGGCTTGAATTACCCGAGCCGCCATTTCCCAGAGACGGCGAATGACGTGAAATCCGTCCAAGAGACAGTCCTCCAATGCCCTGGTACTATTAATGTTGTCCGTGTCGTGGCCGTGATCGAAAAGCAGCACAGGGTGTTGCGAGCGGATCTGGAGAGTGAGTTCACTCTCGAATAACGGCTCATGAATGGTTACCGGGCGGCTTTTTACTACCAATGCTGTCTTGTCGCAGACGTAGAGCTGCCAAAACCCGTTTCGAAGGATGGTCTCCTCAATGGGATCCTGCCTTGCGACCGCGCTCTCGTCATACAGATGCATTCGCATTGCAATCAAACAGGCTTCATTTAGGATGTGGAACGCTACTCCACGGCTTCCCGTGGCGATCTGTATAGATGACGAGAGGAACATGCGGATAGTGAGTGATGACGAGTCTGGGTGCTCGAGGTCATAGTGCTCATACAAATTGAGCATATTTTGTGACGCTCGGAGAAATAGAGGGGCGGTTAGGTGCTTGGTAGATAGAAGGGATTCGGGAATCGCATAGGATACAGCTGCGCATAGGGCCGTGAGAAGAGTAAGCCTTCGGAGGGCCTTGATATGCTCCATCTCGCTGGTTGCGTTCCCGGCCACAAGACATTCAAAGACCCACGCTCGATTTTCTGCTGAGTTATATATGGTCGAGGGCAAGACGAAGAACTGCTGAGCGGTCGCTCGGAGCGTGGCCTCGTGGCACATGGGGACAGTCCCGAAAACGTACTGGGTGTACAATAGGATACATTGATTCACGATCGACACTGTTGTCTCGGAGGGTGCGGCGGCATGTAGACCCACTATGAGATCTAGATGTACCCGGATAGCACTCTCTATTTGGATATCGGGAGATGGAAACAGGGCGCTCGTCGTTACACTGCAGAGTGACGGGCTGCTGAGAGCTGGGCAGGGGTATGTATTCCTTGCAACAACCGCACTCTCATCGCTGCCAGAGACATCGGTGGTCAAAGACGGTGAGCTCAGAGGATCCTGTGGGGTAGAAACCTGACACCGGGCAGTCTTCGGACCTCGTTTCCTTGGGGTTGGGTAGTAGCAAGGTGCCTCGGCGATGTGACAGTTGGTGCACGTCGATAAGCCGTCGCACTAGGAGATTCTCCACTCAGCAAGGGAACAGCGCACAAAAAAGGAATAAATATCAAAAATAAAATATCAAAAACATCAAAGACAGAGCTGATGTTAATTTAGCATCATTTACCTTGACTTTGCGGCGACGGCACAACTCACAGGCCTGGGTGGAGGCGCGCAGGGATTGTGAGGCCATCCGGAATGTGTCGGGGAAATTGCAGAGCAGAAAGTGTAGCAAGGGTCGGGGAAAATCCGTCGAACTAGACTGTCGGCTGAATTCTAGACTCTAGGCTAAAAGCAAATGAATGGCAAAGTCTAGGCGATTTCTCGACCAACTGCGCCATGCTGGATATAGATGGTCCTGCGGGGAAAGGCCTGTGGGGCTCTATGGATGTAGTACACAAAGATTTCTCCGAGAGACCTCACCATACTCAGGAAAATGCTGACGATAAAGACCATGAATCCCATGCGAGTCAAATTGCCATCCTTCTCTCTGTTCAACAGCACCTGCCGTTCCATTTTCCGCCGTCCATACCAGCAAGATCCGATACATCTGTCCCAATCAACATGGCATCTGCAGAGCCAAAAGCGCCCAAGGGACTTCCCCCGAGCTTTGTGTGGGGTTTCGCTACGGCTGCCTACCAGATTGAAGGAGGTGTCTCTGAAGGGGGTCGCGGTCCTTGCATCTGGGACAAATTCATGCACCTAGAGCCCTCCGTCACCAACGGTGTCAATGGCGATGTTGCCTGTGATCACTACCACAAACTCGAGAAAGATCTCGATCTTCTCGCAAAGTATGGTGCAAGGGCTTATCGCTTTTCTATTTCTTGGTCGCGTATCATCCCACTGGGTGGCCGTGAAGATCCTGTCAATGAGGAGGGAATCGCATTTTATACATCGCTCATTGATGGCCTCCTTGCCAGAAATATTCAGCCCTGGGTGACCTTGTACCACTGGGACCTGCCCCAGGCCCTGCATGACCGGTACGGCGGTTGGTTGAACGTCGAGGAGGTCCAGAAAGACTTTGAGCGCTATGCGAGGGTGTGCTTCGAAAGGTTTGGTGATCGGGCTAAGAACTGGATTACGATCAATGAGCCCTGGATCGTTTCCATCCATGTGAGCAGCATTTCCCCTCCCCTCCCCTCTTATCCTCCATCTTAGTATTCCAAGCGCAATTGAAGAGAAGCTGACAGGACGACAGGGGTATTCAATCGGCATCGACGCCCCAGGACGAAGCAGCACCAACAAGCAATGTTCAGAGGGCGACTCCCCACGCGAGCCCTGGATCGCTGCAAAGGCCCTCATAATGTCGCATGCGCGTGCGGCGAGCCTGTACAACAAAGGGTTTAAAGCCAAGCAGGGAGGCCGCATCGGTGTCTCAATCAATGGCGATTATTACGAGCCCTGGGATCCCAAGGATGCTCGCGACCACGAAGCGGCCGAGAGACGAATGGAGTTTCATATTGGCTGGTTCGCCAACCCGATGATGTGAGTTTCACCGGGCGTAGAGAATACCTGACTAGAGCCCATTTTTCCCTTGATGTACAAGCTTGCTGATATTTCGTTCCCTGTCCCCCTTTCTAGGCTTGCCCAGGATTATCCCGCATCCATGCGTGCACAACTCGGAGACAGGCTTCCTCAATTTACGGACGCTGAACTATCCCTGCTTCGCGATGCGGAACTTGATTTCTACGGCATGAATTACTATACTGCGCAGTTCGCGCGACACCGCTCGACCCCAGCCGAAGAGACCGACCACAAGGGTAACGTGGATGAGCTCGCAGAGAATAAAGCCGGTGTGCCTGTTGGTGAGCCTAGTGGGATCTGGTGGCTGCGCCCTGCACCTGAACTGTTTCGAAAACATCTTGTGAGGATCTACAAGAAGTATGGAAAGCCGATCTATATCACTGAAAACGGCTGCCCATGCCCCGGGGAAGAGAATATGAACAAAGAAGAGTCTGTCAGGGACGAGTATCGCCAGCGATACTTTGCCACCCACTTGGATGCCATTGTTGGCGCGCTCCAGGATGGGGTCGAGGTAAAAGGATACTTTGCGTGGTCGTTAATGGATAACATGGGTGAGTTGTTTGACTATCACTGTACCTCTTCACATTCCACGTCCCAAGAGAAACTCCCTTCTGGTCGGAACTAACCTGGCATCTAGAATGGGGTCTGGGATATGACTACAGATTTGGCGTGACGCACACCAACTACGAGACACTCGAGAGAACCCCCAAAGAGTCCGCCTTGAGGCTCCGAAGCATGATCGAGAGCAGAATGAGCACGTAGATAGATCACCCTTGGTTGTTCTTCATCAATCAGTCCCTGGGGCTTGTGGTGAATGCTGTGGCCAAGCCGTCCGTCCACGGGTTCTATAGAAGCAACTTGCAAGTGGAATATTACATAGACACTTCTGGTGATAACTGCCTACCATAGAGCCCTGAGCCTCGCCGAAACAAAGCTGTCTTCTTTATTTGCGATTCGCATTCTCCGAACGATTACTCCATACTCTCTATTCGACGGACCCTGTCCTAACTAGGGTAAGGCCTGCGTGGCTGGGCTGTTCAATACCGATCACAAAAGCCCTTCCCTTCTTTTTTGTTCTCTAGTTAACAGTCTGCCAAGAGGTATTGAAATTGGCCCATGGCTGAGACATTGAATGGATTGTCGAGGCACTAATCAAATGTTTGAGACCCACTCGTACTCGTACAAAAGATTATGCAGGGGGAGAGATGGGGCAGATACTGTCACGTGCAGGGTAACTACATCAGGACTAGACTGGGGCCACTCTCCCCAACATCATCTTGTCAAGATATCAGGTGCCCCTACCTTTGACTTCCAAGGTTGTGCCTGGGCTTTTGACATAAGATGTACTATAGTCTCTGATATCTATAGCATCTTGGAACAAGCGTCCAAATTCCTTGTCCTTGGCGTTTCCCGGGCGCTCTTTGCGTTGTTCTCCACAATTTGGCCGAATTATGGGCGTCATTCTGCCCGGCACTATTCTGGGATTTCACCGAAAACACTGTGCGGCCTTAAGGATGGCGGAGACGAATGGGATAAATCGCCAAGGATAATTGCGCCCGCCCAAGAGAAGGGGCAACGTCGCATCCGGCCCTGATGAGACCCCCCTCGGACAAATTGTGTAGGACATGTCCTGTCTCCAGATCACAGCCATGCAGTTGTACCAATGCCCTCTCACAAGGATAAAGACAGAAATGAGCCAGACAAACTGAACACTATTGCAACACAGCGTTCTCCCTTTCCCAATCACCCACCACCTCGTCAACACAGCATCATGGGTCCTATAGATGTGGAGAAGGTGCTGGCGGAGCTGACACTTCAAGAAAAGATCAAACTGCTATCTGGACACGATACATGGAGCACCAGTGCCATCGAGCGACTGGAAATCCCCGCCATAACAGTATGTATCTGCTTCTATCAACTTGCCAGTCCGCATCACGCCCGAATACATTCCAACATCGCAACAGACTACCGATGGACCGCACGGGGCCCGAGGCACATCATTCTTCAATGGAGTATATCACCCCAATTATGCCCCCTGACCGCTGCTTCCTCCTGCTCCTGCTGATGTTTTCCGTGCGCAAAAGCCACCAGGGATGCTGACCCCCTCCGCCACCGCCATGGGAGCCACATTCGACAGAGCACTCATGGGCGCCGTTGGGCAGATGCTCGGTAAGGAGACCCGCGAAAAGGGCTGTCAGGTGCTTCTCGCACCAACTGTCTGCCTGCAGCGGTCGCCACTCATCGGACGGGGATTCGAGGCCTTTGGTGAAGACCCCTGGCTCAGCGGCACGATGGCGGCAGACTACATAAACGGCGTGCAGTCTGAGAGTGTTGCCTGCGCAATAAAGCACTACGCGGCGCATGACCAGTCGTCCCAGTCACAGGAAGACTCGATCTGGGCCTCCGAGCGCACTCTTAGAGAGCTCCACTTGCTGCCATTCCAGATTGCGGTAATGCAGGCGAACCCTTGGGCTGTTATGACCTCGTATCACAAAATTAATGGGATTCATGCCGCCGAGCACCCGTGGCTTATTGACCAGCTTCTCCGCAACGATTTAGGCTGGGATGGACTGGTTATGAGTGACTGGTTTGGCACCTACAGTACGACCGAGGCCTTGAATGCGGGCTTGGACCTTGAAATGCCTGGCCCGACTAGATGGAGAGGTCAGTTGTTGTTTTGGGCGGTCGTTTCCAAGAAGGTTAAGTTGTCAAAGCTGGACGCTGCCGTGAGAAACTACCTGAACCTCCTGAACAAGGTGCAGCCTGCTCTCGAGCAGCCGGTTGAACAGTCAGCTGCTGGCGACAGTCCAGCAAAGAGGGCACTCTGTCGCAAGGTTGCTGCGGAGTCAATCGTTCTCCTCAAAAATGAAAAGGGGTTTCTGCCCCTTGATCCGAAGCGTGCTGATAAAAAGTACGCACTGATCGGACCGGGCGCTGTGTACCCGGCCGTGAGTGGAGGTGGCTCGGCAGACTTGATACCCTACTACATCAGCAAGCCCCTGGATGCACTCAGCGAGGTCGTCGGTGCGGAGAATGTCACCACTAACGTCGGTTGCTACGGTACGTATTGCAGACTTTCTAGCGGCGTTGCTCACACTGAAAGTCCAGGCCATCTGTTCACCCCGTGTCTTTCCTCGGGCATCACTGTCCCTGGTAGCGATCGGAAAGGATATTACGTCGAATACTTCATGCAAGAGCCAGACATGGGCAGGCAGGTGAAGCCACTGGTCACGACGACCACGCAACAGGCCCAAATGTTCTTCGCCGATAACCTCCCCGACGGTATCACTGAGGGATACTGGGTCAGAGTAACAACGACTTACACAGCAGAAGCCACTGGACCAATCCAGATCGGTTTATGTGTGGCCGGTAAAGGTCGATTATACATTGACGGGGTGGAGAAGATCGACCTGTTCACGAGCCACCCAAAGAAGACGTTACAAACACCCATGTTTGACCAGTATAGCATGGAGGTGACCACCATCCTTGACGCAGTGAAGGATGGAAAGTACGAGATCATGGTGCTCTTGCATAACGGCAGCCTCACCCCTAGTGTTGGCGCGCTGAGTTCAGGCGGGCTCCGCATCGGCTGTTGCGAGCATTTTGACCCTGCCGCTAAGCTGGCTGAGGCGGTTGAACTAGCTCAGACGGTGGATTATCCGATTGTCATTGCGGGGCTGAACAGTGACTGGGAAAGCGAGGCGATTGATCGGAAATCGCTCGCATTGGCTCCGCAGGTTGACGAGCTCATCGAGGCTGTGATCAGGGCCAATCCACACACTGTATGTTTCTCTACTAGCGAGGTATCGCGCCTCGCAGACACCCCTCCCTGAGCTGATCAATGGTAAATTATAGATTGTTGTCACGCAAGCGGGATGCCCGATTACTCTCCCTTGGGTGGACTCAGCCAAGACTCTCGTCCACGCCTGGTACGGCGGGCAAGAGACGGGCAACGGAATCATGGACGTTCTCTTTGGCAAAGTCAACCCAAGCGGGAGACTAAGCGTCACGTTCCCAAAGCGTCTCGAGGACACACCGGCCTTTCTATCATTTGGCAAGCAGGATAAGCAGCTATACTATGGAGAAGGCGTCTTTATCGGCCACCGGTACTACGAAAAGCTCAAGACCCCGCCACTATTCTACTTTGGCTACGGCTTATCCTACACGACGTTCGCATACCGCGACCTGCAGATGCCCTCGTCCATTGATCTCGCTACACAACCGACATTCAATGTCTCTGTCACACTGCAAAACACGGGGACGCGCGACGGCGCTGAGATCGTGCAGGTGTACGTAGCGGACCTGGCGAGCTCCATCCAGCGGCCTGTCAAGGAGCTCAAGGGGTACCAGAAGGTCTTCGTGGCCGCTGGTGAGACAGTGGTTGTATCGGTTACGTTGGACAAGTATGCGCTTTCATTCTGGAGCCATGACCATGAACAGTGGCTTGCGGAAAAAGGGACTTTTGAGACTATCATTGCGACCAGTGCAGATCCAAGAGATGAGGTGCTGCGTCGGCGCTTTGAGCTGGTAGAGAACTATCTGTGGTCTGGGAAATAGATCGAACGATAGGTTTTATAGGCTCATGGGCTCATGGATGGGTCAATGGCTTACCTATTGTTTGTGGTACAGCTGGGTGTATTAGAGTAACGCATACAAATGTATCCAAATCTGGGCAGCAACTTCGAAAGATTCCCTCTTGTAGCTTCCACGCATGGTGCAAAGGGAACAAAAAGAATATCTCGTATGGCAGTGCATTTTGATGATCAGTACCCACGATAGGAGTACGCTATCATCGCAGCACGGGGATTATAGGGCCTCCCCTTCATCTCTTGCCAATCGCAAATGGACTTGGAAGCAGCCGGAGACACCGAGTTGGAGCGGCCATCGGCCACCTTGGCAGGTGGGCAGTGGGCACCATACACAAGGTGTCTTTGTTGATTTCATCGCACCTACACGTGCATGTTCTAACATAAAATTCATTTCGCATCTCTCTCGGGGATGATCCAGAGCCCTGATCCGAGTTTTCCCACCTTCGCCTTGCCGCTAGGACATGCTACATACAACCTTGGAAGCCTGCCGAGCATTCGGTACCAGCCAAGTCAGGCTGGTGAGGGGGCCGTTTGGCTAACAGCGAGAATACAGGTTGATTCGAGCAGTTTGACCGAATATCGTCGGGGAATTTACCTAGCTGGCTCGGCGAAAAGCGTTGAAGTCCCACAAATCCTCCGAGCTGGTGGCCCCGTCACAGGCACATCAACGGCAGCTGGATTTACTCCGAAGTACACACGTGGATATGAAGTGGTGTCCAGTATAGCGCAGGTCGACGACAAGGGTTATGTAAAAGAGGACGGATGGATGGATTGTGCACCATGTCTGAGGACTCTACCACCGCTCCAACGTGCGAGTTCCGTGTTCGAGACCAGCGACTCCTACAATAACCATGCTCCCCTCTGACTTTGAATGGGGCTTTGCAACAGCAGCCTACCAGATTGAGGGGGCAGCCGCCCAAGACGGGCGGGCCCCGTCCATCTGGGATACCTTTAGCCACCTGGAACCCTCGCGTACAAATGGAGACAACGGAGACGTCGCTTGTGACCACTACAACCGGTACGAAGAGGACCTTGATCTCTTGGTCAAATATGGGGCCAAGGCATACCGGTTCTCGCTGTCATGGTCACGCATCATCCCTCTTGGTGGACGAGACGACCCTGTTAATGAAGCGGGCATTGGTTTTTATAATAGGCTGATCGACAGCCTCTTGGCTCGCAATATCACACCCTGGGTAACGCTCTATCATTGGGATCTTCCACAGGCACTCCAAGACCGGTATGGAGGATGGCTTGATGGTGTAGAGTCTCAGAGGGACTTTGAGCGGTACGCGAGACTGTGTTATGAGCGGTTCGGGGACCGGGTCAAGAGGTGGACTACGTTTAACGAGCCCTGGAATACCAGTGTTAATGTGAGTGGCATCTGGATTGAATACTTTAAACCGACACCGATAAGCTAATATGCTACACAGGGATACATCCGGTGCACCGAGCCCCCCGGTCGAGGCAGCAATCCAACAATCGAGCCCTGGATCGTCGGCAAGTCGCTGATCATGGCACACGCAAGAGCCGCCAGGCTATATAATTTCGAGTTCAAACCTACGCAGGTAGGTTTGATCGGGGCGTCGCTGAATGGTGACTACTTTGAGCCATGGGACTCGAGCGATCCCAGGGACCACGAAGCGGCAGAGCGACGCATGGAGTTTTGTTTAGGTTGGTTTGCGAATCCGATCATGTACGCTACTCCCGTTGCTGTCTTTATCCGCTCTTTGCAAGCCCACTAACCTGATTACATGTGAAAGGCTCGGACAAGACTATCCGGTAGAGATGCGAGCGCAGCTCGGCCATCGCCTGCCAACCTTCACCGAGGCCGAATTCGCGCTGCTGCGCGAGGCTGAGGTCGACTTTTACGGCGTGAACTACTACACGGCGCAGTTTGCGCGGCATCGCGAGTCCTCCGCGCCCGATAGTGACTACTTGGGCAATATAGACGAATACCAAGAGAATAAGAATGGGGTCTCAATCGGCGATCTAAGCGGCATCGACTGGCTGCGTGCCTCGCCCGGCTCTTTTCGAAAACACCTCGTGCGGATCTATAACAGGTACAAGAAACCCATCTACGTTACAGAGAATGGGTGTCCGTGCCCTGGGGAGGTGACCAAGGAAGATTGTGTTCAGGATACATATCGCCAGCGCTACTTGGCTGAGCATCTGGATGCACTTGTTGGGGCGATTGAGGACGGCTCGGAGGTGGCGGGGTACTTTGCTTGGTCGTTGATGGATAATTTCGGTACGTTATTGCAGTTGTTCTAACTTGCTCTGAGCTAATGGCGCGCCTACATAGAATGGTCCTCCGGTTACAGTGTCCGGTTTGGCCTGACGCACATCGACTACACTACGCTTGAGAGAACACCCAAAGAGTCGGCGTTACGGATTCGAGGGATGATCGAAGAAAGAACGCTGATGGAGGGAAAGCGTCTGCAATGAGTAGATGGCTTTTATAGCGCCTTTAAATCTAGCCGGTCCTCGTCATCGACTGGACTACCGAGATACAGTTGGACGTCCACGGGTACAGGCCGGGGTCAATCATACCTAGGTACGTTGAGTGCGATTCAGCGAGGGGATAGCCCCGGAGCCCTCGAGGTTGCTGAACAAGATTGCCTGTATAACTTGGAAGCGATCATCCTTCTTGTCTCTACTGGGTATCACGCCCCACTGCCATTCCAATGTTATAAAATATCTGATTACTTTACTTAAGTGTGACTCCCGTACATAGGTCGCGACTCTAGAAGTATATACTCCGTACTGGAGTATCCAATAACTCCCGGAGTCACTCTAGAACCTTGGATGTATCACTCAACCGCTTATCTAGGTACATGATAGTCTATATTATACCATACCTACCTAGGCAGTACTTTAGACTCCGTGTGGGACTTTGCATTCTACTAGGTACTATTATGACTTGGTCGTTCCTTGTTTGTGACTAGTGAAAGTTTCAGCCCTAAGCATATTAGCTCGGTCTTCAAATGCTCAGTCCACGGGTTGTTTCCAAGGTTGCGGGCTTGCGAGCACTATACTATCTTGGATTAATTGATCTTCAGTGCTGCCTACTAGGTACCTAATTTCACACCCCATGCCAGGTGTTTTCATTGCTGCTGCTCACTGAGGCGAAACCACCTAGGCAATGAGCATTGAGCCTTCCAGGATGAAAAGCCGCGAAACCTATTCCAAGGTTTGATGAGATCACCAGCCTCTAGAACAAGTCTCATGTTCAACCTTGGAAGCGGCTTCTAGAAGGATGACAGCCTATTCCAAGGTTTAATAGGCTATTAAAAGCCCCGATTGACTTGAACCTAATTGTGCAGAACATGACAGCTTGATATGATTAGTCCGTATAGTACCACTTCGTATGTACAGTACTCTGCTAAAGTGCACGATATTAGCCTTCCAAGGTTGCCCATGTGGAAATTGCATACGGTGCCCTGTTTGTGCCCGTTAATATCCAACAGATCCACCTGGTCACTAAGCCACGGCAAACGACTCAAGCCACAATCCGAAACATCGTTGCATCCCAACGACCAACTCTAAAATCTCAGGGTCTCAAGCCCCATCTGTCAGATACCCACACCATACCCGTACTAGACACAGTAATACGGAGATAGGGAATAGGGGGATCGCCAACCCAATAATCAGGCCGACAGGCCCAATTCACAAGGAAATTTCCCATCAGCCCAATCTCTACCCGAGCAACACCAGCTGAAGCAATCCACTAGAAGCGAAAAGAAGCGAAAAAAAAAACCACCCGCACTATTATCTCCACTCCGCGGAATGTCCGAAACTGCAGTTTAATTAGTGACACCTGTGCCGAAGCCCCTAGCCTAATGGGGAATGAGTACGGAGGACGGGTATACAAATGATTTTCCCAAGATGTGCGAACTATCGGGTACTCCACTAGTAAAACCCTTCACGGCGCTATCAGGCTGTAGTTTGCACTATGCCGACTTAGCCGCGAAGATCAGACTTGGCTCTGATCGATCTCTGATCTATCGAGCTTATCCGGCGGTGAAGACATGGCGTGCTATCGTGCGGCGCTGCCATTTGGTCGTATCTTGCGCTCGGGGCGCCGATCGACGGGTCACATGTGGCATTGGTGATTGTTTTCATGTTCATGGCTACGTGGAGAAGTAGGAGATGGGAGATTCGAATGATGTTTTGTTATTATTTGACGTGTTTCGTCTATATACATTCAAGTTCCAGAAGGTTCCAGCTGGAACGATGTTTCCGTATGTTTCAAAAAAAAGGTCCAATGCAGTCTCGACCTATGCAGGGAGAGCTGTTGGGCTGCAATCGCAGCCAGAGATGAGAGGGGTATGTATGAAAAACAGGGCATAGATATTCATGCCCGCCAAAAACGCCAAAAAGCAGATGAGAGTAGATGTAATCGCTGAACATTTGCCAGAATCGTAGAAGCATAAGGGTATCACGGTAGAAATCGCTGAATGGTACACAAGGCAGAGTCGTCAAAAGTGGTAAGGGGGCCTAGTAGGCCTCAATGATCTGCTCTCGTGCACCAAAATACCCTTGCTCAAAGAGATCGGACGGATCAGAGTCCGCCAATGCAATAGCAGAAGCAGAGTCCTTTTCGCTGAAGGCCTCGAGGGTCGGTTGAGGGGGCGACGGGGGCGTCGCCTCGTCCTCGGATTCTCCATCCGAATCAGCAAGGAGTTCGGGGGGTGATTGACGGGACGGGGAGCGAGTCAAGCTCAGCTCATCCAGATCCTCGGAATCATCGTATTCAAAGTCGGAATCGGTATCCTCGCCCTCATCCTCCTCCAGTAGGTCGTCGTGGAAAGGAGCCACGGGTGAAGGGGCGCGACGACGGGGGGTGTTGATGACGAATTCGGATTCGTCAAAGTCGGAGTCGTCGCTGTCGCTGAGGTCGGAATCCAGATCGGAGGCTTCCTCCTCCCACTCTTCGGGCTCTTCGACCACGGTCGAGGCCCATTGGATGTGTTGGCGGGTGGGGGAGGTCTTGGTGGCTCCGCTGACGGTTTGGTTGAACCAGCGTTCTTGCTCGCGCTCGGCATCGGCGAGGTCGAACATGAGTGAATCGAGCAGATTGGCGTGACCGACGAGGAGGCGTAGATCGTGGTCTGCCCGGGAAGCTTCACGAGTGAGCTTCTTCCGGGCGGTGTGGGCGAGGTAGTATGTTTGCGTGATGCTCATTTTCTTAGTCTGGCGGCGACGGACGAGAGAATCGAAGTAGGGGCTGGCAGCGGCCGCGAAGGAGGTGGTAGAAGTAGAGTCCATAGTGGGCCAGGACTGGTTTATATGAATTGGGGTATGACTCTTGTTGGTGACTCAACTGTCAACCAGTCACGGCGGATCGACGCGGGGCGGTGTGATCGAAGGGATGGGCTAGTGTGGTACTTTGTGTCCCCCTGTATGATAGATCCAAAGATGTTTCAAGTAGAACAAGATCTAGAAGTGAATAATGTATACAGAGAGAAAAGCCAGAAGAACGGCGACCAGAGGTTTATTTAATATGACAAGGCAGCGTTATTTTTTTTCCTTTTTTCTTTTCTGATTATGTTCGTCCGATCGCCCCGAACCGGAGTTTACTGAAGATCCACCCGGAAATAAAAAATTATGAATAATGAACTTTACCATTACCGTTATTACCTGGAATTCGAGATTCACCGCTATCTTTCTGTACTCCGTATACTACTATAGTAGTCATGTTACTACTCCGTAGTAGGAATGACCTCGAGAGTACCCTGAGCTCCATACAGTAGTCTCAATCTACAATACGTATAGCCTAGCAAAAAGACAGAAGACAAATCATGACTCACGGACCGGAGCTCGGATGACCAATGCGCCGGTGCCGTGGCCCGAGTCGGTCGTATCTCTTTCCCTTCCGATTACTAAACCTCGTATTATCAATGCTCTTATGCTCTCCAGGGCTTATTTCCGATTCCCTTTATGTCCTAAATCCTAAATGTAAGATTTCTAATCCACTCTGACGCTTTCCATTTTCGATGATTTCCAATCTGCGGAGACATTGTATGCTTATTTCCAATCACATGGAATATAATATTCCGGAGCACACCATTCTGCTCGAGCTACAGAGCACTTCGTACTCGTACAGCGCAGCCACATGTATTGCCGTATTTATTACCACCGATTACGCAGAGGTAGATTACATGAGGCTGCATCACTTTCCTAATCCGGTCGCCGAGCCTTGGCAGCCTCAGCATTCCCCAGATATCAGACGAGACCAGCACTGGGTAGGCTGTGTCCTCCGTGCACGTAGTGGAGCACTCTTATTGGTCTCGCAGGATTTTACCCAACCCGATATGAAGGCTCGGACGGACCATTCGTCCTCCGTTTCCCCCGTACAGGTATTCCGTACTCCGTACTCCGTACTCCGTACTGAGATCGCAGACGTGGTTTCGATTGCCGTATCCCTGCCCAGCACAAACTATTTGCGCATCTCGCATGACTGGATGCAGACCTAATCTAACACTCCTTGCAGCGACGCGGTGTGAGGCAGCGGCTGGTGTGGGGGCCAATCAGCAGTGCCAATGTTGGCACTGGAATGCACTGTGCGCAAGCGACGTGCTCTGTACGGAGTACGGAGTACCTCAGGTATTTACGCTGTACAGCCAAGGTCTAGGTACCTTGCTGGCATGATGTCGAGGTCCTTCAATCTACGTCACGCTAGGCCTCCAACCTTTAAACCTTGGAGGCTCGGTTCACTTGGCAACCTGTTTTCCCCTTTGGGCGCATGTTAGGGTGCGGATATCACCGAGCCAAGCCCTCTGAGGTTGGTTTCGCAGGGTTTTCCCTTTTTGAAACAGATCCACTTCGCCAGCCTTATGTAAATACGAAATTCCTGGACTGGGTTAGCGGAGTTATCTCCAACGCCTTGATGTCTCTTAGAATCGTCATGCAATCAATTCTGGCCAAGTCAAAGTCATCTCTGATTCGTATCTCACTTGCCCAGGCCTTTCAGGCTCTCTGCAAGACTTCTAAGTATATTACTCAGGCAACAATCCTTGGATGGGTGGATCATGGAGCCATGGAACTGGAACCCTTCAACGCCCAATCAACGGGAAGATCGGAGCTCGGCCTCCGTTGTAAAAGTCCCGAGGCTCCCTGTTTGACAGATGACATCAAGGACTTTGTTCTTCACCTGGGCAGGATGTGGTCGAGAAGCATTGAGTCTATAACGTCACGCATTCTAGACCAATATGCAAATACTCATACAGATTACGGAATAGTCAGACTGGACTCCGTATTCCATATTGCAAACTGTGGACATCAATTGATGAGGCTGAGAGATCAGTAAGCGGCAGAAAACGATCACGGGCCACAGCTTTCAAACTCCGTGTCCGGTGGATCATTCACGTGACGTCGGTGCTCCGTCGCCGAAATGATCGCCCTGGGTATGCGGCACGGGTGATGGTGTCCCGATTGAGACGCTAATGTGAGTCATGAGGCCATGAACCCTCCTAGTGCCGATTTTCGCAACACCTTGATCGGACTCGGAATTCTCACTATCCCCGGCCGCCATTGACGTTGTAATCACACTCATCTAGGCCTAGCCATTGAGGTTATTCAAGATTCGACCAAGCATGTCCTCAATGCGTCAACTTCCACATGGTATGACTCCTTGGCATCGACGAATGGGCAATTCGAGCTCAATGCCCTCCAGACTCCAGACGCTCTCTAGGGGGCTGGAGACATGACGACCAAAGAAGTCAGAGACTCGACGAACCTGGACCGACTGGAGCATTCTGACCACCCGCTCATTCCGAATTCCAGCATATAGCCATTCTCTATACCCGATAGAACTGTCAACTGCGAGACAAGCCGTACCTCGCTATCTGAGCACGCACCACACAGCTCTCGCTTCCCCGGTCATCACTCCAACACCCGGGCAAGCTTCTGGGTGGACTCATAATATGTCGCAGCATCGATGTTCACGTCCAACATGCCCAAACTGTCTCAGAAATCAGCTGTCATTGTTAATTACAACGCAGAATCTGTCTGGCGTTAACTGCCCTTTGCGACTGCATCGGTGAAAAGTCAACGGCCCCGGGGGCTTGGGCGGGTACTCGATGTGCAGATCTGTGGACACCTGGTATCTCGGCCTCAGGTCTTCCGTACCTGGGCTGTCGCCTTTTGTTACTCTCTTATAAATCCTCAAGGGCGAAAGAAGGGGCCTGTCCAATGATCCAAACCAGGCTTCAAATGCATGCTTATGGCACCATAATCTGACCGTATTGTCGTGGCTGCTCTCAGAATTTCAAGGGGGTCTTACATGTCAACGAGTCACATATGCATTGCAAGATACTGTCCACTTCGCACTGATATGGAGGTAGGTCAAATCACACGACCGGAAATAATATAACTCCATGAACAGGCTTCAAACTTCATGCATATGCACAGGCTTCAAAAAACTTCCATTATGTCCCCTCAAACAACACTAATTCTCATTTCCCAAGTAATCAATGTTGGACGGTGCATTGGCAGGATCAGCCATCCGCGAATCCGCATAGGACAAAGCTCTTGACATCACCATATCCACATCATCGATCTTCACCGCATGTCCATCTCGACGAAGTGCATGTAAAGCCGATCTGATCCAACTAACACAATCCTCAGGGGGTCTCACATCCTGGGCGGGGAGCTGAACAGCACCAAGCATGGCGTGAATGTCTTCTGGGTGTCCGTCGCGGACTTGGCCGATCGCAACCCTGATCAAGAGAGAGTCGCTTGATGCAGGGTTAACCTTGCTCTTCATGCGGTACAACCATTTGAAGTCCGGATTCAGGTTTTTGCGATGGAGAGCGTCGGGTTTAACGCCGTTCGTTATGTCGAAGGCGTAGCAGCGGTGTTTCTCCTCTTTCTTGGGTACGAGGAGAATAGCCCAGTGGTAGGCGGAGAACCCCAGACGACGTCTGTTCTCGCCGAGGGAGAGTTCGCCGCGGTGGTGGGCTGACAAGAAGACGTCGTAGGTCTCCTTGGGATGAGGAGCCGCGGGTCCCGTGGCTGTTTCGCGATGCTATCCGTATGGCGCTGTTAATGGAGATCAAGACCTGCCGTGATTCGGAGGATGGAGGAAGGGCATACTGAGATATTCATGGTGAGTGATGATGTGAATGTAAAGACAGACTGAAGGGGAGGAGTGAAGTTGGCAAGTTGGGAACCTGCTTAGGGTTGGAAATTGCTCACCTGGGTGAGAGCAGCATTCAAAGTAGTAAGTGGGTGCTGAGATACGCCTGGTCACCCTTTTCCACCACGGCTCAGGAATCAGTCATTTCATCGGATCTTTCATTCTTATGACTTTGAACCTGTCCAACAGAGGCCAGACTATATCGACCTTGCCCATCCACCCAAAACAAGATCGTTTATCTCTGTATGTCCACTTATTTCGTCCCATTCGGCTGTTGTTATTATCAAGAAATAATTGAATAAACCGGACGATGAGTTTCAACAACATATCAAAGTCTACCGGAAATTGAGCTTCGAAATTCAGTTGAAAACTGTCGGGAATTATGTGATGAGTCCCGTGTCTGGTAGCTCTCTCAGCTGCTCTCCAGTCTTTTAGTTGCTTTCCTTTCTTCTCTCTAGCGAATTCAGTCAGTCTTTGCTCTCTCTTTTGCCTGGAAAAGCGTGTAGCATTTCTCATAAACAGAGGGACTACTCAGAACGAACGAAACATGCAAGAATGCAATGTTATTGAGAGTGGTAAGAAAGAGAGAGGAAAATGAAAGCAAGATCTGAGAACTATGGAAAAGAAGCATCACATGATGCTTCAACAATTCACAAAAAGAACGCCATGGATATCTTACATTTGGACCTGCGACTGCACAACTTCCTTGACACCGGCGCACTTATGGGGATCGATTTAGAGCAAGGTGAGCTTCGAATATTGGAAGGTTACTTTTGATGGAAGTGTGAGCTCCCCTTGTATCTATTCAACAACAATCAAGACAAATAGGTGAGATTTTTCACTGATTATACAGGTCTCCGCGGACGTATTTCAAGCCAGTGTCGCACGCAACGGTAACGACGGTCTTCCCTGGGCCAAGTTGCTTGGCTAAATGGATCGCAGCAGCTACATTCAGACCAGTAGAAGTTCCTGCAAGGATGCCCTCCTCTCGGGCCAGTCTTCGGGCCATTGCACGACCCTCGGCTTCTTCAATTGCGAGAGCCTCATCATAAAGCTCTTTGTTCAGCATTGGTGGAATGAAGCCAATTCCAATTCCCTCAACAGAGTGTTGACCCCCATATCCTTTAGTGATAACAGGAGCAGAAGCTGGTTCGAGGACAGTAACATGGCAGTTCGGGTTGTGGGACTTCAACACCTTCGAAACCCCCATGACCATCCCGGCACCGCCTACTGCACCACAGAAAACATCGATACCATCGGGCATTTGCTCCAGCAACTCGCGACCGAGACCTTCATAGCCAACCAGAACATCGTGGTTACTGAATTGATCAGCGTAGTAATGGTCGTCGGCTTGAGACAATTCCCTAGCTCTTTCGCGCATTGACGGGATGAGCTGAGGTGTTATCTTCCCTGTTGGACTGTGGATGATATCGACATTTGCACCAAACGCGGCCATGGTCTTTAGTTTCTCTTCTGCGAACGCATCTGACGATACCACTGTGAACGAGTATCCTTTGACTGCGCAAACCAAGGCTAGTGAAGACCCGGTACTTCCACCTGTGGCTTCGACGACGGTCATGCCGGGCTTCAGATCGCCGCGTCGCTCTGCTTCTTCAATGATTGAGCATGCCATTCGGTCTTTGTAGGAACCGGTTGGGTTCAGGCCCTCAAGTTTGATGAAAACACGAGCGCAACCTTCTGGAACCACATGGTTGAGCTCAATGCAAGGTGTATTTCCGATGGCAGCCAGAACATTTCGAGGGCCTGAATTGGTGGACATGGTGGGTTTGTTCCGATTTTCCACGTTTTGGTGGAAAGAGACTGCGAGGACCAGACTATAGTGATGATGTGGGTGTGAGATGCTGCTCTCGAGCGCTCAAAAATCAAGTTGACAGACAAAATGTTGCCAGGAATATTCGTGAGAACAAGTGGGTGCCCCGGCCTATGGATTTATGTAGTTCATCGGCTCCACCCAGCGCTTTTCCGGTCCGTTGCTGCGGCGTTTCTCCAAAATGCCAAGATATCAGAAGTAGGAAGGATTTTTGGGGACAAATGGCGAGAGTCCTGGGTCCTTTTGGTAAGTCTGACTTTTGAATGATTCAGTACATGGTCCACCTTTTACGATATCACAATTCGACGTGGAAGGCTTGGCCACCAGGCGAGACCTACCTCGGAATTCGGGAATCTCGATATCCGGAGACAATCTTAAGTTTCCAACTCCCTTCAGTACCTGGGAAATTATATAAGGTGAGTTCTTGTTATGTACTCCGTGCACGACACTTTAGTCGAAAAAGCCCTTGCAGATCCTACTCACTGCACCCCAATATCACCATACGACATGTGAACACCCACGAGATTCAATCATTTCCAACTACCTCCTCGCCATGGTCCAACGCCCGGAGCTAACCCGCGACCAACGCATCGAATGCCGTACCCTCCGAAACCACAAAAACGCAAAATATGAAGAAATTGGTGCTATGGTTGGTTGTTCCATACATCAGGCCTACTATGCTTGCAAAGTTGGACAAACTACCCCAGGCTTAGCTTTTGCGGCTGTGGTCTTCTTTTCAGCTTCGACACATACCGGACCCGGGTTGAAGCTTTGCGCAGGAGACAACGCATTCAACGGTGATTCTTCTGTTGATTGAGATATCCCTGATTGGCAGTATTGCGGCGCAAATAAAACTACGTACCTCTGCCCAGGTGGCCCACTTGTACTTGGTCTTGGCATTTTGGAGACAAGTACATGTGAGGTGATATCACAGCGAAATACCTCCTTTATATTCACTGAGTCTCGTCCGGGCTTTCGTATGCAAGCTTACTATTTTGAAGGACCTGAATCAGATGGCTCTGTCAAGTGATCGTCGTCTTTGATAACTACATCCGCTCATACCACGACTCCTTTGGTGTCGCCTGTATCTGCAAACCACCGGTGTTTGAAAAGAAGCGCCAATTTTCATTCCCCGAGAGTCTGCTTGGGCTTAAAAACTGCCTTTGGAGATAGCTGATCAAAGATGGTAAACCAATTACAGGAATGTCATGGCTCATCATCAAAACGATATGCAAATATGACATGACCTCGGGGAATTTAGTAAAACTTTATCGCCAAGAATATACCACAGTGCTCAGTGGGGCCTAGGCTGCATCGCGCATATTGTGCGAGGGTTGCCCGGCTAAGACGGCGTCTACCTGATTTGAGCTTCGGGACATTCCGAGTGTCGCACCGAAAAGCCAAGAACCGGGGAGTGAAGAATTGTGGATATGGCAAAATTCTAGATGTCGATTGGTTATAGGCTATGAGCTATACCTAGTATTGAGTGCCCAGGTGACACATAGGTAAGTTCATGCAGGATGCAGAGTACCTGGAGTACTCCGTACAGCGAGTCAACCTTGGAACTTGATACATCCGAAGCCAGCATTTACAAGATCAACCCACTTGCTGTGTACGATATACGTTGGCGAAACACAGAAGAAGATCAGAAATCGAAAATGAAAACGACTCAAGTGCCACGCATAACAAAAAATATAGATCCAATACCTAGTAGTATCAAGGTAAGACTACCTTCAAGGAAGAGACAAGAACAATTTCTTCAACTTGGGATAGTTTGGCGTGCCCAAACCAGTAGCCGGATCCCACCTGTGTATTGTGTCAGCGAGTTTCAGCCAAAGTAATAGAAGAAAACTTACCCTGCGATCGCCCGGAAGCCATCTGAGCCACATCCAACATTTGTACCATTGGTGATATCGTGGAGAACATCCGGATTGGCGTAAAGCACTGGATTCACGAAGCCAACAGGACTCTTACCCACCGCTAGGCGCTCCTCATTGATCTATCCAACGTCGTTAGCAGCGACAAGCAACACGATCCACGATCTCAAGTTCTGACTTACCAAGCTAAGAACAGATGCGAATAAGGGAGATGCCAAACTAGCACCGTAAAAGTGACTCAGCGATCCGTGAATATAAGCTGGGAACATTGCGCCGTTCGCCGAGACATCAGGATAGGCACGGCCAACGCGGTTGTAAAGCCCCTTCGTGGTATTGAGGTCAACGTTCAGCTCCGAGTAATACGGGTACGTCAATTTAGCCTTCTTGAAATATTTCTCCACGGCAGATTTCTGATATGAAGGCTGTGGGAAGTAGTTCGAGAAGCCGCCGGAGCTGCTGAAGTTCGCGGCTGTGCCGCCCAAATCGGCATGCATCACACTCTCTTTATTCTTGATGGTTTGATCCTTGTAGAGCATCGTGCCTCCGACGGAGGTGACGTAGGGACAGTTTGATGGGTATTGAGGGTTGAAGATCTTGCCTTCTGGACCTAGGCATCCGTTCTCGGAGCCGCTGTCGCCGTGGAACGAGGCGACTCCGTAGTCGCCGGAGGCGAAAAGTATCGAGTGGCCTTGTAGACCGAGCTTGAGGAATTCGTTGCATTGCCGCTTTGTGTAGGCGATTGGGAGGTCGGCTTCGGCTTGGCCGTAGGAGGCGCTGATAACGTTTGTGGGCTTGTAGACGCCGCATTGGAGCTTGCCTGTTGAGGTTTAGTAATTGGTAAGGTAGATTGAAGGGGAAGTAGGCTACCTTTGTATCCATCGGGATGAGGGTTAGGGTAGACCGGGTCGATGTTCGGGTTGTTGCCAGTTTCTCCGAAAGCACTGTAGGTGCAGTATGACTAGAAGTGTCAGCGAAGGTCTTAGTACTGTAAATCCTGACTCACGCCGTCGAGTGCATCGAGGAAAGTATTGAATAAGTTGGTGGTTTCAACCTCAATTGGTTCATATATCTGGTCATCGACCTGATACAAAGTCACGGATTGAGGATAGATCAAGGCATAACTTGGTTTATGTTAGTAAAAGATATTGGCAAATGATGACTTTCACTCACGCCATGTCAATGTCGATGTTGGATTCACCACCGTTGAGTGCACTATAAGCAGGCACGGAGAAATTCGCACCATCAATCAATGCCGGGATAGGATATGTTCCCTGTGGGATGTGTGGTGCATAATCCTTGTAGAAGAGATCTATATCCGACTTTGCAAAGTAGTCTCCTTGCTCGTAAAGGCCAAGCGAGTTACCCTTGCTAGCCTTGGTAGCGTCGGGAATACGATACAAGGCCTTGATACAGGCCGGGGTCATCTGTGATCCACAAGATTGCAAGTCAGAGGGAAGGGACATTGCCTCGGCAGGAATAATCTTTGCTTCGGCGACAGTATCAGCTTCCTTGGAATGAGCAAGATGAGACACTCGCTTTGCCAGCGAGCTCTTCTTCACTATGGGACTGAGCTTCACTCCAGGAGTGATGTAGTCAATGTGTCCCTGGATATGCTCTGGGACATGATACCTGCAAGCGAGGTTAACTGAAGATTCCAATCTGTCAAAGCATTGTATATCTCACTCATCGCAACCAATTTTCAAGCTGGAAGTACTGGTATGTTGATGCTCATAGAACTCAGCCATGAACAACCTCTCCACCTCGTGGGCGTAGGCATCAAACGCAAGCCATCCTTTATTATCCGAGTGCACGACACGGGACTCGTGAATCCCAGAAGATTCAAGCCAGCGACGAACGGTGTCAACGGCTTCTTTTGAGGGCGCAAAAAGATCATGCACTTGCTCTGCTGACCAGTATTTTCCATATTGAGGTGAGGCAGGATCGGAGCTGTGTGATATTAGCCATCGTGCGCGAATCCAACTTTCATCGCGGGATATTTACACTGCCATTAGATACTCATCGCCCTTGTCTAGGTTGGACTGGGTCAAACCAATCCGGACAGGCAGCACAGAATCACGCTTCACCCGTTCGCCCTTCACCCAGTCGACATGCAGATTCCGCTTTTCATGCAAGACATGCTTCACCGGGGCTGGCACCGCGGTGGAGAGAGTCGCGATCGCCAAAGCGATACAGACTTGGCGGAACAACATTTTGAGTTAACAGATAATGGCATTGTATCGGGAGGGGATTCGCTTGATATAGGTTTCTCTCAGCATCGTGGTTGCAACACCAATCCACATTAGAGATAGCAAACAGGAGCCAATTTCGCGGAGGAGACTTGATTGGATACAAACTTTTAGTGTCTGCATGCTTGAGACAATGAACAGGGATTCAATCCAACTCTAGGGCCCTGTGTCCCGGGGAAATGAGCTTCGGCATTCTAAGGTTTCGAGCACGAAGCACTGCGCATATGAATTGGGATATTGCTCAACATCAAGCCTTGAAATGACCTCTACGTTGATAATATGTGGAACTATTCATGCTGTCAAGAATGTGAGCCTAGATATTGACCTGGGGAATTACTTTTGCTTCGGGAAGAGACCTAATACTAGCCCACTCAGAACCCCTCTCGATATCGGAGCTCCGGCGGAGAGACTGACTAGGGCAGCGGTCTAATTTCGTTGCATGATATGACCTGACCAATCGGCTAGTGATTGCACAGAATGAAGGGAGACTTATATTGTCAAGTAAAATTAAGCGGGAACTAAGCTTTATTTAGCTCAAGAAACCAACCTTGGAAAACGTACGAGGTCTCGGCAAGCTCGATGTCACGACTACCACATTTGCATATGGAGAGTGCTGAGGTACTTCCAAGGTTTGGTCAATAGGAACACAATTATCGGGAATATGTGTATAAATTTCTAAATCATGAACAAGAATAAAGCTATCATCATCATATCGAATATCCATCAGTGGAAACCACCTTGCCGATGGCATCTTTTGGTACGAAAAGGAAAAAAAGGGGTCAGACACCAGAAGTCGACAATAAATTAGTCAATCTAGTGGTGGAACAGACGGATGCCCTGCTCGACAAAGGTGATACCCAGCTTCTCAGCAGTCTCGAAGACAGGGGCGTCGTTCTGGCTACCAGTAGGGGCAGCGATGTACTTAACACCTGAGCGGGCAGCACGGAAGACGTTGTCGATGAAGGGGAAGAAGGCATCGGAGGAGACAGCGACTTCGCTGAGCTTCTGGAGCCACGCCTCACGCTCCTCGGCAGTGAAGGGAGCGGGGACCTCCTCGAAGACACGCTCGTACTCGACGGTCTCGGCATCGCTGCGGGGAGTCTGGCCTGAGCAGAGCAGGTCAATGGCGTTGGACTTGTCGGCACGCTTGGTGCCGGCCTTCCACTTGATGCCGATGACGCGCTCGTGGAAGCGCATCCACCAGTTGTCGGCCTTGTCACCGGCCAGACGGGTGCAGTGGATACGGCTCTGTTGGCCGGCGCCCAGACCGATGATCTGGCCGTTCAGGGCATAGCAGACGGAGTTGGACTGGGTGTACTTGAGAGCAATGGTGGCGACGGTCAAGTCACGGAGAGCGGCCTCGGGGAGAGAGGAGGTGTTCTTGGGGGTGATGACGGTGTTGAAGGTCTTGCTGGGGGAGATGACGACGTCATTGCGGTGCTGGGTCAGCTGCACACCGTACAGGGTGCGGGTCTCCTCGGGAGCGGGAGTGTACTCCTCGTCCATCTGGAGGACGAGGTACTTGCCGCCCTTCTTCTTGGAGAGGATGGCGAGAGCCTCGGGCTCGTAGCCGGCGGCGATGACACCGTCGGACACCTCGCGAGAGATGATCTTGGCAGTGGGCACATCGACGACGTCGCTCAGGGCGAGGATGTCACCGAAGCTGGACATGCGGTCAGCACCACGGGCACGAGCGTAAGCCTGGGCCAGGCCGGAGGTCTCGATGTCCTTGATGTCGTCCACCATGTAGACCTTGCGCTCCTTCTCGTTGAGAGGGACACCGATGGCAGCACCGGCGGGGGAAACGTGCTTGAAGCTGGCGGCGGCGGGGAAGCCAAGAGCCTGCTTAAGCTCCTTGACCAAAGGCCAAGCGTTCAGGGCATCAAGGAGGTTAACGTAGCCGGGGGAACCGTTAAGGACCTTGAAGGGCAGCTTGCCCTGGATGGCGTAGGCGGAAGCAGGCTTCTGGTGGGGGTTAGTTCCGTAGCGCAGAGACAACTGCTGGTCACCGTTGCCGGCGTACTCCTTGCGGAAGAAGCCAGAGATAGCAGAGTCGTAGTCGGCGGTCTGCTCGAACGCCTTGAGGGCGTACTGCTTGCGGCTAGCCTCGTTGATCTCACCAGCCTCGAGCTCCTTGAGGAACTCGGGGTAGTCATTGGGGTCTGACAGGATGGTCACACGCTTGTGGTTCTTGGCCGCGGCGCGGAGCAGAGTGACACCGCCGATATCGATCTCCTCCACGGCCTCGTCGATGGTGACATTGACCTTGGCGACGGTCTCCTTGAAGGGGTACAGGTTGCAGACAACGTAGTCGACCTTGGCGATCTTCTGCTCGGCGAGGTCCTTCTGGTCGGACTCGATGTCACGGGCGAGGATACCACCGTGGACAGCGGGGTGGAGGGTCTTGACACGGCCGCCAAGCATCTCGGGGGCGTGGGTGATGGCGGAGACATCCCTATCATGGTCAGGGACAATGTTCGACGACACAATGCTGATTGTGGTGGATTTGTCTCGATCAGACAACAGATGTGACTCACTCCACGGGGAAACCAGCTTCACGGATCATTTTGGCGGTACCGCCAGACGCGAGCAGACGGACCTCCTGCTTGACGAGGCCCTTGGCCAGGTCAAGCAAGCCAGTCTTGTCATAGACGGAGATGATAGCTATACCCCGTCCAAGACGGGCCTGTCAGCATTGACCTTATATAACTTGAGACAAGCACTATAGTAGTCCGGGGGATGCCCGATCTATGAAGGCCAGAGACCTACCGGACTTTTGAGACATGATGGATCCGACAATCGACACTGACAGTGTTAGCAGAAGGTTCAGAAATGAGAATTGGTCCAAATTGGTACATACCTAAATCCAGTGACAGAGTATAGATGACGAAGAGTCAAAAAAAAAACGCAGAATCGAACTTGTCCCGCGGGGTCACCGCAATCGGCGAGGGGCTGGTATGACGGGGGTTATATTACATATTTTACGATTGGTCATTACCAATGGAGCCCCACTGGCTGGGCCAATCAGAGCACAGAGATAAACATCACCGCTTAGCTCAACACGTGACCCGGGCCCTACAAAAGGAATTTTCGCATCGCGCCATCTCTCTTCTTTTTTTCTTCTTCATGAACAACGCAAAATCACATTCTACTCAAAAAGCGTTCCTACGAAGACTTGTCTGATGAAGTACGGAAATCGTATAGAGAATGGAGACCAAGTACCAAATGGTAAAGGTATCGATCTTGGGTGCAGTGCCTGCTTGACCTTGTGTCATGTAGTAGGGATTGCAATGATTGATTCCACAACCCAATCATCAGAATTATCTATTTTTGATTCAAATACAATACTTTTTAAAAGAATTTTCCATGTTCATTCTTGATCTTAGTCTGAGACCGGCCTTTAGCTCGCTGTGCAGCTCGCATGATTGGAACCCCCGAGGCCGACTTTTGGATTGGAAAAAACTGAGACGAGTGAGCTCCCCAGCAGCTGCCTAGACACCCATAGACCAGGGTAAATGTACCTCCAAATCGCAACTATTGCAGGATTTCTCCATGTCAACAGAGCGTCGATTTTGTTGACTCTAGGGCTGACATGGAATCCGGGAGCTCCGAGCTCCAGGGTTGTGCTATAAATTTTTCAGGAAAGATCTATGGATTGAATTGGATGGTTGGAGCTGAGCTTTTCGATTACATTTCTCTATCGAGACATAAATTATCTGTATACATAAATATGCGTCTTCGTAAGGCACTTCTGAGCCATAACTCGGACACCAAGTCAGGCACTGAAGCCGTTCACGGCTTCATGGTGTCTCTGTTTCCAGCACCAATAGCAAGCTGACGGCCGACATTTCCAAAGCAAACGCAGGCGCAGAACAGCACACTGGCGATCCAAACGCGAACTGCAAGACTTTCCTGGGTAATCCCAGCGCCGAGCGCGGTGTCGAGTCCTGTTCCGTTCAGAACACCAGTACCGAATGACGAACCAGTCGAGGCGGGCACAAGCTCTGGCTTGAGGCCAAGGATGGCACCCATCCCAGCCAGACCAACAGTAGAAGACAGGACGAAGCCGGTCTTCGTACGATCAATCAGGTACCAGAGAACGGGGTTGGCGAGAGCAAGCGTAAGCGACGCTTGCGTGGTAGATTCCCAGGGAAGTTTGCGCTAAAAGACACAGCATTAGCATAGATCGATAGGAGGACTCGTCCTCACTTACCATGGCAAAGGCAATGCCAACAAAGGCACCAACACTACGAGCAACAGTCACCCAGGAGGGCGTGCGGTCTTCACTCTCTTCGTCATTTGAGTTGTCGTCCTTCTCGGCACCAGTCTCCTCACGCCACCCGTCCAACGCAGGAAGCAAGTTACCGAGCGCAATGCCAACCAATCCCCACAGACCCAGATATTGCCATGAATCATAGTAATGGATATTCTCCAGCTTGACAGGCGTGATCCAATGGTTCTCGTGGAGGTTCACGGTGATGACACCGTAAGCAATACCAAAGCCAAACAGCAACACAGAGCTCAACGCCTGAGGCAAGATAACACCGCGGAACAGCCCCTGACTCAGGCGGGAGCGAGTGCGCCGGAGCGCCATTCGCCGCGGCATGATGGCCGATTTCTCGGCTGCCAGCTGCGACGGCTCCGGCGGGAACTCTGCCGCAGGTGAGTTGGCTTCCGTGCCCCAGGGGCTGGACTCATCGCGGAAACCATCGAAGGCTGTGGGCGAGTAGATTCCGTAGAGGGTGGATGATGTCAGATTCATCACCGATCCGGTGCGGCTTACACTGGTCGAGTTGGGGGTTGTGTCGGGGTGCAGGCTGAGGTGGGAATCTGTCATGGACTCCGCGGGTGTTGGGGGACCGGACGATTCGGTGGACGCAGGTGTCACGTCGAAGACTCGTCTGGGACGGGGCCGGAGGATGCGAGGTTGTTCGGCCATGACGTTGACGTTTGGCGCGCTGTGAACTCCAGGTTCGACACGGGGCTCGAGGGGAAAAATGGTGTCTCCGGTAGTCGGGGGCGGCTAGATCCAGCAGGAATGTGAGCCTCGCGGTTCACGCGTCTGGGTTAAAGTAGATGCGGAGTCCAGGAGTAATAGCAGAGTGTTGAAAAGGAGTCGCTTGGCAAGGCCCAAAACTTCGGGGAGAATGCAACTTTGGAGATTTTGTTGGGACTGAAAAGATACGTCAAAAGGCCAAGGGGTTTGATTCGGGAGCCGTTAGGAATCCGCTCCGTGCTGTTGGCCACCGCGCTGTGGTGTTATCCACTTTGCCGCTGCGTAGGAACTCGTATGATGAGAGAGCCTGAGGCTGGTCAGAGTTGAGGAATTGAGGAATTGAAATTCTTCTACCTGCGCAACGGGGCTTATGCAGTTAAATGAGAAAAGAGGGGGAATCGGTGGGATATATTATCACATGCAGAATGCATATTCCATACCTAGTACATGGCCGCTACTACTACACAGTGTAGGAAATATATTCCCATTTGAACCCGAAAGAAAACGAGAGTAGATCGTGAGGTATGAAGCACATATCAGAAAAGAAACAAAAGGGAATCGCCAGTGTATTAATCTTCCATCACATCGTCCGCATAGGCTTCCCCGCGTTGATCGGCAGGCCCCCTCGGAGGGGGGGACGAAGCTTCATGTCGTGTGTCACCATTGGCGCCCTCATAGGACATATTATCATCGTCTTCTTCGTCATCGGAGAAATCATCAGCCCGAGGGACATCTTCCTCATCGCCTGATCCTTCACCGAGAAGTTCACGGTCCAGATCGTCAAGCTCGCCCTCCATGTAGTCATCGGGCCCGTGCTCTGCCTCCCAGTTGGGGGTTCCCAGAGCCGACGCACCCAGCCCGTCCGCCTTGGCATGAGAGACGGGCTTCTTCCCGGTGGCTGGCGTGCCCATGATACCTGTCGACTTGCGCTTGGCGGCACTGGGGCGAGGCCGCGGACGGGATCGATTATGGGAGTTGCGCAGATCAGCCTCAAGAGCTGCCTTAGCTTGATACCGTTCTTCGCGCTCCAACTTGCGGTCTTTCTTGGGTCCGTTGGCTTCCTCGAAGTCCCACCGGTCAAGCCGGCGGGCGGCTTTGCGTACTACGGACAGGAAGACACTGGCGCATTCACCAAAGTCGTCTTCCTCCTCTGGGTTGGGAAAGAGACCACCCTTGCCCCAGGAAACTTCGTCGTCATCCGTATCATAGCCTTCGGGGAGTCCTTGGAGAAGGCGACCGTAGCGTCCGAAAGGAATTTCATGCTCTCGTTTGGCACGCAGAACGCGGTACGCATTCGATCTGCGTTTGGCAAGCAGATAGTCGATTCTCTGCCGTCGATTTTGCTCAACGGCAATTTGATGTTGAGTGAGTGGTCGCGGCCGACGACCAGGGTTTGTAGAAAGCGAGGGTTCTGTGATGAATCGGTTGAGGACTTGGTGAGGATGGCCTGGGGGAGCGGGAGAAGCATCAGGGGTATGCTCCGTCCTGGTTTTCAACACGAGCCGTTGCTGGCCCATGGCTCGGTTGAGCGAGGGCTCCCTCTTGAGTTGCTTGGGGCGTTGGTGTGAATAGCCAGGGGTCATTTCGTCTTCGTCGTCATCCAGACTGCGTTTGACAGAGGGGTGGAGAGGGGTAGACATGGCGGAACCGCGGCCTCCCATCCCAGAATAGTCACCCGCGAATGAGTCTTCGTCAAAGCCGAAATCTACACGAGTCAGTGTCTAGCTCATTCCCTGGGGCAGTGGGATGTATTACCTTTTTTGGACCGCTTGGGGATGCGCGGCAGTGGCTCCTCTTCTTCCAGAATGCCTGCATAATTTGTTAGTCAACCGCTGACAACGAAGCCTATTACGGCGCACGTACGCTTGCGCTCCAGTCGCTTAGACTCGCCGTACTCCAATTCCTCGGGAGTGTCCTGGTTCTCCTCACTGGCTTGTTCCTCGGTCAAGATATCAAAGGGTGGCACTTTTAATGGTAGACCCTCAGAGCCCTCGCCTTCCAAACCCGCGCCGAAAGGATTGTTCAAAGCAGCCTCGCGGCTGAAATCACTCTCCAAATACCACCACATCAGCCAAAGGAATGCCCTGGCGCGACTCTGGCTACTCAAGGTTGATCTCATGACCAGATCAAAGAAGTCCCGTGGAGGGAAGAAATGTGTTTCTGAGACCTTGGGGGCGTACTGCGCTAAAACGAAGATCAAATTGACCGGGTTGGTGCGAGGTACGGCCTGCCGCTTGATCTTTTCGAGGGTGTTGGGTTGTTCATAATCCTCCGAAGCACCCTTCAGGATTGACTTGAGGCGTGGTGCATCCTGTAGCTGCTTGTAGGCATTGGAGTCCTGGTGCGCTTGTAGTGAGGGGATCGAGTGGTAGGTTCGCAATTGAGCGCGCATTTCAGGGAAGACTATATCAAGCGGAAACAGATCGAATTAGTATTGTATCGAGAGCCGATGTACGGAGTAGCAGACGTACAGTTCAGGGTAGTGTTCATGCGACCGAAATTCACCAGCAAACAAACCATTGCCATGCTGATCGCTGCGGGCTTGTCGCTCTGCAGCTTGTCCTTCAGGATTTTGCTAGTCTTGCTGCTCCGGGCCATTGCATCGATGTAGACATCTGCAAAGTCCAATCCTTTCTGGCCATCAGGCCACCGCGTGAAAACGGGCGACTTGTCTTCGAAGACGAGCTTCAGAAACTCGTATTGGATATCCTTGCGCCAGAGCGGAATGCCATCTTCTTTCTTCAGGTGTCGAATCTTGTTGCCCGAGTAGACAGAGCCAATTGTACCGTTCGCTTGCCGCCTTGTACCGACCGTCGCGCTGGCGGTCAGGTTCGAGTCGTCTGCGACTTCGGAGATCGCAAAGGATTCATCCATCATGCTGTTTTCCATGTCGGCCATCTCGGATGGGAATGATGGCTTGCGACCAAGATTAACGGAAAGATCGAGGGTTGGGGTAGAGCTGCCCCCTAGGAGGCGCGGAGCGATCAAGTCGAAGTACCGTGGAGAGATAAAAAAACAGAGAAGGGATGAAAGAGAGCAGGCCAAGGAAACGCAAAAGGACGAAAAGGAGTGCCAAGTGCAAAAAGGAAAAAAGCAGAGTTTCGGGAAAAATGAGGAATAAAGCAGTGCCGAGTGACCCATGAGGTCGAATAGCTGGGATATCTACCCGTGAGATTCTTGACATAATGCCACGCACTATACTTATATTGAGAGGACATTCATTGATGCTGAGGCTATTCCAGGAGTTTGTTTAATGGTGTTCACCTTGTGCTCTACCTACATAGGTACCTACCTAGGTATAATACCAAGGCCATGTACTTTATAGATGGCGAAGGTTATAGATGCGCAAGGCATTAATACTACGTATCCTACGGAGTACACTGAAATAGATGTTTGAAATTGCATTGATAAGAGAACTTTCCTTCTCTGGCTTTTCTGTTCCCAATAGGAGAACCTATAAAGCATACTCATTCCACAGCGGCGGCGACAATCCTCGGTCCGAGAAAAATGATAGAAAGGAAATAAAAGCAAAGTGCTCCCGCTCGGAAACAATCAGCCTCCACGGACCCGGATATTCGTCAAGCCAACGCCATACAGAATGCAAAGAATACCATATTTTTTTGGAGGATGTTGCGAAAACCCATCACGCCGTGACGTGCAACCGAAAACCCCGGAGAAAGAAAGCGGAACTCGAAAGCAGAACGCATGCAACAAAGTCCGCCATAAGATACCGACGCTGTAAAAAGTCTATGCTGCACAATCAATGCAGCTATAACAACACCGAGATGGATGCGAATAGAAAAACGAGAACTTTTCGGGATGATGAAAAGTCATCATTCTCCGCTCGGCGCACGCGCGTCACTCGAACGTGTCCCGGTAGGAAACGGTCGAACATAAGGGGTATCTGACGAGAGCGGACGTAGGAAGAAAAGGTAAACAGACAGAGCAAAGGCAACGCATTCTATGATGTTCATGCAATGTGGATCACAACCTGCCCAAGAAGAGACGTCTTCGGAGAGCATTATCGTAAGACCGCATTGCGCGTGTACCTCCTGTCTATGCAAGGCAGACGAAGCCCATAGAACAACGAGGAGGCACGGGAGGAACAGCAAAGGGGAAAAGATTAAAACATGCGCAAAGGGAAAACATAGATCTAAACAAGCTAAGAAAAGTCGTGGCAGTCATGACAAAGCCGTCCTTGGGAAGGATAACAGGGGGGGGTAAAGGAAACCCAAGGACTCGTTCTGATCGTATCCGTCGAGAGACACAAGGAAATAAAGCAATGGAGCCAATCAGACCCAGCGGCCTCGTCAAAGGACCACGACAGATTTACCACCAGGAAGAGGGGCCGGATGCGCCGGAGGGGTTGCCGTAGCCACCACCACCGTAGCCGCCGCCGCCGTAAGAGGGAGCAGCGGCACCGCCGTAGCCACCACCGTAGGAAGGAGCACCACCGCCAGCGCCGTAGCCGCCGCCAGCACCGCCGAAGGAGCCACCGCCCATACCCATGCCGCCGGGGATGCGACGCACATCACGAGTAGCAGCAGCACCGCGGCCACGGCCACCACCACCACGGCCACGGCCACCGAATCCGCTACCCTCACGAGCAATGCTCTCGAGGAAAGAGGGGACCTCCTGGTGAGCCTCCTTGAGGAGCTCGAGCAGGTCGCGAACGACACCACGGTTGCCACGGTTGAAGAAGGCAGTGGCGATACCGGTGTTACCGGCACGACCAGTACGACCAATACGGTGAACGTAGTCGTCAATATCGGTGGGGAGATCGTAGTTGATGACGTGAGTCACGTTGGGGATATCGAGACCACGGGCAGCGACAGCGGTGGCCACGAGGATGGGGCAACGGCCGTTACGGAAGAGCTCAAGAGCACGCTCACGCTCGCGCTGGGTGCGGTCACCGTGAATAGCAGTGGCGGGGAAGCGCTGGTTGATGAGGAAGTCGGAGAGCGAGTCGGCCATACGCTTGGTCTCGACGAAGATCAGGGTCAGACCGGTGCTGCCGTGAGTGTGGAGGATATCAAGGAGGACGGAGCGCTTGTCAGCATCCTCGACGTACTCGACCTTCTGGGTGATGTTCTCAGAAGTGGAACCGACACGACCGACGGACAAGAAGATGTAGTCCTTCAGGAAATCACGTGCCAGCATCTGGATATCGCGGGGGAAGGTGGCGGAGAACATGAGAGTTTGGCGGTCCTGGACAACGGGCATGTCCTCACCCTCGACAATGCGGCGAATCTGGGGCTCGAAACCCATGTCCAGCATGCGGTCAGCCTCGTCGAGGACAAGGTACTTGATGTTAGCCAGAGAGATACGGCCACGCTCGATCAGATCGACGAGACGTCCAGGGGTGGCAACGAGGAGATCACAGCCACGCTCGATCTGGCGCAGCTGGGAGCCAATGTCGGCACCACCGTAGACAACGCAGGGACGAACCCAGGAGCGGTAGGCAAACTTGCGGGCCTCGTCGAAGATCTGAGAGACCAGCTCACGGGTGGGGGCAAGGATGAGGGAGGTGGGGTAGGCCTTGCGCTGGCGGCCGTAGAACTGACCACCTCCGCCCTGGGTGGGAGTGGCAGAGGGACCGTTCTGGAAAGCCTGGGAGAGAATAGGGAAAAGGAAACCACCGGTCTTTCCGGAACCGGTCTGGGCACAGGCCATCAGATCACGGCCGTTCATGACAATGGGAACAGAGTACTTTTGGACGGGAGTGGGGATCACGTAGCTGGCGAGCTTGATGTTGGCAATCAAGTGGTCGTCCAGAGGGGGGTTGGTGAACTGAGTAACGGGCTCGGGGACATCGTTACCGGAAGCCTCCACGGGAATATCGTCGTAGTTGGCGAAGTTGATACCGGTCTGCTGCTTGGAGGGGTCATTGGGGACACCGAACAGTTCACGCTCCACACGGGCATTGGCAGGGCCGGGAATGTGCTTTCCGTCGCGCCACTGGCCATCTCCAGAGCCACGGCCTTGTTGAGCGCCACCGCTGTAGTTGCTGCTGCCACCGCCGCTGTAAGATCCTGGGTGTCCGTAAGCATGGGGATCGAAAGGGCGGGTCCGTCCATCAGGGGTCCAGTTGGTCATACCGTTCGAGGGGCCGCGAGGGCTGAAGTTGGGAGCGTTGGCGTTGGCCCAGTTGCCGCCACCGGGACCGTTTCTAGAGAAGCAAGTCGGGGTAAGTTGGATGTACAAACATGGATAAGGTAGACACTGTACCGAGGACCGTCAAAGCCACCACCGGGAGTAGGGCCATCGGCAGCAGGGCCGGGGGCGGGACCGCCACGACCACGGAGGTGAGGAGGAATGTAGGCGGCACGTCCTTGACCAGGAGCGTTACCCTGGGGGGCGTGCTGAGACTCGTTGAGGGAGAGGTTTCCCATTTGCAAACCGTCGGCCATTTTTGCGGTTGGATTTTCTATTGCGGGAGAAAAGGACGAGTCAGAAGTTTGCGCGGAGAAAGAATGCAGGGGTGATAGATGCGAACAGGATTTTTTTTTCCTGCTTCACCGAAAAGTTGCGTGGGGGGTAGATAAGGCGCAAACGAAATTTGACAAGATCACACGCAAAGGAAGAAAATGGCTTGTTAGATACCTTCAGGAAAAAAAGAGAGAGAGGGTGAAAAGATGAGGTTGCTTTTCTGTTTCACTCAATAAAAAAAAAAGATTGAGTGGCAAACACAAAAAAGTTCAGGAAAACCACAGAGAAGATGGAAAATGCAAATCTCCCAAATCTAAAAACTCTATGGCAAGAAGAAAAAGAGAGATGAGTGAAAAAGAAAAAGGGGAGAGGTTCAGAGAGGTCAAGAGTGGATTGAAGCGGTTGTGGGAAGGAGGCAAATCATGCAAAAGTTGGAGTACTTGCTGGGTACAGGGTTGCGGTGCTGTGTGGCCTGTGTGTTGGCAGGTAGAGTGCCCGTACTGTCGTAACAGCGGGTATGGATGTGATACGGGGAGGCGTCAATACCTGGCAAGGACTTGGACTTTGGGGGTGTATTGGTGTATAACTCGGGTATTGCTCAGGTACTGACCGCCACGAAGAAATTTCTTATTTTGTTACTCGCCAGTTGACGGCGATTAGTGACTAAGATCACTACACGGGGGTTTAATTGGCTGGCTCTTAACAGTCTACTGGTCCGTGCACAGGTTTGTTCCCAAGGTCACTGGGCTGTGTCGTCACTGAGATCGGATCGAGTTAAACTTGGCCGTGTATGATCTATGGTGATCAGACGGGGACAATGGGACTCAGAGCCAAGAAAGTTAGCTATTCTCATACATTGTCTCTATAACGAACACTGAATTTAGGCATCGTACTGCTCCTTCTCTTGGGGCTGCTGGCCACGTCGGCGCGCAATCCAGACACCCACAATGGCGACCAAGACGAAGAAGACCATGAAGGGCTGCAAAGAGTAGGATGGCGCGGCGGTCTCGGGGGCCTCGTCCGCAACAACGGGTTCCTGGTCAAGTTCTTGAAATATCCAGCATCATCAGCCACTTCCACCCAGCAGCAGAGAAAACGGCGCGCAGGTGGTCACCTGTTTAGAGTTCATCGCGGCTACCTTTGTCCTCGGTCACGGGCTCGGCATCCATCTCGAGCTCACCGCTCTTCACGATCTTGACGACCTGCTTGGGCTTGTCACCGGGAGCCTTGGGAACGTTCTGAATCTTGTCGACGATATCGTATCCCTCGAGGACTTCTCCGAAAACGACGTGGCGGCCATCGAGCCATCTGTCCAATCTTGGTCAGCATTCGTACCAGACAGTCTATAAATGGGACACCTACGAAGTGACAGCGGTGGTGATGAAGAACTGGGAGCCGTTGGTATCCTTGCCAGCGTTGGCCATGCCTAGTTGCAGTCAGATCGATGAACATGTTCAAAAAGCTCGAGGGTAGGCTTACTGAGCTGGCCCTTCTTGGTGTGGCGGAGCTTGAAGTTCTCATCCTTGAACTTGTTGCCGTAGATAGACTTGCCACCAGTGCCTATATGCAGGTTAGTGCCATGCTATTACTTCTGACTGGGAGATTGCGTACCGTCGCCCTTGGTGAAGTCACCACCCTGGATCATGAAGTCCTTGATCACACGGTGGAAGGTAGAGTCCTGGTAACCGAAGCCCTTCTCGCCGGTAGCCAGAGCACTATAGGTGGATTAGCATATGTAGAAGTGAGGCAAACGCTCAGGGCAGAGCAACTAGCCATACCGGAAGTTCTCAGCAGTCTGTTCCAACGTCATATGTCAGCGAAACGATTCAATTGCTATTGTTTTGGGGGTGTTGCTGCACGAACCTCGGGGACGGTCTTGCCGTACAAGCCCATCACAATGCGGCCGAGAGACTCATCTCCATGCTGGATGTCAAAGTAGACCTATAACCAAGTATTAGAGAGGCTTCCGGTAAGATCTGGAGACCAAAAGATCTTCAGATGAAAGTCCAGGATGCTCACCTTGCTGGTGATCTTGGGGCCGCGAGGCTCCTTGGATTCAGCCTGGACAAAGGCGAACCCAACAGCAAAGACCAAGAAAAGGGATAGGAAAAGATTGCGGAAATACATGATCGGTGGTTGTCACTGATCTAGAATACAGTGAAAGGAGAAGGGGAGAAGCAATTGGGAGGGGAAGGCCAGCTTGCAATTGGCGTGCGGAGGCGCTCCACTCCTCATGGTGTATTTTTCAAAACGCAGATCACAAATAAGGTTGGATTGAGGTATCTGATACGAGAATTACAGTTTTGAGGAGTGTAAATACAGTAGTTTTGCAGGTCCCGTCCGGAGAAATGTTAATGCCAGAATTTCCTTCTGGAGTTCAACAAGCAACAAGTGACGGCCTCCAATTAATTGCTAGGACACCAGCCCGCCCATACAATTCGAGATGGTATGTCATTATAGCATGTGCAATTCTCTCGTTTTGAAAATCACAACTAACAACACTGAAGGTTTTCATTCTAGGAGTCAACTTCCCCGAGCGGAACCTGCTCAAGGCAAGCCAGCCCTCAATGCGCCGCGATAGGACTCTCCGCACCCAATGGATCGACTAACACGCATGTCCAACAGAAATCACTCCAAAGCTTCTTCGGAATCGGAGATTTCACCTCCAGCCGTATCATGGCCCGCTTCAACATTCACCCCACATGCCGCGTTGGTGAGCTCGCCAACAAGCAGGTCCTGGACCTCACCGCCATGCTTTCGGAGATGAAAATTGAGAACGACTTGCGCCGAGAAGTTTTGAACAACATCAAGCGGTTGAAAGAGACTGGAACTTACCGTGGTCGACGTCACGCGCTGGGTTTGCCCGTGAACGGACAACGGACCCGTACTCAAGTGAGCATCACTCTTCCCTACGCGATTCTGCTGCGTAGGATCGCGCCAGCATGACGGCTGTAAACTAGAAGGCTCTGGCTAACGCACTCGCAGATCAAAACTCCTATCCGCCTGAACCGCATGGAGCGTCGGTTGTAAGCTCAATATTGTGCTCAATATTTGCTCTTTTGGGATTGTCTCACAAATATTGCGTGAGAGGCATGGAACGGCGTTTTGATTTCTGGCAACGGTTAAGTTCCCAGCTTGTATGTGATTAGAAGCCCCTTATGGATGTATTATAGGCTAGACAAATTCGGGAAAACGATTGTCTAAATTGTCATGAGGGCACCAATATCGTAGCTACTGTCGGACTAAGGATTTGACATAAGGTCATATTCGATCTAGGTAGTCTGAAATGCGCGAATGTACGAGAATATGGATAATAATGAGAAAAAGAGAATATATGTAAGTCTAAACTTTTGCCCTCAACCAAGTGTTAAAACGCCAGGCCCATATGTGCACTTATTGCTTCGAAGACAGCACGCCCTCGCCGCGGTTGATTTGAATCCGCTTGTCCTCACCCGCGCTGACAATGCCAACAGTCTTGTCCCAGCACACGCTGAAGACCTTGACACCCTCACCACCAACACGCTTGCTATCAGACTTACCCTCCTCTTCAAGACTCTTGCGAGTGATGGAGTAAACACTCTCACCAACAACACCTTCCTTGTCGGTCTTTGTGGAACGGATATCCCAAATTCGACATGTGCCGTCGTGGCTACCACTGATAAGACCGTAGGTGCTGTGCGGGTCACGGGCCAGACTCACGACAGCGTTGGTGTGGCCTCGGAGGGTCATGGCAGCCACAGTGGTGGCAGACGCACGAGGATCAATCAGGGTGATGTGACGGGCAGCAGTACCGGCAGCCAACAGGCTAAGTTCGGGGAGGTGTTCGAGAGAAAGAAGCGAGTGTGATGTAGTGCGGGTGTCAACAAGAGAACCGGTAACCAGATCCCAGGTGCGCATGGAGTGATCCCATGAAGCAGAGTAACCAACGGTAGCATCCTTTCCATCGAAGATAGCAGCAGAAACGGGTGCGGTGTGACCCGACAGCAGAGACAATGGACCGCGCTGTGGGGTGGTGACAGATGTGTTCAGCTTGCGACGCTTGGTGTTGCGGGCGTTGCTAGATGGAAGCAGGTTCTCAGGGGCAGCCGGACTGTCGGCCTTCTTCGTTGACCAGAATCCAACGTTGTGGTCCGATGAACCAGTCAACAAACGGTTGGATTTGCCGTGCACAGCTAGTGATTCGATTCCAGACTTGTGTCCGTACAATTCCAACTGGGGAGAGATCTTTCCAGCAAAGCCACCTTCTTCCTCGGTATACTTCCACAGTCGCACGGTGCGATCCAGACCAGCGGATGCAATCTGGTTTGGGGAAACAAATTTAGCAGCCCTGATGGAGGCAGTGTGGCCTCCGTCGGCGGCGGCTGGGGATGTCGCAATGGTTTCAGAAGACATGTTCCAAATGCGAAGCAGGCCATCATAGCTTCCAGACAAAATTCGCTCTTGGCCCGGGGTGAAAGTGGCACCAGAGGCCCATGATGCAGCAGGCGAGGTCTTTGAGAGAACATCTGTGGCGCTAACCCAGTCGTCGTGTTGGAATGAAGCGATATGCAGAGGGGGGATCAATGCTCGAACGTATTCGATTTCGAGAGTTGTTTCGGCGGAAATGCCATTGTCAACCAGATATTCATCGATCGAGGTTCGCAAAAATTGACCGTTGATTAAAAACTCGAATGGGATTGGCTTCTCGCTGGAGAGAAGGTTGTTGACCAGAGTTGACAGCGCATATCGGCGAAGTCCTTTTCAGAACATATCAGTACTTGAAGCATGGTATACCAGATCGACAACGGATCTCTTACCAGTGGGAACCAGAATTGGGCCGGTGCTTTCAGGCAGAGCAATATCCTCCTGCTGGCTGACAAGCTGCACACGAACCTGTCGCTGCGCAGATTCCGCTGCGGCTGTGTTAAAATCGTCACTCATTGTAAACCGAGTTCAAATTGCTGTCGATGTTACAGATGGAATCTTTTTCGGTGGCTGTCGCATTTTCGGCGGGTGAGGAAAAAATACGGTGACCTGTGCGGCACACTCGTGCAGAGCGCGGAGATGCCTCCGCCTCTATACTTCGATTCTAATCACTTCGTACTCTGCATGGTGCTGCATAATTAGGTTTACGAATAGCTGTGTCGGCTACGCTGAGGCGTCGCCTTTGGGTTTGTTAAAGCCTAGCATCATTGACTTGGAGGCAGCAGAGAAACGTCCAACCTTCAAACTTGGAGAGGGGCTTATTTAGCTACAAAGGTATTGGAGTCTCATTTTGTTTATACACTTGGGCAATGTTTGACTCTGAGCTAAATACACTTAGCCTCTCGGGGCTCTTCGAATTTCCGAAATCGCACGCCGGCGATGGTCAGATTCCGCAAACAATGCCTCAATCAGGTCGACCACCTCTTCAACGGAGAACTCTAGGCCCAGCTCGCCTTCCAACCACAGATATTTGATATCAGCAAGCGAGCTTTCCAGGATGTTGACCATGTACTGGAAACGAAGCCAGCTCGGAACATAAACGGCAGTGGCCGGGAGTGCTCCAGATTCGCCATTCTCTGGCATAAAGAGATCCTCTAGCTTGGAAATTTGGTTGCAGAAAGAGACCAACTGCTTCGACTGATCCTCTGAGATGTCGCCCAAGTCCTCAATGTCGATTATTACTTTGTTGATGACCGTTGACAAGAGGGATCCCACGGACTGTAGCAGCGCAGAGTGAGATAGCACGGGGTGCCATTCCTTGTAGACATCGCGGATTCTGTCAACTGTCACGCTCACAGAATTTTCACAGTCCGATTGGAAAGGCTGCTCGGAACATTGACCGAAACCTTGGGCCCCATCTAGTAAATCGGTCACGATTGTGCGCTGGGTCTGCATCTCTTTGCTGTAGGCAGTTTTGCCAAATTTCTCCAGAGCTTCAACATCAGATTGAAGTCTGGAAAGTCCATGCTCGTCGACTAATTTTCGGATCTCATCAGACAGATAGAGGCTGTCATTATAGAGATACATCTGTCCCGAACTGAGTTTGAGCGAATAAAACGTTGATGATGTAGCCTTGAACATAGCCAAGATCAAAGTTGGGAGCGCAAGTAGACCGGCGCCGGAAGAGGCAACGCGTGATTTGGCATGTCTATGTCCATTAGCATATTTCAACATGTTTGGTGCTGCTGTATGACTTACGCTGGTTGCTGAATATCGTTTGAATCAGCGATCTGTTGCCGAACAATGTTCAGAACAGACTCGGGGATGTCGGTGATTGTGAAGACTTCCCTCAGAATAACCTCCTTGGGCGAAGTAGACCCTTGCGAAGATTTATTCTCTGTTGGCTTTGCTGCCGGGGACGCTTGTGATGACGTTGGCTGACTTTCAACTGTCTGTCCCTCAACTTCGTCGTCACCCCAGCCCCAAGCATCATCAGCATCGTCATCTTCCGTGTCAGTAGGCGGGTCTGCTTTAGGTTCTTCGTGAACTTCCTCGGTATCATCGTCATCAAGACCCCATGCACTGACATCTTCTTCGTCCTCGGGGCTTGCTGTCACTTTGTCGGACTTAGCATCATCTTTATCGTCATCCCATCCGGCATCCCAATCATCATTGACGGCATTGTCCAAGAGAGCCTCGTCAGCTTGAGAGACTTTTTCTTTTTCAATCCGTTCAACCGTCTTCGTGGTGCCTTGGCTAGCAGCAAGGGCTTTGCGAACGCTATCAAGTGAATCAACCCGACGTCGGGTCAACCACAGACGTGGAGCTTGGTTGACCCATGAGACAAGTTCTTCCTGGCCAGTCCACCCCCAGGATTCAACCTTCTGGGTGAACTCCAGGACGTGATCTAAAAGAATTTCGAAATCGTAAAGACCATCCAGATCAGTAGGAATTGCGTGGGACAACCACTCCGAAATTGTCTTTGAAGCAAGCTTTGGAATGAACGATTCAGATAAAGCCGCAGAGACCAACGTGGGTAGGTGTTCTCTCAGGTATCCTAGTATGTGAGAAAGACGATCCAATGTTTCCAATGCCGTTGCTTTTGAGGCTTGGGGCTCAATTCGAATGCTGGTGTCTGACACCACGACACCGTGGCTAGTACCATCAGGCCGGGGAAGCAATATCGGATTGACGATCGCAAGGAAGAAGTCTTTCTGGAACTTCTCGTTGGCCGACGTAAGAATTTCGAGTCGAGCAAGCGACACAAGCGTGGCCTCAATAGTATCTTCGCCGACGCTGGAGACCAAGAATTCACCTTGGGCTCGGTCGATCTTCAACTGCTCTGCCCAGCGCTTCCGGAGTGCCTCGGTGATCTCTGATCGAAGCAAGGACACCTCACCAGATAGTATGCTCATTACATTTGTGTTGGTAAAGAAGGCATCCTTGCCTACAGCCACGTGGGTCGATTCCAAGTACTCGATGGCGGTTGTGATATTGCCGTCCTTCAGCGCAGCTCGGCCAGTTTCCAATTGCTGACATAGACGTTGCACCTCTTCGAGCGTACCCGTGACGGCCTCATTGAAGGCAATCTCCGTTTCGACCAATGCGACTTTTGCCCTGGCGTCTTCGACCTTCGCCTGCAGGGGTTCTGTGTGTTCATGCTGTGCGACAATCTCTCGAGCCGTCAATCTTGATCGTTCGATGTCGGCGTGAAGCTGTTTGGCTTGGACAATCCAATCGTCGGCGTCGAAGGTGTTCTCTCGACTCAAGGAGCTGATCTCATTCTAACCAGATTCAAAGCGAGATATTAGCTGTCATGAAGGCGAATCGAATGATAGGAAATCCAGTACCTCTACCTGCTCACGGGCCTTTGATATGAGCTCCAATTCCCTTGCGAGAGCAGCTGGCGCCAAGTTGCCAGCCACCACATTATCGTCGGGGTATGTGCCTTCAGTGACAAAGCCTAGTACGGCCTGACACAGCCCCTCATCCGCGGCTGAGTCTGACATGGCGCATATGGTATCGTAGATGTATGTCGTACCGAATGGGGGATGGATCGAACAGCAACGGCGTCAACAAACCCGTGACTTTGGGCGTCACCGCCCCCACGTTATTTCATCTACATAGTGAACGGAGTGAGATTTCCAGCTTGGTGAGATTTGGATTTGTTTACTCGGATAGCAGAGATACAAAGAAAACCCAGAGGGAATAGATGAGGAGATTCTACTCTTATTGGCTGCACATCTCTTTGTTATAGACACGGTTGTCGCTTTGTAAGAACGGGTCAAACTCCGCCTAGGACCCAACACACAATTTGATCGGGACTCATCGTGTCTCTTCTCCCACTGACTCGCCTGAATCGGGCATCTCTCTTTCTGTAAGTGCGCAGGTGTTGGTGTTGATGTTCGACTGTCTACCCCTCCAAAATGTCTGCCCCTCGTTCATGATGGCATGCCCGCGTCAAGATACGTCCTTTTTAAGCACTTAGTTCCGATCATTTCTGCTCTTGCTCTCTTCTTTCATCCGATCTCCGGTGAATATCCTCGTTTCATCTCGCCTTCGTACTCGCACTAGTTCGCGTGCCTCCATGTATCAAGAGACTTGCTAATCGCAAGCTGCAGCTCAAGCGTCCGAAGTCTATTCACTGGGCCTGTCCCATTGATCAATATGTCATCGTCGGCGCAGAACAGCCACTTCAGGCTGCTCCAGCAGTTCAAGCCTGATTACTCGCCGAGCGAGTTTACTCAGTATGAATCACAGCGCACGGGCATGAGAGTCGTCGTGATCGACCAACCCGGTCCCAAGGTCAATGGCTACTTCGTGCTTGCTACTGAGATCCATGATGATTCGGGAGCCCCTCACACGTTGGAGCACTTGTGTTTCATGGGATCCCGCAATTACCGCTACAAGGGCTTCTTGGATAAGTTGGCAACTCGCGTGTACTCCAGCACCAACGCATGGACTGCAACTGATCACACTGCCTACACACTTGATACCGCAGGCTGGGAAGGCTTTGCGCGTATTTTGCCCGTCTATCTGGAGCATGTGATTGCTCCTACCTTGACGGACGAAGGCTGCTACACCGAGGTGCACCACGTCGATGGATCTGGAAACGATGCCGGTGTTGTGTACTCGGAGATGCAGGGAGTTCAGAACGATGCCGCAGAACTGATGGACCTGGCAGCACGAAGATTGACCTATCCCCCTGGTGTAGGCTTCCGCTATGAGACCGGAGGTATGATGGAACAGCTTCGTGTTCTGTCTGCGGAGCGAATCCGTGAATTCCACCGCGAGATGTATCAGCCCAAGAACCTGTGTCTGATTATCACTGGAGAGGTCGACCAGAACCACATGCTGGACATTTTGGATAAGTTTGAAGAAACTATCCTGGATGTCATTCCCAGCCCAGAGGCTCCATTCAAGAGACCTTGGGTGGATTCCAAGCAGGCTCCTCCTTTGGCGGAGTCCATCATCCAGAAGGTCGAGTTCCCCGAGGAGGACGAATCATTCGGTGAAATTGAGATCCGTTTCATTGGACCCGATTGTACTGACCCAGTTCAATGTATGTCTGACTCGGGATTCTGCCCTCTAAGTCGAATGCTAACAATTCAATAGCCGGAGCTCTTAATGTATCTCTTCTCTACTTGGCGGGCTCATCTGCAGCCTTGCTAGAGAACATCATTGTGGAGAAGGAACAACTCGCCAGTGCTGTCTACTATGCCACCGAGGACCACCCCAGCATGGAGATCCGCTTCACATTGACCAGTGTCGCGACTGAAAGCCTGGAGAAGGTCGAGAAGAGATTCTTTGAGATTCTCAAAGATGCCATGGACAAGGAGCTGGATATGAAATACTTGAAGGAGTGCATCGATCGTCAGCGCCGAACCTGGAAGTTCTCTACTGAATCCTCGGCCTCTTCTTTCGCCGAGTACGTCATTTCTGACTTCCTGTTTGGAAAACGCGATGGTTCCACTATGATGGACGTCGCGACTTTGAAGGAGTACGACGTTCTCGAGAACTGGAATGAAGACCAATGGCGTGCCTTTATCAAGAAGTACATCTCCGATGCGGCCCACGTCACTATCCTGGGTGTTCCATCTCAAAAGATGTCCGAGACGCTGAAGAAGGACGAGGAGGATCGCGCCGCTGCTCAGAAGGAGCGCCTGGGTGAGAAGGGCTTGAAGGAGCTCGCCGACAAGCTTGAAAAGGCGAAGGCTGAGAACGACAAGCCTATTCCACAGGAGCTGCTTGAAGAGTTCGCAATTCCTGGAACGGAGTCAATCCACTTTATGGAAACCACTACGGCTCGTTCTGGAGCTGCATTGAAGGCTGGACGCCCCGACAACAAGATCCAAAAGATTGTCGATGCCGACAAGTCTGACTCGTCTCTCTTCATTCACTTCGAGCATATTCCCAGTAGCTTCGTACAGCTGGCGGTGCTTATCTCGGCGGATTCCGTACCTGTTCAGCTGCGTCCATTGCTTTCAATCTACACCGAAGCCTTCTTCAACATCCCGGTTGAGCGTGATGGGCAAACCATCGACTTCGAGCAGGTTGTTGTGCAGCTTGAGAGAGATACAGTCGGGTATAATATGGAGACTGCCCGTAGCCTCGGAAACTCCGAGATGCTACGCGTTTCCTTCCAGGTCGAGCTGGAGAAGTATGAGAACGCCATCGCCTGGATCCAAGAGCTGTCCTGGAAGTCTATCTTCGATGTTGAGAGACTTCGGGCTATTAACACTCGTCTTTTGGCTGATGTGCCAGACTCCAAGCGCAGTGGCGACGACATGCTTGCCGCAGCCCATGTGATGGTGCACTATGCGAACGAGTCCGTTGTCCGTGCTCGGTCTACTCTGGTCAAGGCTCGCTACCTCAAGCGCGTCAAGCGTCTGCTCGAGGACAAACCCGAGGAAATCGTGAGCCGCATGGAAGAAATTCGCAGCTCGCTTTTCCAGCCCGACAACGTCCGCGTCATCGTCATCGCTGATCTTGAGAAGCTGAAGAACCCCGTTTCAGCCTGGAAGCCCTTCGCCGATACTCTCGGCGCCACTGCTGATCTACGTCCCATCACCAACCGACGAGCCCGTCTCAGTGATGCCGGCAAGAACGTTGGCGGCAAGTCCTATATCGTCCCTATGCCGACAGTTGACTCGTCTTTCGCCTACGCTACCGGTCGTGGTCTGGACTCCTACGATCACCCCAGCCTGCCTGCCCTGTTGGTCGCAATTTCTTACATGAACGCCGTTGAGGGTCCTCTCTGGGTTGCAGTCCGTGGAACCGGTCTGGCGTACGGCACCAACTTTAGCTACAACATTGATACTGGCTTTGTCAACTTCGATGTGTACCGTTCGCCCAACGCACACAAGGCTTTCGAGTCTAGCAAGCAGATTGTCGAGGACCATCTGTCTGGTGCTTCGCCTTTCGACCCATTGATGCTGGAGGGCGCTATCAGCAGCATTGTGGTCAACTTTGCGAACGAGCAAATGACTGCTGCTAGCGCTGCGCAAGGCAGTTTCATTCGCCAGGTCGTGCGCAAATTGCCCAGCGACTACAAGGAAAAGATGCTCAAGAACGTCCGTGCTATCACTGTTGACCAGATCAAGGGTGCTTTGCGTGAGATTCTCCTGCCGATGTTTGCTCCTAAGACAGCGAACCTGGTGGTTACCTGCGCCACTGTTTTGGAAGAGGTAAGTACTATAAACCTTGATATCTTCGTGTACTAATATTTGAATTAGGCTATCAAGCAGGGCTTCGAGGCATCTGGCTTCAGTCCCATTGTTCAACCTCTCAAGGAGTTTGAAGATGACTACGGTCTGAAGATTGACGGCCAGGACGAGGATGAAGACGACGACGACGAAGAAGACGACGACGAAGACGAGGACCACTCGGATGAAGATGATGAATGAATGTCTGAATGGTTCATCTACAGATAGCCAGGTAGATCACATAGACGGATGGTGTCAAGATCTCCATAGTCTAATTCATGATGATCTCAGGAATGTATATCTTGACCTGCACCACAACTTAACAGAAAGTTGAAAAATAATTCGCACTATATAAAAATGTAGTCGCACACACCCTATTGAGGTAAATATGGTACACGCCAAACAAGATATCTCATACCCATCTTGTCTAACCCTCTCGATCTTGCAAAGCCAAGGGTGGCGGGCAATTGCATTCTATCTACATGGCAAGCCTGCCATGACACAGGGGATCAGTTCATAGCCCCGGTTGATTTAGCACTCTCTTGACTGGCTCGAATTTAGCAAAGCGAAATTACCAGCTTAGCTCCTTGCGGCCCTTGAGAGTCCTCCGCACCAGGATCTTGCGTCCATTTCTATCCTTCTTGCGCGCGAGATAGCCGTGGCGGCGCTTCTGGACTCGTCGCGATGGGCGGAATGTCACACGGCGCACGCCGAGGGACGCACTAGCGGAGAAGGTGCGGCTCTGCTGGGGAGCCCGAGAGAGGAGGGAGGACAGCGGCGAAGAGAGTGTGGTTGTAGGAAGGCGGGCGCCAAGTGTGGGTTGGAGGCGTGGCGTGGAGAGGAGGGAGGAGAACGCTCGGGATGAGAGCATTGAGGAGGGTGTGCTTGGTCGGGGTATTTGAGAGAGTCTGGGGGATAGAAGTGTTAACAAACCATATGAACGATATACTGGATGGGGTGAGGAATTGGGACCCATTGCATACCTGGAGATAGGGGTTCGCATAGCGGTAGCCCGGAAGGCTGAGGGCACAGCCCTGGGGCAAAGGCAGAACATGATGCTCTGTTGGAATTGGGGATGGGCCTAGAGTTGGAGGTGACAAGACGCGGCGTCGGAAGACAGAAAACTAAAGGTATGGCCCGATTGGGACTAGCGTCCCGTCGCCGACACTTTTTTTGTCTGCGAAATGCTCAACTTTCGCCCGCTCCAACCCTCATTACTGCTCGCAACCCACGCTAAACTGGTGGCATACGCTGTACGAACACTCGAAAGCCTACCGGCAAATCAATTCTACCACTACCGCTCTTCAATCGTCCACCGGCCAAGCACCAATTCCACAAAATGGCATTCTTCTCAGGCCCTCGAGCCCTGCCCCCAACATCAGTGGAGAGCACCACACCAATCAGCCAAGCGCAAGCGCAAGAGTTCCTCCGCGCCTACCTCGACCGCGCGAACACCGACCCTTCATTGCAACCCAACGCCGGCATTAGCGAGCACGGCCCCGTCTCGCGGACGACCGCCGCAGCACCAAACCTGATCTTGCACAACCTGAAGCGCGTTCAAGCAGGTTTGGCGGGTGAGCTTCTCGGCCGCGACTTGACGTCCGCAAAGCAGAACCCCGGGGAAGAATACACAGAGGGTGCGGCCGAGGTCGCACCCAAGAATGAGGACGAGGACCACGATCTTACCATGAATGATGCCGACTTTGGTGGAGAGGCGGAGGCTTTCGCGGAACAGGAAGATGGCCTTGATAAGGAAGAGCGCAAGCGCAAGAAGAAGGAGAGACGACTGGCGGAGAAAAAGGGAAAGGCCCAGAAGGCTAAGGAAGAGGCCGAGGACTCTGATTAGAATGTGATATATTTGGGCGTTGATGCATTGGGTCGGAGTTCTCGATTTTGTCTATTCCCGTGCTTTGGACCGGGTCATTTTTGGATGTATGAGATTCCAAGGTTACTCGCATTTGTCTGCACAAAAAATTTCATTAAGAGTTTATATATGGATTCATACCCAGGTAAAATCCAATCGATACATAAAGAAACGTTTCAAACGTCACTCCTGATGTAAATTTGCTACGGCTTAAAGACTTGGCTGGCACAAAAAGATCATTTAAGAATAATAGAACAAAACTGCCATGGAGCCGTTGTGCTTACAGCTCGCGGTCCGCGGCCTTGATGGGCTTGTCGCTGTCTTCCGCCTTGCTGCTGGTGACCTTACCACCCTTCCAGCCAAGCGCGGCAAGACGCTCGGTGAGAATGGGGTGAGAGTAATGGTAGCTAGCATAGATAGGGTCGGCATCCATCGTGCTGAGGTTCTGGATCTGGAGCTTCAAGAGCGAGGAAGCAAGCTTGTCGGAGTAACCAAGGTTCTGAGCGAACTCATCTGAAACATGATGTTAGCGATGGAGAATATCTACTTGATAGAGCAAGACATACCGGCCTCGAATTCAAACTTCCGGCTGAGAATGTTCATAAGAAGCTTGACAACAGCATCCATAGGGGCGAGGGCATCGGAGAATAGCAAGAAGCCAATCATGATGGGCTGCTCCTTGATGAAACCGAAAGACTGGTAAAGAGACTTGTTGTTGACGAAGACAGAGAACAGGGCGAAGATGTAGAACATGTGGAACTAAAGATTATGAGCCGAATGTCGAAAAATGCGAATACCTTATACATACCTGGGCAATTCCAAACAGCTTGGTGGTGTGGCTCAGGCTCCAGTGGCCAAGTTCGTGGCCCAGCACAGCAACAACCTCCTCAGGCTCGGTCTTCTCAATCAAAGTATCGTAGATGACAATATGCTTCTTCCATGGTAGACCGTAGAAGTAGGCATTGCTGTGGGCACTGCGCTTGCTACCGTCGATGACATGGAGCTCCTGGAGAGGGAAGTTGAGCTTCTTGGCCAGGTTCTCGACACCGGTCTTGAGTTCACCGGGCTCGAGAGGAGAGAGCTTGTTGAACAGGGGCAGGATGACAATGGGGTAGATGGTGATAGCGAAGACCTGGAGGAAGACTCCAAAGAGCCACAAGTAGTAGAAGAACGAGTTGTCAAACTTCTGCACGATCTTGAGCACAGCACTGATGATGGGAGCACCGAGAACAATTCCAAGCATTTGTCCCTTGAGCATGTCCGTGATCCATAGCTTGAGGGTCTGCTTGTTGAAGCCGAACTTCTCCTCCAACACGAAGGTGTTGTAGTACGAGACAGGCAGCGAGAGGATGGTGCTTAGAATGTTGAAACCGAAGAAGAATACCAGTGTTTGACAGATTTCACCTTGGAACCGACCGGGGAGGTACCGTGCAAGGAAGAGGCCACTCAGACCCCAAATCTTAGGGAGGACATCACCGTAGATGAAAGCGAGATTTTGGATTTGACCGTAGAGACCTGAGACGAAGCCGAACTTGGCCTTTGCGCGACCGTATGCCTGTAGTATTGAAGATAAGTAGGCGTTTAGTGTTGAATGATTTGTCCTGCTCATACCTGACTTTGATCGTAAACCTTTTGAGTGACCTCCCCTTCGAGAACCTTCGGGGGTGTTGTACGTTGCAGAAACTTGTATTGACGCAGGGAGAGGAAGCCTTCGAGGACAAACTGGCCCAGCGAAAAGCCCACCAGCACGTTCTTCCAAGGGAAGAGTGGGCGGTCGAGCAAACGCGCCAGTTGCTGAGGATTGTTAGCAACGTGTCCACGACGAAAACCATTCTCGCCGTGAGGGCAGAAGTTTGGGATTAAAAATGATCATACTAACCTCGAGGATATACATGATTGAAAGTTGCGCGCAACTAAGTGGGAGGAATGGAGGAAGAGGTGCTGCTTTGCCCAGGTGTTATCATCGCCCTTAGTCAGATTTAGGATGCTCCCTGGGGCCAGGTGAAGTACACGACTTTTGAAACACAACAGTGCTCGGATTTTGGTCACACAGCGCGAGATTCCATTCTGTTTTGAGTCGCATTTGAAGTTATCTATATACCAAAAGGAATTGGTCCTAGGATCTGACGCTATAGACATCCCAGGTCCTCACATCTGTAAACAACTGCAGTGATGTCATTTCCACATACCCTATGCCGACTAATATACATATTCAGACAACACCAGTGAACCCTTATACATTACTTGAATTTGAAATCCTCTCACGAGGTCTCACTTATTCCAAGATTGCATTGAGCTTTGGACATTCCGTGATAGTACCGATTTGGGGTTGCATGGCGTGAACAGTTGGAAGTATATTTCTCCAATGTCAGCGCCCAGGGCGTCAATGGATCTTCTAACTGTAGATGTCTAAGTCTCTCAACAACTTTATTGGCCCTCTCGATGTCACAGAGGGTATTCAAAACACCTTGGAAGACGTTGATTGAAAATGCAAAGCATAAGCTGGTAAATTGTAACCTCCGCTACATTTTTGACCTCAGACCTATATAGGCCTATCTACATAGGGTCCGATGCAGACAGGAGATATGAGCAATGAACAAGTAAACCTCTTGGAAAACAACTCCCTCAACACGAATGAAAAACAAACACATCTCTTATTCGCCGACCTCACCATCCTGCTCGTCGTCCCCAAGACCCCGCTGCCAACCCTTTGCCGGTGAGCAAGTGGTTTGGGGTGGCGACAATGCAGGATTGCATTCCTCTCCCATCTTCTCTATTTAGCCGGGGGAATCAGTTCAATCATGCCTTTACTTTTTCCGACTCGTTATGACCGTAAACTTTTCTGCAATCGAAGATCGCAAGACTCGTGTTCGAGGGGCGGTGGGCTGAGACAGCGTGGGGATATAGCATGGATGATTTGCAGATTTCCCAGAGCAGACCTCAGTCCCAATCCTCCCCATGCCGAACGGGGACATCGTTCAAAGGAGTGCTTTACTGCTGCACAGGCTCGAGGGTGTTACCACTGTGAAGAGAGTCAGCATCGGTCATCAAACATACGACGTTGAACCGGGTACTTACGCAACAATGTTGGCCCATCCAATAAGACGCCAGTGCTTCTCAATTCTGCGAGAAATGGCAATCTTCTCACCAACCTCCGTACAGGCCGGGCTGGTCAGGCTGAGCTTGGCAGCATCGGCCTTGACACCGAGAACCTTAGCACCGGTAGCGGTGGAACCGATGTTGACCATGAGAACTTCGTTCTTGGTGAGCTTGGCGACCTTGGCCTGCTTGCCATCGGCAGTCTTGACACCGAGCAGACGACGGAGGAGGAAGTAGTTGACCTCGATCTCAGTGTAGATAGCAGGAAGACGGCCACGGTGACCGAGAACGAAACCGACAAGACGATCGGCACGGCAAAGAGTGGGGTCGACACGAGTACCGACACCGATAAGACCACCGGGAACAGCAAACTTGAGGTCGTTGTGCTCGGCGAACAGAGAGACAATGCGGGAGAAAATGGGACGGCACTGAATCTTGCCCTGCTCGTCCTTGGTGACGAGACCGGGACGAATCTCAATCTCGTCGTTCAGCTTCACGACACCGGTCAGGATGGATCCACCGGCAACACCACCCTTAAGCTCGTCAATCTCGGCACCGGGCTTGTTGACATCGAAGGAACGAATGATCATCATGTGAGGGGTGGCCTCGAAGTTACGGGGAGGAATGGGGATGGTGTGGACGAGGGCCTCGTTGACAGCGTCGATGTTGTACTTCAGCTGGGCGGAGATGGGAATGACGGGAGAGCCATCGGCGACGGTACCACGGATGAACTTGAGGATCGACTGGTAGTGCTCAAGGGCGTTGTCTTCACGCATAAGGTCGACCTTATTTTGGAGAATGACGATGTGGCTGAGCTTCATGATCTCAATGGCGGCCAAATGCTCGGAAGTCTGGGGTTGAGGGCAGGTTTCGTTTCCGGCAATGAGAAGGAGAGCGGCGTCCTGGAAAGCAAGGTTAGACCTGGTTGTCCGAAAGTCTCAATTCTGGGCGAGTCCAGGTGGAACTTCAAACTCACCATGACCGCGGCTCCTGAAAGCATAGTGCTCATCTGCAGTTGGTTAGTATCAATTTCTCAGACAAAATTCGGAAGGCCCTCAAAGATTATGATATCTCCAGGATGCGCCAGAAGTGTGTACTCACGAGAATATCGTGACCGGGGCAATCGACGAAACTAGGTTAAGCATGTCAGTTTACGAACAAAGTAGAGGTCAGCTGCTAGCGACTAGCAGGATGGAATCTGGGATACCTGAGATGGCGCTGTATCATGTGTTAGCTTATATTCATCTGGAGCCTAAGGTATGGGCATAAAGGGACAGGGATACACACCAGCAAGCGGTAACGGCCGTCACATCCTTCGCGCTCACAAGGAGGATCGATCTCCTTCTCACTCTTGAAACTCTTGTAGCATGTAGGCCGAGGGCAAGCGGGGCTGTCACACTTGTAGATCTTTGCGTTGGCGTAACCAAGCTTAATGGTAATGTTACGCTCGAGTTCGTTCTTGAAACGAACGGTCTGGACCTCGGAGATGGCCTTGACAACGGTGGATTTGCCGCTAGAGAGTCATTAGTATATTGGGAGCAGGACGAGAAAGGTGAAGGTGATCTAACTGAGCGACATGTCCGATTGTGCCTAATAACGTTGTTAGCGAATCTGTGGCCCGAGGAAAACCAAAGAAAAGTAGGCATAGAATGCGATTCCAAGCGCAAACTCTTCCCAAGCCAAGTCACGTACCAATGTTCTGAGTTGCTTGTCTGGCGATAATCTCAGGTGTGAGAGGCGTCAATTTCGACAGATCGAGGGTCTCCGGGTTAGGCTGTTCGGGGAGGAAAGGGCGCTGCGGTTGAGGAGCAGGAGGGGCGGCCTTCTTCATGGCCGACTTGACGGGCTTTTCCTCCTCAAGAGGCTCCTGGTCTTCGACCTCTCCGCGGGCGTTGTGGGCATCGAGCAGAGGCGAGCCGGGCTGGGATCCCTCATCGGAGAAATCGCCGTTGGAAGCCATGATTGCGATTTAGAAAATTCGACTCGCGATCGACTGGGTAGATCGGAAGCGGAGGGTTGAGAGCTGGTGGAGAGGTTGGTGGAAGGTCGGGTGAAAATTACTTCCTGCGGGCGATATGATAATGAAAGAATGTAGGTGGGGGGGATTGTGTGCAGTGGAAAGCCGGGCGGTGTCTACATATAGATGGCAACGCTACGATTATTCACCAGCTCATATGTATTTTGATGTATATTAATTACATTTGTTGTTAACCTGAGTTGAATATTCCTCGAGTTTTGATGGTGGGTTGAAGTTATTGTGGGTGAGTCACTCCATGGGAAAAATCCCTGAACTTGACAACCTGTGTACTCCGTAGTACGATGTACGATGGACAGTGCTGACCCTCATTGTCTGAATGGGAACTGCTAGCTTAGAACGAGCAAAGAAAAGGTATTGTTAAATCAGTCCAGTTTCTTATTCATGATACATTTTGCTTGCCACTCGGCTTATTGACAGTATAAAGGGTATAATAGTTGAGGACGAGAAGAGTCTACTCATCGTCGCTATCACTAGACGACTCAGCTTCATCTTCCTCCGAGTCATCGTCTCCAGAGTCAATCAGGGTCGAGGGATCTTCGGCGGGCAGCATGACAAAGGCAGCCATACAAGTAATGCGGTTGCCAGTCTCAGCGGTGGTCAGGAGTTTTCCGACTTGAGTGGTTTCCTTGTCTTTCTTTGCGGAGGAAATCTCCTTTCCAGTAGCCTTCCATACACGCACAACACCATCACTGTTACCAGTGACAATCAAGACATCGTTGTGGTATTCCTTCGCTTGTCCCTCAAGGCTCAGGACCTCGAAGTCCTTGATGCGACCCGGGAAGCCAGCTTGCTTTCCACCGAGCTGAGCGACAGGGGTAGCGTGGGGAATAGAGCAGTCGGTGTCGTCTTCATCAGTCTTCAGTTCTTTGGTGGAATAGAAAATCACCCGACCATCCTCTGTGGAGACGGCGAGGAAGTCTTCCTTCTCGCCACCCTTCACTGGCAGAGAAACGTATTTCATTTGGTGGAGCTTGCTCCTGGGCCCTGGGATCAGTCTACATCTTGGGACCGAGTCCTAGTCAACAGTTAGCATGCAATCAGCAAAATTGCAGAAGCAAAGTACTTACGATACCAAAGATAACGGCACCCCATTCAAAAGCAACAGCGAACTCCTCTCCCTCAGAGTCCCATGCGATACGTCGGCCTTCTCCAGTGCTCCACCTTGATTCCTTGACACCCTGGAGCATCTCTCTGGTGAAGTTCAACACACCAGCTTTTCTTCCTGTGACCAGGTTCCACAATCTCATGCACTTCTCTCCTCGCCCAATGCTCAGCATCAGCTTCATACTGGGGTGCACCGCGAAATGGTTGACACCGGACGGGGCAGCCCCAGGGGGTGCTGTGTCACCACTAGGCCGTCCTTGGACCTTGGGGTTTGGCGCCTTGATGGATGATACAACGCTCCAGTCACGAGTCTTGGAGATGGAGATTGTGTTGTCTTCACCAGCAGCAATCAGCTTGCTCCGCGAGGGGAAGCTCAAAGAGGTGATGCTGGCAGTGTGGTGCAGCAATGATCCGAGCTCACGGTTCCGGGGGTTCTCAAGGATCTTGTTTCCGGCAAGAGTGGGCACAGAGGGGTACTCATCGCTGACAGCAGGGGGTGCTGCAGAGATGGAGTAAAGGTTGATACGCTCGTCGGTGCTACCGCTAGCAAGGATCACCTTTTGGGCCTCGGGAGAATCGGTGGCTTTGGGTAGTGGCGACAGAGCCAGGCAACGAATTGCAGATCCATGGGCCTCAAACAGGAAGGTGTCCGCGCAATCAATCTTGGAGAGCTCGGCGTCGCTCTTTGCTTTGAGATGGGAAGCTGGGATGCCGGCCGTGAAGCCATGGAGCACCCGCTCATAAGAACCGGTGATCACTTGGACAGTGAGAGCCGCATCAGATGTTTCGGATGGGGTTGGGGCGGACTTGGTTGTCTTGGGAGGGCTTCCAGCGGCCTTGTCCTCCTTGGGGGCGTCGGTTCTCTTGCGCTTCACCATAATTGCGATGTGATACTGTTAGGATGTCAGAGCTTGACCTGGGCGGACAACTTTTTTTCTTGATTTTCTGCCGGAGGGTTATCGATAGCGGTTGGCTATTTGGTGCCTGAGAGCCTGAATGCCTTGTGGCCTGAATACCTGCCTCAATAATGTAGTGCCTCAGGCTGAAATACCCTCACCGCAAGCGGAATGCTAATTACCGCATTACCGTGCTGATATTACCCAGTGGATGAAAGACCACAGGCGTCCAGCTACATTAATCAGGCTCATTAAACATTTACTCGACAAGATGCGGAGCAGAATATTCATTTAGTGGACATGATCAAAGAGAACTCTCACAAGTACCAGTTACCTGGCCAAGCCGTGTATTGTTGCTGGGAGGAGCAAGTACTTGGGTGTACCTAAACCACTTCCCGCACTCATTTTCCCAAACATTTTTTTCGTAACGTAACCTCATTTTCAACCCCTTCGAAAAGATCCTGCTTTCCATCACCTCCCACCCTCCACCCATCTTTTCCATCTTGTTCGAGCGATTTTTTCCATCTGGATGACCTCGCTCAATCGTTTCCCCTTGTTCCCGCGTTAATCGGATGCTGCGTTCCGAAGTTAGACTCCATGCTCCGCGACGAGCTTCTTCGATCTAAAAATGATGAGATCGCGTAAGTATTAAATTTTCCGCGACCTGCTGTTCGATGGAGGTCCTTTTTCAGCGAATTTTGGCTAATTTTTGCAGTACTTGTTTGTCGCGCAGAAAGCGCAAGCTCAGCGCATTGTACTTAGCCACGGTCGGCTTTGGCGCGACCGAGGACCCTCAATACCCCGAACACGAACAAGCCTTCCTCGACGCCAACGATTTGTCCAAGTGAGTCCACTCCCCACCCTAAGGGTCTTGAGAATATATTATCATCGAATCACAATGCTGATTATCTGTCCAGAGGTCGTCAATTCAATGAAGCTACCCTTCCACCGCCCACGCACGCACGCGCGCGGTTACCAGAAAGCAACGACGCGGCATTCCCCAAGCCGGTAGTCGCTTCGCCGACCCAGGGCCTCCAAACGACTGAAACTCGCCAGCGCACAACACCTTCTCTTCCCCAATCCGACAAAATCACACCTAATCTCCCTACCCCTGCCGACGCGACTGGATCACTGCCCCCGCCTCCGGCTAGTCCTCAGCATCGAGATGCAGCATCTCCGCCTGTCGCGCAATCTCCTTCTAGCGCCGGCCAGAATGGCAGCGCATCTGTGTCAGCAACGCAATTGCTCACCAAAGATCATGATGGAACCAAGGCAACTAGCCCTCCTGTGCCAAAGCCAGCCGCCGGTGCTCCCTCGTTGGACATTCCCTCCGACTCTCTCCCCCGAACGAAACACGAAACCCGTCCCTCTCTCACGCTAGGACCTTCCCACGAGCACCCGCCATCACCCGCCTCATCAATTGACCCTTACAATAATAATACACCCGTACCAATCGCGGCATCACCCGACACAAGCCCCGCGGAAGAAGTGGCCGAAGACGCCGGGGTAATTGATCGCCAAAAACACCACGCCCGACCTACTAATGGACGATCGAGCATGGTCCCTTCCACCCCGGACGAACAGCCACGTCTCGAGGAAGCACCGTCAACACACGACAAAACTACTAATGGTGTAAATGACATGCAGCCCAAAGAGGCCGAAGAGCCCGTGGACCGAGAGGACGATACAGACCAAATGGACATCGACCAAGAGACTGCTCCTGATCATTCCGGGGATAAAACCTCGCTTGGAACCAAAGCAGAGAGGGAAACTGTGTCACCAACCGCGCCCATGGAAATCGCCGAAGATGCGACTCCCGAGACACCGGCCAAGAAGTCTGTGTCTATACCACCCACCCAACCTGGATCAACTCAGCCGGAACGGATGACCACCCGGGTTTCATCAGGAGCTCTTCGCCACAAGTCGGTCTCAGAAATCCTCGGCGAAACCCCCCGGAGCCATGACAAGAGCCATCCTGCCACGCCATCCGAGCAAGGTTCTCCTGATTCTGTTGCCAGAATGCGCTTCAAGGACCGCAAAGAGCGAGAGAAAGAGAGAAGCCGACTTTCAACTGTCGTGTTCCCAAAGCAACCAGCTTCCCAGCAGGAAAGAGCAGACACCATGGATCTAACCCACAGGGATCTGGATGCGGTTGCGAAGCTGAACGAGGAGCAGGACTATCTCTTCAAGCTGTTCCTGAACCGAGCATACGCACCTCCCCGAGGAACAAGCCTCAATACACTCCTGGTGTCCGCGCACAAGACCTTGAGCACCGGCAACCACCTGCTAGAGTACCAAGAGCAGATGGATGTTCGCACACTGAGACGCATCTATGCCCTCCAGAATGCCAACAGGTGGCCACTGCGGCAATTGAAGCGCTCTGTTGAGCCTCAGCGACAAGGTACACATTGGGACGTTGTTATTGACCACGCGAAATGGATGCGCACAGATTTCCGGGAGGAGCGCAAATGGAAGATTGCCGCAGCGAAGAGCTGTGCCGACTGGTGCGCAGAATACGTGCATAGCGACGAAGAGCATCGGAGTCTACTTCGTGTCCAAGCCAAGATCCCGAGCCCAGGTCTGTTTGAAAAGGACCAATCGAAGGCCGCTGCAACGCCACCATTCGAAGATAACAGGGATGAATCATTTGGCGTTGCCTCTCATCCCACACCTGATCTAGTACCTTCTGGCGAAGAGGAGTCGGTCAGCGATGGTTTCAACGATGAACCTCGCCACGAACTTCACGACACAGTTGCACCGGCTGCGATCTTCTCCCTGGGATTGGATGAGTTCAATTTCTCAGTTGATATGACCCCTGCTGCCGAAAAGCTGTTGGATGAGCTACCAATTTATGGGCCACTCCAGATTTCCCCAGAGACAAGCCTACCAGCTTTCAAAGACCAGCCCGACTCAGCGTGGAAACTCGATCTCCTGCCCGTCTCCAAATTTGCCTCCACCAAGATTAGCTTTCATGATGACGAACGCCCTCGCAAGCGGAGTCGGTATGACTACTCTCAGTATGCTAATGACACCGACCATCGGGTCACCGATTTAGCTCCTGAGCAGACCAATGTTGCGCTCTTCCGCCCAGAGAACAAACCCATCCGGGATAGAATCCACCCTGGACACTCATTCCGACCTCCAACCGAATATCCTATGCCTTCTGTCGGCTTCTTTGAGTCGCGCTCGTCATCACAGTGGACCTATGCGGAGGACGATGAACTTCGCCGTCTAGTCAAGGAATACTCCTACAATTGGTCGCTCATCTCTAGTTGCCTGACTCCGCCGTCCCTGTTCACATCTGGTGCCGAAAGACGGACTCCATGGGAATGTTTTGAGCGATGGGTTGGACTGGAAGGCCTTCCGGCTGATATGTCGAAGACTCAATATTTCCGTGCTTACCACCAGAGGCTCGAGACTGCCCAGCGTACTGTGTTGGCTCAGCAACAGGCTGCCCAGCAGCAGCAACAGCAGCAGCAGCAGCAACAAGGTGCTAGTGCTCAACCCCAGCCACCTGTCCGCCGAAGGACCACCCAGCCCCTTCGGGTCGATCGGAGACGGTCTTCCAAGCATCTTGCTTTGCTTGATGCCATGCGGAAGCTGGCTAAGAAGAGGGAAACTATGCTCCAGAAACAGCAGCATGGTATGTCCAGAAACAAGGTCGAAACGATCGGCATCAAGTACTTCAACTGACACCTCATTCTTCTAGCCTCTCATCTCGCTTCGTTGCGCAAGGCCAATGAGGCCAATCAACCCAAGCCTCCAATCTCATCTCCAGCTGAATTCAGCCGGTTGAAGTATGACCGGGAAATGAAGCTACAGGAAAGACAGGAGCAGTATCGGCAGCAAATGATTGCGCAGCAGAGGGTGAGTCTTCCTGGACCTTTCTGACCACATCGAAACTAACTCCCGGCCAGGCCAGTCTTCAGGCTCAACGGTCCGGCCAGGCGCCCAACCAACAACCAATGTTGAACGCGCCAGGGCGCACCAACGCTAACATGCCTCCTACTTCCAACCCCAATGTAACAGGCAATGCTCCTAATGGAATGTCAAATGGTCTACCTGGTGGTGCAGCTGTCAACCAGGCACGTTCTATGCCCATGCAGAATATGCCCGGAGGGGCCCAGCCTAATGGTCAGATGCCGAATAACATGCCCATGAAGATGATGCCGCAAGGTCAAATGCAGCAAACCCCAGGCTCCCGACCCGGCCTGCCGATGCAGACATCCCCTGATAATACCCGTGTGATGCGAGAAGCCAACAGATTGCAGGAGCAGCAGCGCCTTCTCCAATCACGACAAGGACAGCCCCATCCCCAGCAGGGCCAACAGCAATTCCATAACCAACCGTTTGGACAGCAGGGGTCACCAAATATGAACATGGCAAACGTCAATGGTACTTCCAACAACCCTGCTATGATGTCTATGCCGAATCAAGGGGGAATGCAGAGCCCATCGTTCCCGGGGAACGCACCACAAGGAGTGTCGGTGCCGTCACCTCGCATGGGTCAGCCTAATCCTTTATCTAGTGGAGTTGTGCCCCAAATCAGCACCATCCAGAGTCAGATCCAGCGCAGTCATCCCACCTTACCTCCGGACCAGGTGACCAAGCTAGCGACTGAGCGTCTGAATCAGTATCAACAGTCGCAGCAACAACAGCGCCTGTCTCAACAAGCTGCCATGAACGCGGCTGCCGGTAGCATCAACGCGGGTGCTGTGCAGAATAACTACCAAGTTCCGCATGACAATAACTATCAAACTCCGCCGGCGAACATGTCCAATGGTGGTTCCGGAGTTCAGATCTCCCAAAACCAAGGGTTCTCGCCCATGATGCGTGTGCCCCAGACTCAGCAGAATCGTGTCGCCCCCACCAGCTCACCTGCCATGAATGGAGCAGCGGTTCAACCCAGCCGGAGTGCCACACCCCAGAACCAGCGCAGCGGAAGTGCCCAAGCCGGCCCTCCTCAGCCCAGTAAGAGCCCGCATGCCGCGGCCGCCCAAACCGCGACCTAAACACCCCCGCCTACTTCCTCACCTTTTTACTTTCGTCTGTACATACTTACACCCCTTTTTACGCTGATTTTATTCCCCCCCCCCTTTCTTTCTCCGTTGACTCGGATGGCGCGCCTCACCTCTTCCACGCCTGCTGTTTTGTTTTTGTTTCTTTGACCCCGACGTATTCCGAACTCGAGATGCACTGGCTCTATGTGTACTAGGCGACTCTTATTTTTACCGGGCTTGGGCTTGTATTATTCACTGGGAAAGGGCGAAAAACCTCTGGGATGGATCTAGGAATTGACATGAATTGTATGATACGTTTGTGCTTGCATTTTTCTGCTTTATCGCGTACTTAGATCAACAGAGGAATCGTTAGGCTTCGTTTCGCCACGACTGCTGTGTACTCTGTAGATTGCTTGCGTTCTAATCTGTCCTGGTAGGCTGTAGCTGCGACCAAGGCCATGCCTTTAGTATAGTACATCATATGTTGGTAGAAGTACTGCGTACACTACACTATGGGCATTGAGAAGTCCATGCTTCGTGCACCAACAGCCATTATAGCAGCCCAGGTGGATTTTTCTCTCTGGCTAAGATTTAGTGGATCCTAATGGGAAACAGGCACGGAGTACTGTATTTTAGTAGACCATAACAATTCACATGCCGTGCTGAGTATCCTGGTTTCGACAGACTAGCGATTATACAAGAGTGACATTCAGTATCTGCAGCTGTTTCCTGTTGATCTATTCCAATGTTGGTATATGCTGGTAGAGGCAGAGATACCAATACCAAGTATGGACTAGGAGTTCCAAGCAAAAAGTCAGTGTTCTGGGTTTCCATTGAATCAGGTATGGATGCTGTCGATCGATCCACTTGGTCTCCAGAGGCCAATTGAAACAGATGCAAAGCTGTTTCACCGAAATATTCTTGGCTGCAGAATCTGGGGATTCGATGTTCAGGGGTCTTGTACTCCGTCGATGGACTGTACTTTGATCAATGGTGCTCGGCGATACAGTACTGCAGTATAGCACTAACTGACCCTTACAGTCAGTACTTACAAGCAAAAAAGGACAAGGAGAGCAAGTAATCCTGAAGTCGACAGAGCGTGAGAGTAGAGTGCAACGTCAGTGGCGATCGGCAATCGGCCCCCGTAAGCGAAGACCTCCGAGCTCTCTCCACTGAACGTTATGCGACTTCGACTTCGACTTCGATTTCTCGACTTCCTCGCGATGGATCACCATGACCGGCCGGAATAAGGACTTCCGCGACCAGCTGGGCAAGTTCCGCTTGGACTCGATCAGCAGTTATCCCAGTGACCCCTCACCCACCTGGCTGTCATCCTACCCCGAGCCCGTCGAAGCCGCCAGTCCCTCGCGGAGCAAGCGAGTCTCGACAGCCTGCGACTTCTGTCGCAAGCGGAAAAAGAAATGCGACTTCCGCTATCCGAACTGCTCGGCCTGCACCCGCGCCGGCGTGCGATGCACCATCCCCCCACCGGGCCCTCAAGTCGCTAGCGCCTCCGTCCCCCGCGATCAGTTGGAGACCCTACAAAAACGAGTCCGATGGCTGGAAGAAGTGGTCAAACGCAAGTCCGGGCTCTCGGTGGCGGAATTGGCGACGGGAACCCCCGTCGATGGGGAAGGAGACCCGGACTGGTGGTATCAGGTCCCCGCCATGATTGCAACCGGGGGTGCCCGCCCCGCGACGTCCATGTCGAGCCCGGCCGCCAGCGGGTCCTCGGTGACGGCGGGGCCCTCGGAGGCGTCAACCGCCGTGGGCGTCGAGCTGCCGAATGTTGGGGAGATCTTTCGCGACCGGCTGGAGCATCGACGCCCGTCGGTGGCACGTCCGTCGTCCGCGCCGCGAGTCCAGCGCCTGTCGTCGCTGGAGGAAGCCGAAAGGCTGGCGGGGCAATACTTTGATAGTATGGGGTATCAATACCCTTTCATGTCGCGCCCGGAGTTCATGAGTAATCTGCGCCATATCTACACCGGTGGTGTTCCGTCACCGGAAACACACAATTCATACCACATTGTCATGGCGATTTCGCTTTTGATCGGATCGGCAGACCCGACCAAGGCAGCGGAGTTTTACAATGCCAGCCAAGAGACCCTGCCCATGGCCTTGCAGAATGAAGACTTACCCGCCGTGCGAGCCCTGCTGGGACTGGCTCTATATACTATGTTCGCCACTGCCGGGCCTAGTATCTGGCATGTACTGGGTGCGACAATGAGATTGGCTACTAGCATTGGGCTGCATAAGGCACGCCCTTATGCCAGCATTGCAGAGGAAGAGATGTCGAAGCGTGCCTTTTGGAGTCTCTACAACTTGGACCGTCTAATTGCAAGTACCCTGGGTCGACCTCTTGGAATTGCCGACGACGATATCAGCGTGGGTCTTCTTCGTGAACTGAACGACGATGGGACCGAGGCGCCTGGTGCGAGTGGGATGACCATCCCGCTCCAGGTGGTCCGTCTGAGGCGGATTTTCTCCCGCATATACCAATACCGTAAGTGTTCTACATTTTGCGTTGGATAGCAAACCGCTAACCGGCTGTCGGATAGTCTACAGTAGCCTCCCGCGACCACCGCCACAGGAAGTTGTGGTCACGCTTGGCCAGTTTCGTCGAGAAGTCGATGACTGGCGCATGGCGGCGCCAGTATATCCATCCGCACTTCTTTACTCCACCTCATATTACGACTATCTCTACTACACTACCTTGCTTCTGATGTACCGCCCCAGCCCCCGAAATCCAACACCAGACATCACTAGCATCATCAGCTGCGGCGACTCCAGTCTCCAAGTTATCAGGTCCTACTGGGACAGCTACTCCATCGGCAAGCTGAAATGGATATGGCTGACATTAAGCCAATTGTATTTTGCCGGAATCACCATCCTCTGGTGTCTTGAGCAGAATGCACGCTCATTGCGTGAATCGCAACCGGCCCCATGGCACCCCGAAGAGCAGACGATGCGCCGCGGGATCCAAGCTGTTATCGTGCTGCTGGAAGAGTTTGGCAAGCGTCGACCCGGCGTAGATCGGCTAGCAGAGACCTTCCGACACCAAAGTACGATGATCTTCAGCCAAATGGCGTATCAACAGCATCAGCTCGAGCAGCAACACCATCACCATCCACAATATCAACCGCCTCCTCCACCTACACTTATGCCCCCGCAGCCTTCGATGCCCCTGGCTGCACCACCTCCACCCCCGGTCCCGCTGGCCCCTGTTCTCGACGATGTGTTGCTCGTGGACAGCAGCGGCACGATCCCGATGATTGATCCACAGATGGCAGACCAGCTCTATTACTCGTACAACTGGTTCCAGGAGGAGATGGCATCATACTATACCCTTTGAACGATTTTCCTTTGTACTTAGACTTGGCTTTTGGAGGTAGACGGCGCTCAGGCCATTGGAAACAGGGTCGGGGTACTCCTTTTGTTACGTGACTTGATGTTCCAGTCACAATGTTTTTATTAATATTACACAAAGTACATACCAATTCAAATGAAACAATTTCTCATCAATGAAGACAATGAGTATTTGCGGACAGCTTGAAGGGAATATGGGAATTCTCTCTTAGACATGTCAGACCTACAAGACCTTTGTCCTCGTCCGTTCAGATGTCTCACTATCTAGGGCAGGCTCTACAAAAAGCAAGGTATTCATGCCTTGAATTGGTTAACTGCCAGGGCCAGCTAGGCATTGCAGACAAATCTTCAACTCAGAGACCGAGAAAAATGGCCCTATGTCCGATACCAAACAGTGTCTTTGTGTGCTGTGGCAAGCACCTCTCCGATATCAATGAGGAAGACGCTATCTGGGTCACTGCTTTCTTTCACAAGAATATCATCCCGGCTGATAGCGACGAGTATATCATGCAGTATGTGCTTGATCAAATCAAAACCGGGCAAGTCATTGTTGGAACTCGTTCCATCTCACGCATCAGAACCCGATGCATCTCCCTGGCTTTACCGATCAGCAGAGTCGCTAGGTATATCCCTGGAGTTCTGGCACATGCCCAAGTCCTTGCAGGGTGGTGGCTTCGGCAGATTCGTGAGGGCACCATCGAACTTGATCGTGAACATATCTTTCGGCCTTAGCTGCTTCAACAATAATCATATGCAGAGATTTGGCTCCGAAGATCAACATCAACAACGTTATCGAAAGGGTAGGCAATTCTTACAAGACGTAAAGAGTAGTGAAGTGAATGATCCCATAGACGGTTTGAGCACAAGCCTCAGGCCAACATGTGCCCCTCATCTTCGCCTCTCCCAAAGTCTCCCTTCTTAACATCTTCATGGACGAATTGGACAAAAGAACTACCCCGGCATCCGGCCTCCCTATTGCCTTCCATGGCACGGTCATCCATTCCAAAGCATTGGATGACCTCGAGATTCTGGAAAACTGTTTCCTGCTCGTGGCCAAAGATGGAAGAATCCAAGCCATTCAAGCAGACGTGGAGCCTGACCAAATCAACTCCCTAGTCTCAGCAAATGGATATGCACCCGATGTGTTCCCAGTGAAACAGCTCAAGCGTGGACAATTCCTATGTCCCGGCTTAGTCGACACCCACAACCATGCCCCACAGTATGCGCAGCGTGGAATGGGAAGAGGCATAGATCTATTAGAATGGCTGAACAAGGTTACTTTCGCCCACGAAGCCAAGTTTGAAGATCCAGAATACGCCAAGAAAATGTACACTGCATGCGTTACAGGGTTCTTGCAACAAGGCATAACCACAGCCTCATACTACGGCTCGCACCATGGTCAAGCAACTCGCATTCTAGCAGATGTGTGCTTCGAGAAAGGCCAGCGCGCCCTCGTGGGCAAATGTAACATGAACCGAAATGCCCCGGACTGGTACCGAGATGCATCGGTATCTGATTCACTTCGCGAAACGAGGGATTTCATTCACCATGTCCAGCAACTTGACCCTGATAGAATTTTGATAAAACCCATTTTGACTCCGCGATTTGCGATATCGTGCGAGCCGGAGCTGCTAGAAGGAATCGGGGCTATCGCTAGGGAACACCCAGATCTTCCGATTCAGACACACTTCAACGAGGCGAGCCAGGAGATTGAGTTCACCAAGCAGCTGTTTCCGGAATTCAAGACAGAGGCAGATCTTTACGAGCAATATGGTCTACTAAATGACCGATCAATCCTTGCCCACTGCATCTTCCTTCAGGAGGATGAAATGACTCGGATCCAGGAGCTTGGCTGTGGAGTTGCTCACTGCCCAATCTCGAACACCACCATGCAGGACTTCATGGTAGCGCCTGTACGCGAGTACCTGCGGCGTGGCATCAAAGTGGGCCTCGGCACTGACAGTGGAGGGGGCTATTCATCTTCTATACTGGATGCCATGAAGCATGCGTTCATTGTGTCGGTGGCACGGCAGACTGCAACCAAGGGGAAGGACCCTGCGTTGTCTTTGTGCGAGGGCTTCTTCCTTGCTACACTGGGTGGTGCGCAGGTTTGCGGGCTCGATGACAGAATTGGAAACTTTGTAGTGGGAAAAGAGTTCGATGCGCTTGAGGTCCATTGCATCGATCTTGATCGCCCGGGAGTGATGAGCCCGGTTGAGGAGGAAGATTCCACGCAAGTCATATTTGAGAAGTTCCTTATGACTGGTGACGATCGAAATATTGTGAGAGTCTATGTGGCCGGGCGATCTGTGAAGCCCTGATTCTACCTCTGACTGCCGTGCGAATGAAGACAAGGAGCATGTATGGGGTGTTATGATGGATGAGACGAAATAAATTGTAGCACATCGAATATATCAGTGGATTAATCGAGGACAAAAAAGTCTGTCCAAGACTTGCATTTGCAAGGTATCTTGTGTATCTGAATGCAAGTAAAACCCATCCCAGAACCAAGTGGGCATGAAGCATGCGCAATAATGAGAAAACGCTTGAACGAGCAATAAATTACAATCATGATCAGTACCATGTCCCTTTTGGAGGCCCAAAATATCCTCTCTCCGGCAGCTCCAGGTAAGGCGTCCCTTTACCGTCTGCTGTCGTCCTAGACACCGTATTGCCCCACCAGCTCAATGAGCCAGCGGGAAGTGTTATACAGAAGAAAATTATGACAGTAGCAACCGCAACGCCACAGTCCAGAGCGGCAGATAGAACGTAATCTGGAGGTAGTCAGCATTGCATCCTTCCAAGAGTGAATAGGTAATCGAAAAGGACAACATACTATACTTCGACCACCACGCCGGTTTGCGGCGACGAACCAACCCGTTGAAGATAAGATTCACGATCCACCAAGAAGAGAAACTGATCCCAGTAGCGGGTGGGACAAGACTCATTGCGCCGAAAGCGACAGGCCAAGAAATATAATTGACGTATTGCCACCGACGACCCAACAAGTACGTGGTAATGACAGCGGCAGGGCCGACGAGGAAGAACCAAAGTAGATTACTATAGATCTGCCCAGGGGTGAACAGTCGACTTGGCCCGATAGCACCTGTGATACAGTTAGCAATGGCTTGGGAAGTCACATCACGATCATTGCAATTCACTCACCCCAGATGAGAGACGACGAATAAGTCACCTTGCCATGTGGGCAGCTGAAGTTGCCCTCTGCTTCTGGGCTACATACGCCGCGAATTCGAGTGATCATGAACACAGTAACGCCGCACTGAACGATGGCGCCAATGAGCGTTGCGAGGCCTTGCGCGATGAAAAGAAGACGGGGCGCGATATGCATGTAGTGAGCCAATTTCATATCGGCGACGAATCTAGTTCAGTGTTAATTGTATTTCACAGTGGGTTCAGTAGTGAATACGCACTCTAGCCCTTGCTGGACGGCGACATAGCCGTAGAATTTGAAAGCCATATTGGCCACTGGTCGCCCGAGAAAGGCATATCCGCCAATGAACTCGGTGAGCAGATTGAGTTGGTTGCTGCTGATATTTGTGAGGGCTTTGATGATACCTACCGGGATGAAATAAATCACGGGCAACAGGAAAGCCACTAGCACGCCCCAGGCTGGTAACCCTGTATGCCAGACTTCATTGGTGACGATACTCAGAACGAACATCAAGACTGTGACTGCGGCGAACCACCACCAGGGGACGACTCGGTATTCAGACATGATCCGGCTATGGATATCCTTTTTACTGATACCTTTGTACTGTTGCCAGAGGTCCTTGCCATGGTACAGCCCTATGTGAAAGAAGATGCCCGTCAGGTTGGCGAAAGCGACACCAAATGTGATTGCGTAACCGGCCGGAAGAAACATCGGAGAGTAATCTCGATAGGCATCTGGATTGACGTTCCCGCTCCGATCCATGATGCGACTGGTGTTGTAAATGTGTCCGGTGTTGTCAAAGGTGTTGGAATTAAGAAGTGGGAGGTGCGCAGAAAACCAAGTGTTTGAATAATAAACGAGGGGGCATACAAGCCAAAAGAAGAGCGCGAAAGATCCCATGACGTTTAAACCAGCCCAAAAGGGGACCAGTAGAGGACTTTGATTGGCGTAGACTACCTGGGCCCAGTCGAAGGTCAATACCGACATCCCCAGACCGGTGGTTTGCCCGAAGAGCTGGTTGACCACGACGTTGGATGGCACGATCCAACATATGAAGGCGAATGTGCTGAGGCCCGTGAAGAGATACCCCGGGGCGAAATACCATACAGTGCCGACGAGGAATACATAGAGAAAGAATCGAAGTCGCGTGATCCGCCACCCGTCTGCTATGGTGTTGGATTGAGAGTGGAGAGTGGTCAAGAGGGCTGCATTGGACAGCACCTGAGGCCATAACATTGATGCAGGGCCTACCAGCCAGCGTGATGTCATGCCCGCGAGTCCAAAGCCGAACATCTGGGTGGTGATGCATAACAGTACTTCGAACCCACCATCAGACGGTATATTGTAAAACTTGACCAACGCCTCGATGACCTGGGTAGCCGCAGCCGAGCCAATTGATACGTTCGCCATGATAGTGATCAACGTGTGCTCCTTGATATTGAAGTGTCGATCGGGGTTCATGATTCCCAGAGGAATCCATCTCGCCCAAGCACACCCCACAGGGAACGCTAGCAGTTGGGCAACCAACGCATTGATCGTCACACTGGGTTGCCTCAAACTAATTGCCATCTCGGTTAACCAATCTAGAGACTTGCATATGGGCTGAAAAATGAAGAGCAGTAGCTTACCTGAAAAATTGGTTAAGACCACTGCCAACCTATATCTGGAGTCAGTATATTGACCGATTGCCGATCGCACAGCACATACAATGGTGAAAACCAAGCCAATGGTCCACATGCGCACCGTGCTCACAGGCAAGGTCACATCATTGACAGGCTGGATAACGGCGCGCACTTCAGGGAAAGGCGAGTCGTCATCCTCATAGGATAAGATCTTCTCGGCATCCCGATCCCGCAGGATGGCCACGGGCTCCTCTGGCTAGGCGAAATTGTCAGCAGAGGCATATTGCATCGCAGAATGACGAAATATGTTTCAACCTAATCGGAGGAATCCAAGCCATACCCGAACGGTCATACCCGTTGGTCTCGGCCACAGTGGGGAGGACGATCCATGAGCAAAAGGACCAAAAAAGGTGATTGATAATGCCAAACGGGGCCCAAACCCACCTGTGATAAGTTTCGCCGATATTTCTCAGTCCCCATCATGACAACCCGGTCTCCTCCGGCGCACCCAGGGCCCTGGGACGCGAGATTGGAATTCCAACAGTTCACCGTCGGCTTGAGCCGAGAATGCGTGCTGCAGGAGCGCCTCGGGGTGTACAAAATGGGTCGGGCTGGGATGAATGACGCGACCCAATGATAGGGAGTAGATATCACATAGGAATGGAGTTCATCGATTAGAGGACCGTTTCAGCAAAGACTTGGCTCCCCAGATGCGGCTAGCTGGGTCGGTATTGGGCATATGATATGCAGGAGAGGAGAAAATTATTACTGACGGGTACGTGGTGGTCGGCAGAGGCCGTCGACCCACTTTATTATTGCCAGAGTAAGATGTAGCCTCCTTTGCGGTAAAACGGCCGACTCGGACACACTCTGGCTATTCAAATAGAGCCCTGGAGGACCTTTTCTGTCTATCGGCCGACTACTGTACTTCCTTTTACTGACGGGAATGCCGCCCTTCTAAATCCCTTCGCCTTCAGCTTCGGCAGTCTGGTGATTTCCTGTTAAACGCTTGGAGTGATCTGATATCGAAGATCTTCAGTGCGTTGTCTAAGGATCGACACTTAGGGACGGACGCGACTGAATGATATCACAACTCTGAACCATACCGTCACTATGGAGGACCGAGCTGACGCGCAAATGCCTTTTGCCCAGAGACCCATCGTGATCCTGGGAGCTGGGATCATCGGCTGCGCAGCTGCCCGGCAGTTGTTGCGGAGTGGCTTTTCAGTAGTGCTGGTCGCCGAATACCTCCCCGGGGATCAGAACGTACAATACGCATCTGCCTGGGCAGGAGCCGCGTGGCATGCCGCCGGCGGGATCACCCCGGACCATCGATATATCCAAGCGGTAACTCACCGCATAATGCTCAGGATGGCCCAGGATGGCCCCGAGACCGGCGTGAGTGTGGTCAATGCCCGGGAATACCTGGAACAGGAACCTGCTGCGGACTCAGCCATATGGGGTAAGACGGTGGTATCCAAGGTATGCGGCTCCGCTGGCCCGAACGAGATCGACACAACTTACGGTGATTAGTTCCGTCAAATGAAGCCTGGCGAATATCCGGCCCAGTTTAACAGCGCCTGGGCCTATGAGACGCTAGTGACAGATCCAACCATCCATATGCCATACCTAGGGAAAGAAATCAGATCACTCGGAGGGCGCTTCGTTCGACAGCGCATCGGCTCTCTACAAGAGTTGTATAACATGTTCCCCGAGTCGCGAGTCTTCATCAACGCCAGCGGCTGGGGGAGCAAAAACCTAGCAGACGTAAAGGACGAGAATTGTTTCCCAGAGCGCGGGCAGAATGTCTTGCTGGCCACCGACAACTGCAACACCATGCACTTCCGGAATGGCCAGGAATATACCTATGTGATTCCTCGCCCGATGTCCAAGGCCGTTGTCTTGGGCGGAGTCAAGCAGCAGGGCAATGTGTATGTGACCCCGGAAACGTCTGTGGAACGCCAGTCTGACATCATGCTGCAGGTCACCCGAGATCGATCTGAGTATTGCGCAGGATGAGATTGCCCGCGCGCATCGGTTGGCTCCCGACATTGTCCCCGAGCATCCGGCGGCACATACGATCAGTCATATTGTCGGGATCCGACCTTCTCGTAAAGGAGGGTTCCGTCTCGACTCGGAGCGCATGGGGGATCGTATCGTGGTGTCTGCCTATGGATTTGGTGGTGGTGGATATGCCTTCTCCTATGGGATTGCCGATGCAGTGGTCAAGATGGTTGAAACGGCCGAGCGTGACCATGTCATTTGCTAGTCCTTTTGTTCCAAGTATAACGAGAGATTCCAAGGTTGATCATCATATGTCATCTGTATACGGAGTATGTACTTCTTACACCCGTGGATCCCGGCCAAAGTTCGGAGACGGCAGAGTTCCGTCTACGAAGTACCTGTTTACCGTGGATTGGAAGGAATAGCACGGAGTAAAGGGAGCAAAAACAGCATAAAAAGGACAGAATTGATGCTTTTTGAGGAGTAAACTTCATGAGCAGTCATATACCTAGACTCGTACTAGTAGTAACCAACCACCGAACAATGCCGTTGCCCCTCATCGGATTCGCCACCTGAATATTTTCGAAGCCCAGACTCGTTGTAAGATTGACTACTGTGTAGTACTCTGTAGGGATTTATAGCGCGTACTCCGTATATACTCCGTATATACTGGAGAGGCTGATACTACTTCAGTATTAAGCCCTAGCAGTGACGCATCAAGCTGATTTGTTTCATCCCTGGGGAATCTTGATTTTCGCCTTCATCTCCACCTTGGTCTGGAATCCCCGGGGGGGTCTTCCAGCCACTCATCTTTCCCACCTTCCTCGGGCTCCCTAGCCTAGGATTTTCCAAATCCCGCTGAGATCGGATACATCTCTCGAATTCTTAAATCGTTCTTCGATCTTGACTCTCTCAAGATCTTTACATTGAATGAGTCCCTCGCCAGGCCAGCGAGATGCCTGTGGATCAACTGCTCCACATGAGAATCGCCGACTGTCCAGTGAATAAAATTGCGGTGATCACCCCGCCGGACGAAGCCGACCTGAACCTTGAAAATAAAGGTAAAGGCGTTGCAGCGCCCGACCCCAGTCTCAGTCGCATCTATCGACTTACACCGTGAGTACTTACGCCTTTTTCGCCATGAAATCCCCCCAAATCCCCCCAAATCCCATCAAATTCAAAATGCCCAGAATCAGTGAATGATCTTCAAATACTAACCGGACCCAGTAAACCGACGATCGTACTGGATAATTCGTTGCGAATCATCGAGGTATCAAACAGTCATGTGGAAATCTTCCAGCGGTCACGAGATCGCCTGTTGAACGCCAATGTTTACGACCTTCCCGCCTCCGTCCTTGCGGTCCCCAACATCCCTTCCTTCAGTGGTGCTCTTGCGGCTGCCATATCCACACGTCAGGTGCAGACCACTAACCCGGTGCATGTGGCCAAATGCGACGCCTTTTTCTCCCTGAACGTAACCCCGATTGTGGAAAATGATGCCCTGCTCTACGTGCTGCTGGAGGCCGAGCGGACCACCCGAAAATCGCCAGTCAACAACCAGCACAGCCTGAACGAGGCGTACCGAATCCTGGTGGATACCGTGAAGGATTATGCCATTTTCATGCTCGACACCCGGGGCCACATTGCAACGTGGAACTCCGGCGCCGCCATCCTCAAGGGCTATACCGCTTCGGAAATCATCGGACAGCACTTTTCCGTCTTCTACGGTCGCGAGGATCGGGAAATTAAAAAACCCGCCCGGGAGTTGGAGGTCTGCATACAGGAAGGAAAGATCGAGGATGATGGCTGGCGCTATCGAAAGGATGGCTCTCGGTTCTGGGCCAACGTGATGATCACGGCGATTTTCCAAAACGGTACTCTGGCAGGATTCGTCAAAGTCACCCGTGATTTGACCGAACGTCGCGCCGCAGAGGCGCGCTTGATCAGTGTCTTTGAAGAATCAGTCCGACTCAAGTCCGCTTTCCTGGCCAACATGTCTCACGAACTGCGCACCCCGATGAACGGAATGTTCTTGGCCTTGACGATGCTCCTGAAGACCGAACTCAATTCAGAGCAGCGGGAATATGCATGCATATTGGAAGACTCGACATCCATCCTGTTACAAGTCATTAACGACGTACTCGACTACTCCAAACTATCCTCGGAGACATTCCCCTTGACCAAAGAGGTGCTCGACATTCACGGTGTAATCACAGCAGTGGTTCGCAACTGCCAGAATTCATTGAAGCCCGGTGTCAAGCTCATGCCTGCTGTGAGTAAGGGCTTCCCCCAAGCTGTCAGAGGAGACCCTCTCCGGTTCCGTCAAGTGCTGCAGAATTTGGTCAGCAATGCAGTCAAATTCACAGAGAAAGGGCATATTCGGATCAACGCCAAATCTACAATTGACGAGAAAGAGCCCAATTCCCACCTGATTACCATCGAGGTGGTGGATACGGGGATCGGTATACCAGAAGATGCAGAGAGCACCCTCTTCACCCCCTTTACGCGATTCGCGGACACAGCAACCAAGAAATACCAGGGAACTGGTCTCGGTCTGTCAATCTGCAAGAGCTTGGTTGAATTGATGGATGGCGCTATCGGGTTCCACTCTAATCCCGACGGGCCTGGTAGTGTGTTCTGGATGACAGCTAAGCTGGCGAATGCTGCCTCCCCGGTGTCTGCAGCAAGGCAGAGTTTGCCACCTACCACTCCCTCGACGGTAGACCGGACCGGACCGCTAAAGACGATCGCCCCACACAAGTACATTCTTCTCGTCGAAGACAACAATGTCAATCGAACTATTATGGTGAAACTACTCTCTACCCTTGGCTTCCAACGGGTAGATGCCGCATGGAACGGCGCAGAAGCAGTGCGAATGGTCAAGCAGAAACCACTCGCGTATAATGTGATCCTAATGGACATCAACATGCCGGTCATGGATGGTCTGACAGCCACAGAGCACATTCGACGAATGAACCTGGACGTGCCCATCCTCGCGCTGACAGGCAACGCCTTGAAGGGAGATGCTGAAACGTATCTTTCCAAGGGTATGAACGATTACATCGCCAAGCCTCTCCATAGACAGCAGCTGGTTGATCTACTGTGGAAATGGTGTGGATCATGAGGACCTGTTGAAGAACAGTTCAAGCGAATCTCCACACCAGGGCCGTGTCGCATTCCTACCGCTGATGCGACACCCAAGCCAACATGGCCACTCTCAATCCTTTCGGACTCGCCCACCACAAAGACATCAAATGTCACAAAATCCACGGGCTAAACACTAGCGTTGCTATGGAATAGGGCTCTCTGGCCCTTATCTAAACCTCACCTGTCTCCACGCATTCCAGCCCTACTTCGAATTACTGCCGGCCTCAAGCGAATTATCGTTCTACATTTCACCCACCCTAAGGACTACTCCGTGAGTAGCCTTAGTGGCCTGTGTGAGTGTAGAACCTCGCTCGCGGCAATGCATCACCCCGGCAGATGCAAATAATTTACCGCCACTTAAGTTGCATAGGTAGAACCTAAGGTGGCTTTCTGCACTCGTCAAAATCAATACCTTGTCTGAGATGACACCTTCATGCAGCTTCCATCCAGCTGCGTAGTCGGTGGATGATTCAATCAATGCTTCGCAAGTTTCTCTCTTATCAGTAACGCCGTCACCGGTTGAGGTAGAGCTCATTTCTAGTCGTAAACTTATCTGCAAAGATGTGTATGAATCGGTTTCCTACGCGGATCTACGTACACGGGTATCAGAATGAACATTGTCATCTGTGGATGTATTATCATGAGCCATTGCCTATTCCCTTCTCTTCTCACAGCAGGGAAGCACAGCCTATGGAAAGATCGACACGCCAATGCTCGTATAGTGACGATCTTCGAGATGAGTGGGACGAGATTGAGTGGGACGAGTCGAGTGTGGGCCTGAAGCCTGGCGGTGTCCCCAAAACGATGTCAAGCTCCGAACAATTTACTTCTCTTCACATATGCACGCAAGCTTCAATCATGATCCAACCAACCATTCTCCTGGCAATCGCCATGGCAATAGCAGGCTATTGCAGTGTCCTCTGCGCCACGCCCCCCAACACCTCCCCAGACCAAGAAGATCGCCACCAAAACGATCGCCTCAGCGTCGTGGCCGGGAAATTTCCTATAATTGCGCGCCGAATCACAATCGCCGCAGCCATATATCAGGCACTCTTGACTGCGTTCTCGCCCTACAGTGATCGCGGGGGTCGGATGTGTCCCCAGCCCCAACACTTGAACGGAGACCTCTTCACATGGAATGCGGTAACTAGCACATCTCTTCTGCTGATTTACGCTGGCGCATTTATGCGTGTCTCGGCCTATGCTGGTCTTGGGAAATCTTTTACTTTCCACCTTGTCGAGCCGGATCATTTGATTACCACGGGTGTGTATAAATGGGTTCAGCATCCGAGTTACACAGGTGCTGGCCTGGCTCTTAGTGGGGTATTCTCTTTATTTTTGCGATGGGATGCAGTGGCGGCATGCTGGATCCCAGATGCGATGTTTTCTCGATTGCAGGGTTGGGGGCCGGGCACGGTCGCGGTGCTTTTGGGAGTGATTTTCTGGGCGATATGGATGAGGGTGATTGATGAGGAAAGGATGCTGAAACAGACCTTTCATCGCGAGTGGGAGGATTGGCACCGAACAACGAAAAGGTTTATTCCGGGTCTGGTTTGAGCATCTAATAAATAGGTGGTTGCTTTCTTTAAGATGTGCTAGCTACTGGCTGATCACGCATCATCCTGGGTATGTAGCTTCGAGGGATTGCTCAATATGGCTTGAGAATTCCCCTTCATGACTTTTCATGCGTGTTAAACTCGGATTCCTGGTTCGTGTGCATGGCATGTAGCGCATCAATCGTCATATCAATGCGAGGTCCTGTGAAATTCTTCCTTCCGTCTACTACCCACTGGAAGACCGAGATGATGATAATAACTGCGAATGCAGCTATACAGTAGTCTGGAATGAATGTTTAGCTGTCTTGTCGTGTAAGCATTTCTCAAGTAAACTCACTCATGCTGCTTCCTGTAACTGTGCGAGATGGAGGGAAAACAAACAGCACAGTTGTCAGGATAATGTATGACAGTGCAACCTAGCTCAGTTAGACATTTTTTCTGGAGTTGAAGAAGTTTGCACAGGTGACATACAATATCAGCGAACCACCCAACAGCATTGGGCAATTTCCACTTTCTTTCCGGTAAGGAATTGCGACCCTGCAGACAGTTGATAGCGATGGGAATTCCATATGATAGATCCAGCGCTACAACCGAGGCAGATATAATTGCGTTGAATGCACTATATTGTGTCAGTAAGGATTGCGCACCGTGTAGCCAAACAATGGGATTTATCACCTTGATGAACCCAAGAAGATACACCCAAATGCAATTACCACGAATACACTGAGGATCAATGCATTAAGTGGAATCTTCAAAGTCGGATGCACCGTTGCGAAGAAGCGTGAGGCAGGAAGACCTCCATCTCTGTAGAATATCATCAGTTGATAGCCACCAGGCGCTTGAAGAGTATGTACCTGGCGAAAGCAAAGATCATCCGGCTACTTGTCGTCATCACACTGATGATAGCGAATACTAAGCAGACCAGGGGCAACCTGACGCGAGCTGTTAGCTTGTATGCATGATGTTGCTGGACTGTATCATACATCAGAAGACATATAGCGCCGGCATTGCTTTTGGTGGCGTCGAGGAGAATCTGTAACAGAGGGCCGGCGGCAGATGTTGTGACTTTTTCCATATTTCCAGCCACGAACAGCAAGACTATCAGGAAGATAGACCCGGTGACTGTTCCAATTCCCACGCAAGATACCATGATTTTTGGCCCTTCGACATCGGCGTTTGGGACCTCTGAGTTATGGATCAGTGAAGGTTTCCCTTGAATTGGTGTGTCACTTTACCTTCAATCATATGTGCGACAGCATCCTGGAAATAATCAGTGGGCTTCGGTTTGACTTTCTTGTGGTGGACTTACAAACGCAGTCACTCCTAGTCCTCCTTGAAGTAACTGTTTATTGTCAGGAGAGAATTTGCGAGCGATCATATCGGGTTACATACACCTAGAAGCCATGCAACTCCGTCAGGCCCTATTAGGGTTAGTAATGCTCACGACTGGGGAAACAGGGTCACATACATCCTGTCGTATTGATGAAATCGCAGAATACGAAACTATAAATGTCAGAAGATGCAGGTTGAGCTCAGCTGTTAGTGGATAATCGTACTAGGCGGAGTTATAGTTTGGAGAGGCGCATGCAAGGACTGTAATCGAAACAATCACAAAGCCACCAATGGACCACATAACTGTAGTTTGTTAGGCTTTTACCTAGCACTGATCACAGAGAACTCACAGGCTCCGCGGTATATGACTGGTAAGATCGAGTTCATGAATGCATTAATTATGAACGAGCCTAATGTCAACCCAATGTAAATGAGGAACTGGTGCCACCGTTGCGGTACGTAACTCTGCATGGGGGATTAGTACGCGGTGATAGTTCAAAGAGACAAAGCGATTGGCTACCTCGTGAAGAACGGATATGATTCCAACTATCAACTGGCTTGATAGGAGCGAGTTGGTCGCTACGAGGGCAACCTGGAGGTCGTCAGTTCTGTCCTTTTGAAGGTGAATGGTCTGCTCACCCAGCCCGCCACATTGATCCAACCAGTGATCCACGATAGAATTGGGACGGTTCTTGGCCAGGCAACTTGGATTCTGTTAATACAAGCCTCGACAAGCATCTCGTATACGTACTGGCTGTTGGGAAAGTTAGTTTTGTCCAATTGAAGAACCTTGGAAGTGGTCGACTCACCTGCAACCCAATGATATTGTCCACCGGCTCTATAATATCGTTAATAGAAGCACAACTTTGAAGACCGTAAACTTATTGGACATACGTCGGATATGCAGAAAGAAACTCGGCTAGCGAGCAAGCAATGCAAAGATTACAGAAACCAGCAGTCACCAGTCCTAAGGACGGCATGTTAGTGAAGCTCAACTCATTCTTTGATAATACTCACCCCATATCACGCTGGTACTTCCTCCCGATGTGAGACTTATCGACAAGCTAGCAGAGAGGGCGGTCCACGACTTTTTGGCAATCAATACACCCATCCGGTAAGAGTGTCCAGGTCACTTACATTGAGGACTGCAAATGCCAGCCCCAGCATAGACCTACAAGGTTGTCAGATCTGAGCTATAGCATATGGTATCACAGATATCATACCAAGTGGAATGGCTGCGCTGAAGCTCTGGCCGATGGCCCATAGCAGCCAGCCGAGCATCATCACCTTCAAGTGGGCCTTCCTTCATTGTGGAGTCTGTTGTTGGAAAAATTTGCGCCAACACCAGGAGCAAGTGCAGTCTAAGTATTCAACCCGAAAACGTAACAGGCAGGCATTGCCCGGTGCGGATCACAGGGTTGCATATATATGCGGGGAAGCTCTAGGGGCCGAGTAGGAAGCTCGAAACCTCCAGGGCCTGAAAGCTTTGCGGCATATCCGCATGCCTTATCTGTCTTATCGCCATTCGGGCGCGCGCTAGAGTGCTTAGTTCTCTGCTTTAGTCGATCTTCGCATGGACTTGCCCGGCTTCACGGTGAGACGAATCGTGATAGGGCTGTTTTACAAGGTTGGCACGGGTAATATCTCCAGGCCTCGGTCAAATCGACCGTCATTCACACCCTTGTATCTATTGGTCCCCCGGAGATTATTTAAAGCCCGGAAATGATTGGTTTTGCCATTCTCAGTACAGGGCTCGCTGTCAACTGCACATCCCCACTGCGGGTTACTCCCGCAGGGAATCGCGGAGACGGGCTAGATAGACAGATAGGGTGCAATTAGCCCCTGATAAGATTAGACCGATATTACAACCTTGAATATATAATGTGAGACCTCGGAATACTACGCGGAGATGCCGTTCTGTCAAATGAAACTTGGATTGTTGATACAGTGGAAACGCCTGAAGAATATGCCCAACCCTCACCCAGGTGGACGGCACGCCAGCCCACGGGAAACCAATCTCACACCTGGGCATCCCACAACTCCATAAAGTGATATCAAAACTCCACCATGAAAGCGCAAATCAAGGAAGACATCCCTCGCCTCAAGACTACCAGCATTTTGAAGCGTTGGAGGCGGCAGACTCGCTCATTTAACGTTGTAGGTGTCGAGGGCATGCTGGATGTCGTGCAAACTGTTCTTGTCGCCATACGCGTCCATCAGTTGCTGGTTTCGTGCCAGGCGTAACTCCTCTTCCAGAACAGAGGTTTCTCTGCGCATCTTGGCCTCGGTGTAGTAGTTGTATGCACCGAATCCTACAAAGTCAGCACCGTGCATGGATGGCGAAGGGAGAAGAACATACCGAGACCGATGGTGGCCATCAGGGGAATCAGACTTGAAGGGGTCAGTGGAGATGGCGAAGAAAGGGGGTGGTTAAACTTACAGCCGTCCGGTTTTCGGCTTGAAGTAGGTTGGACCGGATGGGTTGCCATTGCCATATCGTTTGTTGGCACCGAGTGTGAATTGAGACATGATGGAAAAAGTGTGTGTGTGTGTTGAAAGAGGAATGGAGAAGATTCAAGGTCAAAAGAAGATCAAGTGAAGATCAAATGATCCAAGGTCCGAAAAACGGCAAATATTCACGGTTAACCGGGAATGCGGGGAATGGTGACGTGGGGGGTCTTGGGTGTCCGGGGCTCTTATACCGATCAGACGATCATGCGATCATACAATCTGCACACATCGACTGATTCTGGTATGATTCTCAATGTGATGCATTTAATATAGTCATATTCCCCTAATGTCATAATTAAATCATCGTGTCGTATTCACATCGTAACCGCATCGAAACATCGCTATACTCATATCCAATAGTGTGGTCGGAAACCAACCCACGCTCACTGGCCTAGTTAGTTCACTAGCTCACGCTAATTTAGTGGCCATTGTTTTGAGGCGCAGGGGTGGCCGGACCCTCCGGGGTCACGTAGGCCTGGAATCATTCGTCAGCAGAAGCCCATCGCGGGGAAGATTTCCCCCACGTACCTTGGTCATTCCACCGTCAACAACGAAATCGGTTCCGTTCACAAAGCTGCTCTCGTCGCTGGCCAAGAAGACCACAGCATGGGCCTGCTCAATGGCCTCGCCAAAGCGACCGGTGGGGAAGTGGACCTCGCGGCGGAAACGCTTCGCCTGATCGTCACCCAACCAGTCCTGCAGAAGGGGAGTGCTGTGTCTAGGTGAGCAAGCCATGTTTCACACATGGATAGTTGGGAAACCTACTTCAATGGGGCAGGGCAAAGAGCGTTGAATCGGAATCCCTCACGGGCGTGGACAATGGCCAACTCCCGGGTCATCGCGAGGACAGCACCCTTGCTGGCTGTGTATGCCAGTTGAGGGGTGGCTGCACCAACCAGGGCGACCACACTAGCGGTGTTAATAATGCTGCCACGGGCCTTCTTGTGACGACGCAGACTGAGAACGGCATGCTTGCTGCCGAACCAAACACCCTTGACGTTGATGTTGTGAGTGAGGTCCCAGATCTTCTCGGGGGTGTCAATGGCATCCGCATCGTTGGCGTGCATGATGCCCGCGTTGTTGAAGATCACATCGGTGCCGCCCCAGCTATCCTGTGACTCGACCATCGCCTGTACATCGGACTCCTTGGACACATCGCAGCTGATCGACTCAACGCGGGGCGCAGCGGGCACAACCTCCTTCACCTTGGCCAATGCCTTCTCGAGGGCGGCCTCCGATACGTCGGCCATCAAGACATTGGCACCTTCGCGGGCGAAGAGGATGCTGGTCTCAAGACCAATACCACTGTTCGAGGTCATGAAAGTCAGCAATGTATTCTGTTCCCGTTGCATGGTAATTCGTACCCGCCCGCACCGGTGATGATGGCATTCTTGCCTTGGAGGCGTCCTCGGGGAGTAGTTGCGGCCATGTTGTACTATCGGACAAGGTGTGTCTGAAGTTGAGCGGTCAGAAATGTCTCAGTGGCTTATATACCACAGCTACATGCAGCAGGATACTCACTATAATTCAGAGCGGTTAATATGAGATGTGAATGTTTTGTATACGTGGGGTATCCCGTTGCTGCCCAGGTGCCCGCGGCTGTGGATCTTGTTAAGTAAGCGGTGACGATGCTGGCCCAGAGTGGGAAGGCGTCACTGATAAGCTCCCGAGCTTCGGCCCCTCGACGTCCCCGTGACGATTGCCCTGCTTTCATCCTCACTTCTGATTTATTGTCCAACTTGCATTCATCTCCCTCTGCGAACATGTCCAGCACAGACCCCGAGGTCACGACCGAGAATGTTGGTAAAATCCTGGAACATGACACCAAAGTGAAGGTGGCAGGGATAGACGTGGATGGCATCTTGCGCGGAAAGCTCATGAAGAAGGACAAGTTCCTGTCCATTATCACCGAAGGCTTCGGATTCTGCTCCGTCATTTTTGGCTGGGACCAACACGATGCAACCTACTATAAGGAATTGGCAATCAGCAACAAGGAGAACGGATACCGTGATCTTCTTGCGGTGCCTGATCTCCGCAGCTTCCGTCGCATTCCATGGGAGAACAATGTTCCCTTCTTCCTCATCAGCTTCCTGGATCCAGATACCCGAGAGCCAGTCTGCGCTTGTCCGCGTGGGTTGCTGAAGACAGCGGCAGCCAAGGCCGAGGCGGCTGGGTATCGGGCGATGGCAGGTGGTATGTTCAATCGACTCCGCGCTCGAGCAAATGGCTGACACAATCGATCTTTACAGCGGAGTATGAGTTTTACCAATTCCGCGCACCAGGTAACCACGCGACGCCAGAACAAGGTGCCTCTGCCACGGCCGCTTTCCTTCAATCGAACCCCCCGGATGCCCTACCAGCATTAACAGAAGGCATGTTCGGGTACTCGATCACTCGGCCTCTTCATAACCAAGATTACTATTATGGCATCTTCGACGCCTGCGAGAAGTTCCGCTGCGATATCGAGGGATGGCACACCGAGAGTGGGCCGGGAGTGTTTGAAGCCGTGGGTTGACGTGGAGAAGGCGTGGGCGCATTGGGACTGACATCGACCTAGGCATTACAATTCGGCGAGGCGAAGGATATGGCCGATAAGGCTGGGTTGTTCAAGTGGGATCATCGCAACCCCTTGCCGACGTGACGATGGCTGACCGATCTGTATAGATACACCGTCAAGGCATATGGAATCAAGCATGGCATCACGCCATGCTTCATGGCGAAACCGCGCCAGGGTCTACCTGGCAACAGTGGACACATGCACATCTCGCTTGTCAACGCCGACGGAACGAATGCCTTCATCCGCGATACCCCCGACCCCTCCCCTCAATACCCCGATATCGCTCACCTGTCTGATCTGGGGCGGCATTTCCTGGCTGGTCTGCTGGTCGGCCTGCCGGACATCATGCCCATCCTGGCCCCGACCATCAATTCCTACAAGCGGCTAGTGGAGAACTTCTGGGCGCCCGTCACCGTCTCTTGGGGACTAGAGCACCGGGCAGCCTCGATTCGTCTCATCACTCCGCCGACGGCGAGTCCCAAGGCCACTCGATTCGAGGTGCGAGTACCGGGCGCAGACACCAATGCGCACTTCGTGCTGGCTGCCATTCTGGCCCTCGGGTGGCGCGGCGTGGAGAAAAAGCTTGAAATCCCGGTGCCACCACTCGCCCGTGGTGAGGACATGGGTGGTGCTAGCGACCAGGGTGTCCGCCTGGCCAAATCATTGAAGGAGGCCATTGTTACATTCTCCCGCCCGGAGAGCGTTGCACGAGAAGTCTTTGGTGACTCATTCGTCGAGCATTTCGCGGGCACCCGGGAGCACGAAGTGCGCTTATGGGAGGAGGCGGTTACCGATTGGTAAGTATCTTTCTACGACCCCATCGAGCTGCATGCTAACCTCTGTAGGGAGATGAAGCGGTACATTGAGACCGTCTAAATGCAGCCAATTCATATTGTACATAGTCCAAGCATACGCAGTAGCAGGGTTACTACTTGATGATATACCGATACCACATGGGACTATGAGTGCACGTATTGTAGGACGTACGCCATGAATCACCTTCACATGTCGTCACATGCTCTTGCAGATACGGGACAATTCGGCTATGGCCTCGCTCTTTTCTCCTGCCATTGCGTCTGGGTTCTACCGCGGCTGATTGGACTTCCGGGGAGTTTTGTACAGCCATCGGGTGAATCAGGGACAGGGAAGAGGGTGTAGGTTTGAGGTCAGACTTGAGAATTCGTGGTGATTATCGTCACGCCTAGCAGAACTATAAAGAGTAAAAACGAACAACAAAATTATAAGATCCTGCGGTCTTCCGGGCGAGAGAATTGACACGAAAGCAATGCTAACACCGACGATAAGACTCGGTGGGCGGCGTGTGCCGAACTGTTCGGGGGGGGGATACCGCCCTTTTTGAAGCCGAACAGCCTCTGGGGGGAGGTGGTGGCCTGAAAATCAGTCCTTGGGTGCCTGAAAACACGCGGGGAACGGGCAATGTCGGCCGAGAGGAAGAGTTTCCCGTGGAAAAGAGTAGACTGGGGGAGCCTGTCTGGGGGCAGAGCTCTAACCGATCGCGGTCGAATGGTTCTGCGTCGGCATTCCGCTTATCATAGGCGGGTCGATGAACAACCGCGGCACTTCGGTGTCTGTGACGTATTCTATCGGACAGATGGGATTTTGTATATAGTCGTTGTACTCTTTCTTCTGACTCTTTCTTTTAATTCTCTGCTCTCGTTCTACTTTCTTCGTGCTAGGTTCGAGATATCTCCATATTTTCACGATATATGGACTAGTATACATCTATATACCTCCCCCGCATATACCTTCCCAATATGTCTCACGTCGAAACACAGCTCAAGGATGTGTCCATCCTCGGCTCCATCAACAATGATGCCCGCAAAATCCTGACCAAGGAGGCCTGTGCCTTCCTGGCTCTCCTCCACCGCACCTTCAACCCAACCCGCAAGGCCCTCCTCCAACGCCGGGTCGACCGCCAGGCCGAGATCGACAAGGGCAACCTCCTCGACTTCCTGCCCGAGACCAAGCACATCCGTGAAAATGACGCCTGGAAGGGTGCCCCTCCAGCTCCGGGTCTGGTGGATCGCCGTGTTGAGATCACCGGTCCTACGGATCGCAAGATGGTCGTCAACGCCCTGAACTCAGATGTCTGGACTTACATGGCCGATTTCGAGGACTCCAGCGCTCCCACCTGGGACAACATGGTCAATGGCCAGGTGAACCTTTACGATGCGATCCGTCGCCAGGTCGACTTCCAGCAGGGTGGCAAGGACTACAAGCTCCGAACCGACCGCACCCTGCCCACTCTCATCGCCCGTGCCCGTGGCTGGCACTTGGATGAGAAGCACTTCACTGTGGATGGCGAGCCCATCTCCGGTGGCCTCTTCGATTTCGGTCTCTACTTCTTCCACAACGCCAAGGAGCTGGTCGCCCGCGGTGCCGGTCCTTACTTCTACCTTCCCAAGATGGAATCTCACCTCGAGGCCCGTCTCTGGAACGATGTCTTCAACCTCTCCCAGGACTACATCGGTCTCCCTCGCGGTACCATCCGTGGTACCGTCCTGATCGAGACCATCACGGCCGCATTCGAAATGGACGAGATCATCTACGAGCTGCGCGACCACAGCTCCGGCCTTAACTGCGGCCGCTGGGATTACATCTTCTCCTTCATCAAGAAGTTCCGCCACCACCCCAACTTCGTCCTCCCCGACCGCTCAGACGTCACCATGACCGTCCCCTTCATGGACGCCTACGTCAAGCTCCTCATCAAGACCTGTCACCGTCGCGGCGTCCACGCCATGGGTGGCATGGCCGCCCAGATCCCCATTAAGAACGACCCAGCCGCCAACGACAAGGCCATGGAGAGCGTTCGCGCAGACAAGCTGCGTGAGGTGCGCGCCGGCCACGACGGCACCTGGGTTGCGCACCCTGCCCTGGCAGCAATTGCCTCCGACGTCTTCAACAAGTACATGCCGACGCCGAACCAGCTCTTCGTCCGTCGCGAGGAAGTCAACATCACAGCCAACGATCTCCTCAACACCAATGTCCCCGGCAAGATCACCGAAGAAGGTATCCGCAAGAACCTGAACATCGGTCTAAGCTACATGGAAGGCTGGCTCCGCGGCGTGGGCTGCGTCCCCATCAACTTCCTCATGGAGGATGCAGCCACTGCAGAAGTCTCCCGCAGTCAATTGTGGCAATGGACCAAGCACAATGTCAGCACTTCGGACGGCAAGCGTATGGATAAGGCCTTTGCTCTGCGTTTGCTGCAGGAGCAGGCTGATAGCTTGGCTGCGAAGGGTGGTAAGGGTAACAAGTTCCAGCTTGCTGCTCGCTACTTCGCTGGTCAGGTTACTGGTGAGGATTACGCGGATTTCTTGACCAGCTTGCTGTACAATGAGATCTCCTCTGCGGGCAGTGCTGCTAAGCTCTGAGTGCGTGGTGGCTTTATGATGATGAATACCCTTTCCTTGTTTCTTTCCCATATTCGAGTTAGCATTGTTGTATAACAATTGACATTTATTTCACTGTCTATCTGATGCCTACATAGATAGCATAGTAAAATTAGCCAATGCGTAGCAATGGAAACCCCGAGGTTCCGAGGTCGTATCATGATCGCCATTGTCCAATTAAACCTTTCACGGGGCTGGGCTTCTCAAACCTAATTGGTATGCACAGGACAGAACCTTAGTATATACCACTTACTACAAAATATCTTGCATCTACAGAGTATATCGAGTTCAATTAAACAATGCATGGTGACTATAGCTACCAAGGCATTCAGAGGTCTTATATTCGTAACGAGTGACAAAAGGTAGGGCATAAAACAATTTAAAATAACAATCTTTATACAGTATAAAATAAAGAGTCAACAGCCACGCTCAAGCAGACTGCATCCTCACTATTCCAATGCAGACATTCCAGTCCGCCTGTACATCTCACACCAAGCTCCAGGCTCAGCACTTAGATGTACTCCCAAGTGGGGGTGGTACCGTTAGCAGCAACAGCAAGGGCATCGAAGCCAATGCAGTCGGCAACGTTACCAGAGGGCACAGTGGCGTTCTGGAGAGCAGCGAACACCTGGTACTTGGGGGCGGCAGCAGCGCGACGACCACGGCGGACGGCAGTGGTGCTGTTGGAGCTAGGGCAGGCCATGAAGCCAGAGGCACCCTGGCCGGTGTAGCTCCAGTGGCCGAAAGAGGAGCCGGGAGTGTAGGCGAAGGGGCCGTCAGAGGAGCCGGCAGGCTCGTAGGCGGAGTGGGGGGTGGTGAAGCGGAGAGCACCCTTGGGGTCGACGTAGATGGCCTGGCCACCGGGGACGACAACGTCCTGGATATGGGGTTAGTGTATGTGCTTGGGTGATGGCTTGGGGTTACATACGAGGTAGTGACCGCCGTGGATCACGGTCTGGTTGGACTCGGGGACGCCCTCGACGGGGGAGTAGGTCTGGGCGTTACCGCCGAGCCAGAAGTAGCTGCCGGCAGCGTTGAGGGGCAGCAGGTGGACGGGGGAAGCGGAGCGAGCAGAGATGACGCTGAAGGAAGCATCGGAGCTGGCCTGCTTGGAGCCGGGGATGGCAGCCACCAGAGGGGCGAGAGCGAGGAGGGCAGAGAACTTCATTTTGAGGGTGTTTGGAGGTGGGTTTGGAATTAGGAAGATAAAGAGAGTCTATGGGGTTTGGGAAGTGGCTTCAGGGTCATATATAGCGTTGGGAAGAGGGACGTGCTGGAGCTCCATCTGCGGATCCTGAAATACCAGTATACAGTAGAAGAAATCAGAGGATCGACATCATAGCCGGCAGAGACGGCATGGTGAGCCAATTTGGGAACTGCCAGACCCCGATCTAAGCTTCGCCACAGAGACCAAGATGGTTAGAAGGCCGAATTAGGTTGCCCAGGAAGAGTTTGCGCTGTTCGAGGGACTAAATTAGTCTGCTCAGGGTCTCACATTCAGGAACAGGAAGGCGTGTGAGAGGATGGAAGCTGCAGAAGCTCCACTGAAAGATCGGACTAAACGGCCTAAACGGTCTACTAGACGGTACTATGTGCACGTTCTCCAAGCGCAGTACTATACAGGACTACAGTACAGTATTTTCCTGCAGTTAATTGACTCCCTACACCTGTCAAATCACAAAATGCTACATTAATTGATCTCAAACCGGCAGGACCGTCTGGACACGGCAGAGTGAAGATCGCAGCATAGGACCCTGAGGGAGTTGTTTCAGAGAAATACACAGAGTTTGACGGAGTAAAGATCGACGGGGTGGCTTCGGAAGGCCGACAGAAATTCCCCTACAGCCCAAAGCCACTAAAGAATCACTAAGAATAACTAGGAATGCAGGCACTTGAATTGTCGGCCTGTAAGGTGCCTCCGTCGGGCTCCACGCTCTCCACTTTGTCTCAGGGTACACCAGATTTGACATCACTGGCCTGCCCATATCTGATAGAGATATCATATTGCGAGGTACGGGGTACTCCGTACGACCTGGTACCAGTTAGTACCTTACTATCCTGGAAAACACTGGCGATACTACTATACATAGTAGACTTTATGGGCGATTGCAATCCCGATATAGTTACGGCCTAACACAAGGACTGACAAACTCATGACAAGGAATATCCACTTGAAGTCTCTTTGATTAACGAGTTTTGTCATTTGACTCCCCAGTATGTACAGTATGATGTTGCTCTTTCATAAACACTAAACATCCTTTGGATGAATCCTTTCAATAAGGATGCGATGATCTCTCGTAGCATACTTACCACCGCCACATCCGACCAAATTCCTATCTTGTCTCAAATCTTCAGGACAATGTTTTGGTTCAAGTTTCACCGAGAAACAGGTCTGCCAGCAAGCTGAAGGTTAGTGCGCGGGGCATCTACAACATAGAGCAGGTAGTTGGACGCTATTTGTCGTTAGCCTGGTTCTTGTGGAGTGAACAATTAGGCAGTAAGAATACAGTAGAAAAGTATAAAACTGGCATATTTCGGGCATTAGCACTGGTACTCTAGGGTATACAGAGTCCTTCGTAAGAGCTCTCTTCAAACTCAACACATTGAATATTCAGAGGTTGCGATGTGATGTATACAGTAGAGCGAACGCCAAAAAGGGGTAGAAACAAGTCAGGTGACTGTGTTTTCCCCGGGCAGAGACATGAAAATAGTACAGCTCATGCACAACACACCTAAGCTTCCGAGAACCCGCAAGGACATGGATCTTGCACATTGAATGGCTTCCCCACATGCCAAGGGAGCTTCGCGCTCAGTGAGATTCTCCGACACGCGCGAATACGCGCCCCGCTCCCCGTCACCATCCGGCCCCGAACCACAGAGCGACAGCGAGGACGAATTGGCCGGAAACGAAGCTGACGTCAAACTGCTTCCCTTGAAGTCTCGCGATCCCCAATCTCCCGAATCGAGCTCCCGACGTCCGGCCCAGATCGAGGTGCCCGATCACGAACGCGACACTTCGAAGCGCATTGAAGAGCTCCTTGCCTCGGATCGCAACCTGTTGCCCGATGCATTTGATACTGATTTGGAAGATGGGGATACCAGCTCTTTTTCTGATTTCAGTGACGATTATGGAATACCATCAGATAAGGGATTGCTACCGAAGGGCGCTGAAGGGGACGATGACAAGCGCTTTAAGTGGAGGTCATTGTTCCGCCTGGACTCTTGGTGGAATGTTCTTGGCTTCTTGGTCATTGCTATAGTGGTTGTATGGCTCGCCATCAGAGGTCTACCCTGGTCTTCTGGAAAGGGTGCTGGAAATGGATCTGTAGGTTACCCTCTCATCGACTGGACTTTGTCGATCAACGCCTGATTCCAGCGTCTAACGACTGCAGCAAACGGTCTCTTGGTACCCTACACCCCTCGGCGGAACTAGCAGTCAGTGGAAAGAAAGCTATGCGAAAGCGCAAGAACTGGTCCAGGCAATGTCCATTGCCGAGAAGGTAAACATTACCACTGGGACGGGCTGGCAAATGGGGCTCTGTGTAGGAAATACCGGTAAGTGATGGCCACCCGATCCCATACTTGCATAGACTAACTCAATGCTATGTAGGGGCCGCCGCGCGAGTCAAGTTCCCCTCTCTGTGTCTGCAGGACGGCCCGCTCGGGCTCAGATACGTGCACAACATCACGGCATTCCCTGCAGGAGTTACGACCGGCGCTACATGGAATCGGGAGCTGATGCAACAGCGGGGCTTTGCACTCGGCAATGAAGCGCGGCTTAAAGGCGTCAACGTCGTTTTAGGCCCGTCCATGGGACCCATGGGCCTGATGCCTGCTGGAGGTCGTAATTGGGAGGCCTTTGGATCGGACCCCGTGCTCCAAGGCGTGGCTGCGGCCGAGACCATTCGCGGTATCCAACGGAATGGTGTCATGGCTACGGCGAAGCACTTCGTTGGAAATGAACAAGAACACTTCCGCCAGTCCTTCGAGTGGGGACTTCCGGAGGCACTTTCGTCGAATATGGATGACCGCGTGCTGCACGAAGTATTCGCCTGGCCATTCGCTGAAAGTGTACGGGCGGATGTGGCGAGCGTGATGTGCTCTTACCAGATGGTCAACAACACCTATGCCTGTGAGAACAGCAAATTGATCAACGGTATCCTCAAGGACGAGCTTGGCTTCCAGGGCTTCGTTCAGTCGGACTGGTTGGCCCAGCGCTCAGGCGTTGATAGCGCCATTGGAGGTCTCGATATGAGCATGCCCGGTGACGGCCTCCACTGGGCCGACGGTAAACCACTATGGGGAAGCGAACTGACGCGCGCGGCATTGAACACCTCTGTTCCCATGGAGCGCTTGAACGACATGGTGACCCGCATCGTTGCCGCCTGGTATCACTTCCGACAAGACTCTTGGGAGCAGCCTGCCCCAGAAGGGGACGGAGGTCCAAATTTCTCTTCGTGGACCCAAGAAGAAGTTGGACGTCTTCACGAAGGCTCCCCTGACAATGATGCTACTGGTGTGGTGAATAAATTTGTGGATGCACAGGGTAAAGGCGCCGAGGCGCATTCTATTGTGGCTCGAACAGTTGCGGCAGAGGGCACCGTGCTTCTCAAAAACGTCAACGGCACGCTCCCTCTTTCACGAGAGCAGCCTGGCACCAGTGGAAAATACAGGGTCGGTGTCTATGGTGAAGACGCAGGCCCTGGCAAAGGACCCAACGCTTGCGCCGATCGAGGCTGTAACCAAGGAACTTTGGCTTCAGGCTGGGGTAGTGGTGCCGTGGAGTTCCCATACCTGGTCAGTCCATGGGAAGCCCTGCAGCACGCCTGGTCGGCGGATACAGTTGATGTCCGAGACTACTTGACGAACTCCATTCAGCTCGAGGACCTCGTGGAGCAAGATCTATGTTTGGTTTTCGCCAACGCAGACGGCGGCGAAGGATTTCTCCGCAGCGATGGGATCGATGCGGATCGAAACGACCTCTTCCTGCAAAAGAATGGCACTGAACTGGTAGAAGGGGTAGCGAGCCATTGCGGCGGTGGTCAAGGAAAAACCGTCGTCATCGTGCACTCCGTTGGCCCCGTTGTGATGGAGTCTTGGATTGACCTTCCCGGTGTGCAAGCTGTGCTGTACGCCAATCTTCCCGGGCAAGAAAGCGGCAATGCCCTGGTAGATGTGCTTTTCGGTGAAGTAGACGCCAGCGGTCGACTGCCATACACCATCGGTCGAAGCTTGGAAGACTACGGTCCAGGAGCTCAAGTAGTCTACCAACATACAGACCCCTCAGTCCCACAAGTCGACCTGAACCAAGGCCTGTACATCGACTATCGATACTTCGACAAGTACAACATAACCCCACGCTACGAATTCGGATTTGGCCTATCCTACACATCCTTTGAATATTCCACCCTTGGGATCGAAAAATTACAGAAAAAGACCCAGCACCCCTCCCCTCGCCCGGGCAATGAAGTCGAGCCCCCCAAATACGATACCAGGCCACCTAATCCATTCACCGGCCTATTCCCCTCTGACTTCCGCGTTCTTCGCAAATTCATCTATTCCTACTTCGACACCCTGGAGGGTACAGATCCCGGCCAATACCCATATCCCGAGGGATACAATACTCCCCAGACCCCATCTGCCGCAGGCGGCGGACCAGGAGGCAACCCATCACTCTACGAAGCCATGCTCGAGCTCTCTATCGAAGTGACCAATACCGGTCCTCGGGCAGGGAAAGAGGTGGTCCAAGTATACGTGTCTTTCCCGGAAGATGTCGCCGAACATCGCGGGCTAGGCTGGTCTCGTGAAGCCATCGAGTTTCCAAAGCGTGTTTTGCGCAATTTCGAAAAGATTGCCTTGCAGCCAGGAGAGACTAAGATGGTGAAGTTGACTTTGACTCGCAAGGATCTGAGTTATTGGAGCGTGCGCGCGCAGAATTGGATACTGCCCACTGAAGGCAAGTTTAAGATTTGGGCTGGGCGGAGCTCTAGAGATCTACCGCTGGTGGTGGAGTTCTAAGACATCATTCGTCTTGTCTTGAAGTCGCTTGACAAGATCCTTGGATGTTTACCTATTCAATAGTTGAAAATAATTCATACCCCTTTGTTGCTGTAATTTTTCCAGGCTTTTGGTTAATGCTGGCAGAGGCCGGCTTCTACTATGATTTGCATAAGAATATGGTCGTTGTGATGAATCCAGATGATAACCATGAAATAACTTTTGCTTTCGCAGCGTAGATGCACTAAGTATCTATCTAAAACATGTACAATACTCGCGAAGGCGACACATAAAAAATCTATGCCGAGAGATGAAAGAGAAACGCCCCAACACCGTCTATCAGAATGCAGACCAAAACATTAACATGGTGCTCATGATGCGAGGAAAGGCGAACTGTCCAGGCGATTACGAATCATAATGTTGTGAAGCGCGTTTATTCATCGTCGGAATCCACAGGCTTGGGAGTGCCCTTGGGGGAGTTCAACTGCAGAAACTGTTAGCATGATATCAGGGAAATAAAGGGAAATGGAAAACTCACCCATTCGATGTGACGCAGACGACGGCGAGCCTCACGCTCCTTCTGCTGAGCACGGGTCATCTTCTTCTTCTTCTTGGCGCGGAACTTGAGTTCACCGGCGCCTTCATCGCCGGAGTTCACGGCAGATGGGGCAGCGCTGGTGGTGGCCGAGCCGGTGGCAGGGGTGCCAGGGGCGGAGGGGGTGTTGGCAGCGCTGTCCTCGAAGCGGTCCAGGCTGACGGCGTTGTTGGTACGGCTGACAACGCGACCATCGGCAATGTGGAGCTGCTCGGGGCAGAGAGCACCGACGAACTCTTCGTTGTGAGAAATCATAACGACACCACCCTTGAAGTCACGGATGGCAACGGCCAGACCACCGAGGGAGTCACGGTCCAAGAAGTTAGTAGGCTCGTCAAGAACCAGCAAGTGGGGGTTGTTCCACATGGCACCAGCAAGGACGACCTTGACCTTCTGACCACCGGAAAGACCGGAGATCTCGTTGTGGTTGGCGATCTCGGGGTCCATACCAATGTCCTCGAAGTGCTTGGTGATGGTCTTGGGGTCGAGGACACGGAAACCGAGACCCTCGCGGGAAGCCTCGTGATCGTCGAACTCTTGGACGAGCTTGAAGAAGCCGTGCTCGAGCAGAGTCTCACGGGAAATCATAGTGTTGTTCTTGGGCAGGAGACCAACCCACTTGACCTCGTACTGGAAGGTCTTCTTCCACTTCTGACGACCAATGAGGGTCTCAATGCGGCGTGGACCGAAGCCAGCGCCGAGATCGATGGGCTTCTCGAGCTGGGCCTTGTCCTCCTCGGTGAGGATACGGGTCTGCTTCATGAAGACCTCGCGATCGTCACCGTTGGCATAACGCCACTGAAGGTACTGGCTGGGGGTCTTCTCCAAGTGCATCTCAACGTGCTCCAGAGCGTGCTGCTTGATATAACCAATACGCAGGTTGGGGTGCTTCTCCACCTTACCGGTCTGGGGGATGGTCTCACCGGTCAGAATCTTAATGAAAGTAGACTTTCCGGCACCGTTTCCACCAATGATAGCGACACGGGAAGAGAGAGACAGCGACAGTGAGGCGTCGTGCAGGGAGGGCTTGGGTGCGTTGGGGTATGTGAAAGAGACATTGCTCATACGCATGATGGCACGAGTTTGAGACTTAATACCGGACAGAATACCGGGGGGAGGGAACTTGAACTGCACGTTGGAGGCAGACAGAGTGTAGTAGCTCTTGCCTTCGGGCTTAACATTGACGAAGTCGGCAAGGTTACCCTTGTAGCAGACAAGCTTCTTGCCCTCGTAGTGGTAGATATCAGTACAGACTTCATCGAGGAAGCCAGAGTCGTGAGAGACGATCAAACTGGTGATCTCAGTGTGGGACTTCAGGTACTCCTGCAGCCACTTGACGTTGGCAACATCCAAGTGGTTAGTAGGTTCGTCAAGCAGGAGAACATCGGCCTTCTGGAGCATAGCACGGGCAAGAGCCAGCTTCATCTTCCAACCACCGGAAAGAGAACCCACGGGCTGGGACTGGCGACCCTCAGGGCCGTCAGTGAAGCCGAACTCGATGAGAACCTCAGAGATGTGCTCCTTGCCCTGCTCGGCAATCTTGGGGTCCTTGGAGACGTACTCCAAGATGGTGAGGTTGGCATCCTCACCCTGGTTGTGCTCCACAAAGCAAGTGCGGACTTCGTCCTGAGGGGGGAAGCCCTCGAGCTTGTCGTTCGCGATACTGCGCATGAGGGTGGACTTTCCGGCACCGTTGCGACCGCAAAGACCGTAACGGTGTCCCTTGAGCAGACGAAGGTTGGTGTGGGAGAGCAGAAGCATACCACCGTAAGCGAGAGAGAAGTTGGCGTTGACAATCTCGATCTCGTTGGGGTCCTCGGGAGGAGGCTTGCCGTACTTGATCTCATCTTGCTCGATGTAGTGGGCTTGGACAGCGGAGGCAACGGCCTCAGTGTTTCCGTCCGCGAGAAGGCCACGGAGGTAGGGGTCAATGCAACCGGGGATACGGTCGTGCATGCGAACGTTGATATCCTCACGGACCATGTTGGCAACGAAGTTCTTGGTCAGGCCCTGGAACTTGGCATCTCCGAAGCCAGTGAGACCGCCGTGCTCTTGGATCTTAGCATCCAAGACGGTCAGGACTTCCTCGGGGGTGGTCTTGGAGATCGCACCAGTAGCGACATCATTGTCGCGCATGGCGGTCTCGATAACGTCAAGAGCACGGGTGGCGAGCTCACGAACCTCGGGTAGAGAGGCACCTTCCTTGACAGACTTGACACCAGGCTGCAGGTTGGGGAGGAAAGTACGGGCCTCGGCGGGATCGTGGACCAGCTTGGTCAGGTTCTCCACGACGACAACGGTCTGACGCAGGGTTTCCTGGGGTGTGGCTGGGGTGTTGAGGGAACGAGCGAGGAGAGGAGTGAGCATGGCCAGCACAGGGGATGTGACAATAGCAACGAAAGTAGTCTGCGAAAGGGCGTGGATAGCCTTCTGCAGGGTCTTGGCGGAGGGCTTCTCCATGGTCTCGATCAAGAGAGGAATACGAGGGGCAACATCGTCGTTGGACAGCAGAGTGGTGAGGGCGGTCATGGTCTTGCAAGACTGCTTGGCGACCTCGCTCTTCAGATCGTGCATGCCAGACTCGACAATGGGGATGAACTCCTTGAGAGTCTTACCCATAGCCTCACGGAGCAAGTCCTTCTGGCGTTCCTCCTCCATAGAGCCAGTACCAAGCTGGGCCTTGACAGCCATCTTTTCGATCAGCTTGTAGGCACCGACAAAGCCCTGCCACTTACCAGAGCCCTTGCTCAGGTAGCTCTCGAGAGCAGGAAGAAGGCCGTTCACCATAGCCTCGGGGCTGAGGGTGTTAAAGAGGGCGTCGATGGCGTATTGGGCAGCGTCGCGCACAACGGCACCCTTATCGGCCAGAGCATCAAGAGCGAGGTCAAAGACACCGCCATTGTGGAGGAGGAAGACCACTTCGCTCAGAGGATACTCACGGGGGAAGCGCTCGAACAAGGCGCCGATAATCAGCATGGCGCTTTCGCGCTTGGCGCCATCCTTCTTATCGGAGGCGGCCTTCCGAGTTTCGGCGAGGACATTGTAGTTCAGCAGGCCAGCGACACCAGCGCCCTGGATGAGAAGGTTGGCCAGAGCGTATGCGCCATCCAAGGATTGCTGAGAAGACTCGGATGTGAAGATGGTGTTGAGAAGGGCGGAAATCTCTTCGGCGGTGGGGGGCACGCCGGAGGGGCCCTTTGCGACAACGGTCGGCATGGTGTCCGGGTCGACAGTGTGTGGCATCGTCCAGTAACTTCAGAGAACTCGAAGGACGAAGATCGATATCACCTGGGGATATCGAAGCAACGGAGCGGAAGAAAAGACAGAAGCCCTTGAAAAGATGCTTAGGGGCTGAGGAGGGGCAATTTCAGCCTATGGAAAATTTTCCACGCGCACAGTTCGCGCACAAAGGAAGTCGAGGTTGAGATGACCTGAGTATATACAGTGTATACACCGGAACCCTGACAAAACACAACAAAAAAAAAAAAACACAAAGAGGGGAGAGTTGGTTCAAGAATCGCACTAATTCTCCTTGCGCTGCCCAGGTGTTGATTACAATTTTTTTTTTGGCTGAGTCAGCCAATCAGTGGGGGCCTCGCCGCCACCTGGCCGGCGGATGACCGGGGTTTAATTGTGCATTCTGATTGGCTGCTGATTGCCAGCCTCCGGCCTTGCTGCCTGACAGTTGGTGCCTGAGCTCTTCGCCGTTTTATGCCTGAGGCATCAACTAGATGGTTAACATGGATGCCTCAGGCGCCAATGCCATTTACGTCATGGCAGGCCTGTGACAGGACCCTCCACGAAGGCCGTGTCGCAGAGGCATCTTGAAAGCTTTGAAGGATTCCGGATCAACGGATGTCTCAAGATAGAATGTTAAGTAGTCAACATTGGTACAGTCACCCCTTTGAGCCCGGCATCTGGACCTCCATCACGACCGTTGAAATGTGGAGTATAGAGAACACACTTGAGAGATAACACACCAAAATGATGAAATTTTCGTACCTAGAAGCATCAAAAATGACTAAATCCCTGGATCTTCGGAGCCCCTTGTGAATACCATCTCCAATCACCGCGCTCGACACATTCAGCCGAGAGACCGACCAGGCCGCATGCAACCGCCCCGGGCCTCGGTAGAGCAACACCCCTGTGCCCCCGCGTTCAACCGAGTTGCGTGTTGGCCGATCGCTGCATAAGTCCGAATCTTTTGGTTGAATTTGGCTTTCATCGCTCAATCCTCTCTCTCACTTCTCTCAATTGCACTTTTGTTCAGCTTCAACTTTGCGCTCCCCGCAATCCTACTCTCCCGCCCCCGCAAAATCCACTTCGGACCCATCATGGCCCTCAGCTGGAGATCATCCCGCCATGTTTCTAAACTCGCACAGGTGAGCTACCGAAGTCGTGAGATTAGTTTGTATGACAGAGCTGATTTAGTTTAAGGCCACTCGGCCAGTGTTTTCGCGCCACTACGCGACCGCAGAGCCGGATCTCAAGACCACCCTCAAGGAGGTCATCCCGGCTAAGCGGGAGCTACTGCAGAAGGTAAAGGCACAAAGTGACGAGGTCATTGGGGATGTCAAGGTCGGAAACACAATCGGTGGTATGCGTGGCCTGAAGGCCATGCTGTGGGAGGGTTCCGTCCTGGACGCCGATGAGGGAATTCGCTTCCACGGCAAGACCATCAAGGACTGCCAGAAGGAGCTTCCCAAGGGAACTACCGGCACTGAGATGCTCCCTGAGGCCATGTTCTGGCTTCTTTTGACCGGCCAGGTGCCCTCCACTGGCCAAGTGCGCGCTTTCTCCCGTGAATTGGCTGAGAAGTCACACCTCCCCACTCACATTCTTGACTTGATCAAGTCCTTCCCTTCAAACATGCACCCTATGACCCAGCTCTCCATTGCTGTGGCAGCCCTTAACACCGAGTCTAAGTTTGCCCAAGCCTATGAGAAGGGCATCAACAAGGCCGAGTACTGGGAACCCACCTTTGATGACAGCATTTCCCTGCTGGCCAAAATCCCCCGAGTTGCCGCCCTGGTCTTCCGACCAAAGGAGATCGATGCCGTTGGCACTCAAAAGCTAGATGCCGCTCAGGATTGGTCGCACAACTTCGCCGAACTGCTTGGCAAGGGCGGCGCCGAGCACGGAGACTTCCATGATCTTCTTCGTCTTTACCTGGCTTTGCACGGTGACCACGAGGGTGGCAATGTGTCCGCTCATGCAACCCACCTCGTCGGCAGTGCTCTGAGCGACCCCTTCCTCAGCTACAGCGCCGGTCTCCTTGGTCTTGCCGGTCCCCTTCACGGTCTGGCCGCCCAGGAGGTGCTCCGCTGGGTGATCGCCATGCAGGATAAGATCGGCACCAAGTTCACTGATGAGGATGTCCGTACCTATCTCTGGGAGACACTCAAGTCTGGTCGTGTCGTGCCAGGCTATGGTCACGGCGTTCTGCGCAAGCCCGATCCCCGCTTCGAGGCCTTGATGGACTTCGCCGCCACTCGTCCTGACGTTTTGGCAAACCCGGTGTTCCAGTTGGTCAAGAAGAACTCAGAGATTGCCCCTGGTGTTCTGACTGAACATGGAAAGGTATGTTGATTGAACCACCGCTCATCCAGGGTCCAACTAACGACATTCTTAGACCAAGAACCCCCACCCTAATGTGGATGCTGCCAGTGGTGTTCTATTCCACCACTACGGCTTCCAGCAGCCCCTCTACTACACCGTCACATTTGGTGTCAGTCGTGCTCTTGGGCCCCTGGCCCAGCTGATCTGGGACCGCGCTCTGGGTATGCCCATTGAGCGTCCCAAGAGCATTAACCTCCTCGGTCTGCTCAAGAAATAGATATTGACGCGGTAGCCTGGCGCAGCCGTATATGACCTCAACGCAAAGCGATTCTCTTTTACTCTCTATTGTTTACTCTCCGAAAGACCGTCCGGACATTGTCCTTTTCTCATAGGATCTTCTACATGAAAAGCACACCTACACAGACCAGTCACTAGCTGGCAACTGACCAATTGAACTTTTCACACTGATACTCAATCCAAATTCCACAACTCCTAGACTGTGCCCATGTGCATGTGTAGGTTGTGCGTGTATGAATCATCTAAAATGGAATTGAATAGTATGTGACTGTCCATCATCTGCAATGCTTCTATCAATCTTTCACAGACGAGCACCACCACTTGACAATCGATCCCACTCTTTCTGACCATACGAAGAATAAGTATCATCTCCCGGCGCAATCCACAAGAAATGGTCATCTTTCCCCTCTGGTGCTTTTGTTCCAATAAGAGAGATGTCCACACCCTCATCTCGAAGTGGTACTTTATTCTGTTTGTGGTTATGGATATGTGTAGGATTTTCGACAATCCGCAGGAACAGAGGAACGGCATATCGAGGCAGCTTGGAGCGAATGAACTGAGCAAGCGCCGAGTAATCGAACGACTGACGGGCATCCGGGCTGATCTGAATTGCCGCACAGCCTGCACGTCCCTCATGATTGGGAAGGCGGACACCGTAAACGTTCGCTTCCGTGATACCTGGGAACTGGCCCACGACTTCTGCAACCTCTGCCGTGGCTCTGTTATGTTTGGTCAGCTTTGATATCCACAGATGCTATTCAGGTCTGATACTCACACATTCTCACTCTTCCAGCGGAAGGTGTCCCCAAGACGATCGAGGAAGTACCAGCGGCCATCGCTTTGACGACGCAGAGCATCTCCTGACCGGTAGTAAAGATCCCCTTTCTTGAAGACGTCCGTCAAGAACTTCTTGTTCGTGGCTTCATCGTTGCGCCAATATCCTTGGAATGCGTCTTTTCCGGGCACATTGACGATAATCTCCCCACCTTCTTCATAGCTCGCGCGCGTCGCAAATCCAGTCTTGGGATTCCGCAAGATATCACCAGTCTCCGGGTCAATAGCCACAGGGACGAAGACATTATGCAAGAGGCCGCGCAAGATCAAGCCATGATGTCCCACAACCCCCGACGTGAAGGGACCCCGATTATGATTGAAGAGATTGAAAACCCCCTCCGTGCTACTGAAGAACTCGCCGACTTCCGGGACCCCGAATCGATCTCGGAACTTCTCCCAGATATCAGGCCGCAGACCATTGCCGTACATACAGCGAACCTTGTGGTCACGATCCTTTGGTGAAGGCGGAGGTGCCAGCAAATAGCGTGCCGTCTCTCCGACATACACGAACAACGTTGATTCCGAGGCACGAATGTCCTCCCAGAATTTGCTCACGCTGAATTTGGGCGCAATTGCAATGCTGACTCCCAAAGCCAAGCATGACATCATGGATATGGCTGCAGTTCCGTGATATAACGGCATACAGCTGTACCAGCGATCGCCATCTGGTCCAGGTGTGTCTCCTACCATAGCACGGCGTACATGCATGGTTGTGTATAGACGCGACACGGTGAATGCGCACCCTTTGGGCAACCCGGTCGTTCCAGAAGTGTATAGCAGGACAGCTGGGAATTCACCCTTCATGCCTTTGGCCATCTCCTTCGGGGGTAGAGTTTTTGGAAAGGTACTGATATGTGCCTTCAGCGAGTCATCCAGTACCACTGGCTTCATGCCTAGATTTCCAACGATTGCATCCTGGGACTCTTCCACTCGGGTACGGCATCCGGAGTCTTCATCCACGATTAGGAGTTTGGCCTCGCTGATCTTCAAGCAGTGGACGAGTGCGTCGCCTGTGAGGTTATAGTTGATGGCTGCTGGGGCACAGCCGATACTCCAAAGTGCCACCCAGGCAAACATGTACTCTTCGCGATTTTGAAGATACAAAGCCACGAGCTCGCCCTTTTTCACGCCGTGCGACAAGAAGAAATGCGCATATTGACAGGCCCGGTCTTGGAGTTCGCGATATGTGTAGGATCTCTCCCGGGTCCAGAGACAGGTCATATCGGGATATGTTTTCACGGTCTCTATAAGTACAAACCATGGATTCCCGCGGCGGTTGCTCTCTCAAGATGGTCAGTCTTCATTCCCCGGAAAGAAGGTCGAGTCCTACCGGCAGAGTTATATTTCCGTTCTGCTCGTTTCGCTGAAAGCAATCCCGTAACATCCTTCTTGAGATGGAATTTGGCATTCAGATATCCCGCGACCGTGGCTCCCCCTAGGAGAGCGGCAGCAGCAGTTCCTATTGTGAGTGAGTGTGAAGTCATACATGCAGAAGCTTTGTTGATGCTCACCTATGTCCATCTTGGGATAATGCAAGCGGGATCAAAAGCCGTGAATGTGAAAATGTGAAAAGCTGCGACCAAAAGTAGTAGAGAGTCGGTTTCTCCAAATACAATTGTAAATTGTGGAAGAGAGAGGCAGTCTCAAGACCTCGAGGTCATGTTTTACCGGTTGCCGAGACCCAGAACATCCTCGGCACAAATTGGACCTCCGCACTGAATTAACCAGTAACTGGGACACTTGGACCCGTTTTTCTTTGCCAAAAAGTGGCAAGAAATGCGGGGAACCGTAAGCTAGCAGTTTTCATCACTGCATAACTTGTTTGTGCTACCTGGACGCTGTACGCGCCGAGGTTTCTCCCACCTTGCACAAACAGTGGTATAGACAGGGCACACCACTCTGCAATGAACTCAATAGTCGCGGGGCTATACCGTTGAACAGAATCCACAGTGTCCACTTGACATTTCCGTTGGGGACGGTTCTGTGTCAAATTTGAGCGTTGAGTTTATGCTACGATGTTCGGTGAGAACCTTTGGGATCTTCGATTGGAGTGTCAGGGCCAGAAACACAAAGATGTGGGTACACGTCAGGCCTTTGGTTGCGCACTCGTCTTCAATGGGGGAAATAGGACATTGAACTTGGGAGTCTCAGCTGGCATAACATTAAGCAGTGGCTAAGTAGACTGTGATGTGCGTTTGAGAATGGATCGAGACAAACGTCCGCAAATCCTCCGGTCGGGGCCTGGCCAGGGGCTCTCAGGCATCCATGAATAGGCGCTGCGCGGATAATTTATGGCCGTGCTTCTCTTCACCGGGCCTATTCTCAAACCTCATACACGAATTGAAATTTGAGCAGAATTAGATATATAGATCTAAGCTAACAGTCTGTCATCCGCTGTAAATTCCACCCATTCCAAGTTCATCAATTAAATCGTCTTGGCGAGCCTCTACATAGGGCTGCCCCAGTGGGTTTGATTAGGATATCATGCCCCCGACCTCGGGGGGTCGGTCCGGGGAGAACTTCCTTACGGGATAGCGTCAACAAGAAACAACATTGCCGATGAGCCTCGCAAGGTTTCCGTCGGTCAACGAGTTGACTCACCCCAGGCTTTGAGTCATTGAGTCGTCAAATTACCCAGGAGCAAATACCCAACAGATGTTTCGTTCTCAACGGTCCCAGTAAATACGGAGTAGAGACAATGTTGATGGCCTCGTACACTTCAAGGTTCGCATTCATCTTCCCTTTCAGAGTGGTCGATGCAGCCGCTTGGCTAATGGCCCTGATTCAGCTGGCACTTGGAATGGACATATGTTATTTAGTCAACGTAGAGACTCCTGGGTGGGCATCATAAGCACATTTCTCCCGTTGACCTTTGGGATCTCCGGTGAGCTGCCTTGCCCCGGAGAACACTCGGCCTGGATTGAAGATCGTATCACGTCGCTACCCTATTTCGATTGGCATCGCTGTGTATGATGGCACCAATGATCTGATGTGCCGTCATCGTGCTCCGTACTCCGTACACACCGAGTCTATGCGCTGCATGCGAGGACGCATTCCAGCCCTAAAAGGCAAGCTGGTCCATGCATTGAGCCTCTGAGACTTGGAAAAGCAAAAATATCGGCAAGGGATGACCTCATGCAAGGTGAGCTGACCTGGAGGACACGGGTCTTATCAATCTATGATCATTTCGATTATGTTGAGAGTTGCTTCAAACTGTTGATCCCCAATAATTTCGTCTTTTCCTTCGGTCCGATCGACAGGTAATAACGGTCCGGTCATTGGTGGACAGACATCTAGTGGATCTCAGCCAGGCATCGGTGACGCAAACGGTAGGGATGAGCTGGGAGAGCTCTCTCTTGACACACACGATGACTGTACACAGTACTAGTACGCAGTCTAATTTCCACAGGGAAATTGCTCGGAGGGGGAATTAGGAAAGCCATTCCGGGGCGAGTGATGGATTCCGAGGGAAAGCAGAGTGGTCTTGGCCGCATGTTGGGGGAAAACACTGTTGGAGAATTCAACAGAGTTCCTACTTCCCCCGGGCCAGGTACCCGTAGTGGGAAAAAAGTGTACTGTAATAGCCGCGAAAAAAGAAGAATAACGAGGTTTTGTCATAGAGGGGGAGAGACCTTGGGGTCCAATCAGCCCAGGCACTTTCCCCACACGATTGTCGTAGTCGTCGGTGAATCACCCCTCTCGTATATCCTTCCTTCATCCCTCTTCAATTCCCTCTCCTATCTTCACATACCATGTCTCTTCCTATCAGGTCATTGCCCAGAACACTGGTACGGTCCTACGGGACGGTGCAGGGTGCCCCCCAGCCTGCGTCCCTGGCCAGCCGCATTCCTCTGACGCTGACCGACGCTACGGGTGCTACCGCCCCACGGACCACTTGGACTCGAGATGAAGTCAAGCAAATCTACGAGACACCATTGAACCAGCTCACATACGCGGCGGTAAGTAATAGTCCTACCCCGGTGCCATGCCTACGAACGGTCAGCTCACATATCCCAGGCGGCGGTCCACCGCCGGTTCCATGATCCCGCGGCTATTCAGATGTGCACTCTCATGAACATCAAGACCGGAGGATGTAGTGAAGATTGCTCGTACTGTGCCCAGTCCTCTAAGCACAACACCGGACTGAAGGCTACCAAGATGAGCCCCGTCGACGACGTGCTCACCAAGGCTCGCAATGCCAAAGCCAACGGCAGCACCCGGTTCTGCATGGGTGCCGCCTGGCGAGACATGCGCGGCCGCAAGACCAGTCTGAAGAACGTCAAGCAGATGATCTCCGGCATCCGCGAGATGGACATGGAGGTCTGTGTCACTCTCGGCATGATCGACGAGAACCAAGCCAAGGAACTGAAGGATGCCGGTCTGACCGCATACAACCACAACCTCGACACCTCCCGTGAATTCTACCCCACCATTATCACCACCCGGTCCTATGACGAGCGTCTGAAGACGCTCTCCCACGTTCGCGATGCTGGCATCAACGTTTGCTCCGGTGGTATCCTCGGTCTGGGCGAGAGTGACGCCGACCGTATTGGTCTCCTTCACACCGTCTCCAGTCTGCCCGCCCACCCCGAATCTTTCCCTGTCAACGCTCTTGTCCCCATTCCCGGAACTCCACTCGGCGACCGCAAGATGATTCCCTTCGACCGTTTGCTGCGCACTGTCGCTACCGCCCGTATCGTGATGCCCAGTACCATTGTCCGTCTGGCAGCCGGTCGCATCGCGCTCTCTGAAGAGCAGCAGATTGCTTGCTTCCAGGCTGGTGCCAACGCTGTCTTCACGGGTGAGAAGATGTTGACCACTGACTGCAACGGCTGGGATGAGGATCGTGTCATGTTCGACCGCTGGGGTTACTACCCCATGAAGAGCTTCGAGAAGCCTGGCTTCAAGGCCACCGCTAGCACCGAAGCTGCGGCACCCCCTCCTCCCCAGCCCGAGGCTGCTGCGCCGGTCGCAGCCAGCTCTTAAATATCCCGGTCGTATCTGACTGATTAGTTAGTTTTCGATGCAAAATATCACAGCCAATTCGTTTTTATTGTCTTGTAGGACATCGAATAGAAGAACAAAGGTCCAGCAAAGGTGAAGAGCACCAAGGATTCCCCTGGGGACTAAATCAAATCGGCTATTTGCCGACATCCAGATCAGGTGACCAGGCATTCTGCAGCCCTGGAGGTCCACGGGTACAACTTTGCCCAACGCCGTTCTCTGCATGAGTACCTATGTACGGAGTACGGAGCACTCCAAGATCTACGATCTCCCCGGTTTCTTCCCCATACCCCGTGTTCAATTTTCACACAGAGTTCTCGCTCTCAAGGGAGTCTCCAAAGTGCAGGGGATTCCCCGACCCAATGGAATACGATGTACGGTTGTGACTCCACTTCACACGATCAAATGCTGCAATACCGAGGCGCAGGCCGAGCGCACGCTGGCAATTCACCATCATGACCCACGTCGTGGGTGTGTTTCATTGGATAGAGATCAGTATCAATTCCTCAGAGTGCAATGATTTCCCTCTCGGTTGCAATGACGCCCAAATGACCCATCTTCACAACCGCAATAACGCGGAAATTCACATGCGGCGGTCCCCGATCGTCGCGAAAAAAGCGACGGCTGGATGTGATTTCCCATTCATTCGATGTGTAGGTTTTGTTGGGGAAGTTTGATCCACAGCGAAGATTTTACACGAAGCCTATTCACATGTACTCCGTACCGGTGCCCTCATTAGGCCTACCGATATAAATGAAAACGTCCGCCACTATGGAGGATTCCAAAATCAAGCCTCCATCATGGATTCTAAACCGCTATCCAAGGATTCTATGAGATCAACATGGCCAACAGCGCCTCGCAGTACGTGGAACTTCAACCACCATCTGCTAGATAAGCTGAATGTCCACCCCATCGACCTGAACAAGGAAGTGCCCGTCCACAGCAAAGATGAGAAACTCCCCTTCATGCCACAGTGGTCTCTCCAACGCTGGGTTCTATTCTACTCAGCCATACCACTGGTCCTACACGAGCTCTACATGCGATTCACCGGCAAGACCATCGGCCCAATCACCGCATTCAACTTCTACTTCTTCGTCTTCAACGCAACAGTCATCTACCAAGTCCACGTGCTCCGGCGTCTAGGCCACATCCACGGCTTCCTAGATGGCGACAAGCACGAACGGGACGGCATCCCAGACGTCGGCGTAGCCAAGGTCGTCACCTCACTGTACAAAACGACCGGGTCTCGACTGATCCTCTCAATCTTCCTCTCCTACACCCAAACCTCCAAACCATCCCAGATGTCCTGGCAGTGGCTGCCTCTCGAGATAGGACTCTACGGCATCGTCCTCGACTTCTGGTTCTACTGGTATCATCGTCTCATGCACGATGTGGGCTACTTATGGAAATACCACCGCACCCACCATCTGACCAAACATCCAAATCCCTTGCTGGCCGCATACGCAGACCACGAGCAGGAATTCTTCGATATGGTCGGTGTTCCGATGATGACATACTTCAGTCTTAAGCTCATGGGTCTTCCTATGGGTTTCTACGAATGGTGGATCTGTCACAACTACGTTGCCTTTGCGGAGGTCTTTGGACATAGTGGCTTGCGTGTACATTTGACTGTACCGTCCACTCTGAGTTGGCTTCTACAGTTGCTTGATGCGGATATTGTCATTGAGGACCATGATCTGCATCATCGTAAGGGTTGGCGCAAGAGCTATAACTATGGTAAGCAAACGCGCCTGTGGGATCGGATCTTTGGTACTTGTACGGAGCGTATTGAGTCTGTTCCTGGGAATGTGGACTACGAGAACCCGGCTACGATGCCTTTGTTTTGAGGATTTGGAGATTCCAAGGTTGAGCTTCCAAGATTTTTGTCCAGGTGGTCGCAGTTGAGGGATCCCGTGCACTGTATATAGATATCTTTTTTATGATTAACGTCACTAGTTTTCAGTCCAATAGGTCAGGCTATTCCACGGTACTTTTGCCTTCACTCTCGATTCTGTCTCCAGCTTTGAACTATTCCCAGGGTTTTTGGGCAGCTACTTAGTATGAAGTTCATCTTGTTCAAATTTGTTCAAGACACTCATGCTCATGTGACAAGATGGGCGTGGCATCTTCCAAGGTTGACATGATCTACACCGGGAAATCTCCCCAGGTCAGAAGTATATATCTCCACACTTGGACCCGTGGTCTGAGATCGTTTCAACCTCGGGACCATCTTCCAATATCTTGGTTTTCAATCTACTCCGAGGTCGCTTCCAAGGTTGACAAGATGAATACGCAACAGACCTAGAGGTTTAAAGTAGGTGCCCGAGTGAACGATCAGGGTGAGATTTGAATTACCTCCATAGACACGACTCGGGAGAAGGATGTTTTTCAAGACCAAAGCCTGGCATCTCAGAACAAATTCATCAATCTCAATAGAAAAACTAGAAAATTTGTGCCTGGAAATGCTCAAATTTGATCATCCCATAGTTCATGAGTGCAAAATTGAGGTAGGGCATTCACACTGTAAACCCAACGTGCCCAGGTGCACACCCATGGATACAGTGGACACAAGTATCAAAAGTTGCTCCGAGGACCTCAATTTAATGTGACCTCAAAGCTCATACTAGGTAGCCTATATGCCTTCAATGAAGGCTCTACGTCCAACATCCGCGGCATTGGGTAGTCGGATTCACAGTATGAGCATGAAAACTTTGTCGTGCCAAGTAACTCGTACACTTCTACAACTATGCATACCGCGGCAGACAAGTTTGTTTGTCTGTGTCTTTGAAAATGGGCATTCGGGGGCCAAGTGTCAAAACTTCACTAACCTCGTTGCTTTGACACATCGCTGTGTCGGGGACTGTCGCCGCGTCGGGTCTGCATCCGCCTAGCATTCGGCGAAGTCGACTAAGTTTTGCCAGGATCCGCATCTACTTCTCTCATAATGGCTCAACTCCGCGGAAGAGCATGGTGGAATATAGTCGAAGTATAACACAAATCATCAGGGAAGACAAATACTAGGCATCATAGATCTATACTCCGTAGAAGGGCATGTTCTTCCAAAACGGGCAAGTCAATTTGCTTGGCGAATCCTTGCTAGAAGAGATTCTGATAGGAGTAGCCCTTTAAGTATCCTAGTCAGTATACTAGTAGTAAGACCTACTAGCAGATGGGCTCGGGACTTTACCGAGATCTATGAATATTTTTACAATCGCTAGCAGCCCCCACTTTCCTGCGGTCAGCAACCTCGAGCGCCCTGTGCGATATGTGCACGCAGTAAGTTTTGGTTGAAGCTTAATAGCGACTATTGAATTCGGGATTCGAAGGTTACGTTTTCTGGCTCGGTTTCGGGTCTTCTGGCGCCTCGACGGAACTGTGGAAGAGGCGTTCAATAGCTCCGGGAGTGTACCGGATTTGAACGTTGTGTGTAAGTGCATAAAATATTGCCAGTCAAGCGTTGGAAACAGTTACCAATGACTTTCTCTGATTCAGGATTTACCCTTTTAGACGGAAATGTGCCTGAGCCAACCGTGAAGAAATGGGGGCTAAGAAGAGATCTAGTGGAATCCACCCCTTCTAGATCTCACCGAACACCAATGTTTCTACCAGCCCACTTCTGTGAGATGTCTCACCGGCAACGTATTGCCGTATATGCGAATAGGTCGTCTATGCATGGACACTCCGGGCTTTTTTGTGAAATGGTAAGCCTTTGGTGGCTTGCCCTCTGTCCAGATTGAGGGATTGCCGGCGCTAGGATCAACTAGCGCACAGGCCAGTTCGATCCGGGATGTGGGCGCATTGACCAAATCGCCGGGTTAACAATGTGATTGAGCCAGCCACCTGGCTATCGGTAAGGATATGGGTATCAGCCCTAAAGATTTGATTTGGATGTCGAGTCATGTGTAAGGGAGTAATGTAGTATTCGTGATGGCATACGCTAATATTGACAAATAATCTCAGTCTAAAAAATATATTCACAAGAAATTTCGAAATTGCATCTAGAAATGCGTCATTTCCCTAGGTTGTCCATTGTCGTCAGTGATCACCGAGATCTCTACCTGCTTCGTGATACCAGGTGCAAAGAACGTAGGCGATTCGGGTTGACCACCAGCAGACGTACTAGTATGGGCGCTTTGCTCATGATCGAGAATGCGGTCGACGCTACCGTGTTCAACATCGGGCTTGAACCTGCGGGTGCGGCGCGACTGGTTGGTCTCGTTTGGGTTGGCGCCGGATTTGCGACCGGTAAAGGGACGACTGAGCTCATAGGAGCGAGAGAATTTGCCACTGGACATCTTGCGGACGGAGGAGATGATCAAAGGGCGAATACAAGGGATCGACGAGGTGATGATAATGATTGTGTTCTCGATGTAGCCCCAGCGGATCAATTCAATACCGCCGCTGGCTCCGATGTTGGTGATGCTGGGTAGCGAGGTGAGTTTGGTTGTCTTGATGATGGATGCGACCATTGCGCTGGAAAGATTAGTATAATGCGTCGAAAGCGTAGAGAAGGAGACTTACACAATGCCCAGGCTGAGAAGCACAATCAAACTGATCTTGATGCGCAGTTTGAGGTTCAGGTTCCAGAATACCACGGCAGGGAAAACGGCCAGGAACAGATCCGTGGCGGAGTTGAAGCTGTTGGAATAATAGGCGAAGTTGATCACGGCCTTCAAATCGCCGCACTTTGCGGACACGGCCACGGCGGGATCCCACAGCGCAGCGACATTATCACAGATGCTGAGGGGGAGCACTGCAGATGCAGTGTTTCCGATGAATTGGATGACCAGGAAAGCCCAGAGGATACCCTGGTAGAGTTTGTTGGTGCCGAGAAGAGGAATGAGGTAGATGATGAAGGCAGAGCGCGCGAAGGTGGTACTGAAAGTGACGACGGGGATTTGGATGGCGATGTACTTCAGCACGGCTTCGAGGTCGGCGGCTGGTATCGTGGTTAAATCCTTGCCGAAGCCGTGTCTTACGCACAGGGTGAGGAAAACGGTGGAGGCGATGGCCAGGCACTGAATGAAGAGTCAATGGGAGCACTCAGTGGTGCGTTGAAGGGGATGTACCTCAGCGAAGATCATTATGCCATCGTCGACGCCAAACCGTTTGATCTTAATTTTAGCAACCACACGTAGGATTATGATCACCGCGGCGATGATCACCGCGGCCCAAACCCCCTTCTCCAGCGAGGGCCCAAGATTTGTTGACATGGTGAGGCTAACTGGACATGGTTGAAACAGGACACGGGCGATCAGTAATTAAATGTGTTCAGACATCCCAGATTATAGTTTTTTGGAAAATATTGAGATATATGCATGTTCCGGAAATCCTACCTTACTTTAGCCGAGCCCAAGTGATTTCATGGGAGTCAACCCCGGATGGGGCTTTTCTTAATTATGGCAACCTTGGGCGCCCCCGGCCGGCAGCCAATGGACATCGGGATGGCCCTGAAAGACGAAAAAATAGCAGGTGAAAAGACCATGGATTGGCCTGTGCCAACCCTGGAATTGTGCAAACTCTATTGGGGGGCTGAAAATCTATTCGTTCCCATTTTTTTTGCCTCGAGAATTCTCTCCATGTTCGCTTTCTTTTTTTTACGTGCTGCAATGCAGTCTTCTCGACCAATGAGCGAAGAATCAGCCATCGTGTTCCTTGATCTGGGTTCAGACCCACTTGAGTACAACCTTGGGACGATTTGTTAATCTACATGAATCGTGCATGCACATTTCCTTGCAATCTATTTTGGTGGACTTCTCCGAGGATATTACCCTAAGTTCTCGAATTCATACCACATGCCAGCCACCAAACTGTAAGATATTAAGGGGAGATGAATCCGATGTTCTGCTTAGGGCTGAGCCTCCGGTCCAGTGGGGACCGGTGGCGCTGGGCCATTCACTTGGCCCACACGACACAGACTGATTGGAGCTTCTCCGGCGGTGTCAGAGTGTCCAATGATACGATTGGGTCGATCGGATCTCGGCTTTACAGCAGCCATGCCTTCGGGGCCGCGAGATTCCGGTGCTTAGCAGATTCAGATATTGACTTCAGATATGATGATGATGGCAAAATTCGCCTCAATATGATCGTCATGTTCCTGACAAGCTGCAGCAATGGAAACAGTATCCATGGGAAACCCCCAGCCTTTCGGTTGCCGTCGATCCCCAATTGCCGTCGATCTCGCGTGGTCCGATGAACGCCTGCGACTCTCGGGCCAGATCCTGTCTCGGTACAACCCCGGGCAAAAAAAAAAAAAAATCCAAAATCCACAGTCGTGTCTCCTCGTACTAGACGCACTTGGGAACATCTCCGAATAGATTAAACTAAGCCTTCAACTTAACCATGAAAAAGACCGAGGGACGTTGAATGCTCTTGTATAAATAAAGACAAGGGATCGACGTTTCCTCCTCCATTTTTGATCTCATCCCTTCACACACTCTCTCCACCATGAAGGCCTGGACATTGGGTTCCCTCGTGGCTCTTGCAGCCCCAGCAATTGCCTCTGATTGCCACTGCTTGCCGACAGACAGCTGCTGGCCTGCCCCTTCCGCCTGGAATGCACTAAATTCTACCGTTGGTGGTAGCTTGGTGGCGACCGTGCCCATCGGCAGCCCCTGTCACGCCCCTTCTTACGATGCCGCCGCCTGTGCATCCCTGAAGGCCTCCTGGTACAAGCCAGAGCCTCAGTGAGTGATGTCATGAGAATTCGCCGTGCAATACTAACTGCCTTCAGCTTTGACTCTTCCTCGTCTGTGATGCAGACGTACTTTGCCAACCAGACTTGCGATCCATTCACCGCCAAGTCTAAGCCTTGCACTCTCGGTAACTACGTGAGCTATGCTGTGAACGTGTCTTCCAGCGACCAGGTCATCGCTGCTGTGAACTTTGCTCGCGAGAACAACATTCGTTTCGTTATCCGTAACACCGGTCATGAGTAAGTTCCTATCTTCAGATGGTCCCGACTCAGCACTAACAATATTGTAGCTACCTGGGACGCTCTACTGGTGCTGGCGCCCTCTCTGTCTGGACTCACCACTTGACCGATATTGAGTACCAGGACTGGTCCGGCCCCTACTACCAGGGTCCTTCATTCAAGGTTGCCGCCGGTGTGGTCGGCTACCAGATCCTCGAGGCTGCTCACGCCAAGGGCCTTGTTGTCGTCACTGGCGAGTGCCCCACCGTCGGTCTCGCTGGTGGTTACACCCAAGGTGGTGGCCACTCTGCCCTCAGCACTGAGTTTGGTCTTGGTGCCGACAACACCCTTGAGTTCGAGGTTGTTACCGCTGCTGGTAAGCTGGTCAAGGCGTCCCGTACCGAAAACGAGGATCTTTTCTGGGCTCTGAGTGGAGGTGGTGCTGGTAACTACGGCGTTGTCGTCTCCATGACTGTCAAGGCTTACCAAGATGCAACTATCTCCGGTGCCTCTCTGCAGCTTGCTGCGACCGGCATCAGCACCGATACTTTCTACGAGGCTGTTTCTCAGTTCCACTCTCTGTTGCCTGCCATGATTGATCAGGGTGTCACTGTTATCTACCAGATGACCTCCAGCTTCTTCATGATCGCTCCCCTCACTGCCTACAACAAGAACAAGGATGAAGTCAAGGCCATTCTCGAGCCCTTCACCGCCGCCCTCACTAAGCTCAACATCACCTACAAGGCCACCTACACCTCTTACGACTCTTACTACGACCACTACAACCACTACATGGGTCCTCTCCCCTGGGGTAACCTGGACGTTGCCACCTACCAGTACGGTGGCCGTCTGATGCAGCGCCAGAACCTCGTGGAGAACCACAACGGCATCGCCGATGCTCTCCGCACCATCACCCAGGCCGGTGTCATCGCCGTCGGTGTCGGCATGAACGTTTCCGCCCCCACCAACGTCTCCAACGCCATCTTCCCCCCTCTGCGCAACGCCGCCGTGACCATGCAGATCGGTCTCCCCTGGAACGAGACCGCTCCCTGGTCCCAGATGGTCGATGACCAGATGAAGATCACCAACGAATACGTGCCCCAGCTCGAGAACGCCACTCCTGGTAGCGGGACCTACCAGAACGAGGCCAACTTCCGCCAGTTGAACTGGAAGGAGACTTTCTTCGGGAGCAACTACAACCCCCTGCTGACTGTTAAGCAGAAGTGGGATCCCGAATCCTTCTTCTACGCTCTCAAGGCTGTTGGCAGTGATGCCTGGGCTGTCTCGGAGTCTGGTCGCATGTGCCGCGCTTCTACTACTACTACTCGTAGCACTGGTGCGTGCCGGGCTTAAATCTAAGTTCGGTCGGGCGTTTTAGTATTGTTTCACGACGACGCAAAAAGCGATGTCATATTTTTTCTGTGGTTGAGATATCCATCATGTATCATATATTTAATGAGATCAGCATTGTGCTTCGCGGCATAATTTTCATAAAAGAATTCACTCACATTATACAATATCTCTCTTCCGAGGTCGTCAGAAATCTTTGCCCAAATTTGAGATCAACCTCAACGGTCAGTCTCCACTGATCCACTTTGGTTGGAAGGGCTGGCTTATCGATCAATTATAAGCTTGTGTCATTCACAATTGTGCAGGTGAGCGTTTGACTCGATATTCAGACGAACCTAGTGGTCGGAGTTCATCCCATTTAGGCAAAGTGGACCTTACCCTTCCGCATGGCCAAGGCGTGGCCGTTGGCACGTGTGACGAACGCTATAGTGGACCTCGATTCAGCACATCCACCTAGGCACACGGACACTGTCGCGGGTAAATTGGATATCAGAAATATCCAGCTATCTATGACGGAACCTTTGTGACCTCGGAATTGAACGGAAATATGATAAGTGCTAATATCTATATGCAAAGTAATCTAAACAGGTTAAAGGATATCGTAATATTCTTATACACGGGTTTAAACCTCAGCGTTGCTAGCGCACGAGAAGCTGTTGCTGGAGGCATCGTCATGAATAGCCTTGCCCGAAACATATAGGCCAAGACCACACATGCATCCACCAATGAGAATGATCAGAACATTTACCACGGTGAGTGCGATCTTCCGAGGAGAAGAGAACCATTTGCCCTTGTTGATGTGCAGCCAGTACACACCACCCAGGCCATAACTGAACCAGCTAGCAAATAGAGAGCTAATCAGACTCAGCAGGTCGCTGAACACGGGAATCGCGTCGGCAATGATCCACGCGATAATCCAGCAGGTCAGAGCGATTCCAACCCACGAGCCGATGGCCACTGCGTCACGCTTGTGCATGCGATCAGTGCCTCGGAACAGGCGGACGTAGATGTACTTCAGACCAATGTGGCCGTTCACGACACCAGCACCGATGATCTGTGATTGTTAGCCAAAAGAAATAATAGTGAAAAGGAGAGAGTAGACGTACAGTGGGAATGGCGATTCCATATGCAACCTTCTTCAGGATGGGGCCGGCAGATCCAAGAGCAGGAGAGGTGACTTCCTGGCCAACATAATAATAGATGACCACAGCGGCGACGGTATAGAAGATAATCTCGAAGGTCTGAAGCATGATAAGAGCCTTGGGAAAGTCACGGGGCTCCTCCATCTCAGCAAGAAGACCGAAGAAGGCAACGTGAGCACAGTAGGCGAAGACAATGTTGGTGACGGCGCTGAAAGCACGGAACAGATCAGTGTCGATGGTAGCCTTGAGGCCTACACCACCCTGGTTCTGAACACCAACCGCAACCATCGTGATGATGACGGCAGTCAAGATACTGAAGAAGGCTGTTTTGCTTGGTTAGCGAATATCATCATTCCAATTAAGCAGGGAGACTTACACATGCACGAGATGTAGGTCATGTTCTTCATCGTACGGGGCAGAGAGCATACGAAGCAAATGACGAAGCCAACAGTCGTGAAAACCATGGTGCAAGTGCCATGCTCAGTAACAGTGTTCATCATAACACTGAAAGTCAGAATATGACTACCCATAATGAAGATCGAGAAGAGCAATTGGCCAAGACCAAACAGCTCCCGACCAAACGCTCCAAACAAGATCTCGCCTGCATCGCCCAAGTTCTGGATATGAGGGTATCGCGCACGGAATTGGTGGATTGTGTAACCGGTGTACGTGGCGAGAATACCGAGTCCGATGATGAGGACCAAAGCAGGCGCGAGACCAAGCTCGGCCAATGTCTTGGGCAAAGACAGGACACCCAGTGAGACGGATTCGGCAATCATGACTAGATACTGTTAGTGTTGGTTCTTGAAAAATCGTATGCGCCACTTACACATTCCCGTCTGCCACCACTTCATGGTCTTGTATTTGACCTCTGCACCCTCCTCATTTCCAAAGGCATCTTGATATTGTGGTGCCATGTCATAGTCCAGCTTCTTGTCATCGTACCCGGGCTCAGAATCAGCCCGGTCACGCTGCGGTGTCACTCCATCGTAAGTCATGATATCGACGCGTGGAACTGATTAAGGAAAGACAATGCTAGCACAAAGCAGAAAGAAAGAAACGAAGAGAGCGAGCCAGCACAGATCTATGTGTGAAAAAAAGTCAAAAATCCCCAGCCAAGTGGATATTAATGTCAACCGAAACGAGACCCCGCGACAGCTAAGTTGGGGCTCGGAATCGTGGGGCCCGGGACTTCTCAAAGCGGGTACTATCAGTGGCAATCGAGTTTCTATTGCATATTCACATTATGAAGTTGTGTGCCCATGTAACATTTGGATGCCGGGTTAGGATCAATGACAGGAATTAAGCGTCCGCCGCCCCACTTCGGCGCCCAGAATGGATTTCCGCGGGACCCGCTTTCTGGGGTTACAGCCAATCAGCTTGTCGGCTCGGTGTTCTATTACACAACAAGAATCGCCGGACTCGCGTGGCGGCCGACAGTAGCCGCTTATTCCGTCGAAGGGCCAATCCGAAGGGCCGATTTCCTTCGACTTTTACTTAATGCCAAGGGGCTTTATAATTGTATATATGGGGTGATCTTGCTTCCTTTTGAAATGCCGGATAGGATCAAGTCCCGAGTCCAAGGGGTTCTTCAGGCGAATCATTCAGACGGTCAAGTCCAGGGCTACCGTGGTCAGTTTGACATAAGGCGTTTGCCACTGAAAAATTCAAAATCTGTTAAGCCTTGCCAATTCTTGGCTACCGCTTAAACGCGATCAGGCACTCGGCTTTTACGGCTGACCGGTCGGGCTACGGTCAGTGAAGAGGTCAATGCGTCTGGCTTTTATGTCATTAAAACCGAATTCCAGAGCTCCAAGATTAGCCGAGTACAAGTTGGAACCCGCGAGTATCACTCGTAAGTTCAATGGGGCACTCCAGAGTTTGCTGCTCGTATGTGATGATGTTCCCCATATCCCCAGATTTCATTATAAATAGTGAGACCATGACTTCAGCCTTGGTCAACGTATAACAAATAGAAACGTCACTTGGGGTACGACTCTCCACAATCCCCTGAATCCCCAACATTTCCCCAAATGACCCCGGGATACAAGAAAACCAAACGTAAGCTCGAGTTAAACTCCCGAGTCGTCCTCCTCCACACTCAATTCATTCTGGAACGCACTCCAGTTTTCGCAGTTGCTGTGGAGATTGTCGTAGTTGATCAATGGCTTGATCTCATTATACCGTTCCACGAATTGGATAGCGAATCCTTCTTCGGTGTGCCACCCAATATGGCAATGCATTAACCATGCACCGGGATTATCCGTCTTGAAAGCAATGACCAGGTGTCCATTCTCCGGTAACATAGCAGTGTCTCGCTTGGGGGGATTGCTTAGCGTGGTGCCGTCACCTGAGTACGTTCCCGACCCTTGAGAAATGATGATGAAGTCATGACCGTGCAGATGGATCGGGTGTGGCACGGACATTGTCGTCTCGATGACAATATAAGTCCATTTGCTTTTTTGGGGAAGCTCAACAACGCCACTGACATTCGCCCAGCTGTGGTGGCCACGGTAGACTTCCAGAAGCGTTGGGTCTTCCCAATCGACGTGCATGGAGGTCGAGTTGAGCTTCCAGCGGTAAAGACTACCCCCGTTCTTGCCTAGTGAGACAGGCTCCGACTTGTTGTAGAATGCATTAGAGACAGTCTCGCTGACTATCGGGACTAGATCGGACATCGCCTCATCGTCACAGCTATCTGTGTAGCTGTAGCCTATCGTGGAGGGGGTTGAGGGAGAGTCCCCGTAGTACACAATGCCTTTGATGTTCTTGGGATTCGCGTTCTCCGAGCAGGCATTTTGGGGAATGGTTCGGAGCCAGAAATTCTTGGCCACCGAGACCTGGTCTGCTTTGACAATGACGTCGTATCGTTGTCCTGGATCGTTAGTCTCATTCTACTCTTGCGTGTGAAGATCCCTTACCCATAGCAATATTCAGCACAGTTGTCTTGTATGGCTCAATGGGAACAAGGTCATTCGCAATAACGGTCATGGTGTGATTGTCAATCGAGAACTTGTAGTGCGTATCGCAAGCCGCATTGACTAAACGAAGTCTGTACGAAGTTCCCGCCGTGAAGGAGGTATTGAAACGGGTGCCAGTCTGATTGAGATTACCATCGTATCCGAAGACGTTGGTTCCATTGATCAAACCAGAATCAAGAGTTGGGGGACCGTCCGTCTGGGCTGACATGAACAGCTGGTCCACAGTGTTGAGATCCCAGTCATTCATGATAATTACGCCCTTGTCCTCATCATAGTTTGCACTAGCAGGCCCGTGGATGATAATGCCACCAAAAAGGCCTTCCCAGGCTTGCAACCCAATGTGAGAATGGTACCAAGTTGTGCCGTACTGCATCGCACGCCACTTATAGGTGATTGTATTGTTAGGCGCAAGAGGGCACTGAGTGATGGAGACAACCCCATCGTTTTGGTTTGTCCAAAATTGACGAATGCCATGGAAGTGTATACTCGTCCCGTTTTGCAGGGAGTCGGGAAGGCTATTGGTAAGATGGACGACAACCTCGTCTCCCCAGTTGGCTTCAATGGTGGGACCGGGGATGGATCCGTTGATAGCAATGGCGGACCTCGAGCGGCCGTCAGGCGCAACTGTCAAGTGTTCCAAGTTGAAGTAATACTCGCGAGTGACATTTGTTTGGGGAACGGTGGTTGTGTAGTCGGTGTTGATATCGTAGTCGCACCATTCACTGCGCGTGGTTGCCGTATTGCCAGAGCATGCCGACGAGACATCACTCGAAGTGGAAGGGAGGGCAGTAGAAAGAGAAGACGATGGAATGATTTGAGAAGACTTGGTCAGACTTGCAGCAATCGCCTTCGCAGCCAGACTGCAGATCAGGTAAGTCGCGAAGACGGGCTTCATGCTGCTGCGGTGACTTCACGGCAATTGAAAAGAAATTGAGCTCATTTAACGAAAGACAGAATTTGGACTGTGAGAGATATGCTAAAATGAGTGTGCGGTATATTGGAAGCATCAAAAATGGCTCTTTTAAACAGCTTAAATGTCTATAGGACCGGCTACAGGCTGTCACAGTCACTCAAAGCTTATGCAGTCATATTTGCTTATCATTCCCCCTTTCTCTTAGGAGCTCCGTGTTGCGTACGGATGGTATACAGTAGGAGATTTGACCAGTCGAATCAAAGACTAGGTAATTGCAGGTTACGCGGCCCTTCGACCCCATACCCAGCCCGCAACCAACAATTAGACGGTGCCTGCATCGGCTGGCAAGGTTGTACCGTGGGTTTTCGACACGGGCATTAAGCTAGCAGATCCGATTGCAGATCTTGTAGCTAATAATGGAATTAGTGTGCTCGTGGCCCTGGCTCTTATCATGCTGTATACTAGTGTAGCCATTGCCTCGGAATGATCAGGTAAATTATTGTCCGCTTCCTGGTACCTCAAACTCGGAGCTTCAGCACTGAATTTTATCTAGTACCACTGTCATTATATCCTGTCAGAAGATGCCATGGAGAAGGTCAACAAGGTGCAAATCCGCGGGTTTTACTCCCGGGCCACGAGCCCCACCAGGCTAAGATCGTCGGATTGGGAAAAGATCACTCACCAACGTCAGCTCCGCGCAAGCATGCAACTATGTATTAGTTCTATTTTCATACCATATTCTTTTGAGGAAACTCTTGTCTGCCTTGAGCAGGTTAGTGTGATTTCGGGCTTTCTGGGGCTATGATTGAACCCGAGAGTTCCATAGGGCCCAATAGCGGAGACGGCCAACGGATGAGTCCATTCAATGTGAAGACGTGGACATTAATTCAAGCTGTACTCCGTAGTAATGTTTTGGCTATAGCGTTGTCGATCGGATGATGTGCCTACCTTGTCAATTACGAACATTCCCTCTCCTTTAATTCGCGTTGTTTTCCTTTCTCAGATTCCAACGTCTCGCCTTCAATTGTCTTCACCAAGTCACAATGTGGGCAAAGTCATTTGGCATTTGCCTTCTTGCTCTGGGCCCAACTGTATCCGCAGGAATTTTGGGCCAGCGCAGCTCTGATTCATTCAGTCTCTACGCATATGGAGATAGCATTGGAGGCCTCCCATTGTATTATGCCGATGGTAAGTGACCTACATCCGAAGCTATATCACTCCTCCATGCTTACTGTGAAAATTAGGAAACGCAATAATTGCCAACCATACACCCGATAATGCAACAGATGTCGGCCAGGTTGCTTGTAAGCACCGAAGCCAACTCTTCTGTGTCTTTCTCTAATCTTCATGCAGTCACCCCCGGGTCATCGGGGCCTCTAGTCGGCAACCCGGCCAACGAGACCGATACCAGTGGAAAGAGGAGCGGTTCAGGTTCTTTCAAGAACCAGCAGCTGTTTGTTCCAAGCGCCAATTCTACGGACCACCAGGTTGGCTTCACTGCGAGCGCGTCGTCAGACCAGGTTACCTCGAAATTTATATGGTATGGCCACTTCCTTCTGGTGGAGACGGATGATGGTGAATACACCTCGTTGTTCTATGCCAAGAAGAACAACTCCCAGGAAGGTGCATATTCTCTGCAGTGGAACATCACCGATGACGATGAGGACGGCGAGTACTACTCTGTCTCGATGAGATCCATTGCACCATCGAACGCGTGAGTGGCCAAGGGTGTGACAGCCAGGAATTCATTAGGTTTTCCCGCGTGTGTATTGAGTCAAGGGTATCGCTTCTCTGTATCCGGGCAGGTTATTCGAAAGGTATATTCGCATATACCTGAGGGTAGATTGGCACGATCCACCGGGGCAACATCATGGTAAGATTCTGTCACCAATATCCTCAAATTTGTTCAATGGCGAACAGCCAGCTGGAATAATTTCTCGTTCTCTTTGCCTATGTACCAAGTTAGCTGCTATAATTGCGTGTCAGTGCATCTGAGTAGTCAATGGCTCACAACAAGTAAGTCCCACCCTAGCAGTGAGGATTGCATGTCCCATTGGGGCGACTGGTGCTTGCGTAGAGGAAATCTTATTTTCCATTGGATTATCCGGAGATGGGGTTATCACAATACGAATAGTCGATGGAACGATCAGGTCTCCCATTCCATCTACGGCGACTGCCTCTCGTGCCGGCATGTGATCGGATCCATGCCCGGCGTCCATGTGAGCCCCTGAGACCGCGGCTAAACTCGCTCGCTGCTCATTCGGGGTTGTGATTTCTTTGGCGAGATTTCTTCGGCGAGTATTGCGAGGACTGCCGGCTCGGCACGACCTCTGGCTCGTGGGACATCTGTGGCGGTCGAATGGGTTCTTCGGGGGATTTTTAGGGGCATATCAGTCGATTCCCCTCTAGTAAGAATAGGTATGGAGTAAGAGTGTGGGAGGAAGACGGGTCATTTCCATTCAGTGATGCAAGAGAGGCAAAGAGCAGTGCACAAGAGGATGGATCAAACCTTGAAGTCCTTCCAGAGCCGTAAATGATTTTATTAAAGCGAAAGAGTTTGGTGTGATAGGGCAGGATAATTTTCTCATGAAGAAACAGTAGGAATCCGGCTATAGTAGAATCAATGAAGCATGGAAAAGACGAAAAGAAAGTGGTGTTGTCGATCCACGGTTTTGAAATTTTGCTGGAGCCTGAGGGTTCCGTGCTCATAGGGTCTCTGTGGCCTCCAGAGCTCGATCTAAGGAGTATGCAAATGAAGCTGTTCTGATATTTCTGTATATTTATCATGTCCCGCTAAGCTAACGAGGATCGGAGCAGTCTCTCCATCTCCTGCAGATTTCCAGGCTTGGAAGTCACACTAGACATCAAGTACAAAATGTTACCGAGGACACGCGAGTGAACATTGAATTGATCACCGCCAGCTGCTAGCTTCTGCTGGAGCCCCTTGGCAGCGTTGGAGGTGTAGCCACCACCCTCTGCATCGCGAAGCGAGATACTCAATACGGTTCCAATGGCGAAGACACTCTCCACAGAGTCCGCGCAGGACAAGTCTTGAAGCAGGCCCTGGGACCAGACACTCCAAACATTCGGAGCTGACGACTGATTCGAAGTGTTGGAGGAGGTTCGCCAGTCTTCGCGGTACTTGTCCCATGATCCGTCGGTATCGAGCTTCGCCATGGTCTTCAGAGAATCCACGGCGACTGTGCATCCAACGGCGTGGGCGGTGTAGCTGTGCCCATGGAGGAGGGCATCGCTCTTTTCAGGGCTGGAAAATGCATTGAAGATCTCCTCGCTGGCGACAGTCGTGCAAAGAGGGATAAGACCTCCAGTCAGAAGCTTGGCATTGACAGCGACATCGGGATAGACTCCAAGGAAAGAGGCAGAAGTTCGTCGACCGAGACGGTAAAGTCCGGTGAATACTTCATCGAAGATGACTGGCAAGCCGGACCACGAAGGGGATTGCTTCGGAGCGGGCGCGTTATCGGAGAACAGCTCGGGGTGGTCGCGGACCACATCCGTCAAGCATCGCTGGAACAGCGGGTCACTGCGGACGGAAAGTTAGTAAGATCCAACCTCAAAGAGACCTCGAGAGTCGTGTTGGTGTCTTCATGCTTACCAGAAGAGCATTCCACCAGCACCGAGAATCACAGGTTCCAAGATCAGAGCACCAAACTTCATGCCCTGGCGCTGAACAAGATCCTCAATAGTGCGGCGAATATATTCCTTGTAGCGAAGAGCTGTCGCAGAATTCTGACGCTTGGCCAAGTCGAAGACCGAATCCAGAGAAGAGAACTCGGCATCCTCGCCGAGATCTTTCTTCATCTCGTTTGGAACTTCAACCTTCCAAGCCCCATCGACCATCTTGACGAGAGGGAAGTCGAACCAATGACCACGGCCGCGGTACCACTCAACCTTCTGATTGAACGTCGAAGGCTCCGAACAGTCCATGACACCAATCGTATCGCCATGGTAGCTACCCTTCAGTCCCAAAATGCCGATCTGCTCCTGGCTTGCGTCCCAGCCGTACCGGTCGCAAGATGCACGGAGACCCATTTTCACGGCGACCTCCATTCCTGTGCTTCCATTGTCTGTGTAGAACACCTTTGTAAAACGTGGATTATCCAGTGTCTTCAGTAGATCACTGGCTAGCGAAAGCGCGGGCTCGTGAACCGCGCCTGCAAACATGACATGGCCATACCGACCGGCGGCATAGGCCGCTGAGAGCGACAGATCAGGGTTTCCATGGCCCAATCCCTGAGTCCACCAAGACGCTGAGCCATCGAAAGTCGGGCGGAGTTCGCTCTCTGACTTGGTCTCGCTGGAGCCAAATGTTTGGAAATAGTCGTCGTGTGCGGAGTCGATCACGGTAATGTCCTTGGCTTTCATCCCTTGGTGCTGGGTGAAGGGGTACCAGATCAAGTCGCGGGCACGATCCGCCATCTCTTCCAGGCGCTCAATGCGCTTGACATTTTTCTCGTTCATGCCTTCGAGGAGTCGAAGGATCTCCGATTCCTTGGCAGACTTTTGGTAGTAGTTGAGCATGGCTTCCTCATCTCTCAATTGAGAGCTGGCATCCAACTGGTCCGGCCGAGGAGGCGGTGCCGGTAAGGAAACTAGAGGAATACTCTTCCCCTTGAAGTAGTCTCGTAAATATTCATGATTCTGATAGTATTCGTCCCGGAACAGGACAACGGATGAGACGTCATAGCCGCGGAGGAGCAACGACTCGTAAGCAGAGATGGAAGAGGAAATACCCCCCAAGCGGGAGTCCGCAACGAGGACAATCGGCAAACGAAGTGGCCGATACAAGTCTGCCTGGGAGTTGCCATTGGGACCGGGAGAATGCACCCCGCCGGCCGTCTCAACCAGGGCGAAGTCAATGTCCGACCGTGCCCAGCCGGAGAGAGTTCTGTGTATTGACGCGAGAAGATCATCATCGCGTGGAATCTGTTTCAATATTAATTTTCTGACTTGAGTTATTGAGGGGGTTCGTACCACTTTGTCTTTGGCCGCCAAATGCGGGCTGACTGGGTCATCAAACTGGTAGAGGCACTTGGTGAGGGTCCCAGCCCCGAAGCGCCTCAAATGCCTGCGGAAATCAGCAATTGACACTCAAATCCCACCAAAACAAGACTCACCGGTCATCGGCATCATCCAGTGCACCCGTTGAGACAGGCTTGAGGAACGCCGCTTGCTGGTTCTGGCGTTGGATGGCATTACACAACACCGTGGAGATGATGGTCTTTCCGACATCGGTGTTCGCACCGTAGACCTGATGGGCGCGCAGACTGCGCCATAACGCAGCACCGACGGGAGGCATGTTGTGAGGGAGAGGAGTTGAAGCTCAGTCAACAGTCGGATTGGGTTTCCCGCTACGTCAACGAATCAGTGACTCCACTCAACTCCACACGCTTTCACCGAGGTTATTCTGGTCCCGTTGAGTCCCTCAACGCCTTTAGCCTTCGACTTCCGACTTTCGGCTGGCATTGGAAGATCCCGATGACCGTTGGAGCATTCGAGTTGAGCATTGAGCATTGATCGGTGACGAACCCACACTGCAGCCTCAATTTGCAGCGGAGCCACTGTCAATTTAAGTGCGGGATGATCATTGGTCTCAGGAACCAGGAACCAGGAACACATCTGCAGAACAGCACTCCCCGGGGGCCCCCAGATCTCATGAGTAACCAAGCCCTGGGAACATCGATGAAGACATCGTCGTCACCCGCACCCATGACCCTCGTTGACTCATTCTCCGCCGCCTTGGCGCACCGGGAAGCTAAATCAGCGCGTCGAAGACTGACTGTGTTACCCCGAACAGCGGTGGACTTCTCTTCCAATGATTTCCTGTCTCTGTCGACGTCTTCTGCATATCGCGAGCGGTTTCTCGCATTACTAAACAACACTCCGCCATCATTTCCGTTCGCCAGTGGCGGGTCCCGGCTGCTGGACGGGAATTCGGCATACGCGGAAGACCTCGAGAAATTCGTTGCGAATTTCCACCAGGCCCCAACGGCACTACTGTTTAATTCAGGGTATGACGCGAATGTGGGTGTGCTCTCTTGTGTACCACAGCCCGGAGATGTGATTTTGTATGATGAGCTCATCCACGCAAGCGCGCATGAAGGCATGCGATTGTCGCGGGCGGGACCTCGCAAGATGTTTGCGCATAGCTCGCCTGCGGGACTGAGGGAAGTTTTGCTGGCTCAGATGTCCGAAGATCCGAAAATCGCGAACGGGTCGCGCAATGTATTCGTGGTCATCGAGTCCATCTATAGTATGGATGGCGATGTCGCTCCCATCAAAGAATTCATTGCGGTCGTTGACGAGTTCCTACCGCATGGGAATGGGTATTTCTATGTCGACGAAGCACACTCGACTGGCGTCTTTGGTCCGAAGGGGGCTGGGGTCGTCCAAGAGCTAGGTGTGCAAGAGCGAATGTTTATCCGGGTACACACTTTTGGCAAGGCACTTGCGAGCCATGGAGGTATGTCGATCTCCCAGGACTTGGAAAATAAACTTATGACTGATCTGAACATAGCAATGGTTCTCTGTGGCCCTGAGACAAGGGAATATCTCATCAATTATGCCCGGAGCTTGATATACACGACGGCGCTGGGTTTTCCCTTCCTGGCATCGATTCGCGCGACATATGAGCTTCTTCAGATGGGTGAAACTGTATCAGTAAGTTGACGGCAGATTAAACTGCTCCGTTTCAGGTTGCTCACAATCGCCATAGCTACAGCGCCGACTTCAGCAATTGATCAGTCATCTTCGTCAACAGCTGGCTGCTCTGCGCACCTATGAATCCGTCATGTTTGAAGTCGACCACTTCCCCACTTCTCCAATCATCTCGCTTCGAACCTCGCAACCTCGGCAACTAGCAAGCGTCTGTCAAGCAAAGGGCTTTGTGGTGCGTGCCATCATGCCGCCAACTATACCCGAAGGCAAGGAACGAGTACGCGTGTGCTTGCATTCAGGAAATACCGAGGCGGAAATTGATGGGCTAGCTCAAACAATTCAATCATGGTTGGACCAGAGCTCTAGGCAGGCGTCGAAGTTATGAAAAGTTACGACTCAAAATGGCATATGATTTCAAAACAGCCAGCATCAAGTTCAATCATCGGTGCTCTGGCCTATGATATTCTACCAGTGGATTCTGATACCAGGTCCCTCAAACGAAACACCTTCAATGGTTGACCCCTCGATCTCCCCTAGCCTTCCTCTCATATTCAGATCCAAGAACTCCCTACAAGCCCTCTAAGGTCGGACTAGCTTTAATCTCTTACCTAGACATCCACACTGGCCCAGAAAGACTAGAGCCCAAGCCAGTCCTGAGGTCCAGCCCAGTGATGGGCTCTAGGCTGAGGGTTGGTGCGCGACTGTATGCCTAATATTCCGAAACAAGACAGCTTCTTCCTGTGGATGTGGGCTCGGAGGTACTCCATGTCTAATCTAAGGCCTTCAAAGAATCAATGATGATTCGAACACAGATAAGTTCATAAGATTGATACAAACGCAGAACGCCCGAGCATGCATTCACGCGGAAAGTTGCCCCCAGAGCGCGATACCCAGCAGAGACCTGAGACCAATCGTACCGTTCTCTCCAATGACAGCGAGCCCCAGCCTCTCAAATCTTCCCAATCCCGAATATGTCGTTCATAGACTGTCTTCTATGACATACAGGGGCATCATTGGACAGCATCGGCATCAGCGGCGATCTTTCGAAGCTCATCCAACACCAGACTCCATTTGGCATCAGCGACATAGTAGTCAAGGATACGCGTCTTGAACTCGTCTCTCGTTCGATTCCGAACGGAAAAAGTCAATGTTTCTGCCTTTGTCAAAATTGATTTTGCGTCTAGTCCGTTGCTCCCCTTAGGTCGAGGTGGGTTCCCTGATGAATTGACGTCCAAGGTTTTGGACTGAGGAAGTGAGGAAGACATTAGCCCCCCCCCCCCCCGGGAACATCTCACGTAGTGTGTGGATGCTCTGAGTCTGGTCGGTGCGACAAACAGAGCATCCAAAGAATCACAGACAGACGAGGAGGTACAGGCTCATCAACTGCCATGTAAATGCATTGAAGCCTTCGGACATTTTCCGATGCGCATCGAGAGGGGCAGGGTGTGGTTTCTCATCATCAGTGTCAATAATAAGCCTTCGTCGAGCAGGCATTCAATGGGCCTGTATAGGAGAAGCGCTATATCTTTCGTTAGAAAAATTTCTCCCAAACGAAAAGGGTAGCTTTACCATTATGTGGATCATCGAGAACCCCATCTCTTGGACTTAGGCACAATATGAGCTGCCCTCACTTCACTGCTTGGGAACGAAAGTCCACATCCGCCTGGTACATCTCTCGATGCTGCAAGATACCCTTGCCAAGGGGTAAATATGAAAGGTGTTATGTGAGACCCCTCTGGGGGAAGACGCACGATAGGGAACGTTTCCCGATTCCCCTTCGTGCTGCCATCGATCAGTGTTCAGTTGACCCGTTATCACGCAGCGGTAGTTGTAAAGTTGTGAACATCCTGACCAGGTGACCGTGGCTGCTCTCTAGATTGACAACCTTGTAACTCACTCTCTCATCTCTTCACTTTTCTCTCTCTTAAATTTCCCTCTCCTTGCTTTCCCCTCCTGCGCCCCCCTCTCTCTCAATCAACTCTTCTCTGGCTTCTTGCTGCCAGGAGTAGTCAAGTCAATAGTTGTCTCGTAGCTGGAGATGATCCTTGAATGCAGAGTCACGCTTTCGAGAGATGACTGTCTCGTCGTGCTCATGGCGCTATGAATTGGACTCTCGACAACGGAGGATCTCTTTGATTAGGATTTCACTATTCAGCAAGGTAAGGACAATCAAGTAAAACCTCTGACTGAAGAACTTACTCACTCGGTGCAGTAATTTTGATGAAAAGGTTTGGGAAAACATCGTATAGTTGCCAGTCAGAAGATGCCTCATTCCAAGATTCATGTCCCTTGCGAGCGAGGTTCTGTCGGCCTCAAGGTGGGACTGCAGGCCGTAACCTGTTCCCGCACAGGCGTTTTCACCGATGGCTTGCTTGACTGCGTCGAACGAGGATTGACATTCCGGAGTCCACACCCACTCTTTTTCCACCCATCTTTTGGGAACGGTTTCTTGATAGGCTTCAAATAGCCAAGTAAGAACTGCAAATAAGCCGCTTTGCACCGCCTTATCGTAGCGAAGAGACTGATTTTCATAATCTCGGATCTTGGTCGGAGGGCTATTCACTGGGCACAACGGTTAAACGCAGTTTCGAAGTACATTCCTGTTGTGGATGTTGTTGTCGTTGTTGCTCGAAGTGCAGCTCCTTGGGCGGCGTACTCACATCGGGGGCGCTAATCGATCGCTGTTTCCAACGTCGCCATGTCGAAGGAGGAAATTAATTCCATAGAACGGTCAGAGACCGGGAAACAGCTTCCAATGTCACTTGCCACACCTGGGCAGTGGTTCTAACTTGAGATATTACAGCTGTTTCTGGTGGTTCAAGTTCTAAGACTACCGGATTGTATCCATGTTGGCAGGGTTACCTTTGTCCTGCCAGCTTAGTTATGGGACCGGTTTCTCTGCTTCTGCGGGGCACGTCTGGAGCGCGCGGACCTGCCAGTGGAGCCAACTGGAAGGGTTGTTCTTCTTCCGCCAGTACAAGAACGATATCTGTGAATATCTCGTCGTCGCTGATAGCTGGGGTGAAAGGAACGACGTGAGCTGATGCGGCCATTTTAGGAGACGTAATAACAACCCCAAAATGGAACATGGCGTCGGTAGGGGTCGAGCCTGCTTGGAGGGCGGACCAATTCTGACAGCTGCCAGCTAGCCTGACTGTAGAATTCGGTGATAAATGGAAGACTGAAAATAAAACAGATAACGAGACGATCGGCAGGGAGTCTGGAAGGTAGCAGATTGTTGTACTAGTCAATAGCTATCACAGGAAGAGAGAGCAGATAACTAGTTAATATTCCAAAAGAAAGACATCGGCCCCAGGGGAGAGAGCGCATAACTAATTAATGCTCCAAAAGAACCTTGGAAAGGGAGAGAGAGAGAGAGAGAGAACTGAGAGCTACACTAACCAGGGCATGACGGTCTTAACACAGATGGGTGGGGGTTAATCTAGAAACATCCTCTAACCCTATCAGGATGCTATATGACCGTTTCCAGGGCATCATCAATTGATACTTACTTCAATGCATTAATACTGGCACAATCATTCCTTTGGATAGTTGTGAAGCCATCTGAAATTGTTCAAGTCATGTCATTCGGTAACTGTCTAAAATGAACGAAGATCACTAGCGATCTTCGGATGCAAAATATGTTTGATCTAAACAAGAAAATGCTAAAATGATCTGAAATCTAGACCATGGATTGCTCGACCTTCATGTCGCTGGCCTGGGTGTCAGACCGATCCATAGTGTTGTAGCGGCTGAAATCTCTCAGTCCACGGCGCTCACCACCAGGCTGCTCGCCCTTCTCGGCAGCCTTGCGCGCCTGGCGACGGAAGTAGACACGCTTGCACCACTTCCAGCTCTCAATGCCAAGGAAGAACAGCACAGTCTCAACAAAGACAATACCCCATTCCCATGAGATACTGCTGTGCTTGAACACGCTGTGGTTGATAACAGGGATGTACAGGATGGGGAAAGCAAGGACAAAACCAGTCATGATTCCGAAGAAGAGGAACTTGTTGCGCCAGATGTCGTGCATCCACTGGGTGAAGTAGCGCTTCGAGTCGGGTTGCATTTGGAAGAAACTGCGGCGGAGGTTCATCATCTCCCAGGCGAGGAATAGGGCGAACCAGGTCATGCAGGTGAAGGTTGTTGCACGAGCTCGGAAGACAGTGTCGCAAGTGTAGGGTTTGTTGGGGTCGTTGTACTGGGTGTTACAGCCTGTGGCGAGGTTTCCATCGCCCCAGCGGAACATGACGAGTGCAAAGGCTGACAGACACAGGGCAGCCATCCAGACTCCGTAGACGAGGGTGTCGATGATGATTTCCCATGTGAAGATACCTTGCTTCTGTTGGATTGTTAGTCTCTTGCAGGGTGAACTGGATTAGAGGTAAACATACACTTTGGGGAGGGCGGTCCATAACTTCCGGAGCGGCAATTTCCATTCCAAGTCCCATGTCGGGAAGACCGGAGGTAATCATAATGATCCAGATAATTTCAACAGGAGCAATGGGGAAGACGGACTGGTTACTTTCGTCCTTGAAAGCAAGACCGATGAGCAGAGTCAAAGCCAAAGCAACGTTCTCAGCCAGAAGATGCAAAACGAACTTCTGGATGTTATCGAAGATACGACGACCTTCTTCGATACCGTTGATGATGGAGGCGAAGTTGTCATCGGAGAGAACCAGCTCGGAGGCATCCTTGGCCACATCAGAGCCGTTCTGACCCATAGCAATACCCACATCGGCACGCTTGAGCGAGGGGGAGTCATTGACACCATCACCGGTCATGGCGACATAGCGACCGCGACGGTGCAGAGCATCGATCATACGGACCTTAGTGTTAGGCGCACAGCGAGCAATTACCAATGGCAGGGTGGGCAAGCTGTCGATTTCGTCTTCGGTCAACCTGTCGAATTCGGATGCTGTCATAACCATGGCATCCGCGACATCCTTGGCGATCATATCCATGTTTGCAGGGATGATTCCAACCTGGGCGGCAATAGCCCGGGCAGTACCCGGGTGATCACCGGTGACCATGTGCACAGAAATGCCAGCCTTGTAACATTGAGCAATGGCGCCGGCTGTCTCAGGACGAGGGGGGTCGTAAAGACCGATGAGACCGTAGAATGAGAGGTTTTTCTCAACCTCCTCTCGGGGGAGAGGGTCACCACCTTCCGCTGCCGGTGAGGTGTTTTCCCGACCGGCCAACGCGAGGACTCGAAGTCCTTCCTTGGCCAAGGCCTCCATGTTGTTCAAGATATCGTCTTTAATGTCATCATCAATAGGGACAGGCTCTTTATTGGCCTTCCATTTGATGGTAGTGCAGGCTTCCAGGACGCGCTCCACAGCACCCTTGGTGAAAATCATCTCACGCTTGTGCTCCGAACCCTCCTGGCGTTTAGCAAAGATGACAGACATCTTCTTGACGCTCGAGTCGAAGGGGTACTCTGCCTTCTGAGCCCAGGTGGGCTTCTCGCCCTTGGTCCAGCGGTCCAGACCCCAGTTGAATCGAGATGCGAAGACTTGAATAGCGATATCGGTAGGCTCACCTCGAGCTTGCCATCCATCGTTAGCTGTCTCGTGGATGTGAGCCAAGTTGGCCATGGAGGCCACATCGAGATAGTCCTTGAGAGTGTCGTTGTCTTTCAGGAGATCATCAGGAGACGCAACCTCGCCGAGATTATCTTGTCCCACCCGGATGGGTGGCTCGGGCACAAGGCTCAGATCACCATCGCGAGGGTTCAAAGGCTCATTGGAAGCACCGACAGAGTATGTACCCAGTGACGGAATCCATGCACGCTTAGCAACCATACGGCCCTGTGTGAGAGTACCAGTCTTGTCGGAACAAATGTTGGTGACAGCACCCAGCGCCTCCAGAGAATCAAGCTTCCGAACAATGACGTTTCGCTGAACCATCTGCTTCGTGCCAACGGCCATAGTAATAGTCAAGACAACAACCAAACAAGCTGGAATCATAGCCAAACCAGTGGCGACCGCATAAATGATGACTTCACTATCTCCGCGCCAATTGTTTGAGCCAGCGACAACAATCGCAAAAATCACAGCGATGGCAAATAGGAGAAGAGCCAGCTTGGACAGCTTGCGTTGCAGCGGTGTTCCAACATTGGTACCCAAGAACCGACCAATGGCATCGGTGGTTGTCAAAGTCCAGGCCTGGACGTACCATCGCTTCTTTGTCTCGCCCTCGGGTCCGCGCTTGACGGGTCGACGCTTGGAATCAGTTCCGCGGAGAGCCTGTGCAATGGCTCCGATTTCGGTGCGCATACCAGTTCCGACGACAACACCGCGGGCTCGGCCTCGGGTTACGGTTGAGGAGCTGTAGGCGATGTTCAGTCTATCTCCGGGGCCGGTTTCGACATCGAAGATGCTTTCGGCTTCTTTCTGTACTGGTAGGGATTCGCCGGTCAAGAGGGCTTCATCGGTTTCGAAGTTGAAGGCTTCAACAAGGCTGTGAATTTGTTAGTTTTTGAAGTCCAGGGTATGTATATATCACGGGGCTAGGTATCATACCGGACATCGGCGGGAACAGTGTCTCCGACCTTCAATTCGACCATGTCACCGGGAACGATTTCATTTGCGGCAACAGTCGAGGTCTTGCCATCACGGGAGACTACACCGGTGGGGGAACTGAGGGATCGCAACGAATCCATGGTTTTCTCCGCTGCGTAGTCCTGGTATACTCCCACGACAATGTTCAAACCGATGACGGCAGCAATGAAACCACCTTCAATCCACGACTGAATGCCGAAACTGACGGCCATAGCAATGATCAGGACCTATCATCGTTAGCGTTTATCACTGACTCGCCTTCGCTGGGGACTCACCAGCATCATGGCATTGGCGATCTGCCGGATGACGATCTTGGCTAGAGAAACACCCTCATCTCCTTCGAGCATGTTTTCGCCATATTTCTCCAGTCTTTGTTTGACTTCCGCCGAGGTCAATCCATCATCGGAGTTCGTGCCGAGCTCTGTGATAACATCTTCAAACGAGAGACTATGAGCAGGTTGTGAGAGGGGTTGTTGGGTGGTGTCGGCAGGAGAGCCTTTCTCTCTTTCCTGCGACATATCGGTGTGAGTTGTTCTAGTTGAGCTGTGAGGGTTGTCGAATAATATACTTTCTATGAGGCTCTAAGGGGGCGTCATATAGAAGGTATCCGCGAGAGAATGTGAGTCCATACACCAGAATTACCTAAGTAGTTCTTTGTACCCGTTTTACAAGCTTCGTCGTCTATTCTGGGGGGATGTCTGGAAGTATAAATAATGCCAGGTTTGGGCCCGATGGCGAAAACGCGACCGGGTAATCGGTCTGGGAGTCGTTCGGTTGCAATCACCCAGGGTAGTGAAGTCTGGGGAACCAACCTGGTCATCGCCCGTGTCGCCAATCACAATGCATGACTTTGCTGTCGGTATCGGGCGGACTGCCCTTGGCGCATTAATCTTACTTTCTATCTATTTGGCGATGACGCAAACGACTCTGGGCACGATGTCTCGGCGGCGGCCACGCGACAAACGGGGACTTTTGATTGGTGCGGGGGAATCTTGGCACGATAGGTCGCCTCCCTATTTCTGGTTGATTCCGTTTGGTGACTTGGCGTCTTGGCGCTTGGCTCTTGGGACCTCTTGGCAGGCCGAGGTCTGAGAGTTCCCCTCCGCTTCAAATCCGCTCACTTTTTCTCCGAAAGAAAGAAAGTGGTCAACTGCTTTATGATTGCTGCCTCAGGAAATGGGCAGATTTGCTGGGGACACGGTGCCTGAATACACTGACTCTATTGACCTTGTTGACCCGAGTGATCCGATTCAGGTTGCACCATCCTACTCCTTCGACTCTTATTGGACCCTTTGAAATCTCATTGGCCGATACTTCAATTCTCCTCTTATTATTTTGGCCTGCATTTCATCTTTTTTATTTTGGTTTTGTTTTGGACAAATTTATCTCGTATCCATATCGCTTGGACCTAGTGTCCATGCCCCTCCACTCATGGACGACGATTCTATGCCGCGAGGGGAGATAATTGGGGTTGTGATTGGAGCCGTCGCCCTGTTTTCGTTGATCAGCGCGATTCCGATGTGAGTAACTGCACGGACGTGGCTTGGCCCCCGCTCCATGCATGCGAAGGGTTCTCGAAGTTCTGACGTGCTGATCACTGATTCACTGTGCTCGCCTAGCATGATCATGTGGCATCATCGACGACGTGCAGCAATGCAGGCCATGGCCGAAACCCAGGTGCTTCCGCCCATTTATCAGGTACCGATGCAGAACGTCCTGGGAGAACCGGTTTCCGTCGACCGATGGCTGGAAGAGCAGAACGTCCCGGCCCACGCCCAGCAGTATGGCCAAGATACTTGGTGAGTCGCATGTCTTCTCGTTCCACCCGGTCTCCGGTTCCGGCCCCCATCGCTCGCTTCTTGGCGCGCCTGGATGATGCATTGCGGGGACACTAGGGCTGGGCACTGGCCCCTCCGCCCTATGGGGATCGACGACCTCTTGTCCACACGGCTCGAGGGTCTGGGCAAGACAAGTCTCGCCCGCCTCCTCCAGTGCCAATATTCCTTGTTCCTGGAAGGCGAAAAGATACACCACTCGTCGAATTGGCACCTTCTAGAATGATTACACACTGACAAATCAATGATCTCAGCGCAATCTGCCTCTGTACCCTGGCGTCATCCCCATACCTTGCCTGTCCCGAGCCTTCCGTTCTAGCCAACCCGCATAATCACCAACCCTGCACATGCGGGGCACACCATGCTCCACCGGAAGAGGTCCTTGTCCTGAATCGTTGCAAGCATGCCTTTCACCTCAAGTGCCTCAAGTCTTGGTTCGAGTACCGTCGGTATAAGTGCCCGATCTGCCAAGCTTCGTATTCGCCAGACGAGGCACGAGGATAATTTCCGGAATCTAGGGCCGCTCTACTTGGCTTCTTGTCGTCGAGAGGCTTGCTATCTGCAATACCATCGATCCCTGGTCTTTAGGTTTGGTCATCTGCTTCATTACCGGCGTTTTGGCAATTTTGTTCATGCTTTTTCTCGCTTCTATGGCCCTGTTTCTAAGATATCCAATATGACCCCAATAGCGCTTTCTTCACCGTGCTTGATTATCCGTATAGATGCATGCAACTCAGTATGAGCTCAGGTCTTGGCGATTCCTGAAGTCATTGACACGAGAATGCATGCATTGGAGATTTTATCAAGCAGAAGATCTGGAATTCGTTGAGTTCATCGGCCGCTGTCTGACATGTGGGAAAGTAGGAATTGAGTTGACAATGACGCGCTTAACCTTCTCCATAGGGAAAAATGTCTCTTTCACAAGGGGGGCCCGTGGTGCTCTTGCTACGAACGTGTCACAAATCAGCTCCGTCCAAGAATTGGCTTCCATTTGGTCTTCTACTGCGAACGACTGCGAATGGATCTTTTTTCGATGATCACGAGGATGAAGCGCCGCATCATGCATTCGCTTTCCGGAGTTAACCGCAACTCCACACGCCCAGACTGTCGGCAAAATGAACGAAGTACTTGACTGTCGTATAAATTCCGCCCCAATGTGTCCAATCAAAAGCTACTGAGCAATGAGTCGGTTTCCTCCCTTCAGATCTCAAATGTAAAGTCGACTGATCTAACCTATTTGCTCCCCAAAACGAATGACTGCTATATCCCCGACGCTTCACTCTTTGGGATCCGTTTCTGCCCAGACCTCCAAGCTGCCCGTCCGCAACTTCAGCGCATAAATCACGCAAACACATCATCCGGGTTGCAAAAGCTGCATTTAATGCGATGCCAACACCGGAGACCTACAGCTCGGTCAATGCATGGCTTGAGATCAACTTTTGAAATCTTCATCGGCTGCCCTTGCTCCTTTTACCCAGTGGGTCCATGCATTGAGCTCATGGATATTGATGTCGCGGCTGCCGCGGGCCTTTCATGGATATAGTGTATCGCTGCCATTGAAAAAAATGATCGCCGAGGCATTTTTCTCATTAGCTAGAATGAATTCAGGGCTGTAACAGGCGCTCTGGGCATTAGATCCTCATATCTGGATTATCCTGTGTAAAATTTGGGCAGCAGTTCTTTAGAATCTAGAGCCTGTTGCTTTACTATTTAATGAACACGAGAGTACCAAATAATTCAGGTCTAGCATATACCATGATGCTCAAGAGTCAAAGCCAAAAAGCTTCTAAGAGCTATCAGTAGTGTCGGTCCTATCGAGCGTAGGTAAGTGGGCAAATAGTTGGTCAAATGAGTGTCAACATGGTCGGAGAGTCGATACCCCGGTTTTGTATGGGGGCCTCTACCTAGGTAGTCCTTCCTTGCTAAGGCTGATATACACGACAAGAGCTCTAGAGGCTAAAATCCTTCCAAGGTTGTTGGTTTGGCTGTAGGTCATGTGATGGCTTTTCATGCTTGAAATAAACGAAGGTTGGAAAGTAAATCTGATTTCGCTTTTTCGGCAGATTTTGCAGAAAAGGCTGGATCCGATTCCATTAATGATTACAAGCCCGAGCATTCCAGGGTTTCATGATACTTCTCCAAGTTGCGTGTTGATAGGCCGCCTGGGGATGAACTTCGGCCAAATCATCGTAGATCAATCTTGGAGGCTGCTTTACCCCAGCGCGGAGATCTGACATAATAATGAGGCTAGGCTGGGTAGTAGCTATTGTATAAGTTTCGGATCGCCGTTTTGGCTTTTTGCATGGGAAGCAAAATTTGGGCATTACATGTGGCTTTCTCCAGCCACCCATGAATGCATTCCAGGATTATGGTACGACGCGTGAAGCCCTGGAGATCGCCCTTTTTCATGGAAAATATGAGAAAACATTAGGTTGGACGCAAATCTTGAAGGAGAATGCTCAGTTCGGAACAGCTCGTCCACCTGTTTCCAAATTTTCCCGATTTTTATCCTGAACCGTATCCCGAGTTGATGTCCGGGGTCGAGCTAGGTAGTTTGGTCACAATCCCCACTGACGGTGTATACTATGTTCTAAGGATGCCGGCAGCATAAATTATGAGGTCCTTTTTCACGCTTTACAGTGAGCTTGCGAAATTTCCACAGCCCCTTTCCCACAAATAGTTGAAAGTGGTAACACGGCCACTAGAAGGCATAGTGGGGGTAAAAACCCTTAAACAGGGTAAATTCCGAATAGTTACATCTGGATTTGGTTGTGTTACATTCTCGGCAAAGCTAAACATAATGCTTATCAGCATTAAGAAAGACTGGTGGATGATTTAAATGACAGGAACTAGCAGCCTATCACCGATGGTCGGTTCATGTTGCCCGTCTATCATATTGCATGAAGAATCGTTTTTGGGCTTAGCTTGGGGCTACTAACTGATTGTAGAATATGGGTCCATTGACCGGTTAGCTTGAGTGGATCTTCAAGTTACTGAGTAAAAAATTAAGCGATTCTACTCGGTACAATCAGTACATTTATGGGACAGGTGGAATCTTCACACCCCTGTCGAAAGTGGTCTGAGGGAAAACACATGGCTTATCATAAAACTCGCATTGTATACTGGCAGCTGCTTATGCGGCATGATTCGATGATACCTGCACCTCTTTATTCCAAATTATAATTCAGTGTGCGAAATGGGCACACTCAAGCTTATACCTCAACAAGGAATTGCTCTGCGAGCAATTTACTCTATACTACAGCATCTGCACTTTGATATTGTGGTTTCATTAGCGTGCGCTATAATATGCAGCTAGAAACTAGGAATCTGCATGTCTTACTATAGGGACACCTTCGAAAAGTCATCACAGAAAGCGCCTGCTTCTTTCTCCGCGGTTTTGATGACCAAAGAATTGAATTAGAGGCTTCTTCGGTCATTACCGACCACAAATTGATGGTAAATCAGGCATCCCTCTGTTTTGTTAAGCGCATTAACTCTAGATATTTTTATGGCGAGGAGAAGTTGACATTCACGTACCTAGTGGGGATCCATCTATCAAGCTTGGAAGCTGACAGGGATATGGAGACTAACCATCCTTGTATAGACCGCTAGTATATACATGGCTGTTGATAACTCGAGACTAGTTTGTACTAGGTCTAAATCAATTAAACCAACATGGCATGCGAACGAGAAGGGAATTTGGTCAGTCGTGAACGGATTCAACGTATGAGTAGCAGGAAATGAGATAAATAGGTCGCGAACTCCCTAAGAAAACTAGCAATTCCAGCAGCATCCTCCAACCTCATCTTACTGTCGCGAGCCTATTACATTCATCAGAATTTTCAGTTCAAAATAATCTCACTCAATCAACATGAAGGTTCCGTTCGCTCTTGGTGCTCTTGGCCTTGCTGGCCAAGCGGCTGCTTGGTACGGTCAGATGAGCGCCGGTGCCTATAATCAAGGCGAAGGTGGCAGTATCACCCAAGAGCTGGATCTCATTGATTACAGCACCGGATCTACCTACATTGGTTGGATCAATGGTGGATTCAACGCTTGCACAAGCACGCAGTGCTATGTCTTGTAAGAAGATATCCGATCTCAATATCGAATGTGCATCAAAACTAACTGGTTTGCAGCTTCCGTGAGACCAGTGAGGGTAGCTACACATTTTCCGCAAAAGTTTGGAGAACGAACGATGGATGCCACAACATCGACTTTGGGGGTGCGTTTGACGCAGGGCATGGATACTGCTGTGGTTCACTTCCTTGCGATATTTCTGCTTGATCCCGTGGATTCCTTTGACCCTGCGAGAGAATCGAGGCACTTTCTCAATACGCATTGAGTCGTATTCAACAGCCTATCGGGATGTGGTCAAGTGATTTTTGTTTGCGATGTTTGACGAAGTGGTCAGGTGTTGAAACTCTTTCAGGACATGAGGGGGGATGTAGGGATATTACGCATTGCAGTTGAAATTGAAACATATGATTGGATATCGTACGTTATACCGATTTTGGAAACCGGCGATTACGGATGGCGTTGTGTTGCCACTTGATAAATTCGCGACTCACGTTGGTTCAAGTGCTTCCAAGGATTGAGATGCTTGAAGCTATCTATAATATCTATACTTCATCGTAGTATATGATGGTAGACAATATAGAGCGTGTGCCCGGTGTGAAGTGCAGATTTCCCCGCAAAAGAGAGCATGGGTCGTCCCGTGGTCTGAATTGACGTGGGCCAATGGCATCATACGATTGTCACCACAACATCCCATTTGGTGAAATGGATTACATCACGGGCAAATCGTGGGGTAATATATAAAGAACCCTCTGCTCGTGCTGCTTCGTGCCATCTTCATCTACCCAAATATCTTCAACATGAACGACAGCGACATGAACAATTACAACTCTCAGTGGGTCTCGTTCCACATTCGTGGCCACTTGGAGAAGGGCGACGTCTTGGTTCAGAACACTGTCATCGAAGGGTAACATGGAACCGTGTTGCTGTTGCTATACATTCATGCTAATGTACCATAGCGGTGAGTTCTACGACGTCAATGACCGCCGCAAGTCTCTCACGGAGGAGGAGATCGACGAAATCGTAATCTCGCCCAACGGCGTTGGCGAAATCGGTGCCCAGAGCCGTCGCGGCAGCGAGGGTCGTCTTGACTTATTTCATGATGATGCCAAAATCTGCGAGCTCCACTGGGAGAACAGAGGCGGCAAATACGTCAACTTGGTCGAGATGTTGGACAGTAGCGACAAGTATAGAATCGAGCATGGGGGATGGAGTGCAGAGGAAGGACCTCTCGGACACGTGTTTGTGGACATCATGGCGAAGAAGAAGTAGTGCTGTGCACCTTCAGCCAGGAGAGAAGGTGTCTTACCTTCTGGCATTCCTCGCGGAACACCGCGTCAACCCGAGAGCTTTCCTCTTTGAGTTTGTTTTCAACCAAACCTGTCACTACCACTTAATAGTTAAATCAAATGGGCTTCCGAACCCGAGTTACAAACCAACCCTTGAATGCCAGTGCCTTCGTATGCATTTTCCAACGAAAACACTGTCAACAAGGGTCCAGGTCATTTCATTTCCTATCTATACCTAGGTGTGGGACATGCATCGCCAACTAAACTCCTGCTTTTACTAAATCTACATTTCTTTTGAGCCTGATGCACTTCTCCTTTGTTGATACCCCGCTTCGTACTTGAGTTGATACTTTAGTCCAGGTCTTTGTCCTCGCCAATCATATTTTCGTCTCTCCTCCCTTTGTGCGGTCTCACTCAGATGACTTAATATCAATGCGCTTTCACCTTTTTAGTGAATTTGAAGAATAGATTCGTACCCTTAGACAGTGCCATTGTCAATTACATCCATAGGGCTTTCTTCGTTCAAGCAGCCTTCCATTGTCTCATCGGAGTTCAGAACATATAAAACGGGACTGTGCTCTGTGTCTATGATCCATACTATCACATTGTCTCACTCCAATACTCTCAACGAAACGAAAATCCTCAAAGCTTATATATTCGCTCTTATCGAATCTGACTTCACTAACTTCCCTGCCGCTAAAATGACTAGTGCATCTTCACCCTGGGGCGAGAAAGGTCGCGCCCTTCAGAGATGGATTGAAGAGAACCAATCAGGTTGCCCATACCCCAAGTCCACTTTCACTCTTACATACAAGTCCCGCGACTATTTTGTCGTTGCCTCACGAAAGAAACTCGATGAAAAGCTACTAACTGCTCTCAAGATCAAGAATCCCAAGTATGCATATCACAACATCTCGATCAGACAGCGTGATACACACTCCCACGCACCGGTCTGGTGGATTGGCCGCACTGCTCCCGGCATGATTCTTCTAGACGATATTTTCCGATCCAAAAGAAGCGAGGATCCTTACATTTCCGAGTTCACCAAGGCGGCCTACCAGCTAGAGTTCCCATTGGATAGTCTCAAGTCCGTTGTTGTCATTAATGTCAATGAAAAAGACACTGTTGAATATATCCGGAGGATGTATAAGTCGCAAGGCATTCGATACCCATGGTCCACACAGCACACTTGGAGATCCTGGACACCTGAGGGCCAGGCCTTGCTAGGCACTGGCATTGGCAAAGTCCTTGGAGCCTTTGTTCTCTGTGCATGGGGTCAAGGTAGGAAGCGCATTTCCAACATCGTGACTTTCCATATGGACTGTGATATCCACAAGCTGCACATGCGGTTTGAACTCGAGGATATGTAACTTTGGCCTCCGTAGGCCCGAGGGCAATCTGAGGCCTAGACATGGAGCAATTTTATTGATCAAAGTAGCCATCCCAGTGCTTCGGGGCAAATTGGTTTTTCCATACTTGATTTGCATCTCAGTGTTTAAATAAAATTGCAGAAAATCGGACAAACAGCTTAGCATCCTCATCCCTCAATCCTGATAAAGCTGTTTGAGATCTCACTAGGCATAAATCCGAAACCGTCACTTCCTCTCCACGTCAGACACTTGAGCCAATACCACTGTATCAATGTAGCGCCGCAGCGAACTTTCACCAATGCGAGATTCTTTTCTTTTAATAAAGTACATAATTTCGTATCTGTTGTCTTGGAGGAAAATTCTCCCCTAGGCCTTTAAACCTGAGGCCTATCAACCCGGACTGTGCCCTTTACCTTCACAGTCTCTGTCTCTCCCTCGCCCTTCTTGCTCTTGCCCGGCTCATTGATATAGGGATTCATGCTATCCGCATTAGACCAACCTTCTTGCTTATGCGACATGCTGCCAGGACCGGCCGGAGAGCCCATCCCACGAGGCTGTAGAAAGGTCAATTGCAATGCCCCTGCGTGTCGGATGTGACAAAAGACCAACCTTATCATAATCGGAGGCTGTGTTGGTATCTTGTGTGTGATTTGAGCTTCCATTGCTCTCACTCCCTTCTCCGCGTCCTTGTTTATACTCCTGGTTTACTCCTCGGGGGCTCGTCTTCGGTGCTGTATCCCTAGTCCACATGTAGATGGAAATCGGGACACCAAGAGCAATAGATACTAGGAGCCTATATTGAATACACAAATTTTAGCAATTGATACCATGAACCAGTAGGCAGGATCTATAATTACCATCGCGGAGTGCCTTGTTGGCCGCTGGGTCCACTGGTGGCAAATGATCTGTGGGTGTGGGCTGCTGGGGTTCGTACTCGCGGCAATGATCTCGAAACTGTTTGTCGGATAAAACTCATTTTCGTTCGGGTTAAATTGTATAAGTTGATAAGATGAAATTGAATGGAAATTGAAGTTCTGAAGAGAAATCCTGGAGCTTTTGTGGGACTTGATGAGTTACATCATGCTTATTCCATGTTCCGTATGGGGAGCGTGGATCTTGATTCCTAAACGATAACTCCCAGACTGATTAAGGAAATGTACTGTTTAGACGTCAGATCAAACCTGATTGTACATCAATTCAATGACGCATCAACGCATCAACGCATCTGTGAAGATACTGTTCTAGTTGGAATGTTCTTAGATCTCGATCGAGAACTTGGGCTGTGATTGGTGGAATCTCTTTCGGAAGTATTGAAATGACATCTGCTTAATTGTCATGGCGAATGCTCCAGCGCCATGGTCATTGAAAGCTTGTATTCTCCGGGTGATCTCCTCGGGCTTAGCGATCGTTCTCTTCGAACACATAGGCTATTTTAAACGTGGTTATCTTCATTTTTGGGGCTGATCATCCACGTTTCTGGGGGGCATTAATCTCACTGACTAGAAATGATTAGGATCGTAAGCTGAGATTCCACTTTGACTTTCCGCGGTGAATTTCTTTGCGCGGTAGAACTATACTGCCCCAGACCCCCCAAGTGGATACCTAGGTATGTTAACCAAGGATTCTGAACGTCGGATGCTGATGCCAACATCCATTGATACCGCAAGCTAAACAAATTGGAACTTGATAATAACAAAAATCCACAATCAACCATTTGATAAGGTCGAACTAATAGCTCGAGTCAATCCAATCACCGTAGTCACTCCCAAGAACAGTCTTCTTGGTCACTCCAGCCGAGATGGGCGTCAAATACTCGCGCTTGGAAGTATCCGACCCATTCCCTGAGTTATTATACTCATAATAGAAAGGGGTAGCTCCATCTGCCATAGTCGTCCAGCCCTTGGCATTGATCAGACTACCCAGCTTGGAGTTTTGGTAGATCACACGCGATAGAACGCGCCACGGACGACCGAGATAAACTTGTCCATCAATGCTCAACCCAGATGCAGCTTTGACATTGCAGTTGTCGATAGCATACCAGGCTGTGTCGGTGCTTTCTTTGCGTGAGGTGGCGGTGATGGCGCCAGGGCCGTTGGAGACAATATCACACTCGCCAAACCAAGCAGAGGCGTCGCCGAAGATGTAGTCAACGGCTCCTGTGTATGGTCAGTAATCAATATTTTCAACTTGAGAGATGAATAAATACCCTCCATCATGCAGTTGGAATAGTACTGAGTTCCTGCCTTGGCGTATAGAGTATCCTGGTATCCGGAGAACTGACATCCGTAGAAGCCGAGTTTGTCGGCATTGGCAACAAGTCTAGCCTTGTCAGCCACTGTGATAGCAAAGTGAGAGCATGAAAAATACTCACGCAACAGCCTGTACCCCCTTTCCGTAACCGTTGACAACATTGATGTTGTACATCTTAAATCCATCGGAAACCACATTAACAGTAGCACTCTTATCCAAAGATCCAGCCTCCGGCGAAGAGATAGTATGTGTGATGGTGACGGTATTATCCTTGTATGAGCCGGTATCAGCTGTTTGGCCATAAATGGTCAGCTTGCCCGCATAGTTGATGACAATCTGCTCTTTGTATGTGCCACTCGCAACATAGATACAAGCCGCCTCCGAAGAGGAGCCGAGGGCAGTGAGTGCAGCACCGATGGTGGTGTATTTTGCACTTGACCCGACCGTCAAACAACCAGAAGGCGCGCTGGTTCGACTTGTGCGGCGGACTAGTTCGGTGGGTGCACCGAGTACACCCGCGCCGAGGAGTAGAGCAGAGAGCAGTGATTTGCAAATATGCATTGGGGAGGGATGTATCAAGCAATAGCAGATCTACGGTCTGACAACCGCTATTATATTTAAGCCTTTTTTTTTTAATTTCTCTCTCCCTTTTGGAATGGACCCCTTTCAGCCTGTCATTGTGGTGTTTCAGGGTGGATTTCCACCACTCCACACTCCCGGAACTATATTTGAGACACATTGTCCCGGGATATTTCCACATATGATCACTTTTGCCGCCCTGGTACCGTTGTCAAATGAGAGCAAATATTTCCGGGGCTGAGGCACCCTCGGTCGCTCATTGGGTGTTTGCGGTGGGCTCTGGGGCGTCGCCTGGTCATGCACCGCAAACCCCGGGGCCCGGGGGCTACCTTGGAGGCCCGGGAAAACCATGCAGAACCCAGGTGGACACGGAGCAATGAACGAGGATTGTATGGAGTATAGCGGATATAGCTAGCTCATTCTGATGTTGCATGAACCCAGCGAGTCGAGCAAAGATCGTCAAAATATGATAGTTGTTCCTCGAATGGAGTAGTGAGACGTTTCACATCTGGCTAATTCTCCGTGTCGGTTCGGATCTGAAACGTCATTGTATAGAGTGTGATTTGAATGAGATATAAAGGTACCCGCTCCATAATTTCCGAGAAAACAAATAGACAGAATACGGAAGATCACAATGTCTTTGAAGACATCTATCGCGGCCCTCGCGCTGTTCGCGTCGGCGCTAGCGCTGCCGGAATCGACGAAATCCCTCAATGCCCGCGCTAATACATGCACCCCGAAGTCAGGGGGCTCGGCGTCTACAGACGATGTGCCAGCCATTGCCTCGGCAATTTCGTCGTGCGGAAAATGGGGGACGATTGTCATTCCTGCTGGGACAACATATTATTTGAACAGCGTACTTGACTTCGCAGGCTGCGCAGGATGTGACTTCCAAGTCGAGGGACTGTTGAAACTCAGCTCATCGACGGATTATTGGGAAGGGCGTACAGCGATGATCAATGTGAAGAATATTGATGGAATCAAAATTCGATCATTGACGGGCAAGGGAATCATCGATGGCAATGGGCAGAATGCGTATGAAAAACTTCCATCAATCCCATATGCCAGTGCGCTAACGACTCCAATAGATGGGACCTATTTGCCAAAGATACCAGCTATGCCCGCCCAACATTGCTATACATCACCGGGGGGTCGGACATTGAGGTCTCAAACCTGCGCCAGAAGAACCCACCCAATGTCTTCAACTCCGTGAAGGGAGACAGCAAGAGAGTGCTGTTCAGCGATCTCAAGATGGACGCCACGTCAAAAAGCGACAATAGGCCTAAAAACACAGATGGCTTCGACATCGGCGCCAGCACAGATGTGACCATCAAGGACGTGAACGTGAGCAACGACGACGACTGCGTGGCCTTTAAGCCAGGCGCGAATGGTGTGACTGTCACGGATATTACCTGCACCGGAAGCCATGGAATATCTGTCGGATCACTGGGTAAAAGTTCAGATGACTTCGTGAAGAATGTCTACGTATCTGGAGCGACAATGATCAACTCGACCAAGGCTGCTGGAATCAAGACATATCCCTCCGGTGGATCTCATGGCGTTGCGACCGTGAGCAATGTCACCTTCACAGATTTCTCGGTCGACGGATGTGACTATGCCATTCAGATCCAGAGCTGCTATGGAGAAGATAGCGAGTACTGTGCCAAGAACCCTGGAAACTCGGATTTGACTGGTATCGTCTTTGACAAGTTCAGCGGGAAGACCAGCGGGAAGTATGATGCTGTTACGGGAAATCTTAACTGTGGATCTGAAGGGACCTGCGATGTGCATGTTAGTTCTTATACCGTCAAGCCCCCTTCTGGGGCGGCTAAGGTGCTGTGTGCTAATATGCCTTCGGATCTGGGAACGACGTGCACATCTGGTGCGTCGGGGTAAATACCACTGTCAGGAAAAAGGATTCAAGAAACTCGTGTAATTTTGCGGTATATCAATTGTGTTTCATCATACAAATAGTGACGCTTTCAAAGCGCACCAGACCGATCATTTATTTAGTTTGAAGGAGCAATGGTCTTGTCCTTGACGTAAAGGTCGACATACTGGTCGACATCGTAGTTCTCCAGCTGAGCGCGGTCCCAGCCCACCTTCAGCAGCTCATCAACGCGGGCCTGGTCAAAGTGTGCCTCGAGGTGACGCTTGTACTTGGACAGGATCTCAGGCTTGGCCTCCTCACGACGGAGACGGTGACCCAGAGGAGCCTCGACAGAAATCTCCTCGAGGACAGTGCCGTCGTTCAAGGTGACGGTCAATGCATTGGGGATGGTACGCTTGGTGGGGTCGTGGTAGTCAGTGGTGAACTTGGTGTCCTCAACACAGCGGATGCGCTTGCGGAGGTCCTCAAGCAGAGGAGAGGTAGCAGCCTCAGAGCCGTCGGCGTAATCAGCGGCAGTCAAGCGGCCGAAAACGAGCATGGTGGCAACCATGTACTGGATGGAGGGTTAGTCGGGGCACAACTTCTGAAGGTGCAAGAAACTTACTTGGACGCAGTGGTCACGGTCGGCAAAGTTATCCATCTCCTTGAACTGCTTGTCAATGATGCGGATGCATGCCTCGTGTGTGCGGTTGGTGATCTCCTTGATGTCCTTTGCGCTCTTGCCCATGGAAGCAAGCTTGGCATTGACCTTCTCAGCGGCCTCGATCGCAGTCTGGGAGTGGAACTCGGCTTTTTGATTTTGTCAGCTTGAATTTCTCCCCGGAAGAGTCAAATCACATACCAGGATAGGAGACCTTGAACAAGACGTTCTCCATGACGTAGCTGCCGTAGGGGCGCTGGAACTGGAACTTATTGCCCTTGAACAGAACATCGTAGAAGCCCCAAGTAGGAGCAGTGAGAACACTGCGAAGACCACCCTCACCCTTCTGGACCTTCAGGACCAAGTTCACAGCGCGCTGGCAGGCATCACCGGCAGCCCACGACTTGCGAGACATAGTGTTCGGCGAGTGGCGGTAGGTTCGGAGGGACTGACCGTCAACCCAAGCCTGGGTGATAGCATCGGCAGTCTGTTGCTCGGTAAGATCGAGCATCTTAGAGACAACAGCGGCGGTCGCAACCTTGACCAGAACAACGTGGTCCAGGCCGACCTTGTTGTAAGAGTTCTCCAGGGCGAGGACACCCTGAATCTCGTGTGCCTTGATCATGGCCTCCAGAACATCGCGGATCTTCAAGATCTTGCCGTTGCCAAGGTTTCCACCGGCACGGTTGGTACGCGAGATCCAGTCGGCCACGGCCAGGATACCACCGAGGTTGTCAGAGGGGTGACCCCACTCAGCGGCCAGCCAGCAGTCATTGTAATCCAACCAGCGGATCATAGCACCAATGTTGAAAGCTCCATTGACCGGGTCCAGCTGGTAAGGGGTACCGAACACGCGAGTACCATTGGGGACAACAGTCCCGTCAACAACGGGACCCAAGAGCTTGGCGCACTCCTTGAACTTCAGAGCTTCCAAACCACAGCCCAGAGTGTCGAGGAACACCAGACGAGCAGTGTCGAACTATTGAATTTCCAAAATTAGTGGGGACTCTTTGTTACCGAGCCGCGCTACTTACCGCCAAGTCAGAATCCACCTTGTAGCCGTGGATGTAGCTAGCCATATCCTGGATCTCGGTGTCATATGGCTTGTCGGAGGGAACCGCCGGGGCGGCAGATTGACGGGCGGCCATGGTTGAGAAGCGTGAAGTGCGGGCAGGAATTCGAGGAGCGATGTTGATGGAAGAAGCCAAAGTGGGCAGTCTGGAGATGCGGGCCAAAGTGCGGGGAGACGAGTGGGTCAGGCGTCTCACGGCGGGCAGGGACATTGTCAGGATTGAATCAGGATCAATTCAAAGACCCAGGAATATGAGAAGGTGGAGGAAGCTAAAGAGGACAAGGAGAAACAAAAAGTCAAGGGAGAATGTTGGGGAAAGGGAGAAAAAGTACGGAGTCCGGAGAGCTGGGCGAACGTGCCCTGACTTCATCCTGCCGAGGGCCCCGGTTACTGTCGGGTAAGGGGGGAAGTTGCACCACACCGCGCTGCTTGGACTGTCCGTACAGTCACTGCTGCATATTCCTGGTCATTGGTCAATGGCTTTGGCTCTGCGATGTGATCCGATTTACTCAGTTCTTTCGTACTCATCAGCTCCGAGTATCGGACATCAGTTCCCCAATTCCCCAACATTTCCCCCGCCCACAAGGACTGCCATCTACAGAATAATGTGGCGATAATCGGAGTCTCTACACCTCAAGCGGTCTATTTCAGGCGCAAAAGAAAGGAATTCAACAAATTGGCACTTGAACTTGGGACTTCGCTATCACACTACCTGCGCCCTCGGCTGATCCGCGCTCACATGGAGATCGGCATGAAGACCTAACGGAACTTCCCTTCTGCCTCTGCCCGGTCGGTTTCCCGAAGTGATCGCACTATCTCACTGTAAATCGCCTTTGCAAACATCGGTGGCACTGCGTTTCCAATCTGCTTCCGGGTATTAACCCCCGAGAACTGATAATCCATCGGAAAGGTCTGGAGAACCGCCATCTCTCGATCGGTGTACGGACGCGTGCCGGAGGGGTGATAATTGAATTCACCTCCTCCGCACGTGATTGTTTTGGCGAGGCTCTCAGGCTCGAATGCTTCTCTGTGGATTAATCTCCACCGCGCAAGACCCCGGGCTGTGTCGTGGTCGTCGGCATCAACGGGAATGCCATTGATGGTGGAGGCTATGGTTGCCCGAGGGAGAACTTTGCTACCAGGACTAGGGTCTCCATGGGTAGCCTCTGCGTAGTGAGGCAGAACTTCGCCAGGTCTGCGTAGATGGTCAGATACCTCAATTTAAACAATTCGGCTTCATTCTGCCCACTCACCCTGCAGCAATAATCATCAGTCGTTTTCGATTCTGGGGAACTCCATATCTGTCACATCCAAGAATCGACCAGCGCACGGAATATCCAATCTCTATCAAACTCAGCACCATTCGATTGAAAGTGAGAATGTGTCGAGTGGGGAGACCAGATGTTTCCTCGAGTGTCAAGATGCGGCATTTGGAAACCCTCGCCAGATCGACACCTGTGAATACGCAAGCCGAGTTGGCGTCATCGTTTGAGCTATTCACGGTGTGAGCTGGGGACCATGTCTGGCAAGGCGGAGATGCGTGAGCAATATCCACGCGCAAGAGCGCCTCGTCGTTTGTGATGAAGTTCGAAAATTCTGAGCATTCCGCTTCCACGCCACTGTGGTTGAGGAGATAGGTTGACAGGGCTTGTTGGTCACTGTCATTGGCGTATTTGAGCTTGAGCCCAGCCTCTTTGGCGCCACAGGATACGCCGCCGCCTCCGCAATAGGTGTCGCCAAATGTATAGGTCCGTTCAGGCTCCAGATCTATGACATTTGTCTCGCGTTCGATTTCTAGAGCTCGAGTAGATTTCTCTGCAGCACCAAAGGGCACAGTCTCGCCGCGCCACTCAGCACGAAGCTCGTTGGACCACTTCCCGAGCCCAGGATCTGTTTCATGGTGCTCGAGGTACTCGATGGCGTACTGGTCTGATGTAATGGGGGAACGATCACGATCAAGCACAACTCCCGACTGTCGAATCGTCAGCTTGAGACGACATGTCAATCTCCGAGGGTTCACCATCAAACTCGTCCGAAAGTTGGTGAATCGTATCTTGACTTTGCGCTTGACAAATGCGGAGCTCATCAGATCTTGAACTTGAGTCACCCATACCAGTTCATTGTTTATCTTAGGTAGAAATGTCCCACACTGAGCATGAGTTGACCGAAAAACTCTCCAACCGAAGAAACGTAGATCCTCTTCCTCGGGAATAATTCCGATAATTTTCATGAAGGAATGATCCTTGAACTCAACGCACATTCCAGGCTGGTATAGAACCCCGTTATACCAGTATTCCGGCTCAGACGATGGAGGTTTCTGTGGGGGCAACCGATTGGTGATGGGGGTGATTACTGGCAACTCAGTGATGAGCCCATTGTCCTGAGTGAGGTCGTATATCTTCTAAATAAATCTCATATGAGCATTTGGCGAGCCAGATATGGACAAACTTGGCGTCTCAACGTCGATGCTTGCTTACCTGAGTATGAGGATCGCCTCCAGTCGCAGGGCGTACTGGCACGGGTTTGAAATTGTGGTGACGGAAGGCCGTCTGGTGAAGCGCACGAGCAACGGACTTGTATCTCTCGGGCGATGGCAGTGTCCCATCTTTGTTCTTGAACGTTAGCTGGCGAAATGATTGCTCGACGTTGTCATCGTCGTCCCCACTGTCCACATCCATCTCAAAATCCTCCGTGCATCTGATAAACGTCTGGCACAACTTTTTGATGGCTGATCTGGGGGAATTCTGATTCAAGTTCTCGCCTGTCAGGCGAAACACTTCGGTGGCTTTCTCGGTAGTGTCATCTCGAGATTGGTTTATGAAAGCGAATGGGCGGCCCGGTGGAAGGGACTGGTCCATCGAGTTGACGAATGACTGAAAGGTGTTCATTCTGAATGTTGAGAGATGGGATCGAATAGAGAGATGGTACCACTTGGGTATGCAATAGATCGGGGCGCTCGGTCTCTGTTCACCTAGCAGGGACTTTGAGAAGTGATTGGTAAGGAGCTTTTTGAGCTATGCTCAGGCTGAGAGATCCATAGATATCACTTAGCGTACTTTCTGGTGGATCTCTGGACCTGGAGTGAGTTGCACAAGGTGAGTATGAGCACATATAATCCCAGGATTCCAGAAGAGCTTGCTCCATATATTGGTTTGCTGGACAAAGCGGGGCGGAGATCCCAGGAGTCAAGTAGTTTCAAAGAAGGATATAAAGACATGATACTGACTCCAGCTTTATACCTCACTGACTCATCAAGCAACCTAAAGGCAGATATCACAAAACCACCCTCTATAGTATCCTTCCCGTTTAGGACATAGGGCTTAGGGGCAAGCCAATGAGAGCCCGATAATTCAGGTTACCCAGAGCGTCCACGTGACAGGCCTCTGACTGGCTCCGGCGTCGGAAGAGAAAAAATTTGGTCCACCAAACCAAACCACAGAACAAAATTCACTATGGAGATTTTCTCTTCTCTGACTTCCTGGGGGTGATTCATTCCTGGCTTTCCTGGTGATGACCATTCCTTGAACTCCTTTCCCTCTCTTTTTTTACGTGATTTGGTCTTGGTAAGTAATTGACATGATTTCTTTCTGTTCCCCCCTTGTCTCTATGATGAATTTTGGTTTTTTTTAGATGTTAGACTTCCTAATCTTTTTGCGGAGAAACACCTGGTCTGATCTGAGACACAATGTTACTTGAATGATGTGAATGCAATGCTTGACACTGGTGCTAACCATCTCGTTCAATGCAGGACTACCCCACGTCAAGATGTGTGGAATTATTGCGCTGATTCAGGCGAACCCCTCATCTTCGGCTGCCGTGGACCTCCACGAGGCACTCTACCTTCTCCAACGTGAGTTTCGGCCAGAAGATATCCAAGTGCGATCGCGAGACTAAAGGCTCTGCACAGATCGGGGTCAGGATGCAGCTGGTATCGCGACTTGCGCGTCTGGGGGTCGCTTCTACCAACTGAAGGCCAACGGCATGGCTGCCAAGGTCTTCCAGGATGGTGCCAAGGTTGCCAACCTGCCCGGCTTCATGGGAATTGGCCACCTGCGCTACCCGACCGCGGGATCCAGTGCCAATGCTGAAGCCCAGCCGTTCTACGTCAACAGCCCTTACGGTATCTGCTTTGCGCACAACGGTAACCTGATCAATGCCGGAGAGCTCCGGAAGCATCTGGACCTTGAAGCCCACCGTCACATCAACACTGATAGTGACAGTGAGCTCATGCTCAACGTCTTTGCGGATGAGCTGAGCGAAACCAAAAAGGCCCGTGTCAACCACGAGGACCTTTTCGCCAGCTTGACCCGCATGTACCAGCGCTGCGAAGGTGGCTGGGCTTGCACTGCTATGCTTGCTGGTGAGTATTCTTGCTATCTTTCTCCAATACAACGCTAACGGTAATGACAGGGTTTGGTCTCCTTGGTTTCCGTGACTCATACGGTATCCGTCCCCTCATTTTGGGATCTCGCCAATCACTGGATGGACCCGGTACAGACTACATGATGTCTTCGGAGTCTGTGGCCCTGGACCAGCTTGGCTTTACCAACCAACGTGACATCCAGCCCGGTGAGGCCGTCATCATCGCCAAGGGTGGTGAGCCGGTCTTCCGCCAGGTGGCACCCAAGAAGAACTATGCTCCTGACATCTTCGAGTATGTGTACTTCGCTCGCCCCGACTCCGTCATCGACGGCATCAGTGTGTACCGTAGCCGGCAACGCATGGGTGACCGCCTCGGTGCCCGTGTCCTCGATGTCCTGGGCCCTGAGGTTGTGAAGGACATTGACGTGGTCATCCCCATCCCTGAGACTGCCACCACATCTGCTACCAATGTGGCTCAATACCTGAACAAGCCCTACTGCCACGGCTTCGTCAAGAACCGTTACGTCTTCCGCACATTCATCATGCCGGAGCAAAAGACACGGCAAAAGGGTGTTCGTCGCAAGCTCAACGCTATGAAGGCTGAGTTCAAGGACCGCAACGTTCTGCTCGTCGATGACAGTATTGTTCGTGGTACCACCAGTCGGGAGATCGTCAGCATGGCTCGGGAAGCCGGTGCCAAGAAGGTCTACCTTGCAAGCTGCGCTCCCGAAATCACCCACGCTCACATCTACGGTATCGACCTCGCTTCTCCCCAGGAGCTGGTTGCCCACAACCGTGATTCTGCAGCCATTGCCAAGCACATCGGTGCGGAGGCAGTCGTCTTCCAGACCCTGTCCGACCTCAAGGATTCCTGTGCCGAAGTTGCCCGTGAGAACGGCCAGCAAGAGCCCAAGGACTTCGAGGTTGGTGTGTTCTGCGGCAGCTACGTCACCCCCGTCTCTCCTGGCTATTTCGAACACCTCGAGGCTGTCCGTGGCGAGGGCCGCAAGGTCAAGGCGCTCGACAAGGCCAAGGAGGCCGTCTCACATGGCTTTGCCAACATCACCGACTTCCAAATCGCCGCCAATGGAGTTACCATGGACACCAATGGCAAGATCATCCCCGCCAACGGACCAAACTCCATGGCCGCTGCCGCTGCTGAGCGCGCCGGCAACAGCGAAGATCACCCCAACCCCAAGGTCTCTGACCGCATGGATATTAGCATCCACAACATGGCTGACCATCATGAATGATTACGAGTACATGTGAAACTTTTCTTTTCTATCTCTGCCATTACGGCAATTTGCATCGGGTGTCTGGGCGTTTGTTTGAAAGAGCATAGAGTTACATGCTGAATGGCCGATTGCCATATGATGTTGAAATGCATGAAAATACCCATACCCGGTGTCTCGAGTACATTTCTCGATCATCTACTGTGAACTAGACCATCAATACCAAACAAGATAAATACTTCACTTCTTCCACCTATGCCGGCGAAATGATCAGGTGAGTCACGTGATTATGTTGCCAATTGGCCAGTCACATGGCGCATATCGTTGACCCACCATGCGATCATCGTACGCAGTAGAATCAAGTTTGGTCATATCGAGGGTCGATTGATCTATTCTACACTCGAACTATCAGCACTTGCTGGATTTCTCCTGTTCAATGCCCCATTTTCATCCATTTGATAGCTCAAGCTCTGCGGTCTGACCATGGAGCGTCGCATCACTCGTTCTGCGGCTCTAGCTGCGACGGCTGCGCTAGTCACCGAGAGTAATAGCCCGGCTATCAAACATGAACCAGATCAGCCAAAGGTTGCCAAGAAATCTAAGAAGAAGGGCTCTCAAACCACTACTCTCAATCCTTCCAAGCCTGCGACAGTCTCCGAGCCTGCTTCTGTTGTCGATGCCAATTCTCTCGTCAGTCCGACTGCGCCAATCAAAGAAGAGAAGCCAGTTCTGTTCAATGAGCTTCCGCATAATCTGGGATCCATACCGAGCACTTCGGTGGCAGGAAAAAATACCACTCAATCGCCTGTTGGGTCAGACAAGGAAAACCAATCTTTGCACACTAAGGCAACTGGATTGGCTGCCGATCTCCAGCATACTGTGGACAAGACTGTTACCAAGACTGAAGATACCCCAGTAACACAGATCCCGTCGGGTCGAAAGCCAAAGAAGAACACTTATGGCTTGACGCCCGGCGTCTCTCCTTTCCCTGAGTTGGCTCGGCCTACCCCCGAGGAGTGTGAAGAGGTCAATCGGCTGCTATCGAGTGTTCACGGCGAAGTCACCGCACCCGCAACTATCCCAGAGCCTTCTCTGACGGTCACTGGCTGTGGAGAGGTCCCATCAGTTCTAGATGCCCTGATCCGCACCCTCCTTAGTGGTGCTACCACAGGCAAAAATTCCGCCATGGCTTTCAACGGGCTGGTCAATCGATTTGGTATTCTCTCCGATGGCATTGGCAAAGGGAGTGTCAACTGGGAAGCTGTTCGACAGGCCACTGTCAAAGATGTGTTTGAAGCAATCAAGCGTGGCGGTCTAGCAGACATCAAAAGCAAGAACTTGAAGGCGATTCTAGACATAGTCCACGAGGACAATCAAAAGCGACGCAATGTCCTCTTGGATGCAGAGTCCAAGGACAACACAGTCCCGAAACTCGTTACAGACAAAGCGGAAATGGACAAAAAGTACGAAATTGCCTGCGCAGACCAGAACTTCCTATCCCTTAACCATCTCCACAACCTCTCCGCTGAGGAAGCTATGACAGACCTGATCAAGTACCCAGGCATTGGTCCAAAGACAGCCGCCTGTGTGGTCCTCTTCTGTCTTCAGCGACCCTGCTTCGCTGTTGATACGCACATCTTCCGACTATGCCGCTGGTTGGGATGGGTCCCTTCCAAGGCTACTGAAGTCACTGCTTTCAGCCACCTGGAGGTACGGATTCCAGACCACCTCAAATACTCGCTCCATCAGCTTTTCATCCGGCATGGCAAGAGCTGTCCTCGATGTCGGGCTATCACGGGCGAGTCGAGTGATGGATGGGAAAATGGCTGTGTCATCGATCACTTGGTGACCCGTACTGGAAAGCGGAAGGGCACTGGATCGGCTGCTGCCACTCCCAAGCCAAAGAAGAAGATTGCCAAGAAGGTAGCGGTCTCGCAGACGAAGCGCAAGGGGAACGATGCTGAATCTGAATCGGATGTCGAGGAGAGTGAACTCTCCAGTGTCGGTGATATGAGTGACGAATACACTCCCTAGCTCTGGGATGTAAGGCGAGGATGGATCTGTACGAGATGATTGTATGATCTATGAGAGAGGGAGCCTTGATGCCTGATATATGTACAATATTCTTAGCGATTTGCTTTATTTCCAATTTCAGCCGTTAATCAATTGCCCAGGTGATCTAAACGATACGGATAATAACAGCTCCAACGTTCGGTAGCAATATTGCACGAATAGATCGGCCGATCGTATACTTCATGTGGAGTGGTTATCGCCTATCGCATACGCGAAAAACAATCTCCCGATCTCCGTGTCTGCCAACCTCAGCATCAGTCAATTGCGCCAATTCCACAAGTTCCGCCATGGATTGCCTGGCATCGCATATTCCGCCCTCGCTGCGCTCCCTACTGGAGGCATATGCGCCTCCTGGATCGGTGGACTATGTTCCGCACATCGGCGTTGCGCTGACCTCCCTACTCGCCGTGTACGTGGGGTACCTCTATTTCCAGAGCTGGAAAGAGGCCGCAATCACGTTCAATGTGCCAATTCCAGCAGAAGTGCGTAAGAGTGGTGCGGGCCGGTCCTGGGAGGAGGTTCAGGGGCAACAAAAGATGGTCTTGCAGGATCAAGTTCGAGGAGTGAGTGCTCGCCACATTTTATTCCCTCCATATTCAAAGGCTAACCTTTGAGTCGCATAGAAATGGAACCACCAGTTGATTATGAGCTACTGTCCCGCCGATGGGAGAGTGCTTGGAAACGGAATCAAGCCCGCGACAGTTGACGACGTGAACGAGGCCGTGCGGGCTGCGGGAGCTGCTCAGCGCGAGTGGGCCAAGTCTACTTTCGCTGAGCGCCGACAGGTTCTCCGGACATTGTTGAAGTATGTGGGAATTGATAGGGTGTCTTTAATTGATGCTGTCTCGGAGCCCTCGCCGCGCTCATCCTATGAGACCTCCACTAACATCTTGCAGATATATCCTCGACCACCAAGATGACCTCGTTACCGCATGCTGCCTCGATTCAGGAAAGACAAAAGTGGATGCCTCGTTTGGAGAAATTCTTGTGACAGTGGAAAAGCTCAAGTGGACTATCGACCATGGCGAGAAGGCGCTGCTGCCAGAGCGACGACCAACGAACTTCCTCATGATGTACAAGAAGAACATGGTCACCTATGAGCCTCTCGGTGTGGTTGGTGCATGCGTGTCATGGAACTACCCTCTGCACAACTTCATCGGACCCGTCATCAGCGCTCTCTTCACCGGTAACGCCGTCGTGGTCAAGCCATCTGAACAAACAGCATGGTGCTCCAAGTTCTTCCTTGAGATGGTTCGTGGCGCTCTCATCGGATGTGGCCACTCGCCCGATCTTGTCCAAATGCTCGTCTGCCTCCCCGGCGTGGCAGATGCCTTCACCTCACACCCCGACGTTGCCCATCTGACCTTCATTGGATCTCGACCCGTCGCCCACAAGGTTTGCGCATCTGCAGCCAAGGCTCTTATCCCAGTATGCGTTGAGCTCGGTGGCAAAGACCCAGCCGTCATTCTCGATGACTCCCGCACTCTTCGTAATCTCCCCTCCATCGCCTCGATTCTCATGCGCGGTGTATTCCAATCCGCCGGCCAAAACTGCATCGGTGTGGAACGCGTCGTCGCCCTCCCAGGAGCTTACCAGCGCCTCATTGAGATTGTCACACCCCGCATTCAAAAGCTTCGTCTCGGTTCCATTCTTCTTGATAGCACAACCCCGGATATGGGTGCCATGGTCTCCCCTGGCTCCTTCGCAGCCCTCGAATCCCTCATCTCCGAAGCCGTCGCCCAGGGAGCCCGTCTCCTCGCTGGTGGCACTCAGCACAAGCACCCGGTCCACGAGCACGGTCACTACTTTGCGCCAACCCTCCTCGTAGACGTGACGCGCGACATGCGTATTGCGCAAACCGAGCTTTTCGCCCCCGTCTTCCTAGTGATGCGCGCCGAGTCTGTCGCCGATGCAATTGCCATCTCGAACTCCACACCCTACGCACTGGGTGCCAGTGTCTTTGGTCACAACTCGGCGGATGTCCAGGCTTGTGTTTCCAGCATCTCCGCTGGAATGGTGGCCATCAATGACTTTGGCGCTTACTATGCTGTGCAGCTTCCGTTCGGTGGTGTGCGTGGTTCTGGATATGGACGGTTTGCCGGCGAGGAGGGGCTGCGTGGACTGTGTAATACCAAGGCTGTTTGTGCGGATCGCTTCCCTAAGTTGATTGGTACTGCTATCCCGCCGCGCGTGGACTACCCTATTCAGAAGAAGGAGGGTGCGGCCGGTGCTAAGGATGGTCAAAAGGCTTGGGAGATGTGTAAGGGCGTCGTTGAGACGGGATATCAGTATACCCTTGGTGGTTGGATTGCTGGTCTTTTCAGACTCTTGGGGAACATGTGATAACTGTGCCTGTCTCTTTAATGTTGATATATCTCATCTAGATATTCATTGTATTCTATTGCACATTACCTCGGTCGAATTCTAGACTTTGGGTCTAGCTACAGCTTTCTTTGGAATCTATATACTATGCAATATGTTCTATGTGGGTATAATTCGCAATGTACGCCGGCATGAGATGTAAACATCTTATGCAGGATGCGTGGGACTGGGGTCCTTCACCCAGTAATCCTCAGTCCGGAATGAGCTCTCCTCGAGCCAATTGCCATAAGGTTTACGATCAGGATGAAGGACTTCCTTGTAGAAACGATAACCTTGTTGACCCTCCACGCTCAAGCGTCCTTTCACGAAGAGCTGGCTGCTGGTATTCCCGGAGTTGAAGCTCCCAGGGAACATACCTCCCGAATAGAAGTCCCCTGCCTGTTGGCGGGAGCGCCCAGCTTGAGGGCGCTGGAGTAATTTAGGCAACCCCATTTGCCAGTCTGACAACCAACGTGCAAACTTGGCGTTCATCAAGTTCTCGGCGTTTGGCTCGCGCTTTGCAAGCTCCACGTTATCAACAATCCATTCAGTCACTTCGGATGACTTGGTTGGTACAGACTCGGCGCTGGCACGAAGCAAAGCCTCAAAGAAAGCTAGGTTGAGACGGGGGTTGTCACGCCCAGTGCGGATAACCGCGAGGAAATGGTCTGAGGGAATCGTGTAGTTCGCTGAGCTGCGTCCATCTTCCTCGAGAGACCAACGCATGAAATGTTCGTCAATCTTGAGAAGACAGACCATGGCGTCGTAGTTCTGGGTACGGATTGCATTTTGAATTCCCTCATTCAAGGCCGCGCGGTTGACAGTGGTCTTGGTCATATTCTGCGTACCAGCGTGCGAATTGGCTGAGGCCATCCGCAACATCTCCAGGAACTCAACATCTTCGGGTAAGAACCCATTACGGCGGCCTCGGAGAAGATGCTCAGGAAACTCCACCAAACTGAGCGCGGGGAGGGTGACCTCACCCATATTGAAGACCTCAATGCGAACTGAGACCATTGGCTCAATAACAAGTTCATAGGAATTTTTGTCGCTTTTTGCCTCCGGGCCATCCATGATATCGTAGAAATCCGGTGGCTCTATCTGATGGGCAAGCCTGTCCAGTAGCGGTCCCACTCCGTAAAACCTCCTAGGTTTATCGGTTTCTCGAGCGAGGAATTTTTTGAAATCATCTTGCTGCTCTTCGTCCACGACCACACCGGCATTGATCCATTCTCTATGGATAGTCAAGATCTGCAATGTTGGGACCTGTGCGCGAACGCGTTCCATCGTGAACCATTTGCATCTGAATACTTCTTTCTGCAGACGTTGTCTGTCCTCAGATGACAGAGGAACGTATTTCAGCGGCCCCACCATTATCCGATTGATTGTAGCGCAAGCGGAGCTGTTGGATCCGTCATCCCAAAAGGCGAGGAGAATAAGAGAGCGGTACATGTGCTCGCGGGAGAGGGCACGATTCAGGAACGGCGAAGCTCGAGGAAGATTGAGATTCAACGAATGTAGGAAAATCTGCTCGATTACCTCTGCGGGCAGGGCTTCAAACATTGACAACATTCTCGTCTTTGGATTGGGGGTATGTGATCGCGTAGGTACGGGGGAGTTCGAGGGACGGTCGTAGGGACCGGAGCGGGATCGGGAGGTTCGAGCGGATCGAGAGGAGCTGCTTCGATTGGGGTTTTTGAATATGCGGCCTGGTCTGCGTTTCGATCGAGGGTCTGGCGATGCGGGTTGAGGTGGCGCAGGCCGTGTCCCGGGCTCGTTGTTTGAGCTCATTGAGAGAGGTTTGGCAATCAGTGACTGCCTGGTTTTCTGAGCTCAAGCCATTGTCTCGCAGAGGCTTGTCGCAAGGGGATTCTGAAGTATGTCAAACTCGTGCATCAGGTACCGACAGTATGCGCCTCTATGCAGTGGATTTTCTGCCGAGTGGGGACTTCTTGTTTGGGTCGCGTCTGGCTGCTGCTTTAGGCCCGTCAAGTCTCGTGACTTGGTGAACCCAACCTTGGAAACGGGCATATCTTCTCAGCACTCGCTAGTAGACGAGTATTGATTGCAAAGAGCTATTACCATGTTGAACAAGGATACATTTACCTTCAATAACCCGTAGCAATGCCTCGGTTGATTCACCACAGACAGATAGGCTGATACATAGTACTAATGTACTTGCAGTCAGAATGACGTACGAATTAAGCATCTGGGGACGGGCAAAGGCGTATATTGCTCGTGCAGGGAGCCATGAATGTCATATCTGAGCTCCACTATGTCCACAAGGCTGAGTGAATGAATCCGTGCACTTTGGCCGTTTACTGACTGGGCTATGTATTAGCATGGAGTACTCAATTGTATCATTATTGCATAAATAGTCACTCGAATGAACCTCCAAGGTTGCAAATGTCGAATTCTACAGTCCATAAGTCCTATTAGTATCCAGCTCGCATACATATAGTATAAAATAGACAGTGCTATACTATAGCTGTAGTATACATCAGGGGAGTATACAAGAAAGTTCAGATGGCCTGTGATTGGCGGGAATCCAACCGGCACAAAGCGGAAAGGGCTATTCGGTCACATGACATACCCCGCTCGTCGTCCGAATCTGGCATAGTCTGATATCAAATGACGTCAACCACCAGCGCAGCTCGGGAGACGAAAAAAAGTTGTCAGAAACCAGCAGGGTCAGAATTGGACAAGGGGAAGGATTTGCACAGACTAAATTAGAACTGAAACCCACCCCAGTTGATATTAACGGCAGATGCCCCACAAGGCCAGAAAAAACTCCGTACCTTAATAAGTCAAAATCAAGGAATGAACGGGAACAGCGTCGAGATGACGGAATGGTTCCAATCAGGTTGAGCACGGGTACCTCGTGTAGCTATTGGCTCTCTGTTTGAATTTTCGACTGCTCATCTTTTCTCAACTTCATTCTTCACCTCGCGGATTCTGTCATAGCTATCTACGTCACTGGCGTCGGACCCTACCTGCGGCAACCTGCACCGTGTGATTCCCAACGCCTGATAAGACAAGCTTAAGTGCATGAACTGTCAATCAATCGCCCCTTTCAGACGCCAGTTACGTATCTGAGCCGGTCGAACAAGAATTGTTTGTCTTGTCAGAGAGGATCGTCATTTTACTTCTTTTATTTAAATATCCTCGTGTCTACCCAGCTCCGTCAACATGCACCCATTCAGTGACCCTACTGTTCATACCCACGCTACCTCCAGCTCGGAGTCCACCCTCACATCCAAACCAAAATAAACCCACCTTGATACCCAGAGCTCTTCAACATGGGTGCCGTTGTCTCTTGCGTATGTGATACATCTGTCCTGGTCGCAAAGCTCTACTGACATGTCTGCCTTCACAGATCCAAAGCGTCTTCCGCGCTATCGGTAGCTGCCTCATGGCTATCGTGAACGCCATCGGCTCCATCTGCCATGCCATCATCAGCGGTGTCGTCACCGTCATCGACGTGATCATTTCTTGCCTCACATGCGGCTACTGTGGAAAACGTCGGCGCGGACGTCGATCGGCGGTCTAACACCACACCCCGTCATGATTACACCCGAACGCCAGTCCATGATTGAAAGATAAAGGATCTGGTTCGGGGTTTACGATTGTTATGCCGGCGCGAACATCTTTCGAACTTGTTTTGAATTTCGGAGTACATACCCTGAGGCGCAATTGATTTTAATAATGAATATGAATCAAGATTATGGGATATGCAATTTTTTTTCAAAATCACCAGCTGAGGCTGTAGTTTGGGCTTCAAGGTGCTTAGACGTGATAAATACAGGTGAGGATGCTTTAATGTTATACATTAAGTGTGAGCACGGATCGGTGGTGGCTCAATATACCGCAGAAGCTCCTGCTTCGTTTCCGAAGGAATATCATCCCAGCGCTCCTCGAGAATAAAGTTGATAAACTGATCCCCGGATCCACTGCCGCAACGCCGCGCCAAGGAGTAGTGCGCAGGCTGCAAGGGCCACCGAGCAGGAACCCTGCAATTAGCAGAGCGGAAAGACATACGCATCAAGCGACAGAAGGGTTCGAATTTGCGTTTTCGAATGAGGCGATAAGTAATGTCAAATGAGCGCTCCAGGCTGAACTGATCCTCGTCCAGGTAAAAGTCCAAGGATAGCAATTGGAGAAACCAGAATTGCGCATCAGACCAAGGCGATCTCAAGACCTTGTCCGGTATGCGGCCTGGGTTTATGGCACCTGAACAGGGTAATCGGAAAAGGTCGTTCTCGTAAAAAATCTCATTCGGTTCGCGGATCTGAAGCGCGCCTAAATGGAACCAAATTGCGACTTTGCGGTCAACGCTTTTAGACGAAGGAGTTCGCAGGCTTTCTTCCAATTGAGCAGGAATCACGATATCCCCCTTCCCGCGCTTCACATTCGGCACCCAGTCGCTGTTTTCTAGGTCATCGAATCGACGATCTAGATTTGACAGTAGAGCCTTGTCTTCCTCGCGGAAAACTAAACCGGTGCATTTGCGTAGAATGGCATGATTGACATACTCACGTTGACACTTGCGCATCAAAGGAAATGTGCACCAACGACATGCTAGAAGGGTGGTTTGCAACCGTTGACGCTCTTCCCAGGATAGGGCCCAAAAATCCAGCGGCGGTGGTAAAAAGTCCGGGGTAAAGAAACCTTCTCGCGAGCCGGGATTGGGACTGCTGAACGCAAGACGAATGAGCCACGTGTATAGCAAAGGCGAAGACAAAGCATGGCCAAGACGTGGCGACGAGCGTGGAAGGTTGACCTCCAAGCTATGCAGGAATATCAACTGCAAGATTTCGACGGGCAAGGACTCCAGGCGCGAGCACGGTTGGTTGGTCGACGGGTCGGATGGGCCCATTTGCAGCAGGCTGTAAGAACCTTGTAGGTCTATTCTTGTTCTTTTGACATGTGTGGCTTGGGCCGAAGTAGCAGGAGAGCAGGCTTGCTCGAATCAAGATTCAGATGAAGGTTGAGTAGACATGGATCATTTCAATGGGACTGCGCAGGGTATTCCGTGGCAGGCGTTGCATGCCCTCTTTGTAGGTAGCTCCTGACGAAGCAAGTCCGTCTTTTAGCTCCAATGAAAGAATGTATTGGCAGAAGACCGATCCATTGCTGAGGGAGGGGGAGGGGGAAGTGGGTAATTCGACGTTAGTTGCGTGGCTTGGCGTGGCATGTTGGAGCTCCGCAGGCTGTCATGTCGTCGTGTAGGTGGCTTAGTCTTCACTTGTGCGTTGTCTATCCTGCATATCAATGGATCTCTGTCGTCATTTGGTAAGTGTCGGTTCGAAAAGTACAATTTCTGGAAATGTTTTCCCGGTTCATTATATATCCCGGCACGGTCGACACCAAGTTTGGCGGGAAGCTCGAGCATTTTGTGTTGTGTACACCACAGCTGTTAAATATCCCCGGGTCGAGACAATACTTCTTTTTGTTTACACAATGCCCAGGGGCACACCTGGGCTCATATCCATTTTGAAATGTTTACAGGATTCAAGGTTACGACGAAGCAGATTGGTGAACGCAGAAACGACGATGTATTGTTTCTATACACATCCCAGCCCCGCCACACTATCGGAGGTATCTGATCATACACTGGCTGAATAGCCATCTTCTTGGCTCCAATAAATCATGATCACGTAGTGTGGTAAAGGAAGGGATAACAAGGCGGATTTGAGGCCACAAGTGTCCACGCTTAAACAGCGGAGAGATCGCCGAAGCGCTCCTGCAAAGAAGATTGGCATGAGTATCAAACACACAAAAGAATATCTAACGGCGCGATCTGCACATACCTTGTAGCCAGGGGGCATCCACTTGCCCTTGGAGACGAGGGAAGCGGTCTTCTCGTCGATCTCGGGCTGGGCAGCGGCAACCTCGTCCTAAAAAAGCAGTGGTGTAAGTAACCAATCCAACTACTAGAGCCTTGAGAGATACGTACGACAGTGAGGTCCTCGAAGGGACGAGCAGTCTCGATGTTCTGGAGAGTCTTCTGCAGGTTCTGCAGCTCGGCCTCGACCTTACCCTTGGTGGCCTCGGCGTTCTGGACAGCCTGGGACTCGAAGGCATCGATGGCCTTCAGCTGGCGGCTGACATCGTAGGAAGCGGGCTTGAAGGACTTGAAGTGGTTCTCGATCTCGTCGACGATGGCCTTGTTCTTCAGGATACCGCGGTAGTGGCTGAAGTCAACGGTCTGGGGCTGCTCGGACAGGACAGTGACCTTGCGGCGAGCCTCGTCGTTGCGCTTCTTGAAAGATTGGAGGGAGGTGGCGGTCTGACCGCGGAGGCCGAGCGAGCTCGACACCTTGGCCCAGTCGATCTTGGTAGCGGCGCTGCGCTGTTTTCGGGTAAGGGGGGTTAGCGGTTGGGTTTCGGGTAGATGGGATATTTTCCAAGGCGAGGAAGCGGAGCGGAACATACAGCAGCCATTGTGACGGGTATGATAGAAGTTGGGGGTGGGGAGAAGAGAGGGGAGTTCGATGCACAGGGAGGTGCCGAACGAGGAGTGACCCGGAAGGTTTGGATTGTTCGGATCACGTGATGTCTCTTCCGGAATCCACCGTTGGCATCTCAGCATACATCTGCTCCGTGAAGTACGCAGCACATTAATTTCAGAGCCATAGCAATGTAATTAGCTCTTTCTCTACAAATATGTATGCCATCCCTGGGCCATATGGATTTTTGGTGGGCGTGAAATCAATTGACTTCAATTGTGGGTTCAATCATTTTTGGGCTGAATTGTGTACACTATGAGCTATAACCAGACGCACGTCTATCATAACCCAAACCGCTGAACCTTATCGGTTTACCGATAACTCATTATATGCTGAGAGCCATGATGGAGTTAACGATATCGTTGTCGTTCTCCCGGAGAGCCTTGACGGCCTTCTTGCGGGAGACGCTTGCTTGTGCCATGACGAGTTCAATATCCTTGGACTCGAGGCCGGACTCGTCGACCTCCTCGCCATCATCCTCCTCCTCTTCCTTCTTATCCTGCTCGGGGGCCTTGCCCTTGCCGAGGATCTCCTCCTCGTCGTGGTTGTGGCCGGCGTGGTCACCGGCGGCCTCGGAGGCAGCGAGCTGCTGAGCAGCGGAGGCCTGAGCCTGGGAGTTCAGGTCCTCAATCTTGGCCTCACCGAAGATGCTGGAAGGAGTCAGTAAACATGTTCCCTGGGAAGCTCAATGGGGTTCCTAGATTCACGTACATCCAGCAGTTGGAGTTGGGGGAGCGGTAGACCTCGGGCTGGTTGACAACGAAGAGAATCTGCAGGTAATAAAGTCAGCCTCTCTTTTCATACAATTTGATCCAACTCGACAATTCCGCCCCGTTGGTGGTCCCGTCCAAGTACACCGTAGATCTGGTCATCACAACTTGTCGGGCGGGGTAGAGATTGTCATGTCGGTCGCATCGGGATCACGTACGTTCTTAGGGCGGCGGAGAGTGACACGGGTAATGCCAGGGACAAGCTTCAGGCCGAGCTTGCCAATGGCCTTGCGGGCCTTCTTCTCACCACGGGAGTGGACGGCGACGGAGGCACCGGCGGGGATGTTGGGCTCATCGCCAGCCTCGGAGCCAGAGTCAGAGTCGCTCTCGACGTTCTTAGCGACATCGTCGTCGTGGATTTCTTCAACGCGGGGGTCAGCCATTTTTGCGGTAGTGAGGTGCCTAAAAGAGAAGAAAAAAGGTGGGTTAGCTGGTTGGTTCGCAATGCCGTCAGGGCTTGAGCGGGCAGTAGGGAATCGGATAAACCGCCACGAAGCCGCACAACACCCGGAAATTGACGGAAATTGACGTCGGAACGGCGAGAATTCGATGAATTCGATCTTCAAACGTACCTGAGAGATAGATATCAAGCTGTGGTGGATGGGGGTGGATTTTGTTGAGGTCGAAGGTGCGTAGCTGTGCGCCATCCGACCCGAAATTAGCGAGTTCCCCCCGGGGCCACACATTGCCCTATCTGGGAATCTACTACATCACTATACTGTACGATAGCAGATTGACGCTAATTACTCTATAGATTCTAGACTCTAGGGAATTTATATCTCAGAAATAATACAAGCATTATTTACGCATCTGCTCTTTCTATTCTTTTTGGTTAGAGCCAGATTTATCCCCGTAGGAATATAAAAAAAATGATGCCCATAGCCCCGGACGGGGGAAGAAAACCAATGACAAAAGGCCCCTTTGCCGGGATATCAAGGATTTTGAATCATTTTTGCTGCTGATTGATAATGCATACAGCGAATTTTGCCAGAGTTATTCCAGCAATGGAAACCCTTCCAGGACACCTCCTTCAACCCATGCACCGAAACCTCATAATCATCTATGCCTTGGTGGCAGCGCGAACCTTGGCGAAAGACTTCTGGACCTCGTAGCGAGCCTGGAAATATAGTTAGTATCGTCGTGATTCCCAGTGGTCTCGAATTCTCCCGAGGTGAGTCTAGACGCATATGTGCCCAGGACTCCACCTGCTCCGGTTCCCAAAACGTACCTGCTTGCGGAGGCGCAGAACCTTGAAGCGCTCGAAGTCGGAGAGGTTCTTGCGGCGCTCGGTGCGCTCGGTGCGCTGAGCGAAGGCGCTCTTGGCCCACTTGCCATCGATCTCGTTCTTAGCCCAGAGCTTCTTGACGGGGCCAGTACCAGCAGCACGGGGAAGCTGGGGGATGGTGAAGTGGGTGAGGGTGGCGTGGGAGAGAGGGAGAACGTGACGGGGCACAATCTTCTTCTCCTCGGTGGAGGGACCGTCAACGAGGACCTGGAAAAAAAACCGCAAGTCAATACATATGTTCCCCGATTTTCGTCAAAGTTTCCGAAATTCCGATTCTCAAAAGTAGTCGCGATTCCGGGGGAGGGCGATTCCACATACACGGCGGTGGTCCACGATCTCGACGATAGCGGCGAGCTTGCCTTCGTAGGGACCGCTGCGGATCAGCACCACACGGCCAACCTCAACCAGCTTCCAGGAAGCGACCTTGACATCGATATCGGCCATGGCGAAATTCTGGGACAAAAATTCAGCGTCGCGGTTTCGAATGGGATGATGAGAGCACACTCACGGTCGACTTGGGGTATGGAGTCGAAAGGGGTTGTCGAAAGAGTTCAATTGTCGAGAGTTAGTCTTGAATTTCGGATGTGCCCACAACTCGCACCGATCCTCGCTTAACTGGCCACTCGCAGATCTAGGGCTCTGCTGAGGTAAGCCTCCGCAACAACCATTTTCCGATCCCGCGCTTTTTAGTTCGTTTTTTTTCGCCGACAGCTCTTGTTGATCTCTTCAAGCTCCTAAGTTTGACAGCTTGACTTTAATGATGAGTCTCATGAATTCGACACCCTGCCTGGCAGTTTTCTACTAAGGTATGCTCAACGCCCTCCTTCTCCTCTCTCATCCTCATATGATGCGGTAATTTGCGATTGACCTGGTGTCTGTGAGGCCCTCGCCGGGGTTCTCGATACAGCGCTGGCGTATGATATTCAATTTCTTACATATTCTGATATGGATTATCACACTCGTTTTATGCTGTCAATGCTTTGAGAAACATTGCGCTGACTTGGATCAAGATCTAGGATTTTGACATGGACCTCAGTTCCCACGCACAGCTCTTGACCTTCCAAATGGTACGTTGGCACAAGTCATCAGGAAACCCCCCGTCCGATGATTATAAACCTTATCACGCCTAGATAGTAATTGAGCTTCGGTTATGATATTACCATAACTACCAAGATCTCTGAGGACATTACTTTGCACTTCATTGCTTGACAAGATTGGTTATGACTAGTCGCTAACCTTTCAAAGATTATAGGATCATTTGTTCAGTCATCGGCTTCCATAGTTGCAATCAAACATATCACTTGTCCAAACATTCTTCCTTGAGTCCATCTCTGTATTGCCCATAGACCTCGTACATCGTAACTGTAGATTACATCCATGGATGTGGCCGACTCCCGAGGTCCAGTTCCAGAGTATATGCACCAGTTATTGGGCCATACGGCTATTCATTTATGGTCAGGAAATGGGTACAAATGCAAGTATTTTGTGATTACAATAAGTCGTGCCAGATCGTTACTTCGGCCGTAATGCCCCAAGCGCCAGGACAATCCATACACTGTCCCTTATGCATAACCTCCCTTCCAAGCTGATCGGTATCGTCCAGTCCCCCGTTCCCTCTACATGTTCCTTATGACGATGCAGAGGCAGCAGGTGCCACAGATGGGCCTTCGCGGCTGAGAACCCACATGAAGATGAACTGGACAACGTAAGAGTAGACGAACAAGAACTGTGTGCGGCGGTTGCGCTGAGAGCGAGCCACGGGGCGCATTGAGCCAGCATGCATAGCGGAGTCGGCCGAATCGGGCAACAACACGTATTTCAAGGAGCGAAGCTAGAATCTCATTAGTAACTGCAAGACACTCCAAGGCATTGCTCAAGCCATTGACATACCAAGAAGAATGCGTTGGCCATAAAGGTATATGCAAAGACTGTCCAGCCAACCCAGCCTCCGGTTCCCTGGCCAGGATTCAAGATCTCAGCCGCCACCATCGTGACGATGATACCTACAAACTTGTAGCCCGAGTAAGCCACCAGATCGAGCAGCTGTGAGTCATTGTTGATGCTCAAGATATAGGTCGCCAGCTTAAGGCAGAGAATCTCGAATATAATCACCGCAATGGCGGTGGTGGTGATCGAGCCCAACAGCTCAGGGTGGAAGTTACCCCGGAATCCAGCCAGGAGCACCGACAACAGAATATATGTGACTAGAGCCATGACGGGAATGTACATATCGGGCGAGTTGAGATCGTCACGCGGGGGGAGGAACATGGACGAATAGTTCTGCTGGATGATCTGTCCATCCGGTCCGGTAGAGGATGATGCCATCCGAGCTTGCTGTCGAGACCATGGCTTGTGGCGCCAGGGGAAGAGGACGAGCAGAAGCTTGCTCAGGACGTAGGAGTTGGAGACGTTAAAATAGTGCTTGAGGGCGGGTATGGAGACATAGCGGTTGAACTGTAGCACATAAGTATCAGGAAAGCATCAATCTTTATAAAAGAACCATACGTTGGACTCCATGTACTCCTGTCCAGCGGCCATGGCGGTCTTGCCAACCTGGAATCCCATCTGCGCCGTGGGTTCGTTCATGAACCCACCAAACCCGGGGCCAGGCGCGTAAGATCCACTGCCACCCTGAGCAGGCGATGGCTGATATGGGTTCCCGCCATAGCCAGCACTGGGAGGTTGTTGAGGAACTGGTGGTGGAGGTGAGCGCATCATCGGGACTGTCGAGACATGTTGCGGGACGGGGTGGTGAAGTGGCGGTGATTGCGCAGGCGGCGGAGCGAACGAGCCGCGATACATGATTAATCCCAATGAGAGAGATGTGATCGGTAGATTGAGGTGGCGAGCGGGTGAGCGTGTGACGGGGGAGAAGCGGGAACAGAGGGAGCGGAAAGTGTTTATACGTGGCTGAAGATCCAATCCGCTTCCGAGCTCCAACCTCGCCCCGTTCCGCCACCGAAGTCCCACGTCCCTGCCCTCCCACGTTGCTACTCGATATATTCGATTCCTTACAGGCGTGAACAGACTATGTTGGAGGCATTCGAGATTTTGACCACCTCAGGTGTGGTGCTCTGGTCCAAGTCCTATGCTCCAGTGGGCGCACATGTCATCAACGGCTTGATCAACGACGTCTTTATCGAGGAGAAAGTTCTGCCCCAAAATACCTCAACATCGGGAGTCTCGCCGGCATATAAGAAGGAGAAATACACTCTCAAGTGGAAGAGAGTCAAGGAATTCGATTTGATCTTCGTGGTGCGTCTGTCGCATGCGCATGCGCATCGTCTCAGGAAACTAACTCTGAGTCAATTCAGGCCGTCTACCAATCACTGCTCCACCTCGGCTGGATCGACAAGCTTCTTGAGAATATCTCGACCATCTTCATAGATCTCTACAAGGACCAAGTGAAAGGAAACCGCGCGAGAATCCAGACCTACCGTTTCGAACCATACTTTGACCAGCAAGTTCGAGAGTTGGAAGACGACACCGGCTTTGTGGAGGAACATGTGCCAGAAGCAAGCGAGAAGAAAGATTCGCTTGTCTCATCAGATAATGGAGGACCCCCTCCCCCACCTGTTCCTGGCCTGGTGAAAGCGCAGCCTAGAGCTGCGCAAGCCGGGGCGACCTCTGACGAGGGTACGCCACCAGCCACACCAGATATTTCTAGAACTTCGACTCCCCAGGGCCATCTTCTTACCGCTAAGGCCGGGCCTGGGGGTCGCGTCTCCCGCCGGGCTCGCAAGGCTGCTAATGCGAGCCCCCACGCATCTTCTGGCGATGAAAGTATCAGAAAGGGAAAGCCCGCCAAGAGCACTGCCAAGAAGATGCGCAAATGGGATGCCAGCGGGATGGCAGATGAGGATGATGGGGAGATTCTCGATTACTCTGCTCCCGCGGATGAGGGAGAGGTCGCTGCGCCGGCAGTGGAAGCCGTCTCCGCGGACGATTGGGGTCGCCGGACGGGCAAGGGCCAGTTCGTGTTGAAGGAGCTTGGTGAAGAGGTCCAGTCTATCTTGGAGCAGGCCGATGCAGAGAAATCCAAGGGCGCTGCTTCGTCGGGCGTTGTTGGCTCCGGTTTCAACGCTATTGGAGGTTTCTTCCGTAACATTGTTGGTGGAAAGGTCCTGACAGAATCCGACCTTGAGAAGCCTTTGAAGGCGATGGAGGAGCACCTTCTGAAGAAGAACGTCGCTCGTGAAGCCGCCGTCCGTCTCTGTGAAGGAGTGCAACGTGAAATGGTCGGCAAGAAGACTGGCAATTTCCAAAGCACCGACGCCGCCTTGCGAGTGGCGATGGAATCCTCCCTCCGCAAGATTTTGACCCCAACTTCTTCCTTAGATCTGCTGCGTGAGATCAACGCAGTTGTCGCTCCCACGACCAAACAGCAGGCTCCTCGGCCATATGTCATGTCCATTGTTGGTGTGAACGGCGTAGGAAAGTCGACCAACCTGAGCAAGATCTGCTACTTCCTGTTGCAAAACAAGTACCGGGTCCTCATTGCAGCATGTGATACCTTCCGTTCTGGAGCTGTGGAGCAGCTCCGCGTGCACGCAGACCGCCTGAAGGAACTCAGCTCTCGTGAAAACGCCGGTGATGTAGAAATCTACCAGAAGGGATACGGCAAAGATGCCGCCAATGTCGCCAAAGATGCCGTCGACTATGCAGCAGCCAACAAGTTCGACGTCGTGCTGATTGATACAGCTGGTCGCCGACACAACGACCAGCGACTGATGTCTTCCCTTGAGAAGTTTGCCAAATTTGCCAACCCAGATAAAATCTTTATGGTGGGCGAGGCTCTTGTTGGCACGGACAGTGTCATGCAGGCACGCAACTTCAATCAAGCCTTTGGTCAAGGCCGCAACTTGGATGGGTTCATTATCAGCAAATGCGACACTGTTGGCGACATGGTGGGAACTTTGGTCAGCATGGTCCACGCTACCGGTATCCCCATTGTGTTCCTGGGTGTTGGTCAACACTATGGAGATTTGCGCGGGCTCAGTGTCCCCTGGGCTGTTAGTTTGCTGATGAAGTAATGCCCCTGAAATGTAGATTCATAGCCTCCACTTGATATGCATCGCTCCAGAGCTTATATATTCGTTTTACTCAGTAATACCATTCCTTGCGTCTTTGGCGGCGCACGCTTTAAGGTCCAATCGTCCGTATGGTCATTTCAAGGTTTATTAATAAATATACAGGGTGGTGTATATTCATCAAGCAGGTATTGCTACCCAGTCGTCGAGGTCTCTAGGGCTTCCAATGTTTCTTTAAACATCAGGTATTTCCAAGGATTGCCACCTTGGGTGCATGAACCAATTGCACTCCGGGGCTAAGGGATTCGACGATTTTACATGCCAGGAGCCTGCGGTCCGACCTTCATAGTTTATACGTTCTAACCTTGGAAGGCTCAAGCCTTTCCCGAGGTTTGGCTTATAGCCTGTGAATTGTCTAGATCGTAGAGAACAATTTGATATCAAGTCAAGCCGAAATCGGTTCCAAGTCACCTCCTAAGGTTGGAGGCATGATCATTTACATAGCAAAAACTTGAAACATCCCAAAGGTCACACTCGTACAAGCTGGCTAGAAAGAAATCGCCTCTAGAACCGGCGATCAATGCAACAGCCAGGAATAATCTATCACACAGGCTAATGTATATTTCAAAATGCAGGAAGGCTGAAAAGCAGCAAAAACTCGTAATATCGTCATCTCAGCTTTTTGAGAGGTCTTTACTGGTAGCAAATCAAGCACCGTTCGGCTCGTCGTCGTCCGACTTGTCTCCATCACTATCCTCGCCCCAGCCTTCTGCCTCGAGGGACCGGCCGCGAATACCGAAGCTCATGACGAACCCAATGAAAGAGACAATGCCAAAGACGCCAAAGGCTAAGGCTTCTCCCTTGGGCTGAATCTTGGCCGTGAGGGAGAACAGACCTCCAGAGAGGAAGGGACCCACGGCACGCCCGGCCGCAGAAAGGGTCTGTGCCAGGCCATTGAGAGCGCCTAGGACAGCATGGTTTGGGGCGGAATTGGTGACCTGGATATGATGGTTAGCTTTTGAAAAAATGTACTGCGCTGGATCCACTTACCAAGAGCAAGGCACTGGTCAGACCACCCACGGCGGCAATAGTCTTGATCAGCAATACTAGGCACAATTCGATGGCCATGAGTGCCGACTTTCCGGTCAAGTTGTCAGTCGTCCTGCTCTTGTAGCCAATGAAGGGCATCAAAATGAATGAGACCACAAAGCCGAAGAGGCCAGCACGGTATGACCAGCGATTGCCCATCTTATCGCGCAGGCGATTGAAGATACAGATCTGGAAAATGATCGTCACAATACCAGCAAATCCTTGAGAAAGACCAATCTCAGATGGCGTGAGCGAGCGTCCAGCAGGAGGCTTGGCTTGAGCAAATATGGGGAACAGCGAATTGAAGGAGACGTTGCAGAAAGCAAAGATCAAGTAGGTCAGGAGGAGCAAGACTGTGTCTCGAGTGAATATTTCATCCCATCTGAGCTCCTCGTGATGGCCGAGGAGACTTGAGACTTCGGAGGCGGAATCCAAGTCGCTGTCGTGATCCTCGGGCTCCAGGGCGTGCCTGCCATGCGCTGATTGCGGTGCAGCCACATAAGTGGGATGGCGGGAATCGCCAGTGAACTGCCACAGCCATGCGAAAAGGCTGCGCACCTTCCTACCGATCTTGGGTAGGCTTTCGGCGTCTTCCAGACTTTCTTCCAGGAACATGGCTGTTAAGGTAAAGTCAACCAGGAGGACAAAGGCTGACAGAAGATTCGGTGCGAGATATGGGTATGGATTCTTGTTGCCCGTGAAAGGGTTCTTCTCAAGAATCAAAAGTCCTCCCAATAGAGGACCTGTGATACCTCCAATGCCATATAAGACCGGGAGGTAAGTGAAAGCCTGAGATTGGTTGCTTCGATCGGTGATCTCTCCGAGACAGGTAGAAACCAGGCCCTGGTTGCCATTGACCACACCCATCAAAGCTTGGACAACAATGGCTTGCCCAAGGGTCCTGCAGAACCCGAACGCGACAAAACACAATGCGGTCAGCAACGTGCCAAGCAGGATCACCGGCTTGCGGCCGATGCGGTCCGATAACCAGCCCCAGAAGTAATTCGTGGCAAACTGCGCCAAGGCAAATGCCGAGGCAATTGTCCCCACGTACACACCCACCTGCGTAGGTTCCACTTCGGGAAATGTGGAGGCCATGTCGGGGAGATATGGACTGATGGAATTCAGAGCCGTTTGTTCTGCTAGCGCGATCATGGCCAGGACTGCCATCTGCCTCTTGGGGAGAGGGGATGACGTCCCAGGGGAATCGGCGGGTTCATGATGGGGATCGTGCGAGCCGTCTGCGGAGGACTCGGACTGTCCCGAGTTGGGTCGACCACGCGACTTGGGCGGCGGGGTATCGAAGGTCTGGTAATGTTGCGTGGAGGAGCGGCGATTGAGCGAAGCCCTGTCTGGGCCCGTCATTCTGGCAACACACCGGTGAATTCAGGAGCGAATGTCGAGTTCCCAGTGACCATGCGACTGGAGGTTGCCGAGGGTCTTGGGGCGTGGAGTCGTGTGAGAGCTTAAGGGTGGTCACAGCAGGCACCGCGGTGATAGGTTTTGAGCCAGTGAGGGATCTTCCAGGTCAAGCAGCTCTGCGGAGAGTTTCCAGGTCAGATTCACTAAGTCAGAAGTGATGAGATGAGAGGTAACACTGAGAAAAGACCGCAATCGGGAAAGCAGGGAAACCCCGATGATGTAAGCGTCTGGGGTTCGCTGAGTCAATTGTTCTGGCCAGCGACAGTGGCGCAATTATTCATGCACATCTTTGTGATCAGGGTGCTGATATGTATACTGTAGGTATGCAATTCCCTTTCCTATTGGTGTGATGAGAAGCCCTTGCATATGTTGATCTCTGGTTAATTGCATTGTGTCACTGCTGGAGGCTGGGAGACCGAGCCAAGACACCGAAGTGCCCATGCGCATATGTACCTGTCGACATATGGTAACCTGTCTGTCAACCCGTCTTGATTTACATGCAGGCCATGGCTCTGTATCGTCTATATTAGATGCATAATCGAGGTCATATCGATGAAAAACTCATATTTAAGCCAAATACCGTTCTCATTGGAACATGTACAGGTGAATATATATCCATGCTAGCCTGGAGTACATACGGGTACTCCCGAGGTCGTACCTATCAGCATGCTCCGGCACATAAATTTGTTTCAATATTTCTTTTTCTCTCAAATGAATTAAGGACTGTATTTAACCTTGGAACATTGGAAGGATAGTTACCCATGATACAAGCGGACTTACATGCTGGCTGCGAAGCTGTCAATTGGTCATGTTAGCATATACAGGAACGGCCCGAATAAGCTCTCCTTCATAAAGTCAAAAAGCGCGTCAGTTTTCATCAACCAGCCAAGTGGCCGAGCAGTAACTCAGCCATCTCATCTTCCTTGGTCTAGTGGTGATGATTTCCGCTTGTCATTAACACCGATAAGCGCGGGAGACCGGGGTTCGATTCCCCGAGGGAGAGATTTCTTTTTTGTCCACGTCCACTCTTCAAAGTGGCCCGATTTTTTGATCACTCGGTGTATATTATCTGTGACGCCCAGCACAGTAGCCTGCCCAGGCTGGACCTCCGGAGTTGAAGACCTGTAACCTCCCTGTGATTTAAGGGCGGGTAATCTGTGCCTGGCCACAACATCTGGGAGCTACCCTTGGGTACAAGGAGTGGCTACGAAGAGACAATTGACGATCAAAGAATAGTTGTTCTATGACTCAGGGGAAGTAGCTGGTGTACTGAAGAAATGCCTCATCGATCTCCGGTGTCTTGTCACCTATACGGCTCATCTCTGCATAGTTGAAGTTGCCGTTTATCCAATTCCCAGGAGCTGACCCTGGATGCATATCAGCTGAAGTAGATCCCGGTAGACTCCCCCGTAGCGAGATTCGATCGGAGACCACGGGCGACAAAGTTTCCCTACCAGCTATGGAGCTGGTAGCCACTGGATAAGGTTGGAGATTGAGATGAATCGTTATTGGCTCCATCATCGAAGGGAGAGTCTGGCGTATCTTGGTCAGCAAAAGTGGCAGGTATCTTCGCCGCCCCCCTGGAAGGTCATGTATGAGAGTACATAGGTGCTTGAGATAGTCTTGTGGGCCAAGCTTGAAACCAGAGGAGCGGAGACCTGCTACCGAGAGGCAGGCCATAACATCGACCAAGGTGCACGCTACTTCGAATAATTTTTCAATCTGGGCTCATTTAGTAAGATGTGGATGAGTAGCTGATAGAGAGAAGAGAAGCATACCAGTCCGATACCATGAGTTTCCATGCTCTGTTTTGATAACTTCCATGTCGCGAGACACAAATCTTCCGCGATCTGTAGAGGGTGGCGAAAATCCATGCATGCATGGGCAGGGCTTGTTGACAAAAAGCCTGCCGTGGTCGAAAGTTGCCAGATCATGATCCGAAGCCATTGTTGAGATACGCGCAAGTCGGCCATGAGTATATCGGGCAAATCAAGATCGACGGGAACTGCATTTTGGATACGCTCCTGGAGTTGGACTAGCGACTCAATCGAGCATGTTGCATTTGTCCCATTCCATTGAGCAAGGAAGGTTTCGTCGAATGGACGATAAAGATCAACTAAACACAGAAAGCCGGCATTTGATGTGGGCGAATCGGGATCGTCTTCCAATCGAGGGCTTTCGGTGGTCACTTGGAGGGTGATAGGTCTATGCCGTCTGATAGCATGGGCTCTATGAAATGTTCAGCCCAGAATGAGTTGAGAGCAGCTGCATATTTTACCTCTCTGATATTACTAGCAACCAGAACAATTTTCCTTCTTCGAAAGGGTCATCGTCTGCTTGCCTTGAAGATGGTTGGTCGTCCAGAGCACTTGCAGTATAGAGGGTTGTCGCCTCCCGAAGAAAGTAATAAGCATGTCTTTGATTCCCAAGCCCGATATGGCATCCATAGAGAAGAAATGCGATGATAATGCTTTGGCGTACAGGATCCGTGACTGGATCAATGTGTTTTCGAGCCTCGGTAGCTTCTGTGATCAAGGAGGCCCGGAATTCCTCAAGCGAGAAGTTCACAAAGTGATCCGAAGCATCATGCTCTACCGCGAATCCAGTTTGTGTAACCACAAAGGCACATAAAGCAGTGACCAAGCAATATGCATGGAGACACGTACCAGCAAGATCTATGTGCTTCCGAAACTCATTGGGTTGTAAGATCGGCACTGTCCCACGCATGCGCGAGAAGAAGTATTCCGAACAAGCATCGATAAGACCATGACTCAGAAGTCCCGGAGCTCGCGAAAATTGGCATCTGCCCGAGACCTGCGGTGACTGGGGCGTTGTTAAGCTCTCAAGTCTTGGAACCGCAAAAGGCGAAGAAATATTTGTTTCCCGCGTGGGAACTTGTTCATTCTCTTTTGATCGGAGCTCGGTCAAAATGTTGGCAGTCTGACCCTGTCGACCTTTCCTCTGTCGTTGTATCGACGTTCGGCAGACTAAGCCGGCAGACTGACATTGCTTACAAGGACGTGGGGAGATGCACTTGACCTTGCGTCGGCGACAGGCATCACATGCTTTCTTAACCGGCGAGTCTGACATGGAGTCTTGAAAGCAAAAAGTAGATGGCAAATGTCAGTCGCATTGCCGAATTCCGGGGATGCGGAGGGAAGTCGGAGGGAAGCCGGGGAAAGAGTCCGGTTGCCTTATTGCTCAGGCCACTACGCTTTTAGTTATTGTTTTGGTAATTAATTTTGATTTTTCAATTTTTTTGTAAGAGTGAACTGTCTATTTATTAGGTCACATCCTTCTGATGTTTTAAATGAATGCGAAGCCCTGCTTCGTGATGCTAATGGTAAAAGATGCAAATGATTAAGCAGCGCAAGTAAAGACACCCGAAACTGATCCCGAGCGATATTGATCAATCTAGAGATTTTTGTTAGCTGGCTGCTGAGAGCAAGGGGACATGTCGGAATATCAAAACTTACGATATCTTGAACGGAGGTGTAGGTGCCAGCGACCAGGATCAAGAGTCCGAGCAAAAAGATGATCCCATTCAGAATCGCCAGAGCGATATTCCTGGGTGTTGTGATGGGACCCTCTCGCAAAAGGAAGAACCACATCATAGCGGGGAAATAGAAGGTGAAGCCGGAGATGAACAGAGCCGACATGAGAGAAAGCAAGTCACTGAAGAAGGGAATGACCTCGGCGATGATGAAGGCAACGATGACGGTAACCAGGATAATGGAAAGCCAAGTAATCCAACCGACAGGTGTGTTGATGAATCGGATGTAGGAGTTTTTGAATATCCGCCCGTGAACCATCCGCCCGAAAACAACAATGTTGATCGAACCGCTGATGAAAATGACCGGGAGGGCGATTCCGAAGACCAGGCGGCTAAGGAAGTGGCCTGCGGATAGAAGAGCCGGGCTCTTGACGTCCTGGCCAACGAAAGCGTACACCAGGGCACCGGTCAGGGTGTAAACGATGATTTCAATGAATCCCAAGGACCAGATGGATTTCATGTAATCGGAAGGGGTGTGCATCTCATCCATGAATGAAATTTGGCAAAGCGTGATGGTGTAGGCGAAGGCAATATTCGTACCAGCGATGAAAGCCTCGGAGAAGGTAATGTTTTCTTTCGGCCACGCAGACCAATTGACGTTGCTGAGACCTGGGGATTTTGTCGCTTCGACACCAGTGCCGATGATCGTGATTGCAACTGCGATCAGAATTGAAGCAAAATCCACGTAACCGAGAATGGCGACTTCGGTAAAGCTAGGTGGGATAGCAAGGAGGAACAGGATGATGGCGGAAACAACGGCGAATACGATTGAGCACGTGTTGCTTTCGGTGATGGTTTCGAAGGCAATTGTGCCCGTAAGGCAATGCGATGCTCCTAGGAACACCAGCAAGAGGCCAAGCATGACAGTGACAAGCTCGTATCCAAATCGACCGCAACCGAATTTGCTGAACAACAGTTGGGCGGCATCGGGGAAGTTGGTGATGTGTGGATTTAACACTTTCACACGACCCACGATGTAACTGGTGTAGATGGCGATGAAACCGATTCCAATGCAGGTGATCACACCTCCAACCATACCGAGGGTAGCAAAGGTGGACGGGATAGAGAGGGTGCCCAATGCGACCGCTTCGGCGACGAGCACGATGGTCAGTCGCTTCCAACCTAAGCGGTTGAATTTCTGGATTCCATGCTCTTCAATCTGTCGTTCCCTCCCATTCATTTCTTCGACGGCGAGTTTCTCGCCATCTACTCCCATCATGGTGCTCTCGTAGTCACGCTTGGTTTTCGTGTCAGTGGATGTTTCGTTGAAAGAGGAAGCCATTGTGGCCAATGTGAGAATCCCGAGTCAGGACAAAATAGGGTGAAGTGACTCTGAGATATTCGATGTGGAGAGAGATAAACAGAAAGGAGAGCTAAATATAAAGGAAGAAGAAAAAAGATCTGAACTCCACATCGGCGAACAAAGTTGACTCAGTCCGGGGCAAGATCTCCTTTATCGGAGCAGAAATTCTCGGAGACTAATCCACAACCGTTGACCCGATCCAAGGTCGGTGTTCTAGAATATTTCTGAACCACTGACACTTTACTTCGATTTTGACTACGACGCGTATATTACTATATTATAATAAGGCAAGTTTAAAGAAAAAGTCCGAGTGATAGCTACGTAGTACATGTAGCACGTCAAAAATATCGAGGGTAGTACTCCGTACGGAGTCCAAAATACCAAGAACCAAGAAGAGACCGGAGAGAACATCGGACACGCGGGAGGCGAAAAAAAAGAAAAAAGAAAAAAGCAAAAAACAGAGTTCCCGGAGTCCGGCCCTCGACCCCCGGGAGCGCCGCTGCAGGGATTTCTCTTATGTAAAACGCCTGGGGCGGGCGACTCCGACGCCACGTGGATTATGCATAGATGAGCCGACATCCTTATGCGGAGAAGCTGGGCCTAGCCAATTTTCAAAAAGTACGTTTAGTAACTCAGGACTTACTATTTGAATTTCGTGGCTGATAAATGAGATTAAAGTTGTCTATATGTAAACACGCCCTTCAAAGGCCTTCAACGTTTCGAGTGGCGAATCAGCATAGTTTCCCACTAGTAGTTTCATGCCCCTAGTCTTATCAACCTGAGTGAATGGTTGCGCTTGGTCCGTGAAGTTGAGAACAACCAATGCCCGTGCGTCATCTCTGGACTTGACAAAGCAAAACGTTTCTAGATTGTCATAGTCAAGAACCTCGAATGCACCATGGATAAAGAGATCTCGATGCTCTTTTCTCAGACGCAGAACATCTTTCCAAAATGAGAGCACACTGGATGACTCATTTTCTTGTTTCTTCACATGAATCTCGTTGTAAAGATCATGCGCACGCATCCATGGCTGCCCGGTAGTGAAGCCGGCGTGGGCGGAGTCATCCCATTGCATCGGCAATCGGGAGTGGTCACGAGCCAGAGTACGAAGACCATTCATGATGAGATCTTTGCGCGTGGTATCGCCTCCAGCACTTTGCCGCTCTGCTTCGCGGTAGTAGCCCAGCCCTTCGATATCTTTATACTCCTCAATGGGCCATTCACGAGGGGCATTGATCATGCCGATCTCTTGACCTTGATAGATGAACAGAGTGCCGGTCATGGTAACCATCATTAGAGCAAGCATCTTGGCAGAGATCTCTCGGAACTCCGGAGAGTCCGATGCAAAGCGCGAGACGGACCGCCCATTATCATGGTTTTCGCAAAACGCAGTTGTCCAACCATCGGTGCCTTCGATGAAGGTCTGCCATTTCTCCACGATCGATTTCATCTTGGTCAGCTTCCACGGAGTCAAGATGTATTTTTCTTCCAGACTGGGTCCCATGCCAATGTGTCCAATGTCCAGATGAAACACCATACTCAGTTGCTTGGCAGACGCACCCACGTACTCAAGGACATTCTTTGGATCGGGAGTATTGGCAAGCTCGCCGACTGTCATGACATCCCCGTAGGGAGCGAACGAATCGTCGTACATCTCACGCAGGAACTCGTGAATTCGAGGCCCATTACACCACATCCCAATGGCAGGTTGTATATAGCTCTTGGGATCCGTGACAGGGGCATCGGGGAAGTCTGTATGCTTGCTGTATTTGTTGACGGTGTCAACTCGGAAGCCATCGACGCCTTTATCGAGCCAAAAGCGAACAGCACTGTTGTAAATGGCCTCACGCGTGGCTTTGTTGTCCCAGTTAAGATCAGGTTGCTCTTTGGCGTAGAGGTGTAGGTAGTATTCTTCTGTCTTCTCATCCCAAGTCCCTACAAGAAGGTTGATGTTAGGTCACGAGCACAAAAAGGCAGCCCTGGAAAATGAAAGACATACACGTGCTGCCGGCAAAATAACCCCGATAATTACTCGGGGGCATCCGGTTTCCAGCATCATCATATCGAGGCGGGCGCCAGAAGTACCAGTCACGCTTTTCGTTGTCTTTGCTGCTCCGGCTTTCTTGGAACCAAGCATGTTGATCGCTGGAGTGATTGACGACAAGATCCAGGATGACTTTCATGCCTCGCGAATGGCAAGCTTCCACGAGGTTCTCCACATCTTGCACGGTTCCATATGCGGGTAGCACGTTTTCATAGTCGGAGACATCATAGCCCATGTCGTGCATGGGCGAGTCATACATTGGCGATAACCACACGACATCGACGCCTAACGACTGCAGGTAGGGGACTTTCTCAACAACACCGGGGATGTCGCCCCAGCCATCACCATTGGAGTCATAAAAGGAAGCTGGATAGACCTAGGAAGTGAAAATGTCAGTTCAATCTCGGGAGCTAATTTGGGATTTCCCAACCTGGTAGACAGTAGCCTCTTTCCACCAGTTGTTTGTCCCCGTGGGAACTTCATTTTCTTGAATTGCGTGTGGTGACATGATTTGAAGATACTTTCGCCCATTTTCACTTTTTCATCGCCAACTTATACCTTATAGCCTCCGGACACAAGTCGGACTGTACAGATGCGGGGATAACTACATGCCCGCCAAGCCTCCGACCAACGACCGACTTGCTGCCGACAGCCTCGAATCCGGCGCCGTGATTCGTCCATGCGACCCCCCACGGCTTCGATTTCCCCAGTTTTGTCCAAAATCTCAAACCCAAGTGACAGGCCATGTGCATGTTCCCCGGATCAGCGGTGCGGTGCACTAGATTATACCTCTGCGTCGCTACTGTCGACCCTGTATAAAATGCCTGTTTTCCCCCGATCGGTCGGCTTCATCATGCTTGGAAATTGACATGTTTCTGCAGAGGCTTTGACTTAGATCTAACAAGCATCTCTCATTTGGGTTGATGGTTTTTTGCCCTTGACCTTTTCAACTCTACAAATCATACGTTATCCTTCCTGCAGACCGCTGCCCCGATTCTAGGAATGGCGTCAACTGGAGATGGCGTCAAAACGGACGACAAGCTTTCACTCGTGCTCGCCGAGGGAAGACATGCTGCCAGGAAAGAGCAATCGATGACCCTCTGGCAAGCCCTGCGACTATATCCGAAAGCCATTGGCTGGTCTGTCCTCCTCTCGTCTACTCTCATCATGGAAGGGTATGACCTCGCGCTGTTGAGTTCGATGTATGCGTCTCCTGCCTTCAACCAGAAATTCGGCGAGCAGACAGCTTCAGGAAAATGGGCTGTCCCAGCATCCTGGCAGTCGGGTCTCTCAAACGGTGCACGTTGCGGTGAAGTCATCGGACTTTTGATCAACGGTCTGGTCTCGGAGCGTTTGGGCTATCGTCGAACAATGATATGTGCTCTACTCATGATCACGGCTGTCATATTTGTTTTCTTCTTTGCCGTCAATGTGCAGATGTTGTTAGCAGCCGAGATCCTGGCAGGTATCCCGTGGGGAATTTTCCAGACTTTGCCAGCGGCCTATGCCTCTGAGGTATGCCCAGTTGTCCTGCGACCATATTTGACAACTTTCATCAACATGTGTTGGGTTTTCGGACAATTCATCGCAGTGGGTGTCAACCGCGGGTCGATATCTCGTGGCGATCAATGGGCATGGCGCATTCCTTTCGGCGTTCAATGGGTCTTCCCCATTCCCATTATCGTCGGTTGTCTCTTTGCACCCGAGTCGCCTTGGTGGCATGTGCGCCAAGGCAATGTCCAAGGAGCTCGACGAGCACTCCAACGCCTGACATCGTCCAATGATCCAAGTTTCGACCCTGAAGAAACCATCGCCATGATTCAACATACAAATGAGCTGGAGAAATCGCTCACCACTGGAACGACCTATATGGACTGTTTCAAAGGAACTAACCTACGTCGCACCGAGGTGGTTTGCTTTGTCTGGCTAGTTCAGACTTTATGTGGCCAAAACCTGATGGGGTACTTTGCCTACTTTTGTGTCCAGGCCGGCCTACCCACGGTTGAATCCTTCAACATGTCACTTGGACAATATGGACTTGGTGTCATAGGAACCATCGGATCATGGTTCTTAATGAGCTATGCAGGCCGCCGAACAATCCATATCGCAGGCCTGGCCAGTCTCTTCGTTCTCCTCATCATCACAGGCTCATTGTCATTTGCTCCAGAAGAAAACAACGCGGCCAAGTGGTCGATCGGTGTGATGCTGATTATCTTTACCTTCTGCTATGATATCAGCGTCGGCCCGGTCACATACTCCCTTGTTTCTGAACTGTCATCAACTCGTCTGAAGGCAAAGACAATCGTGCTTGCACGAAGCTTATACAATATCAGCAACATCGTCGTGAATGTTCTCACGAACTATCAACTGAACTCCACGGCCTGGGACTGGGGTGCGCGGTGCGCATACTTCTGGGCCGGCACGTGTCTGGTATCTCTGGTCTGGGCATTTTTCCGCCTCCCTGAGCCGAAGGGCCGCACATATGAGGAGCTGGATTTACTGTTTGAGCGCGGGGTCTCAGCACGGAAATTCGCGAGTACAATTGTGGATCCATATGAGGGCGAACCTACGGAGGTACACGAAGCAAATGTGGACAAGTATTGATTTAATCAGCTATATCGGAGGACTAGAACTATAATATTCGGGATTTGTTTTCAAAGTACTATCAACGCAAGCAAGAGTCCCTACTAAACATGAAACCCGGCGACCCTGAATACCTAGGTAGAGGAACACTCGAGGCTCCTGGCTATGTATCCTCCAGACTACCTACCTATGTATGTATTTGAAGAAGCCTACCTAGGGTCCTGACAGGGTCTGTCATCATTACTCGAGGTGAGAACCTTGGAAGTAGGAAGCTGACAACGGATACCACCTGGGCAGCCCCAGAGGCATAATTCATGAGTTGTAAAGATATAATTCGGTACTGATTGTGTTTAGCAATAAAACCCAACAAGCTGATGGTTTTGGTCCTGGTTTTGATCTCGAGTGCACCTTCACCACTTCTCCATTGAAATCAAGCTCGAGCCCCCGAAAGCAATTTACTGGTCGAACTGCCATTCCAAATCATATGCCAAGTTACATGACGGGGGGTGGTTGTAAAAATCCTCCGGAATGACATAGGTACGATATTTTTCATCAGCTTGGCGGTGGTAAAACTGGATAAAACATAACATGCAAGGGACTTTTGACTCCACTTTGCGAGTAACTTTGTCGTAACAGGGAAGTGCTAGTGACCCCATGGTCATATAATTGAAGTCTGGAGATACCTGCACCACCTGTGGTAATACACCCCAGGTAGAAGAAGGATCTGCAGCAACCTCCCCGAGCGCTGGCAAGGATGTATTCGGAGGACGCTTGCAAATCTGTTCTGCCTGATAAAGGGAGGCGAGCCTGAAGGGGGTGGCAAGTCTGCCATATTCAGGACCCAGTGGGGGAGGTATGAAAGACTTGAGTTGATCGACCTCAGCTTTGGTCATTTGAAAACGGTATATGATTGACTCCAGACCCCGCACTTGAGTTTCCGGAGAGCTGCGGCGGCAATCGACGCAGCATCGCTTCCAGATTAGGAGAGAAACGTATCCACTGAATTTACCACAGAAGCTGCATTCCATGGTGCACAGTATATTCTCAAAGTCGCGTAGAGAGATGTCAACAGCAAGTCCTGTGTGTAACAATGTGTTGAAGACCTCGAGCCCATGCGTGACCATCAGCTGATACGGTTGTAGAGAGGTCACTAGGTGTCTCAGTTGAAGATTGACCTGTCGGAGGTTGAACAAAGAATCAAGATCCAGAATTTGAATTACTTCGATCAAGATCTCAGTAGGTAGTCGGCCCAGGTAGCCTAGTTCGGCATTTGAGGCCCGCTGAAATGTTTCGCTTACGGACCGACAGCCCCAGAGTCTGGCCTTCTCGCGACCGAGTTTCGTCAGAAAAGGGACACGAGGTGGGTGTCTCTGATCGGGAGGTATACCGTCAGAGCTGTCAGAGCTGGTAGAGTGATCTGATTGTGGATTGGAAGAGGTCGGTTCGAGAGGAGCCATAGCTGAGAGCTGGAGACTGCAAAACGACTCGAATGGGTTGATGACCCTAAGACGTGTCTCTCGGCAAAGATGAGTGTAGACATGAAGAGCTCAGACTGCAGGAAAACAAAGAAAAGGTGTGCAGAGAAGGAAAGAGCGATGGAAAGGAACGATCTATATTATTAGTGCCTGAGGCAAACACTTTCCCTTGCCGGAGGTCGATTTTCATGGACTTCAGGGCTGTCATCACTTCGACATCGAAGGTAAATTGTCTTAACAGAGCATCTTACTTACACTGATAGTTTGTAGGCCGGGGTGCCGTCGATAAATGGGAGATAGGGTCATTGGAGCTCGATAGAGGCCTAGAGAGCACTGATACTCAGACGACAGCAAGGCGAGTAAACCTCACCTCCCTCCAAGGTTGCCGGATTTCAGGCTGCAACATGCTCGAAATTCTAGAACAAACCAAACGAAGCCCTCTTGAATCACTTGACAGAGCCCTACGACGACAGGGGTAAGGACCGCCAGAGAGTTGAAACTTGATGGAGAGACCAGGTTAATCCATGCGAAGAAATTCGATGACCTCACCTCCCCAGCACAATACTCCGACAAACGCGCCGACGATAGAGGCCCAGGTATGGATTACAGCCGGGGTAACACTCACTTCAGCATCCGAGGCATAACTCGCGGTATTGCAAGCTGGGCACACCAGACACCGAAACTAACCCCGATGAGGCAATCCTTGAGAGGCCCACTTCTACCTAGACCAAAATCACTCCATTCACCACGGCAAAGAGTTCATGAACTGTCAAGTTACTATGCTTGGTTGGGACAACAAACGCCACATACTTCCAAGGTTACTCCTCACTGCGCTCAAGCCCGACAGCCGAGATATCCCCCGCTTCCAGGTGATCGCTGCTTGGCATACATCGATCAGGAAGATATGATGTCTTTAGGACCCGCGGACATCCGGCAAGTCCGTGATTTATGTAGGCGACCTTGTTCCCTGCTTGGAGCTAAAGGGTACTCTTAAAGCGAAACCTTCCGTCAATCTCCTAACCATAGGCACGGTCGGTCTTCCCTTGCACCATGAGATACCAATTCTTTTGGGCTACACTGCTCGCCAGTGGTCAGAGCCTGGCGGCTCCTTTTGCTCAAAGGACCACTCATCCATCTGTCGATTCTCTTGGCTCCCTTCGTGCTCTGCATTACAACAACTTGGGACCCCAGAACAATGGTACCTCGGCGGTCCTCGTGCACGACACACTAAGCTTTGACGATGCCATATTAAAATGTGCAGCCATCGGAGAGAGTGTCTATCCATGGTCCAAGGGAGTCTGCAATAGCCAAAAGGAGCTCCAGTATCAATTAGATTATCTCGTGTTTGCCAAGGAACTTCAACCCGACGACTTCGTGTGGATTTCGGCCAACAACAGCATTGGGAACTGCTCTGCCTTTTCTCTTGAGGACAAAAAGGTCATTCAAAAGCCATGCAAAGAGAACTTGCCAGCTCTCTGTACTTCAACTGTTCCTCCAACAACCGACCTCGACCGAGATGTCAGAAACAAGACGAAACTCACCGTCGAGTCAAAGGGCTATAAGCTCACTGGATATCGCGATGCACGCTCCTTCCGTTTCCTTGGCGTACCATTCGCAAACCCCCCGGTCAAAAACTTGCGATTTGCTCCACCACAGGCCTACAACGGATCCAAGAGACTCGAGGCAACCAGCATGGCGGACTCTTGCATCCAATCGGTCTCAAGCTTCGGAACTCTGGGTACAGGTGGTATCTCTGAAGACTGCCTGTATTTGAACGTTTACACACCATACTTGCCCATGAAGCCTACGAACCAGACTTCTCTTCGGCCTGTGGCGGTTTACCTGTACGGAGGTGCCTTTACAAAGGGAAGTTCTGCCATGGTTGACTACGACGGTGGAAACTTTGCCAGCCGTAGTGATGTCGTCGTTGTGACACTCAATTACCGCCTCGGAGCCCTGGGCTTCCTCTCAACCGGGAACAAGACGACCGGAAGCTACGGCATTCAAGATCAGATCATGGCGCTGAAGTGGGTGCAGAAGCACATCGGTGCCTTCGGCGGTAACGCTTCTCACGTTACTGTCTTCGGTCAGTCTGCCGGAGGTCAGAGTGCCGTGGCACTCCTCTCTTCTACCGCAGCGAAGGGTCTTTTCTCAGGTGCTCTAGTTCAGTCTGCGCCTTTGGATCTCCCATGGTTCCCCCGCGCGCTGTACTCAGATTATATTGCCCCACAGGTCGGAAAGGCTGTTGGCTGCAACGATACTCGATCCGAAGCGAGTTTCCTCAAATGTCTCCGATCTGTCCCAGCATCGAGATATGTGGATAACTCCACTGCATTCCAAAATGCTACCAAAGCCATTGCCTCTAGCATTGCCAAACACTATTACCAAAACACGGAGCTGCTCTCTGCCACCGAGCCGTTCATGCCCATGGTAGACGACTCAGGATCTGGTGTGATCGACGGTCAATTCCACACCCTCCTCGAAAACGACTCGCTTCCCATTCGTGTCCCGGCCATGTTTACCACAGTCCGTGACGAGTCGAGTCTCTACACTGGGCGCCAAGTTCCCAATTTGGGATCAACCCAGCTTGCTCTTAACGTCTTGCTCAAAGCCACATTCGGTAGCAAGTTGGCTCCTCAACTCATCGATTCGGGTGCCTTCAAGATCAATGGCTCAGACTCAGATGGCGTGCGAAATACCGTTTCAGATGCCTTGACGCATAGTGAATGGTCCTGTGCTCAAGGACATCTCCTCAACATCTCAGACTCGGCCTTCCCATCTTTGTACGAGGTCGAAATTGAAGATGGCCACATTCAAACGAATATGAGTGTGCCGGCGATATGTTCTCCAAACAATAACTACAATGCTTCATGCCATGCTTCGGATGTGCTACTTGCCTGGGGTACACTGAACTCCAAGACGAAGAACGTGGACCCGTACTACAACCAGAAAGAGATTCTGCATTCGCAGTTCATTCACGATATGTTCGGCGCGTTCTTCCGTACACGCAACCCGAACCCAGATCCTGAATTCTTGAAGGTCCGCGGCCCGGCTTATGCTAGTACTCTCGCCATCACTGCCGGCACGCATGCCGGTAGAAACCAATCCCATGCGAAGGATGCCTATACCATTCAGCAATATCGTGGATCGGAGCGGAATATCTCCCTGGTGGGAACGACACCGTCCACCACGCCCAACTATATCAACTCGGAAAAATGCGCCGTGTTCCAGGATTATGGCTTCACATTTGAACGGGCAAGGTTTACCGATTGAGTATGTATTAATCATTGGAATCCATGATACTTGGACATACGGATCTTTGCTCATAAAGCAAAGGTAATGATTTAATGAAATGTCCAATTAGGTTTACTGTAGCCTTCCAAGTTGCTGGTCATAGTTCAAGAAGTTAGTGCGTAATTCCAAGGCTCGTGGTTATCGCCGAGAGAAAATGATGAAAAAGGCCAACGCCATTGATATAATCCAGAAGACGACCATAAATACCCGACCACGCCAATCCATCGAAGAGATCTAAACAAACGCAAACGAGCCCCCCAAAATAGTTTGGAGATGCATAATTCTGTCGTAAAGGGGTTGGGATGCACGCACAGCCTTGTGTGAGAGATCAGAGAACTGTTCGGGGTGACATGCGAGGCGGAAAAGCCCAAGTGAGATGAGAGAGAATCAAATGAAAAGGGTGTAGAAATTCCGAAGACAAAAGAGGAAAATAAATTCGTGAGAAGTGTCATCGCTCATAGATCGGGGCCCGTCGTAACGGGACATAGTCTTCAGGTCCCCCAGAAGGCGTGTATCGCTTCGCAGCCAAGCTTCTCGGACTTGCCCAGCCGTTAGACCGATGCATGCCCGCGCTACTATACGACCTTGGTCGCTCGGATCCACTCCCTCCACTACTGGGTCGGCTCCCACTGCTACCGCCGCTATGGCTTCCTCGCCTAATCTCCTCTGCGGCGTATGGGTCGAGGTGTCTTGGAACTGCGCGCGGTGGGGGAGGGGTAGGAGACCTGTAGAGTGGTGGGGAGGGTGCCGCGGGGGCTGGAGCTGAGTCGCCGAAAATGAACTCACGGAACTTGACGCCCGCTGTTCTGGAGCGAGGGGGGTCTTTGTGCCTTGAAGATGTTTCTGGGTGGGATTTGCTAGAGCGCGAAGAATGACTTTCGTGACTGCGACGGTGGCGGCGAGGACCTGGTGAAATGTCTCGGAAAGGGCGCCGGGTGTAGGCCTCGTGGGAGTGACGTCTAGCATTACTGTTTGAAGGAGGTGAGAGGTGGCGTCTTTCTCGGTGTCGAGTGGTGTGAGATCGCCCTTCGGAGGTGTGGAGCTCATCTGATGATGGCTCAAAGACTTCTGGTTCCTCGGCCCCTGGGCTTAGTGGATGACTGCGTCCGGGTGCTTGCTCCCGGCCTCTAGAGTGACGCGGGTGGTCACCCCATGGAGGTGGTGATGAGACTCGTGGTGTTGAAAAACCGGACCGAGCCTTGGCTTGCCTGTGCCCAGACTCGGCAGGGTATTCTCCGCTATGGTGTCGGCGGTGATGGCGATGTCCGCTAGGCCGGTCAGGGTCTGCGCGGTTATTTCGCTTCGATGATGCATGGGGTTTGGCCCGTGAAAAATAGTCATCTTCTTCAGGCAAAGGGTCTTTCCCGCTGAAAGTATAATGATATGTGCCGAAGTCTGGCGGCGAAGCACGTTTCGTATGTCTTTTCAAATAGTCGTGTTCTAATCTTCGACTTACCCCTTCATGCCATTCAAGCATCTCTGGATCAGGCTCTGACGGAAATGCATCCCGTGGTATTGATTTGGGGAATGGTTCCCCATTTGGGTCTGTAAGGTCCCAAAGACCAACCGCATTCTGTAGGTACATTGAGTGTTCATCCGGGTCCATCAGCAACTGTATCGTCTGCCAGCGCACAAAGCCTGTTGGAAGTAGCGATGGTATCGTTGGAGCCTCGTATGGATTGGACGAGGGCTGTAAGCTGTGGAAACATCCTAGCGACTGGTATATGAATGACAAGGCTTGGGTTTTGGTCTCGAGGAACAAAGGGTCGTAATTCCCGCCGACCTTGCGATAGAACGTCGCCATGCGCTCTGGAGTGATATCGGTAGTTCCATCTTGGTCAAATGTTGGCTATTGCCTGTCAGCATATCTGAATGCGGTCAATCCAGGAGGACTCACCATCAGCTGAGCGATTCCCAGACATAGCTGTTCGAGCAGCGGGGCGGGGCTCTTGTCAGCATTGATCAGCGTACCCCAGGTATTCTGTGCAGAAGACATGGGATCAAAGTGAGTCGTCTGCAAGCAGACGCATCAACTCATATTCAGGTTGAGATTGGGCGCAAAGAAAGATAGGCAGCGAGGGGCGGTCAGGCACGGGACCCACTGCGGGGGAACCAAAGAATGCGATCTATAAAAGTGACACTCCGTAAGTCAATGGTTTGTTGATATTGCTGAGATTGAAATTATCCAGGTGTGTTTGTGAGATTGATTATATTCAGCTTGAAATACATGTGACTGATGCCTGACTGAGCTGCTGCGTGACAAGCCTAAAGTGGCGCAGTGTGACCCAGTCGCTAGACCGTTCGGGGGCCCCTTGTCATGCAACCTGGCACCGTACAGTGTCATGAGTCAATAACATCTCACTCGATTATTATTCTCCTGGGATAGTGGGCCAGCTGAAAGTGAGATTTCTTTCGGCAATTTTCGTTCACTGTGTAGACGGTATGTGTTGCATACCTACTGAGCCCGGTTGAGCGACTTCATCCTGTCCACAATGAAATGTCAGGCCAGGAATATGCTCCATCAGTCATAGACGGGTCAATCAAGTCAAAATCAATATCGGGTTGCGCCAAAAACTCCTCCATGCTCTCTCCCAGAAACGCCATGTCATTGGTCAGATTTCCGGCTGTTGTTTCCGCAATGCCAGGGATGTTATGATCTTTGGAACTGCCCATGTGCTGGGAAGATATCATAGGAAGAGGCTCGGTTGAGTGTTCAGACAGGCGAACAGATCCAGCCTGCTGAGAAAGCCCAATTTCTGGCTGATCGCTTTGATTCAAGCACTGTCGGACGCATTCCAGGTTATCGTAGAACTCCGCCGCAGCGAGATTTCCGTGGTCGCTCATCGCCCTAAGAATCTCAAATGCCGCCTCAAACAAGGCAAAGTCATTGCCATTATCAGCATATACCTGGCTAGACACGACCATCACCAGCGCCGAGGAGAACAGGTAGTGTGCGTAAAAGTATCCGAATATCGGAAGTGATCCGTTGATCCATTCCTCCATTATTAAAGCGTGTGTATTCCTTGCAGAATGTATACAAGCCTCTCTGAGTGTTTTGAGTGTTTGTCGAATGGCCACTTGCGATTCATCTTGGGGTTTTGAGCATTTGGCCTGAATGAGAGCGTGAAGAAGCACCGGTCGGCTTGCTAACATGATACACTGTGTCTTATTAGCGAGTTATCCGCGCCCTTGAGGTTGTCCCCACTCACTTGATTGAATTGGAGATGCAAGGAAACCACATTCTTTGGAGCTGGCCCGTCCCGGTGAAGTCGGATCTGCGGAGGCAGGGCAAAGCACCACTGTTTGAGTGCGATAAGGAGTTTTTGCTCTCGTTGCAAGAATGAATCCGTGTGGCTCTTGCGACTGTAGATTTGGTCACTGACCTGCCCGGTGATCTTAGCCAATTCAATGCTGGCAACCAAAAATTCCGTATCCGAGTTATGATCATCGTGAACATCACCAGCAATTTTCGACGGCATTTCGACATAGATATCTTCATCGGCAATTTGGATTGGCCATCCGACCTTTGACCCGTACATTCGATCGAATACATATATTGCCCACCACAACCTTATGCGATGCTGCCGATCCACTGGATTTGGACATTTGCTCTCGGGAATATCATGGTTGAGACCCAGGGTTAGGCCCAAGCGCATGGCGCTCCCAACAAGCAGAAATGCCGAGTGTCGCCTGTTCAGGAAAAATGAATAGAGTGACTTGAAACCATTAGCATATGTAAAGAAAAAGAGCGATGAAACCTACCAAGACCAGAAGGGATTCGATGTGGGCCAAGCTTGGACGCTCAGGCAATATGGGTATTAACATTATCGCATTGACATAATAGGCCACCCCGGGGACTTTGCAGTCAGAACTGGAATTGGATCGCGCGGAATATACTTCGCCCAACGCAAACAAAGCGAAGAACTTGCATGTCAGTACAGGGTCATTGAAGTCAGCCTTCCGGTAGGCATCTTCGAGTTGATCAAGTGTTGATTTCCGAAGCACCACATGATACACGCGGGTAACTTGACTGAAGACGACCTGTATTAACAGACGAGCCTGAGGTAGAGTTGGCCACTGAATTGCCGGGTTGCGCATGCTCATCAGAGTGGATTCCCCCGTGTACTGGGTCCGAGGTATGTGGGAGGTCGTGTCGCTCTTTGTGAGAACCCCCCGAATCCTCGTGGCAAATGCTGTACATGCTGCTTCGCACACGTGAATTGGAGGCAATGATGGATCGTATGGCTGGAACCATGCCTTTTCTCCCAGCATTGGATTCTGAACATGCCTATCTGCAGGCTCGGTGATGTCTATGTTACTGTGAGCCGGGATCACCGGAATCGCGAAACTAGGCTGCATACCTTGAGCCTCGGGATCCCCCCTTGGCGTGAGGTTTGCAGGCGACTGGGATAATTGGTCGCGCAAACGTTGGTTTTCCGCTGCTAGCTCCTCAATGTAACTATTTTCATCAGCTCTGCACGAGCTCTGGAGGGTGGCTAGGTGGGGCGCACCTCTCATGCACTTTCACTTGGCGATCACGATTCACATAGTGACACTCGGTAACAGTTCCGGCTTGCCGGCATCGCTGACAAGGTTGGCCTCCACTGCACTTGATTTTGTGGGTATGGCATCTCTGACAGCTGCATGTCACATTAGCGTGGAGTTAGAGCAGCACTTGACCGTGGTGGAACCTACGCGATCGACTTCTTCTGCTTCCTAATGGCTGCATCACTCTTGTGCTTCATCTCGGCAAAGTGAAAATTATGCGATAGCTCGAAGATAACCTGGGCAGGAGGTTGAACGAGAGTTTTGCCGAAATTCAGTCTGAGCTCGTGGCAAGTGGTCGGTGAAATTCCAAGTTGCCGAGTGGCGAATCACAGTACAAAACGGCCCGTATGAATCCATGGGTCTGACTTCGGGAGCTACATCCTAACGTTCTTTAATTTCAACCTTCTTGACTCTGCTGCATTTGTAAATCTTGTATCGTAGTATCATGGCCACGACGTTCATTTCAAGACGTGTGCTCAATTAATTCTGGCAATACTTCCAACAAAGTCTTGCGCCCCATTCCGTTCTCGTAGGCATCACTGGGGCTTTCCAACAGCTGCGACCACCTTGGGACCATACTTCATGGCAGCCCAGCAGGTAATGCCGACCACTGGAATAGCAATAGCGCTGAGCTTGGTGACGGCATCCATGATCATGGGCTTCAGCATTTGTTTCGACAACTGATGCATCTTCTCAGGCTCATTCCGCCCGGGATACGCTTGTTCCGGGATTGGAAGATCCAGGAATGGGCAAATGTTCTCCCAACCAAGGCCATCCTCAAGCTGAATATGGCACAGTCGGTCCGCGGGAATGACTTCCTTCACTTTCTTGACACTGAGCATAACGTTAGCATAATATTCTAGGCTGAGCTCGTAAACCATATCACGTACTACTCTGTGTAGTGCTTCTGAATATTTTCGACGTTCTCTGCTTCACCACGCGCCGTACATTTGGACATCACTCGATAGATGAGCTCTATGAGAGTGTGAGTGTGGTACATGGTTGCATTGAAGTACTTCAGAATCAAGAACGGGAATTGGTGCGACATCTCAGCGTTGGGCCCAATAGTTTTGTTAATGGACGTCGCCCATTTCTCAGGGTTTCGCTCAGTAAGAATGAATTTGACATCAGGATCATTGACATAAGCCTCGATCAGGCCTGTTCCAAGATAGCTAGGGACCTCGACGATGCACTGGGTAATGAACAATTAGTAGGCTTTCTCTAACTCGCCCTCCATGACTGAAATATAACTTACGCTATAGTCCCCCAACCATCTGTCATAATCAGCCCTATCGTACTTCTTAATTCCAGAAAGGGAATTGTGCTCAGCGGTCACCGCTTCTTCGAAGACCTCCATGTGAGGTAAGCCACGGTTCGCGATACATTCGACGAGATGATAGGTCCTGAAACCCAGGATTTGCATTGCTTGATAGAGCCCCAGGGTGCCTGAGCTGAAGAAATGTCATCTGTTAGCATCGGAACTATCTCGTTGGTTCGATATCGCGTCATACCGACTAGGGCTTGCGACAATGACTTTCATAGGCTGCACCTCTGCCGGCATCGGCAGTTGATCAACCTTTCTCACCATCTTATAGTACTTTATTGAATGAGTACCTAGAAGCTGGAGTGTATGAATGAAAGGAAAAAAATTTCATTAGCGAGATTCTGCAACACAGTAGGGGGCCAAATGCGGGGGTTTGTATTCGACAGGGATCGGCGAGTTTTGCTTCTACTTGCAAGTGAAAACACCCAGACAGCCCAAGAATCTGTTAAATTAATTTGTCAATTTAGCATAGAGGAGACAATTTTGTCGACAAAAGTAGCTTTGAAAACCGCGGACGATCATTTCACACAGGGCGATGTTTACTTGACCTCTCGAATTAGACCGCAACACGTGAGCAGGCCAACTACCTGGGCACAGCAGACAGTCCAAAAAAGCAACGGGACAGTTTCCCTCATGAATTTACTTAAAAAAGCCACCAGAGGGCTCGGACGGCCTAACATACCTAGGTATAATTGAAGAGGATATCAGACCTGGGAAGGTCCTGGCTCTCTGCGTGGCTTCCATGTCTGTTTTTTTTTTTTTATGTACGGGCGTATCGATGCTCATACTATGCTGGGTATATGTAAATTCTGAGATTTTGCATTGCCAGCGATAAATCTTGGAAGTAATGCGTAAGAACAGGGCGATATAAGGTTGGGATGTAGTGATATTTCCAAGGTTTATAAGAATGGGTGGGCCGAAATATATCTTCGGACAAAAGACCTCTCGCCGGGCTCTTTTATGCCGAGCAAGCAAAATATCTGGGACACAGCCCTGGAGCCCTGAGGCTTTCTTTGATCAACTTTGAAAGGGACCTCGGGATACATATATATTGATTTTGCTTCGAATTTGTGGCCCCTGGCCAGCTGCCGGTTTACCTAGTAAGTCTGTTGCCACCCGTGACCCAGGCATAGTTGTTCCAATCATCACATTCAACAACATCTATAACTCTAGCAAGCCTTGGATATAAAAATGGAAAGCGTAGGAGTTACACGATCTCCCCCGAGATGATGAAGGTCATGTACACTGTTAACTTGGCAGTATGACAACCCTAGAAAGGAACGAGAAAAATGACAGGGCGAAAAAAGAAGGAAGTTCATCATCTACTGCGGATCATTGCGATTCAGACAAAACCAGCTCCGGATGTTGTTCCTGAAAAAGCATGGTTTATCGACTACTTCTAGAGGAACATGCATTCGGGAGCATATTAGCTTGATTACTACGTGGAAAGCTAGAAAAGAGAAATGCCCCAGAATATTTTCTTGCAGTTTTGCACGCGGAGTTTTGAATACAGACAGTGTAGACACGGCTCGAGCTTCATACGTACTGTTCACAGAAGATATGAGAAATCAGCAAATCCGGACACTGGCGTTTGTACAAGGTCACACAGGCTTAACTTTCAAGTTACACAGTGAAGATGAAAGAGCGCATCTCAGCCAGATTGAGAGATTCAACAAACACCGTGGACCTCGAAAGTGTAGATCAGACAGGGACCACATTCCTTAGTATATATGAGCCAATCAAACTCCTTGGATGGCAGCCATCCCGGGCATCCATCGATAAATATCTGACTTGCACCGTGGCATTCCATGATCGACATGCCGCTCAGATTGGCATAACAAAAACAACGAATCTGAGCCAACCGTTTTCACTTGGCAATAAATCTCCCACCTTAATTCCTCTTCCCGTGGCATGGCCTCGGGTGTTTTTACGGCGGATCTTGCCCCAATTGGCATCCTGGCCTAGGGTGCCTCCAGTTCCAAGGTTGGTCGTACATTGTAGAATTCCACACACGGCATGTCCTTTCCTTTGTGGGGGCCGCTTGACACACAATAAGTGCCGCCGCTGCCCATGTCTTGGTTTCCGAGTCGTCTTTTGCTATCACCCGCCACCAAAAAAGTATCTCACTTGACTGAGCTGAAACGCCGCTCACTAAACGCGTTTCGCTTCTCAACTGAAGCCTCGACCTCGATTGTCTTGTTCTGCTACTACTCTCGCTCCGTCTCCCACTGTCTTGGCCATTTGAAGGAACATCCCTTGACACAACAAGCTCAAACGACAAACACCCTTGCTTCACCCACGACCAAAATGGCTGTCCCTCTCGATCCATTCTGGAAACGCTTCTCTACCGCAGTTCATATGGATGAGGAATCAAAAGCAGCTGACCAAGAAGCCAAAAAACAAGAGAAGTGAGACATGCCCTCCGGCCTCGCCCAGTGTGATCCTAATCGTTCCCTCGTTTCCAGACAATCATGGCTCTACCGTGAACGCAGAAAGCGCAGGCGCTCCATTATCTGCGGCTTCGTCATTTTCTTCGCCGTCGTCTTTGCTGTAATAGCAGGCCTTGTGATATGGTGGCTGGCAAAGAACAACTGGCTCCAACCCGGACCCGACGCGACAGCATAACAAAAAAAAAAAAAAACCACGGTGGATTTGAGGCGTTATCACGGAGTTTTGCATAATTGGAGATTTGATATACCCGCCGCTTCTCCAGCGGCACGGCGTTTGCATTAGCATTTGAAATTGACCTTGGTTTACCCAGACAACCATATGAAGAACACATTGCCAATACATATTATCAGATACGATCCCGGACAACATGAGCATCTCGTATCAAGCACCCGATCTATTCGGGTCAACCTGCCGTAACTGGACTAGTAAACAGCTTCTTATCACTCCAGATCCGGGCCCCGAGGACTGTCGTCTGAGACCTTCAATGTTGGGATCTCGTCAATGTTCACAACCAGAATCCAGACAAGACTAATCACAATGAGCAGACTATATGCGTATTATGAGAAGCCGAAGTTAGAGTTGTGATACAATGTCCAGCGGTGAGAAAGGGCCAACGGCTAACCTCGGTGCTCTCTTATCCCTTCCCCGCATTTCCGCTGTACTTAAAACCCCGATTCTCCGATTCTCTCTCTCCCTCACCCCACCGCCATAATGCTACCTCCATTTGACTATCTTTCTTACCGTCGCATAAGGTATGTTATGCTCGCTGTGTGACAGACATGTACTCATCCGACTTAGGAAGGACAAACAGCAAGAGCGCACACTACGCTTCGCTGCCCTCCCACGCCAATACCACCTACAAATAACCGACACAGACAAAGCTGTCATTGATAAGCCCATAGAAGAGCTAGTTCACGACATCCAGGATTCAACGGTCTCCCCGCATGACGTTCTCCGTGTCTATGGAAAAGTGGCAAAGAGGGCACAGGAGCGTACCAACTGCGTTACGGAGGTCCTGCTCCATGATGCCGAGTCGTGGCTTGATTCCGAGATCAACTTGAAGGGACCCTTGGCTGGGATACCTGTCTCATTGAAGGATTCAATCAATGTCAAGGGCTTTGATACTTCAGTTGGCTACGCCTCTTTGACAGGCAAGCCTCTCTCGGAGGATGGGCCCCTAGTGAGGCTCTTGAAGGATGCCGGTAAGATATGCACCTAGTGGGCATCGTGAACAGACGCTAAACTATATAGGGGCTGTTCCATATGTGAAGACCGCCTTGCCAATCACTCTCCTCTCCTTTGAGTCTGCCAATGGGCTCTGGGGAACTTGTCGCAACCCACACCACCCAGCATACTCGCCCGGTGGTTCAACCGGCGGAGAGGCCGCCTTACTCGCCCAGGGTGGTCGAATCGGCATCGGCTCTGATGTCGCTGGGTCTGTCCGCGTGCCCGCCGCCTGGAGCGGCATTTACTCTCTCCGCTGCTCTACTGGACGCTGGCCCAAGGCCGGTGTCAACACCAGTATGCCCGGGCAGGAAGGTGTCCCTAGCGTTTTCAGCCCTATGGCCCGCACTTTGGATGATCTGACTTACTTCACCCGTGCTATGATCGGCATGGAGCCCTGGAAGTACGATCACAGTGTTCACCCGATCGCCTGGCGCAACGACCTTGAGGCCGAGGCCCAGAACAAGCCTTTACGCGTTGGTCTCATGAGTTCAGATGGTGCGTATTGAGAATGTTTCTTCTGGAACCTAGCGCTAACAGCACAGGCGTCATTCCTCCAACACCTGCCATCGAGCGTGCGCTCTCCACCACAGTTGCCGCGCTCACTGAAGCCGGTCACACCGTGTCGGAGATTACAATCCCATCTTCCGCAGACCCCTTCACGGGGCTGAATCTCGCGGCCCAACTTCTCAATTCAGACGGCTGTCATCATTTTAACGTTCCTCGGAAGTCGTTTGAGCCCTCCGATCCGGGCGCGATCCAACTGTCCCGCCTTGCCCACCTTCCCCGCCCGTTCCGTTATCTCTACTATCTCTACGTGCGGTACATTCGCCGAGACAAGGTCACCGCCACTTTGATCCGCAACTTCGGCCCCAAGTCTGCCGCTCAGCTTTGGACTCTCACCGCCAGCCGTGAAGCCTTCCGCGCCGCCTGGCACAAATGGTGGGACGCTGAATCCCAGCAATTCGATTTCATTCTCTGCCCCGTTAATGCCACCCCAGCGCTCCCGCATACGGCCATGCACGATGCCGTCTCTTCCTGCGGGTATACTTTCCTCTGGAACCTGCTGGACTACTCTGCCGGTGTGATTCCTGTCGGCCACGTAGATGCTGTGCGTGACGCCCTCGTCGCGCCCTATAAGACAACTCTGAAACGCCTTGGCGCTGACCACGGTCTTGCGCGCGGTGCGTGGAAACACTACGACTCCGCCAAGATGGCGGGTCTCCCCACCGCGGTGCAGGTGGTTGGTCGTCGCTGGCAGGAGGAGCAGGTGCTTGGCTACATGGCTGTTGTGGAGAAGGCGCTGGAAGAGTACCTGGACCCGCAGACCGGCCGCAGCTGCAGATATACCTTGTTAGAGATCGACTAGTGGCAATTCATGAAGACCACGACCTGCACTGTTGGGGTGAATGCACGATGATTTGCTACGGAAACCTTCCGCGATCCATCAGTGTACATGATTTAGTTGCATTGATGTACGAATCCCTCGACGCTCGTAGGCTGAAAGAACTCACGAGTACAGGAATGCTCATAATCCCGAGACACTCGAGTTCGCCCTGAATCTTTCTTGTAATTGTGCCTAGCTGCAGTGTAACCCAATGTGGGGGAGTAATTTGGGGAGATTTGGGGCCTCCTAGTGCATCCTGAATGGCCTGATCGTTCCCCCTCACCAGGTACTTTGTCCCTGATATGAGTGTCCGAAGACAACCTTGAAGGCGCAAAGCCAGTGCAAAGTCACATCAATGTCCTGATCCCGGTCCCAACTGAGACCCCGGTCTATAATAAGAAAACTCTTGCATGAACCGCGTCTAGACCATGAGGTGCGTGAGGAGGTCGCGCATCGGGATATTTCCAATTTGTCTTGTTCGATTTCCCCGTAGCTGAGGAACTGGGCTTTCGGCCGGAGGAGCTTGATCTCGGGTTAAGATTTGAGGCTGGGTCTGTTCTGCAGAGTTGAAGGTTAGACACATCCTTTGACTATGTCATGCGCAATTCATAGGCTTGTACGGAGTAGCCAGGGTTTATACGATCATCATGTACTATTGCGTGAGTGAAACGGAGTACTAGTAAGTACCCCGTCGAGTACGAACCTCGTCTGGAGAACCCTGACGATGCATAACGCACGGGACTCACCCCCCTTTTTCAGGGGCAATTTCCGATACTGGTTTTGTTCAGGTTTGTGCAGGTTCAGGTGAGAGATCGAGATGTTTATTGACGCCTAAATGTGCCTAAATACCTGAATCCAGCCTAAGTCCAGCCTAAGTGCATCGTGATCGGCTGCTAAAACCCCAATTTCTCCAAATCGAAAGGAACTAATACACACATCAAAGAAAGACTAGGGTGGAAAACACAAAACAAAACAGGGATCTGCAGTCACGTTCAATTTCTCTTCCCTCCCCACCTCATCTGCATATGATCCACTGCACTTAATATAGGCGCTGTCACTCCCAACTTTATTTCTTGATGCAATGGATTTGACATGGCTTCGAGACGGACTGAACGTACCAATGACATCCACTTCGTTAATGCCAGACCTGCCTCCGAGATAGAGAAGCTCAAAGCCCAGCGTCAGGTTCGCGCCCATGTCGGTAGATGGATCTCGGATCAGACGAAAGATCGCGAACCCCGTCAAGCCCGCTATGCCGTCGTTGCGCGCAGGACCATCATTCCTCCCAGACCCATCCGGGATGTTCCCTTCCCGCCCTCGCACGGAAGCGACAGCAGCGACAGCAGCAGCGATGAGGGAATGTACGACGAGGCCCGCCTAGTCGATCGCTGGCACAAGCTGCCCGCCCTGCAGCGGTTGGAGCGGAATATCTCCGGCATGTTAGATCCCTTCGATACATATCCGACCTCAAAAGCCTTCGATCCAGAAACCATCGATATGTCAGAACGGTACATTACGGGGGTCGTGTGGCCCGGTCTCACGCCCCGCCCCGGTCACGTCAAGACCCCCGGAAAGTCGTGGTTCGAGTTGTCGATGGCCAACCCCGAGTTGTTTACCGCGTTTATGTTCGGCTCGCTGTGTCACCTCCGCGTGCAATGGCAGAACAGTTGGATACCCGCGGCGACCTTCGGCGCGAAGCAGCAGCGCGCGCTGCAGCTGATCGAGATGGAGTCGATCAAGCTGATCAACAAGGCGGTGCGCAATCCAAATCCCAAAAAGGCCGTCAGCGATGCGGTCCTGTTGAGTGTGATCTGTATGGCGCATCATCAGGCCGAGGAGGGAGTGGTACAACAGCATCGGAGGACCCCGTTCAACCCACCCTTCCCGCGCTTACAGTGGATTGATGTCTATGGGTGTCTGCCACCGAACATGATTCATATCAAAGGCCTAGTCCAGCTGGTCAAGCTCCGGGGTGGCCTGGCATGCATTCCAACCGAGGGCCTCGCGGCAACAGTCTCATTGTATGTCCTGATATCCATGAGCCAGTGTCCGCAACATAATACTGACATCTTCTAGCTCAGACATCCTCACCTGTAGCGTATTCTGCGTCAACCCGATATTCGAGTTCTGGCCCCTCGCCGAATCGCGCAAGGGTATGGCCATCCAGGAAATGCTCGGCTTCAGTCCAGCAGATATCGCGCACGGGTTCGGCCGCCTCCAAACAATCGGCGCCACCAGCGAAATGGCCGAGGCCTTCCAAGCAGCGCATACCTACGTCACAATCATCAAAGCAAACCCAACCTCCGTTCGCGACGTCTCCCTCCTAGCCGACCAACGCAACCTCACCCAACATACCCTCATCTCTCTCGCTCCGGCATCCGACCTCCATGCCTTCTTCTCCCTCACCCACTCAGCAACCTATGAAGCCTGCCGCCTCGCAGCTCTGATCTTCGGCGTCGGCGTCCTCTTCCCCATCCCCGCTCAAAATACCCCCCTCCACCGCCTCGCCCGTCTGATCCAGGCCGTCCTCCACCAACCCACTGCTTCAGAACTGTGGTCTTCCCCTGCTACTCGTTTCCCGCTCCTCTGGATCTTGACACTGGGCGGCATCGCCGCTAGCGATACACCCGAGCGCGTGTGGTACACCTCCGCTCTCCGCGACATGACGTCCAAAACAAATATCCATACCTGGGCGAGCTTGAAGGCTGTTCTCGAGTCGATGCTTTGGTATGATGCTGCATGCGATGTTGCCGCCGAGACCCTTTGGTATGAGTCTCAGTCGCTCCATGGCCATATCGAGTAAATGAGTTTGGATTGCTCTCCATCGTGCAGCATTTGATCGACACCCCCATCCCGAAGGTTTTGCATGTTATGATTTAGTTGGGATGCTGTATATTTGGGCCCCTGGGACACTGATTTATTACCTATTCCCCTATGGTTGAATATACTAAGGGGTGGCTTGTCTAATTGCGCGCACTTGAATGTGCGGGACATGTTTCTACCGATATTTATGTGACTTTTACACTTGAATCTGGATCTGGGTTATTGATTGGGATATGTCCGTATTTATAATCTTGAATTTGAACAGACAATATACTAAGCCTACGGAGTACCCGTGGACGTCTTGTGGAATTTGATAGCGATACCTCAGTAGCAATGCTTTCTACGAAGTAACCGCTACCTCCAGAGGTTCCAAGGTTCATTCTGTAGCTTCTATGGCCCAAGAATACGACTCAAGTCCCGTACCTCCTTCCCTCCCCATCCAACAATGGTTCCCTCTCACCACCCGTCTCCCTATCGCGGGTCTTCCAAGCAACGAACAAAACCAATCCTGCGCCGACAGTCGCAACCAGACCTGTTAATCCAACATTGACAGGGACAGGATCACCCTCCCAGACCTTCAAGGTGAGCGCATCGAGTCCCGCCTGTGCAAAGTTTCCAATTCCCGCCAAACAAATGATAAGACCGTAAACTTTCCCAAATGTCGCGAACCCAAACACCTTCGCGGCGTAGTCAGACACAGCCGTATAATAAAACGGTCTGTATAGCACGAAGAGAATGATATTCCCATACGCCGCAGTAAGCTGGGGGATACATCCTAGGATGCCGATGACCGTCGCAGTCAGAACTAGGATGGCCAGAACGGTCCGAGTCTGGAAGACGTCAAGGAATGTGCCGATGAAAGGGACAGAGACCAGGCCACCGATAGGGAGAAGGATGTCAAAAGCCGTATTCAGTGTTTTGGCAAGATGCGCATCAAGTAGGTAGGTGTATTGAGAGCGTAGGGTTGCTACGAAATAGTTGATTCGCAGCATCATCAAGACCGTAAACGCGGTAATGAGAACGAACCACGGCGTGCGGATTTGGAAGAGGGCGCTGTGGCCGTGTAGCACGCCCCAGACGCCTGTCGGAGCGGGTGCGCTCACTGCAATGGGTATAGTATGTGATGGGCTGTCGATCGAAACAGCGGACGTAGTGTCGTCCAGTAGGCTGTGGATGTGACTGACGAGGCTTTGTCGACGGAGGCGTCTGTTTTCGCGCCGAAGCTCGCTTTCACCATAAGCCAGTGTTTCGTCTAAGTGGTCCTGAGCCTCTTCTGCGATTTGGGCCTCGGCTTGTTGAACGAGTTCGCCGGCCGTTTTGTATGATTTTGCTGGCATGACGAAGATTTGCATTGAAATGACGAACAATGGGACAACGAGGTATGCGGCAAAGAAATTGTTAATGGATACCACGTCTGTGCGCTCGTTCAGCAGTCTGAACACGAGGAACAGGGCGCTCGAGGCGTCGAATGCCCCTGTTAGCATTGACAGGATCAGACCAGAGCGTTTGGGGAATGTGTTCGATAAGTGGAAAGATGGAATGAAAATGAATGGTCCACCCAGTGCCAGAAACAGGTATCCTGGTATATATCCATCGAAGGAGAGCTTGTGGGCAGTTCCGAAAAGCACAGCTCCTATGGTCAAGCAGATACTACCGATGATGCTGCAGACCCTGGGACCATATGCATCCAAAATGGCCCCAACAGGCAGGGCTGAAACATTCGTCACTACGGCGGCGATAGTGAACATCAGGTTAAGCCTGGGAGGGTCAGCGAAGTGCATAAACAGTTCGAGAACAGTTGATACCTGATTTCTTGTCCATCGCAAACCTCAACATTCCTGTCCAGCTCCGCTTGGGAGCAGAGGTTGCGATAAACCTTCTCGCGGATGAGGACCGGCTTTAACGCCGCGAACCCAAAGACAACCCCAGCAGCGAGGAAGCAGTATACAACTGCCGTGCAGACCTGGGCTATGTGGCTGCGTAAGCTTACATGCTCATATCAAGTGACACCATTGCAATTGGGCTTTCAAGATGCACTTACCAATTCTCTTCGCCCTGCTCACCTCATAAGCACCCGTTGTATGCGCCCAAGGCGCATCCACCAATGCCGGTCTCTCAAGCGCAGGCGAGCTCACCCGAGGCTCCCGCGTTGTGGTTGGGGACAGACCCAGGAACGAGGGACCAAGGAACGAGGACCGATCGTCATGTGGATCGTCAGGACTCTCGTTCCACCCGGGCCCCGCGTATGGGTTGAAATTCAGTCTGCTGTACGTTGAGGGGAATGATGATGCCACGGACCCATCGGGCAGATCCTGGTAGTCGTCAGAGTCTGTGTCTGGGTCCCCATCGGGCCTGTGAAGGAAGGCTGCGGGGTTGCGTTCCCACCCTTCCAGGAATGAGATGCGGTTCAAGGACATGGCATTGTATTTTGGATTAGAGAGGTATGTAGAATTAAGAATGTGAATGAGGGGTCACTTTGAGCTCGAAGAGCTCTTGAGATAAGAGGTCAACATTGATGAGCTACGAATATGTTACCAAAGCTCCTTGCATGCCCAGCTGTTATCTTGGCTGGTCAGGCACCAAGGTGTCAATGCCATTCTCCAGGCGATGAGGCACCAAGGCACCAAGGCAGAAATATCAAACACCTCCCGAGATCCAACCTTCCAACCTCCCAATATCAAGTGGAATGCCTTTGGACCTTCCCTTGATGAAATGATCTAAAATCCGAGATCCTCGTTATTTTTCTCTAATCTTTTCGGAGGGTCTCGCCAAAACAGGCAGCTGGCAACATTCGACACTCCCCACATAGCCAGACAGGCTTCTCACGGGCTTAACTTTATATGCAGATGCAGAATCGGGAACTCAATCTGCCCTCGAATCATATCTTCGGCTTCATTCACCGTCGGAGTAAGATCGACAGGGTTCGACGCATCCCCGTACGCTATCCACGGCGCAAGTGAAATTAATCAAAGCAAAATGCCGACCATTCCCTGACCCCACTCCGCGGTTGCGGGATTTGTCAAGTTGGCCGGCGTCGCCGGTCCAATTGCCATCGGTACCTAGCGAGAGTCCGAAGGATCTAGAGTTTGGAAGCCTTCAGGTGGACACTCTGGGGGAGAGGTCCAAGCCTCGCTCTCGCCTTTCGGTGAGCATGGCAAATGAAAAGTGGATTGCCCACTGCCCTACGTATACACGCTAATATTGTTTTGAAGCTTATTACGCGCCTTTTTTGAGTTATGTCCCTGACAAAACGACAACGAATACACATGCCAATTCTCCGTTAAATGGAGACTGTCCCGTCCCAGGGGAATGTCATTGGCTGACAGGACTTGGTCTGACGCATCCTTTCCTCTTTTTTTTTTTCTCTCCCGAGGGTCTCCCTGGGGCATTTTCACCACGCCCCTGATGCCACCAAGATATTATTAACAGGAACCCAGGAACAGAAAGTCGCTGGCCAAAGAGGGAAAACGGACATCTCGGCTTTTCTATTTATTTCTTTCCTGGATGAACCAGGCACACCGAACCCACTGGGTTTACTATATTTCGAACTGCTGAGACTGCCGAAACTCCGATTTTGACTCAGATCATTGACTCTAGGGTCTTCTGTGTTTGATGATCAGAGACTTTCGATCGGGGCAACCGTAGAAACTAAGGGGCGGGGGAGCCGCCATCCAACCACGACGTGCCCATGGTGGGGGCGTTGCAACTGAACGTTTTTCCCATTCGGGTTATCATCAAGAGATTCTTCCAACTCGAGTTAACGGGTCGAAATTCGATTTCTCAACACTTTCATTCTGACTGCAACTAATCTCGAGTTGGTTATATACCCCAAGACCAAATTAGCTCCCATTCGCAATCCGATCTGCCACCCCCACCACTCCGCCGTCTGGTCCGGTCTGCTCCAACCCGTGATACTCGTATAACTTTTATACCTCTGGATCAACTCGGGCCTGGCATTCCGATTATGCTTACTTTCTGGAAGCCTTCCCTTTGTGTTGTACTTTTGACTGCGTAATGAGGGGATGGTGAGTTTTTTCCCCCTAGTTCCGCTCGGACGCGTCTAACTCTGCGCTATAGCCTCACATGTCGTCTGCGCCATTTGAAATGTATGTCGGCTCATGATCGTCCTCGTGTAGCCTGCTAATTCTGCTTCAGGTGACAAATCTGGTTCGAAATGTTTGCGTTGTCAAAGATCCGGCCGCGAATGTGTGCCGGCCCCCGGCAAGTCTGAAGAGGTTTCATTTCGCCACGGCCAAAATCCTTCCTTACGAGGAAAGGGACCCCCGAGATATGGCGAGAGTGATCTTGCCTTCCCGGATGATCAGGTGTGGGTTGAAATGTCATCCGACTGTACGTGATCTCCGGTGTCTGTGTTTCTTGACTCCTGGACTAACTTTCCGTAGTCGACTTCAAGGATGAGACGGAGCAGACTGCAGCCGAATACCATGTTGTACCGGTGACAAGGCAACAGTCGGTTGGGCGATCGTCTTCGGAGAACTCGACTCCTTCGTCCATGATGGATTCCTCTCTGCCCACTCCCAATCTCACTATTCCTCGTTCGAGTTATTTCGACTCGAGGTCTAATTCGGGAACTCCTCGCTCTTCAACTACTCCCATCGGCCAGCCAAGATTAAGTAACGTCAGCGAAGCATATCTGCTTCGCCATTTCCAAAAGCATCTCGCTCCTTGGGTAAGTCATTATCAACTTTCTCGCAAACCTTCGACTGACAGAATAGCTTGACGCATGCGACCCTGCCCGTCATTTTTCAACGGATGCCGTTGAACGCGCTACTAACTCGCCGCTGTTACTCTATGCATGCCTTGCTGTTTCAGCATGTCATTTATCCAAAACAACCAATACACTCGCTATAGATGTCGCTCACGCCTACCATGAGCGCTGCATCACAATCATGCTCCCAGTCCTCGACAAGCCCGAATTCGACATCAGCATCGACATCCTTCTTCCATCAACCGTGATTCTCCGGTTCTTCGAATCCATCTCCGGTACGACCTCGCCTCGACATTGCAATCTCACAGCGCTAATTCAACGCAGCACACAGCCCTCCACACGACGCTCAGCGCCATCTCCTGGCAGGCTCGGTCTACATCAGCTCACACGTTGACTGCGCTATCTCCGGCGGCCTAGCTTCGGCTTCTTTCTGGATGTTCGTCATTCAAGATATTCAATTCTCGCTTACGTATCAGAAATGCCTTCGGTTAACTTTTGCACCTTTCGACGAGGGCCTTCGCCGATGGTGGGCCGCCAAGGCGGTTCTCTCCGACGGTGACTGGACGAACCGGGCAATTTGGCTGTTGGCCGAAACTGTTGACTTTTGTTATAACATTTCGGGCCGAAAACACGATGGTCGGCTTGGCAGTGAAGTTGAGACAGCGCTCAGAAGACGAATCTTCGAATGGGAGCTCGAGAAACCGAGTTCATTCGCACCTTTGCATCTTTCCGCACCGGATCCTGGGAGAGGAAAGCCTTTCCCCGTGGTCTGGTACACAAGCTTGTGGCATGGTATGTTATCGGTGGTTCTTTGTCCAGGACCTCTTTACTAATTCCCTTTTAGCGACTGCAATCCAGCAGATCTGCATGGCTAAGGCATTGATGCTCATTCGTGAATTGGAGTTCTATGACAGGAGCCTATTACATATGGAAGGGCCTATGAAATTGAAGGTTCGCTTTTTCATATTTCCTCCCGCGCACACCTATACTGACGTCCACAGGCTGATCTTGCCGAGAATCTCCATTTCATGTTCGGAATCGCCGTATCCACCGATGATGAACCTTCGCTGCGCATCACCGCGTGTCATGCTTTGTTTGCTTGTAAGTGAGACTCGAGCAAATTGTTTTCGAATCCGTCGCTGATCGTACTTTAGGTATCTCTTGGGTTGAGGATCCTCTGGTTCAAAGCCAGTTGTTTGATCTCCTTCGTCGCACAGAACGCGAGAACGGCTGGCCGTGGGGTTATGTACAACATCAAGTCGTGCAGGCATGGAGGCCGGTGTAGTATATACCCCTGTAGATTAATACACATCAAGATATAATCAATGTACACCGCTGGAGCTCCCCTGCCTATGTGGTGGACTCGAATATTGATTCATCTCGCTGAAATGAGAGCGCATGTTAAGATCACACAGACACGAGCTCGACCTTCGAGAGCTTCGCGAGTGGAAGACATTCAATTGTTAGTCCGCGGTGGTGGTTTGCCATGCAAATGGATGAACATCGATATTGTATAAAACTTTTCGCAAACAAGGGTATAGAGTAGAGAGTAAGGCTACAAAATTGATCAAAACAATCCAAGGTTTGGGTCAAACGAGAGCGGGAACGTGAAAAGTCCCTCGTCTGCCATGCTCCCCAGCGTGATCCAGGGGTCCCCAACAGTATAATCAACGCCAATGCCGGGCGTCATCCCCATCGGCGGCGCGAGTTGCAAACCATTGCCGCCAGAGATGTCGGGGTATCCTGGCTGCGTTGGCGCTGCAACAGAATGTATATCCGAGTAGCTTTGTGAACTATCCGCGAAGGGCTGATAGTAGCCCCGTGAGTCTATCTGGGATTGATCTGGACCAGGAAGTGTGCTAGGGTATGACGGGCCAGACGACCAGCTGGTCTGAGGGCTTTGCTTTGTTGCCGCCGACAGGCTAGACAACGAGGGATCGCCGTAGCTTGAAGACCCAGGGCTTTGTGTTGCTGGATGTCCTTGTGCAGACATCTGACGAGCCGCGATATGGTTGCCTGATCGAGATCCCGGGTCGCCCATGGCTACCTCGCTGAGGAAATGCAGCGGCGTCATGCACTGTGAGATTTGCGTTGGTTGGCTTGCAGAGGTCGAGGGGGTATGCTGCCGTGGGGTACTTGATGTGCGATCTGATGCTTTATGTATCGAGAAGGCCTCTTTGAGTTCTTGGCCTTGGTCTCCCTGGTCTCGTTTCTTGATGAACCAGTTGCGCAGCATGACCATGATGTTGCCAAACTTTGCGGCTGCACGACCACCATTTCGCCCGGCGGCAGAGCGATAGTGGGCAATCACTTTGTCCAAGTAGTAGTCAAGCTTGAGACTTTGCAAATCAATGATCTGGCCAATGCGGGTGTCTGGTGTCATAAAAAGCGAGTACATCTTGATCAAGCACACAACAGGGTACGGGGTTCGAGCTAAACATGTAGTCGGCAGGGATATGAGCCGTTCGGGATCGATGGTACAAATGATATCGATACTTTGGTGAATGCAACGGACGGCTATGTTCAAAGCATCATTAATCGCCGCAATAGATGCACCGTTTATGTTTTCACGTGATGGCGAATCATCCCCAGCATTGAAGTTCACACTGAAGGCAGATTCGTGAATAAACAGATTTAAGACATGTTCGGTCTGAATCATGGGTGCTTTGAAAAATGTCAGCACGTGAACCAGAGTCCAGAGTAAAGTTGTTTGATGCTCAAGACTTACCGTTGTAGATATCCTGTGGGATAGCTGTCCTCCATGTCGCAAGGCGGTCTTCAAACATCTTCATGTCGTAATAAACCTTGCTACTTGCAAATGTAGCAACCGAGCCGGGGTCCTCAGCAGAGAAGTGCTTCCCAGCATCTTCCATTATCAGTCCTAGCTTTGCCCACCATTTGAGTTTACGGTCCGAGGGGAGAGCATCCGGGTGTGTGGCCAAAATCTCAAGACATTCGTCCATATATGGCTGCCAGGTAATCAGGTGCACTCGTCTGAGAGCGGCTGCCATCTGCGCAGCCAGGAAGTAGCATCCAACCCAAGTTCGCCTTGCTTCGGGCCCCTCCGGATCAAACGCAGGGCCACTGGGCTTTTTGATGATCAACTCTCGAATCATGTTGAGAGTTCGCTTATTTTCGGATGGACGACGGTTGAGTCCCAGCTCCATTGCCAATACTGCCGCCATGTGCGTCAGGGAGTAGAACTTGAGCTCCTCGAAACTGTCCGGTGGCATATACCAGATTGCACAGACCATGATAGTCTGTACTAGCTCCAATGACTTGTGACCTTTCACAATGACCTTCTCGGCTATTAATTTGTAAAGTTCGTTCACCAAAATAGGTTGCGCTTCTGGGTTAAACACGCTGACTGAAACAGCGATAATGGCAAGAAACAAGAACGGCTTGTTGCGCCGAACTTCACCCATCGTCGTGCCCGGCGGGAAGACCACAAAAGGCATCTCAGGAGCCATTTGGTAGATATACCGATCAAAAGCCAAGTTGGCAGTGCTGTAATCGATGATATCCCGGTCTATCATATCGGTAAACTCGTTATCAGTCCCTGGCTTCGCCGATGGACCTGCGCCACCTACAGGCCCGTCGGCAACGGGCCTACGCCATTGCTTCGACGCCGTAGGGATTTGCTCTGCAGATGGACTACCAGGGCGAGAATATCGCGGCGCCAGCATCTCACTTGGCTTCTTGACCTCGCCGCTAGCCTGTCGCTTACTGCCAGCGATCTTTGATTCACTACTCCATCCCCGCGCAGGCTCCTCTCGCGGGGAAGGCCCAGAAAAGAGCGCACCGGCAGAATGTGAAGTTTGCAATGTCGCTGTCAGCGCATCAATCTTGCGCTCCAGCTCCGCGACTCGGTTGTCGGTCTTTTTCTGGCGCTTGCGCGTTGGCGCCGTGACTATACATGTACGGCGTGCCTTGGCACATCGCTTACACGAGCCCTCCGGATGGTCTGGATCAGGGTCACAGCGAACTTTGAGTTGTCGGCAGGGCTCGCACGCGCGCGAGCGTTTGGCTTCGTGCTCGGCATCGGGGGATGGGTTGGCGTGCTCGGCACCGGTCAATGGCCCCGCTTGGGCTTGCATCCCCTCCACGGAATTATGGCTTGCATACGGGTCGAGCGGGTGGTGGGCTGGTGGTTCCGGGTAATCCGGACTTATGGGAGTCGGTCGGGTCGGCATGTATGGAGGCCGTTGGGTGTCCCCGTCGCGGTGCAACTGAGGATCAATGTCCATGTAGTGCGGGGTTGATCGGCTGGTACCGATCAGACTAACAGGGCACTGTTACATGTTAGTCCTCAGGGTCAATCAAAGGTCGGAAGCTCTGCGCGTTTATTCGCCGTCCAGGTCATAATGTATTCTGTGACGGGAAACAAACCGGGGCACGGTGATCCCAAGCACCGAGCACCGATGTGGATGATCAACATGCAACCCACCTTACATTCCAAGTGCAGAGATGGCCTTGGAAAATTGGGGGAAACAGTGATGGATATGACAGTCTTACCTTTTCGAAAGTAGCCTGACTCCCTAGTCATTTTCGAGTTGAGAAGTGAATTGAAAGTTTCTTTACATTTGTGAACACGTGACAATGGTCTGACCTACAGGCCCCGGGGGCTGATACAACTATGTCGTACGGAGTCTACACGCAATTTGGTTTCGAATTACTTTGAATTGATCACTGGAACTTAATTGAGAGGCACCGCTGGCTGGGATATCGAACAAAACGCTAACAAAGGGAACAGAATCCAACAAAAGATTGACATGACACTGAACTTTTTTTTTTTCGGTTTTTTTTTTTTTTTTTAAGAAAGCTTGTGCACTGGGCACTCGGTCTTTCTTTCGAACCAGTCCACAATGCAGTGCTTGTGGAACTTGCATAGGCACTCGAGGCGGGCTAGAGTCTGCCCAACCTCGTAGTCTTCCATGCAGATTGTGCACTCTGCTGGCTGCCCATCATCGCCGAGGCAGTCTTTCTCAGTAGCAACAAATGGCAGCATGCGAGCGGAAGAAGGAGGTGGAGGTGTAGGGAGCGGAGGAGCCTGTCGTGTGGTCGTAGTTGATGATGGTTGGGGAGGGGCCGGCCTTAAATAGTTCTCAATGCAGTCCCGCGTGTGGGCCTGACGAGCCTCGATCGGATGATCAGGGCTCATAGGAGGGAATCGGCGTCTACAGACGGGGCAGAAATCACCCTCGTTGACGATGCGGGTATCTCGGTTGGACACCGCACGGTGTTGTCGCATGCCGGTCCCAGAAGGCACTGCACGAGGCTGGTCGCTCAGGTCCTGCAGGAACTGGGGTCGATCATTTGCGCCAACAGTTCGGCGTTCCTGGCGTGCCTCTGGATACTGGCGACGAGTCTATGTAATCAAATCAGTTAATGAATGGGGTGGGAAGTAGATAGGGAAGCATACCGTTGAGCCAGAGGAATGAAAGATTGTAGAGGACAGCGAATGGGTAGATCGGTGGCCGTGTTGCCTCATCCCATAGCCAAGTGGGTTGGGGTTGGGATCTGGCACGCACGGATTGCAAAGTCGGACTTCTTCTCCTCCACCAAGAGCAGGGTTGTTGTCTGAAGACGGAGTAGGCTCGTCGCCAGTGAGATCAACGACTGCGGGGAAGCGAGTAGATGTTTCTGACATAGGAGTTGGGGTTGTTTCCAATCCAAGTTCTTCATTGGGGCGGACAATGAATTGCCTGGGGATGGTGATGCGATGCGGGGAACATGCGGCACACACTACTCTACCACATTTTCGGCAATGATGCTTCCGATACCAGAAGCTGAACACTGTCTGGCATATCGGACATTCAGAGACCTCTGCATCGGCCTGCCACGGGGGAAGAGTTACCTCCATAACGGGCGGAGAGTGGTTGTCGCGGTGAGATGAGGGTGTGCGCGTTTGACTGAAACGATGCGGAAGATTCTCTCGATGAGGACGGCGCAATGTTTCACTAGCCAAGGAGCGAGAATCAGTAGGAGAAGGAGAGGAGGTGATGTCAATAGCGGTTGCGATCGACGAGCCGGAATTAGCGGAGAACGAAGTCCGTGTGCGAGAAGATGGGATCACCATAGAAACAGATCTATGGGGCAGGACACTTCGCGCCCCTTCCTCATTATCTCGCACCGATCCAACCACACCGGAAGAGCGTCCCCATTCTTGGGGCCGCACATCTTCACCAGTGCTAGTCAACCGCCTTTTCCGTTCCGACCCTGGGCGAGCTGAAAAGAACCTTGCCCTTGAGATTCCTCCAGTATAATGGCCATATTCTTCTGAATGGCTGGCCCTTTGGGCTTCTGGTCTTTCCGCTGTTCTCGTGTCTGCCCCCAGCCTTGGGGGAGATCTAGACCCAGGCGAGCTGGACGACGCCGTTCTGGAAGACATATTAAGTTGACGTCCGGACCGGCCGGATCAAAGTCTGAAAGTTCTAATGTTCGCTTCAACAAGGGCAACGAGATCGATCTCGGCCGTTAGAGCGACCCTTCTTCATCAACCAGGTGATCGATATGCTCGGCGACAGGGAGCTGATGATTGAAAATAAAAAGGATATATTCCGTTAATGCAACCCAGGGCTCAGCCTCAATGGCGTTGACGCTTTTTGCCGAAGATTGCATCCAGGAGCGAGAGGATGATGCTGATCATGGAGCCAAGGCCGAACAGAGGTGTGTGGTGAATGCGGCCGGTGGTCTCGTGACTATCCCCTGTGATGCGATCACAACGATATAGGGACCTGGTCCAGGCCAAAGTGATGTCCAAATGCCAGTTGGGCAGCGAGATGATTGGAGTTACACCAAAATGAAGAAAGGAGATGGATGATGTGTTTGATCCAGACTCCAGACTCCGGTGTTTATCGTGGGGCTGGACGGGCGGTGAGACCGGTGGCGATAGGCAAATTCGGGCCGATGGGCTCACCGCCGATGGGCGCCACTATTCACATCGAAACCTCGGAACACAACGTTTCTCTTCCGAAGCCCAAAGGCGATGTTCCCTTTTATGGATTGGATCTGGCCAGGTCTTGTCTGACATATACTCGATCTGCAAGTGGTTGATATTTGCTTTTTTGAACCCTATCAGAAGCCACGGAGACTTTCTCATGCATCATATATGTACTCCTTAGTCGCAGGGATCCTCGCATATTACATGATGATCATGGAGCTACTAGAACTGCAAGCCATGTGCAATGGGCCAAGCCAGGGGCTTGGAGATATGGTTGCTGTCTCGGAATCTATACGGAGTAGTACTAATACTCTGCCCCCGGTGTCAAGTTCCCATTTATAATTAACCTGGAAGTATTGGGAACTCTCAATAATGTTGTGACCTTGACCCCTGTTTAATATGTCGGGCCGGCCTCTTCAAGGGCTTGTGTTTGTGTCTCTACTCGAATGCCCCGGTACCCAAGAGGAAGCGATGCGTGATCATTTGAACCTTGGAATAGTCCACGGATTATTGGAATACACTGAGAGAAACGATCCTTGTCATAATCTGCACTTTATTAATCTGCAATAAATTAAATCCTAGGGTTGATACAAGAAAGCAATACCACTGAGACCAAGGAAACAGTGGCTTGAATTGAGGCAGCCAACAAGGGGGATGGGCTAAGCAAAGCAGTTCCCATTAAGTGTACTTGGGATTGAAAATGAACGCCATCGGAAATTTCAGATAGCCAGGAGAGAGCAAGGAGATTCGTGACGTGTCATTAGTGAGCCTGGTAGGTGGGTACGGGTAGATCGAGAAAGGGAGAGAGAGAAACGATATCTGAGGGTGAGGAATATTGCTTTCGAAATACAGGCTGTGATTTCTATTTTTCGCCATGCTCGTGCGTGGCTAAGGCGGTAGCTTCATCCACCAGCTCGGCGGAGCTGCCGGCGAAGGAAGGTTCATCCGGACTTGCTTCGTGGATGTTGTCATGGGCTCGGTGTTGAGGCACATAGCCCATGCTCGAGGGTCGCTCGGTTCGTTTGTCGGGTTGGTTGCTCGAGGCGTTGGATCGAGATCGTGATGTTGAGGTAATGGAGAGACCACGTTCACGGGACGGTGAGCTTTCTCCGCTGAGAGGGAAGCGGGCTGAGCTGTCTGGCTGCAGGCGGTGTTCTTGACGAATAGAACGTTGTTCTCCGCCAGTTTCGCGTGACAAAGTCTCTGTCACGACGGGCAGACCGGCTGTGCCACTGCTGTCCTGCTCGCCAGCTATTTGCGTGTGCCGGGAACCGTTTCGACTAGGGAGCTCAATGCCACCTACTGAGGTGTTGATTTGTGGCAGGACAGGTGGACGTGTCTCACTTGGCTGCCCAAGTGCATTGTCGCCATCAGCATCGTCGTATGGAACGTTGCCCGTGGACACATTGCGAGACTGGCTACCCGATGGCGCACCTGGGTCATCTTGGTAATGCTCGTTATAACCTCCTCGGGGCGCCATGCCAGGGGGAGGTGCTCGGGCGCTTCGAACCACCTCGAACCCTTTCGCTTTGTCTTTGGTCTTGCCTTGCAGTAAGCCACGGAACCATCCCGTTGCAGAGGAGACAGGCCCGGTGGGATCTGCTGGACCGGTCTTGAGCTTCCTTGTGCCACTATGGGAAAGTGGTGGACCCCTCACGCCGTAGTAGAAATCTACCTCGCGTACGGCATAATCCGTTGGCTGCCGCGGGCCATCCAGTTCCATCTCGTCCTTCGGTGCCTGAAGGTAAGCGGGCACAGGTGTAGCTCGGCCAGACCTAAGACCGCTCTCTCCACCGTCACCATTTCTGGCGCCTCGTCGGGTCGACATCGACTTCAAGAAGCCCCTTGATGGGCTCTTTCCTTTCTCTAACGACACACTTCCCTCGGGTGTTCTTCGCCCAGGTCGAGGTGGTCGGTAATAAGGGTCCCGTGGATGCATCCCAAACACCGAGCTGTTCGGTGAGCTAGGGAACCCGGCTCCTTGATATGCTGTGGACGTCGGAGTCGGGAAACCGCCGCTAGCGGCACGACTATGTGTACCGCCCTGTGAGCTAGCATATTCAAGGACAGCGCTAGCCCGACCTTCGCTCGCAGTAGCGCGGTTTAAAAGCAGACCCGAGCTGCCTGAGAAACTGCGAGGTCGCGATCCCTCAAATTGAGATGACATTCGATCATCAGGGTGACCAAGCATCGCAGCCTCGGATCCCATGCTTTGGCGCGAAATGCCGCCTCGAGCAGCGCGCCTCGAAAGCTGGCGCATACCAAACACTTTGGTCAAACCACCACGGGTGGCGCCACCAGCACCAGCCAGGCGCGCCAGAACCTCGATTAGCGTTTGCATCGCATTGAGGAAAAATCCGAAGATCAATACCATGGCATGCAGGACAAGGATCAAGTATCCAATCCAGCCACGGGCGGCATCTGAGACTGTCAATGAAGGGACGAACACCACACTCAAGATGACTGTCAAGAAGCGGACGATGGAGAATAGACAGTGATAGAGGTTCATGTGAGTGGGTCCTGGGAAAGGTCGGAAAGCCAGAATTGTCAAAACAGAGACGACTTCGCAAATTGCTAGCATTACCACCTGGGCGATTCCAGATGGCTGCAAAGCACCCACCGCAATTCCACGAGCAATGTTCAAGAAAATTGGCACGAGGGCAAATGCTGTGGCATCGTCACAGTATGTATTGTAGAGTGGGCCATACACTAGCACTGTCGGTAAATCGTCAAAGAGATGCGACTTTGGTCGAGTTGAAACAATCACTCGAATGACCCAGAGTGAGAAGCAGAAAAGGATGACGAGAACCACAGCTGCCAAAGCGACACAGTATGCAGTAGAGGAGCCCGCGAGTACCAACTGGAAGAAGGAGAAGGAGACGATTGGGAAAAGAAAGAAATTGAAGACTATGCGGATTAGACTTCCCCAAGTGAAAGGCAGGTTTCTCGCCCGCAAGTCCTGGTCAGTGTTGTTGGCCAATTCACGGTGCAACCATCGCAGCGCAAATGCAATCTGGAAGAAGACGGTGACGCTGACGAGGATGACCAATGTCCAGATCATTATACCGGGCCAGATGTCCTGAGACGAAGCCATGCCAACATACTGGTTCAGACGGTCGAGGCCATAGGTCCCACTCACAGCGTAGATGCCATCGACGACGGGATCACGACCCGCGCTGGAGCCGATAAAGCTCTGGTTAAACATCAGGGTCGACCATGCACCCTGACTCACCGCGGGTTGAAAGAATCCCGGGTAGTCTAATGAAAGTGCGCCGGTCAAAACCACGAATTGGAGATACTGGAGGCAGTCCGAGAATCCGGGAGTGACCAACCGGAGAACATCTTCATCTCGACCATAGTTGCTGGTCCATCTGAAGAGATCAGTTGTACCCCATGGGCTAAACATTGCTGCGGTGATGGTTGCAATGCCGACCAAAATTAATATCACCAGAGGTACATAGGCAATGGCGTTCTTGAGAGATGCCCCGAAGTCCGGTGTGACCTTCACAGACACACAGCCCAGCTGCGCCGCGGAAAGATCTCCAGAGCGAAGCTTCATCGTAGGAATGATCGTACCAAAGCGATAGGTGGATAGCATATCATGCTCAACGGAGAATGCTCGCAATGTGGTTAGATTACTCCTGCATAGAGAACTTGGTCAGACAAATCTTCGGATTTTGTGATTGATCACTTACAAATTGTAGTTGAAGACGGGGCCCAACGGAAACGTGCCTTGCGTGACTGAGTCACTGAAGCGCGAGGCGTTGTGAAAAGGCGAGAAACTCAGGACGTTGAAATCAGTCAACAATGTACTGTACATGTTGTTTGCACTGCTCAAGTCCTCGATTTTGCCATCGGTCCAATTGGGATTGCTCCAAACGTCAGAGTCTGGTGCCGGGTAGTTCGTCGTCCGCGACGTGGTTCCCGACACGTTCCCGAAAACCGTCAGGCTGAGCGGGTTGAGCGAGTCGCTGATGTTGAACGTGACGGAGAGATTGGTGGGGACGAATTGTAATTGTAAAGGATTGGACTCTAGTATGGTTTTCGATAGACAGTTGTCAAAGTCCAATAAGACGGCCGCTGTTGGCGAGGCCCAAGTCAGCAGGCAGACCAAAGCTATCCACCACACAGAGCTCCATGGCTGGGTATCGCGACGTAGTCGGCTTCGAGGGTCGGGCAATCTGTCGCGTCGCGGGCGTGATGCTTTCCGGTGGAATGGGAATTCGTCCAGCTCGACCTCCGAGTCGTACATGTCCGCTTCGGGCATCCGGGATGACCTCCTCGGGGAGGTCAACCCCCGTAAATGATCGAATCCACGTTGTGGCGAGAATCGGTGCCAGGGTCTCAGAATCCACAACCCGTCCCTGGGTCGGTCGTTCACTGCTTGGAGGGAGGGGAAACGCAAGGAAGGGTGATTCGCGTGGGGGGTTCGAGGGGAGGTGCCAACGGGGTACGAAAGTGTGAGTTCTGCCGCTAAACGTTTGGTCGACAAACGCGGTACATCCCGGGGACGATCCAAACAGTCTGAAGAACCAGTGAGAGTGAAAGAGAGCACAGTAAGTACAACTGTTTACTTTTTTTTTTTCGTCCCGAGTGTTTGCTGCGCCCTGTTTGGTCTGGCCCCGGTGGAGTTTTGACGGCTGACTACTCGACTATCTAATAATAGGCCTGGATATCGGCTTTAGCCTATCTTTCCGAATATTGAATCGAAATATTACCTACTGGCGTAGCTGAACCGCCCAAAAATAGTAGTAACGGTGCTTCTGTGCACCTAAGCACAGAGCATGGAGTACGGAGTACATGGCTACTCCGTGTACTTCTTCAACCTGCACCAAACTACTGTTTGGAAACCTCCCTACTCGAATTCCTATAATTTGTTTATTCCGAGTACGGAGTATAAAACTGTATAATACAGCATCTCTGCCATTCTGTCCTGGACAGCTCACAGAAGGGGGGAAAAGAAAATATTGTAGTCATTGTACGATGTTGGGCGCCCTAAACACTAGTAGGTCCTTAGGGTGGATTGTCTCACTCGCTGATCAGAGAACAGACTTTTTGTACGGAGTAGGTGCCGATCAGCAGACGAGAAACGGTGTTTCTCAAGACCGTTATGCTCGTACAAAGTGCGCGACAATCCGTACTACGCATCGAGATTCGTGACGAGTTCATGAAAGCCACTGGAGGCAAGGAGGTGTGTTGGGAACCACTATGAGTTGGGCAGAACTAGTGGCATTTGAGTGCTCCGTACTCCGTTCTCCGTATTTGAGTGAGCTTTGTTGGGTAATGGTTTCCGTACAAACCTACGCCACACTTTCAGGGTCCAATGCCCTGCTTTGATTGTTGGTCTCCACCTGTCGGCATTGTGGTTTTATAGTGAGACAAGTGCGGTGCTGAAGGTGCGAGAACGGTGTACAGCACCAAGGTCTGCGAATCTCGGAATCGTGTTTACTATGTACTATATGCATTTGGCCAATTTGCTGCAGATAGAACACATACGAGCACATGTCATGACCGAAATGTGAGACATTGTTAGACAGCCAGTGACCACTGATGGAAGATGTAGATCGAAGATCGAAAGTCCGATGCAGAGCATTGGACGGCGTTTCACTCTTCAAACCATCACCATAATTGGGATTATCCTGAAAACAATGGCGTCTCGCTTTTGCTGAAACCAGAGAACATGTTCGTTGAAAAAGAAACTAAAATGCCATTACGGCGTCAAATCGAACAGGGCCCGAAGCATACGAGACCGATCGAAGACCAAAGCCGAACGCCCCCGAGTCGTTCCCCCCTCCCGATGTCCTTCTCTTGATCCGCATACTTCACATCGAATACTCCATGTAGAGCATTCTCATTGATCAGCCTTCCTCATCATATCACAGCATCTCCCCCGACTTCTCTGGTCTGTCGTGGAGGCTCTCGTGGAATGCGCGTGTTCAACACCAAGATACCCGCATCAGGGAGACCTAAGCTGAGGTAACGGTGATGCTCTTCTTTTCCAAGTCTCGATGATGATATCAATGCCGATGTTTGCGGCGTGTTGGGTGGCTTTGTAGCTGTCTACCGTCACCTGGGCAGACAGAGCATGAGAAGGACGTACCATGCTGGCTCATATCGGGCATCATATGAGCTGGCTCGTGCTCATTTGTTGGCCTGAAGAGCTTGTCGGTGGAAGATAGCAAAAAAGACAGGTCGATTTCTACTACGAACAAGCCTACTTCGCTTGATTTCACATCCTACCCACGTTGACTGCGGTACAGCATGAATGCATGACCGAATCACATGGACTACTCTAACAAGCCGTGAGATTGACATTCTCGATGAACCCCGAAGCTGAAGATGGATAAATTTGCACTTGCTAACCAAATCGAAACATACTAGGATCCATGGCCCCTGCATTGGCGAAACACAGTCCATCCCCTTCGAACTCAGCACCGAAACCTAGCCCTACAGATTTGCACCACAACAAATCCCCGCCGCGTATTAAGTCCCTCCCATATGTTTGAGTTCCAACCTCTGCAGTGTGACCTTATCGCATCTCACAGCCTGCCTAGGTTTCTGAGGCTCTTTACCAGCTGGTATGTCCTCGTGCCTTTTTGTGTTCCAACCCAATGCGGTCTGATTTCTTGTCGATGGGTTCTCTCTTGTCCCGTGTGCTCGGAGCATGATCGAATACTTCATCCTTGAAACATATGAGGCCTTTCAAGTCTTTGAAGCCATGGCCCACCAAGGACCATGATCTGCGTTTCATCAATTCACCCATTGAAGTTTCAGGTTTGATATGTACCATGCTGGACAGTGCACGGCTCAGGCTACCAACCTTGGAAGTAGCTTTTTGGCTGTGGTGACTTGCTGGTTTTGGGCACAAGTCCATATCCGCAGGTATCAAATATTGCGATATCAAGATTTCCTCAAAACTGAGACGCAGCCTAGTAAAGTTTGGCTGCTTCCAAGTTGTATCTTGAAGTTAAACCTTGAACTTGGAAGCAAATTTGGAGCCTGCCGGTTGAGAATGCAACCATAGATTCGATGTGCTACCAAGGTTCGTTGTTGAAGTCCAAATGCAGTGCCATTTGTTGATATTCCTATGCCCAGGTGGGTGGTGGTGTACAAAAACGGGTAACTACATATTTTGACGATGCCACTCATGATATTTACCGAGAGGTCCTAGTCGTTGACCAGATAAATAACCTGAATATTTCAAATTCGAACCACGGGCTGTCAAGTACCTAGTATAATGTAACTATAAATTGGCATTGTACAGTTCGGCTGGGCAGACCTAGCCAAGAAAATCTGGGGGCTCCATTTAGGGCCAAGAATTGTCACCGGGGTGTCTGCCCAGGTGCGATCTGAGAGGCTTGTTATTAGAAGTGGTGACCAATCTCCCGAGGTCTACTCTGGGTATTTTCCTCGTGTTCGCTGGCAATTGGTATATTAGTAAGGTGAAACGAACGATTTGTCTGTCATGCAGCGCCGGGTCTCGGGATCTTGATCTATTGAACCCCCGGTGCCCTGCGCGGCCCCGAAGTCACCCCGTCTATTGTGGCCTTAGTCATAAGATGCGGGGAGGACCGAACTACCGATCTCCAGGTGTCCGGACTCTTACCTCTCAGGGTACGATTCACGTTGAGACACTTGCGGGGATGTCTCTAGGGCTTCAGGGCTCCCGGTGGATTCTGAGTAAGACATGCACGAGTAGCGGTGACGATCCAAGAACGTTATAAATGAACACGTTCCACATTTTCACATTGGGATTGTAGAATCAGTTATCAAGGACTCAATGTACATATTTCAGGGGAGATTAGAGCATAGCAAATGGGATTGTTCGGGGAAAGCAGGGGATGCTGGCATGCGAATGGTGAATTCCGGGATGACCAAAGGAGGAATCCGGGATCTGAGCAGCGCAAAAACGGGCATATGATCAAATGCCAGATTTAGCCACACTCTCCAGTTGTCTCAAGCCACGAGGGTCTACTTCCAAGGTTAGGGCCGACTTAGTATAGCCACTCGGGCGCTAAAACGGCCCTAGATAAGATATGTCCCAGTGCCAAGAGGTTTAAATTAGGGTCGAATTTCCCTATAAACGACCAATTTCCTCGGATATATGAACACCGAGTCTGGAGAAGCGTCATTTCGCCCTCGATGCTTATATCATTGTGAGCTGTTATATATAGTGTTCATACTGCAAGTGTGCGACTACAAAGTCGTCAGCGGTGGGTCTGTCTCGTCCCGATTAAGCCTAGTGCAGTTTCAATTCTGAGACGAGCGGGTTGTCTGTGCTGATTGGCAGCTCACTGATATAGTACTACGGAGTAGTATAGGTGTGCAGAGTCCTGGAGCTTGCGCTAAGGAGATATTAATACTCGGATAGTATTGAGGAAAAAGCATTCTCTATTAATATGTCTCGGTACCACGTTGCACTCCAGGGCTGCTATACTCGGGATACTCCCCAGAGACCTGCACTAAAGGGAGCTCCACCGCGGCAATCCTGGTACCTGCGGAGTATCTCCCCCTGATAGAAAGACATTCTTGTGAATATTATTTGACTGTCGGTCCAGCTTCGTTGGCAATTTTCCGTAAGTATAACATTTGGTTTGGGTCTGGTATTTTTTCTGAATGTTTATGTTTATGTCCTCCGACCTCTCATCTCTCTCTCTCTTTCTACAGTATACTTCGGGGTCTAATTGGGTTTCTCATAGAGCACGGGCGCTACATTGTACACACCCCTCCTTCCTTACCTTTGTGATTCTACATTCTACTCCGTACACTCCTCTCGAACCTCACCTTCTACCTACCTGTGCGCCCTCCGCTCGACTTTTCGCCCAGCTCCGTACCTTGCTCAAGCCGTTCTCTTTCCCCAGCCTCCCCCAGGCGCAAAGCCCCTGTCGATCCTCCAGAACCGCACAGGGGTGGATTCCATAATTGGCTTCGTGATTCAATAGTTCAAGGCGTGCGATGTGGACGAGGTCTGCTCGCGATCTTGTTAGACATGCCCGCTGATGACCCATTCTCCTTTCTGCCGGAGCAGCCTCAACCACAAGCCAAACCCAAGAAGCGCGATTGGCGTGAGAAGCTCTTCTCCAAGGATAAGAGCAAAGCTGCAGCGCAGACAAACAGAGAGATCGCAGACTTCTTGAGCACCTCACGGGCCCCAGAGCCAGCCCCGGCACCCCCGCCAAACGACCCGAGATACGTCCCTCCGCAGAACAACTACGTTCCCCCAGACCTTTCGGGCTACCAGTCGAAGCCAGCCGCCGCACCTGCACCGACGGGACCATCTTATGAGAATTACACCACTGCTGAGTTCTCCGACCGCCAGCATGCACCTCCCCCTGCCCCCGCCCCTGCCAAGCCTCATGGTCGCAAAGGCAAAGGGCTGCGAGTGGGCTTCAGCAACCGGACGCCGGACGTGATCGGAGAAGGAGGGGACGAGTCAGAGCAACCTACGATTGAGATTTCGTGGACTCTCCGGAAACCACAGGGCGGAAACCAGCTGGGCAGCCTCTCACAAAACCCATCGCGAACGCACTTGCCGGACCTGCGACTCGACACATCGCTGGGCGATGGCGAATCGCGCCCTCGGCGAGCGGGCTCTTCGCCTCGCCTCGATGACTGGAAACCGCCGCTCATGCAAAATATGCAGGACTCGGACTTCCTGCGGACCCTGCCTCTGAGCGAAAGCGGCTCCAGGCTGTCCTTCCGCGGCGATAGCGAAGAGAGCGCGTTCGCGCAGCGAGTGCGCGATAAGATGCAGGCAGAGGAAGGGCGTGCCCTGCATCATCGTTATGATGAGGATACATCGTCTCCAGGTGTTGACGATGAAGACCTATCCACTCCCCCCAGCCCACCCAGCCCTGAACCGCCTTTGAAAGGCCATCACGACCTTCACGATTCCGAATCTACCTACGACACAGCCCCAACGTCAGCCACGTCTCATGCGCCATCAGCCTCTCTATCAATGATGTCCATTGTAGACTCGATTCGGAACCCACCTAGCCCCGCAGTACACCGTGCGCCCGCGCCCGCGCCGGCAAGCCTCAGTCCCATCGACCCCCGAATGCCACCAAACCTCATCCCTGGTAGCCCCGGCAAGGTTTCCCCCACGCTCACCAAACCCCCTCCTCAAATCCTGCCAGATCCAACTCATGTCGCGCCCCCCAGCGGCAAGGCCCAAGAGCCTCCTAAGGAGGCTGCTCGTAGCTCCCAACCCAAGTTCTCTATCCGCAACATCGCCAATCAGGTTGGTGACACCGCATTTGCCGAGTTTAAGGAATATACTGGTCGCTACGAGAGCATGATCCAGCTCGCAGCGGAGAGTGTGAAGCCATTGATGGAGACCTCGCTCAGCGAATGGGTTCGCGCTGCGGTATGGTGGTTCCTTCGAGGAAAGACCCGCCTGGAAGTCTACGCTCGTTCCCGTGCAACCCTGCCACCGAGCTTTGCGAAACAGGCGGTAATCGATCTTGGAAAGGCATTGTGGATCACCGAAAACATCGTGCCCAGCCATTCAGAACTCACACGCTACGGCTCCATGAGTATCGACTCTTTGATTGCCGTTGCAAGCACCACAGGAGACAAAAGTCTGGCAGACCACTTGAGCATGCATCAAACCGCCCTTAACCACCTCCGCTCGCTGTCTATGTCCATCAAACGCAATAACATCCTCGCTTCGGTTGTTTCAGACGAAGGCTCTCCTACCCAGCTAGACACCACGATCTGGCTGCGTTACCCCTTCTACGCCCCCGATGTATCGGCAGTTCTATCTGGCGCCGCAACAAGGTCAATGCTTGCCGACACCACAGCCAAGACGCCAAGCCTAGTGAACATGATGCCACTAAGTGATACTGGTCGCTACTTCAGCTATGGTACCTTGTTCGTGCAGGTCTGCGTTAGTTCTAGCGATGACGACGGACAGCAACAATATGCCATGCCGTGCGCACTGACCATTGTCCGAGAACGATCGGATTGGTATGTTTGCGCGGCTATCACCAGTCAAAGTCAACTAGTGAACATTATGATTCAATCCGACCGCAAACAAGGTCCCACGTGGGATGATGTGGAATGGCAAGTCCGATCCAACTCTATGCGGGCCAAACTTCCAAGAGGGTTCGAGCTGGATGTTATGTTCAAAGAAGAAGACTTCAAGACTCTCTGGAACATCGTCAAGTACACCAAAAAATCGGAGGACAGCCTCCATCCGGAGGCAGGGGAGACGGTTGTTTTCGAGAATACAGTGAAGTCCTTCCAATACATGGATCCAGGTACTCCGAAAGCGTTCCCTCCCGACCCCGTGGAGCGCTGTCGCGTGCGCTTGTTCGAGCGCTCTGTGACCATCACCGAAGGAACGGGCACTCGCAATGCGCATCGTGGATTCCGTATGGCTGTCCTGACTAGCCCTAGGGTGAAGACCCTAAGCAGTATTCGCCACACTCTGGGGAATGGGTCCCCAGTGGTGTTTGGTCTTTTACGGGGTGAAAACGGTGCCCCTGCCCTCCTCCTCAAGGTGACCGAAGATGGCCGCACTAGGTCAATGCTGATGACTTTCCATGAAGTCGAGGAGCGTGCCGAATTACATTCTGTATTACTCGGCATGCTACCACGCAATGGTGAACTCAAGTCCCCTGAAATTGCTCTTACATCCTATTGCATTGAGCAGCCTGAAGATCACTTCAGCGGCCGGCCCTCTGTCAAGCATCTGGAGTTCCCTGCCGGGAGCGTATGCGTCATTGACCAGGAGCATGCCTATGTTGACCATGGATATGGCCCAACAATTCTTTCAGAAAACTTGAGGGCATTTGTTGCCACTGAGTGGGGGTCTGTTACAGATCGTATCAACTTGGGTGGGTTTCGATATCTTGGTCGTGTCCTACGAAATATGCTAATTGCCTCTAGGGCCTGGTGAATTGAAGGTTGGATTGGACGTTAAGCGCCCAACCAGCATGAGTTTGTTCCGTCCTGCGCAGCAGGATTTGACTCTCTCACTTGCCGACAATCTCGTCGCTCCCGAGCTGCCAGGAAAAATGGCAGGACTTCTAGAAAAGATTACAGCTAAGCCCATGATTCGCCGATTCGACTTCCCGACTATGCAGGGTTTGTTCAACTTTCAACATTCCCGAACTATGAACTAACTTTTGCCCAGATCTTCATGCGTTCGAGGCAGCAGTCACCGGTTTCAAGGTGCTTTACGACGGGTAAGTGAAGAGTGACCTGCCTTTGGACTCCATACTGACAAACCTAGCATGGCTTCATCATTCTCAATCTCTCGTCGACGCAGCATGGTCCCGATCTACAAGAAATGGGAAGCCTCTCTGGCTCGAGTTCAAATCGTTCGACAGGAGAAGGTTGTCCAGCTGCTTGCTTTCTTTGGTGAATTCCAGCATGGTACATGCATGAACTTTGTGCTGAAGGGCACCGACATCATGGAGTCATTCGGGCGGTCAGGTAAATTTGGCATTCGCATGGTCGATGCCAAATTTGCCCTTCCAAGGAAGGATGAAGACCCTGTCTCGAACTTCGTTTGTCTCGACATGCCGGAGTATCCCATTGAACATGACGACATTGCTATCACATTCGAAACTGAGGCTGGTAAGTTGAATCTATGAATTCTAGTTGCCTGCCGCTAACCCTCATCTAGCCCGTGCTACTTTCAAGGCAGCTCTGCCTGGATCAGTGCGAGAGCCATCTCGGATGGGCTCTATTCGCCGATAATAGTCCCGGACGCCCGGCGGACCACCCGGCTCACGTGGTCTTGATTACGCGAAACCCGATTACGCGGGGTTCCCCTCACCGGGCCGTTGTCGGAGTATCATATTTGAACCCGTTGTACATTCGAACATAGCATACTCAACCATGTCTTCTCAAGGCGCTTCCACGCGCTCTCTTCATGCCGACGATTCTCTTAATGTCGTTACTGATGTTTCTCCTCCCATCCATCTCTCCACCACATTTCGTTACTCCAATGATCCCTCCAAGCTAGTCCCGGCCGCCGATGCCACTGTATGAAACCATATTTGCTACTTGATAATCTAGTATCTGACCAAGTAGTTCGACCCTGCCTCAACCTCCCATATTTACTCCCGCGTATCCGCGCTCAATTCAACCCGCTTTGAAATGATACTCTCCTCGCTGCTCAATGGTCACGCCGTAAGCTATTCTTCGGGTCTCTCAGCCCTACACGGAGCCCTGACGCTCCTCAATCCGCGCAACATATCCGTTGGAGAGGGCTATCACGGCTGTCACGGTGTCATTGGCCTCTTCACCCGCAATACAGGCCTGAAAAAGCTTCCCCTAGACTGTCCCGCGGAGTCACTCGAAAAGGGCGATGTCATCCTCCTGGAAACACCAGTCAACCCCCATGGAACGGCCTTCGATATCGCATCCTTCGCCGCAAAGGCTCACTCGCGAGGCGCGATCCTCATAGTTGACTCCACCTTCGCCCCGCCAGGCTTACAAGAACCCTTTGATTTCGGCGCGGACATCATCATGCACTCCGGCACCAAGTATTTCGGCGGCCACTCCGATCTCCTCTCCGGAGTCCTGGCAACCAAGAATGAAGAGTGGGCCACACAACTCAAGATAGACCGTCTCTACATCGGCTCAGTCATGGGCAACCTGGAATCCTGGCTCGGCGTCCGCAGTCTCCGCACCCTCGAAGTCCGTCTCCAGCGTCAAAGTGAGAATGCAAGCAAATTGGTATCGTGGCTGGACACATCCTTGCGCGCGACAAACCCAAGCCCGGGCTCGGACGAATCTGCCGTGCAGGCCGTTCTTGGGAGCATTTCCCATGCCTCGCTGCAGGATGGAGGGGATTGGCTGAAGAAGCAGATGCCGAATGGGTTCGGGCCTGTTTTCTCCATCAATATGAAGGAGGAGAAATTTGCCAGGACATTGCCTAGTCTGCTGCATTTCTTCCAGCATGCTACTAGTCTTGGAGGCGTGGAGACTCTTATCGAGTGGAGAACTATGTCGGATACTACGGTTGAACGGACGTTGTTGAGAATTAGCGTTGGATTGGAGAACTGGGAGGATCTTAGAAGTGATCTGCTGGACGCGTTCAAGGAACTCGCAAAGTGAGTAGAGCTGTAGAGACATTTCGCATAGCCACCTGGGCATGGCCCTTGACGGAGACTGCCGCATTTACCCCGCCGTTATCGCAACGCCGAACAGATGGGAATTTCTTTCCTCTTCACACTTTCCCATTATTTAATATTGTTCAATTCAAGGCTACCATCTCTATGTCGCAATCTTTCACCATTCACTATTTCGCCTCGGCATCGCAATATACTTCAAAACACACTGAATCTTTACCTGCCCCGCAGCAACTTTCCTCCCTCTTCGGCGAGCTGGAGAAGCGGTACCCTGGGATTGTCGCCAAGGTCCTCTCTTGCTGTGGTATCAGTTTGAACGGGGAATACGTTGATATCGAGGAGGATGTGGACGTCGTGATTGAAGCTGGTGCAGAGGTAGCGGTGATTCCGCCCGTGAGCTCGGGGTGAGGGCCCAGACGCCCATGCTCCTGCTGTTGGAATCTAGTGTGATCTACTTCTGATGCCTGTAACGTGTATGTTTGGCTACAATAAAACATGAATTCAAAATCAGATTATTAGTGCATGCGCTATGACGATAACAAAAGAACAAAAAGATTGTTGACTCTCCCGCTTCATCCCAGCCGACATTCAATTCACGCAGTCCTCCCCGGGGTTTCGTATGCTATCAGCTTCACTGGGCCACATAAACAGAGATGATTACTCCACTTCTTTGGCGGCAACAGCCTTCTTCTTCTGCTGCCAGAGCAGAATGCTGCAGATAGAAGAAAAGAAAAACAGGATGCTAAATCGATGTCAGTATACTCTCAAATGCCGAGGTGCAGACGAACTCACCAAAGTCCAATGCTCAATCCCCAGACAGCCTTCATCTCCACGCAAATGGCCTTCGAAGCTCCAATGAATGCAACATAATCGATCTTTCCCGTGATGTTCGCAATGTAACTCGACAATCGTGAGGCAAATGCATACAGGGTAGCATCCGCATCACCCAGTTCAGCTAAAGTCGAGCACTTCAGATATGAAAGTGGCTTGCCAACGATGACAGCGACCACAATTAGCGCAATGAGGACTAGCAGGTCCAGCACTGCGATGATCAGGAATGGCAGGATGTCATCAATATAAAGGATTGTGGTGATGATGCAGTAGATCACAGCAATACATGTCTATTTGCAAGAGTATCGTTAGTTATATTTTCCATCGAAGCACGGTGCTAGGGTGCAGGGGGATAATAGAAGACATACCACGCTGATGGTGCCGATTAGGATATCAGGTGGGTCGCCGTTGTTGGAGACGATCACACTGATGAATTTGGCAGTCATGCCAATGGCTGCAATGAGGCAGCAGGACTGAAAGATTCGAGCTAGCAGCAAGGTTGCACCGAGGGCACCGTAGCGGGCGGCCATTGTGATATAGTGAATAATAAGTTTGGAATCAAGAAAATAGCGGCCGAGTCGATGTGAGTATAGGCGTGTATAGAAGAGCCGAGGACTGAAATATTAAAGAGTGCCAGAAGTAGATATAGTCGAGAAGGAAGGCTTTTGAATACTTGAACAGAAGAGAAAATATGCGGAGCACAAAGAGAGTGTATTCTGAATGAAAGTGAAGCTGCTTGTCAGATTGAAGACCAGACCGGCACGGCCTAACTATTTATACCGAATGAACAAAGCAGCTGTTTTTGCGATGACCTCAAACCCCCGATTCTAGACCAGGACAGGTCAGAATATAGAAATCTAGACCTGAAAGTGATTCGACGGGCTGTGCTTTGTGTGTTACAGATTGTCTGGGGAACAAGGCCCGACGAATAGACTCGCTTTGAGCTGTCTGCCAGATACAGCGACTAGCATGGATGGCAGATCCGCAAAAGCTCGAGCTAAATCTCTTTGATACTAAAGATAATTGCTAAAAATGATGGTGGAGACCAAAATATTGGCGGTTCCACCCCGGCGCATAGCGGCGCTTGGGGAGGAAACCCTAACCTGTGACGGGCGCCTCTCAGCCATTCGTTCGATGACCCGAAGTAGATCTGACACGGGCGCTTACTTTGATCCCTTTTTTTGAGCTATGCATAGTCGATCCTGTTTCATGCTTTGTTTTCAGACCTATAGGATTCACAGGTCTATTTTTCGAGCCGCTTCTGTAATTACCTTCAATATCAGCGGCCACATATACGCGCGGATCTCCAGCGCTTCACCGAGACCTGGTGTTAAGCAATCAATTTTTGGATTGATCGTGAGTCAAAATAGAAGAAGCGGATGAGATGCATCTATGGGCAGTCATCTTGGTCAATAAACCAATTCCAGGACCCCTACACCTTTGAATGGCGTCTTAGAATGTCGCAGCGGGGCATGATATCGTAGCCAAGAGCTTGTTATCCTTTTCGTCACCATTCCCTTGCAGCAAGTTCAAGGAGAGTAGTGGCTTACAACCTTGGAATGGGCATGTCTCTCCGTTTGTGAAGACCCAGCAATGACCAAGCACCCAAGAATTATATGATTATCTGGTTGTCTATATATTGAAAATTAGATCAAGCCAACGACTAGTTCAGTCTCCAGCCTCCGCTGGTCCTCTTCTGGAAGAATCCATCAGGGTCATATCGCTTCCTGGTCTTGAGAGCCAGCTCCTTGGATGCTGGGCTGATCCGACCCCAGTAATCTTGGCGGTGGTAAGCGTCATTCATGAACAAAGGTCGGTACACATCCGGCAAGCGACCTTCGTCGACGTTCTTCTGAACCAAATTACCCAGGCCCTGGTAAACTTCGACGGTGGCGGCGTCAATCTTCTCGTCATCAATGGCCAGGCCATAAGAGAAATCGATCTCAAAGAAGATGTAGGGTTGATCCGACGGAACATCAAGCAGATCCTATAAGTTGATTAGTGGAATGTATTGAGTATCACAGGAGTTGATATCTTACTCCACCGCGGTCCTTGGCCTTCTGGGAAAAGGTTCTGGGGACTGGTTGGAAGGCGATTGAGCCCAAAACACCGGTAACTTCCAGCACTGACTTGGTAACATTGAACCAGTGATCGTAGTATCCCTGGAGTACGCCCGCGCTCTCGGTCTTGTTGGGGAGAGGAGTAGTCTCCGTGGCGATGGTGTAGCGTTGTCCACTAATGGCTGGTCAGTAGGTAATGGATGAGAATTTGAATGGCGATGCCTCACTGGAGAATGAAGAAGTCGTTGTGCTTAAGCAAGTCGTAGTAGGTGTCCCAAGTCTTGGTGGTTGATGTGTGGTCAATGGCAGTGAACTCATCAAAGACTCCCGCAGGTGGCTCGGGGCCGTCGTAGAAGAGGAACATGATCCACAAGTTAAGAGCCAGACCGTGCTCCGAAGTCAGAATGATTGCAGCCTTGTCATCGGGATATTCGTCAACGAAGTTGCGCAGGGCTTCCAGAAGCTGGGGGGTTTTGTCGGCTGTGAAAATGTAGTTACCACCCCAGACCTTGTGGTCTTGAGGGTGAGTCTGCATGGTGTATGCGGTGACAACTCCAAAGTTGTTACCTCCGCCCTTCAGGCTTGCAAAGAGGTCTATTTTGGGTAAGCTGTTGTTCCACTTCACTCAAGGTTGATCGATGATTACCTGTGTTCTCTTTCTCGGTTGCGTGGACAATAGTGCCGTTGGCAAGCACGATTTCGAAGTCAACAACGTTGTTGGCAGCCCAACCGTATTGGGTGCTCAAGAAACTCATGCCACCTGGCAGCTTTTAGGTTAAGATTCAAATTTTGAGCCAACTTGACATACCTCCAAGCATATATCCTCCAATTCCGACTCCTCCAAGACGACCGCCCACAACGCATCGACCAGTTCCATCAAGGCCCTTCTGAGCCTCCTCCCACGAGAGACCAGGACCAATGATAGCAGTGTGGTCATCAGGATTATAGTCGACTTGATCCAGATTCTTTGTCGAAACTAACAATCCATCCTGAATACTCGCAAATCCATTGTTGGGCATGTGACCTCCACTCTTGACCGCGCTGTCTTGATCTTAGTTCGGGGCATCGTTCAGACAGGGGCAAGACTTACAACAAAGTATCCACATCGTGAAGATTCTTGATCACCTGCGCCATCTCTGCTGCACTGGATGGGGCAGCGATACATGTCGGCTTCAGGTCACCGCATGCCGCAGACCAATACTTCGTGAGATCGCTGGAATAGTCCAATGTGAGAGGGTATTCGACGTCAATCCCTCCTTGCTTCAGGGTCGCGCAAATATCCGCCAGGGCCTGTGGTGCAAAGGCAAGCGAAAGCCCTAGGGCTCGCCATCCATTGCTTCCGAACATACGGGCTAAATTAGTTATATAATGATGAATATGCGAAGGAATGGCAATGCAAAATCCAAAGATGCAAGCAAAACTGGTAGATTCCAATCAATGCGCGGGACCCATATATAAGTGAATTTCACTAGCCAGCATAACCCAAGCACTCCCTCTCGGAGGTTATTTTTCAAGCCTAGGGCTCCCGGGTTAGTGGATATGCCAGCTCCACCGTGATCGGGAAGGAATCTTCCGCAAGCCATTCTTCAGCTAAAGGGATCCTGGATCCACCCAGACCATATCCCGATCAAGGTCGCGGTGGTCTCATGGGATGGTGTATTACTCGACAATCTAATGTGTTTATTTGCCTCTGCCGCGAAGAGAGTGTACTCATGTTGGTATGGGGAGCACATGGCGTTAGAGAGTTGTGAAGCCTCGGGAACTCGATATCAAAAAATGCAAAGTCTGAAGTTTGCGCTCGGATCAAAACTTTGCGTACGAGTACTAGCCGAACGGTCATCTTGCGCCGATCTGAACTCCATGTGCAGCGATGATGCGATGAACAATTACTCCAGTCAAACAATTGAAATGTCCAAGCAAGATGCCAACGTTCAATCGGCGTTTTGGCGATCTTTTTGGCTATTTCTAGTAATATCCCACGCTAGCACCGGCAGGGGGACCCAGCGATCGACAGGTTCCCCCGAGATTTTTGACTTTGCCTCGGGGGATTGGCATGGTGTTGACACGAGTACAGTGCGATTGGGGATGGAAGCGTCGGACCAAGAGCCAATCCGCAGCTGGAACTCGTTGGAATATCGTTCTGAAGGCCACGGCAGAGCTTTGAAGGAATTTCATTCACCCTGTAGATTTCATCGAACGACTCCTATTTTCATTGCGCCAAGTCGAGTGGGGCACGATGCAGTGAGACAATAGGAGTGATCGTCAGGTGCGATTACCGGGAATGAAGTAGGCGAGGTGGACACACGCGGGGGGTTCTCCTCGAAAGGTTGGTGTTCCTGAATCTAAGCCTGCAGAACGCTGTAGGTCAGCTCGCTTAGACCGACGAGGAAAGGATGTTCACGACCTGTCAGCTTTGATCTTTGCCGATCCATATGGTCCCTTCTTCCATTGAGCTGTCACCTCATCACCTCAGAATCTGGTCCGCTTCGAACCTTGGCCGAGGCGTGTGCGAGTACTCCGTATACGATAGCGAATACGCCATTCCGTGGATACGTCCGCTGCTAAACGAACCGCGGTGATCGTCAGTAACACTTCGGTTAGAATTGAAAACGTACTGGCACGCTCAAAGACGCCCTGAGCCCATGAGACCAGCCCCTGAACCCTCCCGGGCCGAATGGGTCAATTACAAACACCGAGACCAGAGCGTGCATCGACGCCACTTCAATGATTGTTCTCCGTCGCAATATTCTACTAGGTTATTTTGGGTACCCCGTACCACGATCATCGATTATGGTACCACAACCGGTGGAGCGATGGAGCAATTGACTGGCATTGCTGGAAGGAGGAGTATGCTCGCGTGCAAGTAAGGGCGGCGTCCAACTTTTTATATAGATATGATGTTTGTATCTTTAGGACTGGACCAGATCTCTGTACTAGTGATCCAAGCATATGCTGTCGAAATCAGCCAAGGTCTCAAGAAAAACAGGGAGTCTCGCCTGGGAACACCGTTGTGCAGCAGCATGTGTTAGATCCAAAAGATTCACGGAATTGATCTGAGGCTTTCATATCCGGTGGATTTCGCAACTTTCTCCGGCAACGCACTCCGTAGAGGTTCTTGGGGCCTTCGCTCTGCGGTCAGAGGATGGAAATCCCCTCGACCCTGGGTTCCAAGGATATGACGAGAATAGGCTAGTCATGCCATAGGTGTGAGGCCCGACCATCTTCTTGTGTAGAGCCCATTGATTCATCAGTTCCCGGCTGTCGCCCGTTTCGAGGAGCCACGACAACAAACTGACCAGAAGGCTTCGATGATTGGAAAGCAGAGCGCATAATCGGGACAAATGCGGAAGCCCACGCACCTCAAAACATTCTCCCCTCTGTGGCCAACTGTTTGTATCTTGGAATCTTGACCTGTCCTTCGGGACGAAGAGAATATTCGGAAATCAATCTGGGCAACTTCTATACTTACATCCTGAGATCTGATTGGTGGGATGCCATCTGCAGTCACGAGATCATTCGGATACCGCCTAGGGCGGTATCGGCATTACCGGCAGAATTTACCAGTTTTCGAGAGACATTGTACAGGTGAATTGAGCCACGTCTCAAGTCTCGCCATGTCAATGACGAGAATACAGGCTTTGCAGAAGCTGGCAGCGGGCCAAAGATATCGCTTGACCTGCAGATGGCCGCACAAAGGCCCAAGATGTGTCATCAACTCCCCCGCCACTTTTCCATTGCCTTCAGGGCGACGCCTCTTCGCAACGAAGACGATAGATTCCACTGATGATTCTCAGAGTTATGACAAGGTATGTCGGGAATCCTGCAGCCAAATTCGCCTCCTAACCTTTGTTCAGTCTCAGAACCAGTCACCCGATGACGAAGAACCTCCCCGTCCTGCTATCGATAGCAACTTGCTCCTCAGATCCGAATTCGAAATCCATAGAGACATCAGAGAGTATCTGCGAAAATGGCAAGAAGTCAATCCCAACGACTTGGATCCCGTGCGCAAAACGAATGCCGCGCAAACAACGCAACTACCCAGCCCAACCCTTGGCAACATGCCAAACGGCCGAGACGCGGCGGATCTTTGGGGTGATCCAGACAGACCGAGTCAAGACAGTCTGCACATAGAAGAATTTGAGGGCGAACATCTCGAGCCGGGTGATCTCGTTGCCCGGTTAAACGCGGACGGAGTCTTCAATTATGCAATCTATGTGCAGTCCGTCCACAAGCAGAAGCAGTTCTACAGTGTCAACGGGAATTGGCGCATTTGCTCTACTATGGAGCTTGACTATGTGATCAAAGGATTTGCTCCGCCCGAGCTACTCGAGCCTTTGAAGCCTTGGTTCCCGAGCACCGAAGCAATCGTGAGCGAAGACCTTCAACTCGCCCCTGAGGGTGGTTTGCCCCGGCCGTTAGGCGCTCCACTGTTGGATATGATGAATAACTTCAAAACACACATTTTGGCATTCTACAGAGAAAACTCGAAGGCTTTGGATGATCTGCACAACCTGGTGGCGGATGACACCGAGGTTCTGCGCCTGAACCTCGAACAGCTGACCATGAATACCCTTGGTATTGAGGAACATGAGCTGACTAGTGTCAACCTCTTTGCTGTTCACCAGGCCGTTCGCCGTCAGCCTTTTTTGATAGAGAAGGACTCAAGCTCATTGTTCAGCAACATGTATATCGTGCAGCCGAAAAGGATTGCCAACATTGTCAAGCAAGTCATCGACTGGACACATGAACATCAAGAGCATTGCGTCCGGAGTGTTTTGGCAAAGACCACGCATAAGGCAATGAGCGAGCACCCTATGCAGCAATTCCTTTCCAAGGCACAACGGTTGATCCGCTTGAGCAGAAAAGTTCGGTCCCCCACAATAATGTCCAGCGTGGGACCGTCTTCTCAGCGGATCCAAGCCGGGGAGGATGGGAACCCAATGGTGTACCGTGAGATGCCAACTGAGCAATTCAATGCAAATGATCAAATGATCATCGAGTATTTGCAGCTCTACGCTGTGCCTTCAACTATCATGCCATCCGGGTCTTTGAGCTCGACGGCAACCCACATTATGCGAGCAACAGGCATGTACAATGCTCTCGGTCTGAGTGAAGCTTCCACTCGACTCTTCCTGCAAGAGATTGGTGTGATTGCTCCATGGGAGAACATGTTCCCACTTGACCAATACTCGATGCTCCCTGGCCATGGTTTGTCGCTTGCAAAGGATTTGGAGGCCGAGGAAATCACGGAGGCCGCCAAAAACATCACCCCCGAGCAATTGCATGATTCCATGCAAGACCTGAGAAAGGACTGGGGTGATATGCCAGTCTACTGTGTGGACGACATAACTGCGCAGGAAATTGACGACGGTATCTCCCTGGAGAAAATTCGAGGCTCTAGCAACACATTCTGGGTTCACGTCCATGTGGCTAATCCAACGGCTTTCATCAAGCACGACAACCCTATCATTGAATATGCCTCTACCCGCCTCTTCACTTCATACCTCCCTGAGCGCACCTACCCCATGCTTCCAAACGCTCTAACCGAGCCTCACTTCAGCTTGGCGCCTGGCCGGCCTGTGATCACTTTCAGTGCTAAGATGAACTCGCGAGGTCAGATCGTGAGTAGCAAAATCCAAAACGGCACCATTCGGAACGTTGTCAACATCACGCATAAAACATTGCGTGACTTCTTTGACTACGATTCCGATGGGTCTTCCGAGCTCGTTGTGGGTGGTGATTACACCAAGCCAAAGGCACCACCCGGTAAAACCATCAAAGAGTCTCTTCGTCCCGCGGAAAAGGATACATTCCTCATTCTGCGACAACTCATGCTTGCCTTCCGCGAAACCCGCAAGAGGAACGGCGCCATGGACTCAACCCCCCTCGGTCCGGACCTCGATGTCTCCGTCCAGGCGGGTACAGAGAGAATGGAGGTATCTGAGATGCAAGCCCAACAAGGGCGATACTATCTTGGAGACCCGATCATCCGCCTCGGCCTTCATGATAGCTTCGATCCCTACGAAGTTCGTGATGGATCTAGAGATAACCTGGTTTCCCTCGTCATGAACGTGGCAGCACACGTTGCTGGTCAGTTCTGTGCCGTCCGTAATATACCTGTCGTCTACGATGGAACTTGGTATGATCCAGAATACGGCCGTGTCACCAACAGCAACATCGGCCAGTTCGGTGGCGAGGGCTTCTATGAAATGAGTGCACCGCTGGCTCGTTCATCGACGACCCCGATTCAACACCATGCCCTGGGTCTTCCGACATACGTCAAGAGCACTAGTCCGCTGCGCCGATTCACCGATGTGATTGCGCATTACCAGATCGAGGCTGCACTGCGCTTTGAGCACGAGAATGGCCGTCGATTCAACGCTCTGGCAGAAAACCCTGACTCTGAAGCCGATCTAGCCGGCACCGAAGAAGTATCTGACCCGATTGATTCTTCTTCTACCTCCACCTCCATCCTCCCCTTCTCTCAAGCCACCCTCGACGCCTGGCTCACCAACACTCAGCCTCTCCGTGCACACCTCCGCTACATTGATAGATACTCCTCCCAACATTGGGCTTGTATGCTTCTCTTCCGCGCTTTCTATTTCGGGGAATGTGAACTTCCAGACACATTCCCCTGTGTCCTGCGATCACCGCGGAACAAGCCAAAGCATCTTGATCAAGAGTATGCTGGTATTATCGCCAATCTTGGGCTAAACTGCACCGTGACTGTTCCAGAGGGCTTTGCCGACAAAGACAAACTGGATATCTTCTGTCTAGTTGATGCCCGGATCACAGCAGTCGACATGGCCACTTTCCAGGTCACCCTCGAGACGACCCGGTTTGTGAAGCCATTCGAGAGGAAGGGCGAATGGGCTTGAAGCCACTGTACATTACTGTATTATATGCATTTCCAAAAGGCGTAACATTTAGATAATTCAAAGATAACCCAAGGGGTTACATCCCCCATCTCCTATCTCAATACTGCAAGGTTCCTCCAGTGAACACCATTCAAGAACAGATTACTTAGTGCATCACGCCGGCAGACTGGAGGTTTTGCTCTAGTTGTTCGTGGCCATTCCTCTTCTCCCGCATCGGAAGATCATCCCGGTGGCTGTAGAGGTACAAAACCTCGAAGAGCATTGCACCGAATGAAGTGAAACTATACTGTTAGCCCAAGTTCTTTGGTTGGGAAAGAATAATGCACTCACAAGGCAATGAAACTAAACGCCTCGGCGGCATACTTCCGACTGCATACCGTCTGCCCATTCCAGAGGTGGACACTGCAGCTAACTTGGTTGAAGTTTTGAGCCAAGAAAATGAACGAAGTAAGCCAGCTAGCGAGGTTAGTTTTGCGTTCATGATATAGCGTAGTCGTACTTACAGGTACGAGACTGCGGTATCGGTCAATATCAATGGAAGGACGTGCCATCTATGCCGATTGGCAAGGCAGCTGGAGGTCAGTATGATAGCACTGAAGACCGGGGTCAAAACAGCCTAAATTGTGATGAGCAGAGTGAATCAAGAGATCTGAAGTACTCGAGGGCAACATACTATGACCAGGGAGAAGATCACAGTGAGGGTTTTCGTATCGCGGACTGCCCAGGCTGTGATGCCAAGAACCACGATCGAACTGATGCACTGTATCACACGTGCGAGAGTTGAAACTGTGCCGTATGGATGCTCGTAGAAGTTTGACATTGTAATGATCTTGGATTTCAATATACTATGATGCCTAGTAGGATATCTTTTAGGGCGAGGGCGCTCTTTAAAAGGAAACTTGAGATGAGAATGTATGAGGTCACCACATTTCTTTACCAAAGTTCGGAGACTCTCGGCCTTTTTTTCCTTGATAAAACAAGATTAATTATTATGTTGAATTAAATGGTACAGTATAGAAATTAGAAGTCGACTGGCACGGGGCCATCAGTAGGTCGAGTGTACTTTTCACCCTGGGGAACACGCTTCTTCGTGCGGACAGACGGTAACAGGTCAATGACAAAGGAAAAGACAAAGAATGCAAAGATCAGTGCGGCAACTGCATCGGTTAGCATAAATCCTATAGCTCATGGAAAATGGAATACATACCCCATTCCAAAACAGCGGCGACGTTCTTCCGGTTCTTCGTTTTCGCTCCCATGCACACACCGAATCCAATGGCAACGCCAATTTCACCAATCACAAACACCCCCTTGACGGCAAAGCTGATGAGCAAGATCCGGGCTTGACGGTAGTATCGACCAATCCAAATGTATTCCAAACATACGAGAATGGCGCAGATCACGTAGCTCACGCTGGCTTGGAGTTAGTAGTGTACTTCTGTTGCTTGGAAGGAACCGTACATGAACATGACCAAGAAGCCGTAGTGTTGGTGCTGGTGACGCTTGGCGTCAAAGATAGACAGGAGGATCAGCCCCAAAGCTCCGGTGACAGAAAAGACGATAGACCCAATGGCGCAAGCCTTGTCGAATCGCCCCTTGTTCTTGAGCAATTGACCGGAGTGTCGGAGCCAACGCTCCGCCAGAAGAGAAAGATCCATGAAAACGACAGTGACAGCACTACCGGCGATGAAAAGCGGTTTGATTCCTTCGGCGCCGATATGCGAGATATACCTGCTCTGCATTAGTCGCATTCGCATTGTCAATGACAATAGACTCACGGGATGGTTTGCCCATGGCTCATGGTAGTGTAGTGTGGCTTTCCATCAGCCGCCCAAGCTCCAAGCATGGCGACCAACGTCGCTGAGGGGCATTAGCTTGGAATTCTTTAAAATTCGCGATCGCGTTGATCACGCGACGCGAATGGGATCGATCTCACCTATCCACATGCATCCTGCAACGAGGGGAAATACCCAGAACGAGATAATCCACATGCTATGCGACCCCTGGGGAAATCTTGAGATCTAAAATTTTCGAGATCGGGGGGGGGAATGGCTTGTTTTATTGGTCGCAAGGGATGCAGTGCAAAGATCTTCAGGTCTCAAGCCAGGGGTCGCAAGCAAGGATCTCTCCACCAAAGTCTACGTCGCAACAGTCAGTGACATTGGAATTCAACGGTCGGGGTGTATATACTAACCTGGTACGGAGTACTTGGTGGGACTTTTTAGCACTTTGGGCTGAAAAGGAGGCTTCTGATCGGGTCGGATGCTTCGGGTTGATGACATCAGCATGGTGGATCTGTCGATCTTATACTTATGAGGATAATTGCAAAGAGTAATCTGGGCGTGAAGATGCAGGGCTTTGGGAGTGTGTTGAGCTTCGACGTGCAGGGTCCAATGGAACGCTGTACGAGTTTCGGGGAGATACGAATTTTAACAATGTACGTAGACAAAATAACAATCACAAGTTCTCCATCGCACGAATCAGAGCTTCCAATGTCTGCCCATTCACAGCAGAGGGGTCGACCTTCTTGCTGATCCGCTGCACGACATAATCCGCCGAAAGAGAACCCACATCCTCCGCCGACCACAGGTCGGTATTCAGATGTTTGAAGATAGCATCGACCTTGGTGGGAATGAGACTCGGCTCGGGGGCATTCGACTTGAGGACGAGTTCGATCGTGCGCAGGAACGCTCTGCATAGTCGGCCCCATCCGAGACTCATGTGCCACAGCCCCACGACACAGCTTTCAAGAACAAGGGTCCACTTCAGGTCGGTGGCGCTTAGTCGCGAGGTCGCATGCACGCCTCCTAGACAAAAGTAGTGGAGCATGACGATTGGGATGGACTTCCAGGCATGACGATGTTTGAAGAGCAGGATCAAAGAGCCGATGCTTTCCATGGCTTCGTCTTTGACTGCCTCGAAGTCGACTTCTTCCACCCGTTTGTCGGAGTCGAGTGCGGGAGTTGACTTGGTGGTCGCAAGGGTGCCCAGAGAGATCAGAGTGGCTTGGTAGTAGAAGCTGACCTGATGAGCGATCATTGAAGCCAAGCTTTGGAATGGAGGACTTACTGCAGACAGAGAACGTGAGGTGTGGTATTATACTCAGGCATGACCGAGCGTGGCAGGCTAGCTTTCCAGCGGACGAGCGTTTGGAATAGCTGATGGCAGTAATCTTGGTCCTGGCTGCTCATAGGAAGTTCCCCGATTTGGAGGGAAAATGATGCAAGCTTGTTCACGATCGATGCCAGTGCACTTCGAAACTGGAGGGTAGTATAGTAGTATGGCCGAGAGGCTGGTGACTCAAAAGGATACGGAGTCCACTCTCCATCCTGGTCGAGTCTTTCTGCTTGCTCGGGCGAGCAACGCAAAGGTGGTGGCGTCGGCCAAGGGGATTCCTTCCGATAGACTTGGGATGCCAGTCTGCTCGAAGGTCAGCAAGTCCACGGGCAAAGAGATGAGGCAAGGTACTTACGCATGAACGTCAAAGATGGCCCAAGAAACCATTTCCTGGGACAATTCCGAGGGAGAAAGATCCCGGCTGTCGCATTTCTCATGCGCTGGTATATGTAGGCCCTGCTGGGAATACGATCTTGCCCCGTTCATGATAAATTGTGTACCTAGTCGGTCAAGACCAAAGGTACAAGAGAGGAGACCCAACAGAATGCCAGACTGAATGGTCGGGAGATTCTGGTTGCTCTTGTCATTTTCCCACAGGGGTTGTATCGCGTCGTAGAGCTTTTGCCCTAGCACCTTTTCTTCTCTTCGGTCTGTGATTTGGTTCAGTCTGTATGAAAAGCTCTGCAAAGCGTTAGAATAGTTGTGTCATATCATGGAAAAGAGGTTTCGGATCATACAATTCCAAAAAATAGCAAGACATGAACCAGCAGACGGGAGCAAGATCCTCCGCCGTGGTTCTCCAAGTCCCGAAGGAACGTGTTTTGGTCGATCAAATTCCAGGTGGGGTTTTCCCAGGTAAAATAGAATGACAACAGATGGCTTGCTGTGTCATTTGGAACTAGCTTGGTCCAGAACTCGATTGACTTCACTTGGACCGGTGATTCCTTGAGGATTGGTCTCAACTTTTTAGCATCTTCTGAAGTAGACTCGACGAATATGTGGCCCAGTGAGATCCTGGAGCTTGGCATCGGGATGTGATCTTTGGTCAGATCTCCAGAGGTGAGTAAATCAGCATATATCTCTGGAGATTGCTGGAAATGTTTCTATTCCATCGTTAGGGCAATCCGCAGGTGGGCCCACGAATTGGAGTGGATAACCAACCTTCAGAATATTCTCAATGGAAACATTCTCATGCAAAGCAACTTGGGGAATTACCTCCCCAAGTAATGTTTCATAGATATGGGCTTTTCTTTGTAGATTCTGGAGCTGGAGTCGTTGCTTATCTCGTTTGGAGCCAGTATAGGCACAAGCTCGATTGAGACGTTGGCAGGTCGAGCACTTTGGGCGGCGGCCATCACATTTGGCTTTCTTTTCACGACAGGGTACACAAGCCTGTGCCACTCTCAAGCGATTGGCTTCGGGTGGTTCATCGGGGGAACGGGATGTTGCAATCTCGGTCTCGTTTTCCCGAAGTATGAGGCTCGAGCGATTGTCGGAAGACAGAGTCGGGTTCCCCATCTGGCTAAAATCAAGTGGTTGGCTCAAGGGGCGTGTAGGATTGAAGAGGGTTTCTAAGCAATTACCATCAATTCATGCAGTTTGCTTCTTTTTTTTTCCCTCATTTTTTTCCCACTAGTTATCTCGGGATTTGATGAAACTAGTACATCCATGAAAGCCTCAGCTTGGCGAGAACGGGTCACGTGCTCATGTGGCAAATAAAGAGGCAGAAAATACCATGTCTTTTTTAGTTGGTGATTTTGTGGCAAAAGAGAAGAATTTAGACAATGGGACTATATGGGGGTAATTTTTCCGTGTGAAGATTTGATAGTGGATCCTTCATTTGTATGTGGAAAATATGGCCTCGGAATATTTTAATTTCTCTACGATCTCTCTGTGGAGCATTCTGACAGATCTACTCTGTACTGGAAATAAAATGATCTGTGCGAAGTTCTATAAACTTCATGAAACATCATATAGTATTAGATCCAAAGCTATCTACTAACATGCATTTTTCGAACACAGTAATGGTTTCTTCGGCTCTCAAACACGGAAGCATCCAAGTAGCGGCCAATGCGGCCCTGGAGCTAAAGACAACACATCATGATTTGAGACACTGAGGCTCTCTCCACAAATGTGAGATGGGAAAGCTACAAAATGAGGTGTTCTGGTCGCCACTTTCTTACCTACACCTGGTGAGCAGCCCTGGAGGCCCTATGGCGTACCTTGTGCCTGAATGAGAGGTACAGTATACCATGTTCAATTTTGCCTAAGGTCCCGAATTTTGGTGTTCCAGAAATTGTGTTGATTTGTCTGCGGGTTCCCTGTCTTGTGTCATGTTTCAGAGTATAAGATCAGCACCTATTTAGCCACACTGATGTCATGGAGCTCGGCGACACAGTCACTATTCACACCTATTAGGATGTGAGCAAAGTCCCGTTTATGACGTGGTTTTGACTTTGGCTTCAAGGATAGAGACCAGTTTTAGTCAATTTCACAATTCACCGCAAAGCATAGCTTCCGCCACTGCAATCATTACAAGGATGTAGCAAATACGGCTTCTTTGTAGTACGTTGCGCAATGTGGTGAGTTATAGGACGTCATCAGAGGTACAAATGTTTGCTTCACTGATATAAAGACCTAGGTGAGCTCTCATTTCCCTCTCTCTTCAACTCTCTTCAACATCATACATTTCATCAATACATCTTCCATCACTATTCATCATGCAATTTGTACGCAAGGCCGAAGAAGCCCTGACAGGCAAGAAAGATGAGTCGCATGAGTCGACTCAGTCTTCCAACAATGGACCTCACTCGTCCAACTTGGCCAACAAGCTTGACCCCCGTGTTGACAGTGACCGTGGTATGTACCGACGCACCCCACATCCCTACTAGCTTGCATGCTAACTATACCAGACAACCGCGCGGCCCACACTGATGTCGACGACAAGCATATCAGCACTTCCAAGAACTATGGCCAAGGCACTTCTGGAACAACCACCACTGCTGGCACCCACGATCTTGGAGACAAAAGCCACAGCTCAGCTCTTGGCTCGACTACTCATGGCACCAACAAGCCTGTGACCGGCGCTGAAGCTACCACATACGGCAGCAGCAGTACCAACGCAGGACCTCACAGCTCGAACATCGCTAACAAGGCTGATCCCCGCGTTGATTCTGATCGTGACCCCCGTAGCCGCCACGAGCATGTCACCGATGTTGGATCAACTGGAGCAACCCACGGCACCAGCACCAACACAGGACCTCACAGCTCGAACATCGCCAACAAGGCTGATCCCCGCGTTGATTCTGATCGTGACCACCGCAACCGCCATGAGCATGTCACCGATGTTGGAACTACAGGAGCAATCCACGGCACCAGCACCAACGTAGGTCCCCACGACACCAAAGCCGCCAACAAGCTCGACCCTCGCATCGACTCAGACCGCGACAATCGCGCCCTCCTCTCTGGAGCCGGTACCGCCCCTGCTCTCGGTTCCACGCATGGAACTCACGGCCCCAGCTCGACCATAGGCTCTACCATTGACCCCCTAACCGGTACCGGGGCTGCCCACAGCACCAATGCCGGCCCCCATGACACCAACCTCGCCAACAAGCTTGATCCCCGTATCGACTCGGATCTCGACGCCCAGGCTAGACACCAGTCTCTTTCTGGTATTGGTGCTGGCACTGTCACTCACGGTTCTCACTCCCGTGACACGGCTTCGGGTCTGGCTCCTGACCAGGGCCTTGCTGGTAGCAGTTACAACACTCCGACTGGAACTGCTACGCGCACTTCTGGCACTACTGCTACGGCTGGTCCTCATGACTCAAGCATTGCGAACAAGCTTGATCCAACTGTGGAATCGCATGTTCCTGCCGACAGTGCCCAGCGAAAGATCTAAGTGTCTTACACTCGAAGATTGGGATATGGCTCTACGATGATACGAACTTGATATTCAGAAGCAAATTAGTGCAGATTTACAATGAGATTATGATAATTTGAAATTTACAATTGTATACCTGAGTAGGGAGTTTTGGATGCCTGCTATACATGCTCCTGTATTGTACACGTGAAATAACTTCATTAGATATCAAAGACCTCCTTGATGAGTGCCTTCTTGTTGACTGGGATATGAAATTAGCAGCAGACTCGACAGCAACAGAATCCAATACTTACCCTTCCCCATCGCATTCCGCGGAATGGCGTCTAGGATCTTCATCTCCTGTGGGATTTTATACGAAGCAAGACGGTCCTTGAGCGCACGTCTCATATCCATCGGTCCCCATGATCGCCCATTCTTCCCTGAAGCAGCAGCATCGTCACTCAGAACAACCAGCGCGGCGACTTTCTGTCCCCACTGCTCAGAGGGAAGACCAACGACGGCCGCTTCAGTGATTTGAGGGCTATCTTGTTAGTACCATGCACAGACAGCCCGGAACGGCAGGTGAGTAGACTCACAGTGAAAGCAACTCCCTCTCAATCTCCAACGCACTGATCTTCTCGGCGCCCGTCTTGATGATATCGACGCTTTTCCGTCCTTGAATGAAATACATGGGCCCCTTTGCCCACTCCCCACTCTTCCCACTACCTGCCCCATCGACGATCTTCCTTGCCGCAACATCGCCAGTGCAAAACCAGCCGTCTACAAATCCCTCGTTGGTCGCTTTCTCGTTGCCCCAGTACTTGGCAAAGATGGTATCGCCGCGTAGCTGGATCTCGCCTTCGCGGTTTAGTTCTGATTCCGGGATTACATTTCCGGTCTCGAGATCAACTAGTCGTGCTTCAACGCCTGGCAATGGCCACCCGACACTGCCGTCGACACGATCCGCATTGTCAAGTCCACAACTGATCGCCATTCCGACCTCGGTCATACCGAACCGTTCAAGAAGGACATTCCCGTTGCTGAGATCAGTCCATTTTGTCTTCGTTGGCGTGGGTAGTGCGGCTGAGCCGGATATGTTGAGACGAAGGTTTTGAGGAGAGATGCCTTCTTTAGCGGCTTTTTGAAGATCAGGAGGAAGATTGCTGAACGTTGTCATCAGTCTGTTGTAGATTGTTGGGACAGCTGTGAGGAATGTAACTGGTGGCTTTGAGGTTGATTGGAAGGGCGCCGCAAGTCGTTTCCAGACTTGTTCGGGGTTGAAGGGGTACATGAATTCGACAGAAGAGCCGGCTACCATTGGCGCCACTATGGCGTTCACAACGCCATGGATATGATGCAGTGGTAGGAGGTGGAGTAGCCGGTCCGATGGACTATACTTCCACGCTTCTACTAGCGAGGATGCTTGTGCTGCTAGCGCAGATTGAGGAATGAGAACTCCCTTCTGTTTCTTGTTAGTCGACATTCTGGTGCACTGCGGATGGACTTGCCGGTCTATTTGTTGTGCCGGAAGTATACAGCATCATCCCACTGGCTGATGGCTTCTCCAGGTCCTTCAGAGTAACAGGCTCGCCGCTTGTGCCCTCGAGTTTGCTGCGGACATTGAAAATGGGATCATGCTCTAGCCCCTGTCTGAGAATCTCCATGGCTTTATCAGAGTACTTCTCTGTCGCAAGCAACATCTTTGCCTGCGAGTTATCCAGAATGTACTTCAGTTCTCCTGTTGGGAAAGCCGGGGAAAGCGGCAATGCAATAGCATCGCTAGCGAAGATTGCTAGCATTGTGACTATACCCCAATTAACATCTCTCTTTCCCATTCGAGGCATAGGTTCACAGTACCTACGTAGTCATAGCTATTTTCCGCAAGGAACGCAACCCGCTCGCCGGCTAAGGTCCCCTGTCCCTTCGCAGCCTTGCGCGCAAGATCATCCCTCGCCCGGACAACATCGCCAATGAGACTTCCGTATGTAAAAGACCGTTCGGAAGCACTGTGTACCACAGCCAAGCTATCCGGGTCATGGCTCTGCAATGCGCGAAAGATATGCGTGTTCGGTAAGGTGGACAGAAGCCTGAAAGGCATTCGCGGAGCTTTGAGAATGCGCGCTCGCGAGCGCGACAGGATTGAAAGGAGAGGCATTTCGATCTCTAAATCATGATAAAAATACCGGGGGAGAAAGCAGAGCTTTATGAGGCGAACGGCGAACGGTCAAATTGATGTCATGAGAAGTTCCGCGGAAACCAAAAAAACATCCGCCCGGACTTCTTCTCCCTACCTTCGCTTCTCGACTTCCCCGCAAATGATTCCTCGTGTCCTCCCAGGCCTGACGCCCCGTCGCTTGTTCTCCGTTTCTGCTAGGATGGCTACCATGACACCCCTGGAGGATGCGATGCGCGACAAGGTGAGCCCACTCCGCTGGTTGGGTGGTCTGAGCTGATGTTGTCTATGGCTAGATTGCGCACGCATTTACACCCTCGACGCTGGTTATTCGCAATGATTCTCATAAACATGCGCATCACGCTGCTATGGAGGGGTCTACGTCCAAGGAGACTCATTTCCAGTTCGTGTTCATCCGGCTCTCCCCGCTGTGCTGCCATGGGGATCTCTAACGGCTTCTAGTGTGACGATCGTTTCCGATGCCTTTGAATCTAAGATGCAGCCCGCGAGGCACCGCATGGTCTACGCTTTGTTCAAGGAAGAGATGGCACGGGAGGGCGGACTCCATGCGCTGCAGTTGAAGACGAAAACCCCGGCCGAGGAACAACGTGAGAAGGAGCGCTCAAAGGCATAAGCAAGCTCTTCCGATACCCAGGTTGTGCATGTTTCAGGTCAAATACCCCTCTCGCTGTATGAAAGAATTTTGGTATACATTGCACTGTTCGGACTGCGGGTTGAAGGGACGCAAGGAATCGATTATTAGACGGTATTACATAGATTCTAGCGCCAAAACGGGGCCAACGGAAAGCAACAATCTAGTATATACATCCATGCGCGACAACCCCGGGCCAAAATCATCAAGGGCGTTGCGCGGAGCTGTACAACTCGCACAGCTGGAAGCAAAGACACAAGAAAAGACGATTGGAAAGTCATTGCTTTTACACAAGAGAGAAGGAAATGCGAAGGGGTGGTATAACAGCGGGTGACAAGAGAGAAATCAAGAAGGAAAAAACAAAGGGGATGATGCGTGAGTCCCCGCCGGGGCGTCGTACAATGACCGAGATCAGTTGCTGGAGTTGGCGCTCTTGTTGGCCTGGGTGACACCGACAGCCACACCGACAACGATCGCAATAATAATGACTGCTCCAGTTAGCGGCTGACCCGTGAGCGGGAATAACAGATAATGACTTACTGATGATGATCAGCGCGTACCACTTCCAGCGGCGAGCGTTCTTGGCGCTTTGGATAGCGCTGTCCAGCTTGGTGTTGGCCTGCTCGACATTGCGGTGTGTCTCCTCGGCGCCCTGGTTGATCTGCTGGACGGCAGGCTCCTGCTGGTGCACCAGTTCGGCGACCTCGTTGTAAAGGTGGCTGAGCTCGATCAGATCCTGCTCGATCTTGCGAATGGCGGCGGAACGCTGGAGGGTCGCTTGACGGGCATCGTTGGCCTGGCGGGAACGGGTACCGGGGACCTAGATACGGAAATTAACTGGCTGGTCGCATCATTTAAACAGGCGCAATACATACCACGAAGCTCTGTTCTTGGCCCATCAGAACATTTTGCACACCCTGCTCCAATTCCTCGGGGGTAGCCTCAGGGTTGGCAATCTCGTAGCGACGGCGCACTTGCTCCTCCAGGCGCTTTTGGAAATCACTCTGTGTGCGCTGGTAGGACTCGATCTCGCGACGAAGGTTGCGACTGACGTTCTCGACCTGACCCTGAACGCGCGAGTCGCCAGATCCCGGAGTTTCCTTGACGCGCTTGAACTGATCGCGCAGGTAGCGCAAGGCAGTGTTGATCTCATCCTCGATGTAGTCGAGGGTCTGGCGCGAAGACTGATCCTCCTTTCCGGTGCTCGAGTCCAGGAGAGCCTTCTGGGCAGAGACCAGCTGGCCTTCCCGCTTGCGGGTGAGCTCGGCGATACCTTCATTGATTTCCTTGCACTTGTTCAGGATGGCGGTGGGACCCCCGGATGAAGCCTGGTTCATGTTGCCCATCTCTGCCGGAGCGTTAGCGCGCGGTCAGCAGTCGTCGATGTATCACAACATACCGTAGCCGCCATTTCCTTGCTCCGCATCTCCACCGTAACCGCCGCCATAGCCATAGCCTTGCTGCTGGTTGGCGTAGGGATTGCTTTGCTCACTTCCGTACGGGTTGTACTGGCCGTAGCCGCCTTGGTTGTTATCCCCCAAGCTCTGGTACTAGGGAAATTCGGGTCAGAAGGCCAAATCTTCCCAATGGACTCATCGCGGTCGACGATTCAATAACTCACACTCATGATGATGGATACGGCAAGGTCAAAGGTTCTTGTGTCAATGTAGGGGAGGGGATGAAGGGAAGGGTGAGACGGGAGGAGTGGAGGTGGCAGAAGCGCGCTGGCGGTGTCTCAGGAGATATGCAAGACAAATCAACGGAAATTAAGCATTAATCGACTCCCCTAGTATTTCGGTAGTCTATAGGTTAAAGAGAAACGGGATTTTAATTTCGTTCGAGGGGCCCCTATTTTGAAGAATCAGATTCTTCGTTCCTGCGCACGTACAGCCTCCTTACAGTGGAGTCGACCCTGTGTGGCTGACGTTACTATTTATGACAGTTGAGATCGGCAGATATTTCCTATGTCTCGGGTACCTTCTTATACATGTATGAGTTCATATTGAATGAGGTACCCGGTACATCGACCAGGTGGTCTCCATATGCACGACTTGAAAGATCAACGGTGCAACCGCTCAGTCGTGTCAGTCGAAAATAGCCAGCAGCACAACCTTGGAAGCTTCTCCCCCCAGGCAGCCCAATATACCGCCAATCAGCGGCTTTGAATATTGCCAATTCTGAGCCTCATTTCAGGCGCCCACTTTTCTTGCATGTGTGCATGGACGATGTTCATGTAATGTGCACACAGTTCATCTGCAGGATGTGAGATAGACCAAATTGTCTGAGGCCTATCCAAGGACGGAAACGCCATATAAACTCCACCTAAAAGCACCTGCGGGCAGCATTAGAGCCCGGGCATATGTATGTACCCGAGCTACCCGTGGACCCTTAGACCTCGGGATGGGCTGGACTCTCTAGGACTGCCCAGGTGGTAATGCCAACTCGAAGTACACTACGGGTCATCAATATAAACATACTCAAGATAGCAGATGATTCAGTTAATAATAAAATTTAAGGGTACTATTTAGTATGTACAATCGTATCGTATCCTAAGACTCATACCAGCATCAAAGTCCAAACACAACCCGATGCCAACGCCAATGCAATATTAAGTTTAGTGGACCTGGGAAGCACGACGCTCCTCAGCAATAGGGGCCTCAGGCATGTAATCATCCGCATCGAGAGCATTCATGTCATCTTCCTGCGCGTTGAGGTGGCGGAAGATGGCGAAGAAGATCAGACCGGCCAGGAAAGAGGCACAGGCCAGACCGACGAACATCCACATGATAGCGGGGTCGAAGGCAGCGGGGGTCAGGGCCTCGGCGATGGCGGAACCGAATGCGTTGGTGAGGAGGTACATGGATTGCACGAAGGACTTCATGCTAGGTGGGGCCTTGGTGTAGGCGTACTCGAGACCGGAGACGGAGGCGAAAATCTCAGAGACACCGATGAAGACGTAGGCTGGGGTTTGGATGGCGATGTGGACGTTGTTACCGTAGGCGGTGCCGTCGACCACGGAGGCGTCACAGAGTGGGTTTCCGTAGCAGGGTCCGGCGGAGTAGATCAGGTGCTGCACGATGGCGGCGTACATCATGGCCAGGGAGGCGACGACGAAACCGAAAGAGATACGGGTGATGGGGCGGAAGTTAATCTTGAGGCGGCGCAGGATGGGGTAGACGCAGGATTCGAGGACGGGAATGAAGACGATGACAGCGATGGGGTCGAAGTTCTGCATGAGATCGTTGGGGATGCCGTGGGTTTGCATCTGGCCGGCTTGGGTGACGAAGTTGCTGGAGAACTGGCCGTAGACGACCCAGTAGACGGGGTAGAAAGCGAAGACGCGGCAGGCGACGAGGGCACGCTTCAGCTCGTCGATGAAGTGGTCATCCCAGTTGACGGAGGAGGAGCCGTGGCGCTCAGTCTGCCACGAGGGCTTGGGGGCGTCCATGTCGCGGTTCTTGATCATGATGAACAGCGCACGGAAGGCGTCGGTGATGATGGAGCCCTGGGGAGGGCGGACAACGTAGTACTTGCGGCCGAGGGTCACCACCAGGGTGCCGACCATGAACATGCAGAGACAGAGAAGGTAGGCTGACCAGAAGCCGATGTACTTCTCCATGTAGGGAGTTGCGAGCAGGGAGAGGGAACCGACGTTAATACATCCGTAGAAGATCATGTAGATGCGCTGAATAGTCAGGGCAGGGTCAATGACAACCCGCTCGCCGTTCTTGATGGTCTTGATGGCCATCTTCTTGCGCTTGTACTGATCGGCAATCAAGGGCGCCACGTTACTCTTGATACCACCGGTACCCAGACCGATGATCAAGATGGCGACGATGAAACCTCCCAGACCGGCGCCATTTTCCAGGGCACCGGGAATAGATGTGCAGACCAGGATCAACAGACCCACCATGTAGACGATACAGAAAAGCACGATCGTCTTGTACTTGCCGAGGTATTGATCGGCCACGACGGCACCCAGAATGGGTGTGACATAACACCAGAACTGGAAGAAGGTAGTGAGACCCGTGGCACCCTGGTGGTCCATACCCAGGGCACCCCGACCTTGGCTCCCGTCCAGAGGGCGCTGGATGTAGTTCTGGAACAGACCCGACATTCCGTAGTAGGTGAAACGCTCGCAGAGCTCGACAATGGCCACCAACCAGGCGGAGACGGGCAGGTTCTCGGCGACGTGACGCAGCGAGGTCTTCTCCGCGAACGTGGGTTCTCCGCCGTCCGGGGTGACTGTGTTTTCCTTGTCGAAATCCATGCTCGCCTTCTCGTTCAGCACGACCTGTTGGGTGACATCCGATTCATCGTAGTTTGGAGCTCTTGACGGTATCAGTATAGCTCTGTGGGATCTCGATGGGGAAAACCTACTGAGTCCCGTGGGTAGACTCCACCTCACGTTCGGTCGACATGGCTGCTACTGGACCAAGGAATGCCTTCTCTATGAGAGGGCGGGGGAAAGTCAGAGGAGTAGAGACGGAGAGAAAGTAGAAAAGACGGAGAAAATGAGCTTGTGCTATATATGCCAAAATTCATTACCCAACATCCGAGGCCACAGTGGAGAGCGTCTTATCGCGAAAGTAAAATCGAAATAAATTAAAAGCGAAACGAAAAATAAGAGTCTCCAATATCCCCAAACGAGCTAGGAGAATGGCCTCTTTTTGGCACTAAGGCGATATGAGAAGGTCCGAATGGCCCATTGTTCGCAGTTCTACCGTGGATGCGATCGGCAGCGGTTATCGACCAACGGCGAATGGCTGCAGCCAACTTGTTGACCCACGGATGTAACCCCAGAACGGCACAGACGGAAGCGAACGAAGACAAGCAGTGACAAGCAATAGGGCCGAAGCACGCCGGAGAGGGGCGAACACAGGTGATTATTGATCAATCAGCAGGGCCCGACGGAGGGCCCTAACGCTGTCGGGTTTGGCATCTGGGGATTCTGGAAGGGCCAGTCCGACTCTCCACTGCTATCACCGGCGAATCATGTTGAGATGGCGAGTCGGAGATTGCCGGTGAGCTTGAAATTTTCCCTTTCGGGTCGTATGTTTCCGGCTGCTTTTTTTTTTTCGCGTGGCGAAACATTGTGGGATTTCTTTTTTTTTTTTTTGGTGCTGTTGGTTATTCTCTTTTGGTTAGTATTTTCCATATCTCCGGAGTCCTACCTCTTCTCCGCGCCATTGACAATCGGGATATGTTCGGCTGTATTGTGACCGGGGATTGAAGGACGTAGACACCGGCACGCTGACGCCTTCGGCAAATGTGGTGGGACAGCATTCCGCAGCCATACACCCGTTTTCAGAACGGAACACCGTCGGACAGGTACTCCGTACTCATGCGCTCTGATGAGCAGTCTGGTAATGCACATGAATAATGATCTGATTGACCCCGGACCATCTGGTCCCGCATGTAACGTTGGGGCTCTTCCCCGCGCTGAGAATCAAGTCGTCGGTTATTCGGTGTTTTTGAGTTTCGGTGTCTCGCACTGCACTACCCCAGAGCATCGGTGGATGTTGCGGTCAGGTCGTGCCATAGCCAGCCAATGTCATGCCAGTGGTAACTTGTCGACAGGTTCGGTTCTGGTCCCATCATTTCCGGGGTAATTAATCTCTCGTAACAGTGTTGCCGCGTAGAGCAGACGGTGGATCGATGTCTCGCCAAGCCGATAAGCTGGTTAGTGTTGGTCATGGTCAGTAGTCAGAAGGCTGCCCAGGTGGACAGTATGATCTCTCGGAATATCATCAAATCATCAAGGGCACGATCAAAAATCCCAGGTGCAATCATCGAGGGAAAAGAGAAAAAAAAGGGTCGCGCAGATCACGGGGAGTCACCGCGCATAAGTAACCACCAAGAAGAACCCCAAGAAACTCCAAGACTCACCACGCCCTTCGGGCTCCGACTTCGCTCACGGGTTAGGCATAGTCAACCGCCAGGTCCACCAACCAGGACGTGCTTATCGTCAACAATCATCTTGGTGTGTATCTTGGCCCCAATGAGGGCGCTGATGGCGCAAGCTCCCGAGCCTTGGGCTCGGGGCTGCCAAGTCATAGCCAAGGTTTAGAGATATTGGCGATGTTGTGCTCGTCCAAACACGCCGGGAAGCTCTACATCTCTTATGAGGCCAGATTTGCACACGCGTCGAGCCCCATGACGGAGCCCTGCGGATGCGACTTATCAGATCCATCGCGCTACTTCTGACTCTACGGGTCAAACATCCAACAAAATCATTCTTATTGGTCTTTCCGGGCCTTGAGCAGACTCCGAAGATCTCACATAGCACTAACTTCTACATGTGTATACTAGACCCGAGACCAGCCTCTTGCTATTGGCTCAATCGCGCTGACAGGTAGACTAAACCACCCAATATAAGGATATTACTATTCCGATATCGCAGGAGTCGGCCTCTATCCGAGAAGATGGAGAGATGGGCGTTAGTATGGCGACATCAAGAGCCACTCAGACCTCGGGAGATGGGATGTGGATCTTTGTGTATTGCTTGTCGATGGACGCAATCCAGGCGAGAGTGTGATATAGAGTACAGTTTAATACAGTGGCTGGATCTCGAATGCCAAGAGGCCTTCACGTTTACTCAGTATCGGGAGCTGAATTTGTTGTGAGTCACCCTCCATTTTAGGCAGCTTGACCGAGACTTCAAAGTGGAATCTTTAGTTCTGATACGGAGTCCAAAGTGGAATTGCTGTTCGGCGATTTGTCGGAGAAAATACCTGCTTACTGGCGGCTCTGTGAATAAGATGGTCTTTGATTGGCTCCGTCGTAGACGCTTATCAGCCTCAAGCCTGCACATATAGCCCTGGAGTTTTGTACTCCGTATATAAACACTTTTTTCAAGATTGGGTCCACAGGTCTTCCCATACAGAACGTCTCGATCGGACTTCATCTCCAACTCAGAAACCACATTGGCTTTGTGTCCTGGTCAAGACTGGCATGGGAAAGCCACTTGAACGCTCTCCATTCACATAGACACAACTGACACTCGAAGCATGCATCAATCGAGCAGCCAATCAATAGCATGGTTCACCAGTGCTGAGCTAGTGACCTGCGGGTCCTGCAGCAGACTCGATAGGCCATGAACGCCAGTAACTGTTTGTGCTGAATGGCTTGTTTCAAAAGACTCGGGTAGGTCTGAACTGATGGTAGTCCGACCAGATGGATGCGACGAAGGCATCTGGCGCTCAGAGAGATTAGAGGAATGTTCCGTCAAAAATCTAACCATCCAATTATCCAGCACAAAGGAATCCGACATCGAATCCTGGCACGACTTTTGGAACTTCCGAAGCCGTGCCACCTGTGCTATGTTAGCGGTTGTGAATGAGCGAAAGGAACATTTCCAGACTTACCGAGTGATCAACAACAGGCCAATAAGACTTGAGATCCATCAAATATTCGAAGTTCGATATCAATCGCTTTCGAGCCTCGGAAAGCTCGACGTGGTCGCCACTGAACAGCAGAGCGTGGAGATGGACACAGGAACTTATCACGGCAATATGACCGTATATGAAGTAATTCAGATCACATCCTTCGATATATGTGCTATGCTCTATGATGTCAGACACAATGTTGGCACTTGCTTTGCACTGAGTAGCTCTTTGGGCTAGTTCTGTGATATCGTGGTCCCCATGAGCGTCGAGGAATGGGAAGAACAGCATCTGTCGAAAATGGTGCAGGCCAATGTGCATCGCAAGAAATGTTCGGCCTAGCCCTTGTCTGACTAGGGATTTGATATTGGCTTCGTTGTACGCAAGGCCCGGTGGTAGGTCGTGCTCCCACTGGTCGAGGGCAGCCTGTAGCCTGGAGGCCTCTATGCAGTAATCGCTGAACTGGATGAGACATTGGCTCAATCTTCGTAATAGAACACTAGTCTTGTTGAATATATCGAGTGTCTTCGCCATTTGGGCCCACATGTTGCATGGCGATGTATCGGTTTCCTGTTGTCTCTCGGGGTCCAGGCTGTGGAAGGTCGCATCATCAACTTCTGGGTTGATGACGTCCGGACGATGTATGAATGAGACAGGCTCAATGGACATGTCAGTTGTTGTCCAATGGCTTGCTATGAGAACGGAGAGCCAGGTTCGTCGATGCTCTTCTTGTCGCATCGGGCTGACGTCGTTGGGGATATCCGGGAAGGACAGCGCTTCGGCGTGTAATCGGGCAAGTCCACTATATATGTGTTTCGCCTTCGTATTTCCCTCTCCTCCGTAGTAGTAGCCTATCAGGATCAACCCCTGAACCGATTCCAGGCTGGGGGCAATGAGAGATTGCTGGGTGAGATGCTCGGCTTCGGAGATGTACATCTTGCCCCGTTTCCCACGGGCGACACCTTGAAAATGGGAGCTGTCAGAGAACCTGGCAGCAAGCGCGCACATTGCATATACCTGGAGCATGGATGCTCTGCCATTTTGCAGGCGATGTCTGAAGCTTGCTTCGTGAATCATTGTGTGGGCAACGTTGTGGATATAGCGGAAGTACAAGGGGACCAGGTCATGATAGATCTCTCTTTTAGTTCGGAAATCGGTTTTCTTGAGGCCGGTTGATGGTCCCGTGGCTTCAATAGGCTCATTGGGACACGGGGTTGAGAGTGACTTGCACAACCTACATCCACGGCCATCCTCCACCGGGACGCATCGCCTTTTGCGCACCCTATCCACCTGTAAGCGGTTTTCAGGTCAGATAACTGTGATCTCGTTTTCTTACCGACAGTTGACGCAGGCAGCTGCCCTGGCCCTCTTCGGGGGATCGGGCATATCAGATGAGTCGCTGTCAGCTTCCAGATTTACACTGGGTAATTCTGGGCTTTCATCGGGCTCAGGCGCGGGTATTCTATCCACGAGCTCATTGATTGCAGCTTCATTCTCGAATTTATCCAATTTTCGTAAAGGATAAACCCCGAATGCCCATGGTGTCTGAATTCTTCACAGGGTTGGAGATGGGGAAACTGAGTGGAGGCCGCTAATCGGAGAATGCGGAGCAGTCGGTGCTTGGGGAAGCACTGCACGCGATTGAAACAAACCTTGGAATCTACATCTTGCATTCTCCATTCAACGGATCTCGCCTGTTTTTTCTTTCTGTTTTCCATGTATTCAAATTTCGTGAGGAAGGTAGATTCACATTGATCCTGCGATCTCGTGGAGAGAATGAGGGGTTGTTGGTGAGAACACTTGATATATATCGACGAAGCCTGCCGAACACCACCCGCCTGGGAACCAAACACAAAGACCATTCTTTACGAATACCTAGTCACTGAAATATTGCCTGACTACCCACCAGCCAACTATTTCAAAAACCTCAAATTTCACCATCAACCTGGCGAGTGATCATCTGTGTAGAGACCTCGGGAGCGTGTTTACAATGTACCTAGGTAGCGGGTAAACTTCACATCGTGCCCGGAGGAGAATAACCTTGGAACCCTTGGGCATGCTACTGACAACTTTTCAAGGCTGGAGCTTCATATCGATCGACTCAGGCCGACATCAGAAAGGACACGAGCCTCCGAGAGCTCGGGATAACCTTGGGACACGGTTCACTGGCGCTGCGCTTCCCGAGGTCTCAGAAGCTCCAGGGCTCCAGGACTCGAGCCGAACACCGAACTGTAGAATCCCGAGGTCTAAAGCAAACATACTCAGCACCTGGGCAGCCTACCAAACCTTGGAATCTATAAGTGTGATTTTTCCGAGTCAGCGCCAGGCCTCTGTTGAGATGCACGACCCCAACCTTGAACGATTGGCCACAGCTGGTCCCGAGTCCCAGCTAACATCGGAATGATCCCAAGGTTAGTTTCAATACTCGTATGATATTCGAGGTCAGGCACATTCAAGAGCGGGTCATATTTGAATAAAATAGTAAGGGAAAGACCCTGATATAGACTGAGGCAGGACCTTGAACCCCACGGCAGAAGCTAAGAGAGTTTAGTAGAGTAAGATACAAGTCGCAAGCAATCAGGTCGTCCCTGCAAAACTGGGTGGAATAGGGTCATCAAAGAAGCACTATGTATGTGATCCACCCTATTCCCACCGCACCGCGAGTCGAGCTCACTCCCCCTGGATACGTTTCGGTCCGTAATCGTGAAATCTGCATCCCGTTTTTTTGTCGTTTTCGATCTGCATATCACCAAGTTTCACCTCTCAGACAGTGTACTTGGCCTTGGCGCGAGTGCTACCGCTGTGTGCGCTGTCGGTGTGGCCTGAGAATTCCACCACATCGGCCAAGTTCAAGCGCAGCACATCCTTGAATCGCTGTCCGATCGCCTCCAAAATCTCCTTGCCCTGTGCGGGCGTGCGGGTAGTCTTGTCGCCTTGAATGCTCTTGCCAACGGTGCGTGTCCATAGACCAACTCGGTAGAAGCCCTTGCGCACATTCACAACAACTCCCATGACTTCGTTGTCGGCATCGCCCTCGAGGGTCTCACCGATGGCGGCCAGTTGCGCGTGCAGCCACAGTTCATCGATGGGGACGGAGCGCTTGTCCTTGAACTGGTATGACCACTTGCCACCGTGCTTGTTCTGGGGGTCCTCCCACTCGGGCCGTACGCCCTTCTTGAAGAGGTGGTAATCGGCCTTGAGACCGAGCTCGGAGGTAGGTGTGATGTTGTTCTGTAAGCGATTGCTGTCAGTGCGATGATCCCATCCCAATTCGACCCTGACGTACGTAGATTCCCCAGAACTCCTCAACGGAGCTGAAAGTGACGACCTCCTTGAGCAGGTCGTTCCAGTTGTCGCCCTGTGATTCAGTCAGCGATGCGATCTAACAAGATGCAGTCGATGGCGCATACCTTGCCGCTGGGAGGCTTGGTGAACCAGAGGGTCCACTCGTGCATGAGAGGGTGCTTCACATTGAAGTCCTCGGAGTTGTGGAAGACGGTAACAGCATCACCAGCCTTGGCCTCAGTAGAGGCATTCTCATCGGCCACGACCGGGGCACCATTCTCTGCGACGGCTGCCATGGTGGAAGTGTTGTGGAGGGGAAGCGGAAAGACGGAGGGGTGTGGGTTTTTAGGGAAAGCGGAATTTCGCACAAAGGAAAGAGCGACCGAGAGCCCAGGTGTCAAATCGGCAGATATAGTCTGCTCCAGGCAGTGTGAAGTGACAGTGGAGGTGAGAAGGGTAAGGGAAGTTTTGAAGTTCGAGCAAAAAACTGCCTTGCCTGTTTGGGTTCTTCCGTAAGATCTATCTCCGACTTCACCTCACTATTAGACTACTTCTCACTTTTGATCTCCAACGTTGACGCCTGAGAGGCATATTTGCTATCAATGTGAAGAAATTTGCCTTCGATTCTTTACACTCATTGTTTCTTACTCAATTTCTACGGTAATCAATGCTGGAGAAAAAAAAAATCGACTTATGATGCCCAATGACCAACCCCGAAATTCATACAGAATCCTTATATGACACGCCAATGTGAAGAGCCCAAGCTCATGCTTAATAAAAACAACACGGGTATCTTTAACCATGCCTTCTATGACCTTTTGATTTTTGACCTCTTTTTATTCCTCACCGCTGTTCATCATGCTGAGGAAGCAGTTCCAGCCTGTTAGGTTGGTTAGTGACACTGACCACACACAGTCTGATATCTCATGTCAACACTCACCCAAACTGATCACATTGACAAACAGGATACGCAAATCCTGAGGGACGAACGCGAAGTTGACTCCCTGGACGAACGGCCAGACCGCCAAGTTGGCCTTGTAGGCAGGGCCAAAGGCGTGCTTCCACTTCTCCACAGGGTCGGTACCCTCCATGAGCGCCATGGAGGAGAGGAAGCATGTGAGTTGGATCGGAGCGAAGACGACTTGATCGGCGGCGACACGAGCGACGGTGGTTGTTGCGACACTTCCGAGAACGACATGACGCTGGAGGACTCCAAACCATTTTGTAGCGACGGGACCGAAGACAGCTGGAAGGGCACACAAGTTAGCAGTGGACGGAATCTGGGGATGCGCCGAACGTACCTCCGCCGTACAACACCATGCGACCGGTGCGAGCAAAGTCATGCTTTGCGAGACCTCTGCGGTCCACTGCTTGTTGTGCTAGGGCATCACCGCTACCGAACAGGACCTATTATAAACAATGAGAAGCTGGGAACTCAGGGCGATTGCGATAACCGTACCGCACTGGTAATGCTCGCAGTGAGAATGGGCCTCTTTGCCAACTTGGATTGGTACCTGGTTTAAGTTTTGAGCTTCAGTTCGAAATTCGTAGCAAGGGGTACTCACCAGCGCAACATGTTGACGATCAACTATACGGACAGCAAATGCAGATATAGTACAAGGGCAATGCAAAAAGGTCCGACAATTGGAGAGCGAGGCGCTTGGAGAAACCCTGGGAGTAGATGGGGTCTTTAAATTGCGGAGTCAACCTGCAAACCTGTCTGGGAAGCATTGCCAGATTAGGAAGCGCATCCGCCAACCTTGGAAACAACGTCGGAATCGTCATTCTCACACTGATCAATTGTTACTGGCTGGCCAGGACCCCACGCCCGTCGACAGAGTACCAATTTACGGAGTATGGATGTATTGATTCTCGATTCTATGATTGATCTCGAGGGCAGAATGACAGTCCGGATCTTGCACGAAGGGCCACCTCGTGCCCAATTACTCGTGCCAATTATTGGGACCTTGCAGAAGGACTTGGCTGATACAAATAGACTCTCGATTATGACACTCATTCTTGTGAACGATCTACAGACCTAGGCGCTTACCCGCAGATCACTCAGATCGCAAGTGATAAATTGTCCAGCTAGGTACACAGTGCATGGTCAAACAACAATGCTGTAGATGGGGTGCGAGGTCTTTTAATTCTCTCACATGTGGCTTGTCAAACATCTCCCGAGTCATTCATTGAGTTCATTTCAAGCCTGGGAGGCTATTCCCTTCCAATGTTTCTATGCTTGACGGTGTACTCCGTATACTAGGTATCACCTCTACTTCTAACCGAAGGCCCAACCAGGAATTCTGCTATCAGAACCTCGACTAGACCAGTCGAGTCTTGTTAGCAAACACTGTTGGCTATACGGAGTAGAAAAAACCACTAATCGTCCGTCTAGATTATATGGCCGTTCCGAGGTCTACGGAGTTCATGTAGCCGGGCACCAAGCCTGCAAGTTGCCAGGGCGAGTTGAGAAAGGGGTCTATGACAATTGTGCCTAGATCATCTATATCGATTGGAAAGCAGCAACTCACATGCCCAATCCTTGCAACTATCGAGCATGACTGGCAGCACTCGGCAGAGAATCGCCGGGACTTGGAAAAAGGCCGTGCGGCAATGGACTTTCAAGGTTAACAAGTGGGGCTACATGGCATCCATATGTATGAAGAAGAGCGGATAAGCCAGAAGACTTGCTACAAATCCTGGCTGTGTACGAGCTCTAAACGAACGTCTTAAAATCTACTACCATCAATGAACGTGTCTCGACCATGTCAGGTAATACCATACAGCACTGGTACTCGCCGAGAGAATCAAGAATTATAAAAGCCCTGGAGCGGGCCAGCCATTAGACAGCTGGCCTTGAGTCTTCCCAGGTATGGTTTTGATAGTGGGATGACAGCCTTCTTTCTATGATCTATAGTATGATAGAGATTCTATTTTGTTCTTGCAGTTTGAGACATGAATCATAAAGATACCTCATTCTAGCAACTGGACCAAAATTTACTGGTACAGTGTACGGAGTATCAAAGTCTTCCAATCGTTCTTTTCAGGGTTACTACTTACTAGAGATAGCTGAAAATTTAGCTTCAATTAACATATATTTACAGGTTGATTTGCATGCAAACAATGATACCAACAAAGACGGCACTGGTGCTTTTCACAGTGCCTCGGAGTAGAAGGCCGGGTCCATGGCCCCACTATGCGCCTCAGGCAACAGAGTAAACAGACATGTCACCTGACCCTCGGTAAGCCCTAGAATTTCGGAAAATAGAAAATACCCCACCGGATTCGGATCTCGGGGAAACAGAGTTTCCGGCTTTTTCGCTCGCACACACTCGCCTAATTCTTTCGGGCGACCCGTAAATTTGCAGTACGCCGCGATCCCCGACGACCAACCTCAATTCGACAACCCTCCCCCCCTCGTCAATACAACATCAAAATGGCTGACGCTGCTCCCCGTGGACGTGGTGGTTTCGGATCGCGCGGCGACCGTGGTGGTGACCGTGGTGGCCGTGGCCGTGGTGCTCGCCGTGGCCGTCGTGGTCCCAAGACCGAAGAGAAGGAATGGCAGCCCGTGACCAAGCTCGGTCGTCTCGTCAAGGCCGGCAAGATCACCTCCATGGAGCAGATCTACCTCCACTCTCTCCCCATCAAGGAGTACCAGATTGTGGACTTCTTCCTCCCCAAGCTCAAGGATGAGGTTATGAAGGTACGGATCGACTTTGGATTACACCGGTTCGCGGCGGAGGATTGAGCGGGAATCGAATGGAAAGCGCCATTTGCACCGAGTTGCATTTGCGCCATTGAAAGCTCCAGCGAAATTGCGCCTTGAAAAACTACTTCAGCAGCCCACTAACCTTGTTCGCAACCTACAGATCAAGCCCGTCCAGAAGCAGACCCGTGCCGGTCAGCGTACCCGTTTCAAGGCCATCGTCCTCATCGGTGACTCTGAGGGTCACATCGGTCTCGGTATCAAGACCTCCAAGGAAGTCGCCACTGCCATCCGTGCCGCCATCACCATCGCCAAGCTGGCTGTCCTCCCCGTCCGTCGCGGTTACTGGGGTACCAACCTTGGTGAGCCCCACTCTCTGCCCGTCAAGCAGAGTGGAAAGTGTGGTTCCGTCTCCGTCCGTGTAAGTATCTCGAAATGATCCGATGGAAGCCTTGAAATGCCGTGATTCTAACGTTTGGATTCGTTCAGCTCATTCCCGCTCCCCGCGGTACCGGCCTTGTTGCCTCCCCCGCTGTCAAGCGTCTGCTCCAGCTTGCCGGTGTCCAGGACGCTTACACCTCCTCTTCCGGTTCCACCAAGACCCTCGAGAACACCCTCAAGGCCACCTTCGTTGCCGTCGTCAACACCTACGGATTCCTCACCCCCAACCTCTGGGCTGAGAACAAGCTCATCCGCTCTCCCCTCGAGGAGTTCGGTGATGTCCTCCGTCAGGGCAAGAAGTACTAGGTTATGGATGATGCATGATATCTTTTCGACAATTCCAATGGGTTTCTTTTAAAAAAATTCTATCCCTCTCTGCTTGGCGAGTAGAGGTGGTTCGTGTGTGAAGAAACACCACATCATTCTGTATTTACGGGAAGGGACACAAAATAGCGAAGTCCACGGGCCATCTACCAGCCAGATTTTTTACACCTCGTAAGCAGTAAAATCGTACCTACGAACAGATCCATGGGTCTCCATGTTGATCTCGTTCTATTCCAAGATTGCTTGGGTACATCTCTCGAAGACTACACCAACTAAGCAAGCCTAAAACCTACCTAGTACCTACCTATGTATGTAGGTAACACCAAAATTCCTTTCCACCTAGGCAGGTCATCCATCTGTCTCTCTTCAGACTGAGAGTGGAGCTGTTCTTCACATACATACCTATGTATATTCTCCCGACCTCGGGTTCATTATAATCCTACCTAGTAGAACTTGGAAGGTGATCGCAGTATCACCAGCTGTGGAAAAGTAGCATGAAATTCACAAATTTGGGAGTAAAGAGGCTTGCTACATCAACATCCTTTGAACGTGCACGGGTCTGGGAAGTGAAGGTTCCATCCGTTTGATCTAAAGCTCTTGACCAGCCCTGGAGTGGATCGATATGGCTCAATATATATACTTCCAAGGTAAGCTGTCTAGGTAGATTTTGCCTGTTTCAGCCCCACTATATCTAAAGTGGGTCCGAAGTATGCACAGGAACGCGATCCATGCTCTTGTAAAGCTTCCTCCGTATCTTAGGAGCTGCAAAACCAAATGGAGTGCTTGAATATGGGAAAAAATAAAAGCCTTGGATATAAATGGGAGGTGAAGAGGCCTGAGGCCGTCTGGGATACTTCAGGAAGCGCAGGTTACCGCGGCGCCCACGCGCACCTGCTCCTCGAAGGCAAGTACCTCTTCCTTCGTTTCTCTTTCTCTTTCTCTCTCATCCTACGTCATCTCTTTTCTGCCAGAATAAAAACACCGCCAATACACCGCCGTTGACATTACCTGAAATGAACGAGGTGGAACGCCCAGTCGGGGCCGGCAGGCTCATTGGCCTTAGATTCCGGGAAGACGTGTTACGGCGCCTTGCTGAGCAGCAGAGGGAAGAGGCCGGGAGAACCGGGGCTCAAGAAGCCAGAAGTAAGTATTCAATGATCTAGATATCAATGATCTAGATATCAATGATCGATTTTGCTGACATCGAGATTAGCCCTAAGCCGTGCCGCGCAAACATCGGTGCCTGGACAAACGGGCCCTAATTCAGCGCAAGCACAACAAGAGAACCAAGTTGAGCGTACCAATTTGCAAGGCAAAGTGAAACTCCCAACTTGGGCCTGGCCATCTGGTTCTTGGCCGCGAGATCCCCCATGCCCTCCACCCCAAAGACCTCTCCCCCCAATCCCCAGTTCAGCACAGGGTGGTCCATCTGCAGCTCCTAGTTCAATTCTAGACGCTCCAACCACTCCCCCAAATCTACGTACTCCTCGTGCTTCAGGTTCTATCAGGTTCCAAAATCCTGTTGTATCCTACCCGCCTATTTCTCTACGCCCGCCTCAAAGGCCCCCCCCGCCAATTCCTGCTCCAGCCCCGAGCAGTCCATCTGCAGCTCCTAGTTCGATTCTAGGTTCGCCAATCACTCCACCCAGTCTACGCACTCCGCGTGCTTCAGATTCCGTCAGGCTCCCAAATCCTGTCTCTCTACCTCCACCCGAAAGACGCCCACCCCCAATTCCTGCTCCAACACAGAGTGGTTCACCTACAGCTCCTAGATTAGTTCTAGGCGCTCCAACGACTCCACCGAATCTACGCACTCCGCGTGCTTCAAGTTCCGGCAGGCTCCCAAATCCTGTCTCTCTACCTCCACCCGAAAGACGCCCACCCCCAATTCCTGCTCCAACACAGAGTGGTTCACCTACAGCTCCTAGATTAGTTCTAGGCGCTCCAACGACTCCACCGAATCTACGCACTCCGCGTGCTTCAAGTTCCGGCAGGCTCCAAAATCCTGTCTCTCTACCTCCACCCGAAAGACGCCCACCCCCAATTCCTGCTCCAGCCCAGAGCAGTCCATCTGCAGCTCCTAGTTCGATTCTAGGTTCGCCAATCACTCCACCCAGTCTACGCACTCCGCGTGCTTCAGATTCCGTCAGGTTCCAAAATCCAGCTGTATCCTACTCGCCTATTTCTCTGCGTCTGTCTCAAAGGCCCCCCCCCGCCAATTCCTGCTTCAACACAGAGTAGTCCATCTGCAGCTCCTACTACTCCAATCCTAGGCGCTGCATTCACTCCACGCAATCGACGCACTGCGCGTGACTCAAGCCCTCCACAGACTCCGCGTGCTTCAAGCCCTCCAAGCACTCCGCGTCCTCCACGCAGCCCACGCTGTCCAGGCGCTCCACGTGCTTCACGCACCAATTACACCAGACGCGCTCTACGCACTCCACCCCATCCCCCACATCCGCGAGCTCGACGGATTGAGCGCAAGGATTCCCCAGTCGATCCTTTTTCTCCCATTCCTGATCCACTCGGTAATCGTGGGCCTTCCCCAACCCCAACCACCCCTGGCACCCCCCGTCTTGCTTTTGCAACTCTACATACTGTTCCTGGATTAGCCATGGTTGCTGCACCCCCTCAGTCCGAAGGTGACCACCGAGGCACCGGAGTAAGCTCACCCAACCTCGTGGCTGATTCTCGGGCGGATGGGCCTATGTGCCTTCGATCTGATACAACTTCGCCTTCCGCGGAATCAGGAATATCAGATGACTCGCCAGCTGAATCGAATCTCCTGGCTACCACCTCTACTCACGGCGGGACCTGCGGACCTCAGTTAACTATTAACACAACTAATAAAACATCCTATTCGGCTCAACCGCAGTCACCCGAAAGCCCCCGGATGGAATCTTCTGCTTTGACTTCTCCCATTGCTGACAGCCAGGCTTGCGACATTGATCGAACCGCTGAAGTCAAATCAGGAATATCAGAGGACTCGCCAGCTGAATCGAATTTCCTGGCTACCACCTCTACTTACGGCCGGACCCGCGGACCTCAATTGAGAATAGTCACAACTAATACAACATCCTATTCGGCTCAATCGCAGTCACCAGAAAGCCCCCGGATGCAACGTTCTTTTTTGACTTCTCCCATTGCTGACAGCCAGGCTTGCGACATTCATCGAACCGCTGAAGTCGAATCATCTACTCGGTCAATCCTTCAGACGTCTCCAAAGCCCCTTGACTCACTCTCCCCTCCACTTTCTGGTGAACCTATCGAATCCCCAGTCCCATCGACCACCGATCCAGACGCACCTCATGGATCCATCCTGCCCCTTAGCCCCCAAGAGGAACTCAGAGAGTTTGCTAGAATGTGGATTGCCATGGACGACTCCACGCGTGACCGCAGAAACGCATTTGCTAGAAATAAGGCTAAGGGGTTGACTTACGACGGGAAGCCAATGACGCCTGAAGTTCAACCTGAAGTTCAACCTGAAGTTCAACCTGTAGATCCAATCCCCGAGACTGGCTCTCCAAACACAGACCCTTCACGCGGCTCGTGTGGCCTCAGAAAAACCATTTCTCGCATTTTCGTCAAGAAATCTCCATCTTCGACTCCCGAAACACCTGAGGCTGATGAATTCCCATCTCTCGATGAACTCTCAGACCTTTGCATACCCCCCGTGACTACGAACCCAGAGCTTGATAGAAGTTCTCTTGATAACAGAAGGGATGCTCTCGCGAGGGCAGCTCTCGAGGCGGCAGCTCGATCGCCCGGGGGTGCTCGTGCATCACTTCCTACGGGTGTCTCACGCTTTTCAGGCCTCAACCGCGAAGACTCAAACTCGTCAGTCCGCACAGCCATTAGAAACCCCGTTATGTCTCCTATTCCCCAAAGTGGCCCAGTTTCCAATAACCGATCATCGCAACAAGCCAGAACAAGCCCGCACTATGCGCCTGACTACCCCATGTTACCCCCGCTCCCTGACAATGTTACGGAAGAGATTTCTCGATGGTCTTCATCATCATCTGATTAAGCATATCGAGTTCCGAGACCACTAACGTTTTGTCCGAATCTTATGTTGACTTACCAGTGACCTCATGGTTCCCTTAGTGTCCGATGGTGACTTTGCTACAGCCCTGGAGTTGAAAATGTTTGAAAATCTTTCGCGTGCTTACGCTTGTGCTCGAGGTTCCCTTAGTGTCCGATGGTGACTTTGCTACAATGGAAAATGTTTGAAAATCCTTCTCGTGCTTAACTTTGTGCTCGGGGTTCCTCACAGATCCCAACAGTAGAAGTTGCCCAGTAAACTACCTATGTATGTATGACTCTGAAAGTGCGACGTCTAGATTTATTGAGCTTATTTCTCCAATTTCCCGTAATCATTCGACCGAAGTCTCTCCTACTCCCCCCTCAGATGCCTCACTCCTTCAAAGAACCCCCTTGACTGACTTTGGCCGTGCAATTGCTGCCTTTGATACTCCACCACTGATGGCTGCCCCCGAGAGCCGTAGTTCAGCTTCGGCTCGTTCTGCTTCTGAAGAGATCTCCTCCACGTTTGACCGAGTCTCCACACCTACTGATATTCAAACTGCAGCTTTGAAACAATCGGGCTATCGGATCCGTCACTCAAAAGAAACCGCTCACTTTCGGACAGCTCCCTGGAGCAAGATAGATCCCATCGTTGAGGATTTCCCGAAGTCTCCCACATCACCCGGGCAAACTCTTAGCCTGGTCAGTCTCACCGAAAACGAATTGCTGGGTGAAACTGGCGAGGAGAATCTAGAGCAAGCTTCCCCCACAACTCAAGAACTAACCCCCGAAGAAGCTGATATCGAGTTCGACCGCCGTTTGAGCCAACCTGGATTTGCGCATCCTCTCGTCCTCATCGAGTGGTATTACACAGGCCACACCTGGGATGATATTTCTCGTGATATGGAGCAACTTCAGTTGCAGCTTTCGTCTCATAACATCATTGCACCTGATGGCATCCTATCGCGACAGGCTCGTTTCCTCCAGGAGATAATGCATCCGGAGGAACAGACATTGTCAATCGAGGGGCTCTATGCTGCCCAAGGTCTATCCTTTCCTTTTAGCCAACGCACTCGCACTCCTCGCACTCCTCGCACCCCCCGCACCCCCCGCACAGGGATCGAGTCTCCTTCCTTAACCAGGGCTCTAGAAAATGCACTGTCCTCTCTATTTGATGTTCCCGAAGAACCAGCCTCTGATATCGAGGAAGACAGCGACGACGCAGTCGATGCCACCATCGACGTGGACCTCCCCGGACAGAACAAAGACCTTACAGCCACTCCCAGCTCGACGAGATCCTCTAATAAATGGCAATGGCCAAAGCGAGAATCTGCTATTCCTTCCCCGAGCAATACAGATGGGGAGTATGACAGGACTTTCCATTTACAACAGTTGAAGCCGTTACCCGAGTTTCGGAGACTGCGATCCCTCAAGCTTACGGAGATGGTTGAAAGTCACCAGCCGGACATATGGCTAGCTGTTTGGGTTAATTTCAACCTTGAGACACTTGTACTGGAAATGAAGAATCGGCCACGGTGCAAGACACAAATTGGCAGCACGATTTGCGTCAACATCGGGCCGGGATGGGTGCGGAGCCACCAGTTCGAGGGAAAGGAGGTTTACCTGTGAGTTTTGCCTCACAAGTACAATATATGTTTACCTAAAGGGAGTATGCTAATTATTTTACAGTGGCAATGGAAACGGCCGTTTGCATTACAAGAACGGTGGCGGCGAATACCTCGACAAGATGGTCATGGAGAAGGCCAAAGTCCGCGCAATGGCTATGGGTTACTTCCGGCGGCGCCTACCGGTCAAGCACCTGGTGTTGTCTGGGTTCGTGGTGGATAGCGGCCCGTTCACCTCGTGGTTTGGAGGGTGCCTACGAACCATCCACTTCAGGAAGAACTGTGTGGATGCCGGGTGGTGGCTCCCCCACCACCTGGCGGGGATCTGTGGCGTGCGCCACAGTGACTCGGGGAACTGGGAGGTGTTGTGTGTGCCCGGTGGGCTCGATGAAGGAGACGCTGCTGCGGTGAGAAGTGGACGGGGGGCCAGTGAGGAGGAAGATGAGGAGGAGGAGGAGGAGGAGGAGGAGGAGGACGTTGATGTTCTCGGCAAGCCTTCGGGCTTGGCCGTGGAGGCATTCTGGGAGTCGTCACTTCACCTCTGATCGAACCCGAAGAGGTGAAGTGACGTGTTAATATAATGTATGAGTAGGAATGGAAGCTGGAGATAGAGTTCATTTTCACGTAAATCCGTAGACGAAATCGTAAGCATGCGGTTGCAGCTCACCTCGTTCTAGAAGGAGAGTAAGAGTGAGCTACTATGAAGCCTTGACTTAAACCTAAGAAGAATCTTGAGAATGCACTTCATAGAGTACTTGTTCGATTTCACTTAGATTTCACGTATTAAATACAAGTAAAAGCATACCAAAGCCAGGATAGACAGTCGAGTCGGTTAAAATCTGTCTGTTCACACTTGTAGAGTGGAGAAAAGCCGAAATGCGCCATTGCAGCATGTAGAGAGATTCAAAAAATTCAAAACGGAGAGAACAAGGGACACAGCAAGAAGGCTTAGCAGCCATTCCGAAGAAGATGGCCATGAGGGCCGCAAACATGTGCCGCTAGCGAAGCACGCAGATCGTAGCTCGCTTTACGCACCCTCCTCATCGGCAATGCGAATGGTGCCCTCATTTCCAACTCCATGTGACCAGAATCCATCGAGATAGAGTGAGCTATAGTGGTCAGCATATGGTATTCAGACGATGTATTCTATACTCACATTCCAGCGGAGCTATCATGGGCCAAGAGGAGGAAGTATCCCAAGATACCCTGGGTGAAGATATCCTGCACAGCGAAGAGAATGGTCTCTGTATCGACGCTTAACTTGAGGGCAAGGGCACCGGCGGCAACGGAGCTAAAAAAGATAAGCTTTTGTGCTTCATTTATGTTCGGGTAGGACTCACATGGGGAAGAGGGCCAAGGCAACGATGGCGGAGCTGGCGACGGCGCTGAAAAACTTCTGAGTCTGGGCATCCTTATTGCTAACTGCGCGATGAGCATGGAATCCGGCATGGTGAACAACCACCAGGTATGAAATGCATGAGATTGTCAACCAGACCCAGCGCTCTCGGCCATGGCCGGCGAAAGAGCCGAGGAGGCCTGTTGCCAGCATGGTTAGGTTGGCGACAATGGCAATAAGCAGGTTGGCACCGGGAAGACCGGAGATGAGGGCGAAGTTGATGAACAACAATGGGGTGGTTAATGCCCAGTTGAGGTATCGCAGCCACAGCAATTGACGGGTGTAGTCTGTGTGGGTGTTGGGGACATGCTTGTGGTGCTCGTGAATCCGCACATGTTTAGTGGTAATTCCTTGACCGGTCGCAAGAGCCAGGTATGTAATGAACGAGACTGTTGTGATGAGAGATGTGAGGACGTGGATGATGCGTTTTGCCTAAAAGGTGTGTTAGTGGCGATCTGTCGATCATGGGGAAATCCGGGGTAGCCGATACCAGCGGAGCTCGAGCAGCGAGTGAATAGAATACAAGCGAGGAGATTCCCATCAATACCGCAACGACCCTGTCTCGGTCAGTTTCTCATGCAGAAGCAGAGCAGAAATTAACACCTACCACAAGGTCCGTTTGCCGACGTCATGGAGCTCCTGGAAGACCTCGGAGCCTGGGAGTACGGTGGGGATAGGCCCGACAGATGAGGTCGTGGCCGGAGCTGTCAGCGACGGGAAGAAATCAGGGTCAATCATGTTGAACAATTAGCAAGGTTGGTAATAGCTCGAGAGGAAAGGTGGAAAAGAGAGAGAGAGTAGAGGGAAGAGCTGCAATATATGAGGGGCGTCATTGATTGTCGTCATCACCGATACCTGTTTTTTCTAAGGCATCACTTTTGGCATTGCCACTTTCTTGACATATTACTTTTTTTTTCTTGATTGTGCTGAGAGTTACACGGGAATTGATGTGTCACATCAAGTTGCTAAGGTATTTAATACAATATGTGAAGGTTCTATGGTACAGGGGAGAGGGTATAGTCTGCATCTAGTGCAGTTCATGCGCATGCACGACTGTATCACATCGGTCGCAGATGGCGTCCTCCGTCGCCACCGGGAGAGCGTACCGCCAGCACCGGGGACATTTGGATGCCTGCGGTGCATACACATGCACCTGGGCCTGGCCACCGAGCTCAAAGGTCTCGGAGTATTGCCACTCTGCGGCAGCGATTTCAGGGGGAACAGGGTCCGTTGGAGAGGCGAGAGTGATCGAGGAGACTACAAAAAGATCAGGCAGCTCCGGTAGGTACTGCTCGAAAGTGTTCGAGGGGAGAACAAGATGCACGAAAGATTGCAGAGATGAGCCCAGCTGCTTCTTGCTGCGCGCTTGCTCTTGCAAGTTCTTGATGGTGGAGTGAACTACAGTCAGCTCTTGGTAGCTGCTGTCCAGATGGGCATCCTGCCATTCCGGCGCGGGCGCGGAGACGATACGCTGCAGGGGATGCTCGCTAAGAGAGCGCATGGTTTCCGGGGTGTGTTCCCAGGTTTCCTCCACGAGCATCGGAGTGATGGGACCCAGAACCTCTTGGAGGTGATTGAAAATGTAGAACAAGGTGGTCTGCGCAGCACGGCGACTGGTGCTGTTCTCACCTAAAGTGTAGAGCCGGTCCTTGATAGCTTCCATGTAGAAAGCGGAGAACTCGAGGTTGGCCCACCGGTTCATGTTGCTCACGGCTTTGTAGAACTCGAAGTTGTCACATGCCTTTTGGGAAGTAAGCACCATGTCGGAGAGATGCTTCAATGCAATTCGATCCACAAGTTGCAGCTTCTCATAGGGCACAATGTGATCGGGGTGGAAATCGGCGAGGGCGCCAAGCAGCAGTTTGAAGGTGACACGGAACTTGTGAAGACTGGTATTGACAGTCTGAAGTACCTGTTTACCGATCACCACGTCGCGCGTGTAGTCACTACTGGCTGCCCACATGCGGAGAGCATCGGGACCGAGCGCATCATACACAGGCTCTGGGTTCTCGGGCGCCTTCTTGCCCTTGACTTTGCGAGGTTTGAGAGGAGGCAGTAATGTTCCGTCCATGATAGTCTGCGGGTGGATAGTGTTGCCGATGGACTTGCTCATTTTTCGTCCCTCCTCGTCCAAGGTGAAACCGTGCGTGATCAAATTCTTAAAAGGCGCGCCAGGGGTCGCGGTCTGACCCGAAGCAAGCTGGTGAGAAATGTACGTGAGTAGTCCGGATTGGAACCAGCCACGGTGCTGATCGGTACCCTCGAGATACACGTCGGCTGGGTGGCTACGTCCCTCGACGGGGACATCGATCTCGGCCCAACTTGTACCACTGTCAAACCAAACATCCATTGTGTCCGTTCCACGTCGGTAGCCCGCCCCAGACTCGTTTCTCAAGGACAGAGGGATCCATGCAGCGTCATCCGCACTGTCGGTCCACCAGGCATCGATGCCTCGCTCCTCGATGGTATCCATAATGTGTGAGACACTCTCTTTGGTGAGGACAGCCTCTCCAGTAGTCCGGTGGTAGATCGCAGGAATCGGAACTCCCCACGCGCGCTGCCGCGAGATGCACCATTCACTGCGGTTCTTGATGAAGTTTTCGAGCCTTTGCTTTCCAGCCTCGGGAACGAATCGCACATCTTCCAGCGCTCGAAGGGCGGGACCACGAATATCGGCCACATCGGCGAACCATTGCTCAGTAGCCCGGACAATGATTGGAAGCTTTGACCGCCAGTCGTAGGGATACTTGTGCTCGTACTTGTGCTGGGCAAGCAGTTGATCACACGACTCGGCCCATTGCAAGACTGCAGTGTTACCTTCTCCCAAGACGGGCTTTCCGGTGAGTCGTGTGGGGTCCAGGGGCATGGCTTTATCGGTGAATTCACCCTTATCGTTGACGGGAGCGAATACGGGGATTCCGCGTGAAAGACAAGCTTCGTAATCGTCCATTCCGTGACCGGGCGCGCAGTGAACCATGCCAGAGCCAGAATCAGCAGTGACGAAGTCAGCCGCGATGATGGGCTGGGGTTCACCATCAGGTCCCTTGAACAGAGGCCTATACGTCGTCTTCTCTGCTAGCTCAGAGCCCATGACAGAGGGGACGATGACAGACAGTTCTTCTTTGAGCATACTCTGGAGGTACTCAAATCGGGACTGAGCAATAACGAGGTGGCCATGTTTTTCTGATTGCACAATGGTATATTCCAAATCCTCATGAACCGCGATGGCGGCGTTGGCAGGTAGTGTCCAGGGCGTTGTAGTCCAAATCACGGCGCTCAATTTCTTTCCGCTAAGAAGTGTATTTTCGGCAAGATGTTTCGGGATATCGACGAGGGGGAATGCAATTAATGCAGCAGTTGAGATGTGATCTTCCTTGTATTCCAGTTCGGCTTCCGCAAGAGCCGTACCCGTTGAAGGCGACCAGTAAACAGGCTTGAACTTCCGGTAAATGAGTCCACGATCAACCATTTCCCGAAAGACACTCAATTGACGCATCTCGAATTTTTTGTCCATAGTTTTCCAGTGATTGTCCCAATCGGCCATAACCGCGAATCCTCGGAATCCTTTCATCTGCTCCTTCACAGTCTGTCGCGCCAGCTGCCGGGCGGCTTTGCGAATTACTGCTGGACTGACTGATTCCTTATCAATGTCTAGGTCGCGCAGGTTTTGCAGTGCCTTCAGCTCTATGGGAAGTCCATGGCAGTCCCACCCAGGCACGTAGCGTACCCTCTTGCCCCTCCCCAATTGAACGCGACAAATGATATCCTTAAGAATCTTGTTCAGAGCATGACCGATGTGCAGCTCACCGTTCGCGTACGGTGGTCCATCGTGCAGGATAAATGGTTGGTTTGCTGGCCGTTCTCGCTGCTGCCATGCGTAGAGATCATCGGTGCATCGTTTGAGGTATTTCGTTCGGTCGACGGCCGATACTCGCGGAGGGAATGTCGATTTAGGAAGCTTCAAGGTCGAAGTCCAAGAGCGCGGGATTGACCGCGCCAGTTCCGGCATTGTCCATCTCTGGAGAGTCAAAGTTGTCGGAGGGAAATGTTACTGCACTTCAGCGTCTCACCGCCCGAGTGATACGCCGAACGGCGAAGACACGCCTGCAATTGGGCTCCTATCTAAATTCCTTCGGACATTCGGACAGTTTTGAAATTTCATTCAACTCGATTAAGGGGCTGTATCTTCTAGAAAGGCAATTCTCTTCCATCTACCAATCCCATCATCTGCTGGTTGAAGGAAAACCACTTCTCAAGCCAAGCGTCCTGTTCCCAATTCCCTTCTCGATTCTGCTCCATGGTCGTGCCAGACGAGCCTTGTGCAAATTGGTCCTGTTGTGGATGTAAATCATAATCGGACGGCATATTCGTATGCAGCCCGAGGGCAGTCAATTGTGCGTCCACGTCGCTCCTGAGTTGTATTTGCTCTTTCTCCATTCCAGAAGATGGAAATCCAAGCTCGCAGTAGCGCAATGCGACATTATAAAATACTGAGAACAAGTGATGGTGCTTGGTGATGGTGCTCGAATACTGGCAGGCGGATTCGATGGATTTGAGGAAGCTGTGCATTTGGTTGAGGTCTTCCTTGTCTCTCGTCTCTATGCAATGACAGAAGACAATTGTAAAGGGTGTAAACGGCGTGAAAAGGATTGTCCTTCGGAATCATTGAGTATTCAAGAGGGTGATGAAAAGGGGACGAGAGGCTCATGAGAATGTGTTGATACATACCAATTGACATACGATGATAAGAGAAGTGGTGATTCAAGCATACCAAAGGCTCGGACAACTGCCTGGTGAGACTCGAGCGCACACCTTGCAGACGTTATACACTCTGGTCCAAAGGTTGTTCGTGAATTCGAGTCCTGTGGCATGGCTCGGTAGATCAGCGTCAGCATTGAGAGCCGCGTTACCTCGTCAGAGGCCGCCGTAAATTCAATCTGGCCTTTCTCGTGAACACTGGTGGTCGATTGAACCCAAAGGTGCTGTCACAAACACAATTAGTAGATATCCTGAGTTGTTGACGAGGGAAACGGAAAGAAATGAACAAACATTTGTATTGTGCGCCTCAGCATGATATGTATGCAGCTCCTGTGACAGCTCGAGTGTCCGGTGAGTCCGCACTTCGTCTGATGCACTGAGGGCTTTTGGCGAGTAGAGTTGTTCGTAGATCCTGCCCGCCAACCCGGCCAGTTGCACGCATTGATAAGTATAGACAGAGAAATGAGAGTTGCTTCTTTGGAAGTAGGCAGCGGAAGGGATTTCAATGTCTTGTTCTAGGATGATCGAAGAGCGACCAAGCCGGACAGATAGCATTTTTTCGAGGAAGTAGATCACGTAGAAAAGGTGTTGCTCTTTCCCAAGTTCACCTGTGGTGCTCGGCTTATGCAGTTCAAGTGAGTACGAGCATTGATATGCCGAATTGACCAAAACACCCGCCAAAGACGTGTTAGATGCATTGACCGCGTATGCCGCCTTCAGTAGTCATGTTAGCTAGAGCCTGTCATGCACGAGCTAGGGCTGAACATACACCTAACGTAAGAGCCAACGTCATTTCGTAACTAGGGCGAATGTAGAGCGTCAACTTCGACAATGCGATTTCAACATTCCTTTGACACATTGAGCTCAGAGTACCCGGCTCGGTCAATTCTTCTAAGCTAGTCTTCCGAACGTCCGTCTCGGAGGCCAAAACTAGTCGCTAGATTAGTGCACTGCTGCTAATTAGAGATTCAAAGCACCCACAATGTAGAGCCGCGTTAACTATGATGAAATCTGCCTCCGAGTAGTCCGAAGTAAAGTAAACCTTCAAACAAATATCCGACAGGCTTTGTGGCTGTAGTACATAGGACAGGCAAAGATACATAAAGCATCTTTCATCTGCAAGCAATTCATCAGTATCTCTAAATAAAGATCTTGCATGAAACTGACCTTGCGACTTTTGTAGAAGCTGCACAACAGCCTCTAGTGGGGGCATCTGGTATTGCTCTGAAGCAGTTGATCCTGCTACGAGCGGGAACAAACGACTCGACGAATCATGGCGCTCGTTGAAGGCAGTCCGAATATTGCTAAGCATGTCCAGTAGAATCTCGATTTCTCCCTTGCTGGTCAATTGGCTCGAGCCAACCACCGTACGGGCAAAGTCGATGGCGAAACTCGAGTGCGCGGTGAAAGAGGACTGGCCTGGTGCGACATCGTTCGTGCCAGAGTATGGTTTCTGATCGGGCCTTTCGACATTGAAAGGACTTACAGATGAATTCAGCGAAGAGTTGGGCTGAGGAATGGCACATGCACCTGCATGAGCAGATGACGTATTGTTGGCCGTTAGCGATTCGACCAGATGATTCAGGCGATTTAGATGTTTTTCAATATGGTTTATTTTTTCTTCACTGGAAAATGTGAGCACATATTCAATCATCCACATTTCCCCAGATGAGGCCTACAATTGAGAGGATAGTAACACCCGAGCCCGTTTCTGTCTAGGGCGGGTGGATGCCCTGCAGTCGGACCCTGTAGATCGGCAGTTTGAACACGGGGACTTTCTGTCACAGCGGATCTGAGAAAATCAGCTATACGAGATCATCTTCTGCGAGATAGAAAAAGCGCGCAGTTTAAATTACCTTCCGCTTGCGACATCGATCACACTGAGAATGGTCAGCAGTTGACTCGTTGGGCTTGGCAAGAGGCCTACCGCTCGCTCCACAGCGGAGTTTTCGTTGCCCGAGAGGTCAGTCATAGTGAGTCAAGACTAAAAAAAAGAATTTCCAGGGAGATTGATACGAGAATACTCGAGCAGGCTGCAGTATAGGAAATAATAGAGCCGACAGGTGCCGGGGCCCGCGGGCGCCGAAGGAGTAGCTCTGTCACTCGCGTGGCGGAGTTCCGAGACGCGTGCCAAGCATCGGTGGGGCTTGTCTAGATCGGTGGGCGAATTGTATATAAGGCGATCATCCCAATGTCAAGCTATCATCAAATTCGGACTCTTTGCTGGCTACCCGTGTGGACTCTGCACAATGGGTGAAACTGAAAAGGTCGAGAAGACCGAAAAGGTCTCAGATGACCAAGAGGCAGGCGCCTTGAACAGTTATATGGTATGAAACCAAGCCTTTTTCGAACGATGGAATTCTGATACTTCGCAGAGAATCTTCCACTATGGCTCCCCGACAGAATATACTATGCATGGTGTTGCCGTGGCGTGTGCACTCGCCTCTGGAGTTGGCATGGCTCTCGTCAACCTGGTATTTGGAAAGTTCATCACACTGATCGTGGACTACATTACGGGCCACTCAACTCCCTCAGGATTTCGTGATGGGGCTGCTAGGCTCAGGTGAGTCGGCCGCCTCTGATGCCGAAGGGATCTGCTAATCTATGAAGTCTTTACTTCTTTATCATCGGTTTAGGGCGATTCTTCCTTACCTACGGATACAGCACTCTGCTCACTCTGGCAGCCTATCGAATGACACGAAATATCCGTCGAGTATACCTCAAAGCAGCACTGAGCCAAGAAGTTGCCTTCTACGATGCCGGGACTAGCGGATCGATCGCCATGCAGGCCACCTCCAATGGCAAGCTCATACAATCAGGTGTCTCCGAAAAGTTGGGACTGGTCATCCAGGGACTTTCTGCCTTCATATCGGCGTTTGTCTTGGCATTTGTCACGCAATGGAAGCTGACTCTGATAACATGTTGTATTGCCCCGGCCATGCTACTGGTGATAGGCATTGTCTCCACCATCGAGGCTGGGATTGAAACACAAATCCTGGCCATCCAGGCCCAAGCGGGCTCGTTCGCGGAAAGCATCCTGTCTAGTTCGCGGACTGTCCATGCATTTGGAATCAGATCGCGACTGATCAACGATTTCGACAAATTCTTGACGGCCTCGAAAAAGTTAGGAGACAAGAAGGGACCCCTGTGGGGTATCTTGTTCTCCGCAGAATATGCCATCATCTATTCTGGATTTGGACTGGCTTTCTGGCAGGGCATTCGCATGCTTGCCAGAGGAGAGGTAGCAGACTCTGGGGATATCTTCATGTTCGTGAAAAACATATATCCATCCCATTATTCAAGACTGACCAAATCGCAGTGTGATCATGTCCGTCATCGTGGCAGCTACAAGTTTGACCTCCATCGCCCCTCACATGATTGAATTCACGCGCGCAGCCTCCGCGGCATCGGAACTCTTTCGCCTGGTTGACCGAACATCTGCCATCAACCCCTTCGACGAGTCGGGCAAAAAGCCGGATCAAGTTGAGGGCTTCATTGAATTTGAGCATGTTTCATTTTCTTACCCAACACGCCCAAATACCCAAGTTCTGTCCGATTTCTCATTGCGAATTCCCGCTGGCAAAACGACTGCGCTGGTCGGAGCCAGTGGCTCTGGAAAGAGTACGGTGGTCGGCCTGCTGGAAAGATGGTACAACATCGCTTCGGGATCGGTGAAGCTCGATGATCAGCCCGTCGACATGTATAACCTCAAGTGGCTGCGCCAACAAATCAGGCTTGTTCAACAGGAGCCCATTCTATTCAATGGAACGATTGCCGAGAATATCGCAAATGGTCTTGTGGACACACCCTGGGAGCACGAGCCAGAGGCCGAAAAGACGGCCCGAATTCAAGAAGCCGCCAGAGTCGCCTTTGCGCATGATTTCATCACCGAGCTTCCCAATGGATATGACACTGTCATTGGTGAACGAGGAGGCCTTCTTTCAGGTGGCCAAAAGCAACGAGTCGCGATTGCTCGAAGTATCATCTCCCAGCCACGAATTCTTCTACTCGACGAAGCAACCAGTGCTTTGGATCCACATTCCGAGGAAGTAGTCCAGAAAGCCCTCAACAACGTTTCGCAAGGACGCACGACAATAACAATTGCTCACAAGCTTGCCACCATTCGCGATGCCGACAACATTGTGGTCATGGAACGTGGTCGCATTCTTGAGCAAGGTACCCACAATTCACTATTGGAAGCCAATGGTGCATATTCACGACTTGTGCGAGCCCAAGATCTATCGGTGAATGAGAATGGATCAGATGATGCTGAAGACAGTGATAACATAGAGGATATGAATAAGGCTGAGCTTACTACCGAGTTGACTCGATCATCAACATTGACACGGTCAGGTTTGGAGAAACAATTAAGTCGCGATGATTATGACCAGTGGAAGAGACTGGGCCTTTTCCATGTCGTGTGGCGGTTGGTTAAATCCAACCCGGAAATCAAACTGGCCTTTGGAATTCTGGCATTGGCATGTCTAGCTGCTGGTAAGCTTTCCCCGATCTCATGAAGATCGAGCTAACCAAGATACAGCTGCCGCATTCCCTGGGCAATCTATTTTGATGTCCAAATTTATTGAAGTATTTAAACTCACTGGATCGGCAATGCAGAAGCGAGGCAACTTCTTCGCTCTCATGTTCTTTGTCATAGGACTTGGAGCATTCGTTGTCTACTTTGTTATTGGGTGGACAGCAGGCATTGTGGCGCATGTAAGATAGATACAACTATGGAGTCTCCAGATCCCCGAGGGCTAACATTCAGTTCAGACAATGAACCACAAATACCGGAGACAGATCGTGGACGACATGCTCCGACAGGACCTGCGGTTTTTCGACCGAGCCGAAAACACTACAGGTGCCCTTGTCAGCCGTGCAGACTCTAACCCGCAAGCTGTACTTGAGCTGATGGGCTTCAATGTTGCCTTGATCACCATTGCCGGAGTTGGTGTTTTATCTTGCGCTATCCTGGCGATTGTCTATGCCTGGAAACTTGGGCTGGTGATCGTTCTAGGGGGACTTCCGCCTATGCTAATATCCGGCTATATCCGCCTCCGGATGGAAGCTGCAATGGATGCTAAGATCTCAAAGCGATTCTCGACAAGTGCCTCTATTGCCTCAGAAGCCATGAATGCTATCCGAACTGTATCGTCATTGGCAATCGAGTCATCAGTTCTGGACCGTTATACCCGAGAGGTCGATCATGCAATCGCCGCGTCCACAAAACCGCTGCTTCTAATCATGGTACCTTTTGCTTTCACTCAGACTGTTGAATACTCGTTCTTGGCCCTTGGCTTCTGGTATGTCTTAGCTTTCTCTTTTTCCTTGTTCTGAAAACCGGTCGTTTATCTAACTAATATTCGAAACAACAGGTACGGTTGCAGACTTGTTTCATTCGGTGACATTACAATGGTCAACTTCTTCATTTCATTCCTTAGCGTTTTCTTTGCGGGTCAACAAGCTTCAATCTTGTTTAGTTTCTCAAGCAGTGAGTGAATGTACCTGTCATCTACAAGGACACCAGCTAATGCGCTTCTAGGTATGTCAAAAGCGACAAATGCGGCAAACTATATCTTCTGGCTGGAGCAACTCGAGCCCACCATCAGAGAGACAGAAGAGAACCGCGAGATTGGACCGGGAGACTTCAAGTCCCTTGAGTTGGACAATTTGCAATTTTCCTATCCAATGAGACCAAATGCCCGAGTCCTTCGAGGAATCAACCTTCATGTTCGTCATTTCAATCCCTCTAATCCATGATATCGTATAACCTGAGCCGCTCTAACACATTTCACAGATCAAAGAGGGACAATTTGCCGCATTCGTCGGGGCATCTGGATGTGGAAAGAGTACCATGATCAGCATGCTAGAGCGCTTTTACGATCCAATTGCTGGACACATCAAGGTTGACTCTAGAAATCTGGAAACACTGAACCCTCGGCTTTATCGCAGTCAAGTTGCGCTGGTGCAACAAGAGCCTACTTTGTATCCTGGGACTATCCGGGAGAACGTGTCCATGGGAGCACCGATAGAAAACACATCCATGGCCTCTGACGATGAGATCGAGGCTGCTTGCCGAGCCGCTAATGCTTGGGATTTCATCTCTTCCCTGCCAGATGGTCTTGCAACCCCATGTGGAGCCAACGGCACGCAGCTTTCCGGAGGACAGCGCCAGCGCCTCGCTATATCTCGAGCACTTCTACGAAACCCGAAGTTGCTGCTTCTGGATGAAGCAACCAGTGCGTTGGATACGCAGTCGGAGCGGATTGTGCAAGACGCGTTGAATGAGGCTGCTGCACAAGGTGATCGCATCACGGTTGCGGTGGCACATAGACTTTCTACCATCAGACATGCAGATGTTATCTGTGTATTTGATGGGGGCAAGATTGTCGAGTCTGGCACACACGAGGAGTTGCTGAGAAATGGTCGACTGTATCCCAAGATGTGCGAGGCTCAAAATCTTGGGACCTAAATGGATTTGGGCGGACAGTTGACATAGATGCCTAGAATTGTAATTAATATGACATTTTCCAGTTCTTACCTAACACTTTGTGCAATTTCTGTAAACACAGGTACCAGTACTGCAACTGAAAACACTGAGCTTTAAGACTACAGGCCGTGGAGGACTGATGTCCAAATGTTGTTTGTTTGTTTGTTTGTGGTGTTTGTTTGAAATGTTTGCTTGGTTTCTGATATCACGTGCTTTCAGCCCCGTACAAAACCATCTCCTTTGGTGAGAACAAAATACACAGTTTTGCATATATTTGATCCGACCTTCCACTCCAAGGTCGGATAAAATCCACTGTGGAACTATGCTCAGCCCACGCCAAGCCATGGCATGAGTCAAATGGAGCACAGATTATGCAGATCACCGTTGAGCCGCAAATCAGACAGCGCGGAGGTTTCGCGTCGATGGCTAGTGTCGTATCGACTCTTAGCGTGTTTGAGTCATGTCCGAAGGCTGCCATATAAGTTTCGCTATCTCCCCCAATATGATCTTTTCTCCTACATCTATCTGCCAAAATGCCGTTCGGTTGTTTTTACCAGGCCGCCAATGGCGGATCCAAGCTAGAATTTCTGCCTCAGGTTGGGCTCGACGCGCATGCGTGCATCCTGGCTACCAACTCTCGGACTGTTATTACCCAGACCTTCGAGAACCCTTCGGACACAGAAGCAATTCCCGAAGTGTCTTACTCGTTCCCACTCTACGAGAATTCCAGTGTCGTTGGCTTCACATGCCACTTGGCCGATACTGTGATCGAAGGTAGAGTCGAGCCGAAGGCGAAAGCTTCCGAGATTTACGAGGAAGCAAAGTCGAAGGGTGTTTCTGCTGCTGTTATGGATCGCGCGGTAAATGCTGCCGATGTGTTCAGAACTCGTATAGGAAATGTCCCTGCAGCAGGAACTGTGCTCATCGAGATCACTCTGATTGCAGAGTTGACACAGGATGCTGAAACCGATGGAACTCGGTATACAATCCCTTCAACGATTGCCAGTCGTTATGGAGCTGGAAGCTGTAGCCCGCCCCAAGGCGCTCTTACCAAGACGGCAATCAAGGTAGATGTTGTGATGGAAAAGGGCTCGAATATCCGCGGCGTACGGTCACCCAGTCATCCAATCCATGTAGATCTGGGAAGAACATCGAGCATGCCGGCGACAGAATTCCAATCTCACTTCGCCTCTGTTCACCTTCATCAAAATGCAATCATTAGCGAGGACTTCGTGATCGCTGTCAAAGCAGATAAGCAAGACCTCCCCTTTGCGCTTTTGGAGACACATCCCAGTCTTCCGGATCAAAAGGCCTTGATGGTCTCACTGGTCCCAAAGTTCACACTCCCATCCGACCCTTCGGAGATTGTGTTTGTAATCGATCGCAGTGGAAGTATGATGGACAAAATCCCAACCTTGCGATCGGCGCTGGAATTGTTCCTTAAGTCCTTTCCGTTTGGCGTCCCGTTTAACATAGTATCGTTTGGGGATCGCCACGAGCTTCTGTGGCCACGGAGCAAAATGAGCAGTGCAGAGAGCCTAGGCCAGGCTTTGAGGTATACCAAACGTATCGATGCCAATATGGGAGGAACTGAAACCCTGAAGGGTCTTCAGGCCGCCGTCAAGAACCACTACCAAGACAAAAGTCTCGAAGTGCTGGTCCTCACCGACGGAGAGGTTTGGAATCAAAACGAGATTTTTGACTTCGTCACCCAAGCGAACCGGGATCATTCTGCCCGGTTCTTCACGCTCGGCATTGGCAATTGCGTATCCCATGCTCTGATTAACGGCATCTCCAGAGCGGGCAAGGGGTTCTCTCAGTCGATTCTCAAAAATGAGGATCTGAATAAGACTGTTGTCCGAATGTTGAAGGGTGCATTGATGCCACGACTTCAAGATACCAGACTGGATATGAACATCCCTGGGCTTGATGACGAGCTTGTGCACATTGAGATGCCAGTGGACAAAGAGAGCCGAACAGACGTGGCGTCGGAGCCAATTTCTCTAGTCGACCCGAACTGTGGAACAGAGGAAGTTGAAGATCTGCGTGAAGCACTTCCGGAGCTTGCTATTCCCAACATTCTTCAGGCTCCGGCTGAGCTCCCGGCTCTCTTCCCCTTCATTCGCTCCAATATCTATGTTCTACTGTCGCACGCACTGGACAGTTTCCCTGAATCCATTACTCTGCGTGCGAAGTGTAGACATGGCCCCCTCGAGCTGAAAATCCCTGTCCAAGACGTTGGGGAGGGGAAAACGATCCATCAACTTGCTGTCAAGAAAGTTGTCACTGAGCTTGAAGAGGCCCATGGCTGGATCAACTCCGCAAGAGACTCTCAAGGCGAGCTGATTGCGAGTAAAATGGAGAGCCGAGTTGACGAGCTGAATCAGAAGGAATGTGAAAGACTAGGCGTCAGGTTCCAAGTTGCCGGAAAACACTGCTCCTTCGTTGCTGTTGATGAGGAAATATCATCAGAGACCGAGGCGTCTCCAGAAGTCTCAACGGTATGGAAATACGCTGAATTGCAAAAATTCAAGAATCTCCAGGTTGATCAGAGAATGATTGATAGAAGAGTGCTGACAACCGAGAGCTAGGTTTCCAAGAAGAGAAAGAAAGCTAAGAAGTCAGGCACCCGAAGTCTGAAAAGGGCGGCGACACCAGCCGCGGTTTCTCCTTTGGAGACCGAAGAAGAAGGTTATTTCGCCGGCTCTTCTCCATACCTGACCTCCTTCCAAGGAGCTATGAGTCCGTCTTACTGTCCTACCAATCCATTTGACCCCTCTATGACAGGTGGCTTCTCTCCCACAAGCCCGCAACTTGATCCTACGTCTCCAGGCTATTCTCCCACCAGCCCACGCTATTCTCCTACCACCCCAACATACTCCCCAACAAGCCCAATGCGCTCGCCTGGAAGTGTGGCCGCTAATGACGAAGAGGATGACGATGAAGATGTCCGTGGGGACGAAAGCAATAGAAGACTAGCAAAGCGCCCACCGCTAGATAGGCTCATCAGCCTACAGGGCTTCGCAGGCTACTGGGAAATGAGCGACGTTCTACTCCAGGCCGTAGGCTTTGAACCTGCTGTATTCCATGCCGGGATTCAGAGCCACTACGATAAGCTCACGGGAGACCGCGAAGCGAACGAGGCAGCTACGCTTGAAGAATGGTGGAACCTGATCGCTACATCTGCCGCATGTCATTTCTTGGAAAAGGAAGAATCTGGCTCGAAAGACGTGTGGGAGCTTATGAAGGAAAAGGCAGATGGCTGGTTGCAGACCCAACTGGATGGCCTCAGCTCTGTCAATCAGCAAATTGTCAGGGCGCTCATTGATGGTCTGTCTGACATTCCCAAGTCGGGATCTTCTACCTGCGAAGCGTAACGTATGGTTTACTCCGTACCCCTCATAATCAGGGCACTGATTCTTATTTCTTTAATACCAGCATGCCTTTTCTTGATATGGAGAAATCCAGATCTTGCGAGATTAATTTCAAAACGTCCTTTCATCGAATGTTTCAAAAGAAGAAGAAGGGGGAAAAAAAGGAAAGAAAACCACTTTCCATTTGATTGGAGCTGCATACGACTGTCTTGCATGAAAGCCCAATACATTATATCCTCTGGTTCATAAACTTCATCCAATATCCAAGTTGCAAGCCCAGCGGTCACCCAAGACTAAACATCATTGCATTGTGAAGATGCGAGGTTCACCTGAGAAGTAGATCCAGGGTATGGAGGGGGTGGATCATCGTTATCGAAGGATGAGTCGAATGGTGATTTATCTACTGTTCAGGTCAGTTGGGTCTCCATATTTTGCCTCAAAGGAGCCTTACAGTTGGGTTCGTTCTTTGCCTGGGATTTCGAGGGCGCAGAAGTACTTGACTTATCAGTGGTGGCAGCTTTCTCAATTGAAGAGCCAGATTGATATCCAGTTCTAGAGAAAGGGCTTGTAGTCTTGTGACCGGTTTCTCGCTGCTGCTTTCTTCCCGATGTGGTGGACTTTTGTCGTCGAGACCGGGCAGCATGATATGGAGATCCTAGTAAAAACATTTTCCTCGAATGATGAATCCCCGACGTATAGTATAAACAGATTGTTGCAAGAAACGAAGGAGTATCGCACTTAATAAATTATTCGTCCCAGAGGTTCCAAGGATACTTGGCGATGGATAAACCTGGAACACATTCACAGCCTCGATTGAAGCTCGAGTCAACTAATCCCATTGGCGCAGATCAGCGTGGCACCGCCAAATTCCAGGGCCCGCCGGCTCCACGTAGGGAACAAAGTAGCCACTCAGCATTGCCTTTCCATCCAACTGCCGCAAGGCTGCAAGGCTGTGTTGCGACCTCGGGAGAAAACCGGGTCTCAGCCCCAAGGCTTCGTTGAATTCAAAATTGAGATTGTCTGTACTAGTATAGAGTAACATAAACTGCTTGATAAACACTGATGTATGTTTATTCATTTTGCGGCACAACTGCAATTCTTCTGGTAGGCGATATATGTACTGTAGGCAAGAGCTATAGGACGAACTACCTAGGTATGCTCGCGCTTGTAGTATCCTTCAGGGGAAACTCCTTCTGATCTTCAATTGGGAAGATCCTAACTGGTTTGTCCCTGATGTGTGACGTCACCAAATGGTGGCAGCCCTGTAACTACTAACTACCTAGGTACAGTAGGCTATGTTCTACTCCGTACAAGGCTGCCCAGGTGGTAATCCTAAAGAGATCTGGGCACCCATAAATATGAGCTTACTTAATTACTTACTTGTAGACATAACTCTTCGTGCTCGCCTTTTCTCTTTCCCACATTACAAAACTACATTGAAAGAGGACGTTCACTATCACCTCAACCCTAAGGAAATGGATTCTGCAGTGGGACTTCTTCTTGAGGGGTTGGCAGCCCTGGTGTGCTGTTTCACAGCCAACATGGAGCTCGGTCGGCCTCAAACCGAAAAGAATGCCAAATACCAAACATCACTTGAAGACAGCAATCAGGACAAGGCTGCCCGAAGTGGTAGGGCCCCGTCAATGTGAGTACCATCCACTCCAGCTGTAGTCACGCATGCCAGATGCCGACAGCATTTGCTAATCTTATGAAGACCCCCGGGAAAGACCTGAGGCAACCTTGCAAAGATCAGTGATTTATGTATCCAGGTGTCAATTCCCACCCCCACAGTTCTGAATGGCTTGTCAAAAGCCCCATCTCAAGCCTCGCGCGTACGACCGAGGAACTATCTCTATGCATAGTCGTACCGCCTTCAATAGATGCCTTCAACCTCCAGGACTTGAAACCCCGTGAAGGTTGATTTATGCTCAAGTGGGCTTGGCGGAGAAAGACGAAATTGAAGTAACGCTTTCACATTGTTTCTAGTAAAAAGAGACAACAAACCAGGATGTATGAGTTTGTCTGGTGTGATGCTCACCAATATCACCTATGCTTTCGATCGGATTTGCTCGTTACTCGGAGCCCATCTCAACATGGCCGACACTAGTCCGTAACAACCAAGGGCAAAAGGTTGCAGGCAATGCAGAAAGATTTGACTTTTGCCAGCCGAAGGATGTGCATATCCGTAGCTCACCTCTTCGATGTTAAAGGTGATCACATAGAATGCAATGTTCAAAAATTGTAAAGTGCGTCGAGTCTTCTTCCTGACTATGCTCATCTCCGACTGGATAAGCAAAGAGAAAAGAACGACTCCGTAGGTTCCAGTAAACGCAAGAGCCACTTTGATACCCCATTCCACACTAAACAATATTTCGATCAGTGGTTTGTTTATGGAGGGGAAAAAAAGCTCTATAACAAAAACAATCACAGAGAGAAGACTGTAGACAATGGTTACCCCGAGAGTCTCGGAATCCTTGAATACATCCACATTTAGGTCTTCGGTGTATGGATTTGCCTCCACAAATGGAGGCAGGATGAAATTGGGGGTATGTTCCAGAGGCTCGTGGGGCCGAAAAGCTTCTCTAGACGACGATTCTTCGACGCCTTTGGCAACATCTGTTAATGGAATGGCAATCAACTTCCCGCTTCAAGCGACTTAAGCATTAAGAGAGACATACCTGGGTCGAAGTATTCCAATAGACCCATGAGTGGTGCCACCAGCAGCACCAAGGATACAACTTGCCCAAAAGACCAGTCACCCTTGTTTTGCCCTGCGGTCTTCGTCCACAAATCTTGATCACCTTGATCATTGCTATTGTCGTTCAGGGCAGACATGAGACGAAGAACACCCCAAAAAAACGCAATAAACAGCCACACCGCCTGTTTGGATCAGATCATTCAATTTCGAGGTTAATAATAGCACGTGAACATACCTCTACAAACATGGAAAACCATGTGGTCAATGAAAAGCGTGCTACAAGGAAGACTGCAAGCAATGGTCGATATACCAGAGCGAAGCGTAATCCTAGATTGGGGCCGCTAGCGGTACACCATTTGTAGACCGCACGCAGTATATCTCGACACCGATGACTAGCCTGGATTCTGAATCGTCCCCAGAGCGTGACGGATATAACTTTGTGCAATTTCATCACGCGAGAAATGAACCCAATAGCGATAGTCAAAGCTGAAGCGATCATTGACAAAAGTGCTATACCTGGTGAATGGCGAATTCTCAGATAGCACACTGCATAGTCGGAAGGGCGAGGGCGTGAAGCGAAAAGATTCCCATAATTGGCGGTGGGAAGTAGCCCGACTATCATCATGACGGCAAGTACACCCATCGCAATCAGTCTCCAGGTTCGCCCAATAGTATGGACATATAGGTAGCTTCGCAGAACCATCAGACATGACAAATGAGTCAAACAAGAGAACCAAGCAAGGTAAACGATGATTTGCCATTCATAGACAGTGAGGCCACAGTTGAGCTGAACAGCACCACTAATCAAGATTGAGAATCCCGTGATAAGCTGGAAGTCACCCATTGCAACGACACACTTGCATGAATCAGCCAAGGAAGCATTGCAAAGAAGGGCGATTAGACACTACCTTGATAAGTGAGCCCTCAAGTCTTTTCTTGGAACATTTGCTTATAGACCACGGGCTCCAGCCGCGCACCTTGCGCGTAATGAGCTGATCAATGGCATTTGGACGAAATGGTGGATCCTCTGGGGACTTTTCATCCTTCTCAAACGGATCACGGCCTGGGTCATAGGCTACCATGACATAAAGCAGAATCACGAAGACGGCGATTCCTGCAGAGGCAACATAGTTGGTGATGACCTGATCTTGTAAGAATAACACACGCCGCACACTATCAGGGAACGAACTCCAGGTCCAGTGATATCATTATCAGGAGACAAGGGGGGCGGTCGCTCCGAACAAATGGTACGACAGGAAGACATGACGATAGTTTGAGATCGTGGGCGCAATCGTCATCTTCCGGTCAGCCCCTGCCTATATTACTCTCATCGAACTCGAGCATTGGCTTCGGTAAAGACTGCTGTATTGTGTAGAAACGATGTGAGACCCGCTTCGAGTGGAATCTGATCTTGTTCACGTGTTTTGGCCCCCAACCGGTTCGGCGACGATCCCTTCCCAGGTCTATCCAAGCCCGAGTCTGTTCGTCTGGAATCGTCTCATGGGTATTCATGTCAACGAGAACAAGACAATAGCAAAATGCGATGCACTGTTACCAAAAAGATAAGGTCATAGGAAATGTTGGCCCCGGGGATGGATTGAAAGAAGTGTGTGTGAGAGAGAAGGGCGTTTCCAAAACTTCATGCCCGCGTGCCCACGGGCATATATAGGACATCACAGAACGCCCTCCAACAAGATGAGCATCATGAGTGTATGTATATCTTTTCTTGACGAATGAGGCCCTCATTCAGCAGACCTCTGAATCATCTTTTCTGGTGGAGTATTATGCAAATGTGGAGATACTTGGTGGACTAGTATTTGTACCCGATTCAGACTACCAAAGCAGCCCAGAGCCCATTGGGCCCCCGGAAAAGCCCATTTCCAAGGTACCGGGCCAGGCCCGGGTTGGGACCGGGCTTTCTAGGCTGGTGCGGAAGTCTAGCCCAAAGAAACCATAGTATCCATCATATATGAGACCGCAACTTGTCAGGAATCATGGAGTTGCCAAGTCCGATTTCCACGAGAATCTTGACATGCAAGTCGCCCTCCTCGAGCAGAGCTACGAAGCCCCTATCCACAATCTGATCCATTCCTATCTTACTAGTAATCATTGGGCGCGGCTGGATTTGCCCTTGAAAAAATGGGATGTTAGCACAACGAGCGAGCTTGGACTCAGGAAACATCAGGCATACCAGTCTCAATTGCATGGATGACAGCCTCAAAGTCCTTCTTTTCATACACGACTGCTCCGACAAGATGTTTCTCGTGTAGTAAAACGTCGAAAGCATCGAATGTTGCTTTCTTGCCCCATTTAGACACTATGACCGTCGTGCCGCCGGGTCGGGTCCCTGCGATGGCTGAATCGAGCCCTGGCTGTACTCCACTGCACTCGAAGGCAACGGAGGCTCCACCATCATTTGTCAGACCACGAACTTGTGCAACAACATCCACTTCAGAAGGATCTAGAGCCATTGTGGCACCAAAGAAGCCTGCAGACTCTCTCCGCTTTTGAGAGATGTCTGCTGCAACGATAGTCTTGACCCCTTTGGACTTCAGGACTTGCACGATTGCAAGGCCGATGGGGCCCGTCCCAATGAGGAGTGCCATGTCGTTCTCTCCGACTTTCTCCTGTATTGGGCTTTGACTCACTGCATGCCATGCAACAGCCAGGGGCTCCACAAGGGCTGAGGTGCGGCGTGTCAATGACTTGCCGAAACTGAAGGGCTGAATGACAGGACCTACCACCAATATCTAGTGAAATGGAATCAGGGAGCCGAAGAACCTGCTCCTCCTTCACGACTACATGGTCAGATAGACCACCGGCGCTACCTGAATGTTACTTTAGCGGTAACTCTAGCCCTGGAGCACTGGAGTGACCATCGGTGCGTCAGATGCTGGCTTTACTTACCACTATAGCCAATAAACCCTAGACTCTGACACTGGTGAAATTTGCCCAACTTGCATCTTACGCAGGTCCCGTCGTAAAGATTCGGCATGACAGTGACCTTCTCACCAACTTTGAGATCGGCAACATCTTTCCCAACCTCTTCGATGGTCCCACTGAACTCATGGCCCAGGGTTGTAGGCAGCTTCTCTCCGGTTATTGGATGTGGGTTGATAGGTACGGCGGACGGTCCTGATAAGTACTCAGAGAGGTCTACCTAGGCCGTTAGATACGAAACATCGTCTGGGCGGAGAAACACGTACCACTTCCACAGATTCCGACAAATGCTGGTCGGATCTTGAGAAGTTCTTGACGTCAGCGTTTGATACAAGTTTAGGACGTGATTCAAGGGGAATTTTAACAGAGCTCTTGGTTCTACCTTCACTTGATTGGCTCCGCATGAGGGTTCCTCAATCTCATCAAGGCGGATATCTCGCGCCCCATGAAAGCGGACCGCGCGCATAACTCTTGGTAGTTCGGATATGGTCGGATGGATGCTGGGATGGGTGAGGCTCCGCTGACTTTCAAAGGCTCTGCAACGAAAGCTGTCGATCTCGTTTTTCGGGGGGATTCTAGGATGCAATATTGGTCCTGAAAGAGTGTGTCATATCACACCATCAACGTGAGTGGCGTTTTTATATCAAATCAGTTGGCGTGAAATGGAGGAGAAAAAGGAAAGCTGAGAGAAAAAAAGAGGAGAAGAAGCGAAGCATCTGACTATCGAAGAATCATCCCTGGAGGACAGACATCCTGGGATAGTTACTTGGCGAAAAGTCCGGGGTACAGACGATGCCACCAGTGCGACAAACCTGGGACACCGGTAAAGCCAGTGATGGTAATGGATCTGAACACATGTGATGTCTATATGAAAATCTCTAGGTTTCTACTGTAAGAACTTGTGGCTCAATGAATGAGCTTGTTGCTTTTGTTTGGTGGTTTCCTTCAAACCTCGGCTCTACTCCGGACTTCACTGCCTGAATGGCGGGGTATGGATCAGAAAGCAGCCAATAAAACTCTTCTCCATGGTCAATGTTCCCTCCACTCTGGGGTATCTGATAGTATTTCATCACCAAACCTTTGGTGTGCGTAGTTTCCCAAGGTGGAAATATCCAAGCAGCTGAGGCTCATGCGTGGCTCATCTCAAACACATCTTGCACCTTGTTCTTGTTTCCAGTGGGGAGTTCGCATCAGGGCACTGAGGCAGGGGTGAGTACTCATTGGAAAATTCAAGGTTAGCAATCCCTGGGCTGTTGCCTCCAGGGCTCCTGGGTCCTAGCCCCGAGTCCTAGGACACAGTATACAAAAAAGCACGAAATGATACATTGGTATCTCAGCTAGTTGGCTCATATTTGCTTTTCTTTCTCGTTGCTTTCGGAAAATAATTTCTTCTTTCATGCACAATCCGACCGCAGGTGTATGGCTTTTGACTCTAGGTCAACTATCTTGGTTTCTTGGGTTAGACACAGCTTCTCACATCGATTCAAGGCAGGAAGTGTATGTAGGAAGAAAAAAGTGGAAGAATGAGCATTCTAAAATGGAAGGAAGAAGATAGATTGCCATCTCAACCACTCGATCTATATTTGCTTTTTGCTTGTGTAAAACAACTTCTGAACGCTGGTTATCGGGTCGGTCTGGAACCCTGAGACAAATACCTTGATTCCAAGGTTATCTCTCACATTCGTTCGGGGTAAGTGACTAGAATAAGAAGAAACGAAACAGATGAATTGAGTTTCCCCATAACAGAACAAAATTTCACCTCCCGTTCCTGTTATTATATCTGCATATGTCCCCACTGTTGTCTTTTCGGGGTTACTGGGGCCCTGGGGGCGTATTCGGGTTCCGCTTTCGGTATCCCCGTCCCCGTAGCATCCACCCATCATCGGCTTCCTTCCCGCTGAGGGGAATGTGGGGTATATTGTTTCTTTTGTTGAGAACAGCATCCCCAATTCAACGCATTGACACTGCAGGCGGGTCTGCGGGTCTCTGGCTCAATCACAACCTTCAGGCGCTGCATATAAACTCCTGTTTCCCGGTTGACTGCCGGGAAACTCTGAAAATCGGACAAATTTATGATTTTCTTGCGTGCTCTCCGAGACTAAGCGGGCCTGCGGGTCTACGGGGTACTGTGGACTATGGATTAATGTCCAGTCGAATTCGATGCTATAGGTCTGACGAGGGATCTCGGGTCTTCGTGACCCGGTGTCTACAAAGCCCCTGTTTGACTCACCGAGAACGAGAAGCCCACCCCTCGCGAGGCTTTGGATCTCCAATTCTGCCTTTGTTCCCGCTCTGGATCTTCATGACACCTAATGGTATGGTCTTGGCCCTTGAATGGTGGGGGGCTATTGTCCGTGTTCAACAATTAACCCCACGCTTCCCTCGAGCTCAGACAAAAAGCTCCTTTCGGTCTAGAGGTTACATGAAAATGCTGTGAAGCAAAAGGGCCTACCGCAAGAAGATATGCTCTATGTGTACGGAGTACGGTGTATTCTATATGCCTTGGCAGGCTCGGATGGAAGTGGCACACATTGAAAGATTGACAAGTACCTCGGAACGGAACCCGCACAACTCTGATATAAATTGACTCTAAAGAATGTCTATTTTATATGCTATTTTGACACTCGCCTTTGGTGAGTCTGTTATCTAACGGCGTTCAAGTCGAGTTTGAATTGTCCGCGCAGGAAAAGGCAGAGGCACCACCGGACGCTTTGTAAGAGTCCATGATGCCGATCACGGTTCCATATGTGCCTCCAACGGTAACAAATGATCCGAAAGCGACCACGAAGAAACTGAGAGAGACCATCAGCCACCAAGACTTTTTCTCTCTACCTGTAGACCAGTTGTCGTATAACCACATGCAGCCGTATGGTTGCAAACAAAGGATTGTTCCTAGCAAGGCTCCGATGAGAGATACCAAAGCGTCAAATGCAGGGATGGTACTGGCGATGATATATGCGATTACAGTGACGCCGAGTGTGCAACTGAGCCAGGTAATCCAATGGATAAAGCTGTTGCTGGTCAAGTGCCGAGAGCCACGAAGGATATGAACAAACATATACTTGGCAGGAATCTAGTATCACTGTCAGTAGGTTCTTCGTGCCTGGTAAGGGCTATCGTTCTTGCAGAGCTCACATGTGTGACTATGGTCGTCGTAACAACCAGCCCGGGCAGCGCGATTCCATAAGATATTTGTTTCACAAGTCCACCAGCAGAGCCGAGAGCGGGCGACGATACATACGAGCCGCAGTAGTAGTATATGATACAAGCCACAATCAGGTAGATGGAGGTCACAGTAGCTTGGCAGATAAGGAGCGCTGGGGTGAATTGGCGAGGATTACGCATCTCCGATACAATAGCGAAGAACCCAGGTGTACCAGAGAATGCAAACACGAGATTGGACACTCCAGTGATTCCTTCGACAAAGGTTGGGCTACCAACAATCTTGAAATCTGAAGTCCAGGGGCCGTCGCCCTTTGGTGCGGAGGAAGGACGATCTTGGAGACTGACCGCAATCGTAACAATCATCACTACGAGAGGTTAGCACTTATTGTCTTTTGATTTCACTTCCAAAGACTCACCCGATATGATTACACATGGTAGACCAACCCATGCCAGCCATGTGATGCGGCCCAGAGTCCGTACACTAGCGGTTGCGAAGCCGAGGATCGCTGCAATGACGGCGAAGATCACGGTACAGAGGCCGTGAGTCGATACTGCGTTCAAACCGATTGAAAGTCCTAGGATGCCGGATGCGCTTACAAAAATGTAGTCTTCGTTGTCAGTAGATATACCCAGGTCGACCGGTATTTGAGCACCTACAAAGGCAAAATACAACGGATAAAAACCAACGGCCAATTGGGCCAAACATTAAGGCTGCCGCATCGTCAATTCCATACACCTCGCGGTGATTGAGCTTAAAACGGCCAATGACATAGTCAGACCAAGTGGTGATCGCGGCAACACCACAGAGAACGATAACGCCTGGAACCATTCCGAGGGCATTGAAAGCGCTTGGGATGGAGAGGATTCCCAAACCGATCTGACTCTTCATCATTAAAATGACTGTTCCGAGGAAGCCAACCTAGAGCATGGTCAGCTGGGCTTGAACACACTGTATAGACATGGCACTGAATGCACATTGCGATAGTTAGGGCCTTCGTCAGTGATCTCTCCGAAAACGACATCATGGTGAGCAGTTTGGGCGGTCTGTGTGGGCTTGATCGCAAGCTCCTCGTCTAGGCGATCATCGTCTAGATGTTCCTTTTCGGCATTGGAGGACTCATGAACACTCATACTGAAGAATTGTGCAGATGAAGACCGGGATTCAATGTCGGAGGGCAAGGTTTTATACCCCCCACGATATCCAATGGCCGGCGATCTATTGCACAGAGCCCATAGCGTATCTTTGCAGAACGATAAGCCGGTTTTCCTTTCGTTATTTTCTATTTTTTTCCACTTTTGCCTTTTCCTGGCATTTTTTTCCTTGCTTTTTTGCTTTTTGCGTATCTCCGGCCCCGCATGGCCCCCCGCATCCCCCGCACCCTGGTGGACTCGCCCCTAGACTCGGGAGGCTCACCGGGGAAACGAGGCATATTCCTATGAGCTCTTTGTGCTTCATAAAATCCCGTGTGCACCTCCTAGGTCCGTCTTGCCTAGTCAATTGCAGAGTGAATATCTCTTTGGTTATATCCTTCACAGTCTGCATAGCTTTGAATCTTGAGGTTTAGGCGTGGCACCAATTGTGTTTTGATATCGTTCTCGATCTTTTTGGCTTCGGCCCAAAAAGATGGAAAATAAAAAGATACAAAAGATGGAAAAAAAATAAAGGAAGATCCGCGGGAAACCTTTTATCCACAATTGCACGCTTTGGCCTCCGGGATGATATTCTTCTGAGTACCTACGAGTGCTTGGCGAAAGCCTGGTATGATACCAACTCTGGGACATGTCGAGCCCATTCGTATACTCTCCACTGTGGAACTTGGGAGGACCGGCCCAAAATCTGGAGGTCTCACGATGATCAACCTCAGTGGAATCGCATCAATAGTTACCAAACAGGCTTGAGAGCTTTCGCGCTGCTACTACTATGCAGGACCTTTCACCTGCAATTTGGACTTATTATTCGAGCAAACAAATTCAGTCCCATTGCACATCTCTACTTACGACTGGTATCAGATTCCAAGAATTCATAATTCATTATGCATTCAAGTGTGGATCACCAAAAGATCAAAACGTTAGACTCAATCAGTATACGGTCAAGCAACTCACGGCGCCATTCTTCAAAACTTCGAATAACAAACCCGGGAACCCGAACATTTCAGTGTTGCCTAACCCTCCATCCTGTCCATCTCCCCCTCCCCGGTGGCCCTTGGAGGTGGTTTCCTCCCATCCACCAAGGAATTCCACACTGCTTTCAGGGCTATCGCCCCAGCCACGATTTAATACCATTGGTCGCTGTAAAGCACGCTCCTCGGCGGGACTGGCATAGTGGCCCTTCCAAGCAGCCCGCAGTCGCTCGGAAATTTCGCTATAAGGTGACTCAGATGTCAAGCAACTGCTGTCATCTAGAGATACCATCCACCGACTTCGGCGATGGCGGTTGAAAGGGTATGAGCCTGGAACGTTTCCGTGCAAGATGATCTTTGTTACGGTCAACTGAGAGGATGGGGGCGACGCCGAGGGGTCGAGAACACCTGAAGCCGGGAATGCGGGTCCTGGTGTGGTTGGATAGGAGATGAAGGCATCAAAGCCATGGTGGAAATAATTCAAGAAGCATTCAGCCGGCAGTGACGTAGGATCACCGACATTAAATGGAGCAAGTTCCTCGTCAGAGTCATCAGTTACACTGTTATCGGAGGAATGGTCGCCGTCATGTATACTGCCCGGGGATGGGCTCAGGTGTATGTCATTCCCGCCCGTCGCGCGATGAATCGAAATTCGACGGTCGTTCTTACGATATATTGCATCAGGGGGTCCAAAGTCTGCAATCAGATCCTGGAAGCTGGTTGCGCCCAGGATGATGGACACAGGAGACCCTGTCCTGCGGATCACTTCGAGCCTTCCGGCACCGAGGATGTGCCACTCCTCGATCTCATCGGCGAGAGATTCTCGAGATTTGCCAATCAGGGCCGATGAGCGCGGGTATTGGGGCTGCTGTGTAAATAGCTTGTCTCGGACCTCTGGCCACGAGGAGCCCTGGAAAATGGACATTGAAGTGGCCGGCAGGGCGGCCGAGGAGGATAATAGTGCTACGAAATCGCACTGGTCGGACCAGGCTGAGTGCTGTAGAGGGAACGAGAATGCGACTCCGGGATACGATAGCACATATGTGCCATATGGGGACTTGTCTGCCGGCGGAACATATTCTCCTGGGTATGAGGGACCAAACAGGCGATTATAGACGTGTCGGAAACTCGGACCCTGCGAGGACAGAGGTTGCTCTGTTGATTTACCTCCCTTGAGCACATCTTGGCTTTTGTAGACCAGGTTTACACGGGAAAACTCAAGTACTTCGATCAAGCGAAGCCTCTGATCAGGGCCATCGAATCGAAGGCGCAAGCCATTCGAGGGCAGCTGGAGTATCACAGGCTTCTGGAGAGGATCTGCAGGGGAATATGCAAGGTCGATGGCAGGGTAGGTCTGAGGGTACGACTTCACACGAGTAAGGACGTTGTGCAGCGACGCGCCTAAAGCTATGGGGGGTGTTAGCTTGAGTCCCAAGGTTGCATCAAGGGCAGCCACCGAAGCGTACTGATAAACCCCAGCCCTTTCCCAGGGAAGATCTGCGCCTGCGTTGTGGTTGTAGAGCTGGTCATTTCGCTGTCGATGGCGCTTTGGCTGAGATAAAGCTAGCCCATGCGACTGAAGATTCTTGAAGCTTTGGGTACAGTCAGAGTGAGTTCCCAGGTTGCGGAGTAATGGCCCCGGGGGAGGGCGTTCAGCGATAAGCCGATAGGAGACTGTCATGTGCCCAGGTGAGAGGGGGGAATGACACGAGGTCACGTGCGCGGTCACTTACCGCCCGGGCGTCCTGCAAATGATGCAAACACGTGCGGTTTGTGTACAATTTTCCCCTTTGAGACAGGTACCCCCGACCCCAGTGATCACCACCAGAGAAAAAAAAAGAGGGAAAAAATTTGGATCGCGCTTCTCTTCGACACAATACAGTCAATCTGAAATTGCTCAAATCTCATCATGCCCGGCCCAGCAAGGCCTCCCTCTACCCTGCCGACCACGAGGAGGTCAGGTTTGCGACAACCAGTGCGTCGTGCGGGCTCAGCGGTTCCAGAGCGCCATGCCTCGCCCGCATTGACTACGCCCTCGGTGCGATCGTCTACGATGAGCACGGCACGCGCACCACCCAGAAGCCCGGAGAAACCGAACGCTGCGACAAAACGCAAAGAGAAGGATTACGAACGTGGTGTCAACGAAGATACAAGCATCCATGTGGTGGTGCGCTGTCGCGGGCGCAGCGATCGCGAAATCAAGGAAAACAATGGTGTCGTCTTATCAACCCCAGAAGGCGTCAAGGGCAAGACTCTCGACCTTTCGATGGGCCCGAACGCTGTCTCGAACAAAACATACGCTTTCGATAAAGTCTTCTCCCCGGCGGCCGATCAAATCACCGTGTTCGAGGATGTGGTAACACCCACAGTGGACGAGGTGAGATTTACTGCGAGAATATGCGCCTGATTGGCTATTAATCCCTTTCAGATGCTAGCAGGTTATAATTGTACAATTTTCGCATACGGACAAACCGGAACGGGAAAGACATACACCATGTCAGGAGACATGACCGATACGCTGGGAATTTTATCCGATGACGCAGGAATTATTCCACGGACGCTCTACTCTCTCTTCCAGAAGCTCGAAGGCACCGAAAGCACAGTAAAGTGCTCGTTCATCGAACTCTACAACGAAGAACTTCGCGATCTTTTATCCTATGACGACAGTACGAAATTGAAAATTTATGAGAACGAGAAGAAAGGAGGACACAGCACAATGGTTCAAGGCATGGAAGAGACGTACATCGATTCTGCCTCAACAGGAATCAGGCTACTTCAAACAGGCAGTCACAAACGACAGGTGGCTGCGACGAAGTGCAACGACCTAAGTTCCCGAAGTCACACAGTCTTCACAATCACCGTCCTCACAAAACGAACAACCGAGTCTGGCGAGGACTATATTAGCTCGGGGAAATTGAACCTCGTCGATCTGGCGGGTAGCGAGAACATCGGGCGAAGTGGTGCAGAGAACAAGCGTGCGGCAGAAGCTGGTCTCATCAACAAGAGTCTTCTCACCCTCGGCAGAGTCATCAATGCCCTGGTGGACAAAAGCTCGCATATCCCCTACAGGGAATCTAAGCTCACGAGATTACTGCAAGACTCACTTGGAGGCCGAACAAAAACATGCATTATCGCCACTGTATCCCCCGCGCGCAACAACCTCGAAGAAACCATCTCTACTCTCGATTACGCTTTCCGGGCGAAGAACATCCGCAACAAACCACAGATCAACTCTATTGTATCCAAAAACAAACTTCTCCGGGACATTGGCATGGAGATAGAGAAACTCAAGAGTGAGCTCATTGCTACCAGGCATCGCAATGGTGTCTACATGACACCGGATGCGTATGAAGAGATGACTATGGAAAGCGAATCAAGACGCATTGTGAACGAGGAGCAACGCGCTAGGATTGAGACTATGGAGTCCAGTCTAAAACACAAAGTCTCGGAGTTACTTTCTATCACCGGCAACTTCAATTCACTGAAGCATGACAATGAGGAGACGCAGACCAAGCTCAATGACACAAAAGAAGTTCTCAACGAAACTGAGAGATTCTGGAAAGAAACTCAGGAGAAGCTTGATGAAGAGAAGGCTGTACGCAAGGCCCACCAAAGTACAGAGAAGCAACTCCGTGATATTGGGGCTGGGCTCGTTTCAACTCTTGATAGTACTGTTCAGGACGTGAATGGGCTTCACGCCAAATTGGACCGCAAAGACAGTCTGGAAACACAAAACCGTCAAACCTGGCAGACTTCAACGGGTGAGGTCTCGGACGTGACCCAACAAATCGACGCTCGCATGGAGATTTTCCAAAGCCAGCATGCCAGACTCTTGGAAGACATGTCGGACAAAATTCATGAATTCGTGGACCACGAGCTGAACACCGTGAAGTCCACTCGCTCAACACTCCAAGACCTCGGTGCATCATTCGATAAGGTTGAGGCAGAGGCAAAGGGCAACACATCTAGCGCCCACGATGACATGAACGAAGTCCTAGAGGAAATCAAGGACCTTCGCGAAGAAGTCAAATCGAAGGTTGGCGAAGGTCTGAATGGATTGTCAGCCGCTGCGGCTAGAATCTCGAAAGAAGTGATTGGAGAATTTTCCGAGTTCCACGCCCAGCTTCATACCTCGTACAGCACACTGGGCAAAGACTTCAAATCTATGTTTGAGAGCATGGCAAAGCATCTTGACGAGCAAAAGTCAGAAGTTAACAAGCTACGCCTGGAGCTGCAAGCAGCTAACCGCCAGACGGTTGAAGCTAACAGAAAGGCTTCCTCTAACCTCGCTCAAGTCTTGGATGAGGAACAGGCGAACGCACAAGCCGAGCGTGACACTCTCATGTCTCACATCCGAGGACTTCTTGAAGACTCAACGAAACGTCAAAACAACCGCCTCAAAGGCAAATTTGACACCCTTCGCAGCGACATCTCAGCATCGGGTGATTCCCTTGAACACGCCACCGCACAGCACGATAGACATGTTGATGAGTGGATCTTCAAAGAGGAACAGTTCGCTAAAGATATTGCTGCATCCAAGGAGGAGATCAAGACTCGAATGCAGAACGATTGGGAGGTAAGAAAAAAAAACCACCCTACAGTCGCGAATTCATGGCTAACGAAACAAGACCTTTGACCAGCGGAATATCTCAATTCATCGGGCAACTGAATCCGTGCACCAGGAAACCGTACGCATCGTGGACGCTCAAATGAGTGACATGGGCACACAAATGGCAGCATTGGATGACTTTGTTGCCAAAGCCCGTTCTCAAAACGGTCGTTTCCATCAATCGCACCTTGGAAACCTGGAGGTGATGGCGGAGAACGTCCGCGAATCGCGCTCAAACATTCATGGCCAACTCGATGGACTCACTGGGCGCGTCCAGCAACTCCAGGGAGATGTGAACACACATGCCGCAAACCTGGCGCAGACCATGGCACCTCTCCACACCGAAGTTCGCCAGCCACTTATAGAAATGCGCTCCCAGATCCAATCCCGCCCCATGAAGGAGTACGTCTCGACGGGCATTACTCCCCAAAAGCGCCGTTACGAATATCCCTCCGAGCTACCCCAAACCGAGCCCCATGATGGTCTACGCTCTAGACATCGTACATCCAAACAATTCACAGCTCTGCCATTCAATGATGAAGATCCGCAGGAATCGCCGGCACCCAATTCCCCACAAGTACCTTCGCCGCCGAAGAAGTTCGTTTATCACGACACCCCGGAAGAGGTAGGCCACCCTCTTCCATCAACTGCTGCATCCTCCAACACCGGTCTTAGAGAAGTCGACCCAAACGTCGCCAGACCGGTCGCATCTGATTCCGAAGAAGGTTCCGACAAACCGGAATCTCCATTAGTGATACCCCCAACTGAACTCGAGGAAACACCTGAAAAGGTCGAACCGGAACCGTCTTCCCGCAAGCGCCGCCGCTCTCACTCCACAGCTCCCCCGGAGAGCAAGCTTCCCAAAACTATGCTCTCCAAAAAGATGACTGGCGTGATGGAGGGTCGAGAGAATTTGCACTCCTCCGCGGTCCCTGGTCGACGTTTCAGAAAACGCTCTGAGCAGTCATGATCCCTATGTTTGAGTGGTCCTTTTTACAACTTTTATTTCTTGTTTCTTATCTCCGGTTTTTTGGTTTTTTTTTATTTTTGATACCCGATGTCGCTGGGCTTTTCACTCTGGTTTGGAGTTTTTGGCTGAGGGAGAGAGGTGGTGGATCATTCATTGTATCTCTTTTGTCCGACTTTCATTCAAAGGCAATATTTGGCGTTCTTGGTCTGTGGCTTCTTCTATAGGTATTCGTCTTGTCCTAATACCATCCTTGATTTTGGTTCGTCTTTGAAGGTACTTTCATCGAAACACTTGTTAGAATACCCAACGCCTATGCTTTGCACTAGAAAAGATGTTCAAATCTGCTCCATTCCGGCGGTGACATCTTGCGCGCCTTCGTCAGCTGCGTCGGGGGAAAGCGGGTGCTCTAACTCTCCGTGCATGTGCGTGTTGGAGTTCGAAGCCCCCGCTGCATCAATCACCACCTGCAGCTCACTCATCCGTTTCGCGAATTGATCCATCATGTCCTCGAGCCTCTGTCCTCCCCGATCCTCTCCGCCCTTCAGTTTCTGTTCAGGTAGACCTCTAGTACCACGAATCTTCAGCATCAAGCCATGTTCTGGTGATTCTCCTGGTTTGCTGTTCTCGAATGTCGGTGCTGGCACGATTTCAGTGTTGAGCACCTGCCACGTCGATGAAAAACTCTGCGCCCCAGTTACACGGTACTGGCGTTGGCTTTCCTGCGGCAGGGAGGGCTGATTGGCTGGTGACGAGGATAAGGACTTGGTATCGTTTTTCCCTGGTATGAGTTGTTCAAGAACTGGGTCTTGTGCCTCTGTGGCAGGAGACGGCTCTACGTCTAGAATGATGAAGTTTTCGCGCATTCCTGGAACCGGTGGTGGCAGCAGGGTTGTCTTGCTTGGGGCGGATTCTGAGGGATCTTTGGCCTCATCGTGAGGGGATGCATTGTTGTGCGCGATGTGTTCCTTTTGAGAATCGGAGAGCGCTTCTTGCTGCGCTGATAGGCTTCGCAGAGCAGCCTCGGTCACGATGTCGCTGTCATCGTCGGAAAATATGTAATGGACCGTCGGGTGGTGATAATCGGATGTATGGGCATCTTCGATCAGGGTGAAGAAGGGCTGAAAAGCGGGTTGGGATGAGGGTTGGTCTGGGTTTTCTCCATAGTGCTCTTGGGTCCCATTTAGAGCTGCATCCTCACATGGGGATGCGACTGACACTGGCAGTTGATTAGTTTCGTTTCCAGATCGTAGTTCTGGCAGCTGCCCTCTGGGGTGTTTGTCACCTGGCCGTGATAAGGCGGTGTCTGGCCTGGAGGCTTCTTTCTGAAGGGACTGCCTGGATGAGGAAGAGGACAAAGGATAGGGAGATTTGTTCAGAGACATCTCCGTGAGGCTACATCCTTTAGGTGAAGTGACGGATGAGGTTGATCGACGTGCGGAGAAGCTCCTTATCGATAACGACACGTGATGCCATATCAACCCCCGCCCCGGGCTCCCGAGGTCTATACGAAGTACAAATTACCTCTCATTCTGTTACTATTATCATAAACAAGCCATGTGGTGATGTTAACACAATCACCGGACTGCCACTCAAGCTCAAATTTTTTGCAATGATTACCTTGGTGGTAGAAGTTTTGGAGTTCACCAAACGTTCCAATAGGTCTGCTTCCACGCTGAAATATATAGGGCTGGAATCATGATGTTAGAACCTTGGAACCTTCCAAACCTTGAAGTTGTAAATAATTTCGGCTAAGAATTTTGGGCAACAGACTTCATATCTGCTCACGTACTAGGTATATCTACCTACTAGGTAGGTAGACAGCCCTAAGCTTCCAATGCAATATCTCAAAATACAAATTTGTGGTAAGCCCTCCAGGCTCACAGAGACAAAACCCGTGACCTTCCAAGATCCATGGATTCCAAGGCTGGAATAATGTACCTGGGCAGTTCCTGCCTTTCATGCTGTAGTCAAACTTTCCAACGTCGGAATGTCGGATTTCTGACCTTCCTTTTGACTCATCGGCGATCACAGCCCTAGAGCTCGTTTCACACACCCAAAAACGCTCCGATCTGTTAAATCAAGCAGGATCATGTCCATCCTGGTAAGCATGTCGCTGTCAGCATGTTGGATTTAACGCTAATGCAGATCATAGGATGACCCGCCGTCTGGGTGGGGCTCAAAGCCTGAGGACCTCGAGTACGAAGATGACTGGGAGGCGGAGGATAGTATTGGACAACATCTGTGTGAAGAGTTGAATCTTGGGAGAGGCCGTCCGATTATGTGCCATTGCACAGATTCTGCATACCTCTTTGAAGCTGGTGGGAAGTTCTACTTCTGGTATTGCGTTAGTTACGACGTCTTCGAAATCATCTCTCCCACAACCCTGGATGAGATCATTAAGACGATGAAGGAAAAGGGAGATAGGGCCGTGAAAACCAAGACGATTGCATGATAACGAAATTTGCCCAGGGTGGTCTCCGAGTCTGGAGACAGACCCATTGCTGTGCGCGATCACCCGATGCGAGATTGAACCCGCCTCGACATATTCCGCGGGAGTTCAATTGGAGATGGTACAGCTGCTTTTGGATGTCGGGCGCGGATCAGTCCTTCCTTGGTGCCTATCTAGGAGGCTCTGTCTGGATGGTCCTTCAGTAAGAAGCCCGGAACGCATCCAATCGGCAATTGCGCGGAAACATGCCCGATTGTACACCTTCTACGGTAAGTGATTTTCCAATTCTTATGGCAACAAACTATGCTGATGCAATGATTCGTATAGCGGACTCGAGGAAGCAAACAGGAGTGTTTGCGGATTATCCCTCTAGAAGAGGGCGCTCAACGCAGCGGAGTACCAGGATACGCTGAGCGGTGATTTCTGGACCCGAGTCGCAGATCCTTGCAAAGACTGTCAATTTTTGATCGAGCTTCATGGGGGTACATTGGAAAACTTCTGTCGCTTTGCTGGGTGCGCGGGGGCACCCGCATAGAAGCCTTGGACGCCGATATCAAGAGTGTCTGTTTCTTGTAATGTATTTTTAGCTGCCCAGTGAGAAGAGGCACATTGACATCGTTACTATCGGTGCAGTAATTGCCCAGGTGAAAAACCTACATTGAGACACCTTTGAATTGGACGAATTACATACCATAACAGCGCTATGGTCTTTAAAGCGGAATTAATAATTGATGTCGACGAGGACAACATCGTATTCAAAGGGGTATCTTGTATAATCTCCCAACGCCTTGATAATCACGAAAAGAAAATGAAAGCACGCAAGCTTCGGCTGTGGTCGTAACCTAGTAACTCTGCTTCCATTCAAACTCTGGACCAAGTCAGTATAAAAGAAGTAGCTGGCAAAGAAACAAGGAGAGGATGAGCGCACTTTGCCGACACATGGGGCATAGGCCCTTGGACGTTTCCAGGTCAATCCAGGTCATAAGACAGTGCTTGGTTTTGATCAGTGAGGTCCATAAAATGGCGGTCAGGCAGTTCATACCATATGAAAGGCGTGGTTGCATTTCCCCTGCACTGTAGAGCATAGTCAGCATTCGAGAACAGCGATAGACAGAGCAGTGGACTCACCGAGGGCACAGTCATCACCGGGGAATTTGCAGGTCGGACAAGTGCCATCGAATTGAACACGACAGATACCGCAGACCTCATCCTCAGGGATGTCCCAGTGCCAGGTGGCTATGGCATTCCATTCCTTAATGGCGACCTTCATGGTGTTGTCGGAAGAAAGAAACCCACCCACGATAAGCGGTCTGTTTATCGCTATCACGAGACCCGCTCCTTACGCCATACTTCTCCTCTTATTGCTCTTATTGCTCGTATTATCTTCTCCGTTTCTTGCGTTCTCTGCTTACTGCTTGAAGCTAGTCGCTACGTTATGTAAATTGGTGATACCTGTTGTTATCCTACAACCATGGCCTTCACAGCCATTCGATCTTCGCTCGCTCGGTTCCGCACCATGTCTTCCTCCCCGCTCCACACGCAGTCGCGCAATGTTTCGTTTTCTTCGTACCTGGTGACCCCCAAGCAGCTCAATGAAGCTCTGAAGAAGAATCCTCCTGGCGGAACCAAAATCTCCACCTCCCCACGTGTGATCCCTCTTAACGCAGCATGGTTCATGCCAAACGACCCCGAGGGTCGCAAGGGAATCGAGTCCTTCCACCGCTCGCGAATTCCGCAGGCCCGATTTTTTGACCTGGATGCCATCAAAGATCCGGATTCGCCTTATCCGCATATGCTTCCCACGTGTGAGACCTTCGCCGAGGCAATGAGCGAGCTTGGCATTCGTCGCGACGATGAGATTGTGGTTTATGATACCGCGGAGCTGGGAATCTTCAGCGCCCCGCGCGTGGGCTGGACACTCCGTGTCTTCGGCCATCCCAATGTGCACCTCTTGAATAACTATCGCCTGTGGGTTCAAGAGGGCCTTCCGACTGAAAGTGGGGAACCAGCACCTGTGGAGAAGAGCAAGTACTCTGTTCCTGTTTATGACTCGCGACTGGTAATCTCTTTCCGTGAGATGAAAGAGCTGGCCTTGGACTACGGAAAGGAAGGCGCCGAGGAAATTGAAGTACTGGATGCGCGGTCCTACGGTCGCTGGGCTGGTACCGACCCAGAGCCTCGTCCGGGTCTATCATCTGGTCATATCCCTGGCTCCAAGAGCCTCCCCTTCCAAGAGTTGCTGGATCCGGAGACCAAGGCATATCTCCCAGCGGAGGACTTGCGCAAGGTCTTTGTGGAGCGTGAGGTGGATCCCAACCAAACCATCATCAGCTCTTGTGGCACAGGTGTGACCGCATCGATCATTGAGACAGCTCTGGCTGTAGCCGAGCATGGCGATCCTAACTTGCGGCGGGTCTATGACGGCAGCTGGACGTGAGTGCATGAACTGTACATCCCAATTACGCAACTAGTACTGACCTTGGAACAGTGAATGGGCACAGCGAGTGAAGGAGTCGGACGGACTCATCAAGAAAGTGAAGTCATAGGGTTGAACATTGTGATGCAGGATCTCTGCTCTTAGATTGTATTGAATATAGAATCTTTCTCTTTCCCATTGTTACACCTCGATATCCATGGATTGAGACCGGCGCTGTTCCTGGGCCGCTTAGTCAGCATATTCTCAGATCTCTGCCATCGCATCATTTCATTATTCTTCAGAATGCCAGCGGATCCAAATAGTCCAGAAGATTGCCTAGGTGTACAAAGATGCTCCAGATGAAAACTTGTCAACTGGCTTCTCATCGTGAGTGAACACCTTTTACCCGCCCCCACATCCTTTCATCAAACCTCCTGCAACTTCAGCTGACCGGGCTGCAGTGGTCTACTCTCTTCCGATTTAGGGTCTCTACCCTGTTCAAACATGTCAACCGGACGCAAAGTCTTCCACTGCGCTGTGGACGAGACTGCTCTGTCCACAAACATCTCCGAAATCAAGAAATGGACCACGAACGGTGCTATTGACCTGGTGGTCCCCCTCTACAGTGAGTCGCAGCAATCAGGCCTCGGCCCAGCGCTGAGCGGTATTTCTAACCATGAATCCTCGTTCAGCCCTCGAACGACTCCATGCGCTCAAGCGGGCTGGCTCCCAGGTCGCCATCAACGCCCGCGAGGCCGTGCGCTTCCTCGATCGTGTCACCTCCGGCAAGGACCATATCGCCACCGACCGGGTCATTCTACAAGGCCCGATGGAGCAGTACGATCGCTGGGAGGAGGCAGAGAAATTTTTCCTGCCCGAATTTGAGGAGGAACCCGAAGCGATCAACGACATTCTCAATGGCGACCCTGCGACCGATCCTACCAACCTTGCGGACGCCGGGAACGACCTGAAGAACGAATCGGACGACCTGTCGCAGATGCTCCTCTCCAAGCTCAACTTCAAGAAGGATCCAGAGGCCGCGTCAATCACTTCTGTCGGCACGCCCAGTGGTCCGGGATCGCGCACATCCTCTCGCAGCTCTCGTACCAGCCCCGAGTGCGCTCAGCACGACAGCAATGGAACCAAGAACGACAAATCCAAGTCCAAGTCCAACCATCAGCGCACCACCTCCGGCTCTGTCATTCCGACTGCACCCTCCTCCCTTCGTCCTCTGCTGAGTGCCTTGCTCTGGCGTCTGCACAAGGGCCCCGATGCCGAGAACTCGTCCAAGACTTGTATTCTGATCACCAACGACCGCGCAACCCAGGTCTGGGCCCAGAAGTTCGGGATTGGGGTCAAGAATATTCTCCAGCTGCGCACTGCGATCCAGTACGAGGAGCGCGAATACAAAAACCGCTGCAAGTACGTGGAGAAGACTCAGACACAACCTCGACCTGAACCGAAGACCCTCCTCTCTTATGAAGAAGAAAGCGACGAGGATGAATTGGTTTTTGTCCCTCGAGGTCGCGGCAAGGGAACTCCTCGTGGTTCCTCTCGTGGTGCTCCCCGTGGCGGGTCGCGCAAGACTCCTCCGAAGCCTCCTCCCGCACCTGTCGAGCCTACATCTTCCGTTGAAGTCCCTACTCAGCCTATTGATCCCGACTCTTTCAGCCGATCACTGGGTGGCGCATCCAAGCCGCCTCCCACCGACTCGGGCACACCCCAGGGTGCTCCTCGTGGTTCCCCAGGTGCCTCACGTCGCTCGTCTAATGGTCGCCGGGGAGCTGCTCGTGGTGCGCGAGGCAATGGACGCGGTCGAGGCAAGCTCTGGGTTCCTTGATTTCACCGGGCAGACGATCTGCAGTCGTCTTCGGACGAGCAGTAGATCGGTGTTTTTCGAACCAACAGAACCGGACAGGGTATTTGCACGACTCGCCTGACAATCCGCTTGGATCTGTGCGCCTTGCAGAGTGTTTTTATTCCCCCGGCTTTATGATCAGTCATAACCCAAGAACCCATGATCCTCTCCTGGACATGCATCCCAAGGAATCAATTCGCGGCTCTACGCTGCATGGATTCTGGAAGTCCCGAGGATGGGAGGTTCTTTGAGGCGATTTATTGGATCTACTAGTATCTGTATCCCAATGATTATTCCTTGTGCAAAGTGTGTAGATGTATTGCCCAAGTGGTCAACTGAGAAAATAGTATGATGTACTTCCCCCGCATGATCCGCATCACTTGACTTGGAACTCTTCTCTTCTTTAAATACCTTCTCCCAACAGTAACTTACTCCTCTACACATCATTAACACTGATACTCTTCACTATGTCTTCAATCGAACATAACCTACCTCCAACCCACGAGCGTCGTAACTCCCTCGAGAAGCACCTCCAGACCCGCCCGGACGTCCAGGACCTCAAGAACCGCCACATCCTTTTGGACACCAATGTGGCACCGTAAGCATTGTACCTCTGATGGAATCGTATGATAGTCAATTAACACTCCGCCAGAGCCCTTCAGTCCGCCCGCCAGGAGCTCGACCGCCAGCGGGCTTCAGACAACCTGAAGAAGCACCTGGAGAAGCGACCTGAGAAGGATGAATTGGTTGAACGTAAGTCCGGGCATAAACTGCATGCCACATTTCCCCGTCTTTTTCTACCTCTGTCTGTTCGATCTTTTTCTACCTCTGTCTGTTCGATCTTTATCTACTTTGTGCCGATGTTTATATCTTAACACCGCCATTATCCCCCCGGATTCACACTCTGGAACTAACGTCGCCAAGGCAACATCCTCCCCGCAACCTCCGCCGCTCCAGCTCTGCAGGCCCACGCCCGCGAACTCGAGAAACACATGCTGGCCGACAGCCTCGAACACAAGATCCAAAACAGACCTCAGCCCGAACAGCTGATATCTCAGGGGATTCTTTCCGAAGATGAGAACCCACGATCGCCGTTTTGACGGGATCTCGCATGGTTCGGCGAGCACACGCAGCCTGTACACATGAGCCTCATGAGCTTCTACGCATTGGTTTATGGGAATATGGGATACGATCGTTACGTTTTGTTTCTTCTTGCGCGCTGTAATTTTCCTGTCCTTACCGCGGGGTGGTGATGTCACCGTTATCATTCATGTAGCAATGCACAACATATGAACATTGGGTAGTTTTTGCACAAGATTTTGAAGATTTTGAAGCCCGAGGTGAGTTTTGACCCGCGTAGGACTCGATGAGGCTTTGGGAACTTCGCACGGATCCATAGATGGACCTGATGTTTAATGCGATTCGACCTCCACCGGCCCTGAAAGATCGGGAGTCCACCCACTTGGCCTTTCGCTGCCCCGGACCAAAATACCATATGCCGCCATCTCAACCTTCTCCACGCTATTTTGCATGACGTCCATCTTTTTCTGCAGATCCCGCAACATGAAGTGCCGCCGTGGCACACTGAGCGCCTCGAACCCAGCCCGCATTGCCCGCAGATCGACCACAATGTCACCTTGCGACGAAGCCAGAGTCGGTCGGTGGTTACTCTCTCCGCCCTCGGGTTGTGTGGCGGCCGCGTTTCCGGAGCTCAGTGACAATACTGCGAATCGCATTATTTCGCCTGTGAGATCAAACAGTCCCATCAGATAGTCTTCTTCTGAGAGGAGGATGTCGGCTGGTAGGCGGGATTGACATTCCGCGTGTGAAATGAGGGTTTGTGTACGTAGATAGTGGTCGAAGGATACCGCTTCAATGTATTCTTGGATTCCAGGGCTCACCTGACGCTGGTAGCGCCAGCCCTTGATTCCGAGCTGTTCTGGCACAATGGCCTCAAAGAGAGCATGGATTTGGTCGAAGCGGGTTTGGTTTTCTTGCGCGATTTTAGGAGGGAGGGGTTGGTTGGTTGCGCGGACACGTTGGAGAGCGAAGATACTGGGGGATATTAGTCTAGATGTGATTTCAGGAAAGCGAGGGATCATACATCTTCTTGCTCAGCGCTGTGATGTCTCGGCTCTTCTTAATAATGCGCTCGCGGCGGTCATGGTGCTCGTCGAGCTCGTCGCGGAAGTTCTCGAAGATTGAGATGATGGAGGCGCCTTGTGGCTCTGCTTCCGCCATGGTGATGTCGCCTGCGTCAATTTTGGGGTGTAGCTCAAGTGGCTGTCCTTCCCAGGAGCGTTTGGTGCCCATTGAGAAAAATGCCTAGGTGGATGAGGTTGCTGGAGAGGCTCACGACGCGATAAGATAGATTCACACGGGTGCGCCACACTCCGAGGTCCACCTGGCCAAGGCCGGAACCTAAGGTTAGACTAAGATCCCAGTTCAATGTCGACATCAAGCTTAAATAAATACTGCATACGGTTTGTTTAGAATTGACAATTCCATTGATCCTGTATCTCAGCGAGATTTTCATTCATCTCGAAACATAAAAAAGAATTCATCCTAAGACTAGGCTTGCCACGGCGGCTGGCACGCCCATGTTGGGGTGCCGAGCGCCGGTTCTAAGGACCACAACGAAGGGCCCATTGGGGCGACCTCGATGACCCGGGGTGGATCGGGCTCGGAAGACGCACTGTCTCGTACACGCTCATAAGACGAAACACAAACCCAAGGATTGTTTACATTTCATTTTATGCGCAAAATTCTATGCGAGCCTACGGAAAAGCATGGCCCGGAAGTGTTCTGTGTATCATGAGGGATGCCCACACGCATACCTGGTATAAATTTCATCTAGAATGCAACTAGTACCTGCTACCTTTTATGCAACAGTCTCACTCAACTCTTGCCCTAAGTACCGATATCTCAAAGGCTCAGCTCCACGGCCACTGACCTTGATCGTCTGCTCATCACCCGGCACAACATCAATGGCGTTATCCTCGAGTTGCACCCCATCTTGCTCCTCGAAGACAATGCATTTGACTGGCTTGTGTGCGTTGACCACCAACACTCCCTCATCTGTTTGCTCAGACTGCCATGCGACCTCAAGCTGCCTGTCTGAGAGGTTGAGATATTTGAAGGGTTGCGGCCAGTCAACATCCCTGGCGACAATCTTGCCGTCAACCCACAGTCGAGCGGCCAAGACATGGGGCTCTGGCTCCGCAATATGATCAATCACCCCATCGATGATATCCGTGGTACCATTAGGTGCAATGGTGACATTGTCACGCACAATTGGTGCCCGGATCTCATCGCCTGTGTTGACAGAAATGAATCGCAGCTCTACCTTGCCTTGAACAGCCTCGAACTGGTTACTAGCAATCCAAAGCTCATATCGACTGGTCTTGGGCGGCTGTGCATGGGCAACGCTCCAGTCATGATGCTCGCGCCGCACGCCGACTGCAATCGGGTTGAGAACCCGCTTCACTGCATAATATGCTGGCTTGGGCTTCAGGAAGTAATCCACGATTGCCCAGGAGATTGTGGGCCAGCAGTCGTTGAGCTGCCATAGCAAGGCACCACCGCAGTGTCGCTCATCGCCCCATTGTCGGCGCCAGCCTCGGTAGCCAAACATCATGGTTTCGGCTTGAACCACCTGGGTAAGGTATATGTATGTCTGGAAGATGTGAGCGTCTGCACAGAGCGTTATAGAGAGATACGTACCTCGAGGTCCGTGGCAGTTCGCAGGTTTTCCACGAGGTATGTCGCTAGTCTTCGTTCATGGCCATCGGCCTTGTTGTGGAAGTCGATAACGTGCGACTGAGGGAACTTATCCTCTGCGTTTTCGACGAAGTAGTCAATGGTTGAGATGTGGGGGAATGCTTCCATGCCAAACTCGCTGTTGAACCGTCCACCCAGAGTATCAAAAATTTGATACTTCTCCTGGGTTCCATGCCACACTGCATATCTTGTCAGCGATGAAAATCATGAAAGTCCTAGGATACAAACCATTCCACTGATGCATATCTCCGACTGTTTTGTCAGATGAGATCTTGCCATCTCCCCATGGACTTCCCGGGTGATAAAACGTCGCGGGCGAGTGCTCCGCTACCACTTCTGGAAGCAGCTTCTCATAGATGTACCGCGCTGGGAAATCAGTTTTCAGCCAGTTCTCCGGATCCTTGTCTTCATAGTCGTAGGTCAAGCCTTCTGATTCTGCAACCTGGTAGTCTTCATTGTTGCCAGCATATAGCACGATTGATGGATGATGCCGCATGCGCCTCACGTTGTATGTTGTCTCTTGTCGTACGGAATCGAGCATCTCAGGCCAGGTGGGATAATTACCGCACCCGAACATGAAGTCCTGCCAGACCAGCACTCCAAGCTCGTCGCAAGCATCATAAAATGCGTCATCTTCATAGATACCACCACCCCAGACACTTGATAAAGTTAGAGAGAACGGAAGCATGAAGTAGAAAAAGCAATGCCACATACCGAATCATCACTTGCCTGCCAGCAACCATAAGCTGAATCCACTTACGGTATCGCTCAGCAGTGACAGCAGGCAGAAGACTGTCAGCTGGAATCCAACATGAGCCACCACAGAAAATATCTTTTCCATTGATGCGGAAGAAAAATGATTTCCCATGTTTGTCTGGCTGCTGCACTATCTCCGCATTCCGAATACCGAACTTCTTAGACTCTTGGTCCACCTTTTCACCTGAGCACAGTAGTGAGGCCGATACCTCGTACAGTGTCTGTTCTCCATACCCGTGAGGCCACCACAGATTTGGTTGATTGACTCTGAACGTGACTTGTGTCTTCTTTCCAGATACCGGAATATCCTGGGAAGCGATCTCATTGCCTTGCAAGCTCAAACTGAATCGGACCGTGTGGTCACCATCTACGAAGCTTTCCACTTCAGCAACGGCGGTGACTTCAGCAGTCTGGGTATCTGCGGCAAGCCGAACTTGAGGCCACAGGTTGGCAACCCTAGCGCTGAATACTTCGAGCCGCACAGCGCGCCAAATGCCGGCAGTCATGAGTACTGGGCCCCAGTCCCAGCCCCAGTGGTATTGGGCTTTGCGTACAGCCATGCGGGCTGGATCGCCATTGAAACCGACCCACTTGTGACCGGGATCCTGGGACTGAAGCTCGCGTGCTTTGAGCAAAGCGCAGTCAAATTCAACTTCAAGAGTGTGTTCGCCGTCGGCTGCTAACGCTTGAGTGACGTCGATTCGGTGTCCCAAAAACATGTTGTCACTCTCAAGAATTACTTGGTCGTCTAGCTTTACCTTCGCGAAGGTATCGAGGCCATCGAACACCAGGAAAATCGCAGAACCAGCGGATACCTTTGGTTTCTCGAATACAGTCCGATAAATCCATGCCTTTTCATTCACCCAGCGAGCATCTAGCTCTTTGAAACCAATGTATGGATCATCAAGCCTAAAGCAAGATCTCTTAGCGCTCGATAAATTTGAATGAGAGGAGCAGCTCACTTGTTGTTGGCGATGAGATCCTGTTGTACCACTGACGGAACCGTGGCAACTGGCAGCCATTCATTAGACTCGCGATCCTTGAAGGACCAGCCTGAGGACAAGGACTGAACGGTCATAGCCATTATTAAATCAATTCTCCCTTAGACACGCTCTTTGGGTGAACCTCAAACTTTTGGCTGCGTGCTGCGTAAACAGCTCTCGGATTTATACAACCCGTTATCGATAAGACCCCACGCGCTTTCCGTTTGGGGAAAGGCGGGGTTGCCGTGCCCAATGCGGCTACAACCTCACGTGATACCAGTATTTGCAACTGCAAGTCTTCAAATACGCCAAAAATACACCATTCGAAACGAAAAAGACTACGATCCATCTCCGCCCTCCAGACTTTCCCCAAACCCCTCGAACGATCGTCGCTGAAGAACTGGGTTGGCCACGGGAACTACGCCGTCAAGCTTTCAATGTCGTGCATTGTGGCCCTGAATCGCGCTTCTATACCCTTTTGAAAAGCTCACCTCAATCTTGGATAACCCATTATACTGGTCATTGCACGCAACCTGTTTGGGCCATTTGCATCCCATGATTAATCTATTCAGAGTGCAGACCAGTCTGACCGCAAGCGAGCCAATGGCCGGACTTGACCAAAATCGGCCTTCGTACTGAGTATTCAGACGCCCAATTTACATCGCACGGACTCTATAGCATTCGTCTTGCAGACAGGGGTCGTTCACTGTGCTGGATCGTCAGATTTGACTCATTCATTTCCCTTCGTCCTTCATTTTCCCCCGCGACGAAACAAATGAAGCCAAGGAGCCTCTAACCGCCATGCTCCCCACTCGGGATATCTCCACCCGGGACCTTGACCAGAACGAGTCATGACGCCCGTGAAAGGGTCTCGGCATTCTCACCACCCAGTGGCAGGTTTGTCGAACCAGGTAAACTACCCCTCATACGGGGTAAGCGAAGCCCCTTTTCGAATTTCCCTCAAGACTTGGAACATACGACCCAGAGACACGTGCATTCTATTTACCCGGATTGATGACAGGTCGATGCTAGTGAAAGTCTAGGCAACGGTGGCAGAGATCGTCACCGCTGATTCTCCCCCGCAAGACTTGGTTGTATATTGTTCTTTGTGGGATATTCTTCCCCAGATGATCGTCTCCCACCTGCAGGGTTTGGTTCCTCCCAAGTCCGGGGAAACCGCCCCTGAAGAACCTATACATCATCTCATCATCCCAGTCATGCTACCTTGTGGCGTGAGCACGCCCGAAGCGAGATTAAAACCGGCAGTTTTAGCACCCCTGACCATACTGGCGCGTGGCAATGCCCTGCTAGCCCAGTGAGCTGCAGGTCTCGGGACTCGTGATAAATTCCAAAGCCCTGGGGATTGTATGTCGGTAGTTACAATGACACAGTTACCCTCGAATAGCGTCCATTTATCCGAGTGACGGAAATCGCGGTTGCATATGACAGAGTGCCCTAGAGGCCACTAGCTGGGGATGCCTCGAGAATAATTAGCATTTCCACCCAATCAGCCCAACTCGGGCGATCCGGAGCCAGTAAATGCGGGGGATATTAAGCGGATCAGGCTATGTTTTTCTTTTCCTTTGACCTCGCAAGGAACAACTTGGCTTAGTTCCTCTAGGCTCATTTCTTTTTTAATCTTATTCTTTTTCAACTGAACCCCACTTCACACCGTTATCTTATACTCCATCCTCATGCGGCCCGTCCAGGTGCGGTCAGCTCTATGTTGATTTGATCTTGCGAACTCGGTGTAAAGTGTTTGAGAATGTTTCACACATTTGAAGGGTTCGAGAACCCAACAGCAACAACGGCGGTCCGTAACCGGGCCACCAGTGAGAGACGCGAGTCCATCAGCCGTCGCGTTACCACTCTACGCGCCTGTACCTCATGTCGACACCGAAAGATTAAGTGCGATGGCGAGAAACCGTGTGAAGCATGTCGATGGTATAAAAAATCAGATCAATGTCACTACTCAGACCCCCGGCCGTCCCGAAGGTGAGTCAACAATCGTGAGCCATCTTGGCCCGACTAATGAGGAATTTGTATAGGCACGTAGAGAAATTATCTACCACATTAGAGGAGTACAGGAGCATTCTGGGGAGGCTTTTTCCAGATCTGCCACCGGAGTCATTGATAAATCTACCAAGAGAGAAACTGCTCGAGCTCACGACCGCTTCGGCAAGTTCCCAGATTCAACACCTCGCTCATCATGCGGAATCGCCAGCAACATCGGTTTCGTTGGAAGCTCATCTGTCACCATTGTCAAATGAAGACGACAATCTGGAGTCACTGCAGACGATGCCAGAAGAGGTACCGGACAGCCGCAACACCAGCTCAACGGACTTGGTAGAAGGAGTTTCCGACGATGTGAATGGATTGTCACTGACCGTACGACAACCCTCTTCATACTTGGGCGTCTCTTCGATACAGGCTGTCATCAAAGTTATTGTCTGGCTTGACCCGGGCTGCGCATCATACTTTTCACGAACCCCAGAGGCTGAGCAGGAGACCCAGGCAGGGTGGTCGTCGCATCATGCGCCTATCACGCCCCCACAGCCATGTATTCCGCCGTCAGAGATGCAGATGCTGGATGCCTATTTCCTCTACTTCCAAGCGTTCGCCCCGATGATTGATGAAAAATCATTCCGTGAAACTTATTGTGCCGGCCGCCGCCGAGATGGCCATTGGCTCGCACTGCTAAATATTGTTCTCGCCTTGGGAAGTATTGCAGCCACAGGCCCCGACGACATGACACATCAGACCTACTTCCTCCGCTGTAAGACCCATCTGAGTATCAGCTCACTGGGAAGCTCTCATATCGAGATTGTTCAAGCACTGGGCCTCGTTGGTGGCTGGTACTGCCACTACATCAGCCAACCCAATTTGGCCTACTCTCTGATGGGAGCCGCGCTACGCATGGCAGCTGCCTTGGGTCTCCACAAGGAATTCTCAGATACCAGACAGCTACCGAGCCCGGCCAAGCTCGCCTCCATGGATCTCAAACGCCGTGTATGGTGGTCTCTGTTCTGCATGGATACCTGGGCCGGCATGACACTGGGTCGACCTAGTATGGGGCGCATAGGCTCAACCATTACTGTCAAGCCTCCTCTCTGTCGGGATAAGGCAAGGCTTTCTGTATGGTGGAACCTCAACACTGCTAACAGATTCCACAGGAAAACGTTCTCGAGATTCTACCGCTGGTTGAGAATATCCGCTTCGCCAAGATCGCAACACAGGTGCAAGAATCTTTGGCAGCCGCACCACTAGTCAAGCATCAAGAAATGGCACACGCTGACGCCCAGCTGCTTGAATGGTGGGAGAACCTCCCATCGGTTTTGAAAAACCACGAGCCTTGCTCAGAATCAATCAATACCGTCCGAACAGTCATGCGCTGGCGCTACTATAATCAACGGATTCTGCTGTATCGGCCCACCCTGCTGAATTATGCCATGCGCCGCGTTCCTTATATTGCTTTACGCTCTGAAGAGCGCACCGCAATCGAGAGATGTCGCGAGGTGGCTCAGCAGTCCATCGAGAATATTGCTGCCACGGCCCAGCTCAACCAACTGTGTGGCTGGAACGCTGTATGGTGGACTTTCCAAGCCTCCCTGGTCCCCTTGGTCGGTCTTTTCCTTAATGACCCAACAGCCGACGACCCACGAGCCTCCATTGAATCATGCCAGGCACAGGTCGAGATGGCCATGATGACGCTAGCCCGTATGCAGTCTTTCGGACATACAGCCAAGCGCTCTTTGGATGCAATCTCTCGTATCTACGAGGCCAGCAAGCGAGGGCAGGGCCTCACTGAGCCCCAATCTTCTGTCCCTCAGCTAGATGGATCTTTCTCTTCCGGTCGAGATTTATCCTTCTTGTTCTCATCTCCTTCGGATCCGGGTCATTTCCTCAATCCACTCACCACCCCTTTCACGGATGACTCGGGAGGACAGTATCTTTGGGAGTATCTGAGTTGGAGTGACAACAATCTGTGGCCTGGAATTGTCGCAGAATTGACACCCGATCATGAGGCGAAATATGGAGATCAACCTACCTATTTTGAGCCCATGCCAGAATCCTATTATTGAGGGGGCTTCAGCAATTATGTCTCATGCAGTAACACGAAGAGATGAGCTCTTGGAACCGCCCATGGCCACCAGTTGATGCTGTTCTGGGGGAATGGGCCTTGAAGACGATGGGATCCTCGTATATCCGAGAAGGATTGCCTTGTCTTTAGATCCAGATATGTATTGTTTATGTGAATTGAGAATTTTTCCCAATAGGTCAATGCCCATGATTGAGGTTTCTTCTTCTTTTTCTTTTTGTCTTTTGTTCACGTACAGTCTCATACAAAACCTTTTGTTTTTCTTCTTCTTTCTTTTCGTCTTTCCGTTGTTTCTTGTTTCTTGTTTGACGGCTGCCCTAGACATCGGGAGCGGCTGCTTGCCCACTAGCCCCGAATTTGGCATTTAGCCCCCAAAACTACAGACCCAGGGATCCCTGCCAGAGCTGTCATTGGAAACTTCTCAATTTGGACTATAGTCACAATTTATGAAAAGATTAGATTTATAGTAAAGCATAGTACCTGGCTAACGAATTTATCATGACGTCTCGCTTGCTCGGACTTTCATCTCCGAAGGCCTTTTGAACATGCGGGTTTTCTTTCAGACGGGCAACCTGCCGGTATGCGTCATGGTCAAACACTCCGCCATTCTTGCGCGGAGTATCCAAGATGACAGGGCCTCTCTTTCGTTTGTCGTTGTCAATCAAACTAGACAGGGCTCCTGTCAAGTTGAGATCGTTATCCGAGCCCAGATATTTGATGGTGTTTTTGAGCACATCACCGATCCCAACACTGGCCACTAAAGGTAACGACCCGAGGACCTTTGTATAGTACGGCAATAATGTGCCGTTTGAAACAATGGTTCTGGTAACCGCCGTCAGTGATAGATCACCAGTTCCAATGGCAGAAGTTTGTGACGCAAGAACATCCACAAGATTTGCAAGTATATTGCGGATATCGATCACACCCTTCAGGGGAAATGTGTTGTTTCCAGGACGAAGAACAACATCCTTCACCGTGGCATTTCCAATGACCAGATCTGTGTCGCTGCTTTTGAGATCGAGAGTGATGGTGCCCACTTCGAATGTAAGGGCGGTAGGGTTTGGGAGCATGAGCTTTGCAGAAAGATTCTCATCTTCTCCCAGCATAAGAGTGCTCCCTGTTATGGAGAATCCTTCGAATTTGTTCAGAGCTATTCATTGTGTCAGCTTGCTGTCATGTAGAACAAGCCCCATAGTCTTGGAGAACCCACTTGGTATCATCACATCTTTGTCAAGAACAACGTGAGACTTCAACACCCCAAGATATGCATCGGTACTACCATAGAGGGAGAGTGCTGTCTCTTTCTGGAAGACGGTTTGGTTCACGAAGGCCTCCCAGGTGGTCAGATTCTGTAGAGGGGTATGTTGGTTTGTGACACCCAATGTGTAGTTTCCTTTGATCGTTTGCCCGGGTATATCGATTTGCATGTAGGCGTCCTCGTGACCATAGGAACGCACAAATGTATAGAATATGACAGGGTTCAGCCGGACAGCAAGAGCAAGTTTCAGGTTTACCTTGGCTGCTAGTGTCATTACCACAGTCGTTGGTGTCGGATTCATGATTTCTGCATTGACGATCCATAGGTCCGATTTGTTGACGACAAGCTGGGCGACCGCGGGAATGACAACCAAAAAACTACAGATTCATTAGCATTGAAATAAAGAGGATCGCGGTGGCGTGCCCATGCAGTGGGAGCCCAAGTGTAACATACAAGACTGGCAAGAATATAGCCAAAAGCACGACGTTGGCTATGAGGTATATGCACCAGAATCTTCTGCAATGGCGGCGAAATTTATCCTTTTTGCTATTCGAGCTCATGGACGACTGTACTTTGTCCAACTTCGCAAGTTCATCAGGACCTGGGTTCAGGAACCCTCGGTTGCCCCCAATGATATACTTGTGCGAATCCTTCATCGTGATGAAATCTGCAACTGAAGAAGCTCGAGAGAACTAGTTTCTTTATAGAAGAGCACCTAGTTAAGTGTAGCATCATATGTCTAAACAAAATACCGAGGATGAGGAAGTAATTAAGTTTAGAATCGAATGAAGAGAAACCTTGAAAGTCATTTTGCGGGGAATATTGAGGAGTTTGAAGGTACGTAGTAACACAGAAAGCGTCTTGGGGCCTCCTCGGTCTCGACCAATAATCTCTGACGGGTTTCAACAAGGGTGAAGTGAGCATGCCTATAAGATGCATTGTGAGATGATCATATTCCCTCTGAGGACACATGTTGGCCCTACCATGGAGTGATTGTCGATCTATCAAGCTCCAAGTTCCACATTGAAAAGCAGGGATCTCAAGGCCCAGCATGGCGCTGTACGCGATCAGGTCTGCACACCCAAAACACCCCATCAGGCCTTGTGTGGTCTGTGACTGTGCTCATAGATACATTAGCGCTGCACGGGCCTTCGCCAATATGTCTCGTTATCTTTACTTCCTCGGCTGGGTAACTTGAGCTGCTGTGAGAAGAATGAATCAAGAGTCGGGAGTCTTATTTTCGTGAAATGATAATGAATGTTGGGGAGTCCAACTTTTGATTGCGATATCCCAATCTAAAGATGACGACAAACTCGCATCAAGTCGTATCATTTGACATATTTCTACCCATCACAACTGTAAGTGATTAAGCATGAGACCCAAGATGTCACCAAAATCCATCTTGCAGATGATTGAAACGCAGCGTGCTCAAAACGGTATTTCTAAAGTCTGATTCCGGGATAAGCAGAGGGGAGAACGAATGGAGCTTCGGGGGACGATGAAAGCTTTGAAAATCACTTCACATGGAGAGATAACTCGGCATGTTGGACATCCAGGGCAAATGCAGGGGCAACCAAGCGACAGCCCCTCAGTGGTGCAGATGCAGCAGTTCCAAGGTTGAAGGCCAACCAGCCATAACCAGCGACAAGCCAAACCAAAGCTCGGCCAATCAGACACAGCTCTAGATGGCATGACGTGTAAATCGATCGTCGCAAAGACACGATTTTCATCCGCAACCCCGCAATTCCAGTCTTCCCCGCATTTTAAAGTCGATCAACGGCCTAGGAACTTGACGAAGCACCTGCTGTAAATTGCCACGGTGATCAGAGTACGGGTATCCTCATGGTAGTGGCTGTCACACTCGGTATATTAACTCCGAGGTCCGTCTGTCAGAATACAAGCCATCCTTGACATTGACATAATTCGACATACCTACAGTCCAGAGAGACACAAATACTTTCATTCCTCGTGTGATATTGTGCATGTTCTAAGGCTTCATAGTAACCTTACAGAGCTTGGGTGGGGAATCCGGGGAACGACGCGAATATCTTGTCGGCTGTACATATTTCCAAGTTCGAGACTACCTATGTAGGTAGGTAACCCTGGAGGGCACTAATAAAGAGGAACTCCAAAATCGAAACTCTTCCCTTCTATCTATAACGTCGATTCCAACGCCTGAGTTGTAAATGTGGCAGAGCCTAACCCTGCAGCACCAGATCAAATGTCCACCGGTCGAACAGCGCGAGATCTACTTCACATCCCAATGGGGAAGTCTGCGGGCCGATCGACATGCTGAGTCAGCTCATTATTTCGGGCGGCCTCAACGTTCCACGTCAACATCAACATCAACGTCTATTCAATTTCGCCGGTGATGGGGTTAATTTGAGAAAGACGACTCTCAATCTCCCCAAAATCAGAAGTGGATGACAGCTCCCTCGATAGCCATTGTCATTTGATTCCATAAACCGAGCAAAACTATGCTCGCTGAACAACTGACAGATTCTTGATTCGTTGCATTTGTTCTGACCAAGAAGAGAATTGCGTCTTTACGTCATGGGTCTATTCAATTCCGCGCCGCGGGTGTTTCTCGCTGCCACGGCTCTTCGCTTGGTACTCCTGGTCTACGGGGGCTGGCAAGACGCACACTCCGCCGTGAAATACACCGACATCGACTACATGGTTTTCACTGATGCAGCACGCTACGTTGCCAATGGAAAGTCACCTTACATGCGTGACACCTATCGCTACACGCCGCTTCTGGCGTGGATGCTGGTCCCCACCGCATGGGAAGCTCCCGCGCCGTGGTCAACGCTCACTTTCGCCTTCGGAAAAGCACTGTTTGCACTGTCCGACATCCTAGCTGGGTGGCTTGTGGTGCAGCTTCTAACTCGATGCTATCGGTTTCCAACGGAGCGCGCGCTACGCTACGTTGCTGCTGTGTGGCTATGGAATCCCATGGTGGCCAATATCAGTACACGGGGTAGCTCGGAAGGGCTGCTTGGCGTGCTTGTTGCGGCTCTATTGTGGGCAACGTTGACAAAGAATCCAATCTTGGCTGGTCTCATCTTGGGGCTTGCTGTGCACTTCAAGATCTATCCGTTCATCTATGGCGTGTCAATTCTTTGGTGGTGGGACGCAGAGCGCGATGGCTCCTCTTCTATTGAAGCCGGTCTGCTTTCCAAAGCTCTAAGATTCGTAACTCCCTCCCGGGTGAAATTCGTCGTTGCAGCACTCGCTAGCTTCGTGGCCTTGAACACCGTCATGTATCTCCAATATGGCCAGCCGTTCCTTCAGCACACATTCCTTCACCATCTGACCCGCATCGACCACCGCCACAATTTCTCGCCATACAGCACATTACTATACCTGTCTGCCGCGGGCGGTGCCGAGACTCGTTTCGAGGCGTTGGCCTTCATTCCTCAAATTGCTTTGGTGGTCCTCGCTCTTCCTCTTGTCTTAGCGAAGAAGAGCTTGACAACCACCATGCTGGCGCAGACTTTCGCTTTTGTCACTTTTAACAAAGTCTGCACGAGCCAAGTATGTGGTACCGTGCCAGCTTATTATGCTCATTGCTAATACTACTAGTACTTCCTGTGGTACCTCGTACTCCTACCGTTCTATCTTCCCTCTTCCTCACTCATTGGGAAGCCCAAGATGGGCATTTCCGCAGCAATTCTTTGGATTCTTGGTCAGGTTTGTGGCATCCGATTCCCTGATTTTATTTTTCGTGAATCAGTCGTAATAGCTAACAATCAACAGGCGTTATGGCTGCACCAAGGCTACAACCTCGAGTTTTTAGGGCGGCCCTCCTTTGTCCCCGGCTTATACCTCGCTGGTTTGTTCTTCTTTTGCGTGAATGTGTGGATCCTGGGCATCATCGTACAAGATGGAAGCCAATCAGTCGAAGAAAGCGAACTGGTCCAGAAGTCGAAGTCACCGTGAATCAATCAAGTGTGAATTTTCCTCTCACAGCCACCACCTAGTAGAGAGGACATAATAGGGTTGAGTTCATGTCATTCTTTATCATAATCACCGTCAATCGAAGCGGGAAAACTAAAGAAAATGGAAACAAAACTTCATCTGACAAGCGCACATCATCCCAGTGAGCAAACATTCGAATAGGGTGCTAATCCTTCCACACCCCCCCAGCCTCCAGGGCTCCTACCACACCCCTTTACCTCGTACCACACCCCTCTGCCTCCTACCACACCTGTCTAACCCGATTGGGCTCAACACCTTTCAGTTTCACCTGACCGCTTTGCTTCGTAATTTTCCAATACAGTCAGTACTTCTAATCTCCATACTAAATACTACTAAAACGTAAGTTGCTCATGTGTAAAGTAATACTTCAAAACAGATAATGCAAACACAGTTATGGCTACATTATTTATCTCCTTTCCCCCCGGACTTTCTCTACCCTCGCTATCGCTACCTACTCACGGTCCCCGAGGTAAGTATCCCCAACTATTCTCGCCGTCACCATCGCCGTCGCTATCGCTATCGTCGCTGAGTCTGACCGTCGCCGCTGCAGCATTAAACCCACTTCTTTGCCCGCGCCTAAGTTCGCGCTCGTATTACCCCGCGTGACGATGACAGTGAGGATAATAGTGATGATGACGATGCATAAGGTGCAGCGACACCGAGGTACTTAAGTTTTAGTATATATATATATATCAGTATTAGGAACTCAAGGGATTTGAGGCCAGTTCTTTAAGGATAGATGTGTCAAAATAGTCAACTCAGTATATATAGTAGTTATTCTGCCAGGTATCATGGTACATTGCCTTGTAATCCGGGTGTCAATTTTCCCAATCGGGTTAGACAGGTGTGGTAGGAGGCAGAGGGGTGTGGAAGGATTAAGACCCTTCAAATATTGGTATGGACTGTTAGCGCATTGCATTGGATTAGACTGACTAGGAGCATTGTATTGAGTGTGAGAGAGAGAAGAATGACAGCAATTGCAGATCACCATCCCGTGAATGAGAAAGTGATCGAGAATCTCAAAAGCTCACCCCGGCCCGGGGGTACCCCGGCCAGCTAGGGTGGGTCCCAGGCTCGGGTTAACTATATCCCGGGCACACGTGATAGCCGAAAAGGGCCGGGAACCCCAAATCAAAAGAGGCCGAGCTCAACTTCTTCTCTTCTCCTCTCCCCCACCCCTCCAGGGCCGGCCAATGCCAGGCTGGCTCGTCGTTTGCGGGCCTACCGTTACTACCCGGTACAGCGCACTGCGTTATTGAATGCGATGCTCGACATCGTAATCGAGTGATTCACCCGCGCGACAGCATTTACCGTCGAAGTCACCAACAATCACCACACTGAATTTGACGAACGGCATCAGTCGATATCTACTGGTGAGCTACGCTTCCCAATCTCAGGCTCTTGAAAAACTGGTTTATTGACTTAGAAAACAAGGACAGCGTCGCACTGCTTTTGCTCTGACGAAGGCGCCGATCGAACCCCGAACCCCGCACCCCGCACCCGCACTGCAACTCCAACCCCAACTCCAACTCCAACTCCAACTTCACCCACGGAAACACCATCCTTTAAGGTGGAATCTGGCAATTGGAGATAATGAGGTACTGCCTGGCGAGAATGCTGAGAGGGCGAGTAGTGACCGTCCTCACACCTATCAATCTCCCACCATGGACCACTGGCTCGATGCCGTTGCTGAGCTCCACAAATCTAGCAGACGGCCGGGAAAGGCGAAGCTGTTCAAGTATCTCATCGCTCCACAGCCCGGTGCATCGGTCGTCTTCCATTTCAAAATATGGGTTGAACAAATGCAATGCGCCGTGCAAGTCGACGAAACGAATGCGCAAAGATGTCACATTCGGATAATAAGCGAGCGCTTTCACGGCTTCGAGAACCATTCCATGAAAAGCCTGGTTGAATACTCTGTTCTTGATGCCCCACAGCTTGATGCCTTCGATGCGAGGGGGTAAATTTCCGGGATGCATGTTGTAATGGCGACAACAACCTGCTGCTGTGATATCCACCGACCGAAGACGTGATATTTCTGGTGCGCTGTCCATGGCTGTCTCTCTCATCACGCGGAAAAAATCGTGACTCACAAGACCGGTGAAGGTCAGAGTCTCGAGGGCGAACGCTACTGGCCCCAGACGGTTGCAAATCGTTGGGACCCGTCCCCAGTCTCCGTTGTCGGGCCGATGATCATTGCAGCCAGAGCTGATTCCCTCGAGACATAAGTTCAAGTGCCGGATGTTCAATTTTCCCGACCCGAAGATGCTGTTCATCATGTAATAATTGTCTCCTTTCGCCCGGAGATATGAACAGTGCCACTCTTTCATGTTGGGAATGGCCATTCGAATAATATGTCACTCCTCCCAGTTTCGGAACAAGGTGAAAGCTCCGCGCATCGCAAAGACATTGATATTATCGAGCTTGGCCAGGTGTCGCGTCACACTCCTTCCGTTCTTCTTTTCTTCCTCCCAGACGACAGGTTCGCTGTGGTGATTGCTGCTGCCCTCGACGGTAAATGTCGTCGCGCTGGTGAAGCACTCGTTTACGACGTCGAACACTGCATTCAATGATGCAGTGCGCTGTACCGGGTAGTAACGGTCGACGCCGCAAACGAGGCTCCACCCTGGCATTGGCCCGCCAATCTGGAAACGCTCCAAGTCGGATTGGGGATGGCTATGTGAGCCAGACCGTGGAATGTTGTTAACCCGCTCATCCCGCGAAGGAATCCAAATCTCAATGTGTTTGACGAGTTTTTTGAGGTCTGGATGATAGGTGAACCACTGCTTGCACGCGTCCAGTTCCATTACAGTGCCTTCGACTCGAACTGGTGCTCGTCAGATCAATGGCCCCGCGAGGTCCGATCGGATGCAACTTACTGTGACGGTACAATTCTTCCTCGATGAGTGCTCGCCAGACATTCGATATCACTGCTAGACTTGAGAGATTACCCCGGCGTACACGTTTCCGCCCAGGAGGCTTCCCGGGAAGGCGATGAATGGTGGCCCTCGACTCAAAAATGTACTCGAATATCATCTGTTGAACCTCCAGTGGAAGTGCGGTGATGCGAAGAGGCCCCTTCGGAGGTGCCTCCTTCGGAAAATCCATTGTGCTGAAGAAGAGTACTCGAAAAAAGAAGTTGCGCAAGTGAGAATGAGAGTCGAGAAGAGAAAGAGGAAGAAGACCTCGCCGGCGACCCCTCTTGCTGCAAACCGCTCTGTTACGTGAACCGACAATGCGACATCCTCAGAGCCACTCACGCGCCTCGAAACTTCTATTCGTCTCCCACCTACTCCAATAAGCTTGGGCGAATTGATCATTACTGCTTCCACAATGCCATTTCATGGTCTATGGATGTACAAATAATGCTGCCCATTACACTGAAATGGTGTCTTGAGCATGAGAAGTTGATATCTGCCTGTTACCCCGTGGGTCCTAAATCTGCAGGTGCCTATGAATTTAATGAAATTGCAACATTTGAAATGAATTAACCCACATCGTATTCACCAGGACGTGAACCCTAGAGTAGAAGATAGATTTGTAGAGAAGAACTGCTCTTGTAGCGTGTAACCTTGAAATATCCAGAAACCTCTGCTTGACTATGTATCCATGTTCAAGAGTTGGGCTATGGAAGCTGCTTTGTGACAACAGGTGACAACCCGGCTTTGTGTCCACGGATGCAGAAAAAATCATGGTGAACAAGCCCCAGGGTGCTTTGAAGAAATGCGTCTGTATGACAACATACAAGAGAGACCGAAAAATCACTAATGTTGGATGTAGATGTAGAATTTTGGGTATCAATTGAGATTTGGTGGACAGAACAAAAAATATAGTAACAACTAGCGCTTTCGTCTGAATCGAAATCGGGTCCCATCATCACTGTCCGAGTCACGTGTTTCGCGAGCCCTCTTTGGACGTCTGGAGGGTGCAGGTTCTGGGTCTGGCTGCGGTGTGTTGAGTGTAGAAGCCGATTCCTCGGATCGAAGTGGAGGGTTTTCATTGCTCTCCTGCACACTGCTTCGGTTTTGGGTGACAACGGGGTTGACCGGCTCAGCATTGCCGCTCCAGTAGTGATCGCCAACACCGTATTCCTTGCGGGTGACTTCGTCGAGGGGAACGATGACAGCTTGCATGCGTGAGCGTCCACCAGTTTCACCTTTCCGACGGAACTTTTTGAAATTCTTACGGCCGTTCCACCTGTCATCCCATCTGTCGGTATTCTGGTCTTCGGTCACGGGCGGCTTTCGGACAGGGAGGTCCATCTCCTCTACGATAGCGAGATTTCTCAACTGGGAGACGTCCAGATCGTTTTTGTCAAGGTGTGGGTCTTGCTCCATCTTATGCTGCTCTTCTTCTTCTTCGCGGTGCTTGCGTGCTGCCTCTAGCACGTCAAGCTTGGCGCGCTTTCTTTTCGGGGGTTCTGTTTCCGTGGCCACGACGTTGGCTTCTGGGTGGTGCGCCATCTCAGAACGGCGGCGTTTCATTGCACGAGCGCCGGGTAGTAGGTCGGAAACCATATCATCTTGGGGCTCCTCCTTCACTGTGTCCAGAGGTTGCACTGGTTCCGGGGCCGCTTGAGTCTCCGTATCCATTGTTTGCGTGTCGAAGGCAGATTCTTCTTCTTCTGGTGCGTACGTGGGGACCGACTCCATGTCGAATCCATCATCGAAATTTTTCATCTTGCTGACGTATGGGCGAGAGGCTGATCTGTGGCGAGACGCGGATGGAGGTGTTGGCTCTTGCTCGACGGGCGACGCAGGCGCGGAAATGACAGGAGCGGACGGAACCTCTCGTGCTGTTGTGATTGCGGGTGATGCAGGAGCTTGGCTCGAGCCCTCCTCAGTTGGCAAAGAGCGACAAAGAGGTGAGGCGTCATTCCCCAGAATTGCATCAAGGAACTCTCGCTGCTCAATGACACGTTGGTCTGTCATGAGTGCTACCTCATTTCCCACCTCTAGGGCCCAGGACTCAAACTCGCCTTTAGAGCGAAAGCGAACGAGGACGACACCACCGGGTCCGTGTCGTGCTGCGCCAACCCCCTGGTTACCTGCCGCCTTTTCCATGAAGCGGACAATGTCCACAGCAGTTGTGCTTCCCTCTGATATATCGAAGAAGAGTGCCTTTCCCTGGCCATTGTTGATGGGCCCTTGCAGGTTATCGAATTGCGACTGATCACAGAAGACGAATGTATATTGGTCGAAGATATTTCGACGGTCGAGATTCGGTGCGAAGGCTGTTGAGGGACGGTCGATGTTCTCCTTGCCGGCAGGCGGGAGGTGTCTCCTTGGATCAGGCCATTCCGATTCGAAGTCAATTTCCAGACGACATAGAGACTCCAGATTCTCGAGGTCGTTGGGGGTCGCCGCATAGACCAGGGCGTCAATAAAGGTGTCATCCACGATGTACTTCCCATTTACCAGCGCCTGGAGCCCTTTCGCAGTGTTCCTTTTGCTTGACACCACATAAGTGGTCTTATCAACGATGTAGTCGACGACGGTCTTCACATCCAGGTCTTCAAGACGCGAACGAACGTGCGCTAGAGGATCTTCACCTCGCATCTCTTTCGAGGAAAGCGAGAAGCTTAGCACTACCGGCTCCCATTTGATACTAGCAGACACAATCAGCATGATTTCAGATCTGCCGAAGAAGTTTTCCCGCACCGCAGCTTATGCTCGTATTTAGCGAGCTGAATGAAATGTTCGTCATTCTTCTCAAGTTTGTGTTCCCCTTCAATACGTGTTCCGTCCACCACGGTTCCCTTTTTGGAAGCCAGATCGGTGACGGTGATTCCGGATCGAGCCCGCAGTGATAACTGTACTCGCAATTAACAAGTGAAAGGCATAGTGGCGGGGATGTGCGGACTCCATCTTTAGGTTTGACCGGGGATATCTCAATCGTCATGTGCTTCCGAGATATCGAGTTGTGGTTTACCGCATGGCGAACTGTTCATACACATTAGCACTCATGCATGGTCTTCATTCGACAACACGCTTACCTCCTTCGCGCTGGAATCGCCCGAAGAGATACTTCTTCCCGGGACGTAACCATATGCGCTTCCCTGCTATGTGTGAGAACACAGACCGACAAGAGTAGTTTTACGCATATTACCTTCCAGAAAATCACCGGTCGAATCTAGAACCCACATCGCGAAGAGCCCGCATGTCGGAGAATTGTTGGTGCTCTGAGGTCTGATTAGGCATCAGCGCGCAGATTGAAACGCGTGGGCACGTGACTCCGTGTCAGCCTGGTTCCGCGCCTCTCGTCGACCACTTTTCTCTTCAGGACATCGATGGGTCGTTTGAAACAATGCAGTCCTCAGGGGACACGCCTGGCAAAGATGCCAATCCCGACTTGGCCCCAACGGACGATTTGGACACCCTGAAGTACCAACTACTGGGTCCGTCTCTTACAAAGGCGGGCCAAGACTCAGTCGATCAGCAGAAGGTGGGCCTCCTGGTGGTGTCATTTGTTTGAGATTTGCTTTCAGTAACTAAGCTGGTTGTGCAGGTATCAGAAGTCATCTATAACGCCTCCAAGGGATCTAAATTCTTCAACCATGAGCAAGAACGGGATCGCAATATTACAGTTAAAATTGAGCGGATTTTGAAACAAAAAGCTCATCTAGAGAAGTTAGATCTCAGCCATGATCTACGGAGAGCCGACGAATATCTTGCGGAGTTAGAGCTCAGCCGTGATCTGTCTCAGCACATCATCCATGTGGACTGCGACGCATTCTTTGCCGCCGTCGAAGAGCTAGACCGGCCTGAGTTGAAGACAGTCCCTATGGCAGTTGGCAAGGGTGTTCTAACGACCTGCAATTATGTGGCCAGGAAATTCGGCATCCGAAGTGGGATGGCTTCATTCGTGGCCTTGAAGCTCTGTCCGCAGCTTGTTTTGTTGCCCCAGAACTACGAGAAGTACACGGAAAAGGCAAAGGAAATACGTGCCATCATGGCGGAATATGATCCGCTCTTCGAGAGTGCAAGTATCGATGAGGCCTATCTGAATATCACAGCATACTGCGAGGAAAACCAGCTTGACCCAGAAGAGGCTGTCCAACGAATGCGAGCGCAGATTTTGGAGTCGACCAAGGTCTCTGTGTCTGCAGGAATCGCCGCCAATGCCAAAATCGCAAAGATCTCCTCAAATATCAATAAGCCAAACGGCCAGTTTCACGTCCCAAATGCGCGGGCTGCAATCATGGAGTTCATGAGCCAGTTACCGGTGCGCAAAGTGAATGGAGTTGGCCGAGTCTTTGAGCGTGAGCTCGAATCTATAGGCGTGAAAAAATGTGGTGACATCTTTCCGCAGCGAGCCTTCTTGACCAAGTTATTCGGCGCAAAGGCCTTTCAATTTTTAGCGCAATGCTATCTGGGTCTAGGGCGCACGAAGATTGAGCCGGTTGAAAACCATGAACGGAAAAGTGTGAGCACTGAGACCACCTTTCACGAACTTGGAAACAAGGAAGAGCTTCGAGCGAAACTATGGTGGGCTGCGCAGGAGCTTGAGAAAGACCTTGCTCGGACACAGTTCAAAGGGCGCACGCTGGCGCTCAAGGTCAAACTTCATACCTTTGAAGTGCTAACCCGCCAGACGGCCCCATCTCGTACCGTTTCTCGGGCCAAGGATCTATACTCGTTTGCACTCCCTATGTTAACCAAACTCGAGAAGGAAATCCCGGGTATGAAATTACGACTTCTTGGTTTACGGTGTTCAAATTTGGTCAGCACCCAGAAGCTTGGAGTCAACTTCTTTGGCGTGGTCCCAAATCCTCAGCCTGCCCTCAAGGCCGCTGATGAAACACCTGCCGATGCAGAGTCAAATCATGATATCGACGCCGAGGAGGCTTTTGAGACAGCGGCTCGCCAGGAGGTTCAAGAAGACATGAATGACTTGGAGCAGTTGAGCCAGGACATCCCTCAAGTGCCTGCGACTATTCAGCCAGAGGAGCCCGTGGTCACAGAGCCGCCTCTATGGGACTGTCCAATATGTGGTCGACCTCAGATTTCGGATGACCGGACATTCAATGAACATGTGGATTTCTGCCTCTCGAAGCAAACCATTCGCGAGGCGGTGCAAGACACCGAGGAAGCAGAGGCTCATGTATACCCATCGGCTAGCAGGAAACGAAGAGTGCCCTCTCAACTGGGGGCAGCAGAAGGGGACCCAAAGCAAAAGCGGCTATTTTTCCAATGACACTAGCCCTCGGGCACCCCCAGTCACTGTTCCTTCGTGCTGTACATGGACACCCGTGGACTGGATGTCAAGGGGCTTGGGTAGCGCTTTTTTTTTTTTTTTTTTTCCTGCTCCCAGCTTCTCAAACATTGACATTGACGACAACGATCACCCACATGACTATCTCATACGAGGACTGTAGGTTCATGCTCGGGACGCCAATCATCAATAATCGCTCTATTGCAGACTCGCCCTGTTTCGAGTCTCCACCCCCTTAAGTCCATACCCGCGGCAGGCCGTTGACTCCGTACGTCGACAAGGGGGATGAAGCAGCTGCACACAATGAAGGCCCTAGCTCCCGAGGTCCATGAATCAGATCAGTCACAAATCAATAAGAAAGTTAGTGTGTTCCCCTTGATATGTTTGTAGTCGGCAAGAAGTAAGGAATTCCACGTTGCGGTGAAGCGGCGGCCTAAGCCTAATCGGGTGGGAATGTTTTCGTCACTTTCTGATGTCTTTCGTCTCTCTTCTCATCAGGCCACAAGAGAACTTCCTGTCAGTTAAGGTGTTTCTCTTGTTGGTGCCATCATGCTTATGAATTGTGGCATGCAATGCCATAACCTGCATTCCCCCGCACCGCAACTATGACCTACGATAAACAAAACAATGGCCATCTCGCCAAACCGTTCACTCCGACTTTGAGTGCTGCGTTTCACCGAAGTCAAAAAGCTCCTTTGACCCCGAAGCTCGCAAGTCCTAGTCCAAGTGCAGGGCTAACTCCCCGCCGCCTCGCCCCCGATCACCCATATTCCACCCCCTCCAAAGAAGACTCCCCCGCCGTTCATCCGAACTTCCTCAGTGCCAATGTCACCCCACGATCTGGCCCACGAACCACCCGCAGAGATGGCGCTTTCGCATCCCCGACAAATACACCACCTGCACCCTCGCCGCAGGGATCTTACTCAAAATCCACGGTCGGTTATGGCCGCAGGGACCGCAGCCCGGCTCGCGGGGTGAAACCGGAGCAGCCAAGGAGTTTGAGGGCAAAGACTCTCACGACGGATACACAACCCATCACACGCCCAAACTCGTTCTCCGAACTAGCTTCGGGGGCCCCGCTGTTCTTCCATGCGTCTGACGCGCGATCATCCCACCCCTCGGAGGTGTCCACTGCCCCTCGTCCACGGCCTCAGGGGCAGCAGACATCTCCGGCGTCGAGCTTCGTGTATGCGAATGGGGACCAAGAACGGAAATCTTTGGGTGATCAATCCAGCACGTTATCCACTGCATCAAAGCGCCGTTCTGGGGGTATAATTGCTCCTCGCCCTATGCCCGCGAGTAAACCGGTATCCTCGCCATCCCCGCGCCTGAATTCTCCCCGGCTTTCCGATGCGGCCTCACCCCCGATGGAGGATGCGAGGTTGCCGTTCCTTGGTGGCCTGGATCACGGCTTGGGTATAGTCCCCCATCTTGGGACACCGTCGAGCATGATCTCCGACAAACAACCACCACAAATTCGTCACCAAAAAGCCTCGAGTGTTGACTCAAATGCACCCTTTAGTCCGTTGCACGAAACCCTACGCGCGAGTCCGATTATTGCATCTGGAAATACCTCCCATGATGGGCCAGTGCCCGTGATGTCCGAGAACATACCGCCTCTTCGTCCTCGTATCTTCAGCAGTGGGTCCTCCGCCTCGACCGATACGTATCCTCCCGCGCCTCTCAGCCCAGGCAAGTCCGATGGTCCTAGCGACGCAGCTCTCAACGCGCGAACCGAACGCAAGATCATGGATTTGGAAATTAGCAACTCCTCATTGCTGGCCATCAACCGGACACTCGAGCGGGAGATGCGACAGCAGAAAGCCGAACTACGACGATTCAGACGACTGAGTCGGTCTGGGCGTATCTCAATGGCACCTTCGACTCGTTCATTCTCCGGGGTGGCTCTCTCGGCCACCAGTGAGATGGAGGAAGGCGAAAGCGAGTACTCCATTCAGTCGCCCGAGGATAATTCTGAAATAAGTGATGAAGACTCGATTGTTGACGAAGGCGTTTTAAGTCCGGGCTCGCTGGCAGAGCATGATGCTAAGCACCGCGCTCACGATGAAAAGCGGGTTATGCTTGACCTAGCAAAACATCAAGAAGTGCTCGTGGACAGCCAGAAGATGAACCAAAGTCTCAAGCGCTGTTTAAATTGGACCGAAGAACTTATTAAAGAAGGTCAGCGGGCACTCGAATACAACGTCCATGTCCAAGACATTGAATTGGGCGGCCGTGTCCTCTCGCCAGAAGAATTAGGCGAAATTGGTGACGTTGGCCGTGGACTGCTCAGTCCCTCATCAGAGTACAGAGAAATGTTCTCACCTATGGATTCTTCTGCCGAAGTATCCTTCGTCCTCTCCCCATCTATTGATCCACCATCTACTGCGCCATCTGTTGCTGCTGATCCGAGTACATGAACCCATTTTTGTCTTCATCTCCTGGTGGGATGACCCATACTTTGCCTTTCTGCTGATATATCTTGCACAATACCCCTTCGATGTCTTTCATTCTGAAACTTTCTCTCTTTTTATCGATGCAGGTTATTTCCTCCAATTCCTCGCAGATTGTACTATGAGACTCCTGACTTTATGCCTTTCCTTGATTGCGTTCGCCGTCCACCGTCCCACATTACAGTCAATGTCCGATACATATACCCTACCCTGTCATCTTCAATATCCAACGCTTTATTCCGGCCCATTTGATAGATACCCGATGTGCAATTATTGTCTGCGTGTGTTTACATCTTGTTTTATTGGTCTTTCGACATGTACATCGGAGAAGTTGAAGTTTTACCACCAGCATTAATTGGCCCAGGCAATTTATAATGATAGACTTGATATGACATGTGTGTTTTGCCGCTCTCTGTGCTCTGTCTCTACCTATGGATCTGACTGGGAATCTATCTCCTGGCAAGCATATCATGCACGCAGATGGTCAATGTGACGTCCACGGGTGCTGTCATTCCAACCTTGGAAGGGTTAAAAGACCTTGGCGCCATTCATCTGCGTATCACGGGAATGGACACTGTCCTTTTCGCTGCTGGCGAAGACTCTCCTTCAGGACCTCCAGTTCCTTTCTTCCCTTCCCCTCGAAGTACTTCGGTCCAAGATCAGGGGCGAAATAGCCTCGAGGGTAATATTTATCACCTTCATCGCCAGGCAAAGGCCGCCCCAGAGCCCATTTCAACCATGCAGTTGGACCCCAACGGTTCCAAATCGTTGGTCTGACGTAGTAGGGTGCGCCCTCATATATCGTCACCCAATGTCGACCATACTGGTTCGGTTCCTGTGTGAAGACGTCGAGTCGCAGGTAACTGGGCCGCGGAAGAGCAAGATGTCTGAGAGCCAGCTGTCGCAGTCTAAGCAGTGAGGCAAAAAGACTGCTGAAGATGGCCGTCGGAGGCTTGATCATCATGGCGCTACGCAGTCGATCGTCCATCAAATATGACACCAGATTGAACCCTAGCGGCTTCAGCAAATCGGGCAGGTTGTACAAAAGTACATCGATCGTCCTCTCCGCAATCTCCCTGTTTCGAGGATGCGGCCTCATATGCTGTACCTCATAAGCATGGCTCCACGCACTTATTTCCTCTAGCCAGTGCAATCCGTCCTGGAACCCAGCGTTCCCCGACGGCAATAGAGAATAGCTGATCCCCAGTGCATCACCGAGGCTTTTCCAGTATGTCCCTACAGCACATCGTTCCATCTCAGTCATCTCGCGCCACTCGAAAAGTTTCACAAACCGGATCGGCTCGATGGCAAATAGGCTGAGTGTATAAAGCATGTCTGCTTCGAGAATTTTTCCACTGGCTCGGTAGCCCTGATGCAGGAATTTTGTTCGAGCTATTGCTGTTTGCGCACGTTCGGAGCGCGGATCGAATGCCATGAACTCGCCGATCAAAGTACCTGTGTCGGCATACCGTTTGAATGAGGTTGCGGGATCAGAAAACTGGGATGTTTTCAAGAGAAGAGTTGATATTGTGGGAATGCCGTACGTCTACCCATGTCAGTGGCATGAAATGCTGGGATAGGAAGTCCATACCCGAAAGAGGGCAAACTGCAGTGATTTGAGGACAATGAAGGGGAACTCGGTCTGCATGATTGTCTTCTGAATTGCCCATGCATCATGGTCGGTCATGTTCCTCATTGAAGTTCTTGTTGCATAGCAGCTGTAGCTTTTCTCGATCGAATGAAGTCGCTGAAACCGCAGCATCTGGACAGCCACAAGGTAGGTGAATAGGACTAGTATCACGCATATTACCTTTTGCTGTAGGGATGCTTGAGTAAGAGCATACACCAAGTCGTATCGTTTAAAATCTGTCAGGGTAGCAACCGATGCCATCTTTGGACGCAGAAGATAGTCGGTTGTTTGAATACTGGCTCTGTTCCTCTATCCCACATGGTACTAGGTATACAGGGCGTTTATATGTCTACTGATGTCTACTTCATGTGTAAAGCTCCCATCCTTTGCTTGTGTCGAGGTGAACTAAGCATATTGCGGACCGAGGAATGCGGAGAAACCCCTCCCAGCAGTCTTGACCCCGGCGACATCATGGAGCACGCACGTCTTCCACAAAATGACCACGTTAGATCACATACATAACCGAGGTTTGCAATCAAGCACGAATCATTCGACCCTGGAAATGGATGTCTGATCGAGGATCAGCGAGCATAATCACTGCATAACCATCGGGAAGGCATCAACCGACATCATACGATCGTGTCAAAACCACGGCAGATCTACAGAGTTTAGCATTGCAAAATGCCACGCCGGATCAAACAGATGCCGGAAGATCGCTGACACCAGACATGGTCTTTTCAGGGTGATCTGGTTGGCTGAGAAGTGAAGATCTGCATCACATGCGAGGTCGATGCATACGACTATACGGAGTACGTGTTGGACGACGAAATAATACAACTGGACTTGACTTGAAAAGTTATCGAATACAGCTATACTAACCAAATAGAGGGCTATCACTCCTTGATGTAGGGAATCCCAGTCAACTTGAAGGCCCTTTCCCCAAGCACAGGCTCAACCAGTGGCCGCAGCCGATTGTGAGGATCCTCCTCGCCATTTCGCTGAGCGACGTTCGAGCCCGTATGCTTTGCATTAGGCCAGTGTGTAGTACCAACACGTCGATCGAACGCATCTTTCTTCCGACGCAGATCATCCTGCGTTGCATCCGCAACAGGCATGTAGCAGGTATATATGGCGAGACGAGGCTGTTTCTTCTTCGGGCTGAGATTGTAGTGCGGCGTACGCGAGTCCCAGAGGAGGAGATCTCCAGGTTCAGCGCAGACCTTCACCCACTTGCAGCCGTGATCTTCGAGCCATTTCATTCCCCGGTCTGTGAATCCATACCACTCAGGTGTCCAAGCTGGGATCAGTTCCTCATCGGCCATCTCTTTGTGGAATTGCTCGGATAATAGGTGTGCGCCCGGGCAGACGATGAGACCACCGTCATCTGGCCCGTTGGGAAGCAAGTTGACTAGTCCTTGCATGCAGCGGAAACCGTGCTTCTTGGGATCCTGGTCCTGGTGAGGCCAGGGTGTGTTGGGAGGAACGTCGGTACGGCTAGGCGGTTGTTAAATTGTGATCACTTCAAATGGAATATCTTGAATTCAACTGTACTTACTTCGGAAATTGAATGTTGATTGCATCGAAGGAAACAATCAGGTCCTCTGAGTCGTAAATTTTCTCAAAGGCCCCGATCACACCGGGCTCGCTTCGCACGGCCCAGACGAAGTTCTCATGGGGAAGGGCATAGTGAAGGACCATTCCCTTCTCGTTGAGAACAGGCAGCTTGTCTTTTTGCACAGTGGACGGATCGTTGCGATCGAATCCTAGCTCGCTGAGTCGTGCGTTAGCTGATATGAATCGAACATATTTCTGCTGGCCACTTACAATCCTTCCAACCATGAATACATCTCATCAGCATACTTCAGGGCCTTTTCTTTGGCAATGGCTCCTTTGACAACAGCATATCCGTCTCGAGTCAAATCATCGCGAAAGTCGCCAAACTTGGTGTCAGTGCCATCGACACGCATTCGGCCAAAGCCATGCAAGTTGGAAGCTTGCTCGGCCGTCTTAGTGATAGTTGCAGTGGTGGACATCTTCAAAACTGGACAATTTGATCTGTTTCTGATCCTCAAGAGTTCCTCAACCGACGAGGTTTGGATTTAGTTATATACCTTTTGCCTACCACTTCCAGGCACGGACATTAAAAGAGCTCACAGCCCACATCAATCTCCTAACAATAAGTCACAGGATGCAAATTGGTCCTTTCCATTGGCAGTGACTCTCCACTCGCCTCCGAACTGCCCCAGATTTCGGCAAGTGGAGGTGGGGGGGGGGGGGGGGGGGGGGAGGGGGGGGTGTTGGGCCACTTCCGCTCACGGAGACGGGAACAAAAAAGAAAAAACATTTTCATGATAAACAAAAAAATACAAAAAAA